CTCAGTGCAACTGTACATTACATCACACAAGGTATTAAATGACTGTAACATGACATGACTTTACTTGTCATGATATCACATATTACAATGTAAAACGTGCTCCTAAGTCGCTTAATATCAGATAAACGCTGAAGTGCATAATTTTTAAGCTATTATCTTTTTAGGAAACAGGTGATTTTAACTTAGATAAGAGTTAAATTTCATAGATTGTGTCTCTACTGCTCGGACTTTATATTTGTAATAGAGTTAATGAAAAAGTAATAAATACCAAAACTCATAGCCTAAACTGGCTTGTCATAAGCTTTCCAAATTTCAAACACAAAAACGGGTACTCAAAGAAAGTAGAACTCATTTATACTCTCACTGGGCAGCTAATGTAACAAACCCAAATGGTGATGAAAAAAACTCCTTATTTGGATAATGCATATATACTCAGTAAATCATCCTCTAATGCCTTTAACATAAAGAGCAAGTCTCACATCAGCTCATCAGTATACAGTGAGGGGATTCACTCAGGCTCTGTGTGGGGGACAAAGCACCACAATGCTAGTTTATTAAAATGTGTGTGCGTCTGTATCACCCAGGGTGCTGTGAACTTGTCTTATACTATAATCACGTTACAGCCATTACATGAGACCAAGAGACCGGAATGAGGTGAGAAGTCGCATATATACAAACTTGCTGGCAAAAGACATTAGAGCAAAGCATCAATCCTTTCAATACTTCATTAAATATTTACGTAATTTTGCCTCCTCTGGAAGCATTTTTGTCCACAAAAGTTTCTGTAATTACCCTGAAAAGATATTTAGCTCCAAACAAGATGTCAGCGCAGATGAGAACAGACTTGAGTTGGAGCCTTGTGGTTTGTGGATTATCGACCCCTCAGCTGCAGGGGCTCCACACTCATGTTGGCCGTAACAGAAGTGAGCTAGACAGGAGCAATTATTCACCATGAGGCCATGTAGCACTGGTGGAGAGTAAATTACACAGACAGCCTCCACCAATTACTTCTTGTAATAGTGAGACAAATCTCATTTGACTCTATAACACCCTTGCATTGAATGGACTAATAATGAGCAAGTCCTTGATCGGACTAAGCGGAGGGGAGAGAAAAACACTTGCCTTCATGAGGAACCCTCTCAATTAAAGATAAAGAAAGGGTTTTGGCAGAATTAAACCGAGCTCTGCGAGTGTTAATGCTGCCTTTCAACCATTTATTCCCGTCTTTTAAACTAAAAAACAGTAAAATACTGTGTAATTTACAGAACAGACCAAAATGACAGCTGGTAGAGAGATATTTGTTTCACCAGGTAACCTTGGCGAGTAGGAGCTAATGAAATTCAGGGTGGCGTGCCCTTGTTGTCATTGGGGTGACGCATCACTGTGCATACATGAAAATGTCTATTCATGAACACACAGGCCATAAGGAGCACTATTAATAACACATACACGCCTCCCATATCATGGAAAATCACCTCGAGGGTGTCGTTCTTACTTTAACTGTGAGAGGTAACTATTCGGAGATTAAAACAACCTCGACCAAAGGGGGAACGATTTTCTTATTATGTTGTTGAGCAGTTCAAGTTAGCTGTCAGGTAAAATTGTTCATGAACTTCACTGAAAAGCTTTGAGACCTTTAAGTACTTTAAAAGAAAGAAAAAGACTCTGCATTTTATTTGAATACATAGTTGATTTTTTAGTTTTCCATCATCAGGTTTTTTAGTAGGGTGATAATGATCCACAAAGAGTGGATTGTGTCCCTGTAGATGTACACAGTGGATAAGTTTCTAACACAGACATGCTGACTCATTTGAACTTTTTAAAATCATTTTGCAGTTCAGCAAAAGTTAAGGTGTAATGATATTCTGTTTAGTGAATTTGGGAATAAGCTCAAGCACATGGAAACCCCTCCAGAGACAAATCACTGAACCTTAAGCAGTTTTTGTTCACTCTGTCCTGTACTGTGTAGTAGAAACGGCCTCAACATATCACCACACCTGAAGCAGGTTTGATGCTCTTGGTAGTTTTTGGAACCCTTATTGGCCAATTCAGAGCCTTCCCATCGTGTCAGTATCAGAGAACGTATGGAACATAGACACGGTTTTATCACTTGATCAGAATCTGAAATTCTCAACTGTTGTTCACGCCGCTTTCAAAAGGTTTAGCTATTTTATCCATATTACACCAATTACATGAAACTTAAAGCTGGACAAATTGGATGATGGCGCTGTCTTCCTATTCCTAGTTTAAGCCACCTCATATGTTTCTCTGCTCTGATTGATTGAAGCTTCCAGAAGCAGTTTGGTCTCTTGGAAAAGGAAAAAGATCTTTGATATCACAGATTAATCTCCATCATTAATTGGTGCAGTGATACTGTGCAGACATTTTAATGAGACAAAAAGTTAGTTATAGTCCAACTGTTTCAAAAAAGAAAAAAATAGTTTGGTCATCTTTTATTTGGTCTCTTGATGATGTCTTCAAAACAACTACGTGACATAATTAAACGAGTTCAAACGCAGCTCTAGCAGGCGTGCTCAGTCTTTTTTAATAAGCTCGGAGTTTAACAGTGAGGCTCACTGTCAAACAGTAACAACGCTGATTCTGACATAAAGTGCCGTCTGTCGCTCTGCTGTGATTTTTCAATGTGTGCGGGGGACAAATAAAAAAGCATTGTACATTTTTCTTATTTTTTAACAGATTTTATAACAAGAGTTCAACTTTTCACACACTTTACAATTGTTCGCCTGCAGCTACTGGGTTACTGAGTCACTCGTAGTCTTCTAGGCGCCCATGATATCTCACTTTGGCATTATTTATCAGCTACAAAATGATGATTTAATGGCTTTTCAGTCGTCCGGCACTCTGGTTTTTCACTCATTTGCTGCTTCATCAACACTATCTGGCAGCATTACCTCAGGAGAAATCTGACGAGGCTAGAGACTTTATTTCAGGAGCTGTCTGCTAAGATGAACTGTGAACAGCTAAAGATAGAGGCTCTATTTTAGTAACTGCAGATATTAAAGATACATATGAAACAGGCAGAGGAGGAGATTAATGAAAGCACACTCATTCAGACTGCAGATGACTACAGAGCAGCTTTTGTTAAACAGCCAAAGGTTATCTACGGTGTCTGTAATTATGCCTGTTTAATTGAAAAAGGTGAGTTTTCGCTGATTAGTGGCCAAGCTGCAAATTAGCCCGACACTTGAAAAACAAACTGCTGCTATTTTTAATCATTAACACACTGAACCATTACATAACCCTGTTAAAATCAGTGCATGATGGTGTTTCAGCGACAAGCAATGATAGAGTAATTTAAGCTCTTTATTTAGAGAGTGACACCACAGCCTAAAGCGGGGTTTAATATTTGACTACAATGCAAAGAGATGTTTGTTTAACCATGAACAGGATCCTTTCAGAACAAGCGATTTAATAATGTATGACAGGAATTAAATCCCCCCCTACAAAGTAAATTGTAATGAATATGTAGACACCGAGGAGCTAATTCAAAAATATGTTTCCGCCTCAGTCATATCCAATTACCTTTCTTATTCATCAAGCATTTATTTATGTGTCATTGCTAAAGAGGCAGTTAAAAAGGGTTAAAAGAATCCATGAAATCTTATTAGACTGCAGTTTGGCAAACCCAAAGATGGATGGAGGACGTCTCCAATGAAGATAAATAGCAGGAGCCTGCTGCTGATCAGACTGGAACAGGAGGAATCTCACATTTAGACCAAAAATAGTGACTCTGAAGACGGGCAAATTTATGGTTCTGAGGTCAAGAGGCGGACTTACCGTATTTTACATGATGTCATTCTATAGCTGTCAGAAGAGCTATCCTATTTTCCTGCACTATTGAATTGAATCTTTTTTTTCTCTTTATTTATCTGTTCTGGTAAAAATTAAAGCACCTGTAAGGAGTTTTTACCTGGTTACAAAATGGACTTAAAATGAACAGCAAAAGACCATCAACATCAGGGCTATTTCTAAATGTGATTCATGACGTCTGAAACCATTGTTGTAGAGTAGGTGCTAGAAGTGATTAACCAAAAAACTTTGTTTAATCACATGTCATGACAAAGCATTTATTGTATTAGCACAAAGCGATAAAAAGATTAAAATAACCCTTAATCCATCTGATGGATAACAGGCGCTGTAATACACAAAACCTCAGTTCGTTTTTTTTAAAACTTACAATTACAAGTTACAATATCATTTGGGAGACGCTTTTATCCAAAGTGACGTACACAAGAATCACACATAAGAGGATGACATACACTGGGAGGAAATCCCACCGTAGTCCGTAATGGACTGGCCCGAGAGGTCTCGCTACAAACAAGCGGCTGCTGGAAGAGAGTAGGTGAGTTGTGTTTAGTCTCTTTGCGACAGAAATCAGGCAAAGTTAAAAAGATGTTTGGTGGCTAGTACTGTGGCTGGGACCCTATATGTACTGTTGATGAAGTTAGGTGCTGTTCTGATGATTACTTGTGGCTATAGAGTGGCGTTTTGGGTGAGGTTTGTTTATGGCTCCTCAGACCACTGTGTATTGCTGTTGCGCGGTCGTTACTAAAGTTGGTATAACTAGAGAAGCAAGTGGTAGGCAACATTCATCTCTCGAGGGGGTGTCTAACTTGGTGTTACGGTGTGTTTCACCCTAAATTAATTTTACACCGGAATATCCCTTTAAGTCATGTAAGAAGTTCATGTTGTATGAGTTATAGCATGAACCAGCAGTGGCTTACATTTTAAGATAAGATAATATGTTTCTTAAATAGTCCCACAGGGGGAAATTCCAATTCTTACCTCAAAATAAAGCTTCAAAGTGATAAAAGATCCTCTTTCTGTAGTTAAAAGTCATTGTTGTGTCATATTTTGAGTCCTACAATCCCACAGTGACGTTGTCTGTTCACCAAAGGAGTAACCGTTTTCCCCCTCTTGTCTTATACGCTACTTTGGTTTAACATTCGTTTTTCAAGACATGACTGAACACTCTTCTCTGGTGGCGGATGATTTATGTCTGCCTGTGACTTACCTCCTGCAACAAAAGAAGACAGGTACATCCACATCAGCACAAGTGAGATGAATTAGCTGTACCTCTATCTTTAGCAGATCTAATTTATCACCACCATCACATCGGTGTCAGATGAATGATGAGTCCACGAAAACTACCACAACACGACACTTTATCCTCTTGTTTTTTATATTTTTCTGTGACCTCCTAACGCACTATAACGCCCAAAGAAGTGTGTGATTTAAGTGTGAACATATCTGCTAAATTTCCCTAAATGTGTGTGACCTTCTTCATCCTGTACGCCTCCAAAGTTACAGCCACTGTCCTTTCTCAGTGGTGATTTCATTGAGGTAAAATGGCGTGCTAATGGATGGATCGATAGCGTGACGTCAGTGGATGCATATTAATGGCTCTGTGGCCTCTGTGTGAGTGTGTGTGTGAGTGTGTGTGCTCACTTTAGCCCCTAGACCTACAGTATCTCTAATGATGTGAGGAAAATGACATAAGGGGTCAGCTGACAGCCCAGTAATGAGTACAGTGCTTGGTCCAAATCCTGGTACTTGCTCCCCTAACTGTGGCCTTTGAACCCAGACTGCCATGACGTCTGAACCGAGAGGATGCTAATTGGGCTCTGATGTATTGTACGGTGTCCACAGAGAGAGGACGGGAGAGGAGGAACATGAGAAATGGGATGGGTGTGTGCTGCAGGGGAAAAGGTTTAAAAAAGAATAGATAAGGAGAATTGATGGTTTGGGCGTGTATCACTGTTCGATCGGCATCTAGGAGATATACCTGTCATTAAAAAGTGAGAGTCTTAATGTCTCCGTTAGTAAAGGTTGGATGAATAACAGACGTTTTGATCTCTTAATAAGATCGGCTGTGAACTGCTGTCAGCTTCTGCGACTCCCCGAACACTCCCGGAGCCGAGACTTATAGACGCTAAACACGAACGCACACTCTGCGACTGAGACTGCTACAAACAATGGCAAGCTGCTTGGCCTTTATCAAATGTCACAGACCCACTATTCATGTGGTCCACTACCAATATTGACCTGTTGAAAAGAGAATCCTCTGCTCACATTGGTTCAGTTTCTAAGTGGATATTCCTGTTTCACTTACAATTTCACATACCATACAGCTTGAATCAAAGTTAGTTAGCCTGAGTGAACACTTTCAAAATAAATAGTTTCCTCAAAACACTTTTTATTTAGAAGGTGTGTTAAATCAAGATTTCTTCGCCTCTAGTTTTCATGAAAGCAAACATAAGCTGTCATTAACTTTTGCTTATATCAGGTCACAGTAAAATGTAAATGTAGAAAGGTCACAGTAAGTTCTGGCTTTTATTCAAAGTCCCAATCCAATCGTTGTTTTTTTACTGCATAGGGTGTTCTCAGTTGTCGTTAAATTGTGATTATGAAGTTTTTACCAAGAAGAAAAACATGATTTTCATTGAAGTGGGTCTTTAAGTCATAATATTATGAGAATAAAATCATGAGAAATTTGAGTTGTGTACATAGTAATGCTACGATATTTAAGTCCTATTGTTACAAGATCAGAGATTATGTTGTCAGGCGTAGACTACATGTTGATGGATGCCACACCAGATTCGCTCCCAACATAATGTCTCTGTTGCTTGAGGATGCATTCGACCAATATAAATACAGCAGTAGCTTTCCATGGCTGAACTTTTGCTCTTAGCTGCAGTCAGTCAAACAGGGCCCAGGGGGCGGCACTGATAAAAGAGCTTCCTGTGGATTCCCCTCCAGAAAGCTGTCACTCACACCAGCCCCAGAGGAGAGGGGCGATCCTGGGCTGTAGTTAGGAGATTAAGGTTGTGGCGTAGAAGTGAGAGTAGAAACAACTGTAACAAGCCTTAACTATGGCAGAACATTTATCAGCTAACATTCACTTTATTATTAGACATACACTCTTAGGTCATATCTCTGATGTGTTTTCTGATGTTCTTTTACGAAGCAGGACAGGGGGAATGTTTATTTGCAATTAAATTCACTCAAATGGACCTCATTATTTTAAGTCTGGCAGATATCAGTCACTTATTTCAGTACCTTTACCATTTCTCAATGTCCATCTCTATGACTTAGTCCAAAATGATAGAAGGTATTTGAATTTTAGAGACTTTAAACATCTAAGTTGAACAAAAAATCCAAGTTTATAATGCTTGTGGGGATGATAGCTAAAGACCGAATACGATTGTTTTTCAGTCTCTTTACTTAATTTCTCTTTTCAATGTCAAAATGAAGTTAGTTTGATAAAACCAAAGACTTGTTGCTTATAACCCTTAAAGTGCCTGTAAGGACCTTTCGCTTTTAGTCAATTTTGATGCAAGCTTTTTATTGTCAGTTTCTACAGTATTCGAGTACATGCACAGGAATCAAAAATATATATATTTTTAAAAATATACAAAAAAGTTCAAGTATTGATTACAGTCTGCTTTGTGGCAATCCAAAAACTCATCTTAAGTTCTTTAATACCATCATTACATGATATATTCCTTCCTTTAATGGTGCTAGAATTTCACATTATGCTGATGATACTGTTATGATATCAGGCAAACTTTGTATTTAACTTTCAAGATGTCAAACTTTAGATTTTGTGCATCTATGATGACAAACTTGGCAAGAAAAGCATTATATGGTTTTGGCTGAGATGGGGTTGAGTTTTCAAGGTCTGGGCTGGGAAAAAGGACAAATGTATGAATGATGAAACTTGGCGTCCATATGGCCAAACCTCAGTGCTCTACATCAACATGATGTTGGCAGTAGACACTGGATTTTGATAATGGTAACATAAATTTAACCAATAAAGAAAAACTCTGGTAACACTTTACAATAACCATAACTTATAAATGGTAAATAGACCATTTATAAATGGTAAGCAGATATTTTATTAATGTTTAGTCATCATTTATAAATAGCATATAAACCATTAATGAATTGTAAATTTTACAGTTTTAAAAACCTAACCCTAACTTACAATAAAATCTAAGTAATGTTTATAGATGGTCTAAAAACCAAATATTAACCATTTACAAAGTGCTACTGACACACATTTCAATCTAGATGTTTTACAACCAATATTTAAACCCTATATAAACCTTATACGCCTCATAGTTTTATTGCTTGTTAATGGTAAAGTAACTATTAACTTACATTAATAAACTATCTATTAGCCATTTATAATTGGTCTATATGCTGTTTTTAAATGATGATTAAACATGAATAAACTATTTATTTACCATATATACATTCTGGTTATTGTAAAGTGTTACCAAATCACTCGATGTTGTCTTGACCTTGAATTTTGATGCTAAGATATCCTGACGTACATTCAACCAGATATTAGTGTCTATAGTCGGTGGCCAGTCGTTTTTTTCTTACGACTCCAAAGAACTTTTTTGACTAAGCTTCATCATTAATTTTTAAGCATCTTACAGTGTGCTTGTATCTGTGCCACCCATCGCTCGGTCTCCATTCCCTCCAGTCTGCATCATCCCTCCTCCTACGATAAGCTCCTGCAGCCAGTATAAAAACAACAACGCTAAGACTGAAGCCATTCGAGTGAAATATATCCAGCATGATCTGTGGGTGCCCGGGAAGGCCACCCATGCCCCTCCCACTTGTAATGCATCCTCCTGGGACCGGTTGCCCGGCAACAGCGGCTGATTGGGTTAGCAGGGTTAAGAAAGGGTCTGGCACAGGCCGGAGGAATCAGATCACTCCCATTGATCATCTTCTTTCTGTACTCCTCTGAGATCTGAGGCCACAGCCACAAAATCAAAGCCCTGCCACCGTGTCTGAGAGGGGGTTATTATGTACACACGGGAGCAGAGAGAGGCATGATGGGCTTTGTGTGGCTGCTTCGTCTGACATCTCATTCCACTGATCACAGTGTGGTGCTGAGACTGCTCACAGCCACGAGTGATGTTCGCGTATTTAGGCCTGTCGCAGGGGTTTTAGCCACCGGGGAGGGTGGGTCTGAAGAGCCCTTCAAGGAAAGGTCCTGTCCTGTGGTGGTTTATTAATATTATTATTATTATCAGCTGTGAAATACGAGGGATCTACTTGGCTGTAATTTGAATTGACTCGCAAGTATCAAAAGCATTTGTGTGATGAGAATAAACAGGATGGAGATTCATTGAGTGGGCGGCGGTGTGATAAATGTCACCCACTGTACCTACACTGTAGGGGTCTCAACAGGAGGGACACACAGACCGCCATATCAGGAGCAAAGTAGAGCGTTTACTTAACATTTCTCTAACAACACTTTGACTGTAATCCAGTATAAATATAATTTTACATGAAGCATCCTGTACTTTTATATAAGGAGTTGTATTAGAGAGATTTCATCGAAACCGTGAGGGGAAAAACCTTTACACTCGGATACTCTCCCTCACTTCTGTGCCTGTTAAGTTGACACCAGTTCATACCGGCTCCTTTGCTTCGCGCACTGACATCGCTGTTTTTGGCTCAAAGTGACTGTACCAGTGTCGAGAGCGGCCAACTGTTCCACCAGTACTGCGGGCCTTTGGTGGCGATGGCTGAAGTCCTGGAGAGGTGTAAAGTGCAGCAAGGCAGTGTGTGGCACAGGCCGGGTGATCCCTCCCACGTCTCTTTACTCATGCTGTCCCGAGGGGAGGCAGACACCCCGCCAACTGGTGTCACTGTTCCTCCGCCAAAAGCCACTGAGTCACCGTGAAAATGGGGCACACATTTGGATCTCTTGGTTTCCTTTTCACCGTTTCATCATCCTTTTGTTTCTGTCATTTGACGGTTTATTTTGCGATATCTTGGTATTAACCGTTTTCACTGCTGATGAAAATATCTGCTTGATATTTCCTGTTTAATGAAGCTCTTCTGTTAGCTTTGCCTTGTCTGATTGTGTGTGTGGTCTTCTACCGTGAAGCGCTTTAAATTTTCACCACTTCTTCCCCCGGCGACTCTCTCTCTCGTAGTAATTTCTTTTATCCCTTCTTTCTGATGCAACATCCTGCTAAAACTGTCGCGGGAGGTTTTTATCCTCCGAATGACTCATTTTCATCCTGTCACATGAAAGTTAAAGACTTATGGTGGTACCACCTTCAAAGATAAGACAAAATTTTTTTGTTGTTTACAAAAATTTATTCATACAAATCTTACAACACTTTTTTTTAAACATTTATTGACTTGACCCTTGCAGATCGCCATTTGAAGTAGTAATCTAATGTTCAATTTCTACACAGTAAATATATATTTATATCTTTGAAGATTATTTTATTTTGGTAAGGCTATTGGCGCTTTCATTATCATACACATAATGGTTCATGTAGAAGGGGAAAATCATCTTCCCCTTTATTTTCACAAAACGTCTAGTGCTCTAAAACAAAGTGCAAAGGAAACCTCGAAGCTGGATGCTGCTAAAGATCCTATTGAAGGTCTTTGAAACACAAAAAAAACAACAACAACAAAAAAGAGTGAAATGTAAGCTGGTGATGTGCAGCATTGTAGGGCCACTAAATAGCCATCTGTGATTCATGGCGATTTTTAAAGTCGATGCAAGGCACCACAGCCGCAAACTGCTTCCTGCGTCACAAAGCCTGGAGGAGAATGCAAAATTAAAAAAAGATTGAAACAGTGAACAGAAATGGAAGAACTTTTCTCTGCTTTTTGAAAGAAAAATAGCGCTTTATCTCCCCAAAAAATGCTGAATTTTTACAAATTTAGTGAGCAAAGTGCAGGTCGACCTTTCAAATCTTTATCATGGGGTCAGACTCCTGTTTTAGGTTTTTCTCACTTCTCAAAATCAGCACTTTAACTGCTCATTTTAGCATCTTTCCCTCCATGTTTCTCAGATTGTCAATTATGGCAGCTTTTGCACCACACTTCCAATTTAATAGAAAGAAATACCACAAAATTTTTCACTAACAGATAAAGCATGACATTAATCTGAGGGAGTCTCGCCAACAGGGAAGTACATTCAGATAATCTTCTTAAAAAAAGGACAAATTTCAACATACAGTTTGTGTAAAAATGTTAAAGTGAGGAGAACAGAACACAAAACAACATCCAGAGATGGCAGATAGGTAGGTATAGGTATGTATGTTTGCAGTAGTCAGAAAGCAGAAAGCAAAAAACATCTGGTTGGAGTTGCTGCACAGATGCAGTGGCTAGTGCAATTACTTTAATCATGCAGTCTACGGTAGTTGTTACATCGGTTCACATGACAGAAAAAGGGGAAGCACAATAGACCCAGAAGGTTCAAAACACAGGAGTTCAAAGTGTCTCAGAAAATCACCAAAACTGATGGAGAAGATCCCATGTAACAAGTATCATTTCTTTTTTTTAATGCTTTTTGTTTTTTCAAATTTGCTGTAGGTGGTGCTTTATATCTAAGTGATACTTATTATATGGACAGCAGAGTTAAGAGGAAACCAGCTGAGAGAAACACAAGATTGGCACTTTTACATGAGTCAAAAGGTGTGAGAGCTCACTCTGTAAACACTGTGGAGGAAAAGAACAAGAAAAACCTCAGAAGTACTCTGGTCCTCATCTCAGATTTGGGATTAAAAGTTGGAAAATGTGATTTTAAATGTCACTCGACCTACATGTGTCGTCTTGTGCAGCTAAAACAATCTCATTAGCGTTATGATGCTGATAAATGCGAACTTTCTTTTTTCGTCAATAATGAATGATATGTTTTGTATATATGTGTCTCAGGTGTTCTGCTCACTAGGACTAGGTGGGGTTAAAGGTTCAAATCTGTGAGACTCTAGAGAGAGACAGGAGCACAAATGAGGTGGAAGAAGAGTCGGGTTTCAGTGTTTGGAGCAAGATCACAAGAGTTAAAGGTGGAGAGGAGGAGGAGAAACAGAGGGACATGAGGCGCCCCCCCCTTGCCAGGTTTCGGCGCCAGCCTTCACTCACCGGAAATTCGGGAGAGAACTGTTTCAGCCATTCTCCCATAAAAGCCTCAAACTCATCCCCGTCCGGGAGGGCATCAAAGTCTATGTCTTGTAGGATTGGGTGAAAACCTATGTCTTCAAGGCTGTTGTGAATAGAGACAACTAAACTCTTAATGTCACTTTACAAAAAGCAGCATTCACATACATTGATTGTCTTTTAAACTATTTATTTTCCTCACAATCGTATCTCTTCACTGAATGTTTAAAAGACAGGGCTGTTGGTGCAGATCGTCATGGGAACAACTGTCTCCCCTCTTAAATAAGTCTAAAAAAAATCAATCAATGGATACATAAATAGAGGCTATCTTCTGCTTTTTGAATGAACAAAAAAATTGGTCCACAAAGTAGATATGTGTGTCCTCAAGTGCTTTTAAGTAAAAAATAAAAACAATATTATTATCAAAATATTCATTTTAATGGCTTACTTCATACATAAATACATGTTTGATAACACAAAAGCGATCCACTGATTGTTCAGATCAGAATGACTTCACCTGGGGCTGCACGTATGTAAGTTTTCTGTTTGTCAGGAGAGAGAGGGGGAGGATGCTACAAATATGCCTGTCGGCGTCCTTTGTTTCTAATTCTCTGTCTATACCTTTTCCCCAGGACGGCTGCCAGGTATTTCTTGACGGCCATTTGCTTTCGGTAGCGGCTGTAGCTGTCTGTGAAGATCCCGTCTGAGTGTCGCTTGGATAGAGGCTCCGAGCTGTCGTCCAGCGTTTTCCCCGCGCTGTGAGAGAGGAGAGGAGAGGAGAGGTTTGAGCAGCGTTACACTGATACACTCACACTCACAGTTAGTGTGTATGAACAGCCTGTGGAGCAGAGGAGACGAGCATGGACACCCTGAAAACTGCAAAATCAGATAACACCTACTTTGTAATGAGCAAATCTGCACCCTTAGTCCAAAGATTTTCAGCATGTGAGTGCATTTTCATGGTTTACATAAAGATATAAAACCTGTGATGCAGAGTTGGTGAACCTGTACTCAAGCTGAGTAAACCGAACAGGAAAATCAGTCTCTCTAATTCTGTTAGGATTCATTTTTTTGTGGAAACAACCAACATTTCACCATTTTATTTTCGCCTCCGAGTGTGTTTGTAAACCTGTAGAGTTAGGATGATGAGCCTTCTGACTCAAAACTCAGGAGAAAACAGTCAACCTAAATCTGTTCCGACCCAATGTGTGGCTCTAATTTGGAGATTTTTAGCAGAACCAATCAGATTTCATCTTTCACTTCTCCCTGTGAGTGTGTTTTATGGTTTTTCCGTGTCTGAAAATGGGTGTAGTGCCAAGATGATGACGCTAAAATAGATCTGAAAGGAACCAAGTGAGAAATTAAGAGACATTTTTCCTCGATAATCAGACTCTTTAAAAAAGTAACCCTCCAATCCAGAACCATCTTTTTAAGTTTAGCCAATTTCAGTCCAATTTGGCTCATATTTCCAACCTGCAAAAGGTGTAAAAGGTTTAACTAAAGACAAGACTAATTGAATTATCACCCTCAACCCTCTTTTCACCTAGAACCACTGGGACTGCATCCTTTGCATAATTCATAAGCAAATAAATCTAAGCTTTTGTAGGCTAATTCTGCCCCCTGTGCCTTACAGTCGCAGCACTGGGCACAGAAAACACCACTTCCCAATCAATCAGGTGCCCTTTCCTGCTCCCTTTGATGATTTTACAGCAGATTTAGTTGCATGCTGGGAATTAATGGGACCACACAAACACTAACACACACAGTATGTACAACAGCGTGAAGTATGAGCACCTAAAGGATCAATCCAAAGAAAAAGCACACAAAGGACAGAAAACAGCAAAGAAGAAAAGGACGACAAATAAAGGAGTTCTTACCCTACACGCTTTGCCATCAGAGAATGAAGATATTTCCTGGCTGATAACTGACCCAGCGCTTTCCTGTAGGCTTTATTAAACATGCCGTCTGCATGCCTTTCCGTTCTGGGATGATAGATAATAGCCACACAGTAAAGTCACTACACACCCAGCGCAAGAGCAACATTTACAAGTAGCTGCACTGCAAAAAAATACCCATGAATTCAAGTAGAGGCGTAAAAATGGTCTCTTAAGACAATTTTAACTGGATAGATTTGGAAATTTTAAAATTTTCTTTCCTTTTTTTGCATTTTCTTGAAATTAAATAGCTGGAATATTTCGCCTCCTTTTCTAAAAATCCTATAACGTCGATGAATATTTCAAGAATTTGTTCTAAATGTCAAATTAAGAGTTTTGCACCTATTTGGTTTTTCATTTTATCTGTGTAAAGGTGTTTCCGCATGCCCATCCTAACATAATCTACTAAGCTCCCTTAAGAATACAGCTACAACATAAAAGGCCTAAATTTAGTGAAATAATAAAAACGCGTAAAAACCAACAGTGTCCAAAGTTTTCGACAACATTTCGACGATACATTCCGGACAAAACGCTCGACGTACAGACAGAAATATTGGACTACAGTTGATGAGACGTTCAACAAAGATATTTCAAAATAAAAGTTTGGTTAAAATGGAGCTGATGATGATGAGGAGGAGGATGATGAAGCTCACCTTTTCTCTTGAGGAAAATACAAAGAGTAGACATCTTCAGCCACAGACGGAGCGCTCCTCACTTCCATTTGGTCTCTGTCGTAATCCAGCGATGGTAAAGAGTTCCCATCCTCATCGTAAACCTCACTGTCCAGTCTGGAACGAACAGGCATCAATTTACAACTCTGAGAATGAGACTACAAACTGAAATCATCGTTTTAGTAACTTTTAAGCTTCATTCCTCATAACTGCACATCAGAAATTTTATCACAAGTCACATCCACAGTTAACTTCAAAATACTTTTGTTTAAAACGCGCAATTTGCTGCCAAAATTGTCCCCCCAATTAATTATCCAATCGAATAAATCGATGAGTTAATGGCTGCAGGACACATTGACACACTGCTTCAATGCCTGTCCAGCCTAAATGACCTTACAACCGCTCCCTGGTGAATGTTCCCCCGCAATTATCTCTGAGCGAGCAGCCCTATGGATCTGTTCTCCGGTAATCCAATAAGCTTTTATGACTAAAGACATAACAAACTCTAAGGTAGGTATGGTTTTGAGCCTGTGCCCTGCTGTGCCATGCGTTATAAATCATAAGCCAGTAGTGAAAATAAGGATGTACATACCTAACACTGGGAAAGCTAAGCCCCACAGGTGAGCAGTGGACGCTGTAATGCATTATGAGTCCATAGATGAGTAAGGCTAAAGTCGCTTTACTAGACATTGTCCTGCTGCAAAAGAGAAACAAGGAGTGAGTTCACAGGTGCGTAAAACAACAACAATCAGCTGAATTCAAGTGGCTTCTCTTCCAAACTGTGATTTTTAGTTTCTTACAAATCTTATCTTTGTGTTTCTTAAAGTTTAAATCTAACAACACTCACACGCTCTCCACTATTACGCTGCGTAAAAAGTGCTTCTCCTCACCAGTTTCAAGACACGATCCGCTTCAAACCTCGACTGGGAGAGTGAGATAGGATCTCTTTCTCAGTCCCCCTCTCTCTCGTCCTCTCTCCTCCTTCCTCTCCTCTTCCTCTGTTCCTTATATGAAGCTCTTCTTTAGTTTTCTTCTGCAGCTCAGTTCTCGGGGATTTTCACGTCTTCTCGGTCATGGGCATTAGTCTGCGGAGAACTTTTCCTGCGTCCTGTAAACTTAGCTCCCCCTCGGTTTTTTATCCATGAATCCGAAAAGGCTTGCCTTTTTCTCTTGTCACGTAGGTAGGGGGTGGAATAGGGTGGGGTGAGGGGGGGGAGGAGAGGGAGGCGGATGGCTGCGTCATCATCCCCCCCTCCATGTCCCATTGGAGTGCATCCTTCTTTCGCGTCAATGAAAGACCCCGAGCCATGCAGTCATAAAAAAAGGAGCGAGTCTTGAATTCAAACACGATCATTAATTAAACCGTGAATCCAAGCCAACAGCTGACGCCACCTCATTAATGGTCTCACGTGCCCTCTGGAGCTGGTGCGGACGTGAAGGAGCTGTCCAGTGCTGAAGTGCTCAAACAAAAGAAAAGATCTGAATCTGCTTCATGATGAAGTTTTATTGAATGAAACATCAAGAAGATCTCTCTCAGGACTGAACTTCATCCATCAGCTTGTTTTCATTTATTTTTAGTCAAAGTTTCTCTTTTAAGGTCAAAGTTCAGACTATCAGAAGCTCTCAACAGAAGTGCTATTAAAGAACATCCAGAATATCTTAATTATTGAAAAGCACCAAATTTGGAGATGCATGATTCACAGTGGACAGTGACGAAGAGCTGACGTATTAGCATATTTATACATCAAACATTGTCTGGTGGAACTGTCCGGTGCTGAAATATGACTGTCAGCATCTCTGCCTCTGAAAAGTTTCTCTAAATATCATGAAGAGACATAAAGAGATGCTTTTCAGGCTGCTTATTTCACGTGTCAGGTTGTTTTTATTCAGTCTCGGCCTGTTTTCTCTCTGTTGGACTTAGAGGTCAGAAGTACGACCCAAGAAACATGACTTAAATGAGCACAAATTGAATTTAATTTGTCTTTTGGAAGAATTTTGATTGGTGTGGTCCAAATCTGCCGTCATGTTAAAACACCATTGTCATGTGAAAACGACTTCTTTCAAAGTCCTCAACCTTTGGTCAGCTCACACAGGTTTGTGATATTTTGAGATCTTTCCGTCTGTGTCGTCTGTGAAGCTCATAAATACACATCTATAAAGGATACAGAAATGCAGCAAAAGTTTTTCTGAAAAAAAAAAAGAAAAAATCTAATTCACCAAACTTGGAAATATGCGGTTCTCAATGGACAGTGACGACTGCACTGACGTATTAGTCTATTTATACATTTAACATTAGCTCTGTCTTGTGGAGCTGTCCAGTCCTGATATATAACAGGCTGCATTTCTTTTAAAAAATGTTCTTTAACTAAAGCTTCAAAGAGATGTCTCTAAGGCAGTAGACTTCATTCATTGGTATATTTATAGTTTTTTTTCCCACTTGGCCTTCCTTGATGTCCTTCTTTTTCAAATGTAAGAGATGCAATATGCAAATCCAACAATGAATAATTAACCTGACCGCACTGATGGAACAGACTGAATCTTTACTCGGTAAAAGTTCTTATTAAACTATAAAACTGAACTTGTAAGACAACATGTAAGACAACTTACATGTGAAAGAGCCGCGGGGAAAATGCAGTAAATGAGATACTATCACATAAAAAGAAGGTCTGTACTGATTGGAGATTTATAAGTGGCCCATAAGACTTTTAACAGTGTAAGGTTGAGCTGTGTTTAATGATTGGCCATAAAGTTTGATACTGAAAGCTCCTGTGAGGACTTTTATTGTGGTCATGACATTAATATTGATGTGACAGGTTGACTATATATGTTCATTACATATGTAGTAATCTTTAATGTCTTAAACTGCCAGGTAGGTGTCAGGCGTGTCAGCTGTTCACACTCTACAAAGTCAAAATATTTCATGCTTGAGACATTCGAGAGTTAGAAAGATTTTTTTCCATTAAAAGTAATACTAACATACAGGACAATGCAAGTAAAAAGATTAAAGGCACTTTGTCTGTAGGGGGGCGCCAAATTTGACACAAGCTGGAAGTTCCTTACAGTAGCTTTAAAGGTCCTTTCATACATCACAAAGTAACGTCCAGAATTAGGCTATTAGGCTTTTTTGAGTTAAAACTCCTATAATAAGTTTTCAAATTATATTAATCATTTTTTTATGACGTCCAATAATGAACAAGACCGTAGGTGACCAGACTGATTATTGTTATATCCTCATTTTTAATGCCTCAGACCGGTGTGAGGGGGTAGGTGTTGGCCGAGCCGCTGAAGAAACAGCCCTGTTTATACAATAACCACAAAAGAAATTCGAAATTCATTGTAAATTTCACCCTTAAAAGTCAGAAAGTAGGGATTTGTTTGTTAAAAATCACAAATTAAACATGTGAAGAACAAGAAAGTAAAGGCCGCTTTGTCCACATAGGAGACGTTTAAAATGACTCAAACCAAAAGTTCCTAACAGGAGCTTTAGATTAAGGGTCACTTTGCTCTTTGGCTCTTATACATCTATTTAAACATATGTTTTGTAGAAGTGATCATTACACCACCAAAACTCACTACAGTATTCGGAAATGTTGTATGAAGTGTCAGATTTCAGTTTACCTACATGACTTTTTCCCATCAGCACGCTCTGATTACCGTCACTACAGCCTGGACGTTATCCATTAACAGTCAGCTGTGTCCACACAGGGATCAGGACCATGAGTTGAATGTTTAGAGGGTGAATCAGACCCGGTCGATTCTCCTCTGGCTCTGACGTCATGTGACAGTTTGCTCAGAAACACAGGACTTTGAATTCTTAAGATGGGAGGGAGAGAGATGAAAATCTTAATGAAGGTGGAGGAATACAGATACTATCTTTACTCTGGGAGAGGACTGCGCCCAAGTGGTTGGAAGAAGAAAATGCACTGTAGTGTATCAGGGGTCCCAGATCTTGTTGAGGATACAGGATGTAATCGATTGATTCAAAATAATCCAACGATAAAGATAGAAAACTGTGAATTTACATGATGCAAATCCTTAAAATAAAGCCACTTCGTTTTTTACGGGACAAAACAGGCAAATTTAAACAATTACAAACACTGAGATTAACAGATTATTTAGATTAATGGTAAAACTGTGTTGGTGCTGGTTGTGGCAGATAGGAGCTCACAGATGAGTCTGGCTCTGTTTGAGGTTTCTGCCTCTTACGGTGGATCCCAATAAAAATACAATCTAGAGTTTGCTGTTTCATGAAGTAATTTGTTACTTTTTTAATAGGAAATGATCGATTAAACCAAGGAATGCATCTAAAACATGTAACAGGATTAGTGTGGAATGGTGATGGGCACGGCAGTTCTTTTAGATGAACTGAATCACTAGAATCAGTTCACTAAAAAGATTCGTTCAAAAGATTTGTTCACCAAATCACTGAATCTTGTAGCGCTTAGCAGGAGAAGACTGTGACTCTGAACTCCTGAACTGATACAGACCTGAACGGTTCAGGATTCAGTTTAATTCAGAGCTTCTAGGACCGGGAGACGAGAGTGTTGTGGCTGTGTTGCTTTGGCAAAAAGTTGTTGTGGTGGCAATTTAGCAGTGAAAAAAAAAAAGGTATTTTTGTCCGAAAAATGATTCCAGAGAGTGTAGTTCAGAGAGTGATTCGTTCACCAAGTGTTTGAGGTGTCAGTGCATGTGGTCCCTCGTTTGCCGGCTGCTCGACTGGCAATGCTGTTTCTAAATTCAGCTCAACTGAAGTGAGAAACGAACGAACCACTTGAGGAAGTGATTTGGTTCAGTACCTTCATTTAAAAGATTCAGTTCTTTTGAATCGTTCATGAACAACACAACATTAGTGTGAAACAAAGGGTGATAACAGTTCAACAAAGGAACAGTCAGGCTGAACATTTTGAATCGTTGTTGAAGGTCCTGTGTGGAGATTTTATCTCATTTTGTCTTCTACAAAACGAGATAAAGATTACAAACCAAAGTGCCTCACAGGAACTTTAATCAAAAAGATGACCTGCATGTGTTTGTGTCCCTCTTTCTGACATTTGCAGCTTTTATTGAGGAAACCATCATTATTAAAACAGGACAATCAAAGTGCAATTCTGATTGTTTGATGTTCAAATGAATCATCAGGACAAACAGCTGATTAATCAAACTGATTTCAGCAAATCTTAGTCACGTTCAAAGAACATTTACTCTCATATCGACAGGATATCATTTTTTAATCTTTTGATTACCCGGCTGAGAACATGGAGAAGATAAGGATATTTATTTAGTCATCATCTGATGACTCACTGACTCACTACACAACATACTGTTCCATGTGTTATAATCATAGTACATATTCATAAAGTTGGTGCTTGGGCATTATAATCTCCATTTAAAGTGGATTTAAATGTTTATTTCCTTGTCTAGCTGTGTTTTTGTCAAATAAATTTCATATATCCACACACGGTGGCTTTCCTAACAGGAACTATATGTCGAGCTGGCGCAGTGTGAGCAGTATAATAAAGAAAATGAGCTTCTGTTTGATCAAATTAGTTTGCAAACAGAAGCTCCCTCATGTTGTGTAATATACGTTATGTGGAAAGAGCGCTGTGAGTAATTATTTCTTGATCATACAGCGTGTGACTGAACTTTATCACACCAAACAAGACAGGTGACCGGCGTATGACTCATTTTAATTTTAGCGCATTTTTTTTTCCTTTTTTTTTTCTTACAGCCCCCGCCGGTGTTGACATGTCATGTTTGAAGAGTTTTATTGAGGTTACAGTCTCATGACTCAAGTATTTTAATACTCGGCTTTTACGGCGCGGCTGTTGACAGAGTGTGGTTCTTTAAATGTAATTTGTGAGATGAGAAAGCGTGATGAGTGTGTCAGTGTGTGTGTGCTCGGACATGAATTATTAATGTTGTGGGAGAAAAATGTGTTCATACTGTCATATTGTGGGGATCTGCCTTCCTTTAAGGGGGTGAAATACAAGTATTGATTGTATGGGTCATTTAATATAAGAGTTTAAGTTCAGCGTCTACTTTCCTGGTTACCAAGGTGACCAGTCCCACCCATCTAGTTTATAATTGGTTGGCTGAAGCAGCTGGTCAAACAGTACAAGCTTACAGGTGAAGTTGCCAATCATCTCCCGCTCACACTCAAATAGAGTTTTATCAAGACAGACTGGTTTCACGTTATCCCCACCTACTGGTCTGACATGCTTATTATCTGTGTGTTTTTAACCATTTCTGAAGTAAGACATTTCTGACATGCCAAGACAAGGAGCTTACTTGGGCCAAAACTCATCTGGCCGGGATCCCCAAAATTAGGATTAACACTCTGCCTACCCCTATTCCCCAACATTATTGAGGGAAGAGAGGAGAGAGAATAGAGGTTAGAAAGAAAGAAAGAAAAAGCAGAGGCAAAGGCACTTGTCTGACTGGAGCTTACTCCTGCTGGCATAGGGTGTACGGTCTAGCTCCTCCCTCTTCCTCACTTCAGTTAGGAGACAGGTAGCTATGGAAATGGACTGCATCTGTGAGCAAAAGCAAGAACACTTTGGCTTTTTGTGTTTTTCTCCTGTCAATTCAGATTCAGAAATACTTTAATAATCCCCAGGGGGGAAACTGCTTTTTGCTACAGTAACTCCAGTGCAAGTTAAGTAAAAAGAGGAGATAAATAAGAGATAAAATAAGAAAAAAGTAAGTAAAAATAAAATGATAAATAGATAAAATAACTAAAAATAAGTTAAAAAAATAAATAAAACAATAAATAGATAAAATAAGTAAAAATAAAATGATAAATAGATAAAATAAGTAAAATAAGTGAAAATAAAATGATAAATAGATAAAAAAGTAAAAATGAAATGATAAATAGATAAAATAAGTAAAGAAATAAAACAATAAATAGATAAAATAAGTAACATAAGTAAAAATAAAATGATAAATAGATAAAACAAGTTTAAAAAAAACAATAAATAGATCAAATAAGTCAAATAAGTCAAAATAAAGAGATAGTACACAAGTATGTTCACTATATACAACACAGAATAGTAAAATAGTGAGTGTTTTTCAATGTCATTAAAAAATGTTGTTTAATGAAGTGTCTTTTATAACAACAACAACAACAACAATAATAATAAATATTGTTATTTTTATTATAATTATAATTATTTAGTGAGTTTTTTGTGTAAAATGACATTTTTTGATGACATAACACATTTTTGCCTCATACAGTTTCTGTTTTTTATGTGCCCTGAAATGTCTGTGTTGTGGACCTACAAGGCCAACGTAGTGGAATCCCTTTACCACAGTTTAAATAATTTGATTACAGTTAAATAAATAAATACCACCTTTTATACATAAAATTAAAGTGAGATATCTCCCAGCAGATGTGCAGCTGCAGTAACAGCGAGCTACCAGCAGAGGGCGGAAGAGTTCTGTATTTGTGATTGAAAACGGTACAAATTGAGGGCGCTTTGAGTCCTCCTTTTTTCCCCACATGAAACCTCCTCCACTCCTCTCTCAATCCTCCTCTCATACAATGTTCTCTCCTTTCTAATCTTCTTTTCTCCGGCCGGTTCTTCCTCCTCGGTGGTCGCCTCCTCTCGGATCAGCCTCTCTCCGGACGGATCTGTGTCTCCAGCTGTGTGGCTCCAGTCCCGTCGGCAGGGTCGGCCATGTTGTTGTGTGGGGGTTGATGTAAGTTTAGTAGTAGGAAGTGGAGAAGCGACAAAGGGTTGGGACACTTCAGGACCTCACTTTTCTCCCTTTCCTCTCTTTTTACCCCCCTCTTCATCACCTCTGTCATGCCTCCGCTGACCGTTTCTTCTTCTTCTTCTTCTTCTTCTCCTCTGACAACAATGAGCGTCTGCTCCGCCGCCTCCTCCGCCATCCTCCGAGCCTGCAACACTTGTGCTGCTTTGATTTAACTTTAGTCCTCCAAACCAAACCCTGCACACTTTGATGGATGAAGTGAGGATGAAGGAGCCTCGGTCCTGTTTGGAATAACTCTGATTTTTTTATTTCAATTCACGGATTGAAGAAGGAGGAGAAACCCCAGAAGGAGAAGAAGAAGAGGAGCGTGGATTTGTGAAGGTAAAAAACCCTCAAATGAAACGGGTCTTTGTCAAAGCTGGATTAAATGAGGATGGGCCGAAAAGCAGTGCTCGCCTGTCTGACCTGTCATCAACAAAGGAATGAAAGAGTACAGTGGTTTTATGAATTATTAGACTCCTGCTATTTCCTCTAAAAAACAGGGATAATGTGTTTTTCTCCATCACATTATGTCTAACAAGGTAGAAATATCAGTGAACACACAGCATGTGCTTCAATCCCACAGGAATATTAGTGCCAGCATATCAGATTGTAGGTTTTAAGTAGGACAAGGTCACCACATCACTGGTACTTAACAACAGTATGACATTAAAAGCAACTTAAACATCCTAATGTGGTCATTTTATATGCTTTAAGATCATTTAAAGGTTATATAAGGAAAAGAAAAGGTGTTGTGTCACTTGCTTGTGTTTATTCAAAGAGGGAAAAAAGTGCCACCTCATCATTTTCAAATATCTAACCCAGTTTTGTCAGTCATGCTGATTCAGATTGTTGTCAGACGGCTGTAGGGTTAAAGGGGCAAAAGAGAGGAGGAGGAGGAGGAGGAGTATGATGAAGGAGGAGGAGGAGGTTCAGGCTCTTTTAGTGATGCTGCCAAACTCTCTTGTGATAGTGACAGTTTCTCCCCAGACTTCCCCAGTTTGCTCTGTTTCTCTATTATTCTTCTACTTTTCCACTTCCACCCCGAGAATAAGTGATGGGATCTGTCCTCATGAACGTCCAGAATGATATACTCTATGTAAACTGACTGGAGAACATGCCCCATGCAACGAAATATTGAATGTCCCAGTCTGTTTGGTACGGTGGCCGAGAACCGCCACTGCTGCAAATAAAAAAAAAGTCACAACGGAAGTTACTGATGCAAAAAAAAAAAGAAACCAAAGCCCGCTGCAGATAAAAGAAAGAAGTGGTGCAGATAAAAAAGCCACAACGGAAGTTAACGACTTAAAAAAAAAAAGTGGCGATGGAAAAAAAAAAATTAACTGCGAAAATAAAAGGATAAAATTTTGCCGGGGACCAATAATGATGCTACTATGGTGTCATTTGGTTAGGCCATGTAGCGCCTGAGTCAATATGAAGTTGAACTGAAGTTAAAACTACACCGGTAGCGATATTTTTTTGTAGGACGGTAGGGGAAAGTCCCGCCTCCTTCGCCTCTGATTGGCTAGAAAAGCTGGAAACGTCATCACACGCTCAAGTCAAATCCAGGCTGTCGGCTCTGTTCATCGTACAGGACATTATTGCACTTCTAAGTCTCCTAACCCTAACCCTAACACTCATCCTAATCCTAACCTGACAGACGATGATGTTTCACAGCTATTAGGAATAACCAATCGGAGCCCAGCACTTCTAGCCAATCAGAGGCATCCTCCAGATCAACTTCATATCGACTCGGGCACTACAAAGCCTAACCAAATGACAGCAAAATTAAACAATAACGTTTCCACTAACTTCTTTGCTCGTTTTTGCCGTTGTCATCTGTACCTAGATCGTAAAACATCTGTGCATCATTATTATATCATTTTGTTTGCTTTATTTTTTTAATTTGCAGTAGTGGCGTAGTTTAGACGCTGGTGAACATTAGCTGATGTACTTTCAAGGGGAAAAAACACTTAATCGAAGATAAATGTTGATCAAATTCTGCTGAAACCGTCAAATATCATTACAGGTCTAAAGTCTGAACCCCACCAACAGATTAAAACTAAAAATTAAAAGTGAAAGTCTCTCACTCGGGTGTAACATCTGGTGAGGATGTTATGTTCATTTACATAACTGTTAGAAACACAGGATTGTCATTTTAAATTGACAGTAATTCTTTTATATAATACCCAAACAGCTGAATAAGGTCAGTCAACACAGTATGATATTTAATCCATGTGGAGCATTTGGTTGTTTTGTAAAAGCCATGTCACAAATTCAGTTTTACTCACAGGCAGTTAAAACCATCTTTTGGTTTCTGTAGAGGTGAAGTCAGGCCATTTTAATCATGCTGACCTGACTTATCCTTCGGTCAACTTTAACACAAGCAAAGAGGTGAAGAGTCGCCTGTCGGACCATTCAGTCAAATCCAGTATAACTCTAATTCAGGGCTTGACACTAACTTTTTTACAAGGGGCACATGTGCTCCTAAGTTGAAAAAGTAAGGAGCACAGAAAGAACTTTAGGGGAACAATGAAAATTGATCAAATACTATGTGTCTTATTGGTCGACACAAGTACTATAACTTGAAATCAATTTTAGGTCAATTGGTCTATCCTCAACCGGCAATTTATTGATGGTCCCTTATTCAACATCTGATGTTGACAGCGAGAGTGCCGAATAGATATAACCACGCTGCTGTTGCTATTCCTGGTTTTGGAGAGTGAGAAGACAGCGGTAGATCCTCAGTGAATGTCGTCAGATATCCAACCTTAAACCAACTTTGCCGTGGTATTTACATGAAAAAACATAAGTTGCCTCGGCTGATTTTTTTTGTGGACATGTGCCCCTTATCACATTTTACAGTTCGCACACATCTATTTTTAGTCGCAAATGCGAGATGATGCGAAATGGTCGTACTGTCGAGTCCTGTCTTATTTCTCTTTTTATTAGTAGATTTGTTTAAAAATCTTCATCAGTTTGTACAAAGTTTACAAATAATGTGCCACACTCCCTTAACTGTCTATCTAGTAAGGTTTAAACTTGTTTTGTTTCGCTTTAGAATTGGTATTTTAACATTGGACTTAATGGGGATTGACTCCCTTTTGGAGCAGGCCTCAAGTGGACATTCGAGGAACTGCAGGTTTTCTAACATACCTGCTTTTGCTGCTTATTTTTAGCCTCAGAAAAGAATGTGGCGCTGACCCGATTCTCCTAAAACCAAGTACTGACATTTTTAGTGTTTGAAATAAAAGAAGCTCTACTTTATTTGAGAACCTTTGAGCGAGGCGTCAGCTGTACGAACACTGCTTTCGCTAAGCGGTATAACATTCTCAGCAACAACTGTCTCACCTGCCCAACCATCACAACTCAGTGTTTGCTAGATTCACCTTCAAGTAAGACAGCAGTATCTGATAAAACATATGCAAAACAGACGATGGGAGAAGTCTGCTTTGATCCTTTTTTCCCCCAGCCTCTTAAAACTTTCCAGCTTGGAGTGCAAATCCTTTGAATAAAGTGTTTTTTACGCTTACATTAAATATTCATCACCAGATTACCTACAAATACTCACAGACACCATGGACTGATCTTTTTCCAAAATGTGGGGAAATATATCTCAAATGTTAGATCTGAAACGTCTTTTTTTTAAAGCAAACGGATAACGATTTTCTTCCTATCAGACAACATGCGATAAGTAGTTTGTGCGTGTATGAAAATGAATCACATTCTTGTGAGTTTCTGCTCCTTAATCCAGACTATCACATGGCATTCACAGTTACCCTGTTGACAGTTTAAACAAGCGGCCCTGTTGTGTCAGATGATAGTTGAAACACTCGGATTCCCAAAATAGCTCACACTTATCCACGACTCAGGTGCCAGCATTCAGGTATTCCCATGAGACCTGTTATCCCAGAAAATATCTGATGTCTGTTCTCTGGCAGCTCGATACCTCACTCAGACTCCAAACAAAGCTTTTTATACCAGGACTTGAAAAGACTGAGACTGATATATTTCCAAGGAGAACAGGCGAGCACACTCCAGTCCCTCCATTCATTTCGCCTGAATTTAGTATTCCTCAAATATACCCCCTTTACGAATTGTTTCATGCCCTCTAACTGTTGTAAGCCTCTGGATCACGTTACTGTGAGCATGCCTGCAACAGAACTCTACACCCAGCACAGTGTAAATCTCATTACGAACCATTTATTGATGTTACGCTCAACGCTCTCTGGCTTCACATCCGTAACGTCACGTGACATTTCTCCAGACCCGCTTTTAACTCTTTGGCATCAGAGGAATGTGGTAGATGTTGGGTAGGCAGCATCTGTTGCTGATCTGAAGCCTATTAAAGCTCCAGAGATCCCCCCTCGTCTGCAGCCGCATCGTCAGCTGCTAACAGCTGCCCGGCCCAGCAGATCAAAACCTCAAAGTGTTTCCAGAAGTGAGATGCTGAAGCACCAAAATGTGTTTAAAGTTATGTATAATTTATGTTATGCAAATACAAAAACTCTGGGGGCTTAAGGTACCCAAAGCAGGTCTGTGTTGTACCTGACAGAACAGAGCTTTGATGGTGAAAGGGGGGCATTAAAGTTTTTATACTGCAGCCAACGCAGAGAGTCTAACGCAGGAGGAATACGTCTGTTTCCCTGGTCCTTTCCGCTTCATGTGTTACAGGATTTATAGGCTTATTCAATCAACCTGATTAGACTGAAATGCATGTACCCAGTCCAGAAGTTGTAAATGCACAGACTTCTTTTCTGAGATAAAGTAAAATGTGCCTGACTTTTGCTATTTCTACATTTTCAAAGCCTTTTACTGCCAGTGAGTCCTAGGGATCAGGTGAGTTGATTAAAAACATGATATATTGATGATGTGTTTGACCCTGGGTTCAAAGGAAGACAAAATATTTCACTAGAAAGTACAATTTAAGGAAGATCAGCAAAATTACAAGATCCAGACGGGGTGCCAAAATTTAGACAAAGCAAAGTTTGACATGGAAGCTCTAAATAGTTCAGTCTGGTTCTATTGAGAAGTATAATTGAGTATCATCTGCATAGCAGTCAAAAGTCAAGGTTGTTTCTCCATATTTGTTGAAATATTTCTGCAAGAGTCATCATGTTTGGTGCTAATTTGCAAATATTAGTGAACTCGAGTTCCTGGGGTCTTGTTTGAGGATGCCTTACAGGCAATTTCCACCACATCCGGAACAGCTACGAAAAGGCAGTATCCGCCGATCGTAGCTGATCGTAACCATTCAAGTCAATGTGTCAACTTCCACTGGATGCGGTGGAAATCCCGGGTTACAATGTCACATGACTGAAAATACACAAACAGAGTTAGCTAAACTAAACATAACATAGGGTGACTATACGTCGTATTTTATCCAGACAATTCCTCTTTTTGGGGGGCTGTCCAGCCTTTTCCAGCAGAGTTTATAAAATCCTCTAAATGGGTTTTGTATGGAATTTCCGAGTTTGTGTCACATGGACTTACTGAGTTAGAAGCACATAAGTCACTCGAACCAACACAAAAAATTCTCAAAATTAACTTTCTGTAACTCTGTGACTCTGCCCCCGCGAAGTCGTGTCCGCATTCAAACATGTTTGGGGATTCAGAATATGGTCACCCTACATAAGAGCTTTTTTCACTACTAAAACTCCTGTGAGGGACATTAGGACTTATTTATTTGCTGATTTTGTCCTGTAGATGAAATTTTTTCCCCATTTAACATCTTATCATTCTTTCTGTCGACATTTATTCACATCACAGACTAAACCAATCCAAACAGTTGACCAAAAAAGAGGCTTTCAGTCAACCACTCCATCCAGTTTTTGCATGTTTACCTTGAAAATTACATACATGATATGACTTTGTTTCTGACCATGAGGCCTAAATAACACTGGACTTTCAGCTCACAAAACGAAGCGTTGTCTCTGCTGCCTTAAAAAACTCTGAGCCACAGTTACTCTATGTACCCAAACATCCAGATATAAGCGGGTGTCTGTGAGAAAAAAAATGTGCTTTTATCAGCATTTTGTGAAGCCTGTGTGGAATTCTCACACTATGGCCCAAATGGGGGGGAAGAAAGCGTGGGCAGGTCGTTGATAAGAAGAGTCGAGGTTGGCGTTATCTCTGTAACAGAAGAAAATGTAAAGTTTTCATTTCATAGCTTTAGGTTTAAAAAGCTCAAATAAATGTTTTTCTTCCACAGCTGGAGATGGAAGCTGATTCCTGATCTCTGATTCCTGCAGATGTCTGTTTTAGGTTGAGCGTGCGGAGCTCCTTGAAAGCTCTTAGTATGGAAACTCTGTGTGTTTTTGGTGGAAACAAGCAGGGAAAAGAGGGGTCAAGGGTCACATGGATCCTCAGATGTTAGAGGAGTTAGTCCCTTAAGGGAACATCCGGAGCGCTCTCAAACATCAACTAACACATGCAGTCTTTGTTTGCTGTGAAAGTCCTGTTTTACTTTGGGATTTTCATATAAGAAGGGAGTTCTTTTGCTAAGACATAATCTGGCATAACACACAGAAATGGCAACTCCAGGAATGACTTCTATTTGACTGAAAGAGAGAAGGAACAACAGGGATACCGGAAAACATGAAGAGGGTCAGTCAGACAAAGTTTGGAGAAGTCAAGGAATCTGAACTTCTTGGTTGGATTTGTGAAAGAACGTGTTTGGATGAGCCTGATAGTTCAGTAAGTCAAGTTAGGTAAAAAATAAATAAATAAAAAACACTGTTAAGATCATTAAGTTTGTGACTCAGTGTTGTCGACCTTTTCGTGTACAGACACACTCAACGTTAATGTATCAAAACAATATTCCCATCCCTGTAAATGCATAACAGCGAGTGGGTTGTCCTTCCCCTTTTCTTCTATTTCCTCAATTTAACTGATTGTATTGTTTTATTTTAGAAATTTCCCGAAAAGTTCTAACAATATTGTTATTGTGAGAATATCTGTGAGGGGAAAATCTAATTCTGTGACAGTCTGAAAACGAATTGGAAAAATTGAGTAACTCTATTTGTTATGAATGAAATAAACTGCCAGTTTTTGAGTTTCCCAAACCCTGTCAGCTCAGGGTTTGGGGGTTTATATTGTGATATGAATTCTTCTAAATGCTGATATAAAATCATGACACTATATTTCTAGTTTAAGGATAATAATGACCTGTTTCCAATCCAATCCAATCCGCTTTATTTATATGGCACATTTTAAAAAACATTCATGTCTACCAAAGTGCTGCACAATAAAACTAAAAGAACAGACAATGCTGAAAACATCAAGATGAAATAAATAAAAGCAGGTAAAAAACATTCAAATAAAATAAATGAAATAAAAACACAAAAGCATAAAAGTGATAAAAGGACCATAAAAAGACATTAAAGGACAGAGATCACACTACTCTCATGCGGAGCTAAAAGCCAAGGAATAAGAATGAGTTTTAAGATGTGATTTAAAAGTAGAAAGAGTGGGGGATGTTTTAATCTCGAGTGGCAATTTGTTCCATAATTTGGGAGCCACGGCAGAGAAAGCTCAGTCGCCAGAGGTTTTTAAACAAGTTTTTGGTACCACGAGTCGGAGCTGATCAGCAGACCTCAAGGAACGTGTAGGGGTGTAAACATTTAGGTCAGTTAACCTGTTTCAAGGTTCCCTGTCCTGCTCTCCTTGAATTTACTCCAGTGAACCCGCTGTATTGGTTATTTTGTTTCAGGCAAAACCTAACAATGATCTGCAATGATGTATTTTTAGGTGTTTTTTAAGCAAATAGTTCTTGGTTCTTTTTTTTTAGTATTTCTTAGAAAGAGAACACTGAACAAGTGTTGAACTCAGAGGAAAGAAGCTCATCCTTGTTTTAAAATCATACAGCCATGGCGACGGGGAAAAAAAAAAATTCCTCTGCCTTCAGCAGATTATGTGAAACTGTCTGCTCCAAATCACACTGCTTTGATTAAACCTGAAAGCAAAATCGAGCTCACTTTGCCCTCATTTTCTGTCTCAATCTGTCAGATGGAGAAGCGCTTCAACAATAGCACCACGCCTCTTCTATCAGATAGAGGAAGTCGCCTCTGTTTATACACGTTTGTTTGTTTTGTGTTTATATGATAACCCTCCTCGTTTAAACTCTTCACCTTCCTCTCTTATTGTCTCCATGTGGCTCAAACTGGTGCAACTGGAAAGCCTCTTGTGTTTGCGTGCGATGCGCTGTTGTAGGTCATGCTATCATCCTGAGGGCAGTGGGATGTTGTCAGCAATAAGAATTAGTTTCTATTATTAGCAGTGCAGCAGATTTTCCTCGTGGCCTCATGGCTCTGGTGCTCATGAATGATCTTGTGTTGAACTGAACAGACTTTGATGTGAAAATCAGGGAGGTTTGACGTTTAAGATCCCCCCACTCCCACACACACACACACAGCTGAGAACAGACTCCTCGCTCTTTAAATGCCTCTCAAGACGCATGATTTTTGGTGTTTGATTTTTCACCCCATTCTCCATCTTGGTATTGGTGCTAGAAGCTTAAATACACCAATAAGGATCACACAAACGCACCGAGAAGGGTGGCCTTTAAACAAATTGTAAACTCCATTAATCTTCATCACTATGCAGATGATACCCAGCTGTGCTTATCTGATAATCAAGATGAAATCAAGGAGTTTGCTCAACTCAAAGTGTGCCTTAAGGGCGTAAAGACTTCACAGTCTTGCAGTTTTATGTTGTATAACTCTCTGACAGATCTATTATGATCCAAACACTCAAGAGGATATAATGGCATCAGCTCGACATCCTGCACCAGGAGTTACATTTTATCAGGATATGTTCATTTCATCTTCTAAATCTGACAGATTTTAAGAGCCGTCTATTTTTGGTGAGGTACAGCCAGTCTCAGTCAGAACAATGCAGGAAAAATAGTCATTCACTATTTGTTTAAGTGCATTTGTTTGATTTTTTTCAGCTCCATAATATCAGGCTGCTCTGACAAGGGTTGAAGATGAGATGACCCTCAGTCCATCCACCCCTCTGTCTCTGGCGATCTCTTGCTCTGTTTTAGATGTCTAGTCTGTGAAAGGAGGCGTAAAGCAAACGAATTGACCCTCACAGGTAGATTTGGTGCTTTTGGTCTCTCCGTTTTTTTGTTTGCTGTCAATATCCTCTTAGCGCAAATCCTCCATCCGCATAATCCTGAGCTGGCACCGTCCGCCGGGTTGCCCCCTCCCTCACTTAACCAACTTGCTCCTCTTGACTCTAAACTGGATCACTTTTTATGCCCTCAGAACCACTTTTATCTGAAACAGACTTTTTGTTGTTTGTCTTATCAGCCCAGGTTGGATTGGAAATGATTTGAATGTGGAAATATATAAGAGAAGATTTCATTTCACCCATGTGGAGTTCTGCAGATCTAGGTCAGCTCTTCGTAAATATGGTGGATCATATTTCCCATGTTCTTTCCTCATACATACCAGGGAACATATGTGTATGTGAAACCTGCTGACAGATGAGCTATAATGCTCTTCTCTCTCTCCTGGTAATGACTGTGTCTTAGTAACACAGCCCACTCTCAGAATGGGAAGAAGAAATACGAACGTGAGCTAAAAAAGGACGATTGATCAGAGTTACAGAACGATGAGTGGCAGGTGGCTGAGTTACAGAGTAGCTGCAGCGTTAAAACCAGCATTTGGAGCCCACAATAACAAAATATTGCTCATTTGTTTGACATGGTGCTGTAGAAATTATGCCAATCACCAAGGGGGACAAAGTGTAGTCAGAAAATTTAGTCTTGGTAGGAAGTAAGTTGGGCTGGGTGATAAAACAATAACGATATGTATTGAAAATTAATTTCCCTCAATATCAATATAAAACACGGTCAATATGCTTTTTGATAGTCGGCATTCCACCATGTTTAAGTAGACTATACAAAAAGCCAATGAAAAGGGGAGTTGCTCCATGCTGAACCAATTATGTGCTGAATTAGAACCAAGTAGCAAACAACTGCGTAGTTGTAGGCTGCAACCATGGCACTTTAACACCCGAAGTCAGTGAGAAAAGAAGAAAACGAGTGCTACCCCCGGCAGAAATGCAGATGAAGGCTCAACAGATGACGACATTGTCAACAATACTGGCGCGAAAACATCGGTGGTGTGGAGGTATTTTGTTTTTTTTTTTAAGGCGGACATGAAGCAGAGTAATGTACACTGCAAATCATGTCAAGGACATGTTCTCTCAAAGTCGGGGAATACCTCAAATCTTTTTCACCACCTGAAGCAGTGCCGTGCGGCAGAGCACGCACAATGCAAAAGGTTACAAACCCCAAGTGGAGCAAGGAGCCCATGGCGTCTGTGCACCCGAAACAGCCGACCATTCAGTCCGCTTTCTCTAACGCAACACCTCACGACAAAACGTCCAAGGGACACAAAGACCTCACAGATGCAGTTGCTTATTGTATTGCAAAAGACATGCTACCAAAAAACACTTCTCAATTTCATTCAAGAGTAACAGAGAACATTTAAGATTGACAAGTGATTTTTTTTAAATATCTTGACATTATATCGATATCGACTGATATGAGAAAAATATATTGTGATAAACTTTTCCCATATCGCCCAGCCCCAGAAGTAAGGGGAGAAAAAGGAAGAATTGAATGCAGTAAGAGTTGGACATGAGCCTGGACGTTGCAGTTCGAGTTGGCACTCTTACCTCTGAAGAATTAAACTATTGATTTTCTGCACCAGCTGTGCTCTACCAATTTGAAAGACTTTTTTGGCACCCCCAAACTGCTAATTTTCTTTTTTTTTTCACTTGGCTCAGTGTTTGAGCAGTTTTGATCATTTTGAAAGGGTGATGTCACTTCTTTAAAACAGCTGATGCCTCATTTTTTTTCGCAGAGGAAAAACATCCCCGCTCTTCAGTGCAAATATTTCTGGGACACCATCCAGTGTTTTACAGCGTGGTGAGTTCACTGCTGAGCCAACGGGCCAGACTCTTGTCTGCCTGATGAGGAAACACAAGCCCACCATAGTTGACTGAGCCGCTGAGTGAAGCCTTTTGCTTTCCATGACACTGGTCTGATTGTAGAGGTTAAGGAAAAGGTTGGAAAAAGTCTGTTTTCAAGGCCAACATTCCCAGCATGTTGGCTCCAGATCTAACATCTGAGAATAGATTTATTGGGATAATCCTCTGAAGACGTTTGTAAGAAGTCTGTTTCAGTTCGACACACGTCTTCAGAAAACTGACCACTCATAAAGGGGATCTGTGGAGGACGACCAGCGCTCGGCACGAGCTGTAATTTAAATGGCTGCACGTTTTTTTTATTTGAGTAAAGTGTTCTGACTCTTTGGAAGCTTTCTGTGGTTGTCCCCATTTGGTTGATTTCCTTGGCAGTTCAGCTGGAGAACTCGATGAACTCTCGATCTCGCCCCTCCTTCTTCGATGAGGAAAAATCCCTCCCACCTCTTGGAATCAAGGCCATGGTTCAGAATCAGTGAAAAGGTGCATTACAGCACCAGCGGATCCTCTTCAGTTTTAGTGATGCATGATTGTGGCCTCTGTCTCTGCTGTCACCAGCTGAGTCGCAGTAGCATGTGTTGTTCACTCAATCTGCTTTTAAACTCCATATTTTGAATTGAATCTCCTATTCCACCTCGATCCTTCATTGTTTTACTATCTTGTCATGTGTCAGCGCCAATTAAACAAGTCCAAGTCCCCCGGCAGCTGTTGTTCTTGGCGAGTTGAAAAGTTCTGATCTCCCTGAGCTCAGACGTCTTTACGAGCGTGTCTGATTGTCTCCACATTTTCCGGGCCTTCACCTCACCGAAGAATGCCTCAGTGTGACTCTGTCCAAATTGTGTTAGGTGGAGGAATGACAACCACGCAGATGGACACACACTGATGTTTAAGTTTTGTAGCGCAGTCAGGAGTCATGGATGAATTATGGCACAACAGGAACCGGAGTTTGCAGGCCGTTAAACAAACCAAAACAAGAGGCCTAAAAGGAGAAATACTGGAGTAAAGGCTTTTTGTGCACATTTTAGTGTTTGTCATTGATTTGAGTTTGTAGGCACACTCTGGTTGGTGGTTGCTGTCTTGAGTATCTTTGTGGTTGTTTCAAACCTTTTTTATTGCTGCTTTGATCCCATTTGTTGCTGTTTTGAGTATCTTTGTGGTTGTTTCAAATGTCTTTGTCGTTGTTTTTAGCCTTTCTGTGGCTGTTTGAGTATCTTTATGGTTGTTTTTTAGCCTCTCTGTTGCTGTTTGCATATCTTTGTGGTTGTTTTGAGCCACTGTGATTGCTTTATTACTGATCATTGTATCTTTTTGTATACATTTTGCCTATGTGGTCATCGAGTGTCTTTCTGATAGTAAACACTGTTGTTTTCAGTCTCTTTGTTGCTGTTTTGAGTGTTTTTACAGCAATTTTGTGTCTTTTCTTGTGTGGCCATTTTGCATCCCTACTGTTGTTTGTTTATTTTTTAGAGTCTTATTGGTTGTTCTGAGTCTTTCTGGATTTTTTTCATCAAAATGTATTCATTTATTTTTAGTCAAACTTTGTCTCTTTGTTGTTATATGTACCTTTGTGGTTTTTCTGTTTGTGGTCATTTTCTCTGTATCTATGGGGTTAAGTTTTGTCTTTGTTGAAGTTGTACTAAGTTCTGTCATTTTTGTCCCTTTGCAATCATGTAACCTCAGTTTGAAATCTCTTAGTATATTTCTATCATGTGTTTTTACTCTGTGTTTTATCTGGTGGAGTTTCAAGTAAGAATATTGCTGTATCTGACGGACTGATGTAGTAATTTCTCAATAAGGGGAGGGCCCTGAAAATAGATGTTTGAATCTCCACAACGCACTGATGTTGCATAAAACACTTCTTATTCTCCATTTCATTCATTTTTATCTGTTTTTTGTAGGCAAACATTAGATGATCTCTTTTAGGGACAACAATGGCATGCAACAGATTACAACAGTAAAAGCAGATAATCACTATTTTATCCCTCTGTTTTGTACTTGTCTAAATTACCACACGCATGCATGGGTTAATCTTAATGTTTGACTCCTGAGTGATTCAAAGCGGATTTAAAAATTTGCCCATATGTCCCTTTTTTCATGGCTTATACTCTTAGCCTTTAAAACAACAACAAAATGGCTCATATGTCAATACCAGGTCATTAAATTTCTGTTTCATAACACATGTTGCTACAGGCCCTATGTTGCAACTGTAATCCCGCTCCTCCCTTGGCCCTTCGTTTTATTAACATATCGTTAAGAGACCAAAGAATTTGCTCCAGTTTCCAGTAAACTGATGGCTCTGTGTTGTGTCCGTCCAGCAGGGCGAGACGATGGGCTGCATAAAGAGCAAAGAGGACAAAGGCACCGCGATGAAGTATCGGCAAGAGAATTCCGCTGGATCGGACCCTAACACCACCGCCGCCACACCTCACATCGGTCACTACGGGCCGGACCCCACCCAGCTGCAGCAGAATCAACCTCCCTCGTCCACATCGAGCTCCGGGGCTGCGAACTTCAATCACACCCTCACGCCGTTCGGGGGATCCTCGTCTGCTATGACTCCCTTTGGAGGGGCGTCGTCCTCCTTCACCGGGCCGGTGTCCAACTCCTTCTCTGGTGCTGTCTCCAGTGAGTACAGTTGAATCAGAGGATAATATTACAACGTTGTTAACTGTCTTCACTTCATATTCTGAATACACCTTGCAGCCATTTTGCCCTTTCCATGACTCTTATTATTAATTCATCCTGAAAAGTTGTTTTATCTATTATGAATATTTTTCCCTAAAAGTATTTTCATGATGCGCTTCTCCATTCTGTCCTCCCTTTGAATAACCCACCATGGTTTTAGACCCACTACCTAGATGGCTATTGGTACCAAAATTAGCAGCTCTTTCCTTGGCGTCATTTGGATGCACCACTTTTACTCTGTCTCTATTTTTGTAATACAATAAATCAAAAAAAAGGAAAAAAACACTGATCCTATTATCTGTTACTATGCTTACCCAACATGTTGCTGTCACATCCAACTATATTTTCTTTATTCGACTCAACACAGACCTTACTATCAGCTGTTATCATCCCCCGAGTGTCCAAGCAGCCAACAGCTTTCCCCAGAGAGCTAAAATACGGGATTGTTTGGGTGGGATTTATGTTGTAATCCTCCTCCATGTTGGATTATCTGCTCCCAGGAGGAGGAGAAGGTGGCACCTAGCATGGTGTTTGTTTTCTGCTGGAGATAATGGGATTACTGTTGTCGGTGGTTGGTATATGAATCTCATCTGCCTGCAGTGTGGTCGCTCAGTAGGTAGACTGTTTTCAGTGATTGTTGGAGGGATGAGCTCAGTGATGATGAACTTTGTTTTATATTGTATATGTAAGGACATTTTTCTGATGATGCAGTAGACTCCAAAACAGCAGGGGGCAGTAATGCACTTAAATCCTGGTTTAAAAAGGGGAATTTGCAGGATTACTTTAAACAGAACCCAATGATATCATAATAACGATGAAAACCATGTACTGCATCACTATGTCGGATTAACTGGAAAATACAGAATGAACAAGTGCAGATCATTAGTTGTAGGTAGTTACAGTATATAGTTGGCTATATTGTTGTGATATTTTCAAATTAAAGTTTAGATATTTTTTGCAAGTGATCATTTTATCGCACCAATCAGATTAACCAAATCAAAAGTGCATATTATGAACTTTTATCAAGTTTTATTTTAGTGGTCCTGTTAGGAACTTTTGGCTCATGTTGATTTCTGGCAAAATAATCTCTTCCTGCTGACCCCTGACGGTCAAATGAATCATTTATTATGAATATCTTATCTGGAAATCATAAAAACAAATGTTTCAAAGACATTTTTTACAAGTTTATGAGGTATTTCATTGTCACACGTGGGTCCGTTTTCTGTGTCCAGGTGGTGTTACATTCTTCGTGGCCTTGTACGACTATGAAGCTCGAACATCTGATGATCTTTCGTTCAAAAAAGGAGACCGCTTCCAGATCATCAACAATACGTAAGAATCCTCTTTTTTAGTCTAAAAACCAGTTATCGAAGACCTGTTTTCTTTCATGTTTTAATTCTAAGTGCATTTGCTGCTTGTGTTATCTGGATTCATAAAGGATTTTGATTTCATTTTCGTCCACATGCTGGATGTCAGATTTCTTTTATTTTTCATGTGCGGTATAAATGTCGCCTGAGGTTACAGCATTGTTATGTTAAGTAGGTTGGTTTCATTCAAATGTCATTATGACAGTGTTTCTTAGTTATGCCTCACAATTGAAAAACGGCTCAAATGTTTTTTCCAAATACAGAAGAAAATGACATAAAAAGAGGAAAATGCCTCATGTGGCAGGAGAAAAGATGAAGGCAGTTATTCACTATTGTTAACCTGTCTTCACTAGAATATCAATCATAGCAGGTTGTATTAATTCCAGTCCTTTAATGCCTGTGATATGTAGCCAATGAGTTATTTGTTTGATCATTCTTGTGTCTCGCTCCCCTGCAGAGAAGGAGACTGGTGGGAGGCTCGCTCCATCAACACGGGGAGGAAAGGCTACATCCCGAGCAATTACGTGGCCCCTGCTGACTCCATCCAGGCCGAAGAGTAAGCTTTTGTCGCTGCTTGTTGTTCCTGTCTCACTCCATCCATTGATTCTAACCCGATCGTGCAACTAGCATGAAAAGAAAATTTATGTTGTTTTTTGTGTTTCTTTCTTCTTGGTAGATGGTACTTTGGAAAAATGGGACGCAAAGACGCTGAGAGGCTGTTGCTGAATCCAGGGAACCATCGAGGAACTTTCCTGGTGCGAGAAAGTGAAACTACGAAAGGTGATGATCACTTCAGAGAGTACCATCAAGTCAAAAAGGGGTCTTAAAATTCCAATGTTTGGAGGATTAAATAAAGTTTCTTTCCTTGTTTACTCTAGGTGCTTACTCTCTCTCCATACGAGACTGGGATGACACCAAAGGAGACAATGTGAAACACTACAAGATCCGCAAGCTGGACAGCGGAGGGTACTACATCACCACCAGAGCGCAGTTTGAGACGTTACAGAAGCTGGTCAAACACTACACAGGTATGTGCGACTCTCTCTCTCTCTTTCTGAGCTCAGTTATCATCCATTATGTCCTTCATCACACCAGAAAAATAAGTCTTCGTCACACCTTCTACTCTGTTGCTGCATTCACGTGCTCCTCGGACGGCTCCAGTTTCCGAGTTGAGGCGTCGTTCTTCTGACCTTGGTGTGTTCATTTGCTTTCAGTTCTGTTTCATCGTTACCAGAAAAAGTTAGATAATGAGTTAAATAAACTCTAAAATATTGCTTTAGCTCATCTACTTGTTATCAAGAGTTACCATACTTGTGTTATTAAAGAGCTTTTCTAAAACCAAACAGTTACATCATATTTCAAACTATATTAGAGCAAAAAGTTGATGTGCAGTCTGTGAGTTCATTAAAAGTCTCTCAACATTAACAAAATATCATCTGCCCGCCATGTTGATGATGAACATGACGTCAAGTTGGTAAGTTGGGCACCGATGTCTCACCTGAGTTTCTGAGTTGTTGTTCTGACTCCAGCAGGCGTTCACGGGCAACTCAGAAACTCATTTCTCCAACGTGTCCGAATTCACCTGAATGCAGCATGTGCCACTGTGCAGTTTCATGTGCCACCTGCAGCTCACTGTACCGATGAAACTCCTGTAATGTTGATCATTTTCCTCTGACCTCTCAATACGGATGGGACGCTTGAATTCTGTTATCCTGCTGTGGCCGGGTTCATAGACAGAATTTAGTTATTTAACAGCTAGCTAACAGGCGCTATCTTATACAACTTTTGTTTTTGTTGTTAATAATGGAAGTTAGGTAATTTAAAGGGATATTCCGGTGTAAATTTAATTCAGGGTCAAACACACTGTAATACCGAGTTAGACACCCCCTCGAGAGATTAATGTTGCCGACTGCTTGCTTCTCTAGTTATACCAACTTTAGGAACGACCGCACGATAGCAATACACAGCGGTCTACATCTCCACGCGCACACCTTAACCAAAACGCCACTCTATAGCCACAAATAATGCTCAGAACAGCACCTAACTTCATCAACAGTACATATAGGGTAATTAGGTGCTGTTCTGAGCATTATTTGTGGCTATAGAGTGGCGTTTTGGTTGAGGTTTGTTTATGGCTCCTCAGACTGCTGTGTATTGCTATTGTGCGGTCGTTACTAAAGTTGATTTAACTGAAGAAGCAAGCTGTCGGCAACATTCATCTCTTTAGGGGATGTCTAACTCAGTGTTGCGTGTTTGACCCTAAATTAATTTTATGCTGTATAATGACACATGTCTACAGGTTTTCACTCTCTTTTCTGGTTCTGATTTATCAAATAGTGACAAAATGATATAAATTTGATTCATTTCTTTCATTTGAAACCTGGAACACAGCAGTGCAACGTTACAATAACAGCATTTAAACTCCCCAACCTTAGTGTGACAGCAGAGGGAAATGGCTGCTGAGTAAATGTGATGAGTAGTTCTCAGAGTGTTACCAAGGGAGATGAAATGCATTTAGTTTTTATGAACAATTGATGCAGCAGTCATGATCCATGTCTTTTGCCTGAGGAGGACTCGAGGACTAAATCTCTGTCATTCCACTTGCTTTCAGTCTGACTCTGCAGAGGCTTTCAGCGCGTTTAAAAAGCCACTTCATCTCATTTATATTTCATCACAGTTGGTATAAGAGTTTGATTTCATCCACATCAAATGGAATGAATTGATGCATGAAGCAGACTGGCTCTCAAACGCTGTATCCTGCTGGTTCAAAGAAACGTGGCTGCGTGAGTCTGGCACCGCTGGGTGTAATGTAGCGTTTTGATCTGCGTGTCTTGCTTTATCACAGAGCACGCCGACGGGCTCTGCCACCGGCTGACCACGGTCTGTCCCACAGTCAAGCCTCAGACCCAAGGGCTGGCCAAAGACGCTTGGGAGATTCCTCGAGAGTCATTGCGGCTGGAGCTGAAGCTGGGTCAGGGCTGCTTCGGAGAGGTCTGGATGGGTAAGGCGAAGACTTTTTTTTTTTCCCTGGTACCGAGCATCTGTTTATTATTTGATTGTAATTATCCTGATTTGAACATAAGCAAAAGATCTGCGCAGATTTATAGAGGCAATATGATGTTGTTTGCATAAACCGAACACACACACAAACACTCTGAAGTCTGTGTTTATTGTGTCTGTTTTTGTCCAAACTGGGGAATTATCCACTTCCTGCAGTCGCTTCCTCTGTTTGTTGTAAATCTCCAGAGATGGTCAAAAATGATTTGTTGCCTTCTTAACTGCGAACTCATATCCGCTCATCCTTTCTGCCAGGAGTGCATGCATGACGGCACATGTCTGAGCAATTACAAGCCTTAATTAATGATATTGTTCTGCTCACACCCCATTAACAACACTGATTACCTTTGGGGGGGCCTGTGGGTTTTTTTCTACCCTCGTTTTTATCTATGCAGGCACATGGAACGGCACAACAAAGGTGGCTATTAAGACGCTGAAACCAGGCACTATGTCGCCTGAGGCCTTCCTCCAAGAGGCTCAGATTATGAAGAAGCTGAGACACGACAAGCTGGTGCCTCTGTACGCCGTCGTGTCCGAGGAGCCGATTTATATCGTCACAGAGTACATGGCCAAAGGTACGCACACTCAAACCTGAATCCTATCCTCTAAACTGGCATATTTAATTAGGAAATACACTAAATTTCTAAGAACTTCCAGCCTTGCAGGATAATAAGACTCAGCTGTTTCCTGTCACTCTCATGAGGTCTCTTTAAAAAAAAAAGACGCACAACAACAACAACAGGCTTTCAGACTCAGAAGTGGGCGCTGCTTTAGTGTCTCGAGCACTGCAGTCACATCAAATCCATGCATGATGATTCCCTCAAAGGGAAAAATGTAAATTTTATGGATGTTTTAATTAACATACAGATGTACAGATTGAAGGTTGTTGAAAATCCCCTGTGGTCGCCTGAGGTCTGAAACTGGGATGTTTAATTGGAAACGGCTTTAGTCTTTCAGAAAGCTTCAACTGCAGTGCGTTTTTTTCAGACCTCAACTCTATAACACATGCTACTTTGTGTTTATGAATGTCTAAATGCCTGGTATTTGTTAAAACTTCTAAAACCATTTCTGCTCCCAAGGCTGGAAATTATAATGTCACTGTAGATGCAACACCAAGCCTGATATATTATACAGTTAAATTCCCTTTCAGGTATAGAGTGGACTGAGGGCTTCGTTAAAATATTTAACAATTCATGTACGGGGGCATTAGTATGCAGGTGGTATCATTTATTGCTCATACAGTATATATCATGCCTGCTCTGCATTTATGGCTTTTCACTGATTTTATAGGCAGCCTGCTCGACTTCCTCAAAGAGGGCGACGGCAAATTTCTGAAGCTCCCACTGTTGGTGGACATGGCTGCTCAGGTGAGACAAACAACAACAACAAACATCTGCATTTTCAGACTGGTCCTGTTTCCCCCCAACGAGTGACTTACAGTGAGGAAGAGCTCCTGAAAGTTGAGGAATACCTGTGAGGTCTTAGGGTGTAACACCCAAAATTTACAGCAGGATACGATAGGATACGATAAGATAAGATAAGACAAAAATTGAAAGATAAAGAAACTTTGAGTTAAAAAGAAAGGTATGTACATGTGTCATATTTACATCTGTACAGAATTTACATAATAATATGATTATATAGATGATTGAATAGATGTTTACATTCTGGTTTCAAATCCAATTTTTCATTCATACACTCTGCACACGTTTTTTTAATATAATTAATTCTATAAGGATAATAAAGAGGTGAGGGGGTTAAACATAAATTTGCATAAGCAGGTCACGACTGAGCTCACTGACAAGACGGCACATTGTAGCTGTATGCCAGGAGGGCTGAACGCCAGCCTCAGCTCCACCTCTTTGCCCACAGCTAGGTCAACCAAAAATTAGGCTGAGTCAGCGTTTTTTAATGTGGTTAGGCTTCGTAATGCTGTAGGTGAGCTCATCGAGACTGCATCACTGTTTTATATACACTGTACTGACACACTGAACCCCAGAATGGCGCACAATTGGAGTCCCGAAGTTTGATTACAAATTGCGTATTGTCGTTGTAGAAGCGTAAGAGGGATACCGTCTCTCCCGTTACACTTCTGTTACTACCTTTAACTAATAAATAATCTAAACTTTGAATAATCTGAGCACATACAAGGAGTGCCAGTCTGTTTTTGTTTTTCTCAATGAACTTACTCGCCAAGAAATGCAGCAAACCAAGAATAGCTTACCCTAAAGTGAATTTGAATCTGTTTTCATACTTAAGTTTGATCTGTCGATTTCAAAGAGAGATATTCGGGAGAGAAGGATGAATTAATCGTTACAAACTTGACAAGTTAGTGAAGAAATACGATAAAAATAAGCATTTTGGTTTTTTATTTGTTGTTCGAGAGCAGAATCTGTGTCAGTGAGTCATGAAGTTCAGACTTCTATTTTAAGCCTCCGATTTTAAATAAAGAGCGACAGCCTCTGGTAAACATAACTTCCACTCCCAGATTTGGCACACTTTGCTCTTCTTTCATTATTTGACTGCTTTTGAAGCCTTGGACGTCTGAGATGCTAAAAATTATTTGCGGAAGCCGCCGTCATGAGACGCTGTCACATTTTTGGTTTTCTCTCTTCAGATCGCAGACGGCATGGCTTTCATTGAGAGGATGAACTACATCCACAGGGACCTGCGCGCCGCAAATATCCTCGTTGGCGACAACCTGGTGTGCAAGATCGCTGACTTTGGTCTGGCCAGGTTGATAGAGGACAATGAATATACGGCGAGGCAAGGTGGGCACACTCATACACACACACACACACACACACGCACACACACACAGAGTCTGAGTCACAGGTGAATGTGGTGTCAGGGCAGAAATAGATGGAGCTGTGACCTCGCAGCAAGGATGACTCCCAGTTGTCCCCTATCGTGGTGAATTAGGATAATAGTGGAAACCAGATGCTCTTGCTCACTCTAATTGGTTGCTCAGTCCACACGCTGTGAGAGTTCATCACACTGTCAGCTCTTTAAAGGGCTAATTCACCCAAAAATTACTAAGAGTTCTTATTCACTCCACTTACACGGATAATTTTAGCCTCATTCACTCCAGTTTTTGAAGTTCTGTCAAATCTGAAGACCTCCTCTGTCATGAAAGCTGTTGTCTTAATTTACACAAAACTCCTGAAAATTTTCCCCAAAAATTTTGCAGAAATTTTGCAGAAATTTTCCTGCCTGAATATGTGAAAGGGGCTATTATTTGTGAACTAAACACACTAACAATGAAGATATTGTTGCATCCCTGGTTTGGTTGTCAAAGTTTTTGACAATGTCGATTATTTTTTTGTGACTACATGCTTTAAATGATACAACATTCAATATTTTTACATTTGGTAGAAGCAAAAAAGAAAAAAAGGGGCTGTAAGAGGATCCACATTTATATTGTCATATTATCAAATGATTTCTAAGTTTCTTTCTTAGGAAACATCATTTTTTGCCCTTAAAACAGTGAGTATATTGTTGGTGTTCTGCTCTAGGGTATCGAATACTGGATTACTTTCACTGGAATTATATGGAAATGAAAATTTTAGTATTGTGACAACCCTAGTCCCCGCCGTAGGAAAACCCTGGAATGACCCTCGCTCTTCCTACTCTCAAAAACAGGTCAAATAAGACAGAATTATCAGCAATATTTAAAGTGAGATTCAGCCTTGGAGTCCATTACAGGTTCACTGTTTTCTCCCAGTGTATCAACCTTCGTCTTTTTACGGCGTAGCTTTGATTATTCTCACAGATTTTGATGGTATATACATATATATATTTATATTCCCCGCACAAAGGCTTTTCAAAATGATGTGGCCTGATTATGATGTCATTGTGTGTCACTGGAATAAAGCTGCTACGCCCTCTAGTGGCGTCACCTCACCTGAACCCTCCTGCTCTCTGTACCCAACAGGAGCCAAATTCCCCATCAAATGGACGGCTCCTGAGGCCGCCCTCTACGGACGTTTCACCATTAAATCAGACGTCTGGTCCTTTGGGATCTTACTCACTGAGCTCGTCACCAAAGGCAGAGTGCCCTACCCAGGTAAGCGACCGTGACAGCGCACATACACACACACACACACAAAGTCAGACGGGTCTTTGGGTGGTAATTCACAGCAGGAATTATCAGCTTTCAGTCTGTCAGGAGGCGTCAAGCTGGCGCGCTCATTAATGACAGAGGATGAAGAGAAGCTGTCTGATATTGTCTGCGCTGGTTGTTTATGCCTCTGCAGGGGGAACAGTGACAGTGACATCCACACACTGACACCCTCTCACACACACGCACACACTCACACTTGAGATTAGACGAGACCATCTGGTGGAGGGCGATCAGGAGATTGAACACCACTCTTGTTTATAACCATCTGCCAGACTGACGCTGCCCCGGGGAGCAGGGCCTGCAGTGCTCTGCAACACCTTCGAACAACACCACATTATTAAAGACATGGAGCTTAAAGGCCTAATAAACTCGGTTTTACAAGTTTGATTTACTTCTAAAGAAATAATTTGACTCTTTTAAGATTATGATTTTTCTTTCTCCACATAATGGTGACTGGTAAATGCAAAAAATCAACCAACCCCATATTTGCTTTTGAGGAAATGTAAAGAAAGCCTTTTTCCTCTGCCAGCTGTTAATCATCTGGGCAGACTCCTACCCCTTCACAGCAGTCCGGGCATTAAAGGATATTCCAGCGTAAAATTAATTTAGGGTCAAACACACTGTAATACCGAGTTAGACACTCCCTCGAGAGATAAAAGTTGCCGACCACTTGCTTCTCTAGTTATACCAACTTTAGCAATGACCACACGATAGCAATAGAAAGCGGTCTGAGGAGACATAAACAAACCTCAACCAAAACGCCACTCTATAGCCACAAATAATGCTCAGAACAGCACATAACTTCATCAACAGTACGTATAGGGTCCCATCCATAGCACTATCCACCAAATATCTTTTTAACTTTGCCTGATTTCTCTCTAGTCCATTACAGACTACAGCTCAAGGGGCGGCACAGCTCAAGGAAGAACATTTATGATCATTTCATTATCATTTCCTTGAAGTAATAATCATCATATTAATCATTTTACACTGCAGACACGGTAGTTCTTCTGCCTTAGCATCTTGGTCTGATTGCATTTCCATGAAGAAATGATCATAAATGTTCTTCCTTGAGCTGCGTAACCCCGCTGTATTCTGTAATAGACTGGCCTGAGGTATCGCTTCAAACAAGCAGCTGCTGGATGGCAGAGAAATAGTCAATGTTGTTGTGGATGGTCTTGTTTGCTTTTGTAGGTCATTGAGATGCATCAGTATTAATTAAAAACCATTTTATGTCCAGTTAAAAACTCCTCACTGTAGCTTTAATATAAAACTGCAGCAAGCAGCTTTGTGTGGCAAACACTGGAAACAGTTGGACACAGCTGGTACAAAATCATCCCAATAGCAACAACTCAGGACTACTTTTCCTACTGGATAGGAGATGGAAATAAGTTGTAAATGAGCTGTAGTAATACTTTCAAAACAGTCCAGGTCAGCCAAGTTAAGTCCATCTGCTAAGCTAAGCTAAACATTTTTTTGCTTAAGGTTTAAATGGATGGACCTTTAATGTTTAGAAAAGTGATCAAAGGCTCTGACAGATTTTTATGTCTCTGTTTCCTCAGGAATGGTGAACCGGGAGGTCCTGGAACAGGTGGAGCGAGGTTACCGCATGCCCTGCCCTCAAGGGTGCCCTGAGTCCCTACATGAGATGATGAAGCTCTGCTGGAAGAAGGAGGCGGATGAAAGACCGACTTTCGAGTACCTGCAGTCCTTCTTGGAGGACTACTTCACCTCCACAGAGCCACAGTACCAACCTGGAGAGAACCTATAGCCTGTCTGGACTCCGCTACGCCTGGAGGCAGACTTGGAGGAAACACAAGCTCTTAATTATCCAACTTGACTGGAAACCAGACTTAACCACTACCCGCTCGACAAATTCTTCATTTATATATTTTTGTCTTTTATCACCCACCATCATTTCATTTTATTGTATTCTTTCCATTCATGGTACTACATTAGTCCAACATGTGTACATTTTTACATATCGGTTTTAACGCCATGTACGACATTGTCTGCAGTGGAGAGAGAAAACATTTCAGATCCCTTTTAAATCCACTACATGGGGGATTTTTCTCATGAACACAGTATGTTGCTGTGAAATAAGCTGTGATAATCCCTTTGCAATAGAAAATCATACAAAAGAGTCTAATCATTGGGCTTCTGTGTGGTTTAATGTTGGGATCTCACACTATATTTGCCTCCAAATTGCTTTTTTTTTCTAGTAAATTGGTAAATTATGCATTAAAGCAATTAATTATTAAGAGAGATAATATATTACACTAATGGAGAGAAGCTCTCAGGGGACTGCCAGTCCATTTAACAATGAATATTTAAAAAAACAAATCCCACACAGCTTCGGTTGACTTGTATTTCATCAGCTGCAGTGCAATTTGATTATCTACAAATGGATGACAGGACTGTGACGTGGTTTTTGATGCCTTTCTGATCATTTACAGTACATTTTGTTTTGTTTTTTATGTTCCTTTGCTGCCACATTTCATTCATATCACATGGATTTATAACGTCATTCGAAGATTTTCTCGACTGCCCATCATCCTGTAGAAATCTCTGTGAAGACTTAATACAACAAAGCCATAAAGCGTTCTGTGCTGCTCTGCCCGGGTTCATATAATCCCACTGTGGTGACACATGCTAACATGAAGTCACTCTTTGTAATGTGTCAGTGAGTGACACAACTGGAGGACTTTTTGGCATGTTGCCGGAACAGAAAGACAGGTAAGGTAGCTTCTTGCAAGAGGTGAGCGGAGGATTTCGCTGCCCATAAGAGGAAATCATTAACAGAGTGTGTGACAGAGCACTTGGGACTCTTCCGTGTTCATGCAGCACTGCAAAGACTATTTCTACTGCAATGGTTACAGTTTTTTACAGTGATTTTATCCACTCTATGAACAAGCTGATGCAGTACTAAGATGGGGAAAAAACAAACAACAACAAAGCAAAAGCCCAGGCTTGTAAGAAGGGTTTTGTATATCATTAAACCCTCGTTTTGTAAGAGTATTATTAATGACCGACCAATGTATTTGGGAGAGAGGGGGTGAGTGCAGTCTTGTCTGGAGAGTTTGTACAATAAAGGAGTGGTTTTAATTGTTTTGTTTTTGTACATAATGCTATAGAGAGTGTTTGCTGTCTCTGCAAGTGGCCTTTTAAAACTCTGACCAATGACAGGCCGGAGTGGGCGGGGTCAACTTGTTGGATCTCTTCCAACCAAGACAACAAAATATTATACTACAAACTGGAAAATGTCGCATAAGATTGTTAGTGTTAGTGTCAGGGATGTGCGGTTCCCCACCTCTCTGGAGCAGCATGGCTCTGATGCAATGGTAAGGAAGTTTAGTAGCAGTAATCTGAGTATTTGTGAGAACTTTTGTAACTGCAGCCTGAACTGTTCAAAACCTGTTTCAACTTCTCCACACTGCAGCACACAGACCCGGATTATTCGGTCGCATATGTCGTTATCAACTCGGACAGCGGACTGAAGGGCTTCGGCTTGACGTTCACCCTCGGAAAAGGCACCGAGATCGGTGAGACTTTTTCGGTGTAGCTTTAAAGATATCTATGGGTGCAGAGCCGACTTCATGACGAGACTGAAGTTAGTTTCTCATTCAATGAGGTCAGTCTGAGGGGGTTTGAAATCTCCCAGATCCAGAATCACAGCATGTTGACTTTTGACTTTTTGGCCCAGATTTTTACAGAAGGTATACCACCTATTTATAAAAGTAGGCCCAAAGGTGAACTTTATTATTTTCATAGAAAGTTATATCAGACTAATCTGAAGTTGTGTATTAACTTGTTGGGGAGAGTGGGGTAAGTTGAGCCAAAGGGTAAGTTGAGCCACCCTCTGTTGCTTGGAAATAGTGAAAGAAATTGATCATGTGACCACATACTTAGGAGATGGGCATCAATTCATGGAGTCTGTGAAGTTTAGAGGAACATGGGTGAAAGGGTTAGACATTTATTAAAAAAAATAAAAAAAACATTTTCACTCTTGAAAGTGAATTTAGTCCGTCATAGTAGGGATACGGCTCAACTTACCCCGCTCCTATGGTCAACTTACCCCATACACGGGGTAAGTTGATCATAGGAGACCACTTATTTTTGTCATGCCATATTATCATGACAGTTATATCTACACTCCTTCTGTTGGTTTGCAGGGATGAACAACATCTTGAAATGTATGCAGATACACTAGTTAGAGACAAAACTATGATTGTCTTGATGTAGTGATCTGAAATATGAAAAATGGCTCATCTTACCCCACTCTCCCCTATGCAGGCTCACTTGGATACTCCTAGAAGTGGCCTAGAAGTTAACCGAAAAAGCAGCTAAATCCCCCCTTTATTGCACTTTCACATATAGGATAGAGGTTGCACAATTTGTAAGAATGGATTGTAGACAGTTAAATCCAGGTTCAACAGGCCTTTGCATAGTGGTTCTGGATCAGGACCTGGTTCAACATGGTCACGTTTTTTTGTTTATATTATTATTTTATTATTATTACTATTATTAGTTATTTCCACTGTAATAAAAATGACATGAATGTGACCCTGTGTATAAAAAGTCCCCTCAGGAAATATCCAGTTGAAGTTTTGTATCAATAGTTTTATCTGGTTGCTTTAACTTTACATAAGCACAAGCGTCGAATCAGATGCCAACTTCGTGTTACTTCTTGGCACCAACCCAAACTGCACAGATTTAACCACGTGACTGTGTAGCCCTGCATTTTCACTTAGTTGGTTTTGCAGATCTTAATTTGTGAATTTGAACAAAGTGTATACTCGCAGGAGTCGTAAACTACATCAAATACTACATCTGTTGGCTCCTATTTAGTGGTGAATTGTACTTTGTTCAAGTACCCTTGTATCCTTAAAGTAGAAATAGGTCTACTTCTATTGTTCCTTATTCTGAGTGTACCTGTCTTGAAGTCATGTGGACGAAGTTGAACCGCGCATCGCCACCTTGTGGTTGTGCAAAGTTACTACAGTAATACAATGAAGCTTATTATTGATCTTAAACTTAGATTATAACAGTCTCACTGTGGCTGAGTGAAACTGAGAATTAGTCCTGATACTTTATCTTTTTAGGAGTTTGATTTGTCCGTGTTGTCTCCCACAGTGGTCTGTGCTGTGGAGGCTCTGGCAGGACTGGTTGTCGGGAAAACTCTGCAGGAGATCGTGAGCGACTTTCGTGGATTTTACCGCCTGTTGACCAGTGATAGTCAAATGAGATGGGTGAGAAAAGGCAAAAAGTATGAGAAATACTGACCCTCAAAACTAATGTTAATGACTAATGTTAGGACATGAGTTTTTACTTTTTACTTTACTTTCAGATTTAGTCTAGTTTTGGCCGGGACACTTTGTACTGTTTTAAAACATCTATGCTCTCTAGTTTTTATTGAAGCCCCCAGTTTTTGAGGCATTTGCTTCATAGGGAACTTTTTTTAATGCTAGGTTTAAAGATTAGCTCATAATTGAGAAACCTTCAAGGAATATTCCAGCATAAAATTAAATTAGGGTTAAGCACACCGTGACTTTAACTCAGAGTGTTTTTTTACACTTTTTCTGAACCAGCTGGGCCCAGAAAAAGGAGTGATCCACCTGGCCACTGCTGCCGTCCTGAACGCTGTGTGGGACCTGTGGGCGAGGGCAGAGTCCAAGGTTCGACGGTTTGATTATGTTTTAATATAAAAATTACAGTTTAATTCAACAGTATTGATCAGCTGTTGTCATCACTTTCCTGTAGCCGTTGTGGAAGCTTCTGGTCGACATGGTGAGTTAAAAAAAATACAGACTTTCATGTTTTATTTCCATATATGTGTGATTCTGAAGAAAAACGAGATTACATCTTCTGTTTGTCAATGTAGGATCCAAAACAGCTCGTCTCCTGCATTGACTTCAGATACATCACTGATGTCCTCACAGAAGAGGAGGCTCTTGGTGAGACTCGCTCATGACGTAGTCTCCATTAAATACAGCTTGTAGAGAGAGAAACCCCCTTTTTTAAACGCAGTCCTCTTTTTCCTATTCAGACATACTCATGAAAGCGCAGGAGGGCAAGCAGCAGAGAGGTGAGAACACTCAAAAGAGCCTTTAATTACACGTCTGAATGGGATTATCCAGAGAGAAATTGCCTCTTTGGAAATCATCAGGAGTGCTTTTAGCCTCTATTATAGCTCCCTACACTCCATGACAGCTCCATTAAACCGTGCTCCTCCTAGAGTGTTTAAATTAAATTTGTGGACTGCTTCTCTTGCCTTGCAGAGGATCAAATGCTGAGAGAGGGTTACCCTGCCTATACCACTTCTTGTGCCTGGCTCGGATACTCGGATGAACAACTAAGACAGGTAAATGTGCTGTAGGTTCTCAGATTGGACCACAGACTGTATAAAATGCAGGTTTTAGAAGGCCTGAACTAGAGGCTTGTCGGCTTCTTAAATGTTTTAGTCTGTATAAATCTTATTTGTGTTTCCGAAGCTGTGCACAGACGCGCTCAAAAGCGGTTGGACCAAATTCAAGGTGAAAGTCGGTGCAGATCTGGAGGACGACATCCGTCGGTGCCGCCTCATACGGCAGATGATTGGACCCAGTCATTCTTTGGTAAGACCTCCACTACTCCACTCAGAAAAGAGACTATGGTTTACTGAAGTGTTTTCTTTCTTTAGATGATCGATGCCAACCAGAGATGGGACGTGGCTGAGGCCATCAGCTGGGTGTCCAGCCTGGCTGAGTTCAAACCTCTGTGGATCGAGGAGCCCACATGTCCCGATGACATCCTGGGTCATGCTGCAATCTCAAAGGTGGGTGGGTTTTTTCAATGCCATTATGTGGCAGACAAAAACAGGATTTTTAGTTTGCAACAGTTAAAAGATGCTCATTTTTGCAGGCCCTGGCTCCTCTGGGGATTGGAGTGGCAACAGGAGAGCAGGTCAGAACTCAAGTTTTATTCCTATCATACAAATCTCAAGTATTAAGATTCTAGTTTTAAATTCTGTGTCTGTCTCCTCTTCAGTGTCACAACAGGGTGATGTTTAAGCAGTTCCTCCAGGCCTCAGCTCTGCAGTTTGTCCAGATCGACAGCTGTCGGCTGGGCAGCGTCAATGAGAACCTGGCTGTGCTGCTCATGGCCCATAAATTCCAGGGTAAGACTGAGAAACCTCATGAGCTTAAAGGGATATTCCGGCGTATAATTCATTTAGGGTCAAACTCACCATGACACAGAGTTAGACACTCCTTTGGGAGATTAATGTTGCTAGACACCCCCTTCTCTAGTTATACCAACTTTAGTAACGACCGCACGATAGCAATACACAGTGGTCTTAGGAGCCACACAAACTTTACTCCACTCTATAGCCACAAATAATGCTCAGAACAGCACCTAACTTCATCAACAGTACATATAGGGTCTTAGCCATAGTACTAGCCACCAAACATCTTTTTTACTTTGCCTAATTTCTTAAGCAAAGAGAAGAAACACAACTCTTCCAGCAGCCACTTGTTTGGAGCAAGACCTCGACTAGTCCGTCATTGACTGAAGAAAGTGATAAAGAAAATGATAAAGAAATGATCATAAATGTTCTTCCTTGAGCTGCGTCACCCCGCTGCAGTCAATGATGGACTAGTCTTTAGGAAGCCCTTGAAGATGAGTTCAACAGAACTGACCAGATCACTTTTACTTAAACAGTCTTAATCTGGAGAACTTTTTTCACTCTACTACACCAATTCTGTTTTCTTCCATAGTGCCTGTTTGTCCTCACAGCGGAGGAGTCGGTCTCTGTGAGCTTGTGCAGCATCTGATTCTCTTTGACTACATCAGTGTGTCTACAAGTCTCAAGAACCGGTACGATCAGGGTTTGATTTGGTCCAGCATTTAAGCTCTTTGCAGTTTCTGATAAGAAATCTTGAATCAAAAACCTGACATCCTTTATTCTTTTCTCTCTACAGAATGTGTGAATATGTCGATCACTTGCATGAACACTTTACCAGCCCTGTGGTGATACGCGACGCCCACTACATGCCCCCTAAAGTAAGATAGCGCACAGATGCCAGTCATAGTGAACTGTAATCAAACGTTGCTCCTTAACACAAGTCATACTTGCTGTTTAATGCACTTGTTTGTGTAATTGAAACATGTTTGTCCTCAGGATCCAGGCTATTCTTGTGAGATGCTGGAGTCGTCAGTGAAAAGACACCAGTACCCCGAAGGAGAGGTTTGGAAACTGCATGCGAACAAATGCTGACTCATGTTATTAAAATGATTGTTCTCTCCTGTAAATACGCAGTTTTGTGGTCGTGTTTGTGTGAAATCTGACAATTCTTCACAAAGCTGGCGGAAGTATAAATTCTTTATTTAAATTCTGAAACACGTTTATGATACAAAAAATGATGCAATACTGCTTTAAAAAAACAATACTCCAGAAACAAACACAACATCTATCATTGATGGAGGCAAGTTTTTAGACTCTGGCACTGAAATATGACTTTTTTTCCCTGTATTAATTAACATATTTGAAGTGTCAGCTCACCAAACTGTAACTTGAATGGACTGAAGTTCAAAACATACAAACAACAATTTAAAATTGGGCTGACTGACAAATCCTTAATGTCACAGATACTCCAGCCCTCCACAAACCACATCCATACCTCATCACATTAAATTTACACAGCCATCTGCATCTTGATTGCGGGATGAGGGTTGTAGTCACAGATCTCAAAGTCTTCTGCGCGGAAATCGTTGATACTCTCAACCTTTCTCAGAATCTTCAGCTTGGGGAATGGGCGGATCTCCCTCTGAAGCTGCAATTATAAACAGATGAGTCTGTGCAAACTGGATTAAGAGTGTGTAAATCAAACAAACAAACCTCCTTAACCCAACCCACCTGTACTTTTAGAGGTTCAATGTGGTTGACGTAGATGTGAGCATCTCCCAGAGTGTGAACAAAGTCACCAGGCTGGAGGGAAGAAGGTGAAAAAAGTCAGGTGATGGAGTTCACGTCGACACACTTAAAATGAGAACAGTAGCGCTCTTACCTTCAGTCCTGTGATATGTGCGATCATATAAGTGAGAAGTGCATAGCTGGCAATATTGAAAGGCACCCCGAGGCCCATATCACCTGAGCGCTGATACAGCTGGCAGGACAGTTCACCGTCGCACACGTAGAACTGACAGAGAGCGTGGCAGGGGGGCAGAGCCATGAGAGGAAGGTCTGCATCAAGATGTGAGAGGACGTGGATTCAAAATGATTCAACTGGATCGAAATCAGGTTCAAAAAGAGTCCTGGAGCAGCTGAGATTTAGTTTAGGAAGCTTTACCTTTGGGGTTCCAGGCACACATGATTATCCGTCTGTCCTCTGGGTTCTTTTTGATGGTGTCAATCACCTTCTGCAGCTGGTCAACACCTTGTCCTGTATAATCTGTGAAAAGAAACAAGTTTAAGAAACAGTTATAAACGCTAGGAGTCAGTTATCGGTTGTAAAGGCTAAAAAAGCATACCCAATTTTTAAGCGTTCATTTTAAATTTGCACTTATTAGTATATTTTTCTTTACCTGCGTGCATGTTTGTGTACTCAGCACCAAAGTGCCTCCACTGGAAACCATACACAGGTCCAAGGTCACCCTCCTCTCTATCTGTGAACCCGAGATTGTCCAAGAAGTCCCGGGACCCATTGGCGTCCCAAATCTTTACCCCTTTCTCTGAGAGCTCCTTGGCGTTTGTTGATCCCTTTCACCGCATAAAGAAAGAAAGTATTAGACCCAAAGAAAAAGCTAACCTAACATGTCAGTCCATCCACAATTGATCATTGCATTTGAATTTTAGTGCAATACAACAACAACTCCACCGCAGGGTTCATGTTTAATGTGTCTTTTTCGTGTAGGGAGGTTTTAAAATCGAACAAACTAGTTTCATGGTTAAGAAAACAACATAATACAAGGGAACATGTTGATAAAGTTGTCAATTTGTCCTTCCTCACCTTGATAAACCACAGCAGTTCTTCAAGGATCCCTCTCCAAAACACTTTTTTGGTCGTCAGCAAGGGGAACTGATCTGAAAATGAACAACAACAACAAAAAAGAAACAGGTTTCATGACTAAGATTACCAAACACATTTTTGTTTGTGTAGTCTGAGCAGATCCTGGTTTGGAGCCAACACTTAGACTAGCATTGAATCAACATTTAACATACACATGATCAGTTATAATAACAATAAACATGAAAGCATGGGAAATTTTAGGCAGAGGAGTGAGTAAACTCTCTGTCGCTCTCTGGTGGACAAACAATGTCACTGTCTCTAAATAAGAAAAAAGGACCTGGGACATTTGTGTGCGGCTGTTTCTTCTATTTCAGCTATTTTCAGCTCAACATACAGCTTCATCTGTGCTTACAGATTTAAATAGTTTTTTTCAACCTAACATGGTTATTTAAGTGTAAAAGATGCGCAATATTGATTTTTATCGGATGTTTCGCATGAAATGTAGCACAAGTAGAAAGTGTAATGATGACTGATTATTTTTAGTAATTTATGGGTGATATTTTATAAATATGGATGCATTTCACTTTAATACCCGAACGTTTGAATTTGACCCTGATCAATGTTTATCATTGAAAAAATAATACTTGACTTTTGGTTTTTTGCTTCATATTCATGACTTTTTCTAATTTGATGGAGACAACTGATTTAGCATTAAATTATCATGATATTTTTTTAATGTGCTGTACACATATTGCAAGCATCGGTGTTCTTCTCAGGTCAATTTGACCCCAAGCAGTTTAGGCTGTGTAAAACTCGCCTATCTGCGTGTGTGACCTAACATCCCCATACCTACAGGTGCAGAGTTGATACTAAGTCATAGCATCACTAAAACCAGTAGGGTTCATCCTCTAAAAGTAGAATAAATGTATCTTAAAGTTTTCATACAAATCTTCTCCAATTTATGACAACCTCAATGACCACAAAAGTTTGGCCTATTGGTGGCGCTTGAGAGCAGGTCAACAGGTTTCATTATTGAGGGGTTATTTATGCACTCAACAAATAAACAAAGCACCTGACAAAAAATCTTGGTCAACATTTGCATGTAAATCATTTTCTGGAGACAAATATACCCCAAGGGTAAAACGTGTCAGTAATATTTGAGGATAATAGGAGGGTTGAGGTAAAAAACTTGCATTTGCTTCCTTCAAAATTACCAGTATACTGAATATTAAACACCCAGAATAGTGAAAAATACACGTTAAGCCTACCTCGCAGACTGTATCTGGCCTGAGCTCCGAACACAGAGATGACTCCAGTCCCGGTTCGGTCCCCTTTTCTTCGGCCGTTCTCCATGATGTACTCTATTTGATCCAGATACCCGCGTTCATCACTAAATATCCCGAAAGTCCTCTTCTTCTCCTCTGCAGCCTCCTGGGTCCTCTTCGGTTTTTCTTCACAGCCGGACTCCCCATGGACCTCCTCTATGACTATATCTGAAGTAGCAGGCATTTTGAGCAGGGTTTTTACACAGACTGTTCAGTTAGAGGTTTGGTGGTTTTGTGTCAGTTGTGACTTTTCCCGGGTGTTTTTGGACAGGAACCTCCCAGTGAGCGTGAACAGCAAATAGCAAACCGAGGGCTGAGCCATTATAAACGTGTACGCCTCGTTACGTGTATGAGCGTAATCCAGCGTCGCCGCCATGTTGGATGGGTCTCCGCACTCCAGGTAGCCAAAGAGGGTTAATGGAGAACGAGCAACTATGCCCGTATTTTTGCTCTCTATGGTTGAAAACTCGACGCAGTATTGAAACCATATCACGTAGGATTACATTTCCCAAATAAAATGAAAAATAATTTTGGTTAAATTTCAATGTGTGACATTCTCATGCATTATAACTACATCCCTACCGTTGTAACAAACCAAACAGTGTGAAAATCGGGCAGAGATTCGGAGAGTTATTATTAATATGGTTGGGAATTCCTACCTTCCTTGATTGACTGGAGGACATAGAGGACCCATCCAAGATGGCGGCCGCGCTGATACGTGAGCTCCAATAGGCAGGGTCAGGCTTCGAGGCGCCTCTAACAGTCTCGCGAGATTATGCAGAAGCCCGCTTGTTATTGTTGCACAACTTTGTGGGGTTTTACCGCCATCTTGACGCCCCCTGAAAAGTCACCCAAGTATATTTGGTAATTTTGGATATTAAATTTGTTTTTTGTTTTTTTAGCGACTTAATGACATATCAGGAAAAAATGAAGAAAATATTAAAGTGAGGTCAATATTGTGATTTACAACCAATCTATGGGAAATAGAAAGTTAAAAGTTTGGAAGTTAAGTGGCTGTACTGTGTGTTTTACTGTCTCACCTTGCTCTAGATTATCCTCGGCAACGTCTTCCTCTTTGCTCATTTCACATTTAAAAGAAAAAAAAAGTACAACAATTCCCCCAAACACCTCTCTTTCTGTCAGACTTTCTCCTTTTTCCTGGTTTCCGCGCACCTGTTTTCTGTGACTGAACACACAATGACAATAGGTAGGCGTGGTGCAAATTCATGCGGACGCCTTTGTTTTCTTCTTCCGTATATGTCAAATTATCTACCTAAAAACAGGACAGCGTAGAGTTAAAAATACATCTTGTAAGTCAACACAAAAACAAACTCTTGAGATACAAATAGCACAAAATAAAGCAGCTCAAATAGCACTAAATTGTCCCTACAGAACCAATTAACCTGGTTAAATGTTAAATGTAAATTGCACTAAAATTATTATTATAAACAGAGTCAAAGAAGTACTCTTTAATAAACTAACAATTTTTTTTTTTTTTCTGAGGGACATCAGTATGGTACTAGGCAGGCATCAGAGGGCAGGCTCCATGCAGAACAGAAGCAATGAAAAGGACTGTCCACTACAGAGAAATGATGGCATGGAATTTATTACCTAACTTTTTAATTTCAAACATTGACAGAAGTTGCTTTAACAAGCAATTAAAGGTGTATTTGTTTACATATAGAGTACCATGAATGAACTTGGATCCAAAGCAAAATAGCAAAATACTGGTTAGTGCAGAGACCTCGCAGCTTTATTGTGCAGAGACTTAAAAACAGAGAGTAAACATATCTGACTTAAAAAAAAAACTATGAAGTTGTGCATGTGAAAGTTGAGAGATGTATATAATGTGTTTTCAAGTTTTGCAGAGATTAGTTTAAACACCGGTACTTGTCTTTTAATTCAGTGTCTGTTGATGACATGTGGATGCTGGGATGTCCTTCAATCCATTCCTGTTTGGAGAAAACACATCAAACAGTTAATCCAAGTATTTACCACAAATTTGACTTATGAAAGTGTACAGAAAAATAGATTTAAACAGGTTTAGTTCATAATGATACAGGTCTGTCAGATGATTAACTAATTGATGGACACCTTTTATGTGGCGTTTATGGAGAGTCAGAGCCTCCTGAGCAGCATATTGGATAAATGCAGGGTCATCCACCTCCAGCTCTGCAGGAACTGAGACAGTCATTGGGCCAGAGTCTAGTATCGACAAAACCACACTGCTGTCTGTTTTAGGTCTGATGGTCTTCATCTGTTGTCGGTTCACCTGTAAAATCAGAAAAAGTACAAAGAGTGAGAGTCATTAAGCTTCATTTAAGTCAGCTTTACATGAGACATTGTTTCCAGTTATTTCTTAAACTGAAAATAAGACAGAGTCAGTACAAACATACTGAAATGATGCTAAAGATATTGTGTGGTTCCTCTGTGTTATTGGACAGGTGGCTGATCCAGCGGTACTTGTCCTCCATGTTATTGAGCCACCTCTGCGTGTCTGTTGTGTGTCTGCGGACCAGCAGCAGCCGGTCGTCGTACTGTTCGTGGGAGGCGTTCAGAAGTAAGTGCATCTCCGCCATGTCAGCGTGGAGCTGCTGGACGATGGGACACTCTGTATGTGGACATAGTCATGAGCATGGTGAGGTGAAGATATAAAAAACTGTATCTATTCAAGGGTTTTTCTGGTATTTCTCCATTAGATGAATAAATGTGCATGTGCGGGTGAAACATCTCACATTTAATTACCTTTTAACAGGTATTCCTTGCATGTCTCACACCAACTTCGCAGCTGGAAGCACTCTGATGTTTGTCTGCGGAGGCGCCTGCACAGATGTCTGCTCTGCATCTGCCCCACAGCATGAAGTGATTCTGTATCTTCATTCATAAACATACAGTGAGATATGGTACAGTGCCTGTATTCATTTGAAGGGAATGAACACAAGTGTGGCTGAAAGAGCTGCAGATACCTCTGTTGGGTAGCTGCGAGTTCTCGTCTTCAACATCAGCCACTGAGGGGGTGATGTCGCCCATCACATTCCTCCCAAAGTCATACACTGAGTCAACCATTTTACCCAGATTCCCTAAGAAGTCAGGAATGGAGTCTGCTTGCATGGTAAAAAGCGGGTTGGGTTGAAAATCTGCTGTGAATGCCAACAAAAAGGATTCCCCAAACACGTGTTGCATCTTTTTGACCAGAGTGACACTCTGCTCAAACAGAAAGTCAGTTTCGGAAAGCAGCTGGCTGAACGAGGAGTCCTCCTGCTGAAGATCTGCGTCATCTTCTGTGATCTGAGGTTTCTCAGCCAAGTTAGTGTAGCCTACATTTTCCTCATCTTGAAAGTAAAAATAATCTGTTTCTTCCAGCTGAGCGGCCAGGGTCTTGAAAAACTCCTCCACCTGCAGCAGAGAGACAGAAGGACCAACACATTATGAGCTTTACACATCTTATCTGGTAATGAAGGTTTCTCACAGAGAGAATTACCTTATAGGAGAAAGAGGTGAAGCCGCGGCGACATGTAGAGGCATAAAAGTCCTTACAGGTATCTTCAAGACAAGGCCGACATTCATCAAATGAAGATTTGGTTAGATCTCGACATTGCCTCTCAACTTCTTCTAGTCTCTGCTCTGTTTCCAGGGCCAGCTGCATCACCCCCTGAAAGGACCCCAATAAAGACAGGTCTGTCACACACCCATTACATCTAAATGAAGGCAACATTAGACGAGGGGCCCTCGCACAATGCTTGGTCTTTTGCTTCAGAATTTTAAAACTTGCTGACAGTTAATTTATACTGACTGCTGTAAAACTGCGCCACAACTCCCTGAACTAGCTCCACTCCCACACACGCGTTTACTACTGTCTGCTTAGGGGTTTCTCTGTGGGCAGAAAGTAAATACAACAGCTCTGCATGTAATTACAATCACAGAAACTGTACTCATACCTTCCTCTTGTCACTGCTTTGTCTCAGGGCGTCCATAAAATGCCTGTGCTTCTCCTTTTTCTCTTCCATCAGCTCCTTCACCTGCTTCACCTCGAGCACCGCTCTCTTAATTTCCTCATCAACAAAATGCTCCCCTGCCGCAGACAGCTCTGCACAAAACCATTAAAACAAGCTGTCAGCATGTTCTGCAAGAAATGTCTGTGAAAACAAGTCGAACTTGGTGTTTTATTCATGAGGCGGTACCTCTGACTGTGTCCTCGCTCAGTGGAGGAAAGTCGGCGGCACAGAGGAGGATCTGAGAGATGCAGAGAGTGTGAAGAAGCAGCCTCTTCATCCTGTCTTTAGATCTGTTACAAAGAGGAGATCATACATGACTGACATTTGATAGTGCATGTATGATCATGTATGACTAACAGGTAACACCTTATCCAAGCGAACATCTGAAGCTTGACATTTTTCTGACACAAGGTGGCGACATTTCTCAAACATTCTCACTTGAAGACGGTTCAAAATTAACATTTCATTAATTAGCAAAAAAAATCACATCATGCCAAGAGTTTTAACATAGAATACGTTTGATTAAGAGCACTGCAGTCTGATATTCTTTATACCACGCCGTAAAGCTTTGATTATTTAATATCTGCTCTTATTTTATCCATTGTTTTAGTTGTTTTTTGATTGTTTTTTATGTCTGCGCTGTTTTGTCTATTTATGTACAGCACTTTGGTCAGCTGTGGTTGTTTTAAAGTGCTTTACAAATAAAGTTGAGTTGATTAAAAACACTGAATCCTTCTGTTCAATGTCAGTTAACCAGTGTAAAAAAAAAAAAAGGACTCTCATCTTTGTAGGTGTAAAAGTTGGAGCTATTTTTCTGTAGGACTCAAACAGAATGTAAGTCTATACATTAAGCAATAGTAATACAACATATTCAGTCTCTTTGTATGCGTATAAATCAACAAAATTAGAGGAAAAACTGTGCACTCTAAAATTTGAACACATCCCCTACCCATGTAAAAAAAACAAGACATCTAAAATGCATTTTGCTGCAAACTCTGAATAACTGTTAACAGAAAACAGAAGCCAAGCAGGTGTTATAAAACCAAATAAAATAATTGCTGGTATGCATTTCATACCTCCATCACTTCTCTTACTCCCCTGAATTGTAAAAGAGTTTAAATTTTTTACCTGGACTTTATGACAACATCCAACTCCAGACGAGAGCACCAAGCTGTGCTGCTGAAGAGACAAGATTGTGGCGTCTGTTTCCTTTTTAGCTTTGTCCTATTTTGATTGATCTACTCGAGCACAGATCCTATTAGAGCGTTGGCATCAAGCTTTAGAAAACAACCAAGGTGCTATTTGTGAATAATCGAGGCAGGATGTTTATGAAGGGTTTCTGTTTATAGACCAAAGTGGACTTGAATAGACTGAATACCTGTTGGGCTTTTCTCGCAGCTGTCAAAGTGTCATTCACAGAATTATTACTGAGTGAAGCAAATTCAGAATTGAACTTAAATTGGCATTTTCAAGAATATTTCAATCCCTTATTAAAAATTGATATTATTCAGCAAAGATACTTGCTCTACTGCCTTGTCATCTCCTTATTTGGACACTTGGGAGATGTGGTCACGCAAAACAAGACAATGCTTATTATGAATGGTGACTGTGAATATATGCGATTCAGAAAATGAAGACCCATTCATTAAAGCCGATCGCGCCAACATACTCGAGAGGCCTCCTCAGGTGAAACTTTCTGCTCTAATCTGCATCAGACTGACGGTAAGCCTGCCCCCCCTGCAGAGACCTGGCACACACTGGCATGGGTTCAGACTAAGCTCTGCACTGCAGGCTACAATTAGAGCAGAGGGAATGCATGGAAGTGTGTAGGCGGAAGGGCTTAGAAATGAAATTAAAAATACTAAAAAAAACAGTTTGTTTGCAACTCTGAATACAAATAATGAAGTATTTGTTGAAGAGGATTTTGGATGCGGTTTTTATTGCTTTGCTTTTCACTCATTTCCATTAGACAGGAAAGTCTATAAAGGAGATTCTTGATGGCTGTTTCAGGTTAATGATCCAAGCCCCATTGACCCTGTGCGTACTCTTAAGTGTAGAACAACGAACTATGTAAAAAGATATTTAGAGTGTCCACAAAGCCCACCATCTCCAAACTGTAATATCAAAATAAAGATCAAAGTTAAATCTGACACTGCCTATAGGGTTGACCAGTTCGGGTTTTATTGTTCGGTTATTAGCAGAGAATTTCAGGAAGCTTCTCGTTTCCTTCACAAATAACTCTCCCCTGCTGCATAAGACAATCTGAGTAGTTCCTATCCTGATATCTAAACATGGCAGCAGCGTGGTAAATGTGGAATTCCTGTGTGCTTTCTCAGCCCCTCTGTTAATCCGAGCCCAATGCTGAAAGCCTTGACCCAGCAAATGAGGTCCCAACCTCTGAATGAGGACCAGCAGGAGCAGGCCTGCAAGATACCTGACCCTCAGCTGCTTTTTATCAGCTTGCCACGATCTCTATCGGAGGAATAATACCAGCCTGCTGCTCCAATTATAGCCGACAGTAAAATAACAGTTTTGAAGCCTTTAGGAAAACAAGTAATTAGTCGCTTTATCATCTCAGGCTGGTCTGGAGTCTAATATGTGCTGGACTGGGTCAAACTTCAGCTATTAGCTCTGAGCCTGGGTTTGACGGCTGAGTTATCCAAGGACAGAAGAAAAACAGAGCTCAGTTTAATTCCAGGAGGGTTTTAGAGCTGAGACGGTTTGTGTTATCTGTATCTTTCTCCTGTAAATCATCTGGTTTGAGCCAAGTGAGTGTAAACAGATTAACACTGGGGCCACATCCCTGCAGAGTAACCCAGTGACACTAACTTACTCTGTGAGGACATGGAAATGGTGCTTTCTTGTTCCTTTGATGTAATATGCAGCTGTTTTCCACTCCTTGATCAGTGATCTGCATCTGCAAGCCGGGGAGATAATCGACTCAGGAAACGACGAAATTATCACAGCACCTGGAGGTAGTTCAAGAGAAATGGTTAACCTTAGAGACTCTAATCCTGACAGATTTTGGTCAGGTCTGTATGCCATTGGGACAATTTCATGCAACAGAAATAATTTTGCAAAATGTTATGACTGGTGTTACCTTGTGGGAAAGTACCAGATATTGTACCTCATGGCAAAGCAGTTATCTGGTTTTCTCTATTAGACAAACACAAAAAAAATGCATATACTTTTGGTTACATGACATTTTCACAAAATTCAAATCCTCTTTGATTCTGAATAAGCATTTTTAATATGTAAAATGCATACTGATTTTGAGCATTTTCCAACAACCTAAAAGTTGGATTATTCTGCTGTGTTGGCACATTATTCATTCTTGTTATTTTATAGAAAAAAAAACAGGAAAAAGTGCTTGGAAACACAAACATTTTGAGTCTGCACCCCAGGAATGCAGGGTTGTTGTGATAATCCAGCTAATAAAATAACCCAAGCCACATGATTAACCTACTATTGAACACCATTGGGAAGCCAAATGGCCCTAAAGGACTATCATATGAATATGAAAGTAATTTTTCATCCTTGGAGGAAATGAGATGTGAAGATACAAAAACACAGGAATTGCAGTGAAATGTCGCCGTTTTAACTGTGTCGCTCCACCTCCTCAAACCTTTGAAATTATCTGTAATGGGTACCAGATTTTCACCCGGGGACGCGATTGCCATCAACCCCCTGTAACTTAATCTCATCTCCGGCTGGATTACTGCTGCTCCGCACGGCGTCCTGCGGTCCCGCACCTCCCCTTCCTACATGGAGGTGGACACACAGCAGGAGAGGACGGAGGACAGTCACTCCGGAGACTTCAAACTCCTCAGTTGGACAGTGGATTGGTCTTGAGGTAATAGACGAACCTAAAGTTACACACCAAAGCAGAGAGGAAGTTAGACGAGGTGGAAAACGAGGCAAATAACCTTCAAAATAAGAGTAGGAGCCTTAAAGCGCCTTTGCTTCTTAGATATGCCCCTTTCACAATAAACATTGTAGGATTGTGTATATAAAAAAACAAACACGACATGTTAACAGATGAGTCTGAGAGGTATTTCGTTGAAAAATATTCTTTTATTCAGATTATGATGTGTGTTTGACAGACGATTGCTGTCTGGGTTGATTCCGCCGCACCACTTATGAGAAACATAGTTTAAGTTGGAAAAGTCCAAGCAGAATGTTTGCTGGTTAAAACAGAGAAGGTGCAATAAGAAGTTTAACTTGACTTACCTGTGCCTTTCTGTCTCCACTCCCAGGGTGCGCTGGTAAAGGGTCCATAAGACAACAAACAGCCATTTTAAACTGCCGGGAGGGTTCCAACTGGCAGATTGGTCTGGGGGTGAACAGGGTTAGGGTGCAATATTCCTTTGGAGAAATTATTGGGAAGATGCGACTAAGTAAAGTCGTAGTCATGTACAGTAGTGTAGTCTGGGATTGTGGCAAGTTTTATTTTAAAGTTTTGAGGTTTTAAATGAGTAAAAATAAAGTTTAGTGTTTGTTGCACCCCTGCATATGGTCGCACCTGATTGGGGAGGTACATATGGGAGCAGTTTCTCTCAGTAGGGTTGGTTTGTCATGTTCATGAAGTTGTGATACTGGTAGTTGTGTTCACTGTAAGTAAATGCCCACTGTGAGTAATATGTTGTTTTCCAGTTGTCCTCGGAAGTCGGAATTTCCGAGCTCCAAGTCAGAAAATAATCTGGAGTGCCTCTCTGAAATCGGATTTCTGACTCGGAAAGTCGGACGATCATCGCCTACTCCGACTCGACAACAGCGTCATAATTCAAGATGGCAGCACAGTGCGTTGACAGTAAAGAGTAACAGTAAAAGCTCTTGAAATGTATTATTTATTAGCACTTCTGCTTTTTTTTCTGGTGAAATTAAGTAAGTGGTATATGTTGTGCTGCCCAATGTCTAACTGTGAACATGATGCTATGGTGTTTGTAAGAGGTAACAGCTTACAATGGCTAACTGTTGGCGTCCATCTTGGTTTTCTGACTTGTTAACTGGGACGCCGTCAACTCGGATGTAACGTCATTCCCAGCTCCGACATCCGACTTCTGAGGTAACTGGAACGCAGCAACAATATCCTATAATTAATAGTGAGTAGATGAAATCTGGAGTTTGCTATTGAGGGGAAATTCAGATACAAAAGAGGGCTTCACTCGTCGACGCGACTTCACTTTTACTTTGAAAGTAACACCGGAAGTGCAGCTAGTCTTCGTGTAGCTTTCCAGTGGCAGCAGCAGCAACAGGCAGCACTCCTTCCTCCCACAGCCGAGCACTTCTGGACAAGGCTGAACATCACATCACTCCTGCAAAAACACATCCAGAGAGAAACGAGCAAGTAAACGAAGAAGGATGGGATTTTAAACTAAAGTTTCATCATGAAGACAAACTTTTAATACTGTTTTAATGCGTGTTTGTGGAACGACTTTACTCCTTTGCACTGGATGCTGAGATGCGCAGAAAGTGACAGCGGTCCTTATCATTTCTACAGTCCTTAAGAGTTATTGAACGCCATGAAAGGTATGTTGTATCCACTTTAAGATTTCTAAATCACTGTTGTTTCCAAAAGACTCATTAAAATGTTTACTACATTCACCCAGCTCGTGCGTGTTTCTTTGTGGTGCGCGATTCACATCTGGATGACATTACGGTAGTGCGGTGCAGAAGTTGTCAAATAGTTTGCGTTTTCTTGTTACCTCAACCACTTAGTAACGTCCAATTAGGGGATATAAAAGTTGGAATAAAGTTTGTGGGATTACATTTAGTGCAAGAAGTAGAATATTGCAAAGCTTTTGTGTTGAAAAATTCCAGATGACGCTTTATAAAAATATTACGGTAAAGAAAATGTCTTTCATGACTAGTTATAAATGATGTAATTTTATTGTTTTGCGTGTTTTATTATCTCTAATAGCTTGAAACCCACCCAGAAGAGTAGAGATCTCTATCGGTATCATTAATAACTGTACATTTTTGTTTTATTTAAGAAAGAAAACACTAAAGTAAACTAACCCAGGCTCATCTAACCCTCTTCTGACCCCCCACCAACTAAAACACACACTGCTCATCCTTCCCTGTCTCCCCCCCTCACTCCCATCTGTTTACCATTACCAGTGATGCTCTCTGTGAGCTCTGCTCCAGTCTTCGGTGTAGTGCAGCAGAGTGTAATTAGAGTTTACTGTCAACAACCCAGAGAAACCGCAGCCTGTGGCTTTTACAGTTCTCTGAACCACACATACACAGAGAGGGAGAGATGATGGAGATAATACTCCACCATCTACAACTCCCACTCTGCCAAACACATCTCACTATATTCATGAATAACATTAAGAGGTCTTGCCCTGCTGAGTTTTTTCTGTTTTATTTTGTTTTGTTGTGTGTTAACTTTTTTTTTTAGATGCCTTAGCCCTTCTTTAATGAGTGTGTGACTGATTTATGTCATGTTTCTGTTATGTTTCACAGACGACTTTGCAGACGAGGAGGAAGTACAGTCTTTTGGATACAAGAGGTTTGGTGAGTGAAAAGTCTTTACTTTTCCGTCACGGGAGAAAAGCAGGTTCTAATCATAAAACTTTTTACTGTTTTGAGAACGAACTGCTCCGAATTAAAGCCACTAAGTGTGTGGGCTACTTTTCTCTCCTCTGCTGCTACCTACCTTGATGTATCTTCTCTCTACAGGCATCTTGGTGTAATTGAAATTTTTTAGTTTACACAAGACATTTTTTTTAATGTCAGGACAATAAGCAGGCTACCAGACTTTCACCCGACCTGGTATTAGGCTCTGTCCTGGATCGTTCCGCACAGTTTGAGTTCATCATAAATGTGGCTGACAGTCTGTGAGGTCCAACTTACCGCAAACCCAACAACTGCTGACATTACTCACCAGATCAAAAACTCTAACAATCCAACTTCTCCCTTTTATCCACTTAAACTAACCCACTGACTCACACAAACATGCCATAGGACCTCAAAAATGAGGAGTCACTTAATCTGAAATTGTCCCCAACATATTTCTCTCTGTTGTGGCGCTACACATGCAGACAGACTTCATATGTATTTGGTTTGCAGCAAACAAGCAGCATAGTTATGCAACTTAAAGCATGAAATCTGGAACTTTTTCAGCAACATTTTTAGAAAGTTTTCCCAAGTTGTGGATGAGTGAAGGAAATCAACACTTTTTTGCTTGGAAGCAGCTAAATACTAATGCTGATGTTTGATCATGGCTAATAATATGTTGATGTATCTTTAAACACATAACATTGGTATTGAGACATTTTCTTGTTAAGACTAATTGAAACTAGGGCTGCACTGATCACAATTTTCTGGCCGATCACCGATTTGTAAAAGGCTTGACTTGCCAATACCGATATTGGCTTGATACTTTTTTTTTATTTTTATAACTGGACAACATACACCTTCAATACTCCAATCTTATTTTAATAAAAAACAATACTTGTGGAACAATACAAACCTTTTGTGTTTGTTTTAACTGCACATGAGGTAGTTCTCTCAAACATAAATGAAAAGTTTAGAATATTTCTGTCCAAACTGCTAAATTATATCCGTTCCTTTAGTCTTTTATTTTCCACATTTTAAAAATTAACAATACTTGTGCAACAGGTCACCCTGCAGGCCTGTTTTGACCCTCTTGCCAAAATAAAGTGCACAGCAGTATTTTGATTTTTACAAATAAAGTAAATCACAAGGTTTGAGGACATTAGTAAAATGATAATCTACAGGACAAACTAACAACACAACTTAAACCACCAATAAATTGTCCTGAGTTTTAGGTTTCCTTGTCGTGGGTTCAACATGCTTGGTTGATCATGATCCGGATAACTGTTGTGCGTGCACACGTGACCTGGTGGGTGGGTCTGTCGTTTTGGCAAAGCAAAAAGCTACAGTGGCTGACTTTCAGACCTTTGCTGAGGTAGAAAAGATCGGTGGATAAAATCGTTTTCATTTGTAATGATCAGCCAATCACCGATCCCTCAAAATTGAGGAAATCGAATCAATCGGCCAGCCGATTTATCAGTACATGTTTCATTGAAACTAACTTAAAGTTTATCAAGAATAATAAGTGATTAATTTTGGAGTAACGTTGGATGTGTGTCTTGGTAAAGCAAGCTTACTATAAGTTTGGGGATCTATTTCTTTCATGCCAGGCTAATAATCCATGTAAACAATGTTCCTTTAACTACGATACAAGGTTGAGAAAAAATACACAGATATGCTCAAAGTCACAACCTTGTTGCGGCCCTTCACACTTGGCCCCAATCACCTGAAGCTTTGGCTCCAGAATATGCTGAGACTTCACCTGGTGTTCAGTATTTGTATTGCAATTACAATTTTCAGTTAAAACTAATTGGAATATATGCTTAAATATCTTGTACCTGATCGATTTGCAGGATAATATGAGGCATCTACTGTATCTTGACACACTGTTTAGACGCGTGCAGGATCAAATGTTTGAAGAAACGTTGCCTCTAAAGCATTAAGGGGACGTTCTTATACTAATAGACATCAGTTTCTCTTTCATTTAGCATATTTAAGAGAGATCAGTTCCTCTCACTGCCCCTTTTCTGCAGCAATCAGACTCTCATCAAGTGTTTGCGTAAGAATAAAGAAAAGGCTGGAAGCAATTGCAAATAATGTCACTCACTGAATCACGTCTTTATTACTCTCCTTCGAGACTCGGCACGTGCTCCAGTCGCCGCTCTCTTGATTCATCTTTGTTTGGGATCAAGAGCCTCTGTGTTTCATGTATTCAGGGTGTTGCTGCTGCATGACTTATTTCAATAAAGTTCAGCAGAGGTCCATGAAAGTGGATGTAAGGTTACAAAGTACAAACAGAGACGACTTCAAACTGGGTTAAAACACAATCTCTTTGATCCAAGTCATCTGAGTAGAGGCATCCTGTTTGTCTTTCTCTGTAAACGCTTTTGAGTCCTGCTCATGGATTCGATTAGAGGACTGCAGGGGGAGAAGCCAAGTCCAGCGTACTTTTAACTTTATTCAAATGAACTCTTGACATTCAGAAGAGAGTGCTGCTGAACTCCGAGCAGAGTGTTGTCGATGCTCTCTGGGACTCAGCAGCTGTTTGGAGGGGCCCAATCCAAGGGGCCGTCTCTCCCTGCTCTGGAGGTTTTGTTGTGAAATAGAGCTGCATTCATGCAAACTATCACAAACCCTCATTCTTCCTCTATTACCTCTATAATATCAGCACCCTGGGGAAAACAAGCAGTTATTTCCTCTCCCCGTGTTTTTCTGTAATTCATAGTGGTCTCCAAGGAGACTGTTGAAACTCTTGAGATAAATCAAAGCTGAGCCCCAAAGAGGATGATTTTTCACAGAAACAGCCACACTGTACACTCCAAAGTCCTGCTGGCTTGAAGAAATTAACATTTGTAAGAAATTATGATAACATTTTCCAAGTGTATGGCTGGAAAAAGCAAAAATACCAGAGGGCTGGATATAACGCCAAAGCAGACTTCACAGTTCAAGATGAGCCCCTAAATTTGTTACGTTCCCTAAAGACGGCCTGTATTAAAAGGGGGTTATTGACAGTCAAATGTGAGTTTATCAGAACAAAAGCTTCATAATGTAGTCTCCAAAATATAAGACTCTGAAATTCGTCATTTCGCAACACTTCAGGTAACCACTTGGTCCAAATATTAATCAAAACAAAAGTAATAAGGCGCTTGAGCTGAGGAGAAGACACTCCTGTAGAAGGAAAAGTTAGCTCACTGCAGACAGGCAACCACTAGCATGGCCCTCTGTGGACACAGAGATCAATATCACGAATAATTAAACATCTTACTTTGACCAGGTGACGTGATTGTGCTCTGAGGGGTGTTACCTTTGGTCGAGGACACTGTTTCACTGTAGTTTGTGGTGCATTTGACTTCTTTTTTGCTCTGTGTCTCTCTAAAGCCAAAGTCTGTCCAAACAGCAGAGACAGCATTATCACTTGATTCGAGCTGCTGGAGTCGCTCAGCTGGCTCGGTGTTTGAGTTCTTCACTATGTGGCAGATATGAATGAGGACAAGTCATGTAACTGCATATGCTGTTTTTATTTTTTTTTCGTGGGGTCAGTATGTGAATGCATAAAGTAGAAAAGTTTTTAATTGTCAATTTTGGTTAATTTGTGATTAGGCTAATATTTGCAGGTCAGCTGTTACACTATAATGCACAAGTCAGCTGCTGTTGCTCAACAGGTACTTATTGATTGACTTTTACTCACTGATTAATAGTTCAAGTGTGAACAGTAGGGGTGGGACAAAAAATCGATCAAGCATAGTATTGCAATATTTTGTCTGGTGAAATATCGTATCGTCTCATTTACCAAGTATCGATTTTTCAAATTATTTGCTAATACGAAGTCAAATCTATGATAATGGAAAAATAAAATCAACTTTTTGTCCAGTGAGGTTGGCAGAAGTGACGTCACAGAGCGGGAAAAAGTTAGTACAACAAATATTGTTTGCAAGATGTGCTACATGAAAATAAAATACTGTGTAAATAAGACAAACATAAAGGAAAGCCAAATGCTAAATTAGCTTAACAGTTGAAAATAATGTATAAATCTCAATTTATTTGATCGCAATACTCACTGTCTCGCAAAATGTTAAAAATCACAATATTGTATCGTGGGGCCACTAGTAATTCCCACCCCTAGTGAACAGAAAAGTCTGACACTGCAAGCTTGTTTTCATACCTGACTGAAATAGTTTGAAGTCAGTGTTTGCTTTTGAAAATGGACTCTGAGCAACATAAAAAAGGTTGCACATGGATTGTAGTTTGTTGATTTGCTTAAACTGCGCAGATACTACTGTCTTTTCGTGCTTTAGCTTCACAAAATACAGGATGAAGACGTTTTTGGCTCGTGTGCTGCCAAGTTTTCTCTATGAAACGCATTAGGAGAGATAAGGAGCAATGAAAAACCATATGGTCTGATCTGACTTCATCTTTATGGGAGCATATTTATGAGAATCTCTGATGACGTCTTGAATTTCAAACGTTGATTCGCTTATCCCAGTTTTGTAATATCATCTGGATTCGCTGTTGTTCAGCGTCTTTACTGCTTTGGATGTAAATCATCCTCAAAAACAAAACTTGAGATGACTTCTAGAGTTTCTTAAAGGACATTTTTCATTGAAAGGACAACATATAACATGTGCAGGTAACACATAGTGGGCATGTGGGTGAGGGTGTTCTGCCGACGTCCATAAAATCAGGAAAAAAAAGAGCATCGTCTGATTCTCTGTCGTAAAGAAACACTCTCCGGAAGACACGCAAACATCCCGTTTATTTACAGAGATACACTCGCATAGTTTGTTTTCCGCTGGTTTGTTTAGAAGAGGAAATACAAAGCTAAAAAGACACACACAGAGTAAATTCATATGGTAATCCCATCTCTCTTCCTGCCAGGTTGAAGTGGAGCTTGGCAGGAATTGCTTTCACAGTACTCGAGGTTCAATCATATTTATTTTTCTGTGGGGGGTTGACATAAGAAGGCTGTAAGAATAAAACAGAAAGCTTTGGCTGAACTCGTATAGCCTCTCTAGAGCTGGTATAATAATCGGACTTTGGCAGCCGGTAGTCACACTTGGCCACATTCAAACCAAGGAATCCTCCAGTTATGAAAAACTAACCAAACAATAAATATAAGTACATTAGATTTTGAGATTTTGTAATGTAATCTGGCTCCACTTTTGTTCAGATTCTTCATTGCTTTATCACAAGAATCAATTGGCAGGTTAACAGGAAATCAATCAGTGGAAGTTACACTGACCTGAACCATGAATGTGGGATTGTTTCCTGGAGCAGTGGACCAAAACTAACCATCAATTCTAGTTATGAACATAGAAACAGGTCGTCTGTACGTCTTAAGGTCGATGTGAAATTACGAAATATTCAGAGGCGAATTTTGACGTGCCTGACTATACACATCAAGCGCGATACAGTTTTGCGACTTTCCGGGGGGAAAAAAAGGTGCGTTCCGGGTGGAAGCGAGAAGACTGACTCAACAGCAGACTGACTGTTTTTCAGTTCTGATTAGACTCTAGTGTTCAGATGTCTGTCTGTCATGATAGCATGTACTGAGTCGGGGCCAGTACCAGATAAGAACATTAAACTATAATCCATAAACATAAGATAACAATCGAGACCTAATGGTGCTGTGACAGCAACGAGATTGAGTTTGACAGTGAAAATCCATATGGTATGTTGTATCTGAACAGGTTAGCTTACGAGCTAAAGTTACTTAGCACAGATGAAAGTTAAAACAAAGACGTTTAACAAACTGTTAAAGCACACAAACCATCGTCATATGAGAAATCCGACGCTATGACTCTCCACAAGTTGTCCTTCAGGTCGTTTTCTTTGTAATATTTGTGCTTTTTATTAAAAAGCACTCTGTTCTCCGACACATAAACAATCAGCCGGTCGGCCATGTGGGGTATACCGGTGAACCCGAAATCTGATTGATCAGAAGCGGACATGCAGTATGCCAAACTTAAGAAAATTCGACCGTGATACGAAAAAATAAATGCCGCAATATCACAGGACGGGAAAATGTTGCCGATGTGAACGCTTGTATTGACAGGATATGCGTTCGAATAATTGCATGAAAAAAACGCTCAATCAAACGCTCAATGATCAAATTTCACTGTTCACTTAGCCTCTTTCAAAACCAGTTTGCCCCAAACTTCTCAACATGATTCTGATGCAGGTACGCCGCACGAAATGATAGATTTCTACCACACATCAGGTCATGTTGAAGGTTTTACCTCTTCCACTAGAAAGCTCAAAAGTAATTGAAAAAAGATCTTTTTAAGACCACAGAGAGACTCACTTAGTGGCATTTCCATGTACTGGCTGTTCTCTCTGTTGAGGCGTAAAAGTTTTTCACTGGATTTGCATGTTGGAGTCAGATCCACTCATGAAATAACAAAGCCTTGATGGCTCCATGTAGCCGGTCCTCTTGGGGATCACTGATGTCTGAATTGGGGTCTTACTCCCTCTGCTGCCCCTTCTCCTGTTCCCACACATGTGGGTTTGAAGAGGCCGCACTCGGGAGGTTTGCGGCCGGTGTGGAGCCCAGAGTGCACTGATCTATTTCCTGCACTTGTTATGGTTTCTATGGTAAAGCCCAGAACATTCCTGGAGTCGAGCATGGTGTTGGGCCGTCTGCGTCCAGGACCAGCTGTGTCAGCACAGCCGGGCTTCGGTTCAGTCTGATGGGCTTCTCTGGTAAAAGCATTCCCTGGCTTCACAACCGGCTTCAGCTGTAGTCTTAATGGCACCTCACCCACCACCTCATCCATCCTGATTAACATGGAATCAACCAGGGTTATGCTGACATTAGTATTCAGCTTCTCTCAGACCCTGACATATTTAATTCATGCTGTCATGTGAGACTTTGCAGCATGTAATTCAAAATGTCTGATGAGGATTTTTATGCACTTTGCTGTGGTTTCTGGGACTTTTCTGCAGTATTGTCTTGTGGTTTCTCAGATACTGTCTCTAAGTTCTTTCCAACAATGCCTCGGTACATTTTGATCTCTTTATACTTTTGCAAAGTGTAGAAAGCATTTTTTCGCTGTCTGCAAAACCGCTGTCAGAAGTTTCCATTTGCTTTGAGACTTCACAGCCAGTTCGCCTTTGTACTGTAGCTGCACTTATTCTGTGTGGGAGATATTCGTCTTCTTTATTGACTTTTCTCTTCTCGTACTTGCTAATATCGACGTTTCCTTTCATGTGATTCATAAAGTCTGTCAGATCACAAGTCTTATGTCTAGTTGTGGTTGTGCGATCGAGTCCTGGTCTCTGGATGCTTTGGGAGAGAGAGAGCAGGGAAAGAGATGAACCAGTGTTTCCAAGGCTGTCCAATCAATTACCGATCTTCGCAGTTCAAAGTAAACGTGTTTACACCCTGGTTCAAAAAACCATCACACTTCATGGGGGTCAGTTAGAAAAAACACATTTTTTTTAGCAAGGAGGCTAATTGACCACCTTAACTCAACCTCTTCGCCTCAGGTTGACCAAAAGTTAGGCTGACTCAGCTTTTCGAATAGGGCTGGGTGATAAACTGAAAATTCACAGATACCGAAATCTACAACAAGAACCAACATAATTTTGCCCATATCAATATATTCGTTGTCAAAAAAATAAATAAAAGTTGTTTTTGGATGTGTGTAGGTAGGCTATGGTCTCATGTCTCTTTAAAGGGATATTCCAGCGTAAAATTAATTTAGGGTCAAATACAATGTCACACTGAGTCAGAAGCGCTTGCTTCTCTAGTTACACCAACTTTAGTAACGACCGCACGATAGCAATACACAGCGGTCTGAGGAGCCATAAACAAACCTCGAAGTAGACGTAGTCAAAGTGGGAGGGAGTGAGCAGCTTGTGGAGTAGTTATCGTCCATTTATTGTTATCGGGGTGAACTGCTCAATATATCGATATTGATATTGATTTGAGGCCGTATCGCCCAGCCCTATTTCCAATATGGTGACCACCACAGATCGGCTTCAAAACTACACAACTATATCCATGCTCTTTACAGTCTTCAGTTACAACAGTCGCCTCTCTAATTGGCACCAAAAGTGAGTTAAAGTCAATCAATTGTTGCACGTTAGTATTTCTGATACACTGAAATAAAGCTTACGTTTAAGAGAAAAGTGCTGTGTAACATTACACATTACAAAATTTAGACTTGAAAGTCACCACACATAATTTAAACTTAAGATACTGAGGTCCTGACACAGCTTGATACCCGTGAAGCTGAAAAAAAAAAGAAGTTTGAGTTACTTTGAAGAGTATCACAGCGATTTTCTCATGTCGAAACGAGCTCTAGTGGAAACAGAGACACAGCGGGTGAAACACCTGCTACAGAGAGGAGACAGAGACGGAGAAACTCTCACTGCAGTCAGCTGCAGAAACAAGGCAGACTTGCAATAAAATACAAGGTTTGTCTGACTTTTAGGGGCTGGTGTCTGGCAAAAATTAGGGAGTATGAATTCCCTTCTGGGTTAGCCATCACTGCTGTCATGTGTTTTATTCATAACCTTCATAGTGAAATCATTAGTGTTGAATTTATATAACTTTTGCCACATCATTATAAATTCTCAGCATAAAAGTTGAGCTATTTTGAACCAGTTGAGCTATACCTTTTTTTTGAAAAATCATGGCTTTTCAGTAAAAATTGTTAGTTTTCTTAATTGGGAAGAGAGAGGATCAAAGTATGAGGAGACAGAACACATTATACCCCCCGAGTAAGTCGTGAACAAAAAAGCTCCTCACACAGTTTCTCATGCCGAGCTACAGAGGGAGAAGACAGATCATGTAAATAACTTGTAGCAGGTTGTTAAAACCAAAGCCTCCGTGGTGTAAACACAAAGATGATGTACATACCAGGGATGAGGGATTTCCTCGTATCTGGTTTTTTGGAGACTCTCACACTCCCAGACAGACGGGAGGACAGATAACACCAACATACAGAATGAGCCTGAAGAGCAGGGGGTGCTGGGCAGGAGGGTATTTCATCCCAGGAGACAAGGGAGGGAGTGAAAAGGAAGTGGGAGAAGGTGGAGGAGACACAGCCGGTTGTAGAAGAGGAGTAGAAAGTGGGCTGATGGGTATGGAGAGGCATGAGAGGAGCTCTTTGTAAGGAGGAGATAAGGTGTGTGTGATTCAAACTACACACCTTTTAATGACACAAGAGCATGTGGACCTACATGTTTAGTTAAAAAACGATGAGTTGAAGCGCAGCAGCCTTTCAGACTCCGCTCTCAGATACTTAGACATCTTCTTATCTCTGCTATAAGTCAACACTGTCAATGTGGAATCCCACGGGACGGTCCGATGTGAGGAAGGGCAGCCAAATGGAGAAATGGCAGCAGATCATAGAAGAATTTTATGAGCATATCCGCTTTTTTTGTGCTCTTCTCTTTTGAACAGCATGGTCTGGGATACTGGAGGCAGAGCTGGAAAGAAGTAAAATACATGAACACACATGCTACGATTCAAGCTCCTCATATTGAAGAGTAAAACAAGTGCAGGAGTGTTTGTTTTGTAAAATGCATTGCAGACATTTTCCAATCTGTACAATAATGCTGAAGGCTTCGATAATCAATATGTCATGGATAAACAAAGACTACAAAAATACGACATATTTGCATTCAGCTCCTAAAGCCAGAGATATATCTGCTGTTAACTCCACACATGAGTGCATGATGGCCGCCACATGTCTCTGGCATTGGTTCAGTCAGTGCGTTTACATGCACAGCTTAATCGGACGAAGCTCATAATTCGTTTTTTCACCGAATCAGACTTCTCTCCTTGTCCGCGTATCCATGCAGCTGAGAAAGTTGAATTATTGATGTGAACGTGTCCTCCTCCCCAAAACTAGGGGGGATATGAGTCTTTTTAGCAGCGCTGTTTTCGACCCCATACAACCGTCAACAACAACAGCAGGTCCGTGACTTCAGAAGTGGCTACGACTGCTGCTTGGCATTTTCGAGCAAGAAGATGGAGCATCGTACAGAGCTGTTTTTGTCATACATGATGTACTCGCTACTTTTTCTGCGGATGAGATGCACGCTACTCTTCTTACGCTGGTTTTATGGTACAGAAAATCAAATTCCAGTTGCATTATCTTCGTCGGAGTTCCCAATTATAGTCAGATTAAGGTGTTTACATCCACTTCAGTTGTCCAGTCTTAATCTGAGTAAGGCAATAATTCGGTTTTCTCAAGTGTCATGTAAACGTACTGACTGAGTCGGCTGTGCATAAACTTTAGGGCTGTCCCAATACGATATTGATATCAGATATTAGCCTGATATCAGCCAAAAACCAAATATTGGGTTATATCGGCCTGCATCTAAAATTTCCGATATCAGCACTCCGATACAAGTAGTCCATTCCAGATTCCGCTCCAGCACCTCTATCTAGCAGCGTCTATCTATCTAGCACCATGTGATCACAGCAACCATGTGTGCTAAGGTAGCAAGGATTAGGAGTGATGTCGGCCCTGTGGCAGTATTTTTCGTTAAAGTCCGAAAAAGACATCGCAGCTGACTGCAAAACCTGTCATGCACAAGTTTGTGTTAATATCGGATCTATATTGGTAGTAGCCGATACTGAAGGCTACAATATTGGTATTAGATCAGAAGTAATGCAAATTTGAAGCAACTAGCAGTCCAAGTAAAGAGACCATCTAATTGATCATCAGTTGAAGCAGAAATCTACCTCTGATATTGTTTACTTTCCCGGTCTGTGGATTTAATCAGTTTTCCGTGGCTTGGACATGTTAAATAAGTACGCTGATACCTGTGTGCTTTAATGATTTGAGCAGAGGTAGAGTAACCAAGGCTAAGTTTCATTGTGTTTTAGGATCACTGTCAGTTCTGTAAACTTTTTTATTCATGCTCTCCACCCCCGCCTTCCTTCCCTCTCTCTGTTACACCTTCATTAGACCGAATAAAACAGCGGTAACATGACCCTGGGCGATAGATGTGAAGAGCAGGCGTCTTTTGGTGATGTTTTTGCCAGAGCACCACATGTGCAGGTGGTTAGCTGCTATTTTCAATCTCGCCTGTGATCATCCGAGTGTCGGTGACTTGTCCGACTCACCTTTAAGAGTGAGGGAAAGCAGCAAAGCCCATCACAGTCCCCCTCTAGCTCTCTCACATAATAGCTCTGGTGTCCTTGATATGACCCACATGCAGATGTCAGGGGAGGGTTTTCTGGAGTTCAGTGCGGCCTCTATTTAAGTGCCTTTAAGGGGGTGTTTAAACAGAGGATCTGAGTCATTCATTTAGAAATTAAATTAAAGAATAGCAGAGCACAGAGAAGGTCCTCCAAGACACCTGTGTTCCTGAAAGGCCTCCTGTGAAAACACGTGCAGCTCTTTGTTCTGCAGGGTTCAAGCTAGCACATTTATATCTACATCCCCTCCTGTGTATGACTGCCGTACAATAACAGTAACACACACAACATCACACTTTTGTAACACAAACTAAAAACTTTTATTTATGTGAGTCACAGAGAGCTCTCCAGCACCTCCGGCAGCAGAGCACACAGGCACACTTTTACGATGAATTAGGGGATTCTAATTTTTCCCCTTTTAGTGTTAGTTATAAAACCTCCTAAATCTGTTTTTTAACAGTCCAGCGTGTTAATGAAAGGGGGAAAAATGAGTGAGGCCTTCGCCAAAGTCAACATACTGCTTCCTGGTTTGCAAAAGGGAGTTGAAGCGTAGAGGACCAGCGCTCAGCTCCAGAGTTTGTCTCCAAAACTCTGTCAGATTCGTAATGACTATCACATTTTCCATGTGTGGTAAAGACTGAACTAAATTCATTTTGTGGCACCTTTCCAAGCTTTTCATCCATACATATGGTTTATTGATACATAAAAAATTAAAGAGGTCATGTTTTTTTCTTCTGTTCGCTCAGAAATAACACATATGTTTAGATTTGAATATACAGAATACGATACACGCATTAATAATTGTCTTCATTCAAAGGCTCTATATGTTCAGTCCTTTCAGCACCCATGTGGTACAGAAATATAAGTGCCTGTAATGACCTCAGAAAGTATGTTTTTTAAGTTGTGTTTGTGTGTGTGTGAAGATAAACTCAAGCAGATACAGCAATCAGTGTAAAGTATCAATATCAGCAAATACCCTGTTGATAAATGTCAGCACTGGTTGCAGTAGCTAACATAGTGTACGTATCTGTCAGCAGGATTTAATTTAAGCCCCATGTAGTGGTTTTATATTATATACTTTTCAGTTTTTGGCTGATGATTTGGCTCCTTGGCTCTTGCAGAGTCAGCTCGTAGCTCTTTGGAGCTAATTGGAGGCAGGGTTCCTACACAGTTGGTATTTCCATACTTTTCCATACCCGACTTTTTAGAATTATTTTTGGAACGACCTAATTTTCTATTTTAGAAAACAGTATTTAAAACTGTGGTAATATAGTCTGTTAACATAAATATTTTTCCATATTTTATTTTTCATTTACCATCCTTTTTAAGACCTGGAAATTGATCAAATTACTTCCATAGTTTTCTATACTTCCCATACTCGTGTAGGAAACCTGTGGAGGTAACAACCCATGCATCTCCAGATAAATACAAAAATTGAGATTATAAAGCAGTGTTAACAGTGTCCTAACAGCGTTAAACTTGGTAAAAGATGAAATCTTCAAAAAGTAATCTTAAGAATAATTCTGATATTTTCAATTATTCTCCCAAGTTTCAGTTTATGGAACAAAATTTGCTTGTTCTAGATTGTTAATGTAAACATCACCTGTTCTTAAAGCTACTGTAAGGAGTTTTCCACATTTTTTGAAATAGACTGAAATTCAGACTGATACATTTTTATAATAACCAAAATGACACAAGACCACAAGGATCTGGATTGACAATTTGTTTATTGATATTTTTAAGGCCTGAAACTGGTGTCAGGGGGTAGGTGTCAGCCGAGCAGCTAAATTAACAATTTGGCTGTTTTTACAATTTCTACAGCAAATATCAACAACCAGTAATACATTTTAATTGTCAAAATTCATCAGCATGAGATTTAAAAAATACAACTGAAGCATTTAGAAGACAAAATAAGAGAAGACTGCATTGTCCAGAGGGGGCCCTAAAATATACATGAAGCAAAAGTTCCTTACAGGAGCTTTAAATGAAGATTTTAAAGCAGTCAGTCTCAGTACAGCACATGTTGCTGAAAAACCTGCGCAGACGTAACAGTCTGATATGAAATTGTTTTGCTGTAATCAGATCTCCCAGTCAGAAGTAATAAAACGATGATTTTGCTCCCTGATGACGTCAGCGCAGCACGGGTTAAGCTCTTCCTCCCTCTGGAGAGAAGTTTCTCCTCCCAGAACTTTGTCCGAATTAGCCAACACAAACAGCAGAGTCTTTTAATGCAATTGTCTGGTGTTGATTACCGCTTTCAGTGAGTGGTATCGCCTCCGTTTAATTTTCTACCCAGATGTCAGACAGCTCCTCCCGAGCCTTGATTCTTCATCTTGACTGCAGGCTGCTCTGAGGTAGAAGAGCATGTCACACTGGCGTCTGGAGAGGATCCGTCTGAACAGATTTTGGCAGAAGGACTTCCTCTTCTTCCTGACCAGCGGTGAGAGGAAGACGGCTCGTTGTCATTCAAACTGACAGACCACACCTCCGCATTTGACCGCAGACGTGGCAGGCCACCCAGAAGGGACTCCAACACCCATGATGCTACAAAACAGAGAGGATTTCCATTGTTAACCACCTCAGAGAACATCACTTTGCTCTAAAACCTGTTCTCTTTGTACTTTGTCTTGCTGACTTTGGATGAGTTGAGTTCATGTGGTTTTCTTTCATTTTTCAACTCATCTGAGTGATCATAACTTTTCTGAATTTTCCATGCTCCTTTTAAGAGTCTGTCTATTTTCAGAGTTCTTCTTCACGACAAGCTTTAAGTTATTTGTATAGTAAAAAATAGATTTGTTACAACATTACATGACCAAAAAGAAGAAGCAGTTTTATCCTCCATACATGCAGACATTTCCAAAGAACAGGCCCAAAACCATCCAACCACCTGAGAGATGACAAACCACAGTCTTATTCACATTTTCAACCCTTCATGTTCGCTCAAGGCCGCTGTTTAATGATAGAGCTTCTTATTACGCGCAAACCCTAAATCACAATGTGGCTTGCTCCACAGTGACCATAATGTTATACCGACATTGCCCACAAGTGACACCAGAGCAGGAACCCTCAAGTCAGTCAGAAAACGTCAGCCCGGAGCACAAAAGCGTGGTTCTTCGGTTTAGATCTGTCCTCTGTCCACATGGCGGAGTTCAGGACTGATGTGGCTAATGTGGTGATGAGTTTGGCTGAAGTTGGCGTGGTCTCTAAAAACCCCGTCCGACTGAGGCTTTCCCCAAAAGGTTTTCTTGAAGTATCCCAAAAATCTGCACAGCTCTTGAAAACCTCCCTGGTTTGGTCTGACAGCACATAAAATCATATTGAGCAGCAACTGATCGGATTTATCGTCCCTGTAACTTTCAAAGTCTGTGGCATTTTCTTTTTCATATTTAAGTCTTTAACACTGTTATAACTCACTCCATTTAGTCAAGTCTTTACATCATACACCATCTTTAATTCTCCTCTGTCACCTCTGTCCTATGATATGATTAGAGTCAGTCCACCTTGGTCTATGATTGAGATATTATCAGTTGTCATAGCGATGGTCTGATATCAAGAAATAGCAGGTTATTCCTATTATGGAACAATCTGCATCTAGTGCCAAACACAGCTGTGTAATCCAATGAGTGGTTTTCATGTCCAAACAGTGCATGGCTAAATACTGAATCAGTTAAAGGGATATTCCAGCATAAAATTTATTTAAGGTTAAACACACCATAACACTGAGTTAGACACCCCCTTGAGGGATGAATGTTATCGACCGCTTGCTTCTCTAGTTATACCAACTTTAGTAACGACCGTACGATAGCAATACACAGTAGTCTGAGGAGCCACAAACAAACCTCAACCAAAACGCCACTCTATAGCCACAAATAATGCTCAGAACAGCACCTAACTTCATCAACAGGACATATAGGGTCCCAGCCACAGCACTAGCCACCAAACATCTTTTTAACTTTGCCTAATTTCTTTCGCAAAGAGACTAAACACAACTCACCTACTCTCTTCCAGCAGCCACTTGTTTGTAGTGGGACCTTAGGCCAGTCAATTACGGACTACAGCGGGGTGACGCAGCTCAAGGAAGAACATTATAATTTCTTCATAGAAATGCAATCAGACTGAGATGCTAAGGCAGAAGAACTACCACGTCTGCAGTGCAAAATGATTAATATGATGATTATTACTTCAAGGAAGCAGCAGTCGGCAACATTCATCTCTCAAGGGGGTGTCTAACTTGGTGTTTGAGCCTAAATTTATCTTACGCTGGACTATCCCTTTAATGCTGTACAGTTAAAGCAAGTGTGTCATGTTTTATTTATTGGCTGACATCTTAAGTTAGTTCTGTAGTGGTTTATAGTCTTGTGGCTCTGGTGGTTTTTGGACTTTTTTCTCAAACACAAAGAGATAGATTTTATGTCCCTTGAACAACATTTTGTGGTTTATTATCTCAGCTGCTCATCTGAGGGAAAACTTAAAATTGTTTGTTTTATTTTTGGTTTTCTCCGACTGGCGACATTTAGCTGTTTGTTTTTCTTTGAAGCACTTTGCCGGGGTCTGGAGGTCTTTGTAGTGGTTTACAGATTTTGACTGGCACCTGAAACAACCAGCAGGAGACCTTACCCAGGAGTGTAGACATCAATCAGGTCAGGTTTGTGTGACAGGAACTGAAATTTTCGCAGATTTGACTCTGAAGGAAAGTTCTTGAAAGAAAATTTGAGAATTGTAGTTTTTCTTGTTTGCGCTGGGACGGGAAATGATCAAAACTCATCTTTGGTACTTTTATTTTGATTCTTCGCACTTGGTGATCTTTTTCTCCAGTTGACTGGCAGCTGATTGAAGACAAACAACCTTTGAACTTGTTTTTCATTGGATAAGGTTTTTCTTGTTGTTTATCTTTTCTCCTGCGCTCCTTCATTCCCACTTTGAACTCTCGTCTTCTTTTTGCTGATGGTTTTCTATTTCCTTCAAAGTTGAGCACAGGCAGGCTATCAAATTCTGGATGCTAATGTGATGGTCATTAGCCAGCGGGCCACACACACACACAAACACACACACACATACAGAGAAAGAAGAAGCACAACTTCACAAGAGAGCTACACTTCTAGGTTGTGCTTAAGCTCCGATGTTTTGCTTTGTAACTAAAACCCGAGTTGCTCCACGGGCCCCAAATCTCCTAGCTGAGTGGGTCCATTCCCGCTCCCCACTCCATTGTTGATGTACTTTACTGGAAAGACGACCTGTTTGTGTAACTACACCGAGCGCTGAGTCTGTGCAGAGCCAAGCGGGGCCTCTGGGATGTTGGGAGGGGGCAGGGCTGCATGTAGGGAGAGGTTGTGGATGCTGCCGCCGCCGCCCGCATGCCTATCCTACCGCAGCTCATCTGAAAACCATTTTAAAGTGTTTATTTCCCCACCTTTAACATCAGATGGTGAGACACCATTATGGTTAGATGTGCAGTGGGCAGTTCAGCAGCTTTTTTTTCTGTGGATGTGGTTATTTGCAATGTGAAAAATGTCCAGTATCTTTTTTCTTCTGGCCAAGAAAATGCAGAAAAGACGCATTTATAGTCAACTATTTCATGAGGATTTCGCTTCCTAAAATTAATCAAAAATATTAAGGGGTTTTTTTTGGCCATTTTTGCCTTAGGTCAGCTGAAGAGAGACAGGAAATGTGGTGAGTAGAGAGTAGAGAAGAATCAAATCAGCAACTGCCACAAGGAGGACAAAAGCCATACGGGGAGCTCAGACCTGTTGGCCATTAGGATCCCCTTAACAAGTCCTTTTTAAAGTTTCTTGACTTACTTGAAAAAAGCTATAAAATGGTGGAGGATTCTCCATCTATCAATCCCGTTCATTTCCCTGGTGGTGGAGACCAAAAGCAGAGCTAACAGAATGGGAAACTTCATGGCTGTTAATGCATGCTAACGCTCTTCCTTGTAAATTTAACATGTGAATGAGCAACTACAACACTTTTAACAGTAAAAACTTTATGAGGTGATAATGTCAGCTCTACCACAATGTCAACAAAACACATTAAGCCTTAAACATGTCATGCATGAGTTTTTCCAGGACTGTGTTGCATCTCTCTTTGCAGTTGTTGCAGTTGTTGATAAATCGCCCCCCTCCAAACACAGAGATGTTTAGTCACTAAAAATTACATGCTACACAAAGATTAGCTCACATTCAGGTTTCTGCACTCTTACTCCAAATTATAACTCCTTTTACGGCACAAAACTCTAATTTCTTTCTTTCTAAATGCATGTCTAGTGCAACTCGTAAACTTGTAGCTGCATCAAAGAGGATGTGACACACAAGAATAAGATGTTTATGTGGAAAAAAGTCCTGATTCGCTCCCCCACAGAGAGGCGGCAGACAGTTGGAGCCTGAGAGAGCTGCTGGATGCTGCAATCTTGGTTGCCTCATAATCTGACAATGCCTTTTGTTGGACGTGTTACAGAGTTCAATCAGAGATACCCTGTCAAGAAGGGTCCTGATTTTCTTTTCCCATTCCCGGTTTTACATGAACAGTCTGGCCCGTGTCACAGTCCCTGAGAGGTTCTGGGCTCACTGTGGGTGATGTGACGGGGGTTATTGGCTTTTAAAGTTCACCCGTCACTGCTTCCGCTCCGTCTCCCACAACATTAAATCCTGCTTCGTCCCTGTTCCCCCATCCTTTCTCACTTCTCTTGCAACTGAGCGTTGGCTTTGTCCTACCTGTCCTCACCTCTCTTTTCACACCTCCTTTGCTAGCTCATAACCTCCTGAGCATCATGCCTGTCCGTCTCATGTGATGGAGGCGTCGTATGGTTTCCATCACTTGTAATAAAAAAGATGGAGCCTAAATCAGGCCACACACGTAGACACCGGGATGGTGTCGGTTTCCAGCAGAGCCCCCAGAGCCATCCCATGAACTCAAAACCCCGTGGCCTTAATTCTGGCTTCCTCTGCTTGCGTCATTGGCAGGTACAGCCTGAAAGTGAGCGCAGTGGGCATGTCGTAGGATGGAGTCAATTCTCTGAGCTGTTAAATAGTCAGTTATGAGGTGAGGTAACAAAGCAGCCAGGACCTCCACTGTGAGAGAAAGAGCTTTGTGCTTTGGCTGCGGATCGTGCTCAGTGTGTCCTTCCTGTAAATCCACTGTGAGGAATTTTTAACTACCTGCAAAACAAACTAAATTTATTCCTGACGTCTTCATACAATCTGCAAAAGCACAATATTGGCGCATAGTTTAAAGTCCCACTCTGATCGTTTTTTTACTACTTGAAGTGGTCTTTAAATCGTGATAAAGTTTTTAGCCAAAATTGCATTACCTGTGTCATTTTCTAGGATTTTTCTTCTGCAGAGCTCAAGTAGATCATTAGCAATTCGCCTCTGAGTCGTGGGTGGAGACAGTGCTGCTCTGCACACCCCTCTTCACGCTAGCTAGTAGCCTAACATTGCCAGTTTAGTAGAAGCAGCAGGCAACATAGGAGCTAGGGGCATAATGAAAGCCAATGTCATAATTAACCTTTTGACGAACATTGCAGTCCGCTAACGGACACGCTTGTTCCGCGATTGTCCTCTCTATTTCTTTGAGTCTGGCCTACATAGCAGAGCTCCAGGGGCGGAGCTTGGAGTTGTGAGGTAGGAAATCTCACTCTTTCTGAGTCTGCCAGAGATTCACAGCAATTTAAATACAGAAACACTCAGAAATATGATATGATGTGGTTATGATATGTCCTGTACCATCAGAAAAATGCCATATGAACATGTAAAAAACATGATTTTTATCAGAGTGGGTCTTTTAAGTTAATGCAGGCCATGAAGTCCAGCTCACACCACGCTACACTAGCTGCTCCCAATACCATGTTGGATGAGCACAGCATATGTCAAAATAGGCCCTCTGTTTGGACCCCTTCTCTTACAGCTCTCTACAAACCATTTTGACCCCAGATCCTTTTTTTATGCTGTCTTCTAAATTTGGCACCAATGCTTGCCTTGTTTTGTTTCCTTAAGTCTTTGCTGTTGCTCTCCCTGCCTTGGTTTTCCATGCACGAGCCTGAAACAAAGGAGAGATGTGATAACAAGCTGAAAGAGTCAGTGGAGGCAGATGTACTTTTGTCAACCAACTTTTCTATTTACGTTCTAGTAAATAAGAAGTCTTTTGGATTAAAAAAAAAAAAGTACTAATTGGATGGAAAGGACATTTTTCCAGTCAAGGTTGCTGCTTTTGAAGTCACTGAAAGTTTCTGATTTTTTCCAACACTGAAAGACACAAACCAGGACTCTTAGTTAGACACACACTTGGGCACACACACTATAACAGCTCATGATCCAGTGCAGACCACCTCACCCTACCATTGAGGAAAGCCGAGTGGAGTATGAGTCATTCATTGAACCATCATCTCCCTCCTGACTGTAAAGCACATGTTCTTGGAGTACAGTGTTAAAGGATCTCGTAAAATCGCTTATTTCTGTTTGGGTAATGAGAGACAGACGGCAGGAAAGATGTTTGCTTTTCTAAATAACTGCCGAAAACAAACAGTAAAGGCACGTAATGAAAACAGTGGAGTCCACAATCAGCAGAGAGGGCTGTCTTTGTGGTGTTGTGTAACGCGTTCGCTTAACCGCAGGAGAAGTACAGTTTAGAGGTATTTAAGATCACTTTAGTTTGTGTTGTTGTTGTTGTTGTGTGTTGAGTATCTTTTCAAACTCTTGTGACAAACTCTGTGTTAATGTCGCTCTTAGTGTCACAGAAGCAGAACTTGTTGCTGATAGTCTCGTCTGTGATTTTGTCTTTATTTGATCGCTGACAGACAGGTAATGTGGCAGAGAGGGAGGGGGATATGCATCATGGAGTCATGACCAGAAATCGAAAAAGAAAAGAAGCCTTTGTCTCTTTATTTTCTTCTTATTTTCTTTCTTTCTTTCCTTGTGTATGTCTTTTTTTATTTCTTTCATCCTTTTGTCTTTCATTGACTTGCTTTCTATTTCTGTTTTTCTATTTGTAATTTGATTTCTGTTCTTTCTTTCTTTCTTTCATTGACTTTCTCTGTCTGTTTTTCTATTGGTCTGAATTCCCTTTTCTTTTTTTCCATTCTATTTTCATTTTTTCTCCATTTCTTTTTCTTTCTTTCTTTCCTTCTTTCTCCCTTCCTTTTTTCGTTTTTTCTTTCTTCCTTCTTTCTTTCTTTCTTTCTTTCTTTCTTTCTTTCATTCTTTCACTTTCTCTCTCTCTCACTTCTTCTTTCTTTCTTTTTTCTTCCTTTCATTCTTTCTCCCTTCCTTTTTCTTTCCTTCTTTCTTCGTCTTTATTTTTTCCTTATTCCTTTTGTCTTTATTTCTTTTTCTTTCTGTTACTTTTTTGTTTTTCTCTTCCTCTCTTTCTTCTTCCTCTTTTCTTCCTTCATCTTTATTTTTCCTCTTTCCTTTTTTCTTTCTTTCTTTCTTTTTGACTTTTCTTTCTTTCTTTTTCTTTCTGTCTTTCCTTTACCTTCTTGTTTCTCTCTTTCTCTACCTTTGTTTTTTCTTCCTTTCTTTTCTTTCCTTATCTAAATTTTTTCTTTCTTTCTTTCTTTCTTTCTTTCTTTTTTTCTTTCTATCTTTCTTACCCTCCTTTACCTTCTCTTGTTTCTCTCCTCTTATCCCTTCCTTTCTTTCCTTCCTTCTCTTTATTTTTTTTCTCACCCCTCTTTCCTTTCTTTGAAGTATTTGAAGATAAAATGACTCGGCATGTTTTCACAGCACGTTTTCTTTGTATTTCTGTGCAGTTGCACAATTCTGCTCATAACACGTTATTATCCTATTCTAATAAACATAACTGAGGTTGGGGCTCTAAAGACTTCTCTCTCTCTTTCTGACTCGAACTCGACTCTTTGTGTTTTGTGCCCGCTATAATTCACTGATTGCCCTCTTGGAGTACTCCGCGCTCGGGTTCCTGGAAAGAAGCTGAGTGAGTGTTAGGCGAGGCGGGGATCCAAATCACAGTCTGTGTGACCTCAGCTCACAGCTCTGTGTTCTCATCCGTTACTATAGCGTTCCCCTTGCTATTTACTGTAAATAAACACAGTCTTTAATGAGCTGGGCCCATGTATCACCGCTGATTTTCTGTGGACATAATTTTGGCCTGTCAGAGGAGAATTAACGACCATGTTGAGAAGGAAGAAGTTTATATTTGGGCAGTCTTTTGTTTTAGGGAATCAGGCTGGTGAAAGATGCCGGCTTGGAGACGGTTAATTTTCTAAGGTGGACACTGTGGATTTTTCTTCATCATAGAGGTTTTGCACGAACAATGGGTGACTTTATCCAGCCAGAATACACAATAACAAGGAAATCCATTGACATTAGAAAAACCTCTGGTGCTTTGTTTCTTCTTTGGGTCTTTGTCTTTGGAGCATAATTGTGTTTGCTGAGCAGTATAAGTTTTGTGGTCGGAGCATCCTGGACGAAGGTTGCTCCTGCGGTCATGATTGATTGGATGGGACTCTGTCTGACTGTGCGGGGGACCGGCAAAGATGACGAATCAGTGTCTGATTTAATGAGCAGCCAAACTAAAGAAAACTGAGTCTCTGTTGCTGAACTGTGAACAAGGCCACTGGTGTTCACTGCCATGGTTTTCCACAGCCTTTTTCCACTTATTTCTTCCTTCGTTTGAACATTTATTACGAATCGTGTCATTCAATAAATTGTGTTTTTGAATTCGACAGGCTTTAACCGTTTCCATGTGAGTAAATCCTGACCAGAAAATATGCAGCAATGTCATAGCCAAGAGTTATTTGTCGAATTCAAAGATGGATTTTGTTTTTTAGCAACAATGTTTAATTTGGATTAAGTATTTAGTATTGTAGTACTCAGTGTGTTAACTGTCATCCTTTTTGGATTTAGCTGCTGGTCATTTACCTCCTTGAAACACCTTTGAATCTGTTTTAATCTCCTGAACACTAAACAGTCTGTGTTTACAGTGTAGTTTACAAAATTACAAAATTGTCATTACTTGACACAGAAACAAAAAGAAACTCCCTCTTCCTTTCAGCTCCTTCAAGACAACTACAGATCAAGACCTCTACAACACCCAGTCATCCACTGTTTCAGCACGATTTAAGTGTTTACCTCTCGGTCTATAATTAGACCCTGCTTGACATTTAAATGTAGACATTTAACTGCTGAGTAAGCCGGCTATCCAACCAAATTTAGCCGAGATGTCTGCAGATGTAGTTACTGACTTTAGGTAGCAGAATTCTAGTTATTGAACCTCCAAGATTTTTTATTCTAAAACTACGAAGTGCTCAATATCTATGTTGATCACAAGTTTATTCGAATTCACTCTGGGCAAAGACGAGTTAGCACAAAAACCCAAATGTGTCTCTTAGCCTTGCTCAGCAGTTCAGCATCTGTCTCCTCTCCTTATCTGTCCTCTTCATCCAGGAAGTGACCCACTGGGAAATGAGCAGCGAGCAGGTCGTAACCCCTGATCGAGGCTTCGGCAGCCCCACTGGTGTGTCGGCTCCGGGGTTGTAAAGATTACAGCTGCTCCAGCTGATGTCTGTTCTCCCCGTGCGCTGAAAGAGGAGCTGTGAAACCGAGCCCCCTCCTTTGTTGTCGTGTTGTCGGCCATGTGTTTTGCATTATACCAGGTGTCCTCTATGTTTGACAGCCAATGCAAGATTCTCCACCGTGCATAAGAAGCTCATAAATCAAGTTTGCACAGAAATGGAAAATCCTCTGGCTTGTGTAATAGTTTATTCCTTACAAAGTGTTTTGGTGTCCTTACAGAGCAGTAGACGTGTAAACACTGTCTGCGTGTTTGGATTGCATCAGCGACTTTGAGCCGCAGCACTTTGATTACTGTAAACTGATGATATGTTTGCTTTTTTTTAGTGGAAGCATGCATGAGCTGACACTTTGAACATCTGCACAGCTACACATGATCCAGATATGCCATCAATTATTGTGGCTGGATTCCCAGAGTGCACCTGTCTGCTTACAGGAAAGACTTTTGTAACTCCTGATGCCTCATGCACAGCTGTGTGAAGGATCCTGTGGAGGCTCATAACAAGTTTCAGTCATGAACCTCAGGGATCTCCAGGAGCTCTAGAAACTGAGGTTATGTTTATGTGTGTGATGCAAGACTCCACAAAGAGATTATTCCCACAATTTCACAGTTTTCCTATTTTGTATTTCCCACATCACTCCCTTTCTTCTGAGCTTTGGCAAGAGTTCACTGAAAGTCACGAATATTTGATTGCGTGTTTATGAAAAGATGCCTCGCTGTTAAACACTTATAAAGTTTATTGACTTTAACGTTTTTATTCCTGGGAACACATATTCAACGTGAGATTAATGAACAAATTTCCGAGAGCTGAAGTAAAGTATTGGCCGGTTTGTTGATCGTGAGAGGTTTTGATTTCATCTGTGTTGACAGTCCAGACCATAGACAGCCATCTGTGTCTGTGGAGGCATTAGAGTGAGTGTGTGTGAGTGTGTTTCCACCGAACAGTCTGCTTCATTTGGGTTCAGTATGGTAGGCAATTATTAGCATTTCCACTGTCAAACGTTCGGAAAAGTACAGAAGTAACCGATCCGGACCGTCTCACTTTTTGGCGCACTCCTGCTTGGAGGTATCATACAGGTGTCTGGGTCGGTCTTGTTCAAAAACAGATCTTTGGTTTCATGCTGACACCGGTTGAGCTGTGAGAGGGACACCGAGATGGATGCAAAGGGAGCAAAACACTGAACAAGATAAAGTATTTCCTGTAGCCTTCTTTTGCGAGATACGGGTCCTGGATGCAAAGGGGACATTTGTAAGATTCCTTGCGCACACCAGCAGTTTCAAAAGTCTGACCACCTGTTAGGATCATAGACTGTATATAGAATGGACGCCGTTAGTTACTGTAAGACTGGTTTGTCCTCAAGTCCTCTTTTTTCTGTACAGCTCCATTTTTAAAAGTTATTAGGGGGTTTATGATTGACACTTGATACAGCCTATGGGGGTACAAATATTGCATAGCTCACCAGGGGGATACGCTGTTTGAGCCGAGCATCATCATGGAGACTCTCAGCGACTCTCCCGCAAAATGCGTAGAACGCTACTGCGCAATGTTGGTTTCAGGAAGTGGAGAAAAATCGCAGAAATACCGGCGGAAGGCAAAACCAAGTTGTCCATAGTTTATACAGTCTATGGTTAAGATGCACACAGACATGGAAATCAGTTGGCTAAGGAGATGTAAGCAAGATCAGGGTGTGCTGAACCATACTGGGCTACTTGGTGGAAACACGCCATGTAAAGCCCAACGCTGGTGATCATTGTACAGGTGGAGTTGAAGCAGGACTTAAGCCACCAAACGAACATTGATAATGACTCCTCTGTTGGTCATATCAGCTACATTGACTAGTCTGCACAACTATTGGCCTACATGGTGGTCTGACTTGGACTGTCGATGGGATGCTGTTTGTATTTTGGCCTGTGAGGTAGCGGTGTCATTGGGGTCGGGAGAAAATCAACATCATAGGAGTATCATAGTCAAAAGCCTGTTTTTGCAGCGCTTGCCTCTACTCTCGACGGTAAACGTCTTGTTCTCTGAGGTTGGTCCGGGGTTGGGAATCCTCCCCTCTAACTGAAGTTGTTGAACTGAGCTTTAACATTCAACGGTCATTAAAAATCCTTTTGTACCAATAACAACGAGTCAAGCTGTTGACTTTGGCACCAGAACTCAAACTGAGACCTCGAGGAGCCCAACGGTGCTGCCTTTTGAATCTATCAAAGAATTACCTCATCTATTAAAAAGCACTCGAACTGGACGTGCGTAGAAGTCTTGGCACTAACTGGCCTTGGCTCTTAATAGCTTGATAAATGACGGTCATGTGATTGACCGGCGTTCTGATTGTCAAAGTCATAGATCACACTCTTTATGTCGCCATGTTGAAAAACAGCGATTTCTTCGTATAGCGAATGTGAAGTAAGCTTCATTCCAGGTGCATGAAACCATACCACCACCACCCCCCCTCCGCCCAACCTTTCCACACACACAGACGCACACTTCCTGAACTGAAAATGAAACGCAGCTGTGTTCCCGTCAGCGCAGAGGATCTCGCCACTCATCTGTCATGAAAGATATCCTCGGAAAAATATTCCACAAGTGTCCCCCGTTCGCTGAGGCCTTTGAGTTTGACTCCAGAGTCAACTTAAAGTGAACGAGAAAAGTAAAAGGTGTGGATATTCAAAAGAGTAGTGTTTATACATACTTGATTTTAGTATTCCTGAGTTAAAACCATGAGAAGTTTTTCCGTCACTGGGACTTAGCAAAGAGGAGAGAGACATCGCCTGAATAAGGAGGAAGTTTGCTGAGTGAAGGCTGAGTTCAGGAAAATAAGCATGTCGCTAAGTGTAAACAAGTCAGCGGGGGGGGATTGTTTTTGTGTCCCCTACCCCCTCGCCACCCAGACCCCGAGGGAGCAGCAGGACTCTTTAATGTAGACTCCAGGCCTGTTTGTCCAGATGTTGGATTTCTGGACATGGAGAGTCCCCAGATAACACCAAACTCTACCCACGTGTCCCTTTTAGACCTTTCAGCTCTGGAAAAATGTAAGTTATGCTGAAAAATGTGATGAATTATATGATATTGTTTTCACACAGGGATCCAGGAGGCCACCCAGTGCACTAAGTGTAAGAATGAATGGGCGCTGAAGACCTCCATCGCTCTGCTCTACGTGCTGTGTACCCTCCTCACCATCGCTGTCGCTGTGCTGGGATATAAAGGTAAGACTGATGAAGGAGCCGCTCTAGAATTGAAAATTTGTTTCATACCAGCTGAAATAAGCCAGAGTGAAGCCTCAGTGTAATTTACTATCTACAGTGAAACTACTGTCACTTCTCTTGGGGATTTTCTCGTCTACCTCCTTTTATTTCATGTACTTTCTAATACAAATGAAGGCAGAAATCACCATTTTTACCTCAAAAAACTTCAACCTCCTCCTCTCTTGGTTTCTCCCCTCAACCTCTTCTCAGTTTATTTTACCAACACTCCCAAAGTTCACACCTCGAGGGAGGGTCCCCAGGCTTTTTGGAACCGAACTCCCTGGTCTGCTTTTTTCACATTCTTCCAGATCGTAGAAACGGTCTCGATGTCTTTTGCAGAACTGAACTCTGAATGTTCCTGAAATAATTGTGTTAATCGCTCCAGTGTGCGACCTTCATGTCCCCTTCTTGTTTTCAGTTGTTTCAGTTGCTCAGGGGTTATCTGTGTGTCCCGAGTATACGTGAACAACGATGTCCCCCTCGCTCTCTGAGCTCAGTCCGTCCCGCTCGTTCCATGGTTCATGTTTTCACGCAGGCCTAATTGATGCCAGATGAGCAGCGAGTGAACTCAGTGCAACTCCAGCAGAACCCTCTGAAATTGGGTTTTTACTGGCACCGGAGCACTGCTCTGTCAGGGGAACCACAGCTCAGCCTAAACACACTCCCAGCTCCAGATGGTTATGTAGTGAGACCCAGTGCGCTCTATGCACTTAACATGTGTGCCTCTCTCTGTCCTCCATCACTGACCCACAGAGAAACAGCCTCTATGTGGCTCTTTTGTTTGGATGCAATTTAACCATGGACATTTGGCAGGGACTTGGTGACCTCTTGTCATCTCCCCTGTAGCTTGTTGTCTTGATAGACACGAGCAAAGGCAACATGAGGTCACTCCCAGGGCTCTGGAGGATTTAAATCCCATTCATTCTCCTCAAAGACTAAGAAAAACAAATGGAGAAGGCTATGACTTATGCTTTCTCCTCACTCCCTTTTGTGAGCACGTCCTTTTTTCTCAGAGAAAACTGGTGTTAAATATGACCCAGCGAAAAGTGCCTGGCAGATACCACTGATGAAAAATTCTTCATCTGAATTATTTCACTCATGTACTCCAGGAACTTGCCAATTACTCACTCACCTCAAAGCAGGAAAGCAAGGTTGTCGGACTTCTTCCACAACTTGAAATAAACTGCTTGAACAATTGAAACCAATAAATTTGCAACTGTGGTGAGCAGTCAAGAGTAAATCCCTAAAATGCCGCTCAATGAGAATTTCATCTCTCTTGAATCATCTCTGAAATTTCCTGTCTTGCATTCGCTGTAGGTGATGGAATTCACTTTTTCCAATTCACTTGAACTCTTGCCACCCATCGACATAGTCGAAGAGCACTCCACAAAGTCCATTTGACAGTCTGAATTTCCTGGGAGTTTGCTACGCATTCGAACATACTCGAGGCAAAGGATCAGGCAATTTTAAAACGCAAGGAATAGAGACAACACCTCGGTTTACTAGGGATGGGTGATAAATTATCATTCATGATATATTGTCAGAAAAATCCTCCATGATAAATATTTGCCATCTCATGATAAATATAATAAATGCAAGTTGATGGCATAAGCATGAGTGACGGACTCACAGCCATGGCCCACACAGAGCAGAATAACAAACAGGGCCGAAGATAATGAAGAAGACGTTTCTGAGCAGCTTGTTACTGAACGAGGCTCCGCATGAGGGATTTCCTTTTAAGATTTCCCCTAAATGTTGAAATTATTTTCACATTTGAGACTCGTTTGATGTCATTAGTTTTCTCCATAACCTAACACTTTAACTTGTGGTTAAGATGAGTCAAAAATATAGATTGGAATTATAATATTTTTTACCTGGACTTTCATTGTTATCGCCAGAATGTCAACTCTTATCGTGATAAATTTTTTAGCCCATACCGCACATCCCCACTGTTCACTCAAGGGCCTGTTTAATAGCTAAGGTTCAACCACAGGTCGCGTCTCAATAACCTGTGAGACAAAATCTTGGGTGAAGAAAGCCCACAAATGTCTCTTCCAAAATAAAAGAATTCTTGATAACAGTATTATTGTGTTGGTCTCCTGCTCTGGAGCTGGATTGTGATAGTTGGACAGCCAGAGGACAATACAAACAGAGATTTAAGTGCATTAAATAATGTGTGACTAAAAAAATGTAGGTGAGGCCAAAAACAGTAAAACACAAAGTACATTCATCTTGTTTTATAGTTAGTTTAGAGTTCTGGGGGAGGAAAACTGGTATTTGATACAACAGTCTGTGAATAAATTAAATCTCATTTTTCATGAAAACCATGGCTTCAAGTCCTGGGTTCATGTGTCATATCTATCTGCTCCAATATGGTTTTACACCCCACTTATTCTATAACTGTTTTTACTATCTCAGACTTTATATGAATAAGGAAGTTGGATTTTTACAAGACAGCCTTGGAAGTTTCAAGAACCACCCACACAAGAACTGGAAAGAGTTCAAACTGGGCACAAAACAGTTCACTTTCACAATATTTGGAAACATAGAGGGTTCCTGCCAAAGTAGCGCTTTCCTCAGCTCCCCTGCTTGTTTTATGGTTAATGTTGCCACAGTGTGATGCAAAGAGTCTCTCTGGAGGCCAATACATGGACAGAGCGTGTGGAAATGTCCACATGTGAAACTTTGCTTGTGTTAGTTTTAGTGTTAGTTTCCATTTCCAGGCTGGTGTAGGTCTAAGTTTTTGTGTCAGAGTGAGCAGATGATGTATCCTGTGATTTAAGGTGTCTCTGCGATGATAAATTATATTTTCCTCTTCTGGAAAGGTGTCTCATACAGCTCAACATTTGTAGTACTTCTGGTCCAATTTCTCAAAATAATGTGGAAAGCTGTTGAAAATGTTTCAGGTGACACTGGTTTCCATTGTTGTATCTCTTCCATCAGACAGATGTATGATACGATACGATACAATAGGATACGATGTGATACAATACAATGTGATACGATATGGTACGATACAATAAAATACGATACAACACCATATAATATGATATGATATGATATGATATGATACAATACAATATGATAAAATATGATGTGATACGGTACAATACAATACAAAATGATATATGGTACAATACATTATATAATGATATAATACAATATGATACAGTATGTTACCATATGATACAATATGATACGATACAATATATATTCAATGATACAATACAATACAATATAATACAATATATGATATGATGATACAAAAGGATACACTGTGTTACAATTGGATATGATATGATGTGATTTGATAGGATAAGATTTGATACGATACAATACAATACAATACTACAGTATATGATACAATATCATATGATACGATACAATACGATATGATATGATACAATACGATGCAATACAATATCATACGATACGATGCAATACGATATGATACGATATATGATATGATATGATACAATACGATACACTGCGTTACAATTGGATATGATATGATACAATATGATACGATGATATAATACGATAAAATACAATACGATATGATACAGTATATAATATGATATGATACGATATGAAACGATGCGTTACGATACGTTAGGATACACTGCGTTACAATGAGATATGATATGATGTGATATGATATGATATGATATGATACGATTTGAAATGATACAATACATTGTGTTACAATTGGATACGATATGATACAATACAATACCATACCATACCATAAAAATCAAAAAAAAGAATATTCCCTTAAAATGTTTGAAGTTTAACACAGATGGCAGAATACTAACTTACTACCATGCTGTGAAATTAAGGGCTGCTTGTAGTGCCAGTCTGCCATAAATAAAAGTCTGTGTCTTCATTTGGATGGATTGATGGACTTATTCCAGCTCATCTCTGGTGATCTGACCTCTCGAGGTGACCGACCTGTTGTTTTAACTGCTGGAGCGAACAGCTGGGATGCTGCTTCCCAGCAGAGGAGCCCATAGAGTTCATAGTGGACGGATGTTTCCCCCTGGCGAAGCTGGTGGTAGAAGTGGGCTGATTCCCCGGAATCCCAGACACATTCCAGAGGAAATGAACGCTGGTGTCGCCTGTGGGGGCGTGAAGAGCCTCCCTGGCACAGCGTCTGTCTCCTTTGGGCTGTCTTTGATCCGCCTGTTTACTGAGGACCCCCCCTAGGTCACTTCCTGTTCCTTAGGGCGCTTGCCAGTGTCTCCCCGTGCAACTCCAGCTGCTGCGTCTGTCATTGACCACCCACCCCATCCCTGCTGAATCAACGCTTCCACCTCCCTAACTCATTCTCTTTTGCAATCCTTCCTCCTTCTCTGTCTCTTACCTTAGATTAAATATCACTCCAACTCAAAATTCCACTTTTCCTACCTTTCTCCACCTTAGTCATACTCTGATTCTCTCCTATCCCAAGAGATTATACTAATCGAGCCCAGCATTATTACATGCCTACAAGATACATAGACACATCTCTTATATGTGTGTCTGTCGGTAATTTTTATTGGTTTCCTCGCTGATCCCTTTTATATACAATGTCTGTGGTTTCAGGCGATTCTGGTCTGGTAATAACGGAAGGATCCAGTGATCAGACAATGATGCTAACCTTTGTCCTACCTGCTCTGTTTTTCTTTCAGTCGTACAAAGAGTCGACAGTGTCTCTGAAGGTATTGCAAACTATGGAGGGAAGATTATTGCCGTTGAGACTGACTTGAAAAAGCTCGGTAAGACCCATGTCTCTGGGTTTAACATGGGGCAAAAGCTACAGGAGGCTGGTACATTTTTGTAATCTATGAAACAAATCTCTGTCTTCAGATGATCAAGCAGGGGAAAAGTCAGAAAATACCACCACAGAGATCCAGGCTTTTAAGAACAACATCTGGAGTCTCCAGAGGCAGCTGTCTGCGGTGGAGGAACGCATCCACAGCGATCAAGTAAAGCTGAGTCAGCTGCAGAACATTGACTCAGACATTCAGAACAGCCAGGGCTCAATTCAGGGATTGCTGCAAAGCAATACAGCCACCTTGCACTCTGTGAACGGCACCTTACAGTCCTATGGCAGCATCATTGAGGGTCTGCAGGACGACACGGCGAGGATGCAGAGAGAACTCCAGCAGCAGGTGAAACTTCAGGATCAGGCGCTGCTCAGCATCAGCAGACTGAACTTCACCCAGGCGCAGCAGAGGGGTTTCATCAATGTTTTGCAGCGCTCAGTGGATGACACCAGCCAGGCCATCCAGAAAATGCGCAATGACTTTCAGAGCATGGAGCAGACGGCCAGACAAGCCCGGGCTGATGCTGAGTGGCTCCGTAACCGAGTGGAGAACCTTCAGGTCATGGCTAGTAATCTATCAGCTCTCGCAAAGGCAAACAATGACAGCCTGGACGAGGTCGGATCACAGCTTGTCTTTATGGCCAACCAGCTCCAGAACACCAGCAGCCTGGCTGATGCTCATGACCAGACCCTGAGGGAGGTTCTAGACCAGCAAAGGGACTTCAGTAACTTTACATCCATCAAGTTTGACCGCCTGGAGGTGCGGCTGGACGAGACGGAGCAGAGTATGGACCGTGTGACCGGCAACATCAGCTTCACCACACAGCTCCTGGGTGCCATCAACATTAACCTGAACGGGTTACGCACTTGTTCCGAGACGGTTGGCCGTCACTCCGACATCTTGCTAATCCTTAACAGCAGCATGACAGATGCCAGGACTGATGCAACGAGTCTGAAGGCCCAGCAGGAGGAGCTGGCAGCACGTTTGGACAAGGAAGTCACCAACCTTTCTATTGTTATGGAGGAGATGAAGCTGGTGGATACCAAGCACTCACAGCTGATCACCAACTTCACCATCTTACAGGGTGAGCAATGAGGGGCACAAAGACACAAGATCTATCTCACTTAAAGGTGGGGTGGGCAGGATCAGAGGAAGTGCCGGTTTTTGGGAGAAATCTTGAATGTAAACACTACCCCTTCCAACCAGTTTTCCCCTCAGCTCTCTCTCACCAATAACCGATTGCTATTGACTGATATTAAAACCTTTTTTGTATATACACCACAAAAAAGATGCTTCTTTAACGGAATCCTGCCGACCCCACCTTTAAGCACAAAAATAAAGCGATCATTCGACTGGCCCATCAGAGGCCAGTGACAGGATAACCATTCCCCTCAAAATGTTTCACAATCAAAAACTTGAAAAATGTCAAAAACTTTGTCTCTTCATTCACAGTATGTCTTATTTCTCAGGACCTCCTGGACCCAGAGGGCCAAGAGGGGACAAAGGACCTCAGGGACCAGCTGGCCAGCTTGGCCAGAAAGGTGAAAAAGGGGAAAAGGGTCCACCAGGAGTAAGAGGACCCCGAGGAGAGCAGGGTATTCCAGGGGCCCCAGGTCTGCCAGGGTTGAAGGGTCTTCCTGGCGTACCTGGCAGCCCTGGTTCGAAGGGCTCACGAGGGTCAGGGGGTAGGGCTGGACCCCCTGGAACTAAAGGAGAGCCGGGAACTGCTGGCCTTCCTGGGAGAGATGGACAGCCAGGTCCCCAGGGAGCGCAGGGTCCACCAGGTATTAGAGGTGCAATGGGACCAGCTGGGGAGCAGGGGCCAAGGGGACTACCTGGACCAGTAGGGCCTCCAGGGCCAACAGGTCCCCCAGGACAGCCAGGAATCCCAATCAGGGTTCCATTAGTTCCTCTGGGACCAGTTTCCCTGCAGGATGAAGCAATAGCTCCTACCCTGTGGGCCCCAGGTAGGACTTTACCCATGAGGCTTTGAGCTAGACTGAACATAATTGAATTTGTCAGTAAAACGCCAACAGAAATAATCTCTGAGTGTATTTTAAACTCACAGATGAACATGTTTGACTTTGTTTTACAGGCTGCCCCTCAGAGTGGTCGAATTACAGAGATAGATGCTACTTCTTCTCCAAAGACCTGCACAGTTTTGATGACGCGAAGGCAACTTGTGAGTCAAAGTCGGCTTCATTGGTGATCATAAATGATCTCGAGGAACAGGTAACTAGAACGACTGTTTATTTAAAGTAACAGGAAAATATTCTCTGTAAAGACAGAAAGTTGTGACCGCTCTGTCATTTGTCCTCATGTGACCTTAGAAATGGCTGAAGAAGCAGACCTTTGGAAAGGGCTACTTCTGGATGGGTCTGACTGACAGGGAGGAGGAGAACGTTTGGCGCTGGCTGGACGGGAGTGAACCAGCGTTCACGTCAGTATCAAATTAAAAATTCTTCACTTATAGGGACATCTTATCCTGTGTGAATGTAAGAGGTGTTCCAGGGATTGGTATTTCGTTTCAGAACATTTCCAAACACGTCAGCTGCAGATAGCGGGACTTAATAGTCCCACAGGTTATAAAATCTCCTCTACGGTAACTTCCTCTGAGTGATTACCTTGACCTGCATGAACACTCTGCTCCTCTCACTCTGTTTCACATTCATAGACCTTTATTTGTTTTGAGTGGTTCAATTACAGAAGTCCTCTTTTTCCAAGGGTACACAAATCCAACAATTGGACAAACAAAGCAGAAAATTTACATTAGGAGTTCACTCATGAACAAATCAACTCTTGTAAAACCTTAGTGGACCCCAGAGATCTGCACACATGGTCTTAATTAGAATGAAAAATGTCAAAGAAATCTGATAATCTAACTTCAGTGTTTTCTCGCTGAGTCCTTTTTCCTCTGCTGAGACTTTCTACCACGCTTCGATCTGATGTGTGAACGCCCCCTGTTGTTCAACTGCAGGAAATGGAAGCCGGGTCAGCCTGATAACTGGGGCCACGGGCATGAAACAGGAGAAGACTGTGCGGGGCTCATCCATGAGGGGTTATGGAATGATTTCTTCTGTGAAGATCTCATAAGCTACATCTGTGAGAAGGACATGGAAACCTGTACGTCTGTTTTCTGTCTTTTTTTAATATCCAAAGTTCTGTAAGGAGTGTTTGATATTTAATGATTTTGTTTGCTTTCCTGCAGCAAGATCGTCGGGATCATAGCGATGTCTCGAGACGGAGCTTGCAGTGAGCAGCTAGACTTCCCCATGTGGCACTGGTCCACTGCCGCAGCACATGGAGAGTCCGTACGGAGAGAGCAAAGGGACAATCTTGAAATGAGCCAAGGGCTGCAGCAGATATTGCTCCAAAGCTTGAGATGCCTTTCTCTTCCAAAGTAAGCCCTGTCAAACTTTACCAGCAAGTGCAATACAGCGGGGCGACCAAAGAAGGAGGACTTTAACCATCATTAGATTGATATAAATCTAAATATTTGTACGGTTATTTGAAGTACATTTTATAAATCTGTATTCCATGTGCAACTGAATATCTGAATGTATATTTCATTATGCAAGTTTTGTAGGACATTATAAATTCTATGAAGCCAAGAGGACTTACCCTCGTACTTTTCATAAAAAATGTAAGCGGAGAGGTGCAAAATGATGCGCAAAACACTAAATGTCGCTGATATGCTGTCTTCTATGAGGAACCTGTTATTTTACCTCATGAATGTCTATATAGCATTTTCATTTTTACCAGTAAAAAAACCTATTTACACATAACTGCAAAGAATTGTAATAAATCACAGTCAGCTTGAGTTCTGCTTCAAGACTGCGCGTTTACAGTTTCATAATCCCTGTGACGTGCAGTATTTTGTGATTATGAAATTAAAGAGCTGCTGGTATGTTTAGGAGTATGAATCTGTGGGTCCTAGCTACAAGTACGAAATGTGCCATTTTCTGCTCTCAGGTCCTGTAAAGAAAAAAAAAACACGAGTAAAAAAAAAAAAAAAACACTTGGACAGATGAAGAAAACATGAATAAATCTGTAAAACCTCAAATTTGGTTGTTGTCTTGTGTTTACACTTTCATTCGACGGCTGATATCTTCGTTTGATCACAAAACTCCAAAGAATTGTAGAATTAATTTATTGACTTTGCACAAAAAGTATTTTCACATTTTGTTTTGTTTCTCTTGAAAAATGACTTTTCCAGTGATTTGACATTAACTTTGACTTTTTCTTCTCTCACGCAGATCATAAGCAAGAAAGTTGATTTTTCTTCGATAGCCATGGGATATGCAGTTCAATGACTTGACATTTCCTCTCAATCATTTCACATCCTGTTTTCCTACTCGAGGTCAATCACAGTTAACTACTTCAGCTGCACAGAAGATTGAAAGGATCTTACAATAGCACCTTTAGTAGGGGGGGGGACTAACAACCTTTTTATTAACACGGACACGAGAGTCTTTATATGAAAAAACACAACAGCGACTGAAGACTGGGTGCTCACAAAAATCAGAATTGCCTATAGAAAAAACTAATTTTTGACTCAATTCTGATCAAGATGCACTTTTGTAAATTAATCTGACACAGTAAACATCGAAGCAATGCAAAGGAAGCAGATGAAGCAGACAAAGTGGTAAGTTTGAGCCGTGCTCGCTCCAAAGGACACATTATGTGAATAAATTATCTTTAAGAAATGTACCTAAAAGCCGCTCATTTCACATTGCATCATTTACACCTTAGGTAAAAACAAACATACACAAAAGAAGCAGCATATTGTCTAAATGTAGATTTATTGTTGAGGTATGATAGAACTATGAATAATTCTCGTTTGACCTTGTTTTGTTTTTCTTGACAGTCACACTGTGTCTGTTTAAAATCACTGTGGTGGAAAACACTGAAAAAATACTGTCAACGCCAATTAGTGGGGAAACTTAAGGAGACAAAACTTACAATCTTTGGACATTACATTTCACATTTTCCCTGGAAGCCTCTCATTTGACTTTTTCTCCCTCAGACAGCTGGGTGAAGTTTTACGGTGTGTGTGTCTCAGTGCAACAAGGTGCGTTAAGGTTGGTGGTTGAAAAACGACTCAAGATCTCTAAACTGAGACCAAATATCAAGCTTCTGTCTCAAGCTCCAGCAACACTGGGACTGTAAACTTGTTTCCATTATTACCGCCCAGATAGGAATCAATCCTAACAATGCTTTTTTTTCTTTTCTCTCTCTGCAATAATATATATTCCTTTCTTCCATGTTACAGGTGATACAGCTCCTGCCAGACAGGTTTACGTCTGCATGGCTTTCCAGTCCAGTGCAATAAAGAATGTAACAGCTGATGGTGCTAAGGACGAGGAGGAGGAGGAGATGAGGTGGGGGTTTAGGGTGATGTAGATGCAGTTTGGCTCAAACAAAGGCATGAGGTGGTGGCTTTTCTAGTCATCCTTCTCCACGATAACTTCCCCGTGAAGCACCCTTCTCCTCTGCCGAAGCATGTGGAAGTAGAGCTGCGGAAACACTGGGGGAAAAAAGAAACTGTCTGGGATAACAATGTCAACAGGGAAGCTAGCTAGCTGAATCAGCATGGGTGACCGTTTGTAGAGATTCGATAACTTTCCATTCACCAAACACTTCCAACTCAATCCTCCTTTTCTACAATCAGCAAAGTCAATAGCCATGTTTACATGTGCAAAATTTCTTGATCCGATTAAAAATTTGAGGGATCGGATAATCTGAATCCACTGATTATATGGGTGCAAAATCAATTAATCCAATCATGACGTCTGTATACATGCACCAAGTTTTATTCCGATTAGAAGCATTTTGACATGCTAAGAGTTGTCTGATTTGGCGAAAACAACCGCAGAGAAAGAGTTGTATTTACACCTGTGCTGTCAAAAAACTAGGTGGTGGCTCACTTTATCCAATTCACGAGTTTTCCCCCTGTCACTACCTGATCCGACCTGGAGGCGATAGTTTTTTTCGTAGAATAGTGGGAGAAGGTCCCGCCTCCTTCGCCTCTGATTGGCTAGAAAAGCTGGAAACGTCACCACACGCTCAAGCCAAACGCGGGCTGTCGGCTCTGTACATCAAATAGAACATTATACCACTTGTAAATCTCCTAACCCTAACCCAACAGACAATGTTTCACAGCCATAAGGAATAACAAATCGGAGCCCAGCACTTCTAGCCAATCAGAGGCGAAGGAGGGCGGGACCTTCCCCTACCATCCTACAAAAAAAAAGTTCGCTTCCGGGACGGATCGGGTAGTGACACCCCTCGTTAAATGTTGTCACTAGATGGCACCCTTGTTAACCTATTTTACTGTTCTGTCAAAGGTCGCACTGCGTGTGCAGATGTGACATCATTACGCTGTATGTACGCCTCGTTATGTTATCCGAGGAGCAGACACAGCACCTGCGGTTGTGTTTTATGCCAGAGTGTTAATAACAAAACCTCCTGTACTAACCTCAATAAATAAAGAGTAAAGACCGAGTCAGGTAAGAGAGTCATGACCGGAATAAGTGTTTACATGGACGTGTTTCGGAATAATGATCGGCATAAACCATCCCTCTCGATCGGAATACAATTTCATTCCAATTGAGCCGAATTGGATCAGAATCTTCCGATTTACATGTTTACATGATGCATTTTAATTCCAATCGAGCCTTTATTCCGATTATTTGTCTGCTTCTACTGTGATCCTCCTCTTAATATTCTGCCCAGATATAACAAGTGCTACGTAGAAATAGGAAAAAAAAAACCTCCTTACATGGGATGTAGGACAACATGACGATGATGAGACAGTAGTAGTAGTCGAACGACACGTTATAGATGTTAGGAAGCCTCATGGAGTACATTCCAGATCTGCGCACAAACGGCAGAGCAGCGTAAATGGTCAGCAGTTCTCCGATAACTCCCAGCGGGTACAAGACGATGAAGAGGTTGTATCTGAGAGGGGAAACAGGAAGGAGTTGAATTTAACACTCAAGTTGTGTGGACAAGATATACAACCACACACACCCGCGGCGAAAACACCCATGCAGATGTTAAAACACTTCCATGCCACACGGGCTACACTCATTTGCAATCTTTGAAGGGTAAGTTTGATGAACAATGTACGCATACTGAGATATGACTGGTCAGATTTGAAGCTGCTTTTGTTACACTGAAGAAAGTAGAAATATCTGGTAATGAAAAATTTAAACCTGTTCTCCTCTGATCCAATTTCAGTCATCAAGTCCAGCTCATCCTGCATCCTGTCTTCAAGAAATGCAACTGCAGTTCCACCAGTGTCCACTAGAGGCTTCAGAAGGTAACCGCCTAAAATGTATACTTTTAACTACTCAGCAGACGTTCTACTACCCGGCACTAATTTCTTCATTTAAACACAGCGTCTCTTCAGAAACAAAATTTTTAAAGCTGCTTCCAAACCTTGAAAAAGAAAAGTTGCCTAGTGATGAGGAAAAGCACAGCTGGCCACTACATTAAAAATGATATCTCAGCTCTTACATGCATCCACAGTCTATCAAGTTGGACAGAGGCGAGAACTGGCTTTTGTTTATAACTGAGTACGCTGGGAGGCTGGGAATGCCACATCAGAATTTCGCCCCTAAATTTGAGATGAAGACAACAAGTTATTCCGAAACCATCCTCCTCCAGGCCCCCCACTCCGGCTCCCTGTCACTCCACATAAGTGTGAGATGGTCTGCCTCCTCCTTCTGTGACACCACGCAGTCTCCCTCGTACGTTGCATGCCATGACTCAGGGCTACAGAGATTCTGTATTTAGTCGAGACCGAGGCAAAGGCTCGGGGGAGCGTCCCGGCGGATGTGAAAGAAAACATTCCATGACCAAAACAGATGGTCTTAAAAACGGGAGCAGCTGAACATGAGCCCCTCTCCTGGGGGGCCGGCGTCTCCTCCATGCTGGAAGGAAGACGTGAGGGGTAAAGGGAGGGGAAGGGGGGAGTAGAAGTATTTGATACACAACAATTAACACTCAAACAAAAGAGTTACCGGCATGAAGCTAAATGAAGCTCTTGGAAGAGGAAGAAAGTACAATTTGAGCTGGTGGGCCTTTGTGCAGCTACAAAGAGACCCTCACAGAGCAGAGTCCCCCCCTCCTCTGTAAACGAGCTGATGTAACATGTAAACCTGTCTGTTCTCAAGCAATAAAGCTGCTCGCAGGGCTGACAGATGCCAACCCTGTGTGTTGGACAGCTATCAATGTGTACAGCTGACGTTCCTCTAAACGACTCCTATTTCAGCTCTGAGACATGCAGAGCTGGAGCGCCACGTCACAAGAACTCCCCATACAGTCAGAGGCAGGGGGGTATGAGTGTCATCATTTATCAGTGATAAAAAAAACCGACAAAAATAAGAATCACTTTCATTATTAGTTTTTTTTTAAGTTTTAGATTTGAAAAAACACAAAAATTGTTCACAGCAAACTTCGTCTAAAGTTCTTATTTTTGCTTCATCCTTCTATTTTGTATCGTGAATTTCCTCAGAATCTAATATTATGACTGACAGAAAGGCTAATGAAGTGCTAATCAATAAACACACACATGCTTCTCCTCTCTGTGCAAGCCAGGCGATATTCAATACACACACGGCGGCCCTGCTTCCTGACGTAAAGCCGCTCTCGGTCTGTGAGGGGGAAGCATGCCAGAGGTGAAATCGGCAGGTCAGACTGAACATGCTCAGACACAATGCCCGACACGGTAATGACAATTCAAGCTCATCCCCCCGACAAGTGTAAAGCATCTCAACCTGGCCCATTTGATGAAGAACGGCAGGTGGTGGAGCAGGTTGAATGTGTAGTAGGAATATCTGGTAATCTCTGTCATCGTCCATACAACCAGGAATAGGATTACACTCTCCTCATTCTGGATCTTCATTTAGGTCAGAAAACAAAGCAACATACAGGGGAAGAGATCAAGGGCGTCAAATCTGTACAGTGCTGCTCTTAAAGGCAGGAGTGTTCACAAATCTAAGGGTAAAACACCTAAAAGTATAACGAAAATAAACACTTTTTGAGTCCCAGAAAAACAAATTTAAGCATTTTTTTTATTCACAAATAAATTACACTGGAGTCTACGAGAAGAAAATATTGAGTTTGTTGCTGTGATAGTCACCGGTCTGATGCTGTTGGTGATGAACCAAACCATGAAAATCCGTGAACACACTTGAACCCCGGTTACGATCACAGAAGTCCTCACGATTCCTGCAGCAGAGAAGAAAAATAGAAAAGCAGTGCAAGGCTGCGAAGGTGCAAAATTATCTGCATTTTACCCGAAATCATGACCCACGGATATAAATCATTACATACCAATGGCACAATGTCCAACCTGTAAGACGAGACATAACAAAGGTTAGTTTCTTATTAATAGATGAGGCACAAATTTAATCGATTCCACTCAAGTTCTTACCTCCACTAGTGCAAAGGTCTGGAAAAACTTGAGTGTCCTTGCTATACTTCTGTACAGACCCTTGTGTGTGCCTTTCGTGATGTAGAAGCGGATCATTGCTATGGCCAAAACCAGCCACCTGTAGGAAATAACATGAAATTAATACATTTATGAAAATATGGCGATAAGAATTTGATGTAATCATAGATTAATATCTTAATTATCATAACAATCTTAACTTTGTGTAATGAAAGTGACATGGTAAAAGTATAACGCTATTATTTATACAATATTGTTTTGTAATGACGGTATATGTGATATTTGTAACAGAATCTGATAACAGTAAATTTGTTACAATGTAGGTCAGAAAAACATGCTAGAGTTTGTTAATGCTTGTTTATTTAATTCTACGGCATCTTCAGGCAATTTTCTCTTATATCCACTTTATACTTCTCTAAATAACGAAGAAGAAAGATTGAAACTCCTGTGAAGACTTTTTTACATTCATGAAATAACTGAATTTTACAAAAATATCTTCTCATTATATAACAAAGCAAAGAAAAAGCAGCAACAAGATGTACTGCTATTGTACTGTAATTTTTAATGCCTGAATCCAGTGTGAGGAGGTAGGAGTCAGCAAAGCAGCTGTAGAAATGACTGTTTTTACACTTCATACAAAACTATTCACAACATTTGACTGTAAAAAGTCAATAGTATCAGATTTTTTTTAAACTTAAGAGTGTAAAGGCTAAGATAAGCTAAGACTGCTTTGTCTTTCTCATAGGAGCTTTAAGAAATCACCAACACTGCTTTGATACAGGCTCAAACAACTCATCCCAATATATTTAACAAACAATGGAATAAAATTAAAGCTGATTTGTTTTAGTTTTATTAAGATTTAACTTTGTGTCCACATTCTGACACAATTCTGGGACAGAAAAGGGCCAGGCTGACCAAGGATATAAGGGGCCACCAATTAGGAGGTTTTTTTTACCGCTTGTTGTTGTTACTCTTACAATCTGCAAAGACAATGTTTGTAAGTGTGCAGTGGCACTGAAAAACAAATCATAACAAACAGACTAATCAATTAAACCATGTAAGCACTAATATCAGATCAGTTTTCAGTATGAAGACTAGGAATGCCTGGTACAAATTCACAAACCTACTTACACAAAGCTAAAATGGCAAAATGGCTACGCATGAAAACTCACACACTTACTTAACCCTCAGAGCATCTTGGGGACCCAAAGTGACACGGCTTCACAAGATTCACAATAAATGATGGATTTGACTGTTAGAGGTCAGCATTATATATGTTCTTCAGAAGACACCACGTTTGCATATTTTAGATAAGCAAAGACTGCTTTGTCCACAAGGGGGGCAGCAAAATTAACCAAAACAAAAAGTTCCTCACAGGAGCTTTAGGTTATGTCACACTGAAGTGATTTGACGGTTTGAATGATATTTTCTAACCAATATATATTTTAAAATAACGTATCTGCAAACAATTATAAGTTTTTGAATAGATATGAAAAATGTTAAGAAATCTCCACTTTTATCGGTCTCTCACTTCTCCTTAGCTGTTGTGGATGAATGTACACAAATATTATTTGACTTACACTCCGAATACAAAGTGCAGTCATGGCACAAAACCTATGAATTCTTTAATGAAACTTTTATGTCGCACATCTTTGCCAGTAAATCTGTGAATGTGACGCAGCAACACTCAGATCTGAAACAGTACAGGAGCGCACACATTAACAACAGATGATCTCACTGAGCTGCTGGTGGGATCAATGGTATTAACAACTTAGTGGGTAAGTGGATGGATTGAATATCAGGCTGCAACTGATTTATACTGACAGTAATATCATTGATCTGCTTATTACTTTCATCCATTGATTGTTTTGACTTTAAATCATTACAAAATAGTAAAACAAAAACTGGTGTTCAATTCAATCAAACCAATAAATTGAAGCATACACAGCACAAAGATAATGTGTTAACGTCTGTAAAAACCAAAACTTGGAAAAATAAAACTGTATCTGAGAATTGTTATATGACAAATCGCACAAAAATGGAAAGTTACTTGTGCAGAGAGTTGAGGAAAAAACTTGCACACAAATAAAGACAGCATCCTCGCAAAAACTCTATATATTATTCCACAGCATGTTGGATCAGTGGACAATCACAACATTGCAGCACGTCACTTTAAAAGGAGTTTTATAAAAAAAAAAAAATCTCACTGATTGATGCTGATCAGTAGTGTTAAGTTTTTGTGATCCTTGCAAGCTTAGTTTGTTGAAATCAACAGAGCAGTTGTTTACTACAGTACATTCAGTACATATACAGTACTTTTTGTATGTTTTATCTGTTATCTGTAGCAAATACTGTACTTTGGCCCCCTATAAGAAAGGGGAACAGTCTTGACTCTTGAGGTGTCTTTTTTGGGGGGTAAATTGGAACTTTTCTTTCATCTCTATAAGCTTCTGCCAAACTTTTGGAGTGCTTTCTCACCGTAATTTGACAAAAAAATGAAAAAGAGATAGTCAATGTCAATAAGCAACAGGGCTTCAATCTTTTGGTCACTTCAGTGAGGACAGTAGCCTCTGTTCTTGGGCTGTTTCCTAAACCTCCTGAGGTAAACCAGCACCCTCCCTCTGGATGTTTCTGTTGTCGTTGTTGTTGTTGTTGTTATAAAGGTACCAAAAAACTCTAAAGTCAAATTTTCAATTTTTAAAGTTGGAAACTTTCCATGGGAATTGACAGGAATATATAGGAATTAACAGGAATTAATGGGAAGGTTCCCTGTTGGAGGTTGGCCCTCAACAGGGAACTTAAATGTAGTTGGGGAAAATATATTGTAGCATAATCTTGGCTAAAACAACCAGATTTAATGCAAGTACACTCCTTAATCACACGCACACTGCTTACTGCAGGGCTATTGAGGCCGTACTTCCTTCATGCACTGTACATTCCTCCATCACATGTAAAGATAATTTCTTGAACCCTGGAGGCCACACTTTTGAGCCCAAAGCACAAGACATCTGAGCCCACAGGCTATATGAAGTCAAGTAGGTTTTGATAATATTATGGGGTAAATATATTTGATCTATAATATTATTAATATTTAACTTGCAAAAATTGAATAAATATAGGTACTAAATGTAAGCTATTTTTCATTTCATTGACCATTAAAGGGTTAGTTTATTGTGGTGGTGGTAGCTACCTCGAATGTGATGCTGTTTCTTCTGACTCCTGTAAGACGGTTTTCTGTGACCAAACAATAATTTATACATCAATTGTTTAGCCAACTATATTTCGGTTCATGCCATTGCATTAGTGTTTTTACAAGCTTTTTTGTTTTTTTATTCTACAGAAAAATGCCAGGTTCGCCATTTGATGTATGGAAGCATTTCACACAATATTCATATTTATGTTTGGATATGATAAAGTTTGTTTAAATTCCTTTGCAGATTCAGATTTAATCTCATAGCCTAAGAAAACGTTTGTGCCAGAGTACTTCTTCACTGTGGTTCTGTTACTTTTACAACCGTGAAACTCTGTATGTGTAGTAAGCTTCTTCTTCTCCCACCAATGCAGAAGTGATTTGTAACAACAGGTATGTGATTCCCATAGTTTTTGGTCAGATGAGCAAATAAACAAAGTCGTCTGATGGAGACGGTTTTCGCTTCACAAATGTTATGTTGTTGTTGAAAAATCTGCCCATTGAGCATTTCAGTGTCCTGAGCTCCAGTGTCAGTGCACTTCGGCTATACTTATCACTGCAACTGTCTGTAGCAGTGTGGGCCTTGACGCTGACACCATGCAGTCAGCCCTATTTGGACACGGCTGCAGCGCCAGCCTGTCACTGTCACCCAACGCCATTCATTCATTTTCTGTCACTCGCATGAAAACCGCTTGTCATTTCTGTGTGGGTTTCCATAGTTTTATCCTTCACTCGAGTTTTCAGCCAACTCCGGTGAGCCGCTAAATAAAGCGAGCTGAACAGGCACTTTCGACTTGACACACAGACACAGTCCTATAAACAGCAACACACGGTTCCAGTGTTTTAGGGAGCGGCGAACTTCCAGGCTTTAGTATTAATAGGAATTACGTACGTACCCGGCGGTCATGGCGATGTTGTAGAAAGTGAGCCATGCGGTAGCGAGGGAGCTTTTCGTCCTCTTCTTGTTGTTGTTTTCCTTCTCCTCAACCGTGCCGTCCTCCTCGCTGGACGCCATGGTACCGGGGGCAGGGTGGGGAAGTCAGGAAAGGAGCTGACAGCTGAGGCTGGTGGGGAGGGGAGGCAGCAGCAGGGTCAACCATCCATCTAACCACCCACGGTCCCCCCTCTCTCTCGCGGGACTAGTGCTGGGACAAGTGCGTGGCCTGCCGGTGGGTCAGGGAGTGTTCCTACTCAATATGTAGGGCCAATTAGGAAGCAGGTAGGTAGATGGACCTCTAAAATACAATAAAAAATGCCTATATTTTATCAGGTAGCCACTTTTGACTACCTAGGTGGCCCACAGATAAAAATAAGTTTTCCATACAGAAGGGGTGCACCGATCACAATTTTCTGGCCGATCACCGATCTTTAAAAAGCTTGACCAATTTTGGCTAATACCAATTTTTTTTTTAAATAACTGACAACATACACCTTTGATGCTCCAATCCTTTTCTAATAAAAAAAACATTTAACAATACTTGTGAAACAATACAAACTTTTTATGTCTGTTTTAACTGCACATAAAATAATAATCTACAGGACAAACTAACAACCCAACTTAAACCACCAATAAACTGTCCTGAGTTTTAGGTTTCTTTGCAGTGAGTTCAACATGCTTGGTCAATCATGCTCCGATGACTCTCACACATGTGACCTGGTGGGCAGGCCGATTTGAGGAAATCGGCGCCGATCGATCGGTCGGCCGATTTATCAGTGCATATATAATATATAGTATATCATCCTAATCCTCTTCCATAGGTCTGGGACCTTTTCTTGCCATAATCATATTTTAAGACCTGTCCCTCCATATCTTTAACCTCTATTCAAGGATATAACAAAAGTTGTCATTGTCGTTTCCTCACACCAGAGACTTGCTTGTCAATGTCTCCTCTTTCTTGGCCTGTTCATAATTAATCTAATCCCTTGGCATATTTTTAAAAAGTTGTTTCAAAAAGTGAGATAACAGTGCATAATCTAATCTTTAGTTTGATCCACACCAAAGTGTCAAAACGTGTGTTCAGGACTTTTTAGAAGGATTGGCGTATTTATGATCCAAAATTAGGATAATCTGGATCCTGGCTAGGAAGTGGATTCAGGGTAAACATGATTGAACTGAACCAACGATACAAAACCTACATGGGGAATCTAAATTCAAGATGTGGGATCTTTTTGTCTTTTACAGTGAAAATCTAAATAGAAATAGAATTGAATGTAAGACTGCCTGGCATTATGGTACAGTGGAGGAAATTTGAAAGAAAGTTATTCAACTCTTTCTTTGTATCATCTTATACTTGTTACAGTTACACAGTCAAAACTTGATTTTTTAATATATGACTCCTATTGGTGCTAAAAGTTTTTAGGGCTCTGCAAAAATGTTTGAAAGACCGTAAGGCTTATAGGATATGTGACATGATGGCAAACTGAAAAAAAGTGGTGGAGAGTTTTTAGTTGCATTTTTCCACTAGATGGCAGTATGGATGTGAAAAGAGGAAGCTTTCTGTGGCATCATGTGAACAGCAGCCAGCTCTTGACTATAGCCGCTGCCACACACAGGGGATGACCATTTATGTTGGAGATTTTGGAGAATGTTCAAGTAGAGTATAGGTTGATACAAACGCAGAGCAACTTGTATTTTAGATGCTCACAACAACGTTGTCCATCTGTTATATGTGGCTGATTGATGACACAAAGGTTCGAGCTCCAAAAACATTGATTCAAGTACAGGATTTGAGTTATAATCAGCCCTCTGAGGTGTCTACAATTAATATTCCCTCCAAGGTGCAAAGCAAGACAACCTTTGTTTGTATCCTTTGCAGGAGAGTAAAGGGCCAGTCACATCGCCGCCACACCAAGGTATACAATACCTAGTGCAGTGTAAGCAATTGAGTGACCAGAGAACCAGAGCTGTGGTGTGTGGAAAATGCTAGTGAAGGCAGACAATGCGCTGGTCTGAGGCCTGACCAGCCCTCAGAGGGACAGGGGTCGCCCCACTGCGACAACAGCCCCCGTCTCCCTCCCTTCTTTGTCCTTTTTTCCAGCTGCTCTCAGTATGGGTACGGGGAGGACGCTGAAGTTCGCCCTGTGTGAGGTGCTGCAGTTTGCAGGCCTGTGTGTGCCGCTCTTCATCGTCATGCAGAGGTTTGCTGTCATCGTAGCAAAGGTCAAAACTTCGGCGCAGCCCCCCGGCGATGGTAGTACGGCCTACTGGTTAATTGTGGCCTCCGCCATCGCCTATATCACCTCCACTGCCCTGCTGATCTGGGTGCCCCTGAAGTACATGGTCTTCATGAAGAAGAAGTTCCTCATTGGGAGGAAGAAGTGGTGAGTTCCTCCTGTCTTTGTCCTGGACGTCACAGGCCTCGGGAGTCAGGAATAAACATCTACCACTGTATGGTCAGCATGTGAGATCCCAGTGCTGCACTGACCTGACACCTGACCAGTTAGTTTGAGTCTGAGCAGGCCTCTATCTGGTTTGAACTGCACTTGGCTGGTGAATATCCTGAGTTAGCAAGTCCTGCAACTGCTTTTGTCTTCCTTCCTTACTTTTTTGTCTCTCCCTTCCTTTGTCTTTGTATCAGGAGGCCTGTGGCCCTCGTATATGTGATCCTGTCCACATTACCCAGCTTTGCCTTTCTCATCGCCAGCTCTGAGGTACATGCTGTTGATTTTTTGCCTTTATTTTTATTTATCGCACTGATTTCTGCTTACTTTACTCATCAGTCATAACCTGTTTGTTGCCATACTGTTGCCTAACAAATGTAACTGATATTGTACTCTGTTTTTTTTCATGTAAGTTCATCTTTTATCTAAGAAAGTTACTTTGAATTGAAAAGCCCTTCCTAAAACTATTTGGAAAAAATAAATAAATAAGTGTGAGACGTGTGAGAATAAAAGTGATGATTTGTGAGGAACCCTTTGGTTCTCGGGGGAGCCTTTCGGATAAGGAGCCACTGATAAGCAGCTTGGAACCTCTTCCTGTCCAAGCTGCCCTTGTCGAATCATCTGTCCATGAGGCGCGTTTTCACTTCCTTGCTGGCTGCAGCCCAGGTCCTATTTGCTGTTTTATGTGGTCCTTTCGAGAGCCCAAGTCTTTGACCTCTTGGCCTTTGCTTATCTGGCGTCTTTTACATAAGAGCCATAAATTCTGCTTAGATGACCATCTTGTCTGCTTTGTTCTGTGTCCTGTTGGTCTGAAGTCCTGACTCAGGAAAATATCATAGCTGTGGGGGTTCTGGCCGACAAATTCAGTACTTAAGAAGGTCAGGATTGTAGATACAAACACCTGGTGAAATCCTTCGTTGTTGTGGAGGTAAATTTGATTTGGTGATCAAACTGCATTGACATTAAATGATGTTTTTGTCTGTTCTCCCAGGTTCAAATAAACAACAAGATAAAAATCGACACATTCACAGAGCTCCCTGTATCACTGGTCCTCTTCTCTCTCATCTGTATTGACGTTGTGGAGCGGATACGTCACTGCAGACTGACTGGCCGTGGTGAGCACATTATTTCACAGCCATCTAACAACTCCAGCTTTAAATCTTCGGAGCTTGAAGTCAACTCAGAGCAAACCTCTTTCGACGTATGATTTAACCTCAGCAATTCAGAGACCCACATGTCTGTTTTCAGTGTGTTACCACTTGAAAAATATTTGTGCAGCTGAGGAAATGAGCAGGAAATGTCTTAAACACTTCTTGTAACACACTGCTGAATGGGCAAAACTTCAGCAATGTTTTTTTTCTCTTGAAGGGAGGAACTGACCTGGTTTCAGGGAATCCCTGTTTATGTGATATTCCTCGGCAAAAAAATGCATGTTGGATATTTCATGTATGGTTTTAACCTTCCTCCTGTGTTAGCTTTTACTACGCACCCACCATGTTAAGGGTCGGTTTTGACCTGTGTCTTAAATCAGCTGTAAATTACACTAAAAACAATTCTCTATCATCCAATTTGGTTCTCATCTCTAGGTTACCTTGTTAGGCTTCATTATATATGAAAATATTGCTTGTATTAGTTTTTAAATAGAATTGATCTCACATGTCTGGACATGCCCTACATTGTTTTTGTGCAAGGAAATACATGGCAAAATGAGAATTTCCTAAATCTCACATGATTGGAAGACGATCTGACTGTCAGTTCACTTATGATTTCAGTTTTTGCTCTGATTATTAGATATTAATCTAACCGGGTCAACAGCGACCCTAACATGACAAGTGCCATAATTTTAATAAGAGCATTTTATAATTTAGTCAATTAATTTTTTTTGTTTTTATTTTGTTGAAATAGAGGTTCCTGACAAAGTCAAAAAGTCTTGATGTGAAAAAGCTAATTTAAGTTGTTCTTTTAAGCATTTAAAATAATAAAAAGGGTTGGTGCAGACCCTAACACAGGAGGAGGGTTGATTGGTCTGGCTTACTTTGGTATTATCAATTATTTCTGTGTTGTTGTGCAGAATGAGAAGTATCTAAAACTCCCTCTGTTGCTGACTGAAAAAAAATGTTTTTCTAGATACACATGATGTAGATTTATATGTAGTTTTTGGTGGCATGTTTCATCTCTATTTAGTTGCTTTCTAAAACAAAAGTGATGTGCTATTGTTCTGAAAATCTTCCTTTCTCCTCTCAGCTAATGGCATGGAGAGAGATGCTGAAATCCCCTCCACTGTCCTCACTCACGTAGAGCAAGTAACACCAGTAACGCCCATCACTCCGGTTGTGCCAGGGCCAGCTGCGCCCAGGCAAGTTGTGCCAACTCCGATCCCACCTGCAGCAGGCCAACACAACAACAGGAACCAAAACGGAGCAGGCGCTCGACCAGAAACAAACGGGGCAGTCCCAGGGATACCAGGTGATTCTGGAGGACCATTTAATATCTCTGGCTTGGGCGCACGAGCAGCAAACACCCCGGCGTACCGTTTAGCTCCCTACACCTACACAGGTCCGATGAGGTTCCTGTGTGCCAGTGATGCTCGAGCAGATGTTTTTGTGGACAGCTTCATGTTCTGGATGGACACAGTAGAGATGGTTAGAGTGGCGGGACATCCCCTGGTCTACTACTCAGGCTGGGTGTTCCCCATCTACATCTTCAGCTACCTGTCCTGCCTGCGTGTGGTGGTCATGCCTCACAGCCCCCTGCTTTCCTCACTAGGAGTGGTCGTGCAGGACTTACCCTTCTTCTTCGTACGGGCTGGCCTCATTGCCTTCTTTGGCTTCGTCACACCCATACTCTACATGATGAAGAACTTATTGGTCTTCCTCGCCTTTATTTATTTCAACTTTATGACGAAGCTGAGAGTCTTCAACACAGAGAGGATGTTCTTCTGAGAGGAATGCTTTCAGTTGAGACTGCGGGACATTAAAACGTGGATTGGGTGCAATTTGTTGGCACTGCTAGGAAATCTAGTGTACTCAGATTAAGGAGGTGGTTGCACTAGCTTTTTATAAATTCAAACTAAGCTCAGTGACTTATTATCCGCTAAGTTTTAATGGGGGGATCCAAGTGATAAATGTGTAGTTTGAAACTAGTCAATGTTTGTTCTTAGTTTAACCCAAAAGGCTACTGGACTTAGTTTGAGAACCTGAGGACTATTAAAAACTATTTTAGGTTTCTATTGCCTTTATTTGGCAGGAAACAGGGTGACCAGGTGACCATATATGGGGAAGGAACCACAGGTTGGATTAAATCAGTTCATCCCTATTTATGGGGGCACTTAAACCACTTAACCCCCCCTCCCCATTTTTTCCCCAGTAATAAAAGTAATGAGGTTGATACATCATATTTAGCCATAAATATTTATATTCTTCAGGTATTGAGAAATTCTTTTATTTAAAGGGATATTCTGGTGTACAATTAATTTAGGGTCAAACACACTCTAACAACGAGTTAGACACCCCCATCCAGAGATAAATGTTGTCGACCGCTTTCTCCCTGGTTATACCAACTTTAGTAACAACCACACAATAGCAAAACACAGCGGCCTCAGGAACCATAAACAAACCTCAACCAAAACACCACTCTATAGCCACAAATAATGCTCAGAACAGCACCTAACTTCATCAACAGTACATATAGGGTCCCAGCCATAGCACTAGCCACCAAACATCTTTTTAACTTTTCCTAATTTCTTTAGAAAGGGGACTAAACACAACTCACCCACTCTCTTCCAGCAGCTGCTTGTTTGTAGCGAGACCTTGGGCCAATCCATTACAGACTGCAGCGGGGTGACGCAGCTCAAGGAAGAACATTTATGATAACTTCTATATCATTTCCTTGAAGTGCAGATACGGTAGTTCTTCTACCTTAGCATCTCAATCTGATTGCATTTCCATGAAGAAATGATCATAAATGTTCTTCCTTGAGCTGCGTCACCCCGCTGCAGTCTGTAATGGATTGGCCCAAGGTCTCGCTACAAACAAGCGACTGCTGGAAGAGAGTGGGTGGGTTGTGTTTAGTCCCTTTTCTAAAGAAATCAGGCAAAGTTAAAAAGATGTTTGGTGGCTAGTACTATGGCTGGGACCCTGTGTGTACTGTTGATGAAGTTAGGTGCTGTCCTGAGCATTATTTGTGGCTATAGAGTGGCGTTTTGGTTGAGGTTTGTTTATGGCTCCTCAGACCGCTGTGTATTGCTATCGTGCGGTCATTACTAAAGTTGGTATAACTAGAGAAGCAAGCGGTCCGCAACATTCATCTCATCTGAGGGGGTGTCTAACTTGGTGTTCAGTGTGTTTGACCCTAAATTAATTTTACGCCGGAATATCCCTTTAATCATCACTTGTGGTATCATCAAAATATCCTGTCATCCAAAGTTGTAAGTAAACCATTAAACCGCAAAGAGTTTAGAAAAACTTTAGAAACAATCTCGTCAATGATTTTATAAACAGCTTGTGCAGCCAAACCAGAATATGAGTTTGTCAACGCCATACTGAAGGGATTTTTTTTGTATGAATGCATAATGGTACTTTTCACAGGCCAAAGGGAGCTCTAAAGCAATGTTTTCCCATGAACATGTGTTAAATTGTTGTGTAACGTTTTATAAAAATTGTATGTTCAGACATACTTTTCCCCATCATCCTCACCAAGTATGGCACATTGAGATTGTACCTTTACTGTCACTTGATATTTCATGGCCAATTATTTTCTATTATCAAAAAATGCAGTGAATGTGTAAAAAAGCCTAATTTTATGTTGTTTACATTTGCTTTTTCTTTGCTAAGTTTTATTCCCAAAAGGAAAAAAGCGTGAGTATGTTTACTGAAACATATATTTTGGTAAAAATTAATAAAGGAAACCATTCAGTTATGTTTTTTTAAGTTTCAGAATATAATTATGTATGTTTTTGACCTCTGTTTGAACCCTTTTCTCTAGAATTTATCCCATTTCTTCCAAATCCCCCCCTAAGGGAAAGGTTTTCCCGACTGTGCTCAGGAAAACGTTCTCAGCGCATCCCTTCCCGCAAACCTACTTGGTCTTGACAGCAAGAACAGTGACAGCCAGAGACGTGTCACACATGCACATGTGACGCACCGCCAGTGCTACACAAAATCCTACTCTGCTCTTTTTGTGAAGAAAACAACTTTCAGGGGACAAAATCTTGCCAAATTAACATGAGTGATAGAAATCGCATAAATGGTCGATATTTTCAAAAATTATTTCACAAATTATTCAAACCCAAAAAGACAATATATCACGTTTAAAATAAAATGAGATTTTTTTTTTTTTTTTAAAAGAACATCACATATACCGATTTTAAGTTTGATACCAGAGTTAAAGGGATATTCCAGCGTAAAATTAAGTAAGGGTCAAACACACCGTAACACCGGGTTAGACACCCCTTTCAGAGATTAATGTTGCTGACCGCTTGCTTCTCTAGTTATACCAACTTTAGTAACGACCACACGATAGCAATACAGAGAGCCACACGCTCAACCAAAAAGCCACTTTATAGTCAGCTCAGAACAACACCTCAGATTTCAGTATTGGAAAAGGGGATAATCCAAAAGAGAGAAGGCCACCAGTGTACCAGTGTATAAAAGCATTATTCAGATGCAGCCAGTCTGTCTTTTGAATGTGAAAGGGACAAGATGGACAAAAGGGGTGTCCATAAGATCTTCCTTAAACTTGCCAAGGCATATGAATCACTTGCTGTGAACCTGGGATTCCCAAACGTTGGTCAGCACCTGGAACTTCCGCTTCACAGTGGTTTAGTTTACCTGCACTTGGAACCTGGTTCATGGCGTGTCTCATACCTGACCTTTACAATGGTGATGGAGGTCATAATAAGAGCCACAAATAAAGGTAATGAGCGGGAATCTAGGCATCTTCACCCACCTATCAGGATATACTTGAATGAAGACACTGAGGTCTGCAGTGATGGAAATCAGATACTGAGAGACTGGGCTGTCTCTTGAAGAAGGTTTCAGACTTAGTGCAAAGTCAAATGATTCAAGTCCAGAAAATGTTGGTCCAGGCCAACAGCCTCATGACACTCAACCATTGTACAACAACATGCAGCTGTTACTGATTCCTCTGAATGAAGGACTCTCTTTTTACAGGTAAATGCCAAACTTGTCCGTTCCCCATTTATCCATGCTCTGTTGCTGATGATCCTTGTAGTTAGAGGCCAAAGTGGACAGATCCCCACTCATTTCCCCCAATAGGAAACAGGATTTCCTTCTGTCCTCTCTTTCTACTGACTAGTATCATCTCTGCACTCATAACCCAAAGCCTTACAGACCTCCACGGGGACTTCTATCTCACGAAAACACTTCACATCAGCATAGTGCTGTAGATCTTGTGCAATCTTTATTTATTCTGGCGCAGTGAATATTAAAGTGGCACATTCCCGATCAGGTGTGTTTCTCCAAAATCTTTCAACACCAACTTGTGCAAAGCGAGTGCATAGCTTTTGGGGTCGATTACCCAGGTACAGAATTAGCTCTGACTAAAAGTCTAATTATAGTCATCAAATAATCTGCGCTTGGATAAACGAATTCCTCCAAATTCATCACACCGTTCTGTTTGTGCCTTTGATTTAGTAAAAATAACTTCAAAATACAGTGTCGAGGTGGGGCGCAGATTCGTCATTGATGGTTTCCAGCATGTTGTGTAATAGTAATTAAAATTGTTTGCTTTCCATTTCCTGCATCCCCAGCCAAAAACTCTGGCAGCTCATGGAAACTGCTGTCATTCGACCAACCTTAGTTGCCCATGTGACAGGATATCCATCAGTGTGACTCTGAGGGGAGAGGACCAAGTCTCTGTGTTACTGTTGTTCTATGTCACACACCTCATCACACAGCAGACCCCGTCTCTCATGACTGCTAAACTCTCATCAGCTACAGAGTGCTAACTACACACTCAGGATAATGTCACCTTGTGCAAATCTTGCTGTTTTGCTGTGTCTCCTGCACATCCTCTGCATCACCGCCGACATCGGTACGTATGCCACAATACTTCTCCATCCAGCTTGCAAATGTTTTTGAATGTAAACTCAGTTTGAACTTGTAACCCTGGACTTGCTTCTGATGGTGTTCTGTCCTGCTCCAGACAGTGGCTCCTTCCTGATCTACAATGAAAACCACAACAAGTGCATAAGAGTGGAGAGCGCCACTTCCATAACCGTGGCCCAGTGTAATCCTCGCGCCAAAGAGCAGCAGTTCCGTTGGGCCTCCGAGTCACGCATCTTAAGTCTGTCCCTCAAGCTTTGTCTTGGGGCCACAGAAATCAAAGACTGGGTGAAGGTGGTCCTCTATGAATGTGATGAGAAGAGTGACTTACAGCATTGGCAGTGCAAGAATGAGACTCTGTTTGGGCTTAAAGGCCAGGACCTGCACTTAAACTGGGGCAACCATAAAGAGAGGAATATAATGATCTACAGGGGTTCGGGGCTCTGGAGCCGCTGGAGGATATTTGGCACTCGGGGTGACCTTTGTTCAAAAGGGTTCCAAGGTAAGAGTGATGGAGACAGAGACACTTTTATTGGATGAGCTAGAAAGGTTGGAAGGTTGTCTTCTCAGAAAGTCTTGCATTGGAGTTTTTTTTAACAATATACTTTCCTTTGAGTGACTGCACTTTATTCCAAGCAGTTAAATCCAGCGAAGTGTAATTTTCAAGATTCACTTTGTGTTCAATCTACATGAGGACGTGTTGGTTTGTGATGATTTTGGTGGCCATTCATCCCTCTTTGCACATGTTTCAGTACAAATAACATCATAGAACATCTTTGCTACAGAAAGTGGAAATAAAACCTGCTTCAGTAGCTTGCAAATAGCCAAATCATCTGACACCTACCCCTCGCCAGCAGATTTAGACGGAACAAATAACTTGAAAGACATAAGCAATCCTGCCGCTGATGGTCTATAATTATATATGAGTCATATAGAAGCATCAGCATCTGTACACGTCTGATTACTAATCAGCAAATAAGTAGGTTTAAGGTACAAAAAGAGTCACATTCAGATCAGTTATGAGTAATTTAGTCATGTTTTCCAGCTTGTTTGAAAACAAAATTCTTCCAAGTCTTTACCTTTTGTTTACCATCAAATAAAGCGTATTAAAATAGATAAATTATGGTCAGAACAGAATTAGAGAAATCAGCCTTTAACAACAAAACATGGTGGTTGAGAGATGGAGGACTGAGTGCCTCACACCAACATATTCAAAAGGATACAGATTTTGGATCTTTATAAAATCTGTAGACTCCCAAATTGTACTTTACAGAATCGCAAGACTGTAATCCGACTGTTGTACGAGATCATTAATCATCTTTTGTAAAAGTGTCTATAGAGGCAAATTTAACAAATCAAGCATCAGTGTGCTTCAGGAAAGCTACTTTAAGGGCAACAAATGAGTAAAACTAATTGATTAGACATTGCATTCATTAGTATGATGCTAAGTAGTCATGAGTATGTGGCCTATCCTGATGTATAAATGAGTGCACAGGACTTAACAGAAGTGTTACAGGTGGACGGTAATGTACTTTCATCTTGAATTATGATCTGTGTCTCCTTAGAGATTTTCACAATAGGGGGCAATGCTTTTGGAGGCCCTTGTCAGTTTCCATTCAAGTTCTTGGACAAGTGGTATGCCGAGTGCACCAAGGACGGCCGTTCAGATGGAATGCTGTGGTGTGCAACCGTGAGAGATTATGGTATAGAAGCCAAATGGGGCTTTTGTCCCACTACAAGTAAGTGCAGCGAATGAGTGCTTCTCGTTTCATTCACCAATCATGCAGAATCCACACAATTACTGCCATGTATTTAGTATTGTATTTAGTTTTTAACACAGTCAAAGAGAAGAGAAGTAGACATTTTTTTTCAATTATTTCTGTTTCACTCCTTTTAAAATCCAGCTTCTTCCTTCCTTGAATTCCCCCCTTCAGTTTCTAATCATGTGTGCTTTGTGTATCTATAACAACGTAGCCTCCTCAGGCTGGGACACTGACCCGGTCACAGGGGTTCAGTATCAGAGGAACCCTCAGTCAGTGCTGACCTGGCATCAGGCCAGGAAGAGCTGCGAGCAGCAAGGAGCCGACCTCCTCAGCATCGTGGAACTTCATGAACAGTCGTACATTTCAGGTACAATGCCTGCCATGTAGTATTTACCCAAACTACTCTTCTACTGGCCTTTCATTGTGTCATACTGTATTGGATTTTACAGGATTGACGAGCACTTTGGGAACATCTCTTTGGATCGGACTAAACAGCTTGGATTTTGACAGTGGATGGCAGTGGAGCAATGGAAACCCGTTCAGATATTTAAACTGGGCTCCAGGTTGGTAAAGACAAGTTATAGAGTAGAGAGTTGTTGTATATTTAGATTTAACTAAAGGGGAATAAAAAGAGCGGTGGGTTTCTTTAGAGATGTGACACTTAATCTTACAAATGTCCTTGTAAAAGGTAATCCTTCATCTGAGCCTGGGCTTTCCTGTGCTACCCTGAATGCTGGAAAAGCCTCAAAATGGGAGAGTGAGGCCTGCACCAAGAAACTCGGTTTCATTTGTCGAAAAGGGAACTCTACAAATGTACCTCCGCCTCCAAGTAATTATCACACTTTCAGATAATCTGGATCGTTGGTCGAGTGAATCTTACAACTCAATATGTTTCCAACTCTTTCTATTCAATCTACAGGCAAGAACCAGCCCAGTTTCTGCTCCAATCACTGGGTCCCATATGCAGGGAACTGTTACTACTTGGAGAGGAGTAAAAAGTTATGGAAGGACGCTCTGGCTGCATGTCGCAAAGAAGGAGGAGATCTGGCCAGCATACACAATGTAGAGGAGCAGAGTTTCATCATCTCTCAGTCTGGATACTGTAAGTGAGCATTTTGTCATTTCTGCTTGGGCTGGGCGATATGGCTTCAAATCAGTATCACAATATATTGAGTAGTTCACTTCGATTATGGTAAATGGACGATAACTTCTCCACAAACTGCTCACCCCCTCCCACATTAACTTCGTCTGCTTCAGCTGCTACAACTTTTGAACCGTCCTCCATCTCCTCACCTGTCTTTCCCTCTTTGTTACGGACTGGATGGGGTGGAGTCAAGTCTCTGACATAGGACAGTGTCTTAAAGGGACATGAGACCATAACCTACCTACAAACATCCAAAACCAACTTTTATTTATTACATTTTTTGACACCGAATATACTGATATGGGCAAAATGACATTGGTTATTGTTGTAAATTTCGGTAAATGTAAATTTTTGATTTATTGCCCAGCCCTAATTTCTACATTAGCTAGTTTTACAACAAATATCTAAAACTTGTAAAATGTTCGACACCTTTGTAACTGGGGATTACTTACACAAAAGAGAGTTTCCACATTTTTTTTTTTGCACATGAACAGACTCCCCTTATTCAACTCTCAAAAAGTCGAGCAAAACCTTTTGATAAAATCTTTTCAGTGCCGACTGATGAGCTTTGGATCGGCTTAAATGATCAGATGAATCAGATGCTGTTCGAGTGGACGGATCGCTCCCATGTTACCTTCACCCAGTGGCAGACCGGTGAGCCATCTCATGCTACCAACCACCAAGAAGACTGTGTTCTCATCAGCGGAAGGGTAACACCTCTAACGATTAAAATACAGACACACGATGTCAGATGTTGTTGCTGAGTGGAACAAATGTGACATTAACATCTCCTGTGTTTTTTCTCTTCAGAGTGGCAGGTGGGCTGACCAGTTGTGTGAGAAGGCCCATGGCTACATCTGTAAGAAGAAGGCCTCTATAACACCAGCAGGGGGCATCCATGAAGAAATTAACCCAGGATGCAAGCTTGTGAGTGAAGTAACATAGCTCACTGATGGGTGCGTTTATACATCGTAGCATGGCCTATTCTAAATAACAGTTTCTTTTGTTTGTTTGTTTTTCACCTTCAGGGTTCAACCAGGTTTGGCTCTTTCTGCTACAATATTGGAGCTGAGAAAAAAACCTTTGAGGAGGCAAAGCAGGCGTGTTCAGATACTGGTTCCTACCTGGTGGACATAGCTGACAGGTATCTTTATAATTTTTGTAGATTTATATGAGATGAATCTTTTCACCTGACAAGAATTTAAAAAAGCTAAGTTAAGTAGTTCACAGATCCATATTCCTCATTAGGTGGAACATAAAACCCCATATCCCTGCTCCAATACTCCTGATCACCTTTTCTGTTATCAGTCAGGTCTCAAAATGTCCCATTTTTGCTCCTCGTTATCTGAAGTGACTGAAGACTTTGGGGGTCAGCCATTCCCGAGTGCTGTAATGGCGTCCAACTGACTCCTTCTCACAAAGCAGACGATAAATGCTCTGACTCAGACGTCCAATTCTCACACGGCCACCATTTTCATGAGTCCAGTTTTTTTATCGGGTTTGATAAATGCTGTGATCTGAGCGTACTAAAAAAAAGAGACATGTTATTTTTGAAAAGCCTACAGGTTAGTTTTAGATTTGAGTACAGAGACTTGCTCACCGTTCTGTTGTTTATGTTTCCATGCAGATATGAGAACGCCTTCTTGGTCAGTATGGTGGGTCTAAGACCAGAGAAATACTTTTGGACAGGTCTCTCCAACACACAAGACAGACACACCTTCAAATGGACCACCAGAAGAAAAGTCCTCTTCACTCATTTTAACATTGGCATGCCAGGTACTGAGCCCCTTTTCGCTGTAAGTTATAAGTTGTTATATGAACATCTACAACCAATTGTTTGTAAACCTATTTACTCGTGGGATCTGGATGTTGTATTTTTAAATGCTACAGCTCTGGGTTAAATATGGGAAGTTATGCAGTCCACTGTTTTGATCCAGATTGAAATTTAGAGGCTATTAGACTTTTTATTTAAAATTTAAATAAATGCCAACTTCAATGCTTGTGACTACAGCTGACAGGTAGGAGTTAGACAAAGAGTCTGTGACAGTGAACATGGCTGAATCTCTACCTGCTAAATCTCATCATGTAACTCTGTTATTGTGAACAAGTGAGTATGCTCATGTTGCATTTAGTTTGAGGCACCATTTTTTCATTGAGGAGTACTTAAAAACACTGTTGAGTTCATTTGTCACGTAGATGTTCTTCTCTTTACTTAATCCATTATTGAGACCACGTTTGACTTCAGATTACATTTCTTGTGTGTTTTGGTCCGTTCTCTAACAGAGAGACATCAAGGGTGTGTTGCCATGACAACCGGATATTTAGCCGGATTATGGGATGTTGTCAGCTGCACTAACAAGGAGAAGTATATCTGCAAGAAAGCAGCAGAAGGTGTTCATGTGACAACGGTTCCTCCCACTACCCCGACCCTAAACTGTGAGACCGGGTGGACCCCAGTTTCCTACAGGAACGCGTGCTTCAAAGTAAGGAGTTGAACTTCGCTGATTCATGAAAAAAAAAATGTCAATCAAAGGCGATGAGTAAGATACTCACACATTTCTCTGTTTGTTGAAAAGCTTTACAAAAAAAAAAACAGCGAAAAGAAAACTTGGCAAGAGGCAGAGGACTTCTGCCAGGCCATTGGAGGGAATCTGATGAGCATTCACAGTGGGGACGACCTGGACGACGCTCCGTATGTTCCCTCAGCAGCTTATTTAACCTCACAATTCATTGTTGTTGTTAGTCATCAACTCAAACACTAATCAGTGCTTTTATCTACTACCGTCATAAAGATTTCATTTATCAGACCCAGCCTGGATTGGCTTCCGCCTAGGTGCCAGTGAAGGTTTTGTCTGGAGTGATGGCTCAGCTGTATGTATGACTTTCTTTCCATTAAAGGGATATTCCGGCGTAAATTGAATTAAGTGTCACACTCACTGTAACATCGAGTTAGACACCCCCTCGGGAGATGAATGCTGCCGACCGCTTGCTTCTCTACCCTGTATGTACTGTTGATGAAGTTAGGTGATGTTCTGAGCATTATTTGTGGCTATAGAGTGGAGTTTTGGATGAGGTTTGTTTAAGGCTCCTTAGACCGCTGTGTATTGCTATCATGCGGTCGTTACTTAAGTTAGTTTAACTAGAGAAGAAAGTGGTAGGCAGCATTCATCCCTCGAGGTGGTGTTTAACTCTGTGTTACAGTGTGTTTGACCCTAAATTAATTTTATGCCAGAATGTACCTTTAAAGCTTTACCCACAGTAACTTCCAACCCTTGACTAATTCTATTTCATTTCCAAAAACAATGAGCTAGTCCAACTATGACAACTGGGGCTACGGTGAACCAAACAACCACAATGACGATGAACACTGTGCAGAGGTCTTCAGTTACTACGGACGGTTCTGGAATGATCGCAACTGTGAGAACTACAATGATTGGATATGCCAGATTAAAAAAGGTGACACTTACTCTTTTCATCACACAGAGCCCTGTACCTGAAGTAGCCATGTGATATGATTTAAATCTTTGCCCTGAAACATGTTTCCTCCATGCTTCTTGTAATTTCAGGTGTGGTTCCTAAACCTGAGCCTGTCACAGTTGAAATAGGTAGGCACTGACCTTAATCTGTTGACCTGAAATCCTGTAATTCAACTGTTCTTTTGTGGTCTTGTTTCATCTATTTTATATGTAAATGAGCCATACCACCAAACATGACTGATTTGCATTCATAAAAATAACACCATTGGACTTAAGTGGGCCTGGTTTAAGTTGTGGTGTCATGTTACATGTTTTAGAGACGATGGCAATGACACATCCTGATTTTTGCTGTTTCTGCTTAAGAAGTTAACATATTTACTTCTTACATATCTTCTTACAGCATGGAACACTACAGAGGACGGCTGGCTTATATACAACGACACACAGTATTTCATCAACAATGATGAGCTAGATATGGAGTCAGCGAGAGCTTTCTGCAAAAAGAAATTTGGTGAACTTGCAATCATAACAGGGGAGAGCGAGAGGAAGTTCCTTTGGAAAAAGGTGAGAATTTCTGGGCATTTTCAAAACAAAAACACTTTATGTGTGATTTTAAAACGACAGTAACTGTATGGTTTGAGCTACTGTGTTAGCAAATAGTAAATATAAACCAAATGTCTCTCTGTCCCCACAGATAATCAGAGGTGATTTTAGTCAGTACTACATCGGCATGACAGTGAATTTGGATAAGTCATTCAGGTAAATCAAACTTTGTTGATCACAAATATATAACATTTTCCCCTCATGATTGATGTGGCTAAGAAAAAAAAAGGAAATAAAATTGGAAACTGAAATATTGAATTAAAAAAAAAAGAAAGAAACAGACTTGTGTTGTAAAGTGTTGTTTTTCTTACATTCTTGCTTATTGTTTGTGTGTTGTTTTTTCCAGCTGGGTTGATGGCACACCTGTAACATACACTGCATGGGAAAAGAATGAGCCCAATTTTGCCAATAATGATGAAAACTGCGTGACAATTTACAAAAGCATGGGTAAGTTCAATTCCCCCTGGGCTATACTGCTTTTTAAAAATTAATCATGGCACTTAAAAGGTGATAAATTTCTACACAACTACACATACAGGGTTCTGGAATGATATTAACTGTGGTTTGGAGCTGCCCTCCATTTGCCAAAGAAGCAGTAATTATGTCAATACAACTATGGCTCCAACCACTCCCCCAAGAGGAGGATGTGCACCAGAGTGGCAGTCTTTCCGGGGAAAGGTAATGACATACGACGCAGAACATTGAAATATATGCAAAAACTGTGCATTATGCAAAGTTTTTAATCAATACAGGATAAAGTCCCTTTACTTGATGTTCAAATGAATCTGTCTTGTTTCACATAGTGCTACAAAATTGTTGTGGGAAAAGACAAGAAAAACTGGCAGGATGCAAGGACATACTGCTTGAACCAGGGGGGAAATCTGGTTTCAATCCGAAATGAACATGAGCAAGGTGAGTAATATCTGCAGTGTTGTCAATGTTCACAATGTTCATGCTTTAGGTTATCTGTAAGGGTTTTACTGTACACAGATCAACTAAAATGTCACCTGAGGGAGTAAAACTGCATTTGTTTCTTCTTCTTCTTCTTCTCCAGCATTCCTATCAACACAGATGATAAAATACAATGAAGACATGTGGGTTGGCATGAATGATATCAACTGGGAGATGCACTTTGTGTGGACAGATGGCAAAACCATATCATTTACAAACTGGGCAAAAGGGCATCCCACAAGAGTGCCTGATAGACGTTTTTCTTCAAGGGATGAGGTTATTTCTGCTTTAAATTCTTTCTTCAAAACTTTATGTACCTAAATGCAATGAACAAGTAATGCACTGTCAAAATCAAACCATATTTAAACATACTTGGGAATATTATGATCCATCTCTATTAAGTCTGTTATGCTGATTTCTGCCAAAACTACACACTATCTTCAAGGCAATCTGCATCTCATCTTGGCATAATAATAACATAAAAAATGTAGAGAATTATATCCAGTCTTTAGGCTAATCCAAATCATGTAGTTCAATAAAGCCAAAAGATTCACACTGGTCAGCAACAAACAAAAGATTGTACGGTCCTGGAAAAAGAGGGGTGACTTTAAATGACTTCGAAATCTTTAATTTGCTGCCACACTGTGATCAAATGTAAGAGGAAGTCAAGTGTTGGTTTTTAGTGTTTTCCAATGTAAGGTAGACATATGCTGCATTCGAGTTACCTCAGAAGTCAGATGTTTGAGCTGGGAATGACGTCACACCCAAGTTACCAGCGATACAAGTTACCAAGTCGGAAGAAAGCAAAATCGGAGGCAGAAACAAGATGGTTACATCTACAAAAGGGGATGCTAGGATTACTTAAAATAACTAAAATAATAAGTACTAAAATAAATGTCATAGATCTAGCCATCTGACTTAACTTGAACTTGAACGCAGCATAGTCTTAAGTGTTGTTGATGATCCAACAAAAGACTCTTTCAACTATGTAGTATACTTCTTAAGGCACAAACAGCCATCAAAGCAATATTAACAAGTGAATAAGTCTATTTGTTTGATCGTAGAGTCCTTTGAAATGTGTACGACAAAGACCTAACCCAGCTTACCCCCTCTGACTTCAAGGTGTATGACTGTGTGATAATGATGGGCAGTAATACAAAGATAGTTGGGCAGTGGAAGGTTGAGGATTGTTACAGAGAAGCTGGCTTCATCTGTAAAAGAAATGTTGGTGAGTAAAACTTCAGTAAGTCTGCATCACTATGAGTAACAGGATCACTCTTCAAGTCTTGCATTGCCAACCAGAGACACACTCAATGACCGATGATGTTTCTTGTTAACAAAGATTCTCAGATTGCAGTTCAACCCACAACTGTGCAACCGAAGGCTTTCTTTAAACTTGGCAATGACTCGTATAAACTGGTGGCCCAGAAGATGAAATGGGACGAGGCGAGGAGGCAGTGCCAAGCGGACGATGCAGATCTCGCCAGCATCCTAAGCCCCATAACCCAAGCATACATCATCTTACAGATTTCCAAGTACAATGAGCCAGTGTGGATTGGCCTCAACAGCAATGTGGTAAAGGGCCGGCCTGTTATTGTACAGCACCAGTTAGATCATTTGACAAGGATATTTGAGGTCTAAAGAAATTTGACTCACACAACAGCTTCATTTTTCCACAGACAAACGGCCGGTACAAGTGGGTTGATAACTGGCTGCTGTCATATACCAGATGGGGCGTAAACGAGCCTAAAAACAACTATGCCTGTGTGTATATTGATGTGGATGGAAGATGGAAGACTGGATCATGTACTACTGCCTACAACTCAATTTGTAAGAAGTCAGCAGGTCAGAAAATCTTTTTTTTGTTGTTGTTCTACTGCAAATTTAGTGTTTAAAGTGTAGAAACACAGAACATAATCAATGCCATGTCATGTCCCTATTTCAGAGGTAGCACCAACTGAGCCCCCACAACTACCCGGCAAATGTCCAGAATCACGAGGGATGACATCTTGGATACCTTTCAGAGGCCACTGCTATGCCTTCTTCAACTATAATGATGAAAGTTGGGCCTCTGCCTCAGTTGACTGTCTAAAGAAGGGTACATATCAAGAGGAGGTTTGCCATTAAATTCTAACCTGTATGTTTATGAAATCTTGACAGTGTTTTTGTGTGGCTGTGTTCAACAGATGCGTCTCTGCTCAGTATTGTAGACCCTCAGGAGGCTCTATTCGTACAGGAGAACGTCCACCTTCTTCAGGACAGTGCCAAGTCTTTCTGGATAGGCCTCTACAAGACTCGCGAAGGTGACTGTAAACAATGCATCCAAGCAGTCCCAGGCTTGAGCAAGATGAGTAAACATTCAAAATGTATTTTTGTTCTCAATACTGGTCTGTACTTACTCTTTAATCAAGGTGAGTGGAAGTGGATTGATAACAGCGTTGTGGACTACACCAACTGGGAAAAAGGGATGCCACATTCAGATACCTGTGTGGAGATCAACTCTGAAACTGGGCAGTGGGCTACAAATAGATGCTACAGAAGTAGATCTTATATCTGCAAAAGAGCCAAAGGTATGTTTTTTAAACTGTCGTATTACTTTGAGTCGTTCAATCAGCCTCTTAGATTGAGTATTGTTTCTTTTTTTTTTTTCCAGTTATTCCTCCAACAGAAAAGCCACCCTCTGTTGGTAAGTTGATTATTACTGCGTTCCAGTTACCTTGGAAGTCAGAAGTCCGAGCTGAAAATGACGTCCCACTCGAGTCCCCAACGTTTCAGTTATCAAGTTCGAAAAAAGTAAAAACAGAGGCCTGAAACAAGATGGTTACACCTACGAAAGTTATGTTAGCGCTTGCCTTATATTCGGACAAGGCAAGTGCTAAAATAACCTTTGTAGATGTAGCTATCTTGTTTACGCCTCTGATTTAGCTTTTTTTCCGACTCGGTAACTGAAACGTTGGGCACTCAGGTGTGATGTCATTTTCAGCTTGGACTTCTGACTTCCTAAGTAACTCAACGCAACAGAAGTTACTGTATACAAAAGTGTGATTCCAGAATATTGAGTGATGCACTGTTTATATTTGTCTTTGCTTTTTCTCCTAAGCTCATGTCGTGAAAGAAGCTTCACACGGGTCTGCAGGCGTCACTGTGGCTACTGTTCTTGTTGTAATAGCCATAGCCGGACTCGGGGCCTTCCTCCTTTTCCGCAAACGGATACCCACCCCAGTCTTGGGAGAAAGCACTTTTGACAATAAGTTATACTTTAACAATCCAATCCGGGCTCCTGTAGACACTAAGGGTCTGGTGGGCAACATAGAGCAAAATGAAAACGCATAGAAGACATGGAAACAGTGAAAATCACTGTAAAATTCATTAATTAGAGACTTTATCTTGGTTTCATGTTTTACTTTGGATCGCTCTACTGGGAACTCAATCCTATCAAAAACCTGAAGTGTTTTTCCAACCACACAATCACTGGCAATGAACTCTGGGAAAGAGGCATAAGAAAGTCTCAGTGAAAAATCTTCAGTATGATTATTTCAGAAATGTGAACAGATTATTCTTTTAACGCTGCCAATCATGTCCTTATTTGGAAACATTGAATCAATGCAATTCACAAGATTTTTCTCAACAGTGTTGTGTCCTTAAGCATCCTCCAATGGCTGTTCATTAACCTTTATCCAGCTTACAAAATTGTAAATAGATGGTCAATAAAAAGACTGAAAGAAAAAAAAATCAAGTGACTCATCCACTTCTTGTTTTTTCTCTTCTTTTCAATAACTGCAAACAGACCAAATATGTTTACTTAACTTCACTGAAACAATTACACCTGTGCTGTTTTATATTGGAGACAGAGAGATATACTCTAAAGGCAATCACAGAATTTTCAATGCCATAGAGCGTTAATAACAATACATAATCTAGAAAGCATCTAGTAAGCGTAGCTCTATCATGTTGGCTATACTTGACTGTCAGGTTAGAACAGTAGCGATACCTAGCAAGCCCTTAGCACCAAGTACAGCTGAGGTTGGCAGTAACATGCATTGTGCATCCACTCATTAACCAAAATTTAATATTAATGTTTTAATCAAATGGTAATCCATTATATAAAAAGTCAGAGAAATGATTTCGACACGTGTACCAAAATCCTTGACAACCTATCCAATTTTTTTTTTTTTCACACCAAATCAAAAGTATGGACCTCATGGTGGAGCAAGGAAAAGTTGGGGATCACTTCTGTTTAATTAATCTTTTGGCCTTTGAAGGCCTGTGAAATGTGAAACTAATCTATCTCTAAGATAATGATTTCTTTCACTTGATAAGTAAGTACTTTGACCTGCCTGTGTTGCCAGATGGAAAGTCTCAGGATCTGTATCTTCCATATTTTGGGGGAAAGGTTTAGGTGTCAGAAGTGTCAGGGTTTCAACTGGTTTTCTGAGTAGTATTGTAAACCAAGATTTGTCTCAAGCTCAAACAGCCACATACATCTTATCCACATACTTTGTCTGTTATCTCATATCTTAAATAACTGTAGACTACACCAAGGACCACCAAGGATAACTGCATATACTTTAAAATGCAAACTTTTCAATTTGGCTCATTATCAAAAAAACCTAAAGTCCATTTATATGTAAGAAAAATGTATGATTGTCTTTGTGTATTCTGCATGACTGCTGTTTTATTCTGAAGGTGCATACCAGGTTAAGTTTGAATAACAGAACCAAAATGAAACAGTGAAACAGTTCATCTATAAATGTTTTTAGTGAATAATAGAAAGCTCATTAAATCTGAATCAAACCAAGAAAACTGAAAACCATTGAGTGATTGACTTGTGATTTGTTTAAATTCATGCATGATTCATCCTTAATCCAAAAGTATTATTTCTTTCTATCCACTGCTAATTAAATAACCCCTGCCAGCATCTGGCCACCCCCATCACCTAATGTTGGAAATGAGGCAGAGTTCTCCATGGCAACCACAGCCCTTTTGAGGCTGTTGCAACTAATCCTCAGGAGCTTACTCAACTCTTACTGCTTGTAAGAAGGTTTTACCGGCTGCACCAATGCCCCAAAATTCTCCCCAAACAACTCTGCGTCCTCTGTTTATCCAGTTGGAGGAGGAAAACAAACCTAGCTGCAGAAGCTGTGAGAAGCAGAGGGGAGAAAGGTAAGCGTTTTTTAAATCTGTTCCATCTTTTATATTGCTGCAGCTTTTCTCCTCTCATTGATCGGTCTGTTTGACCTGCAGGGTACACAGTGTGGGAGTATGCTGGAAAGTGTTGCCAGATAGCTTTGGCATGTTTTGCACTGTATTTTTGATCTTTGATGACTCAGAGATCATACGGCATAAGAAACCTTTAATGTGAACATTCCCGGTGTTTTTTTTTTTCATCGAATCAACACAGTCAACACAATACAGCAGCTCAGCTCTTGGCTTCTTTAAAAGGAGTTACTCAGTGAAATAAAGAAACTGGTGCATTTCTGAGACCATTAGTTTGAAAAAGCAAACAAGAAAAATGAAAATATTCCCAAACTGTGTTGAAATAAAAAAGTGCGATTATATTGTATTTGCGATTTGACCAGCACTCTGGGAGGATCTTTTAGATTTGAATCTCTGTCTGCGTCAGCCTCTGATTTGTGGGTAATACTCTTTTCACTAGTCCATAGTTTTCCTCAATACTAATTATTTTCTCTACAGTCTCCCCCTCCATGCCCCCTTCTCTCTGCCCCTGTTCTCTCTCACTAATCCTTTTGTTGTGGACTGAGGGGCCCAGGCTTTGGCTGGCTGTTCAACACTGTAAGGGCTGGTTCAGCTGAAGGGTGCCTACCAAACCCTCCTGTACTCTACCATATCAAGGATACCTATCACTGATGCCTCCCATTGCTCTTCCTCTCAAGAAGCTTTCTGTCCTGTCCTTCTCTCCTTCATTCATACTTGCATTTTTCTTTTCTTGTAAGTGTATTGCTCGTCATCATCTTCTTGCTCTTTCAACCTCAAAGCCAGAGCTGGGAGCTTGAGGGAGTCAGCCTGCCTTGGTGACCATGCACTTCAGGGGCAGTGGTCCCACCTTGCTGTTGCTACTGCATCTTTGGCTGTCAGGGAACACGCTAGAGGTGGTGGAGCAGAAGCAAGGATACATGCAGGATGCTCTCAGGGCCTTGAATCTGCCCCTGGGTACCAATGAAGAACCAAAGCTCCTGAGGAACCACACCAGTATCCTGATCACCAAGCTCCTCCAGGCAGTGCACTGTGCAGAGCAGACTGGTGTCTCTCAGGATGTTTGTGAAAAAGTAAGGCCTTTCAACTTTCTCAGTTTGGTTATAATAGCATTGTGTGAAATTCAGCAAGAACACAGAATAACTAAATACTCTGAATGTATTTATTTCTAGCCTGCCTTCTTATTTTAAGCTTGTAATGACTGGAATGTGAATGGATGTGGAGGCTTAAGTCCTTGACCTGCATCGGCCATTCATGCTGAGAGGTCTCAGACATACCTCAGTTTGACCCAATAAACTGCCACAGAGCAGAGTAAGAGGTACTTTACATGTTTGTGCAGGTGGATTAGGAATAGGATTATGTGAGTCTCAGGGCTTGAAAGTGTGATCCCAAGAATATAGAAAGCAATTTTACAGTTTTCCTCATCCTTCGTCAAAATGTCTAGGTCCTCAGGTGCTTCAAACATTCTCTTGCCATTGTGTGTTTTAAGTTGGGCTTTAATTGCCCTCATCCTAAGCAGCAACACAAAGCTTCCACTTTACTCAAGAGCAGAGGACATTCCATGCAGGGAGAAGACTCAATAACACTCCTTTCAATCACAATTTGACCTAGAAATGAAAAGTCAAACGTTAAATCACCTCGTATTTCCCAAAGTCCTGCTCTTAAAGGGATTGTTCAGTATTGTATTGACTCGTAGGCTAGTCAGTTCTGCCTCTTTAATGACATACTGACATAGACTTAATTAGCTGATCGCACTGAAAGGCGGGAGAGGGTGTTTGTTGTTTCCAAACATAGTGCAAAAAGGACTGGGCTTTCACATGGAAAAGCAAAGTGCTGAAAAAAATTGAGATGAGTGCTTGGGTCAGTTTACTCAAAACTAGCTAAAACAGGTGGCAGAATCGACCCCATCTGCAGAGAATTGTTAGCCTTGCTAGCCTACTGCTTCTCCAGGCAGTTTCTTGTTTAAGGGGTGGAACTGACCGGCACCCATCGTAGCTAATACCCTTACTAGTGTGTCAACAAAAAGAAAAATGAACACAACCTCCCCTTAAAATCAACCTGGAATGGCCTCCTCTCTCTCTTACATGTTCTTGTTCTTGTTACAGTGCCTCACACCAGAAGTCGTTCTGTCTGTGCTGAAGGACGATCAGAAGACTTACCTCACTTTAGAGGACTATGAGCAGATCTCCATTGTGCTGCTGTACTACATAATAAACTTAAGAGATCTGTGCGTGTCAAATGCTGCATCACCTTCCTTGCTCTCCGCCCCCTCACCACTTGGGAACTATCAGCATTATCTTTTGGCTCTAACCAATCTGCACCCCACTGAGAACAACAACTTCCTATCATCCAGTGAAACAGAAAGTATCCTGCACATTATCAACCAGCACTATGACCCCTCCAACCAAGACGCTGTTGATTTGCAAGTAAGACATTTTATTTATTTTGAGAGAGAAAACTTGTTTAGAAAGGTACACAACCAGATGTGATCATTTGGCTTTTGATCCCACAGTGTGTCGATGCTGTTCGCCTCTTCAAAGATGTTGACGTTAAAGAAAATCAAGGTGCTGGTGCGTCATCTGTGCCCAAGATGGCAGCAGCCATCATCAGCCATATACTGCAGGGCCACTGTTTAAAACCGAAGAATCTTCCATCTCCTGCTTTCTTTACAGACTATATCTTTCAGTCTCTTAATCGGACAAGTAACCTGCAGATAATAGGTAAGTTCAATAGCACTATGTCTATGAGGTGTAACTTTGTTCATCTTGTACCAAACCTACTGAAAGATAAAAGTTCAATTTAATAACCTGTTATTGCAGCCTTCAGTCCTGTCAGTTTCTACTTTTCCTCAGCTCAGTTGTGCTCTCATCTGTATGAACATGTATCCTGTCCAAAGCAGACACTGATTGCACAGTAACTTGACGAATGGTTTCTCTCTTCAAAGACTTAGAAGAGTTGCTCCATCTCCTCGGAGTAGGACGGGGAACACACTCTCATTACAGGAAGAAGCGGAGCATCACAGAGAGTTCATCAAATGGAGATGGACATTTACTTGATGGTTGCAACCATGACGCAATAATCAACCAAGACTGGGAACAGGTGAGTCTGACTGTCCCATGATGAAAATCGTTGATCACTACTCATAACTGCTGCAAGATTTGATTTGAAGAGAGGCCCATTCTCAAAAAAGTTTATATTTCCCTGCAAATCTTGTCAGGTGTGTTTTTCAGCCAATCAGCTGGTGGATATCTTTGATCTAAATCCTACCTCGCCAATATCCAAGGAGCACTTCAGACAAATTTGCCCAGCAATCATTCAGCAGTTGCTAGGCAATGCCTGCGAGTCCGCAGGGCAAAACAGACGGGGAGCTTTGCCTACAGCTTTTCAGAGTAAGCTATTCAACTTTGTTTCTCTGTGTAGCCCTCAGTCACTAATACCTGCATTAAGATTATTTCTTTATCATGCAAAGTATGATTTGTGACTTTTTTTGTTCTTTAACTTATGATGCACTGAAGTTGATTGGGATTCTGGGAAAGGCAGCAACATACCAGCCCAGGAAAAAGAATCCAAGACATGAATAACTGTAAGACTTAGTGGTCTAAATAGACTTTTTTCAGTGAAAGCACGTTCTTGAGTTTAATAGGTTTAACTGTTTGCACAATTCAGGTATTGTACAGGAAAAAGGCAAACAATTACTAAAATAATTGGACAAGACATGACTCACAAAGACCGACTAATATTGATAAATGCTGTCCCTGAATGACCTTTTGAAGCTGTGCTCTACTTTCTGCAAACCCTCCTGGCTTTTATTGGGGTCAGTTAAACAGGCAACAACAGAATGAATTTGCTCTGTATGAGGAACAGTAATGAAACAACTCAATCCCCTGCAGGTGAATAAGCCAAGTGCACAGACTCTAACGCTTTCACATTTAATGTTAAAGCACATCATCTATCTTTCAGCCCTCACAGCTCTGTCTTCCCTGCAGAATATGGCTACAGCACGGCTGCTGTCCTGCTCATCACGGTTGGCTCCATGCTTGGTATCTGCCTGATCTTTTTCAACTCATGCCAAGAAACCTACACCCTCATCCTGCAGCTGTTCGTAGGCCTGGCAGTGGGTACCCTCTCTGGAGATGCACTTCTTCACCTTATACCACAGGTATGGAACACAGAGCCATTTGACCCACTGCTGTAACTGTGAGCTATGTGCCCTACAAGTACCAAGATACTCTCTTTTGACTGATGTTAATGTCTGACTGTTTGTTTTTCTTTGTCTCCTATGGAGATCCTTGGCCTCCATCATGACACACACAGTCATGAGGATGAACTCTTTACAGAGGAAAAGGACTACCTGTGGAGGATTCTGGGCATAATTGCAGGGATCTATGTCTTTTTCCTTATTGAAAGAATATTTTCCTTCTTGGTTCCTTCACATGGCCATGTAAGAGTTTTGTTTTTCTGACATATCTAGTTCACATCCTGTAACCATACTTTGCCAAGTCTTTTCATGAACAAACAAATTTGTGTCAGAATGGATCATTGCTTTGATGTCTTTCTTTGTCTACAGGGCCATTCTGGTGACCTTCCCTTACAGCTCAAATGTAACGGTCAAACACAGCGGGGCAAGTCGATCTCCACCATACAGCTGGTGAGTCTCATCACCACCCAGATTGAGCTAATCTGTTTTTCAACAACAACAGGAATGCCGGATTTTATCATTCCTGATATTTGTTAGGAGTGACTATGACTGTGGGGGTATTATGAGACTATTTACTGATCATATTATTACAGAATCAAGTATTATGATCCAATTCCTGAGCACAGATACCATGACAGGAGCACTCTGTGAACACCAACATATTTTTGACAACAATTCACAGGTTGTAGATCTGTTTGTGCTGTACCAGCAGAGTCATTCAAACCTATAGTTTAATTCGCACCCATGATGATTCATAACTACCCACTCATGCAGCAAGACAGCATTACTGTACATGTTGTAGACAGCAACAGAGCTCTGCTAGAGGGCACTGTTAGCGGAAGAACCACCAACCTATTGCAACTTTTTTTTCCCCCTGCACATAAACAACGGTAAAAAGAGAGGTACAACAATCTGACACAACATCATTGGAAAAATCTGACAGCAGCTGAAAGATGATCAGTTTAAAAAACTGTCTGAAATTCACTTGAATCAAATTTGTCCTGTTTTGCTCTTGTATAACAGGGAATAAAGAGTGATGTGGGAGGTAGAAGGAACAGGGCATGTAGGATGTTGGAGAATGAGAAGTACTGAATCATTCAGAAAGCACTTCATGTTGTGTGGAATCATGTACGAACGAGTGAACTTCGAACTGAAACATTTGGAACAAAACTCACCAAAATTCAGAGGCAGCTTTTGTATCTACAGCTCTAAACTAGTCCCATTGATTCAAATTTCTCCATTTCTCAAATAACATTTAAAGAAAAGTTATCTATCTCCTGCAGGGATCAGTGGAGGATTTGGAGTGTGTAGATGGCTCTCCTGAACGCACAACCACAAGAAGGCCTTCTCATCAGAATAAACATGGTCAGTATGAGATTTGCCACACAGCTGAATGTGATTTTCTTTGTAATCATTAGTCGCCTGGCATGACATAGTTTTGTCACAGTCTGAGGATGGGCTGTAATGGCACAGGCTCCCTTTGTTTTCCCAGGACAAGGGGTTCCTCTGCTTGCTGTGATGATAATTGTGGGAGACAGCCTTCATAACTTCGCTGATGGCCTTGTTGTTGGAGCAGCCTTCTCCTCTTCAGCTGACACTGGCATGGCAACCACTGTGGCCATCTTGTGCCATGAGATCCCACATGAGATGGGTGAGAGGTCACAGCTCTTAATTTTGGAAGGCTTTTGATGTCATTTTTGGCCGAGGGTAGAAAACACTCTGCTGATGACTGGTGACTTATCTGTTGTTCTGCTGTTTATCTCAAAGGGGACTTTGCAGTGTTACTCAGCTCTGGACTCTCTGTGAGGACTGCTATACTCATGAACTTTCTCAGCGCTCTAACAGCCTTCATGGGCTTGTACATCGGACTGTTCGTTTCCTCAGAGATGGAAGTGCAGCAGTGGATCTTTGCTGTAACTGCTGGGATTTTCCTGTACTTGTCGCTGGTAGAAATGGTAGGGCTGCCTCTTTTAAAGTTTAAGAATGTTGACATTCAACATTTCTCTTACTGTCAATAATTTACATGAAAATACAGCAGTTAATGCACTGAAGGTAAAAACAATTAGGGCCCTGTTTAAATGATCCAAAGCGCACAGTGTAAAGTGAACGGTGCAAAGTGGAACAAGGCGTGTCCAATAACGAATCCCGAGTTAGGCAGTGCACCCTCAGGCACAAAGAGGTTGGATTTAGTCCTTAATTCTACCTGGCACCATCTGTTTTTGCAATGTGGAGTTTGCAACCCTACAAGCATTTTATTACAATAGTGGACCTTGTTTAACAACAACATTAATATCTGTGTGATACAGGGCAGCTTCCCTTGACCAATTTTACCAAGACACATGACATCCATCATTCACTTCTGGTCTTTTGTTTTAGATTGTAATTGTGACCCAATGAGGGAGAAAAACTTTCAAAAAGCTGCACACCTTACAATATACAATGGGCGAGGGAAATTTTTACCCTGCTAGTTTTCATGCAGTGATGATGGCAGCTGTATGGCAGTGATAACAGCACATATCTGAGATGATATAACTAGTATTACGCAATTGGCAGGGTAAAATATCATGACACAATACTTGTTTTTTAACCCAGGAGCATTCATCAGTTTCCTGACAAAGTGAGAGAATTTATGCATTTCAGTTTTCCTGAGGTCTAGTATAAGAGACAAAAAATGTACAAGTAAAAGAAACAGCGTATCCCACACATATGGTAGTGTGTACTTGGACAGCCCCTCAGGTATATTTTAAGCCAACTGGTTGAGCGTTTTCCTTTTTTTATTTCTGTCCAAAACATCAATGCCAGCCACAGTCAATGTATAGTGGAAAATCTGGCCTTTCTCTCCGCCCTTCGCCTACCTATTATGAAAAAGGTCTCAACACATGCTCTGCAGAGAGGCTCTGTTTTTTCAATCTAGTACATCTGATGCAGCTGTGAGCTTTTACTCTGAAGAGTGCTAATCAGTAATACAAATTTACCATATACAGCATATTTTGAGATGGACAATCATATTAATGGGACATACTGACAATAAGAAAATATAAATTCAGCAACATTTCTTAACAATATGTCAATGGTAACTGTTGATAATATAATTTATGATTTCCTTTTTTTTTTTAAGCTTCCTGAGATGAGTCGAGTGAAGACAGACCGACCATTCCTTATGTTTCTCCTGCAGAACCTCGGCCTATTGATTGGTTGGGCATCCCTTCTGGTCCTCGCTCTGTTTGAACATGAACTCAAATTCTGACTGCAGAGAGCAGTGGGTTGACAAAAAAACGTGTCTCTATTTTATTTCTATCGACCAGTTAATTCGCACTTCTTGCTTAACACATGCAAGTTTTAGTGTGTGAAGCCAGGACACAGAACAAATCATTATTGGCCAACCTATTTATGGTGTTTTAGTGTCAGCTCTGAATGAAAAGTTTAGCTGAATAAATCCTCCCTTTTTTTAATATTTTTGATTTATTTTTGTATGTCAGTTACCATGCGCATCTACATCTGGACACAAAGAAGTTCATTGACATACTTTGCAGAATCATATTCATTTGTGCATATCTGTTGTTATGTAAAATATTACTATTGCCTCACACAATCAAATCATTTAACTTTCAATATATATATCATTATTATTAAAATATAAAGTACTGTCAATCTACTTATTTAGTTTGTCAATGTCTTTATACTGATAAAGGAATTTGTAACATAAGAATGGGGTACATTTTATTTTTTCACTAGAAAACTGTGAAACGAATTGATCACTTTCAAATAGATAGATCATTAGGTGGACTTTAAGTAGAAAGACCACCGAACTCCCATGTAAATCCAAGGAAATTTATATTTTACTTATCCTGTTAAATATTACCTAAAACCTTCCAAGAAAGCCTACAAAAATAGAGTAATACAATGATTTTACATGAAAATATACTCATGGCTTGACAGCAGATCCTTATATTTGGTGCAAAGAAAAGCAAAATACCTCTCTGTCAGGTATAAGCTGCTCTTAAAATACTTTTATTTTGAACCCCTGTTTGTTGAAACCTCTCTGTTTTCCAGCGTCTCATCTCAGAGGCATTGTTCTTTGTTTTTGAGGCCTCACTGTGATCCAATATGAGGGCACCTCCACCCACCTGAGTTACTTGTTCTCTCCATCCACCAACCTGGATGACTAATGCTCGCTGTGCAAGACAGAAACTCCGGCCCACACAACACACACGCTCTTTACTGGTCAGAGTGGGCCTGTAGCAGGAGGTGGAGGAAGAGGAGAATATGATGAGTACATCGGTACAATGAGATAACTAAAACAGACTAAATGAACTTATTCGTACATTAAATTAGATTGGTGTTGAAAGATTAACCAGCTTTGTGTAATTAAAACTTGAGCAAATAGCTTTCAATCACTTAATTTATTTGTGACAGGGGTTACTCACTTTGCCCAATTTGTATGGCTAATATTTAGATTATATTGCTTAACTAACAAAGTGCAAAGTTAGTTGTGTTGACAACATCAAACAGAGATTAGTAAGCTATCAGAAAAGCTGACACCTATTATTGTGACTTCCTGAGTAATGTTCAAACAATAGCAGGAAGTCCACTGCATTTTTTCTGATTCGAGCATTTTCGCTGTTACTTTGGCCAACCCCTCTGGCATTTCCAGGAAAGCCTCAGGCCTACTGGTTTGTGTGAAAATCTGCTCTTTTGCACCAAAGAGGCACTTTTTTGGCATGCGTGTGTCTTTTCAAGGCAGCTGCTGCCAGGATGGAGGAAGGAAGGGCTTTTTATCTGGACCATGCTAGTGTTAATGCTGAGTATCCTTACTTGCTCATCAGAGACCTGACAGAAAAGGAGTTCAGCTTTAGGGTCAGCAGGGCAGAAGAACACAGAGAGAGCACAGGAAAGCTCGGAGAGAGACAAAGCAGGAAATATAAAAATGTTTTCCATTTGGTTTGAGAGAATCTGAATGAAAACAATCTATTGCACCTGTTACTGTCTGATCAACATGGAGAGAGGGTATGAAATTAAATAAAGACTTGTGAAACTGTTGCTCACTAAAGCTCTCTGTGACATTGTTCAAACAAACAAATTCAGTGTGTGTGGGGGAAGAAAACAAAGTACAATCATACTGTTACCTTATCAAGTGTAACTGGGTCTTTATTTTTAGGCAACTTTTTACTCTTATTATTAATATTTTACTGCAAATATATTGACTTAAAGCTCTTAAATTTTTAAAACTGATCCCATCAGCCATTTGAAGGAAATTATTGGGGATTACTTTAATTTGGCCCCTTTCAAACTCATTTATACAGTGAACAATAGCAAATAGGAATGAACTATATATGTTGTTTCCATCAGTGATTTAAAGCAGCAACACATTCTTCAATTAAACTGCTTTTTATACTGAAAGAATGCAATATAAACAATTCATAGTGCACTGTTTTTCCATTCTGTAAAAGTTAAATCAAATTCAAATTTGTTTGCAGCGAATCAGACTGTAAAAAGTGCTTCAGATGTTTTTTCTTAATTAAAGGCTACGTTTTTATTAGGTATACTTCAGTAAAATAACAAAATCGGTAATTCTTTATGCATGGTCATCTCAACAAATTTGGGTACTTCTACATCAGTAAAATAATGTTTGAAAAATTGCAATCTCTGGTTATTTACACACTTGACTGACACATTATGACACATTATCAATGCATAACAAATAAACCAAAAATAATCCACCATTCAGCCTGCATCATGCACTCTGCATTTTATCAAAAAAGTGCACTGATGCCTTCATGATATAAACCAGCAACACTAATATTGTTAGAAAAAGCCCCTTTGAAGGACATTTTGCAGTTGTTTTCATGGGCTTAATATTTCTGCCTGTGACAAACTGTGTAAAACGAGTGAAATCTGGCAACTGTCCTTTAAGATGCAGGAGCTCATGCAACCACTAGAGGGCAATAATGAATAACATAACTTTCGAGTTGTTTTTGGAGATTTGCCTCAGCTGCATTCATTACTGTAATGGTTTTGCCACTGTGAAAAGAGTTGAGCATCACAGTATATTAAATTCTAGTTGACTGTTCCAAGAGGCAAAAGCATTAGACCAAATGACAGCGGGAGGCACTGAGGAGACGCATTGCCTTTCTTAAAACTTTGTGCATAATTCCCTTGAGCGGGTACAGGCACAGTCCCATCATCTGTCAATCACTGTCACCCAGAAAAGTCTGTTTCCACCAAAACTTTCTTGACCTCTCTGATATCAGCTTAATTTGTGGGGAAAGGATGACACAAGATCTTTCAGAACACAAACCAATAATTATGATTGGGTTCATTTTAAAATTGAATCTTGGATCCATCTCTTAATTTGAATTTATAGACTGTAAAAGCAAATGCGCAATGATGAAGGAGAAATCCAGATCCATGACTCAAGGAACACAAGTAGAGGTATTCACACCAGGATGACAAACACTACGGTCAAGTGAAAGTTCTTTACTGGAAAATGAAATATTGAAAGTTACGTTATACACTTATAGTAATAAAGAAAATGCACATTATTTCAAGTATTTAAGTAATTGATTCACAGGTTACCATAAGTCATATACATCTGATCGCCAATTTCAAATATTATGTATGGGAATACAACCAGATTGCTGTCATTATAGATTCGTCTGATGTCTAATTTCTTATTAAGTAAGAAGTGCCATCATGTACTTATGGTTAAGTACATTAACCATAGCCTGTCACCAGTGATTTAGAATATTGATAGGTAAAGGTGTGAATCCATATTCTTCAAAGCTTTGCATGAATATTGATGTAATCTCGACATTTACTGATAATCAATCTGATTTATCTGCTAAACTTTTTGGAAGTACTTTTACACCGAGGCAATATCTTGGCAAGAATACACAAGTATAATATATGCATCGTGATGAAGGGGAAAAAATTATATAATCCAGTACTGCAAGCATGGTAAATTACTTAAGTATTTAAAGTGTCAGAATATACTATCAAATGCGCAAAATTGGCACATTTAAACAGTGTATCTGCAATGAGGCTAATAACAGTCCTTGAATGTAATAGTTGTACAATTAAATATCAATCTCTGAAGCAGCCTTAGTTGTGACGTTGTGAGGTAGATTTTGTTTGAATGGCTATGGGAAAAAAACTAAAAGTTACTGTTATTTATTGGCCCGCACTGTATCTATGATAGGCAGGCAAATGGATAACATTTCTCCAAAACAGCAGTAATTATTTTAACCACTTTTGCCACTCTAAAGTAAAAGGCTTTAAACCTGTCCATGTTATTTTCAGATTTTCAGCTTGGACGCTGTTATTCATTTTCATCCCTTTGTACTGTGGGAAGGCAGGGAGGTGTTGGCGTTGGATGAGGGTGCATGCAGTGAGCAGGAGAGCTCTCTCAGCCAGTGTGGGTAGGAGGGCACTGTGATGCTGAAGGCTATAATATCCGAGAATTCAAATCAACATTATCATCATCATCATCATCTGAAGTAGAGGAAAACTGCTCCACAAACCTCTTCCGCTCAAGCTCCTCCTTTCAACTCTCCTGTCTCAAACTTGAAGATTGGCGGTGCCAGCTTTAGCAGCAGCAGTTTCTTCTCTTTTCTTTTCTTTTCTCTGCCGGTGACTGGGTAAAAAGAAAAAACAGCAACAATGCCTTTGAGCGTTTATCTCGGACACAACTGGGGCATCTGCATTAGCCGAGAGCTTTTGTCAAATATTTGCTTTTATCAAGTGGTGTAATGGTCGTCAGTGATACTTCTAAAACAACAGCAGCAACACCCCTGGAAAAACACATGGATTCGCTGGAACACCCCATGTTGCAAGTAAGTTAATTTAACTTTAAGTGTCACCGATAATATTCAATAACCAGTCATTTGTTGGTTGTCGAAAGTAAAAGGAAATAGGTTGACTTTACTTCACCTGCCATCAACCTGTCCACTTCCTGCTGTCCACTGGAGGCTAACGTATGATTACGTAAGCAACGAACGTATGTCCTCGTGAGGGGGTTGTTTTTTAAATTTTAACGGTCGATTTTGTCGGAAGTTCTATGATCTTTGAGCGATGTTTAAAAAAAAAAAAAAAAACGGTTAAGAGTCTTTCCCGGTAAGCATACAAGAGTGATATTTCGATATTAAGCTGTCAAGCAACTTAAATGTCTTTAGAAAGAAAAAAGTAAGCTCGATACTACTTAGAATTTTCTTATTTGAGCATTCAACCATTTTTGTACATGTTGAATAGCCTACTTACAACTTTCATTTGATTGCTAACCAAATCTGTACTACATTAACTATCACTGGACATTATGGCTGAGTGACAAATTGAATTTCAATTTGGAATTTGTCTACCCATTGTCATGAAACCAAGATAGTTAAAGGTTATTCTATCTTAATACTGTATTCCTTCAAGGCGTGTAGGTTGGTTTAATGCATCATTTGTGCACAATGAGTTTGGGAGCGTGAAGTTTCTGGAAAATGTATTCAGTGGCAGTGCACCACTGCCCAGGAGGAGATGTTTTGTGTGTTAGTAAAGCAGAGAGACAGAGTCAGCACAAGAAAGTATTGATTTAGACTATTTGAAAAGCCAAGGAGTTGGAGATGTAGAAAATAATAGACTGACAGTCATTAGCAAACAAAAGGTGAAATGACTTATGGTTTCCTTTTCAATGTACCTGTTTAAATTTTTTTTCTCAAAGTGTTGATAATCTTTAAGTGTTTAATTTTAGTATTTTTACCTTTAATACATGATACAGACATTATCAAATCAAGTTATTTTTAAGTGGTGCTTTTTGCAAATAAATTCCAAGTAGGCCTATCACTTTTCCTATAGGCTAGGTCAGCAGCCAAATTAGACATGCATTTTATTTACGCCTGTTTTGATGAAACAAGTATTTTTCTCAGGATCATTGCCTGGTTTATCTCGAGTTCTCAAGATAAATTTATCATGATGACTAGTTTTTCTCCTAGCTAGGGAAAACAAAGCTCATCTTTTGCTCAGTAGGATCCCGCTGTCACGCTAAAAAAACAGGCTTTGTTATCAGTACTAAGAAAAAAAGCGTGGGATCTCAAGTAAACAGCTGAAATTAACACATGGTCACAAGAAAACCGTGTTGCTTTCTTGAGGTAGCCAGAAAATAAGACAAAATCTTTCAAAATAATAATAACGATAATAGGTGTTTGTTATTATGGGGAAAATGTAGTAAATAAAAATTATGGAATCATGTTCCCTCAGGGCTTCCTTACAGGAACTCCTATTGATTATATTATAGATATTATATTTATAGATTTGACATAGATTATTATACGGGTACCAATATGTTTTATTTAATAACAGATAAGATTTTACATCAGTAAATAGATTATTTACATTCTCCACACTAACTGCATTTCAGATGAACAGCGGAAAGATGAGAAAGGAGATAGTGAAATAAAGTAAAATTGTAAACCTAAATCTGTTCATTAACATACCTTGTAATACAAGATTTTCAGTAAATCTTGGGTCGTTTATATTTCTTCGTTTAACTGAAAACTAAATGTCCTCACATGTGTTGTGCCATCTCTGTTTGACTATCCAGGTTTATCGAACCTTGTCTTGTTCTTTCAGAATCCCTGTGGCCAGCTCAAACCGTTTTCCATGGCTGCTTCATAAAAACAGACAGCATAGCTCTCCCTTTCTTCCTTTTTATATGCATGATTAACATGTCCCAAGGGAATGACTTGGAATAAAAGGCAGATATGAAATGAATATCTGTTTTTCGGTTGCTACTAGCAACACATGCTGTATGAGCATTTGAGCTGATTGCATTACTTTTCCAGCCTCTCATCATATCAACTAGCATATTCGAGACCACCCACGTAATTACATTGTTTTTATGACACCTGTCATAATAGTTCACTTTGGATAAAATATTGAAAGCTGCACTTGTCTAATTGAACAAATAGTGAGGCTCTTAGTGAATTTTACACTAAAAGGGTAGGTTCACTTTTAAGGTCAAGTCCTTGTTGAAACATTTCTCCATGCCCACATAGAAACAGCTCCTGGTCTCTGTAACTCCTCATCTTGAAACTGCTGTGAAGCTCATTTTAGACTCAAAGTTTTTTACAGTGACAGTGCTTTTGTTTAAGACACCCCCTCTTCGTTTTGCCACACAACAGCTTAGCCAGGAAAACTATAAGGGGACAACCAAAGAAACAGTTTCATACCAAAAGAACAGAAAAGAGACAAACATTATTGTTATTATGGCTGATATAGTCATTTATAGCATATAGCATAGTAATACCTTTCCTGAATCCCTCACTATTTAGTCACTGATAAGAACCAGAATGAAATAAATCATCTTTTTTCCTTTCTGTTATTTTTCACATTTACAAAGTTTTTTTGTGTGTGTATAAAACATAAAAAGCTTTTTGGAGGACTTCAAATATCTTGCTCTGAACAGGTCAACTGGCATCTTCAACAACACGATTCATGGTCTGTTGAGTTGATTGAGTCATCAAGCAGTAAAAAGTAAAAAAAAATTCATATAAAAATAGCAACCTGTAAATAGCTGCTGCTTTTCTCTGCTTTACGTTGATACAAACTGAATATATTCAAGTTTTTAAATTCTGATCCAATAAAATAAGATATCAGCTTAGAAGATACAAAATTGGGATTTTTTTTTTGCCAGTTACAAACACTCTATTGGCTTGGAAGATAAACTCCTGATAGTTTAAACTTAGACAGCTGAAGTTTAAGAGAAGTTTTTATTATCTCGTACACTGGATTGCTGTAATCTGGAAAGATGTAACCATAAAAGCAGGTAAAATGATGGTTTAAAAGTTGCAATCTTCTGCTTTTAGCTGAACAAACTTGGTAATATATGACCTGAATATTAAAACAAGAGTTTTTGTTAACTTCGAATCAGACTTTCATGTCATGTAATATTTTATATCTAGCACTGTCATACAGTAGCCCAGCAGGGACAAACTCGTAGCACACAAGTTTTTGTATTTAGCGAGTGGCTTTGCAAAATGTGCTGGTTAGAAGAAGAGATGTTGTGCAGAAAGAAGTTTGATCAATAGATGTGTTTAATGATTAAAAAACTTGACTAATGAAGGATCCTTTTAATCATGCATCACAGGAACTTCTTGTCCACAGGAGGGGTGAGCAAGGGAGCATTCATATGAAGAATATACTAGAATCACTAAATATTCTGTTTTAGTGTCACTTTGAAAGCATCACAAGAGCTTTTCTTAAACCTGTTTAAAGTCTTCTTTTCTTGTGATTTTCTTTAGTCTCATGGCAAAGGAGCAAGAAGAAAAGGCCGGTTTAAGGGCTCAGATGGCAGCACCTCTTCTGATACAACAACCAACAGTCTTGTCCGACAGGTAAGATTGAAGAGTTACTAATGGCCTTGAGGAAAATATTATCATTTTGATTTTTGTTTGGAGCCCTACTCTGACTTTGTGGCATTCCAGGGGATAAATTCACGAACAGCAGAATGAATATAACCCACCCCATGAAGAGAAGTTTACTAAATTAGACATCGACAGGCACAGTCATGTATTTAACGACTTAATACCAATTTCTTTCCACCAAGTTTGCCCAGGGGAATACTGGGCAAATGAATGATTATCAAGGGGCTTGAGTTCAAAACAGTATGAATAGTTCTAGGATGGGTTTGAAAATAAATCAATTTTTTTGAGTCTGTCCAGGAACTTTTGTTTCATATCATCCCCGTCCCTTCTGTTCCTCGTTTCATCTCATCTCCTTCCTATCTGGAGCCATAGACAGTGGACATTGTGTTCTGATACAGCGATAGGAGGTCTAAACTGCCTTGGGAAATAGTTCTTTATTTTACAAGCATCAGATTGTTACTTGGCTTTTTACAAGATTAGCACAGTTATGAAATGTCCTGGCTACAGTTGCTTCACTCGGGAATGTAACGCTTGCATGTGTATAAATTCTTGACAGTAAATGCAAACTGGCATAATCGCAAGGCCTCACTCATCATCATCCATCAGGGGTGAGATGTGCATTGCAGTTAAAAGCTTTCTGTAAACACTGCTAGGTAGACTATGTTAAGTGGAAGTGTCTCTTCTGGGCTGCGTCCCCAGTTCTGCAGCGACACATTGCCCTGTTATAAAGCAGACCCTGCAAGGTACGAACTTGGTGTGTCTGGACTTTGTTGAGCAGACCAGCGAGGGACAGGATGAGCCGGGTTGAGGATGCGCACCCCTGCCTAAATGTTTCTGCCTTTTTTGGAGGAGGTACACATCATCTTTGGCAAGGAAGCGGCAGGGCGACGGGAAAGCTGGAAGAAACCTGAGCAAGACGGCACCTCCTGGCCTGCTGTCTGCGCTGTCTCAAGGCCTCTCTCAGAACAGTCTAGATGAGCTGCTATCACCAGTGAAAGAGCTGCTTAGTGAGACATTGCCTGGTTTTACTGCAGCCCCTGGGAGCTCATTCCCATTCCCACAGTCTTGTCCCATAGTGAGGAGTTCCCCTCCAGTCTGAGTCATTACGAATAAACTCAATCAGCCTGAGAGTTAGCATCCATCCACAGTGTAGCACCACATCCTATTGAAATGAGATGCTATTAAAGTAAGAGACAGGAGAAGGATCTGGGGAGTATAGAGGGCTAATGTGTCTCCGGGTCAGTGAGGTCGTTGCATGCAGAGCAGAAATATCCTCTTTTAGATTTTTGCAGCAAGAGAGCAACGAAAATAGCCAATCTTCCACTAACTTCTCCTTTGTTTAGATAACAATGTAAATACTGTTTTTCATTTGTTTTATCATAACAGCAGTTTCTATCCACCCTGATTTTCTCCACCTTGTGCTCAATCATACTGTCTGTGATTATTTTCACTTTTCACAGAAGAATGAGGATGTAGGATTAAGTCCCAAAACTAACACCAACCAGGAAAAGTATACGGCTAACCTTTTTTTGTGGTTATCTCACCGCCTATTCATCAATCTGTCATTTGGCTTTCATCTTTTCGTTCTCATTCCTCTTTGTTTTATCATTTCTCTCTCAGAGGGCAATCAGAGTTGCTGTTTACTGAAGATTGTTTGCATGAGTGGATGTGAGATTTTGAAATGATCTTTTGTGTGTTTTATTTAGCTCTCCCCCCTGTCTGACCTGTTATGCTTCACAGTCCTGGCTGTAGGCGTCTTCTGAACAGCTGAGGATTGTAAAGGTTCTTGTGATCAATCCACCGCTGCCTCAAGCTTCGTATAAATGAATTTTCAGTAACAGCATAGAAACCGCTCCTTTAAGATACGGTTACTCATGCTGCTAAAGCTAGAGGGCAGAGGGCAGACAGTGAGTAGGTTTAGAGAGAAAGGATGAGAGACGTTCCCTGTGGTCATGATCTGATGCCCGGGGGAGTATGGAGGAGGCTGGGAAGGGTGGAGGTCTGGGCCAGACCAGCACGCTCAGCCGTGGGAGTAGTAGGGTCAGTGTTTAGTTGAAGCTCGAGTCTCCATTGAGAAGGAACAAGGGCAAGACTGTTAGAGATTTGTCAGCAAACTTCAACATCAGGTGGTTTATTTTTATTTATGCGGAGGTGGTCCAGTTCAGCAATGTAAGCAAAGAGATTGTCTAACTGTTATGAAACATTTTCGGATTTGTTGTGCATGGTACATTTGTCAAAGTTTTGACCCGACATCATTGTTTTAGTTCTCTTGTGAATTTCTTTTCACAATCTTGACATTTATGTCAACCAGTTGACATGAGGCAATCCTGAAACCCAACGGAAATCACCATCCATCATTGTCTGGCAGTGATTCATGCCCTTGACAACAGATGCCTGCATCTTGGTCATTTCAGTGTAGCCAGCAGCTACAGCATGTAACGGCTGTCAGACAAGACGTCTGCGTGTTCACTTCATTTCTTGTTCCATTACATCCTCTGATGGAGCACCTGTTGTTCATCTGATTTGGATGGCTCTTCATTCAACACCAGATAGTCTTCACTTTGGCCTGTTTCAGTGGTTTGAGCATCAAAAGAAACCTTCTTTTATGTGATTCACTCGTGGGTTTACTTGTGGGACTCATGTTTGCCGGAACAACATGAACATGAAAAAGTAAAAATGCAAGCTGTGTCAGGACTGTCCGCAACAGAGGAAGAACACAACCTGTGAAATACTTTGCAAATTTGGCTATCCTGAATATGACAGTTTAATGTTTTACGGACCATTTCTTGTTCAATATGGATTATCATAGCCTTGAGGGCTTGTACGATTGTAACACTTGTGATGTAAAAGCATTCCTTAACCATGTCCTTTCCACATTATGAATGCAGCAATAACAGATTTTGATGGTACAGTCCCAGTCTGAATAGTTGTTGAGGTTTCATGACTACGGTAATCATGATGCAGATAAATTAAATCAGATTATGAACATTTGTTATTGCTACTTGAATTGCTGCTTCTTTGCTTTAGTTTAGGATTTAAGAAACAAGTTATTACTGATCATAGTTATTTAGTGAGATGGTAGATTGTTTAGTTTTACTTTACAACTTTTTTACTTCCAACACGATTCCGATATTGTAGCCTTCAGTATTAGCCAATACCAATATTGATACGATATTAGCTCAAACTTGTGCATGACAAGCTTTGCACTCAGCTGCAATGTCTTTTTCAGACTTTAACGAAAAATACTGCCGCACGGCGGACATCACTTCGACTCCATGCTCCATTTTTGTACCTCAGAACACACTGTTGATCTGCATGCTAGATCCAGGCGCTGTTAGATAGAGGTGCTGGAGTGGAGTCTGGAATGGACTGCTTGTATTGAAGTTGCTTATATCGGAGATTTGAGATGTTGGCCGATATAATATGATATTTTTTTGTTTGTTTGTTTGTTTTTTTGCTGATATCGGACCAATATCCGATATCAATATTGGATCGGGACACCCCTAGTTAGTTTGTAACCTTTGGTAGGTTAAGCTTTGCTGTTTTCACCAGGTTTGAATTTATGAGCAAAGCTAAGAAAAACAGCTGCAGGATGTAGCTTTATGATCAGCTAATTGACATGAGAGTGGAATTTTAATGCACATATTTAACTCTGACAAGAATCTATACAGATTTTTTTAACACAAGCAGTTCAACTCTAATCCAAACGTATAAAGTCGTCCTCGAGAAATAAACCCCACAAAGATTGATGACTCAGTTTTCCTCAGTTGGTGTTGGAAACTCAAAAATGCTCATTCGTGTAAATGTGAGTGATTGTCCATCTGCAGACTTGTAACGTGTTCAGAAAGTTTGCCTTCTGCCTAATGCATCCTGGGAAATGATCCAGCACCCAGTGACCCTGAGTAATAATAAACTGTCTTTATATAGCACATCTCTAAAAACAGTTAACAAAGTGCTTTACAGAGAGCGAGAAACAAAGCTCAGAGCGTACAGCGGGATTGAACACGAGGGGAACGACAGCTCAAAAGCAAGCCTACAAAAGAGGTGAAACTAAAAAGGGACGCTGATTTAAAGCAGAGTTTTTCCTGTCAGTTTGACCCAAAAAAGCAGGATTTCTGGTGACGAATACCTGATTGCCTTTTTTATGATCTAGATGGCGAAGAGCCTCCCTTTATGGATATAGATTTGCCCTCTGGCTCTTGTTGAGATTTTTAATAGATGGCCTGTTGAAAACAACCATTAGCGAGGCAGATTCTCACCAAGAGGAGCAAAAATATGAAGGAGGCAAAAGAAAAAAACAAAAATCAAGAGCAACTGATTAAATTGACAAAATTCAAAAAATTTCAAAGGGGCTCATGGGAGGATAATTTGACTAAGACTTTACTGCATTAGGCACAATACACATTAGCATTGAGGATCTGATGTACAGTATTACCAAGTGTTATTTGCATACTGTAAACTCAAGGTGTTATATCATAATTGACCTCCTACTGCTTCCCACACTTGTTATGTTTATGTAAATGGTTGCACCAGGCTCTGCATCGCCCACCTCCCTCTGTCTCCTTCACAGCCCTCTCTATATAACAGCACGCCGTGATGTCAGCAGCTTTTCCACGGCACATTGTTGCATTTCACCGCTCTCCGTCTGTACATTCAGTCTGGAGAAATTGATTTGGTGATGACAGTCCGTCTGGGAGGGGTGTGGTGAGGGCAGGAAACCCCTTCTCACTCTGCCCCTGATTGCTGGCGTTTCTCCTTTTCATCATACTCGAGATTATTTTTTTTCTCGTCTAAATGGAGAGGAGGGCTGACGTGAAAAGCTTATTATTTACTCTGATTCTTATCAGATCTGGCGCACAAGACTTTTTATGTAACCAGTGCCACACTGCTGTGGTATGGAGAAGCTGCCACTGGAAAATCTGGAAAGGTGGAGAGTAAAGTTAACCCCACCGCAGACCCTTGTCTGAACTTTGACGTACATATGTCATAATTTTCCTACAGTAGATATTTCTGGAGAGACATATGTGCTTTTTGGCATCAAACCGCAGTGATGATGCATAGGCTTAAATCATTCAAATGTGGAAACATTCAAACGTCTGCTTTATCAATCATACAAGTGCAACACTGCCATCTAGTGGAGAAACAAAAGACAACACGATCTTGCTTGAAACAGATATCACAGTGTCAGTAACAGTAAGACCAAATGAAAATAAGAGTATTTTATTCTTGGTTGTAAAATCAAGTGAAGGCATCTGTCTCCCTTAAGCATGTGCTCATAACGCCATGTCAAACTGTCATATGTACTGTTCGTGCTGCTTTTATGGAATTATTTGTAGGTAGAGAAGAAACATGTACAAAAAAAAAAAAGAAAAGAAATTCTGCACAGTAGAGCATATAAATTGTGGACTAGCAACTTTTTCCCACCAAAAAGACTTGCATCCTTGCGCTTAATCACCAATAGGTATTATGAAGCCCAGTGATGGTGGTAGTGACCTTCAGCATCTCTTGGCCCATCTCCAAACAAATGAAGAGGTGGAGCCTGGGTAAATAAATCAGGGTTATTGGCTACAACACCCACCTGTTAGTCCAATCAGCCACACTCCAGTTTATTCTTAACTGTGCATTACTCTTAGCCTTACTAAAACCAAAACAGATGAGTTAGAAAAGAATCAAAAAAATGAGCCAAAGAGACTAAAGTTATATTTGGACCAGGCCTTAAACATGTTTATTTCTGCTGTTAAGTTGGCCTTGTATGACAGAGTTTTACTGGATATCCTAATCCTCTGAAGCCCTCATGTGGACAGGAGAGGAACAGCAGTTTTATTTTTTTGCCCATCTTCATCAGCTTCATTTTTTAACACTAGGTTGCTGCATGATTACCCCTGCAGCTAAAACAACAATCAGAAAAGCATTGACATTTCCCACTTTTTTTTTTTCTTTTTAAAGATAATCACACATATTTAACAAGTAGGAGTTTGCAAGGTGGGAAAAATGAAATGTGAAAGAGTTCTTGTGCTTAGATCAAAATAAAGATGTTGTTTAAACCATTGATTAGTCTTGTTGGTTATCAGCGCTAAAGCTGCTTATTGTTTTCCCTCATGTATCATAAAGTCAATAAACATCAGAAAAAATAATCCTAATTTTTTTTAGGTCCAAGGTGGCTCTGGCATATGTTTTTTTTTTTCACCCCAACATCCAAAGCCTAAATATTTAGTCTGTTACCACATAAGACAAAGAAAAGCCGAAAATTGTCAATAATAAGAAGCTCTAACTAGGTGAAGTGTGGATATTTTCGATAGAAAAAAATCTGTTTTGTCCCTCAGTGAATTAATATAACAACTTTTATTTTTACTGTTTGTATTTTTACTTGAAATGTTCCAAAAAGTAAGCACTCATGCCCAGGAGATACACTGCTTTTTTATTTTAATAAGAAGATGGATGCATTTCATTAGTTCCCCTTTAGAAACTCAGTCTTTTTCCTTAAGTGTCTGCTGCTTCTGTGATTAAATGGAAACCAAAGAGGAGGAGTCGTTGGGTTATTTTTTGTGAGGCGTTGCATTGTCCATGCTGATGTTGTGGATTTGGCAAGAAAGGCTCACTTTTTTAAACTCAGTGACGTCAGCTGAGGCTTTGAAGCTGCTACATAAAACAGACTTGATTTACATTTGTCGTCATGCTCTCCTGCTGTATTTATCATGGCGTCGAGAGCAGGTGACTGATGATTACCTCTGAACGGGGGAGACAAGCTCGGACACATTACCTGATAGATGACGTCCCCCTCTCACTGTTAGTTGCACCTCTCTCTGTTTATAATGACGCCTTTCCATCACAGTGGACACATGTCAGCCAGTGAATTATTGGCAGTGAACTGAGGAAGCTTCAATGTTGATGAAAGAGGCTGCCAGATTTACGCTGTGCTGAGTGTCTGTCACACTGAGCAGGTGATATATAGATACTGATACTATCGCTGATGAACAGGAGGGTTCACCACAGACCATATGCCAATTGCACAGGGACAACAGGTGGCGTGTGGACAGATGGAAACACCTTATATATGATATTAACAAATGTAAATATATAAGAGGTCAGTGAATAGTAGCCAAGAACTCTTTTCTTCTTTGCTAGCTCAGAGAGAGGAAAACTTCAGAGTAATTTGTTTTTATTGCACAAATCTCGGGACTGCCCAACATTGCATCTCGCTTGTTTATCGTTTGCTTGGGGGTTGTTTTTGTTAAGCTCACAACAGCTTTTCTAGCCTTGAGCCCCAGACATCAATCAGAAAGCTCACTGAGCTTCACATCCCCAGATTTCTTTATTTTCTTATCTTGCAATTCTTGATCCAAACTAACACTTAAGCTGAATCTCTCAGGAAGATAGAATAGTGCCTCAAAATTGTTGATCAGTATTTTGTATTCAAACTTTAACACGTCAATTGGTGGATATGTACTTTAAAATCTAAAAACTATGAAGACGTGGAAGGTTTTTGCAAACCATTTGAGAATGTCTCCTTAATAAAAGATAATTATTCATTTGACTTTGAGCCCAATTAATCAATTTTTCTGGCTTGGAAAAGGTCGCCCTGAAGAGCTAGCTTAAGGGCCCTTTGGGGTGTTTCCTAAACCAGATAATAGGTCTATGCCCTGTACAGGGTGATATGATGGATGAGGATACTTTGTGACCATAAGGAGTTCCTGCTTGGTAAATGTCATGAGTGTAACTTCTGCTTTACAGCAACATATCAGGTTTATCTTCATCTGGATACAGCCCTCAGAAGAAGTCATGTTGTTATTTTTCTTTATGACAAACTAATGTCACTGTTTGGCACCTCCCTCGGAAGAATAACACTGATGGAGTGTGTGTTGCAGAGGATGAGACGAGCTGCCCTTTTCTCTGTGGAACAAGTTTTGGGTTCTTCGGAATCACAGTCAGCTCTGGGAAGCATTAAGATAAACTAGCACATAGGTCATGAGGCTGCAGGCTGACAATACAGATAACATGGAAAATGACCAACACTGTAAGTGCTTTGATTCAAAGACAAAAGATCTTTTAACCCTTTAGTAACAACTTTTGGCCTCATAACACTGAGCATATCTTAAGGTTTGTAGAATTTACAGTCATCTTATATCCTGAATACCTATTTCATTAAAAAAACAGAGACTGGAAAAGGGATAAAACAGCTAGAGGGTGTGCCAATATGATATTGATATCAGATAAAGGTCTGATACCAACAAAAGGGTTATATCAGCCTGCATCTAGAATCTCCGATATCAGCACTGCGATACAAGCTGTCCATTCCAGACTCTGCTCTAGCACCTATGTCTAGCAGCACCCGGATCCAGCATGTAGAGCCCATGTGATCACAACAAAAGTGTGTACTAAGCGTAGACTGAATATAGAATGGACGTCATCTGCCTCCTCACTGGGTGAAGCCACTCCGAGAACAGCACACTCTGGTGGTGGGCTGCAGTACAGGTCATAAATCCCGCCTCCTCTAGCAATCCCTATGGAGCTGTTGACAAATTTTAGAAATGTATTACACTGAATATAATTTTTTCTCCCCCCTGCTTGCGATGTTGACATGTAGCTATAGTGAGACTGGTTTGTGCTCAAGTCCTCTTTTTTTCTGTACAGCTCCATTTTTAAAAGTTATTAGGGGGTTCATGTTTTCTGTGATTGACACCTGATACAGCCTATGGGGGTACAAGGATTGCAACACTACTACGCAAGTGGTGGGGTGCGTACAATGCTACTGCGCAATGTTGGTTTCAGGAAGTGGAGAAAAAACACAGAATTACTGAGAACTTTTCTGCTTCAAATCTGTATACTGGCGGAAGACGGAACCAAGTCGTCCATAGTATATACAGTCTATGGTACTAAGGTACTAACAAAGTACCAAGGAGTAGGAGCGATGTTGACCCTGTTGCAGTATTTTTCATTAAAGTCTGATAAAGACGTTGCAGCTGAGTGCAATACTAAACATGCACAAGTTTGTGCCAATATCAGATCAGTGTCAGTATCGGACAATACTGAAGGCTATAATATCTGTATCGTCATCAGAGGTGAAGAAGTTGTATCGGGACACTCCTAAAAATAGCTGTTTGACCAACTAACAGACTAACTTATGTTTCAATCATATAACTTGCACTTGACTGGGCATGTGTTATATATTAATTTTTCTAAAACATATATATCTTAATGTGAAATTGTTAGCTAGTTTTTAGGGGGGAAACAACATTGTCAGGCCGTGTTTGTGCTTAAATAACCTTCTTCTTGCATGAGATACAGAAACACATCCACCGTCATGCTCTGTTGCCTATATGAATATTTACACTGCAGCTTCTTCGCTGCTGCATGTTCGTCCCTCCCCGAGACCGAGAGAGAGAGAAAGAGAGAGAGAGTGTGTGTCCTCCTCTGGCTGACACTGCATTTACGATGCCTGTCACTCTGGGCTCCATCACCTGAAAGCGGCAGGGACCAGCAAGAGAGTGGAGCTGCTTGACGGGATGAAAACAATCATACCAGCGCCGCTATTACACACTGCATCCACTCTGGCATCCCCTCTGCACCACAGACAGAGTTGTGCCGCACAAGACCCACACTCTCTCTCTGCAACATGAATGCACAGCGCAGTCTTTTCAGCAACCAGTAGCTGTCTCAGCCTCTGTCTTAAAGAAGTGTGAGGGGTAATGCAACGCAGATGATTCCTGAAACCAGATGTAAAGGAAAAAACGAAAGGAATAGCGTGAAGACGTAAATCTGAGATAAAAGAGGGAGAAAAATGCAAAGATGACAGCTGTGTGTATGTGAAGCCTCTATAGCAGATGAACCTTTAGATTAAAAAAAAAAAAAAAAAAGAGGAGAGGAGGCGGAGAGAGGCGGCGGCATCCATTAGGAAGCAAGGGACAGCGGTCAATAAAGGACACTCAGAACTCCACCTCCTTCCCGTGCTGAGAGGGAACTTGTGTGTGTGATGAGTGTGTGTAAATCCACCAGCAGCTGAACCAGTGTGCCAGCCTGCCACAGCACACAAGCAGCACTGCAGAGGATTTGGCAGCCCAGAGGACCTGCTGGAGCTGTTACAGATTTTTTGGGGTGGGGTAAAGAGTCGGCTTGGACGTGCACCTCGCTGTCAGCTTGTGTACTCTCTGCTATAACAGCATGAAGACGGTCAGAAGATGAGGAGGAGAAAGAGAGGGCAGAAGAGTCAGACTTTTTAAGTCTTTCCAAATTGGGAGGGGGGTGGGTTTGGCAAACCCACAAGGGGTGGGGGACGCACACAGGGGGCTGGTGTGGAAACCTTTGCCGTCTCTGTTAACTCCTCCACAAGGGATCTCCTCTGTCACCACCTCTGCGTCTCCTGGTGGTCCGCACCCCCCTGTGGGCCACGTGTGCAGGCATGGACCGAGGCTGAGCGGATGCTGCTGCCTGACAGGGAGCCTGTGAGACGGCGGTCCACTCCTCCCCGCCCTGGTCCCCTTCATGCCGTGCTGTGGACTGGGCCATCGCCGGAAAGCACAGCTTCCATATGTGAGTTTGAGGCTCTGATGATGATTTATCACACAAGGGTTAGAGGGGAGGGTGTGCGTGAGAGATTAGAGGAGCCGACAGTCGCCAGCATGTGCAGACCAATGTGCTTAATGTGCTTTGTTATGATTGTTTCATGCTGGTCAGACTGTTTGAATAATTCAGAGGTTATTCGCAAAGGTGTTGCATCGGCACATGCACAACTTCAAATATTGCTGCTTCAAAGAACAACACTAAGTGGTCAGTGGACACTCGCCAGGTTTTTCCCTTGATGTTAAACCCTGATAGTCCTCTATCCTGAATGCTGCAGGATTTAGCTGAAATATTTAAATTGCCCTGGATGGGCAGTTTTCTGCAGAGCTCTGTTCTTGCATGCCTACAGACATGATAAATCTTTCATTTCATATTTTTTCCAGGTTTTGGACAGAGCAAGCAGAGGCTGTACGGTTTCTGAATGCAGAAGGCTCACACTGCAGGCACATGCTCTGTTGACAGTTCCACTTTATTGGGCTTTGCTGGTTCATGTCATGCATCCTCTGTGTTTTGGTGTCTGGAATCTAAAGCATGTGTGTTGTAAGGACACAGAAAGTCCACTTTGGCTGTGTGGGGTGTAATGAAACGCAGTGAGAGCAAAATGTCGGTGTGCTCTTTCTAACAGGTAGGACCTGAGATAGGAAATTTGATGATACATGCAGTTCTAGCTGTACTGTCCTTTGCATATTTAATGTAAATGCCCGAGTTCTGCTCTGCTGAGCTCCTGCAGTCATAGTTCAAGTGGCTGAAAAGACGGTCAAAATGTCTGTTACATAAATGAGAAGGTGAGCAATGCACAAAAAAAAGATGTTTTTCTTTCACTATCATTTTACTGCAGATGACAGTGGACCTCACTAATAGAGTTTCACCACTAGATGGCCATGTTACACTTTTACCACCACTCCCACATAAATAAACTATCATGGCTTTTCCATGCAGAGAGAAAGTGCTTAAACACCCAAAGATCAGAAGTCAAGCTTGTTTTTTATTGGATTTTTTTGGTCTCAAAGTCTGTAATAAAACATGATGTCATCACCAAATTTAAGACATAACTCACAGGACAAAATGTTCTGCAGCAGCCAGAAACACTGAGATAATATCAGATATTCAACCTGAACTTGCCTCATCTATTTCTTTATTTGTTTATTATCATAAAATTATAAAATGTTAATAGAGGCCTGTCTCGATGTCCCGAGCGCTAAAATAAAGTTTGTTTAGTGTCACAAACTCACAACAAACCATCATATGTTGAAAAAAGCAGCTCAAAACTCATGTTTGAAAGTGAACACTACAGTCATTTCACATTTTATTGCAGTATTATTTATTGCCTTTTTATTTTTTGTTAGTTGATCCACCATTTCACTAATAATTTTAGCCCTAAAATACACATTCAACAAACTGAAAGCACTAATCCACAAACACAAGTTTAGCCCAGCACTTGTAGATTCCTGAAAAAGTTTCAATTATAAAGTAACTAGAATCTCCTAAAGCTGAACAAAATTACAGAAAAGTACATAATAGTTTCAGGATACTGAGGTTTATAATATGTGTCTTCAGAGTTCTCCTGAAAGAACACAGATCTTCTTCTTTGAAAAAGGATCAAGACTTCTGGGCCCGTTATGACGCATAATGTCTAGAAATGTAGACTTTGAAGGGTCCAGCTTCTGAACTTGGACACTGACTTTATCCCAGATGTTGTAGAGAGAGAGAAAAAAAATCTAGTGCTTCTGTTACACAATCAGGTTTTTGTCTGACACGCGCTGCAGAGGGGCTGAATCAACATTGACTGCACAACTGAGTAAGCTTTAATTAAACTGATGAGTAGATTAGTGTAAGACCAGCTGTTGATACTCCACACTGCACGGTCTAAGCCCCATGTGTAAGGTGTTTGCACCGACACAGACCATCCACTGTGACAGAGTATCACCAGCATAGTGGCTGTGTGTACTTTCTGTGTTGAAATTGATGTATTGAGTCAAGTCAAAACCGCAGTTTTTTGGGGTTGAAGTAAAACATCCACTGACTGTAGCCAGTGTGAACCTTTAGAGGACCCCAGCTGCCGTGACTTGCGTACTCACTCTTTGACACTCCTCTCACATGTTTCCAATATGGAGCACCAGACCAACGTTTTAAGTCTGAAATGGGGCAGAACACAATTCCGCTCAGGATGGAATGTGGAGCACGGAGACCCGGCCGGATGGGACTCTGTTTGATGGACTGAATGGCCAGTCCTAGACACTCCTCACGGAAACTGAACTAATTGAAGACAGCCTTCCTTGCTCCATTCACGGCTTTGTTTTCTAGGGTTTTCTGCTTATAATGGCGCCGTAGAAGTAGCCATCACGACTAAGCAGAGAACCACTTCAATGCAAAGTTTATCGTGTTTACATAGCAAGAGAGCCAGCTGACCCATAGAGGCATGTCGCAAACATGGGGTTCAGTAAACTTCCTATGATTAGCACTGCTTTGCTAATTAAAATGCACTCGGCTTAATTCTAAATCTCCAGGTGTATTTTTGGCCGTGGTGCAAACAAGACAAAGAGTTTTTCGCCAATCCCTGTGCAGCATTTCCCCTCCTAGCTGCAAAAGCATATCCCAAAATAAGCAGACGCACAAGTACTTTGACACAACCACTCAGCTGGTATCCCAAGACAAGTAACAAGAGTAACTCAGTGTTTACTTTTCATCTCAACGCATTCTTTGTAGTTTTGCCAATCCTTTGCTTCCAACCCCAGTCCCAGGAGAACAGTATACGTCGTCTTAACTTTTTAGGTTTAGGCATTTTGCCTCTGTTAGATAGGACAGCTGAAGAGAGACAGGAATTTTGAGGAGTAGGGAGCGAAGAACTGTGGATGGGAATCAGAGACTTCTATGACGCATACTACATCCTCTATATAGGACACACTCAGACGGCCAGGCCAGTGGCATCATCGTACTTGTTTTTGTACTAAATCATCAAAGCCGATGTTGCTCCACATTAAATATCTAACATTTCTTTGAACTGATTTACACAAGAGTAAGTCAAGGTACATTTGCCCCCATGAAGACTCCAGCACTAATGCTGTATGCAGTAAATTTTGCGTTCCTCTATTTATTATGTATGAAGACATTTCACCTGAAAAGTGAGAACTTGCCAAAGAAGGAATAAGAAATGTCAGACACTATAGTATTACACACTGGACTGTAATTATTCCCAGAAAAAAACTAGGCCTTTGTGTGCGAGTGGTGAGCTAATTTCCCATGGTGAAAGTGTGACCTGGAATTCCCAGTTTTCCAGGCTTTGGGAAACCCGCCCAGGGAGGAGTGTCAGGCCAGCACAGAGCAGACTTGAGCAGGGTTTCCTTGGCAGCAGCAGTGCGTTCTTTAACTTTTCCAGAGATTATTGAAATGTCCGGAAACTGAGCGGCTAATTGGCCACAGAGGCCCTCAGGAATGTCTCAGATTTAGGTGGATTTTTTTATTTCTTTTACATCATCTATCTGCTCAGTTTGAGGATGGAAAGTGTGATATAGATCTACGAGGCCTGTGCGGAGTAAAGCTGCACTCCAGTCTGGAAATAGTGATGTCAATGACAGACACCATGTGCTGCCTCTGTGTGTCCTGACCCTGGCTCAGTTCTAACTGGGCTGCATCGGTCTGAGTTTTTAAAACCCTCACTTGTCTGGAAATGTTGAAGTCAAGCAAATCATTCATGTGGAGAGTTTTTGATTTGACACAACTGGCTGTTTCTTTGTCTCTCTGGTTGATCAGTTATATGGGGGCATCTGGTTGGGTGGTGAAAATACAAATCATATAATCTCCAACATGACCAGGTAGAGAGATCCCTAAAGCTTGTCACACCAGACTCTCTCATTCCAGTAATTTGATTCCTGCATATAACTCTAAACTCTCTGATCAAGAAGAGTTTTGGGGGTGCGCAGATAGCCTAGCAAGTTAGCGTGCAGGTTAGCGCGACCATGTGCTGCATGTCATCACCTCCCTCTCTCTCCACTGTCCTATCATTAAAGGCAAAGAAATGCCATAAAAAAGATGAGTTTTGAACAAAATAACCACTTAGTTATCACATGAAATTCATTCTCAGCATGGCTGCATTGGTTGAAACAACATTGGCTGTCTTTGTGCCAGCATGTATAGGAAATACTTTTGGGAAAACTACACAAGAAAACTTGTTAAAATCCCTTTTTTTTCCTTTCAAAAAACAAACCAGTCTAAACTCCAAGTGAACACTCAGAGAAAGGAAATTTACCCAACATGGCTACAGAAGGAATCATAGAGCCTGTAGGCAAACTGCAGAATTGGTTCATTAAGTGTGGTGATAGCAGAGCTCGCACGACCAGCTTTTCATCCTCTTTGCAGTCTTGCATGCTATGTGATCATGATTTTCTAGATCAAAATACTGGTAAACTGCCCCACACGTTGAGTTGCCACCTGTGCTTATTTACATCCAGGTAGAAGAGCATAGGAGCATTATGGAAGAAGCAGTTAGCCTAGCTAATGGTGGGTGGCTGCTCGACAGCTTAAACAATACATAACCAGCATTTAGAGCCTAAAAAAGTTATAATATGTAACTATAAAATATGTATGCATTGTAAAAGAAAAACAGCTGTAATGGGATCTAGACCTTTACTTCCTGCAAATCCACACCCACCCATGTGAAATACTACATTATTGTGGAGGTGCACCTAGTTACATTATCGCTTTGAGCACATTGCTTACTTCTTCTACATAAGCTGTTTCTCATTTCAAGTTTTATTTTAATCACCTTTCAATATAAATGCTAATATTCACCACTAACGTATATATTCTTCTGGCTGAAACTCAAAAAATTAATTAGAAATAAAACAAAAACTTGTGTCTTTTAAAAAATTTGTAAGGTAGCAGAATTTCACCATTGTCAGTACATTTTAATGCATGGTGAAAACTATACCAATCTGCAGCTTATCAACCTGCTGCATTACATCTCCACATATAAACTGATTTGCTCCCTGTGGTGAATGGTAATTTTAGCCTCATGTCTCAGCTCCAACACGTTCTACTTGGTGCTTTACCGCTATCAGTGCAAAGCAGCTGTTTAAGAGCTGGAGCGCTGTCATCCATTTTTGTCGGGCTTGCAGTTACTGGCATATCTCTTCAGTAATTCTATTTATTACGGTCACATTTTACTACAACACACAGCTTTAAAGAGAGATACGTCTGCATTACGTTCTCTGCTGTTGAGAAGGCTGTTATATTGATTTGTTGTATATGAGGCATTAGGCTGAGTTTAAGCGTCACTTTGGCTCAGTTTGACAGCATAACTCTCCATGTACCTCCTCGTATAAATCTGTACCCTATCCCTACTTTTTGCTTGATCTCTATAAATCATTGAGTTGTCAGTTCTTTGTATCGCTGCTGCAAATCATTGCAGAATTTTGCAGATAAGTAGGCAGTCGTATCACCGGAGCTGAAGGAGCAGTGGGCTCAGCTCACATGCACAGAACTGGCACCTCAGACAGTAAGGGCATTCAGGCCAAACAGAGCATCACTTAAAACAGGAGCAGATGTTCTTTGAGGCCAATTAACAACAGAGGGATGCCGACAACTTTGAGCACCAGAGGAGGGCTACCGGCCCATATGGATACAAGAGACAATTAATTAGAGCGTCAGACATTAAAAATGGATCAGGCACTAAATTAAGTTTCGCTTTAATCCCTGATCCCCTGGATTGTGAGATTGGGCTTTGATTGTTATTTATTTCTTTCTTTAATACTTCACTATTCACTATGTACTGTACACTGAAAATGATCAAGAACATAAGATATTAGCACAGTTTGGACCAATTAAACTTCTTTAAAAACTCAGGACAGAAAGGTATAAATAAATTAAATATCAGATCAAGAGTAATTATATAAGAATAGTTAGACATGAAAGGTTTAAGATTTGTTAAAACAAATGAAGCCAGTTTTAACATAATAGTTTTTAATGTAGAAAAGGTCAAAGAAAAGGGAGGACTGGAAATGTATTCTTAAGGAGTGTATCTTTCCTTGAATTGCATTTAAAAAGTAAGAGTCTCCTCATATTTAGGTTAATGTCAATTGTTAATAGCAGTGACGGTTTCACTTATCTGAAAAGCGAGTTTACCTCCATGACTGAGGCGAGCTGTGGCTCACAACCACAATGCTAGAGGGGTGTTTGATGAATTCCAGGTTAAAGCATTATGGTCTCCTCTGTCAATTATGACCGGGTGCATTCAAACCCCACCCAATTTCAGCCTGTAAAACCAGCATGGATACTCTAAAACTCCTCAGTGCTCTTTTTCAGTTAACATGGATGTTTAAGTTGCAGGAGTAAATCATTTAAGAAAGGGGAGGACAAAGTACGAGAGAAAGAGAGAAAAAAATACCATTAAGGGGCCGAAATACTGTCATATAAATTTTGAATCTGCCACCATGGAGGGGAAAGAGAGAATCCTATTCTCACTGAGCATCTTTCACTTGTCTCCTGGCAAAAAGGCGTCATGACAACAGGCACCAGCCGGGCGAGGAGATACACCCTTGGGAGGGAAACAGCGCAAGGAAGGTAAAAGAGGAAAGGAAGGAAAGTGAGATGAAGTAGGTGGAAAGGAAAGGAGAAGAGATCAAATGGAAAAGAGTGGAAGATAATGAAAAGAGGAGGCCAATTACTTTCAAGTTTCTCTCTTCTACTTCCTATTTTGTTGTCCTGTGCCATCCCCCAGAGAATCACCGTGCTCATCCTAATGCGTCTGTAAGCTCACCCTCGGGAGCCGGCCACAAAGATCTGCTCCGCGATTGGGCGCGCACCGTGGCTCAGCAGGGCGGGGTTAAACCTGCTGGGATGTTTCATATTCATACTCAGCTTGAATACATAATCAGTCCATCAGGTCACTGCTGTCAGGAAGAAAGGACTCTGAGTGTGCCGGGTGATTCTTCCGTGATCTTGACCGCATTTAATTTTGCCATGTGAAGAAAAACTTTGTCATTGTCCTCGTCTGCGTGATCCCGCTGACAGATGCTGGACTCAGTCAGAGCAGGGGATTTTGGCTCGCAGGTTTGCAGAGCAGATGACGACCTATGGCTGAGCTCGACGTGCCCCTGGCCATCACCCTTGACCCTGCGTAGACCTGCCCACACGACAAGCTGTGCGGCTGACATCCGCTGAGGAGGGGGGCTCCTCTCTGCACGTTACCGGCCCGCTCTCGTTGCCATGATCAAACACTCCAAGAATAAAAATGTCTCCTGGGTAAGTGAGGCGTGTTGGTGGACTTTTCTCCTCTATTTTTTGAACTACCTTCTCGCTGTATGTGTGGCTTTTTCTCTATCTTGTGCTGTGCTCTCAAAATAACAGGAAGCCATATAACATTTTTGCATCACTATTGTTAAGATTTCCTGCATTAACGGATTATGTAGAGACTATTACGGTGTATTCCCATTTGTTTCTGATGCTCCTGTGCCCAGTGGCTATTCCAAAGAGAGGCTTAGAGATTTAGGTATTATATAACAACAAGCTACTACATGCCCACTTTATGAAATCTGGTCACCACTCTGCCAACTCTGCAGATGTTGAAAGAAAAGTGGCTGATGTCGATGAGTTAAACTCAAAGCAAAAGTTCAAGAAAATCATATGTGTGTCATCAGAAACACAACAGAAGTTTAACTTGTGTTATTTTGATTTAATTTTGTCTCCGGTTTTCAACATGTGTGAGTTTGGTATATGATTCTTTGCCAGTGCAGACGGATCAGGGGAGATTAGAGCGAGAGTGGCTTTGCGAGGATGAAATCAGCTACTTGGGAGAATAAAAAAAAAGGGGAGGGGGGGTAAATGATGTGATGGAGTGATGGTTTACTACAGAATTTACTCCGTCTGTCCATCTGTAGACTTTAAACCATTTTTTTTCTTCTCGTGTGACCTCCAGCCACTCAGCTCGACCACTTTGTTATGTAATCTTTTCACTCCAGCTACTGTATGTCAGGTGTGAGTGACACAGTCATGGTGTGATGACTCCTCTGTACACACCATATGTTGCATTCACTTTAACAGACATTCATGTTTGAGACTGCTACCTTTTTCCCCTTTTTTTATGTCCAGTATATTCTACATGTGCACATGTGCATAAATAGAGATGTACTTATGTGCTTTCCTCCGGAGGGAAACACTGCTCCACTTTTGCTCAACCCACCCATATGGCACATATGTCACGCTGCTGCTTTCTGCAGCCCAGCTCGGTGTCCTCACAGTGAACCTGGTCATTCCTGCACACGGAAAGCTGGAAAGTTGAGTTCAAAGTACTTGAGTGCTTGATGAAGTGATGTGACAGCTTTGCCAAACAGTTCTAATTAAAGTAGCACGACATGAATCAGCAGAGAAAGTCCAGTATGTACCCAATACCAGAAATACTTTGATTATATCTCTCCTTTTTCGCTGTTTTACCTTCATTATCTCAAATAACAGCAACATGAAATGATTGGGCATTTAAGCTGGTATGAGAACACTTCAACAAAAAGCTAAATTGACTTCTGAAGGATACATGCCCACTGCAGTGAGCAGGCTTAAACACATCACCTTACAGACTCTCTGTTACATGCACATTTACCAACCTACTATAAATGACTGACGGGGCTGACAGAGAGGTTCAAACCCCAAGAACTGAGTGACTTTTTCAAACCTCACTTTACCTTAAAAATGAAAGCCTTCTCTTCCTGATTATCATTAAGTGGTAGAAAACAAAATCCACATGCTAAGATGTTCCTCAAACAGTCTCATTAATCAAGAGACGCTTCTTGTTCACAAAGGCAAGCAAGTTCATGCCCACATAAAACATGAGTGGTTAGCTATAGAGCAAATTAACATTTTGTAAAAGAAATTTGATTGATAAATGGCAAACATTTGAAATTGTGTAGTAAATGCTATAAGTCAAGCCTAAAATATAATAAGTAAGTAATTCCTCAGTTTAGGTAAGAGTCTCGTAGAGTATTTTGCAGACACACTGCAAACACCAGTAAAGTGGTTTTGCACTTTCTACTGCATGACTTCTATTCTTGGCCTCCTTTTAAACCCACTTGAGGTTGGTCAAACACATCCCTTCTTACATTTTATTGAGAAATGAAAAAAAAAATTGCACCACAATGAATTTCACCAGGACAAACGCTTTCAAATATATTTTGAGGCTAAATTTTATGGAGCATGTGCAACTAGAATGATCATAACTTTGAGATTTGTGTCATTTTCAGCCTTGTATGGCAGTTGTTAATTGACTTGGTTAAAGGGCATTTTAAATTACTGCAATGAAAAGTAAACAGTGATACCATATTCTAACAGCAGAGGGTGCTATCTGACTCTGACTACTCTTCTTCAACCACTTTGTCTCTTGTATTTTGTAGTAGAATGACAGCACAGAACTGGCAGCTGCAGGGGAAGATTTTGCAGTTGAGGATGCGCCTCCAGCATGCCGAAATATATATACTGACCATTTTGGTGCTTTTATTTGTCTTATCCATGTGAGATCGCCATTTGGAGATTAAGTTCCTTCTCCAAAATAAACTGATAAGTCACCACCCTCAGATCCAGAAGCCGGTAAACATGTACGGATCAGGATGCATAAAATACTATATGCGTTCTGCATTGCAAGCTGCAGCTGTTCTAATTCCAGGTATCTACTTCTCCATCCAATAAGCCTAATGACTATGAGGACCATTTTTAATAACAAGGGTAGGCAGAGGCAGGCGGATTAGGACTCCAGATGGTGCAGTCACTGCCTGCCTGACTGTCTGTCAGTGCCACACATGTACAGCTGCAAGAGGTCACATGTTTTTACTACAGCGGTCAGATCGGCTGCTGCAGCCCAGCATCACGTAGACTCTCCAGTAACACTAAAGCTGGCAATTTCAACACCAAGTATCAGCTGACAGTTTGAAGAGTTTTGAGGTATATTTGTATGCTTAGAGGTCGTGTCATATAGCCGGACTTGAGGATGCAACAGATGTTGCACCGTCAAATTAAAGCTTAATGCCCGGCCAGCCGAAGGGAAAACACTCCAGAGCCAACCATGACACCACAAAGCTTAAACACTCCACTCTGTGTATGTTTGTGTGTGTTTTTCTGCTCATGCATGTGCGTGCTTCTGCTTATGCCCATGTCAGTGTGTGTGTGTGATCTGCCAGAGAGACTTTTCACTCCACATGAGGCATGACACTCGCTGTTGAGAGAGCTCTGATGATGACCACGGCTCATGACATCTCTGTGACGACATCAGTCGCGTTTTCGAGCAACTTGCAGTTACTTCAGTTTTTTCCCTCCTTTTTGACTGAGGCAGGGAGGTTGTCTTTTTTCATGCCAGGCGTCAGCTGCTCGCACCCTGGGGTCATGGTACTCTGAACAGGAAAAAAAAAAGAGGGATTTGCATAATTCATTACAGTCGCTGTGGAACGGAGAGGCGACACAGGTGTCCTGAGTTTTGCGGTGGAAAGAGCATGCCTAAGAAGCCAAAGGTAAAAAAAATAACACACTACCTGTTCTTGTTTTTGTTGTTGCTTGTAGTTGATACTCTTTAAATGACTCTAAGTGCTTTTTTTTTTGCATACATGCAGACTCTTTGCTGGGTGCAGTTCTGTTTGTAACGACAGTCAGGAGGGGTGTCCCATTTGGTGCTGAGCTCTGTTTGCCTTCATTGTGGGCTTCGATTCAAATCCTGTGCATATGCAGGACAGCGCCTGCTTTTTTTTGATGCAAACACGGCTGTTCTGCAGGTGAAAGACAATCTGCAGGGTCATCTTTCCTCTATCCTACATAGACAATGAGTCTGGTTAAATAGTTTGTCATCCTGTCAAATCCTATCTCTGAAAAATGATTTAGATTACAGCATATTTAATCTTTGGCATTTTACACAATGTAGGGCAGTGTCAGCAAAGCTTTGAACTGTAATCTCTTGACATAAAGCAATCTGCAATCTGTCTATTTGTGGTGAAACAGTTTTTCCCATTTTCTGAATTCCAGTAATTTTAGAGGCAATAAACCTGACCTGTTAGTCTCATTTACAAGAGGGATTGAATGCCCCTAAAGTTTAGACGTCATGTATTGTAGAGCTGTCTTTGTGAGGGAGTTTCCTCTCTGGTGATTTAAGGTAGTATAACACTGTCATGTAAAAAGAGTGCCCGGCTTTTTTACGTTTACTATTATGTTGCATCATTTCTGCTTTTAACGACTCTCTTAACATTTGGGATCTGGTGTGTTGGTCTTGAAATAAAGGGCTTCATTTCTGAGTAATATTATAGTAATATTTCAGCTGATAAAACTTCAGGGTCTCCTTTGCCATATCTTCCTTTCATAATGCGCTAAATGCTTTAATGGGTGACAGTAAGGACTGCAGGCCAGTTTAGCACCTGGGCTGCTCTACTACAGAGCCATGCTGTTGTAATACATGCAGAATGTTTGTTGCATCGTTGTACCGAAATATGTAAGGTCTTTCCTGAAAATGAAATTGTCTGGAAGGTAGCATATGTTGCTCCAAAACTTCTGTTATTGAGCATTAATGACTCAACAGATTCGTAAAACACCCATGTCGTGGGCAATTATTGCAACTAGGGGTGTCCCGATACAATTTTTTTTTACCTCCGATACAATACCAATATTATAGCCTTCAGTGTTGTTCGATACCGATATTGATCCGATATTAGCACAAACTCTTGCATGACAAGTTTTGCACTCAGCTGCCACGTCTTTTCGAACTTTAATGAAAAATACTGCCACAGGGCTGACATCACTCCTACTCTTTGTTACTTTGGTAGACACTGTTGTTATGATCACATGGGCTCTACATGCTGGTTCCGGTTGCTGCTAGATAGAGGTGCCAGAGCAAAGTCTGGAATGGATCGCTTGTATCAGAGTGCTGATATCGTAGATTTTAGATGCAGGCCGATGTAATCCGATATTTGAATTTTTGCTGATATGACCAACATCTGATATCAATATCATATTGGGACACCCCTAATTGCAACCCAATACCACTATGGATGCACTGATAACAAGCTGGGTGATCTCTTTCATCTTTTGTCCATTTTAAAAGGACTAAAGCCCAAAGAGGTTCTTAGGATTTTTTGATCATGTTTATATATATATGGTTTCCTTTTTCGGCACAGTATCTGTTTGTAATTAACCAAACTATTGGCTCAAGCTGTCCTCACATCTTTGCATCTGAGAGCCTTTTTATATCGAGTCATATTACTAACCTGTTGCATAACCCGTTATTGTCATGAGCACGACCACAAGGAGTTATTAAGTTGTGGCACAATAAGTCAAATTGAAATGGAAATTGGTGAGAGAGCTACAGAATTTTTTTAATTCAAATACTGATCATTTGTGGCAGCGACATACAACAATTTACTTCCACAATATCATCATTTCCCACCTCTAGTTGCCTAATTACATTCATGTTAGTAATCAATATTCCCTCTTGCTGCTTTCTAGTTTTATGTCATTTGTTCTTGTGCTAGCGCCATCCCAGGTCAATCAAAGAACTGCACAAAACAGGCAGCCTGCCAGCATTTTTGTTGTAGGTGCGTCATAGAAACACAATGGGTACCAACTTGCTAAACGGTACCCTTTAGAACTATTAGTAGTCAAAAGCTCCACATCAAACCTCTAAGTGATGAGATGATCTTGTAATCTATGAGAGAAAGTTCTGAAATGACCTCTGGGTTTAAACCCACTCCTGAGGATTACAGTCTTCTTTAATATAAAACCTCTGTACTAAGACATTTTCAAAGGTGTAAAGAACAAATCCCTTCACTCTCCGTCCATGCTTCATGTCCTGCAGTCATTTCTTCTACTTTAAATCCTGGATTGGTCGAACGGCCGAAGCAGATTTAAATCTCCTTACTGAGAGAAGCAATCATCACAAAGTGAGTCAGGGGATGAAGTGGACACAAGCAATCACCCCTGTGGGCGTTATTGTGTGCAGCGTGAGGATCGTTACCTCCCTCCTGCAGAGATGGACAGTACACAGAAGTGCATGTGACAACACGGCAGATGATTGTCTCACGCTGAACTGCTCAAACGGTTGGACTGTGTTCAAATGAGGAGCCCTTCAGCAGTGCCAGAGCAGCTCACAAAAGTGGCTTTGTTAAGTCCAAAAGAGACCGTGTTGTCAGTTATGTGGCGTAAAACTGAATGCATTGTGATGTTTTCAGAGCTGTCTAAAAATGGGACTCATAGTTTTTTTGATCTGACAGCCTTCACTGCAGAAATGATCGGAAGCACAGATTTTCTTGTGTCTATCTCTGTCTTTAAATTCCACAACATGAGACGGACAGGTTTGCACATTAGTGAAGAGGCTGACAGTCTACCTTAACCCTGGTTTCTAGCCCTTTTATGCCTTTTGTATCATATTTGATACTTTTATATACTTCTATCAAATCAATGTGATCAACAATTACTAAAAAGACACCTGAATACAATCTGATGAATGATAAAAATGTTCTTTTGTGGTTTATCAGTTTCCAAAAACATGTATCAAACGAGATAAATAAATATATTTGTTAAATTTTAGGGACAATTTAATTTTTTTTTTTTTGTTTGTTTTTCAGTAGTAAGTGAAATAGACATTTCAGCCACAAAAAATGGAATTTTCTGGCCATAATTTGGGGTTTCAGGCATTAAAGGTTTAAAGTGGCTGGGAATTAGTTGGAGTCAGCATTTACAGGTTGGCAACGCCCATGTTTTGGCTTCATAATGCGTCCACTTCCAAATCTCCTTTTATGCCAACCAACCAAGAGCAGAGCCAGGGAGTGGTCAGCCAGCCCTGAAATCCAGTTGGCTACCCCAGTGGCCACCCTAAAATCCTCAACTATGATTGGCTGTTTGCTGTGTCAGCTACAGGCCTCAAAAATCAACCTGAGTTACTTTTCAAGGTTGAAAAATATGCATGGGAAAATAATTCACTCCTCAATTGAGCACTGGTATGAAAATCAGTGTTTACAGTGTACAAAGCAGGGGGAGTAAGTGGACTGTAAGTGTTGATATGAATTAGCATACAGTGAGTGAGTGAATCATCCGCTGCCTGTGTTCGTCTGACCTGTGCGTGACTGTATTGGTCACAGTGGTCCCAATTTGCCAGCTGATGAGTTTTTTTTTTTCCAATGACTCCATGTGGGGCAGCCAATGTGTTGATGCGAGCATGAGGCCACTCAGCAGCTCGCACTAACACTGTTGCAGCCTGGCTATATCATCCTCTGCTGTACATGTCAGCGCTTCAGGACTCATCAAATCTTTGCCTCCACTCTCTGTCCAGCAGCTCCGACATGATGCTCATTCCTTTGGGCATGCTCGACAAGTTCTCTTTGTCTCCACTGACCAAACACATTTTAGGAAGGGTAAGCTTTACCGTCCTTTAACTTTGATCTGAGAGGAGTTTAGCTTCATGTTTATGATGTGTGTGCAGGTGCGGGGTATTCTCAAGTTCAGTAATTAGAGATGGTACCTGGTCTTGAGTGGCCTGGCCTGTGTTGCAGAGAGGTAACCTTAGACAGATGTTAGCTGGCAGGTGGTTTCTTTAGACATGAATGGCTGTGTGTTCTGTAATTTTGTTTGGATATTTGCCCCTGAACAGCTACTTATTGAAATATACAAGTTCTAGTGCACAGAAGGCAAAATTTTAAATACTTTATATACTCATTTCCAATGTTTGCTTGATATTTGGACCTCAGTATCTCTAACTCAGACCAGCAACTATTGTTTTACTTGCATCAACATCATGTTTTATGATTATACTTATACCTTTTAAGTTGGAAAAGCCAGAACAAACACCGAAATGTGCTTATGTTACCTCATTAGTGCGGGCAATGTGTAGATAATGAGAAAAATAAGCCAAGATCAAAAGAAACCAAATGGAAACTGCTTGTTACCACAGGAAAACAGAGTACATAAACTGTATGGATGCATGTCTATTAAGGACTTCCTTTCATTTCATTTGATGTCCTGCCAAGAGTTCTGCATAAAAGGTGTTTACAGTTTTGTGACCGTGTGGTGAACGAAAGTTTAGACCACCAGCTGGTTAGTGTAGCTTAGTATACATAGTCAAAACAGGAGAAAGCAGCTAGCCTAACATGACTAAGAAAACTAGCTGAGCATTTTATCTTTCTACTCCAAACAGCTTTAGAGACTTGGTGCTATGAGCGATCAGTCCAAACAGCAACTTTAAGTGTTGAAAAATGGGGCCATTGTAGGAGTGCAAAAAACTGCAGTACGATCAGGGTCCAAGGACCGTGAGACTGGAGCCATAGGCGAAGGAAACACAATAGTTTATATATTTAAATGTCTTTCTAAACATAACTAAGTGTGGCTGGTTTGACTGACAAGTGGGCATGTTGCAGGGATACGTGCTAAATGGTCTAAAGGTAAGAAATTTAACATGGTTCAACACAAGATCACATAGTCTGCTGGTAAACATTAAATTGTTCTGCTGGGTGTGGCTAACATTAGCAGAGCTAGCACCACCATCAGCGAAAAGGTTGACCATACGTCATCTTTTACCCGGACATGTCCTCTTTTTTGGGGGGCTGTCCAGGCTTGTCCGGGGAAGTTTATAAAATCCTTCAAATGTCCGAGGCTTTGTACGGAACTTTTGAGTTTGTGTCACATGAACTTACTGAGTTAGAAGTAAAGTTAGTTAGTAAGTTAGTTAGTAAAAGACACTCGATTCGACCCGAAAAACCTTCAAAATCAACTTTGTGCGAATCCTAGACTCCAGAATATGTTCACCCTACTTTTAGCTGCCTACTATGTAAACTATGCTGTCCACAGTCAGCCCAGAAAAAAGCTTGTTTATGTTTTAGTTTATTTGACAGGGACAGAACAAACCCATAAACATCAGTTTATCATACACTAAATGTCTTTGGGAGGTAACACAGGCAGATTTACCACGAGTGTCATTATTATCGTGTCAGCTTTACTGTTCAGACTTTAAACTTATTCTCAAATACGAAATGATCTTTTCCTGGTGACAGGGTCATTTACAGTATGAACAATCAAATATCTAAACTTGTAAAGTAGGAGATTGTGCTCTCTCTTCTCTCAGCTTTACAGTAAAAACCATCCCACAGGACGATGGGGAAGGAGATTTATTTCTTCCAGGGAAATTGAAAAATTTATCCATCTCATTCATCGAGCACTCGAGGGCCTCTAAGGGGAGTTTAATTTGTGTAATAGCGTTCTTGGCAGGGCAGAATGCACTTGAAAGGGCTTTTCTGACAGAAATCTAATGATCTAATTGTGGTGTATGTCTGCTCATTAGTGATCCTTTTAAGTTTTCTAAACATCATTTGTGTGACTCTTGGCCTCTTTTAAAAGCTCTGACAGAAAACAAAAACACTGTTGAATATTGTTTGTGTCTTTAGCGAGTTGCTGCGGGGTAGAGTCAATCAATTATCCTCGGTATCTGTCCTTGTTTTGTCTTGTGTTATAAAGTCGTCATTGTTATTATCTTGTATTGATGTGAAACAGACTATCTCATGATCCGGAGTGTTTGACACAGCAGTGTTTGGCAGAGTGGAGGATGGTTTCTGACTGTTTGCTGTAATTGGCCACCATGGAGTCTCAGCAGTATGAGGATTGGTTACCTGTGGATGTCTGATTTTTACCACCGATCTTTTAAGGAGCAGCGATGCCTTACAGTGTAATAGACACAGGAGGGTTTAAACACCATCTCTGAATCAGCATTCAATCAGTACAAACACGTTGATATCTCCTGTGAAGGCAAATTAGTTTAATTTGTATAAATGTTGGCACCTCCTGTGGACGAAGCCATTTGTACATGAGTAATTTCTTTTCATTTCATTTTGCTTTCTTCAACATGGATCATTCATTGAGAATTTTGTGCATAGAACATTAGACCTTAAATATTCCTTTACAGAAATAGTCTCTCTCGTTTTTTGCTTTTGCAGGTCAAAAAGAGACATTAATATTAACTGCAGCCCTTTTAACAACCATCTAAAAACTCCTTAGGAGCTTTGAGAGTCTTTGTAAAATTTAAAAGTATTGTTTATTAAACTATAAAATGTGAATGTGAACTACGTTTGTTGATAGACTCAGTTACAAGCCAAATAACCAATCCCAAGTGAACAATCCCATTAAAAATGACCTTAACTGACTCCAGTTGCACAGCCAGTCCAAATACTTTATACCATCTATCAAGAGACAACACGGAGAAGCTGCTGGCAGTGTCTACAGTCATTATTTGTTGATTTACTTTAATCAGTTCTGTGAGCAGAGGCATCGACTGACACCAATTATTTCAACATGCCATTATTAGTCAGTCGATCTCTGATTCTGCATTTAGGAATGAAGACACGTTTCAGAGGGGTATTGGTTTCACTTGATTGTCATTAAATGTTTTACAGAGAGTATCACTGATTCATTGTAGAGTTGTAACACTGGAACGATGGAGTTCACCAATAGTGACTCCTGAGTTACCCTTTAGGGAAGGAAACAACCGTCTGACTGTATCGCTTCCTTCCTGTATATAACACATCACAATGATGTATTGATCCGCCTTCGTGGTACTATTACCGTACGTCGGTTTTGAAAGCTGTCCTTGTTGGCCTTTGTGCGCCTGTCAGAGCGAACGCCTGCTGACGTCACTGGCTGCATGTATACTGATCGATAAGCCAAAGGCAATGCCAGCGCTCATTTCCCAGCGTGGGCAGAGAAAGAAGACATCGATCTGTCAAATCCCATTCAGAGTCCATTGAAAGAGGGCTGATAATTACTGAGGGCAGAGAAGAATCCTCTCCTATCATTACATTATAGTAATTACACAAATAAAGCAAGTAATCTGGAGTAAAGCTTGATTTGCTTTTGTTAATTTGACATAATGGATAAAGTGAAAGCCTTGTAGGGGCTTTTAGCGACATTACACACATTGAACAGTAAACTTAAACATGCAGGCTTCAGCATAAAAACTGGCAGAGATAGCTGAAATTATACTAGTCGATAAAACATGCAGTCAATTAACTTACATTTTTATTTAACAACATTTTACAGAAATTCAGAGTATGCTCACATCCTCCTTCTGTGTTTTCTTCTTGACTTTGGTTTTCTAGCAGGCTGATGCAGTTATGCAAAAGTCATTTTTAGTGAGCAATCAGAGACGCCAGATCACACTTCCTGATCAACTGTCATCACGCCCAGCATGCTGAGGTTTTGGCCTCCAGGGCTGGACTTAATTAGAGCCTGATTTTCACCTTCATTTACCTTGACCTCCTGTGGCACAGCAGGGTTTAGATTTGACCACACACTGTGATTTCTTTAAGTGCTAAGGGCAAATACACCCAAATTCACTTGTTTGGGGTTCTAATCTGAAAATCTGATGACTCTTGGAAGTCCTTTTGTGTCCCAAACTAACAAACTCAGGGTCTTAGGCCAGTAGGAGACATCTAATAAGCCAATGCTGTTATTCTTTCTGTGCATAAACTCATTCTCATAAAAAGCTTTGTGATCTTATTTAGTTTACTAATAAATCATTTATTTAACTTAAATTTAAAACAATAAACAGTTTAGTCCAAGTCCAGGCTGGTTTCCTTTAAGACCAGAGTCCTACTTGAGTCCTGATGACTCAGACTTGTACTCAAGCACTAATAAAGACTGTTGTAATGTTTAGTCTTCTATGCAAGGCCCTGATAGTTAATTCAGTTTAGAGAGAGGGCTGTTGTTATGTGCATTCATCTGCATGGCTGTTCAGTACAAACGCTGTCCTGTCCAGCTACTTGGATAAAGAAACGCTTTGAATTTTGCTTTTTGCTTTCAAAGTATAAAGATGTGTAATTCTAGGTTAGTCTTCAAGAAGACTTTAAAATCTAGAATTATCAGTGGCTACAAGTATATGCTCTATTGTGCTCTGATGCTCTTTTGTGAATTATTAGTTTAATCTATGATGATATACAGGATAGGTCAATATAAGCCCTGGGGGCTTCAGGCTATTCCTTTTTCGGTTGCTGTCTGAAAGACTTTTTTATAAACATGATTTTTAGTCTCATTTTTTTATTTTTAAACCGAAATAATGCATTCATTTATTCATTCATAAATGTTACAGAAACTGTGGGCAAGAAAAAGCAACATGTTGGATATGTAGAAATCATCAAGTAAGAGAAAAAATGTATTATGTTTCTTTGGGCGAGCTAACAGTAACACTAGCCTCTTAAAAGATCACCAACGACATTCAGCCAATAGTTTAGAGTGACTACAACACTTGCCCCAACATATTTACCAGAACTACAGACCATTTCATGCGCTAGACCATATCGTACAATATATGCTTTTGCTTTTTGCCAGAAGACTTCACCCTGTCACTAGGGAAAGCGCTAAAAGTTTTGACTTCACTACTGAGGAGCTGCTGTGCCTTCCATGATTTCATACTCTGTACGGTAAAAAATAAACAGTATTTGTTGAGTCAATCTTTAAGCTTCAATATGTAATTTTTCTAATGGTAGGACAAAGCTAAAGCGAGCATGTCTTTAAGCAAGCTGTTTATAGCTGCCTATGGAAAAAAGCCTTTGATCCCCTCACTTTATTTACTGCGTGTCGGTTAAATTTATTTTCGTCTCAAAATTACTGTAAGTCTATCGTTTATTTCATACATTCATTTTTGTAAAGACACCATTTAATTTATTGGTCCTGCTCCACAACAGCTGGATGCTAAGCTGGTTTTGTCATATCAGACAACCAAAGGGTTTACTGATGCACCAGGACTTAGAACCATTGTCCTGGTGAAATGAGGATAACCATCCCAGTGTTTGCCACGTGCCAAGCACACGCCCTGGATGATAATCCTCAGAAAGGGGTTAACCCAGATCAAACACAATATAATCCAGGATTTAGTTTGGGCTGCCCAGAAAACATTTTCTTTCCAGTGAAAAATACAAATCTGGGCTTTAAGTGGAATGTTGAACAAAGCTTAAGGCTTGTAGTTTTAGATGTATGATGTTACAGGTTGGAGCAGAGAAGACTTCTCAGCTCTTTTACTGCAGTGATATCGCTGCATTCCTCCCTTGGCTCCTGTTTTATAACCGGAACGCTGTCATGAGTTATGGTTATACTTTATGAACTCATGACTCAGCTTCCAGCTAATGTTTTGACTCATGTTTTACCGCTTTAATCAGATATTTGACTCTCCCAGCCTACATGGGATCTGACGTAAGAAACACACATCACAGCTCTGGAGTGTCTGATGTCTGATCGGTACAGTAACCACCAACGTGTCGTACATGTGTACCAGCTGCATCACACTTGAGCTCTGACTGGTGATAAAAATCAGTCAACCTTTTAGATAAACACATTTTCTAACTTTTCCCTCATGAGTGTAAAAATCTTTGGTCTTTTTATTCTGCTGAGTAACTTCCTGCCTTCTCCTTTCTAATATTTAGGTAAAAAACAGACAAAATCCTGTGCGGTGGAGTGACCGAACGGAAAGTTTCGATGGCTTCAGTCGCCTTGATGATGAAAGCAAATATGGCATTTCGTCAATGTAGTGAACATAATTACTTCCTGACGTTTTCTGGTCTCAGCAGCAGCATGTGTTGAGACTATACAGTGAGGTGAAATCTTTGAGCCCTCCTCGCCTCTTTAAGGCAAAGTGGAACACATGTAAACTTCTCAGATCACACACTCGCACACAGACATAAAAAGCTTCTGCAGCTGCTTTTGGTGCTTTCTGGAATTTCCAGGTCGGCCCTGTTGGCCAGAGATCTTACTTCCTAACTGGCTGTGTGTGTGTGTGTAAAGCAGAGAGAGTGTGTATATGTGTGTGTGGGAGGGGAGAGGGGTGAGGGGGGCTTGTTTTTGGGGGCTGGAGGACGGTCGCGGTGCTCTGAAGGAGTGTTCTCCCAGCGTGGGAAAGACGCTCGTCGTTTCTCTGCCTCTCAGGGATAAAGTAGGCCAAAGACTGGCTACACAGAGAGACCAACTTTTCTACAAATTTCTCTGCTCAAGTTTTTCCCCCACTGGAGCAGGAACGAGAGGCTTTTTAAGAGCGAATCAGCCGGGCTGGTGGGAGTTCTTGAGCTCTGTGAGGAGATGGACAGCAGCTGAGGAGATTTTTCTCCCAGCCGGGCTGAACAGCAGACACGGGTAGGGAAGAAATGTATCACTCCGGCAGTGAGGAGTCAGATCTGGTAAGTTTGAGTAAACATGCATTCTGCCTCTCACAAAGTCTTCTTTCACACTCCTCTGAGCCAAACACGGCAACAACCCTCACTGTTCTTCTTCTCCACTCTCTGAACAAAGAGGAAGGACTCAGACTGCAGGAGAATGGAGGTTATTAGTGCAGGGTTTAAAAGGGGCGTAATCACACACTTCCTATTTTTCTCCCCTGTAGCTTTTCCTGAAAGTTTGTGACAATCTCCTGGACTGTGTTGCACGAAAGAAGAAGCTGGTGAAGCATCTTTTTACGAGTGTTCGAGCGTGGTTGATGCCAGAGCTAGCTTAGAGTGAGGAGCTGAGAGAGCAGAGAGAAGAATGAAGAAGTGAGCAGCCGGGGGAAGCTTTTTGCTTCATGTACAGAGACCGGCAGAGAACATTAACTTGGCTGTGATTTAGAGCAAAAGTTTGTCTGTTTGCCAAATGACCTAGTTTTTACAGACTGTTTTAAAATGTCGCTTCAGGGCTGAATTGAAGTGAGCGTCAGGAGTGTAAATCATGTCTGTGTGAGTTTAAAGATACTATATCAAACATTTCCCAATATTTCCATGTAATAGTAATTAGACAGTCACAAAGCTTCAAATGTTTGTTAGAAAGCCCATGAAAAAAAATTTATCTAAAAGTTGTTCAAACCTGCAGACATTTGTTGCGAGACACAAGTGGAAGCACATTAGGGGTGGGAATCACTAGTGGCCCCACGATACAATACGATATCATTGCGATATATATATAACATTAATATATAACAGCAGTACATATTAACAATTAATTTGAAAAATCGATACTCGGTAAATGAGATGATACGATATATCACCAGACAAAATATCGCGATACTGTGATGTATTGATTTTTTCTCCCACCTCTAGAGCACATGTGTATGAGGCTAATTTGAAAGCAAAATTATGCATTAGGTATATTTGGAATATTTTATGACTTGTAATGATGCAGCACTGGGGATTATATCAGGTGCTGGGGTCTGAATATGTCACATTGATATGTGATCCAGAATTGATGCCAGATACGATCAGGAAAATTGGTCAAGAAAATGGAATCTGGTGCTCTGCCTCTTTACCTGAAAGTATTGTAAAATTTAAAATTTAAAGCGTTGCAATGTTGTCTATCATTCTTCTTAATGTAGATATGTGAAGAACTATCTGATTAACATGTCTCTGAGGCCGATTTATTTTGGTCTAAGAAAACTAATTCCTCACAAACACAAAGAAGCAGCTGCTTGATTATACAGTCTGTTCAGAACACAGTGTAAGGACCTGCTGTTTATGTAACTTCTATCACACTCATACTCTTTAAATATAAAGAAAATACACAACCTTTAGGTCAAGCTGTGTATTTGCAGTTCTACATAAAAAACATTTGCCCTTTTGGTTACCATAAGAAAATTATTAGCTGTCTTTGACACTTTGCAAGTTTCCTTTTACCAGACGCTTTTAAATTACGCAATCTGCATTATCTTTACAAGCAGCTGTAATATGTAGAGTGAGATTTTCTACCAAAAAATGATGCAAGCAAAAGGAAAAGACCTTCAGTAATTGAGCTGAAGGGAGTGAGGTCAGCTAACTGAGACATTTTTATCCATTTTTGTTTCTTTTTAATGACTTTATTGAGCCAGCATTGTTTGCACTTTGGTAATAAAAGGCAATAAAAGAGATATCTGGTTGTGAGTGCTCAGGATTTCAACATTTCTTTCCATAGTATTAAAAAAGATGCTAAAATTATTAGATTTTTACCCAAACTGTATCAGAGATTCAAATTCTGGCATCATGACAATCTGAGTTCCCTCGAGAGATTTTTGTTTTATATCTCTGATGTTTGGGAAACCCCTGTGTGGCCACAAAATCCATATCACATAAATCACAAATTTAGCCAGGAATTGGTCCAGGGTGGGTAATTTATCTCTGTTAGAAATAGATAAATGAAGCTGAAATCATTTTACTCCAGCACATTGGTGTGTTTTGCTCCACTGAAGACGCTTAGCAGCCTCTTTTGCTCTCTTAGCCTGTTCTCATCAATCAGCCCGCTTCATACACCAGGAAACTGCTAGAATATTGATGACGCAAGCATGAAATAGCAGCACAGAGCAGCCCCCCGGCCTCTCTCACTGTATCCCCTTGATCTGCCATCATCCTATTATGGTGCTGTGTGTCCACCGAGGGACCAGAGAGCGAAGGAGCTGCTAGATCAAGTAGATCTCACTGTGAGGGGGATTCTCTGTTAATAAGAGTGATGTCTCTCAGGGGACTGCTCCTGCTGTATGCAGGTAAGACACACCAGAGGGGAAGGATTAGCACATCATTTACAGTTTTAGGGTCACCCTGTGTTTGTCTTACCATAATGGGGCAGGGAATTAAAAAGTGCAATGAAGCAGCTGCATGTTTAATTCCAAATCAACACAAAATATTGCTTGAGAGAGTTTAATTAGAATCCCATTTTGAGTAAAAGTTCACCAAAAATGATGTACCAATATTAAAGTTACTACTTTGATCCATCATTAAATACCTCAGCAACTTATCTAGGGCTGGGCGATATGGCGTCAAATCAATATCACAATATATTGAGCAGTTCACCTCAATAACGATAAATGGACGATAACTACTCCACAAGCTGCTCACCCCCTCCAACATTAACTTAGTCTACTTCAGCCGCTACAACTTTTGAACTGTCTTCCATCTCCTCCCCTGTCTTTCCCTCTTTGTTATGGACTGGATGGGGTGGAGTCACATCTCCGACGTAGAACAGTATCTTAAAGGGACATGAGACCATAGCCTACCTACACATATCCCAAACCAACTTTTATTTATTTTTTTGACACTGAATATACCAATATGGGCAAAATGACGTTGGTTATTGTCATAGATTTCGGTATCTGTAAATTTTCAGTTTATCGTCCAGCCCTAAACTTTCCCAACATTTCAATGAAATATAGCTGAAAGATAAATACTTCCAGGATGAGAAATGCTGCTGAGTTTGGTGAGTTCCTGGCTTATTTAGCACCACCAAAAAAAAACTATTTAATATCCACTGTGATAAGAAGATAAAAAAAGAGTTAGTTAAACGTTTGATATAAAAGAATCTGCAGGAAGAGTATATTTGATTCCTCCAGTATTTTATCTGTCACCAAATAACAATTGGTTGTATGTTGGATGGTGTAAACACTGTTGGTTTTACAGCTCTGAATCTTTAACGTTTTCAATACGATAGCTTCCAAACTCAACTCGCCGTGGGAGTTGATTTCTGGGTTTTTTGCTAGTGACTGGGCACTGGAGGATCACGTGACAGCAGCCAGTGATTCCATCACCTCAATTGGGATGATGCACTTATCTAATGCACTGGCACTGGGAATGCTGGGTAAACACTTTTTTCATAGGCCTGTCAGTGTCACCTTGACGGTCATGCATCCCACCCCCCATACTACAGCAGTGGGATCATTACTCCTCCCCCTCTTCAGTACACTTTATTATCCTGTCACAGACAGACAGCGTCTATTTCTCTTTCACTTTCTTGCTCACTCGGTTTTCATGCCTCTGCCCTGACTTGTGTATCAGTAACCATCCCTCGTAGCGGTCTTTGCTGTCATGTCTTCTCTCATTGTCTCCCTATGACAGAGGAGTTGCCGGTTGTACACCGACGATTTGATTGACTTTGTGTTGCTCTGAGTGAAGTGGCAGTGATAGACAGATGGCTTGAAAAAGAGGCTTTGGTTCTGGCCAAGAATGAGTCAGTCTGAGCTCAACACTCACTCAGCCTATTGTCAGCCCGCTGCAGTCAGCTACAGTCCATCAGCCAGAACCAAACATGTCCTGGCACAAGCAGAATCTTCAGTCCTCAATCAGGATGCATAATGTGAGGTAAACTGCGCAGATCGACTACACCACCCTCGTTAAATTTACCTCAGACACTTGACTGAACTTTTGCTCTTTTTGATAGCAGGTCTACATTTCGTGCAAAATTCTTTTTGTTTTATAGTTCAGAATAGAGTGAGCAAACTTTGCATATTGCACAACCAGATCTCTCTGTTTTAAACTTATTGTAAATCATAGCCTATACTTGTTTTTATCATGAGAAATCTTTCCTTTTCCATATTCAAGTTCTAGCATTAAAGTCCCACTCTGATCATATTTTTTTTTACTACTTAAAGTTTTATCAGTGGTCTATAAATTGTGATTATAAAGTTTTAAGCCAAAATCGAATTACTTGTGTCATTTTCAAGCAATTTTCAGCAGCGCTCCAGTAGATCATTAGCAATTCACCTCCGAGTCATGAGCGGAGACAGCGCTGCTCTGCACATTCCTCTTTATGTTAGCTTGTAGCCTAACATTGCCTGTACAGCAGAAGAGACAGGTAACATAGGAGCTATTCAGCTCTCAGACACCAATGTCTTCGGGGATATGATGAAAGCTAATATCATAATTAACTTTCTTACGAGCATTGCAATCCGCTAACGCACACGCTTGTTCTGTAATCATCCCCTATTTCTCCAAGTGTGGCCTGCATAGCAGGGCTCCGGGGGCGGAGCTTGGAGTTGTGATGTAGGAAATCTCACTGTATCTGAACCTGCCGTTTGGGTCTGCCAGAGATTCACAGCAATTTGAATACAGAAATACTCAGAAATGCAATTCCTCACTTAGTTTTCTCATGATGTAGCATCAGAAAAATGCCATATGATCATGTAAAAAACAAGAAAAACACATGATTTTCATTAAAGTGGGTCTTTAAGAAGTTGCATGAGTAACAGTCACCAAAAAAGCTGGGATTTTTTTACAGCACATTTGATGAAGTTATTGACTCTTCTATTTTCTGCCATCTCTAAAAATAGTTGTCTGTGCAGTACGTCATAGGAACAGGCAGGATATTGGTCATAAAGTGCATAGGTCCATGTGGTTTCAAGTGCCAGGGATAGAAAATGCTGGTGATGCACCCAACTGACCATAAAGATAAGAAGGTTAGAGTCATTTGTTATCCTGAAGAAGATGAGAGTGGCAGAGTGAAAGGTCAGCACAGGACTGAAGTACAGAAAAAAACGGTGAGAGAGAAAGTGAAAATTTAAGAAACAGGTGTTACAGAATATTCTCAACTGTGCAGAGGGAGAGTTGACGCAAATGACAGCAAAGAGAAAGAGTCTTACTACGTCAAGGAATTGAGGGAAAGACGGTAAGACTTGGCAAAGACTCCTCTACCGTCAGAGCGCTTCATGGTTCACATGCACTGATCTCTTTGCATGAGTGCTGCTCTATTTTTACAGCGGAGACATACGGAGAATACATCCTATAGCTGCTAAAAATGAAAATAGCAGACTCTGATGTCGATGCATCATCCACTTTAAGTGATTCTGTCAGATGCAGTAGGCAGCAGTGGTTGACTCACAGCCCCCAGTTTCAATGTGGTAATAGCCACAGTGATTTGTGATGTTGTAATGTAATGATCGCCATGCCACTGCTGTGTGTAGAGGTCACTGGTGGTCTCACAGCAATGACCCCTGTCCAAATGAATCAATGAGATCAGTATAGGGACCACAGCACCATTGCCCTTTCAATTTCCTCTGTTCATCTCTCTGTCTGTGGACACAGCAGGAAGACAGCCAGCTCAGACACACAGTTCTGTTTGCCTGCTCTGCTTACAAAAGGTTGCCAGTGCAGATTTGGAGTCCCTGTTTCCATGGCATTGATTGGACAGTTAAAGAGGACACAGTTTTAGTCCAGAACTGATATCAGAACCAGGCCATGAAAGCAAAAAGGGAAACAATCAGAGCAGAAGGTGCACCAGCCCAGAGTGACAACCCATTAAAGATCGGTGTGAAAATGTTTGACACAAAGGATGACCTTTTGAAGTCATTTTATGGGTATTAAGAGTTACTTATCCTGTTCCTGTGCTTAAGTTATTCCATCCATATATGGGGAATTTTTGGCAGCCACTGTGGACAAATTGGCACATCTTACCTCTTTGCTGTTATTGTCCTGTAGCTAATGCATAACTAAGAAAACCTCATGCTTCCTCTTTTTAGCTTTCTGTCTTTGCATGTAAACAAAGGCTATATCACTTCGTCTGAGACCGCCCAAACAGCAGCAGTGACAAGCATTGAATAAATAATGCAGACATGGTTGATCCTCCTTGGCTTGTTTGCTTTTGCTGGTCACACAGAGACACTTGTAAAAAAAACTACAACCTGTCCAAAACCAGCCAAATATCCTCATCAGATCATTTTAGTTGCATTAAATTTCCATTACTGTCATTTCTAAACACAGAGTCTTGGACTTGGAGGTGCGCCTTTAGCCTTTTGCAAACATAGTGACTCTGCTGTACAGCTTCAAGGGGGTTTCTTGGCTCTTGGAGGAGGAGTTGCAATTTTCTGAATGTCTGCTTTGGCTCCATATATAACCTGCAGATGATCTTTTTACAAGGTCCCCTCATGTTGAAAATGCACCAATGTTGTAAACGTCATTTTTCTAGATATAAATTAATTATTTAGCTTATCTTACTGCAGCAGTAGCAACGGCAGCTGTGATGTCTGCATTTTTTTCCTTACATGTGGTTTCTGCTGCAAAAGTCTTCTGATTAAAAGGAGAGGTGCTGAGAATTTCAGCAGCGACATTGAACTCAGTTCATTCTGCACAGATAAAACAAAAGTAATTGATTGATTGAAGGTTATTTTGAGCGTATATGAAAAATAATAATAAAAATGTAAAGAATACAACAACAAATGACAAAAAGTTATTCAAGTTCAAAATGGAGTGGGAAGAAGTCGAGACTTATCTCGTCCCACCCCTTTTCCTACGCTAATGGTTTAAATATATATCATAATATTATATAATAATTTTAATCATCATAGTAATAATAGCAATAAAATAATAACCACAGTGAAAATAACAAAACAACAACAACAACAAAACAGTGATAATAATAATAATTGTTACTATGATTGTACGTCCCTGTATCCCATGAAAACATACTCTTTATATCCGCATATTCTTTATCTTTAGCTAGCTACTATTCGTGGCAGCTCAGCTCCCAGCCTCCTCCTGAGGACATTTAATATTAACCAAAGTGTACTAAAGCCAGCTGTAGGTAAAAAAAATTGCAGTCTAACGTGTTTTGATAATCGTCTGATGACAAATCTTGACACAGACAGGGTTTCTTGTTTTTGAATCTCAGTGTGTGCTGGTTGAGCTCGAAAATATTGTACCTCTCCTCATGGATCAAAGCAGTATCATGCTGCTGTTAGATTATTATTAGTGGCCCGTGTGTAGGTGACACAACGCTGTCAGTATGAGTGCAGCAGCAGGTCTAGAGGTCGGTCAAGTCAGGCAGCCGGAGGCTTGTTCTGTCTTGGTGAGTCTTTGTCAGTATTGCTGGTGGAGTGCGGCTCTTCACAGCTCTGTAAGTCCACGGTCAGAGCATCTGTGCCCTCTATTATCACATATGTGACCCTCATTTCTGTAAGGACAGGCAAAGTCATGGATTGGTTTGTTGTTTAAAAGGATTTTCTTACCTACTGCTCCCATCCATCTCTACTCTAAACATAATCCACCTCAAGAAATGGCTTCCTCAATAAACTAATTGGTCTTAATGAGCTACAATCATATTACCCTCCCCCAGCTTTCCTTTCATGTAAAAGTGTCATTTTTGTATGCACGTGGCGTGTTATAGAGACCCTGAGCAGATGGAGGCGTGTCATTGATTGGTTATGATAAGCTTCACTGATTAGCATGTCATCCTTTGATCTACAGTTAGAGCTCCTCAGGGAGTCACTGTCGGCCGTAAACCAGCGAGCCCGCTTCGACCGCTGCTCCCATGAGCAGACCCCCCTGACTTCTCTGACCCCACACAACCTCATGACAGGTCAGACGGAGGAGCATCGTGCGTCATCAGCGCACAGTAAAGAAAGATGGGGACATCTTAAATTATACTTCTGCAGGGATTTACTTCGGTTATTCCTTTACGAGGACGGGAAATTTTTAATTAACGCCGTAATTATTCTCATTTGTCCTGCGTGGCTTTGTGATGCTTCGCTCACTTGTAATGAAATGAAGCTGATCTGAAGGGAGAGGATTTAGAGCAGCTTTCACCTCAGAGTCCCAAACGGTGACGCCAGAATGACAAAGACATAATTTTTTAAAATAGCTACAGGAACATTTTACCAGCTATCAATTTAAAATAGAGTGAAAAATGCTGTTTTTTTTTAGTTTAACTCACTGTTCTTGCTTTTAAAGTAGCACATGGAAAGAAAAGTGTAAATTATTTATCTTCTTTTCTTTTCTACACTAAATAAGCTGCCAGTCTCCTGAGAAGATGGGAGGTGTCTTTTTTTAAATCGCTATAAACGGCTCATAACAGGACGAATCTAAAAAGAGCAAAACAGCATGCTCGGTCCACTCATCAACAGTATCCATAACACATGCGCTGCCCAGTGCTGATCACTGCAGAGCAGATGGACAGACTGTGAGGGGTAACTGACGAGGAGAAAAAAAGAGGGGAGTGACAGGAGAAAGAGAAGGAGGGGTGGATGGGTGGGTGGGTAGAGACAGAGACGGAGAGGCAGAATCTGTGAAGGAGTCTGCAGGACAAACGCTCACAGGCTGAGACACAGAGAGTGAGAGGAGAGCGAGCGCAGCACCTGAACGGAGCAGCTTCATTAGCATCACGAGGAGAGACGCTCACCAGCAGCCGGAGAGGGACTCATGTAGATAAAACTGCTGTATTCTGGAGCTTTTGGAGCAGCACGGAGGAGGAGGAGGAGGAAGAGACACGGTGAAGGAGCTTGAATGAAGAGCATCACTGCCACTTGACTCAGTCTGAGAGTCAGCCTCAGTCTCAGCACCTGCAGGTCTGAGCACTCCGGCTACCAAGGAGACTGGAGCAGAGTGGGAGAGAGCTGCTGAGATTATGCGCGGGGCACAGAGCTCCTGTGGATTCCCCGTCTTCGGCATCGCCAGCAGCAGTAGCAGCAGGAGGAGCAGGAGGAGCTGTGGCTCTACAGATAGCAGCAGAGCTAGCTGGAGCTGCAGCAAAACAAGGAGCGCTCACTCCAACGCTTTTTATCCACCTCAAAATGAATGTAGCACTCACAGCAGACAAGGTGTAACAGCAACCAGCAGCGAATGTTGCCACCGTGTTGATTGTACCTGTAGCCGGAGCAGCGCTGGCGGAGAGGTGATCACAGCGGTGCAGTCAGGTGGAGTTGTAGCAGCAGCAGTGGGGGGCAGTGGCTCAGGACACTGAATGACCAGTGTGGCTGATGAAGGCCACCTGGATCCGCTTGCTGAAACGAGCCAAAGGAGGTCGCATCAAGAGCTCCGATGCCTGTGTAAGCACGCTTTGAGTTTGTTTACAACGCCGAGAGATTCTTGTGTTTGCTCCTGTGCATGTTGTGGAGTAAGTTTGTGTGTCTCTGGTTCATCCATCAGTCCTGAGTGTTGGGGTCAGTGTGGCACAGTTATACATTGTCTGTGGATGATGGGAAGCGAGGTGTTGTTATCAGTTACGGCTGTCAGATTCTGGGCAGAGCTCCACGTCACCTCCCTCTAACCCGCTGGGAAACTTATCATGATCATAACCCCGTCATTAAGCATCACCTGACATTATTGTATCACCCAAGGCCAGGTGTGTTTACCTGCGCTTCACAAGGCCACCTAGAACTTCAACTTAAACGAGCAACAGTAAGACGCATAAGATCATTACTGCGATGACAGGAAAAGCAGCCATGGGGAGGTAATGAGCGGGCTTTCAGGTGATGAGTTATTCATATCAGGTACAAAAGAGGAACAATGGCAGACACAAAGCAATGGATCATGTATGATGGAGCTCCTTAATGTGAATAACCTTGTCTTGTGTCCAAGCGTGTCGTCCCTTTACAAAAGTGAGGTAGTGTTAATGGAGAAATTGGAGATCCTGCTTTGTATGTATGTGATGTGTGTAATTCTGATCAGGCACCGAGTGAGAGAGGCTATTTTTAACTCAGACAGCTCCGAGTATAATGGTGCAGTGGGATGAATGAAAGACCTTGTGTGGGTGGTGTAGTAGCGTGCAGGTGAGGATAAGGCTCACTTCAAGCCCCCTTTTTGTTAAGTGCGTGATTGATTCTTACCTGAAAGTGATAGGTGGGGCTGGAGGAATATTACATGGCATATGTGCTAATCTCTCACTTATTCTATCACCCACGAATGAAACTGGAATCTCATATTTGAGTAAACTGGAGCTGTCAACGCTTCTCTTCAAAGCCTAAAAACATGATGCTTCATATTTTTCTCTGCCAAAATCAGTTTTTACTGTTTTATTCAAATGGATGCAAATCATTTCAATTGTAGATGTGATACTGTCCATAAATTTTTATTGCACATTTAATTTATTAACTTCAAAATGGCCCAAGGAGCTCAAATTTGTTCTTTTAGCTGATGTCAGTTGTCCTACAAAAGCTTGGTAAAAGACTCTGACCAACAGACATGTTTCCCTTTTTTCTGTTGCCAACCTGTGCCAACATTATATTTTCAATATTCAGCAGCAACTTCCAGTATTGAAAAATGAAGCAATGCTGGATGTTTGAATAACTTCAGTTCCTCGGGTCACATGAGGCTGTGTCCAAAAGACAAATAAACCTCTTTACCATAGACTATTGATTGTCTAAAATGAGGATAGGTCTGAGCAGCATTATCAATTAGTTAATGAAGCAGACTAACCCAAATGTCAGAGTTGAGGCAAGCAGTCAGTCAAGTCAACCATGCCTCTAATCATGCAACATGAAACACTGAGTTTAAAAAAAAAACCTCTATGTACTCACTCCATGTGTGCCAATAAAGAAATAATATATTCAGACAAAAAAAAAAACTTATTTGAACAAGACTGTGAACAGTTTTACTTTTTGCTCTAAAGTTGGCTTTTTTGAATGGATGTGTGTGTGGCTTTCAGGGCTTCAGCATCCAACCTCAAGTGGACACTCGAGGAATTGCAGTTTCTTCGCTCTTCTACATTAACAACATTTTTCAAGCCTAGAGGCTGTCACTTTATATTACTATGTTCAGAGATCAGCACAACACACAGTTTAGGTCTCTGTCTTGTGTTCCTTTATCCACAACAATTGTGCAAAAGTTAAAAAAAAGTTTGTGTCTTATATTAAGGTTCACAAGTATACATAATTATATGTAATTAGAGGCATGACTGGTTTGTCTGACTGAAGACCACATTGGATCAGCTGTTTGTCGGGCAGCTGCTCTTTCAGCCTCTTCGGTTTCTAGATTAGCCTCAAGATATTTAAAGTCAGCATCTTCAATGTGGCAGATGCCAATTTTGGGCTTTATAACTCGTAATCAGAAACCAGTGGGTGACATCACTGAGATTACATCCATGTTTTAGTCTCTGGATCATTTGCAGGGAAAGTTTCAACACTGAAACGCACTGTAATGAATTGATCATAAACAAGAATGCTTTTATTGATTTCACTTATTAACACTTACATAGGATGGTGCAGTGTGTCCTCTGCCAAAAGAGATAAAAAGAGACAGCCTTGATGATACAGATCTTAATATTTTTTTAATTCAAACAGCTTCGTCCTCAGTGGCGACTTGATTTCAGATGGACCATTTTGCTCATTTTTAAGCCCCCTGAGGGAAATTGGCATTTCAGCAAAGCTACACGTGTAATCAACAGGCAAACAAACCTATCTCTGCTAACTAGAATAAAATGCACTTTTGGCTTGTTGATCTTTAAAGGTGTTGAAAAATCACATTTTTGTTGTGACATTAAAGTCATTTAAAATTGAAGATTGATGAAAAGGCAAAGAGATCATACTCCTCTGCCACGATACTTCCTCCTCTATCCTCTTATTTAAGTAGACGTCCAAAAGGCAATTTCAGGTCAAACTTCTATAATGATTTTTTTATTATAAAGACATAAAATGAGGACATCACATGCTTTCTATCAGTTCAGCTTGAAAACACCAAACTCTTTCTCAGTCTTTTCATGCTCTCATGTTCTGCCACCTCCAAGTGAAAAACTCATTATCGCCTGTTTTGCAGAAGCATTTAAGTTTAACATGACTGCTTTAGCAATTACATTAAGAAGTAAACAGTGCATATTGTTATTGAGAATGTGAGTCTGCTTGTTCGTGAGTTAATCATTTGCAGAAACACCTCATAGATCCATACTGTGACCTGGATTTCTTCACATCGCCCTCAGTGTTTGTCACAGAAGAATAACAACAGATCTGCAGACGAGCAGCTGACAGAGAGCTAAGGATAGGAGATCAGCTGCTGTTGATGTGTTTTTATTGAGAACTGTTTGTGTCTCTTGGCATCCTTTCTCAGATAGAGAGGAAGCGTCCATAATTTGCTTCAGATTCAGTGGGCTCTTGTGATTTGCTCAAGATGTCTCAGCGACTGAAGGATTACCTTTTTTTATTGAATACAGCCTCTGTGTTCATTATTTCATGAAATCAACTGAGAGTCCTTTCATGATCAGAGCTTAACACTTCAGTCCGTGTGGGCGTGTTTGTACATTTGTAAGTTGCACATCAGATGCTCGTCTTCAAAGTTGAACATTTTCTTTGAAGACGAGGGCAGCACAAAACAAATTAAGCCCACAAGATGCTGTGAGGCCCGACTCTCCTCAGACACCTGTCACTGTTGAGCCGGTCGAGCAGATGGAAGGAGATGAGTGTTGGTGTTTGCATGTGGCTCAAATGTTTGTGTTTCTCTGCAGGGTTCGGCCGACTCCTACACCAGCCGTCCATCAGACTCCGATGTGTCCCTGGAGGAGGATAAGGAGGCAGTGCGCAGAGAGGCCGAGAGACAGGCTCAGGCACAGCTCGACAAGGCCAAGGTTAGTACCCAAAACCCAGAAGCAACTGGGTCTCCATAGGTCACAGCAGCCGGTTCTTACCTACTGACAAATACCCTCTTCAGGCGCCAGCGTGATGTGTTGAGTTTATCTCGAAAATGGGTCAGAGAGAGGAACATAAGAGGAGAAAGAGGAGACGATGGACTGTGTGATTTAAGTGCTCTTGGTTCATTTGTTCAGTGAGAACATTTATGGGGACATTGATGGTTGGAAATGGGGACTTTTAGTGTTACAAGGAAAAGATCTTAAGGCGAGGGTCTGAAAGTGTGAAACTCACACAGTGTGCCTCTCATTCTAGACTGTTCTTTGGCAGAGGTACTTTCAAATGTAGTGTTTTTTTTGTGATATTAGAGGTGAAATACTGCTTTGTTTTGTCCACCTGTCTCCTCCTGGTTGCTTTTTTTGCACGTCATGCTCAGCGGAGAAAGTAAGGACACAAGATATCTCACACATCTGCAATTCAACTCCAGGAAGCAATGTCTAATCTGCACACCTGTGGTGAAGTTACTAACTAATGGAGACAAATCTGGTCATTGATTTTTGTTAATAATGTTGACAAATTGCTGCACCTGAAAGCCAGAGTAATGATGTAACATCACCTTGTGAGACAGTTGGATCTTGATATACTTGAGAGACAGTTTAAAGTGGTGAAATGAATAAAAATCCTCCTTTTAAAAGGACTTCATCTGCTTTTGACCTCTTGTTAGATACCATTGGATCTCTTGCTCCTTATGCTGAATTAAAGCGTACAAACATTCAGCGCTCCTAAAGGTCTTATAGCACTAATGCTTTTGATCAAGCGTAAAAACTTCCACAAAGTTTTGCCCTTTATGACTGAGATGAGCTGCAAGCATCTCCACCCTGCTGCTCCTCCTGAGAGCACAAAATTTTATCCACATATAGTATGATGATAGGGTTGGGCAATAAACAGAAAATGTACAGATACTGAATGACAATAACCGACGTCATTTTGCCCATATCGGTATATTCGGTGTCAAAAAAATAAATAAATAAAAGTTGGTTTTGGATGAGTGTAGGTAGGCTATGGTCTCATGTCCCTTTAAGACGCTGCCCTACGTCAGAGACTCCATCCCATCCAGTCTGTAACAAAGAGGGAAAAGACAAGTGAGAAGATGGAGGACGGTTCGTTATCGTCCATTTATCGTTATTGAGGTGAACTGCTCAATATATCTTGATATTGATTTGAAGCCTTATCGCCCAGCCGTATGATGAGCTTTACCTGCTTATTGTGATGTCAGTTCTTGACAAATGTGATGCTGATTTCTGTTTGAGTGTGCATAACAGTGCAGCTCAGATGTGCAGGGGTTAAGCCACTTACAGCCCTGTCTTATCAAATTATCTGATCATCTTATCAATAGCAATATCAAAGCAGCATTGACAGATAAGTCACTTCCAGATTATCAAAAAGTAGAACTGTTGTCATGATCACTTGAGACTTTGTTCATGACTATGCCAATAAATTCTCAGGCAGAATTACCACACAGTCTCAACAGATGGTAAAAAATTCTCTCTGCATGCAGATGTTAGCGCCATTGATGGGGAATCAGGTGTTTTTTGCATGGCACCTATTTGCACAGGGAGAGATCAATAGAAGCATCGCAAAAGTGTTAAGATACTGCTATGAAAGTATTTTTAGACTAATAAGTGACAAATTGATAAATATATCTTGTTAGACCTCACTGTAAGCAGTCACTTGTTTTTGCTAAAAAGAAGTCCGCTTAATAACACTTAATTTTTTTTGTTTGCCTGGGACTCTCTCAGATCAAATTTTAATAAAGATGAGCAATTAGTTTGGATAAGTGGGTCAGGCGTTTTGTTTTGATGGTTAAAATTAAAGCCAAAAGAATGAATGATGCCAGTGAGGGTCTCCGCAAGAATAGAAATGTGTTTGCACAGACGAAATCTGGTTTATTATGCTTGGGTTGGTGATGCCACACAATCATTCAGATGGTAATATAAATCTTACACTGGTTAGTTTGTTATTGGAAAATGGAAAGCTGTGTCTGCTTCCTTTTTGGTCATTTTGGAGGCTGACATGTTTCCTCCCCCTTTTCATTGTGATAGGGTCATTATCGCTATTTCTCAATCCAGTATAGAGGATTTCAGGTCGAGATAAAGAGATAAATTATCCTGAGGTCTCATCATTTCCCAGAGTAGTCGGGTCAAAGCTTCAGAATTAATCAGTATAATGTCTCATCTCTGACTTCCTTTGAATGTCTTGCCAACTCTGTGATGGATGAATGATAGTTAAATAAAATCAAATGAGGTTTTATTCATTTGGGCGTAAGATGAGTGGACTTTGCTGCAGTACTGACCAGGTGACTTTAAAAGAATCAGATCTGGACTCTGCTGGTTTCTATGATGAAAAAAAAGTCCTGTCAGGAACCTCTGATGTAGGGGGGGTTAGGGGCCTCAGAGGGCTCAGTGCTTCTGTTTATCAGAGCCAAGCTTCCCCCTGCTGTGCTCTGCTCAGGGCCACAATTAGCAGCATATAAACAAACACACACGGACAGCAGAGCAGGCTTTCCTTTACAGGACAGGCTTTGCAACCAGACCTGGTTTCCACAGAATCACTTGAATCCCTGGCACGTTAAGATTTATGCCTTATACCTTTGAAATCATTTGTGTATCTTCTGTGCACAATCAGTTATTTCCCAGCTTTGAACTCAAATATTTATTTGTCTCTGAAAAGTTTCTTTATCATCTGTCTGTCACTGGGTGTTTAGTGTCTGTAACAGCTAGCGTTCATTAGCTGGGAGCACGAAGCTTTTGGCGTTTCCAGCAGACATTTTCCTCCCGTGCTGTGACTTGAAGTTGCTCCTAGATGGCGTTGACAGATCATCCCGGCAGATCTATGTTGTTGTTTTCCAGAGCCATCCTCTCTTGCTCGCTAATTAAAAAGATAAGTTGGCTTTAGAGATAACCTGGCATGGATCACCCCGTTTTCATTTTACATGACAAATTACCAGTAAAAATAGCTCCTCAGCGTTCTGGCCACCAGAGACAGAGCGAGTCGGGGGAAGCACAGACTCTGACTGTGAGTGTTTAAGAACAGTTATTCACAATGATTTCCCGAATATAGACAAAACAAAGACGAGTTGTGTAGCAGTGTCATTTGCAGTTTTGTGACAATGCATGTTCTGCTTTTGTAAAGTGTTGGCTCTAGCAGTTGCAAAGGTTCTTTGTGTTATTGCAAAATTTTGGTTTAAGTCTTGTTTAGTCCAGTTGAACCAGACCCTTGAGCGTTTACCTCCTTGGTGCGGTTTGTTTTGGTTGGTGTGAACGCTGGCCTCAAAATCTGGTGCAGACCAGTCAACCGTTCTCAGGTCAGCCTAGTAGGGTTGGTCTTGGACTGCCATCAGGTGAACTCTAGAGTTGTTAATTTCTGGTGTGAACCCTATCTGCACCAATCACAGCAAGCGCACCTTGAAAAAATATCAAGACAGGCTTTTGTTATACTTCTGTGATACGACCGTCCAATTGCAGAGCGTCTCCTGCGACGTGCGTGTAAATACGATATTTAATTGAAGTCTTCCCAGCCGTTCATATGCGCAGTCCGTGAAAGTCTGCCGATATGCGGTCCAGATCAGCACCATCATAAAAATGAGCAGACGATGCTCCGTGACGTACAGTAGAAATTGCGAGGTATTTGTCGTCTACTCGCCTGAACTGTATAAGCAATCACCGAACAGCTTTTGCTGCCACGTGACAATTGTTGGACCGTTTGAGTTTGGCCTTTCTGAACGCGAACTGGACCAGTTGAAAAATTGCAACGATGTATCATCAATGTATGATTCTTGCTTTGGTTCGTATCAGAAAACGGACCTTTTAGTGTGGATACGACCTCAGAGAGCTTACACACAACTTCTATTGACTTCTTCTGTTTCGGTTTTATCTTTCAGTCCAAAATGCATCCAAATGTCAGCTCTCAATGTTGTAAGCAGAGACTTCTTCTATCCATCTCTCACTTGGACACCAATATTACGCTGCTGTGATGTTCAATGTTGTGATGTTAGGGCAGAGTCTCCATGGCCTGACCCTTTCTATTCTTACAACCATACATACTCTACACAGTTACACACTCATTATGTTTATTTAATGGAAACTGATTGAAGTGGTACCTCTCCTGTCTAAGATCAGTCTATTTCTGCCATTGTTCGTTAGAACACCTGGTTGATGCCAGTGGCATTTGGCAGTGAGAAAGGGTTTATCTCAGCAGAGGCAATGGAGGGCTCAATGTGTGATAAAAACAAAATTATCTTCTCTGACTACTCTTGGAGCAAAAGTACGACAGAGTATTAGGGCCACATCAAGAAAAGAAAAATTAGACTCAGAGATTAAAGTCGTTAGTTTACAAGAATAAAGTCGTAATAAAGTAATTACTTAACAGGATAAAGTCGTGATAAAATCATAACAATACTTATAATAATGTGGTGCTGATGTTTCCTAAAAGATTAAATTTCTCCTTGTTTGAGAAACTTATCTTGAAGTACATTTTCACATACCTGCACTGCCAATATGTACATACCTTGCACTTTACTACCTTGCACTTCTGGTTAGATGCTAAACTGCATTTTGTTGTTCCTGTACTTGTACTGTGTTCAATGACAATAAAATCTAATCTAATCTAATCCTCCGTCGTACAAAAGCAACCTTAGATAATTGTGGAAATATCTTCCCTCATTAATTAAAAAAGGTTTTGGACACAGGGGGAGGCCAATTCACTCAACCAAAGACAATTCATTTGGAATCAATTAACAACATTCAAGGTGAAACAAAGCGGGAATCTTGATTTATAGCTCTGAGATTCTGCGTACCCCTCATGGAGAGGTTGTGGCGTGCTACATGGCAGGTCTGAAACAGCACTGGCGGGTGTTTACTCAGTCAGTGTAAGTACAGAACAGAGACGACTGGGAGGTTTAATCTACTGAAATATTCATGGTTGTGTTGAGAAATTGTGTAGCTCGTCATGAGGTTTTAATTGGATGTTGTTCGTGGCCCTGCCTCCCAGGGTTCCCAGTAACGGATCGGGCGTCATTGGCGTGTGTTACCTGTCTTATCTTCTCCCTTCCATTAATCTTACTTTCTGTCCTCTGCTCCTTTGTACTTTGCTGCATCTCGTCCTCAATCTTTCCGTCCCTTTTTTTCTCTCCCTGCTCCTCGCCATGCTTATTACCAGGTCTCTAACCCCCACCCCCTGTTCTCCCCCCCTTACTGCAGTCGATATCACATCTATAATGAAGGCCTGTGTTACGTAAGAACAAATCAAGCGGTATAGGCTCAGTCAGAAGATGTCGAGATACTATATAGCTGTGTTTAAGGCGCTGTTATGCTCATTCTAGCTGTCGCCTGTGATACAAGGTGGCCTATAGCACATGTAAATGTGTTATTGCCTACAGGTCTGTAAAATGTCATTAAGCCTGTAGAGAGCCTCACCTGCCAGGCGACCATGATGGATAAATAGGAGTAGAGAGCAGCTGAGAAGGAGGAAAGGGAGCAGCGGTCCATGAGAGAGGCGAGAAAGTGCTCCATATGTACACGTACTAATGGACCCCATACCTTGATGCAGGCGTGTGGCTCAATACATGCAAACACCAAGGACGCTCTGCCCTCTGCGAGTTCTCGCCCAGCACACATGGGATTTCAACATAGATGTCACACACACACATGCACACACACCCTCCTCACTCTATATGGAGTATTTACAGTCTTGTCCTCATGAGGAAAAACGATTCCAGGAGGATTTTACTAATGTATTATTTCCATAATCCCTCATATTCCATCATATTTACTTCACACCTGTTGTATTTTTAATAAGAGTGGACCGTTGAAGCCACTCATCTCTAAAGCCTCTCCTTGAGCTGCTGATGAATTACTCTCGTATGCACTGCTGCCTCGTTGAAAAATCCCAAGTACTGTTCAGATCCAAGCAAATCCAATCAGTCCCGCTCCTCTCTTCGGCTGTTGAAGGTTAAAGGTGAAAGAGAAAGTGCTGCATGACGAATGTTATCTAATCCTTAACAGTTACTTCATCTTGTAGTGTTTTTAAACCTGCAGGAGCTGAGTCTTTGGCCACCAGGGGGTATCAGTAATACATATAATAATGATAGGGCTGCGCGATAAACCAAAAATTTACTGATACTGAAGATAACAACAATAACCAATATCATTTTGCCCATATTGGTATATTCGGTGTCAAATAAATAGATAAACAAAAGTTGGTTTTGCATGTTTGTAGGTAGGCTATGGTCTCATGTCCCTTTAAGACGCTGTCCTACTTCAGAGACATCCAGTCCGTAACAAAGAGGGAAAGGGGAGGACGGTTCAAAAGTTGTAGCAGCTGGAGCGGCAGCTGAAGTAGACGAAGTTAATGTGGGAGGGGGTGAGCAGCTTATTAAGTAGTTATCGTCCATTTATCGTTATCGAAGTGAACTGCTCAATATATCAGGATATTGATTTAAGGCCATATCGCCCAGCCCTACATAATGAATACAGAATTAATATCCCACCTCGTGATGTGGAATCTTGCTAGCAAATGAAAAATCAAGCAACTATGAAGCGATATCAGAATTCATTTTAGTCACACATACAGTATGTCCACCTAAAATTGATATAAACTCAATATTTACTCACTTTTAGCACAATTTGGGTCTCAACCAGCTACTACAGGACAATCCAGTACTTTAACAGCTCAGTCATCCTCTTTATTTCACAACTAGACAGAACCTTTGCTTAGTTAAACCATCTGAAAGCAGTAACAGTAGAGCTTGTAACTTTAAAGATGTAGGTTGGATATATTTTACTTTTTTACAAGTTACTTTATACTTCATTCTCTCATCGATAAGTGCCTTGTCTTATAACCTCTCCAAAGTGCTGTCTTGAACTGATCTGTAAATTAGTCTGAATGCTGATGAATCTGTGGTATGTTTTATTTTTGGAGGTCGCTAAGGGAAAATTCAGATGTCAGGGCGCTCTGATGAAACCAGCCACGTTTGAGCGCACTTTGAAAGCATTTATCAAAATCTGTACAATTTCCAAATAAAGTTACAGCATCAAAGCTCTGATCTCGAGGGTTCAATTTGGCTCCGAGCTGAAATTTACACACCCCTTCCTCTCATCTTGCTCTCTTTCATCTGCAGGTAAATATTTAGCATGTGAGGCTACACATGGAGATTACTCTAAGCCACTTCACTGTGCATTCGTTTTGGCTTTTCAGCTGACTCCTGTCACGCTTGTCACACAGTCAAAGGCAGAGCGAATGTAATCTGGTTGAGGGCATGACCATGTTGCCAACTGTTGAGGCTGGCTCTGAGATTATGTCCAAAAGCTTTTATGTAATTCCTAAGGGGATGTTTGTCTGACGTGTGTATATACTATTCTTTTCTGTTCTGGTGGAAATCGAGATTCAGAGAGGTTTTTTTGTTTTTTAAGCACACGGTTCTCCCATTACATTTTAACATGATGTTACCTTATTTAATCCCAGTCAAATCCCCTTTGCACAAAATGTGATGCGTCATTACGGGCAAAGGAGATTTGCTTTTGCTTTATGCAAAAATACCTCCGCTCTAAAAAAGAGGACTGCTTCTCCCTCTTACGTGTTTGGTGGTTTTATATTCCTGCTCAAAGGAGAAAGGGAAACATTTCATTAGCTGTTACCATTATCTCAATGGACTGTTTGTGCCAAAGAGGAAGGTCAGCAGTGATGGGGTAGAAGGGCTAGTATTGATTCACCTATTGTAAAGCCTGGGGGGTTGATTTACGAACCTTTTTTTATACAAGTGCTGTTTGTGCCACTCATAAGTTACAACGAGACGAGGGTGGACCTGTTTCACCAGTGGTGTTGGAGTGATGATTGCTATTGACACTTGCATGTAATGCCACTCTGAGTTGTAAAGTGTTTTAGCCTGTAGCACCGAGACAGAGCAGCAGCCAAGCCATTCGCAGAGAGAGCTTTTACACCTTTTACACCTCGCTCAAAGGCAGAATGACAGCATTGCAACTGTGCTCAAAAACCTCCAGATTTACTTGTTTAAAGGAGAAGTCCTTGTGAATTCCGAGGTTATAGGTCTGGGCTGCTATTTGATAGTCTTTTAATATCTTTGGCACGATCTGACATTTTAATTTACTTCCCCTCCAGACCAAACCAGTTGCATTTGCAGTTCGCACAAATGTCAACTACAGCCCAAATCACGACGATGACGTCCCCGTGCCAGGCATGGCTATCTCCTTTGAGGCTAAAGACTTCCTCCACGTCAAAGAGGTGAGCCGCTTTACCGTCCAATTACAGACTAGAAAGCTGGAGGGAAATGAAACGATGACTGAGAGGAAACGGAGGATGCTAAAAATAAAACGTCTGGCTCTCTTTTGTAGAAATTCAACAACGACTGGTGGATAGGACGCCTGGTGAAGGAAGGCTGTGAAATTGGTTTCATTCCCAGTCCAGTGAAGATAGAAAACACTCGCATCCTCCAGGAGCAGAGAGCCAAACAGGGCAAATTCCACTCCAGGTAAAAAATACTCATACTAAAAATGATGGAGTAAAATCTGTGTAGTCTTCTTAGACTTCCTCAATGTGGATCTCAAACAAATAATACCTTTCTGTTTCCAGTAAATTGGGAGCAAACTCATCCTCTAGTTTAGGTGAAGTGGTTCCTAACTCTCGGAAATCTACTCCTCCTTCTTCTGGTAAGCATGATAGGCACCTTTTACACTCTAGTTTTATATTTTAAAGCCCTTTTTAGCCTCTTACACCAACTTTGGAGGGCAGAATTCAATTTAGAGGTAAGATGTGTCGTTGAGATTTCAAATATTAGAAGTTCTACCTGGAAAAAGTTTGTTTTCTTGTCATTTAAGTGTTTAATTTGATGTAACTGTCCCTTTAAATGTTTAACAGACACTCTGTGGGCCTCATCAACAACATTTGCTCAAGCTTTTCCTAAAATTTGTACTTCAGAAAGTCTTAAAGAGAAGTCTAAATCAGACTCGAGCGGTTCTTAAACTGCTGCTCGTTTGCACCTGTGCTCTCAAATTGATGACTGTCCTTATAAGTTTGTAGGTCAGGCCGGCTTTCTCCGTATTAGCAGAGAAAAATGCCCCTCCACAGATATCACACAGGGTCAAAATGAGAAGTAGAGAGGCAGCAGAACTGTGAAAATTAAAATCTAAATGGACTCCAAGTATTAGTCATGTGTGAATGTAGGTTAAACATGGGAATGAGGCTCTGTGTTCCTGTCAGTGTCAAATGTGATCCGTTACCTGTGACTTTCTGTCTTCACCTGTGTGATGGTGTCCTTGTCTGTCTGTGCGTAGCCATTGATATAGACGCCACAGACTTAGACCCAGAGGACAATGAGCTTCCAGTCAACCTCCGCTCCCCTAAAGCGAGTCCAAACACTGTCATGTCACCCCTAGCAAAAGAAAAACGAATGCCTTTCTTTAAGAAGGTAAACCCTGGACCTACCTGCCCCCTGTCGTCTTCTTCTTCTTCTTCTCTGTCCGTCCGCACGGCTCAGACTTAACACCTGTGGCTGCTCAGTCTCACTCAGTGTCCGCCCTGTTCGCCCACACCTTCGTCCTTTTTCCGCCCCGTTCGTTAGCATGCATGCCTGTTCTTAACCTCTCTTTTTTTCCTCTTCCGTCTCACCACAGCTAAGCAGAAGCAGAAGTCGGTAAGTTGTGGCGTGTTGTGCGTCAACTCAGCAGGGTTTTCGGTGATGACCTTCATGGTCTGAACTGTACAAACCCTCTACCTGATCCCTCTGCAGAGATTCAGCTGCATGCTGACCTCTCACCCTGCTCCTGCCAGCCTCGATGTTGTCTTTGTGTTTATGAGTTTGGAAGTAAACTTGTGGTACTGACTGAGTGGGAACTCACTGTGAATTTATGAACATGAAAGTTTAATTTTTTTCCATTTTAAGGGGATACTCTAACATTTTGGAAACAACCATTAGCCAACTATTAAACTCAAAAACGGGGAGAAGGATAAAACAGGATCCTTGTCTATCTTGGCTTTGCAAAACGACTGAAAATGAGGTAAAACCACAAGTTTGGTGTAACTTAAACTCCACTCAATTGCTCATCCAAAGTCTGTAAACAAATAAGTCATAGCTTCTTGAGTTAAAGGAGCAATACTTAAGTCTGACGCCTGGTGTTTAAAATGAGCACTGCAGTCCAAATACTCTGCTTAAATACTGTTACTTGCTGTTTTTTTTATGTTAGTAATCTGTTTATCCGGTTAAGAGAAAATTAGCCTCCACTGCATCAGTCTTAAAAGCTTTCTGCACTTAAACCCCTGCTGAAGGTTTGTGGTGATAACTAATCTCATCTCTGGCAACTTAAGGGGTTTCCAAAACATCTGCACAGGGTTCCTAAAATAAATACAGACTATTCTGGATCAATACCAAAACTTAGGAGAAGGATATGCTGGCTGCTGCGCTGTTATGAGTGAGGTCAGTGTTTCAGCTTCACATGTTCATCCTTCACGTCTGATGATATACTATGGTTTCGCTTTTTAATACCTCACCACTATCCTTAAATAAATACTCAAAATTGTGTTTCTTACTGTTGGACAGTGTTGCTTTATGTCCCTTATTTTTTCTTTTTTGATCTTAACATTCAAAGTAAACATCATTCAAAATATATCGCTGACAAATTCACAAATATCTTATTTTATCTTAAAAAAAATTAAAAAGACTTACAAGACATTTCAGTTTGTTAGGAGTTAAATTTTGAAATGAATCAACAGATCATTTCCTCACAGTATGACCACATGATGTTTTCTCTGTCTCTGCCAATGTTAACCAAGTAATCAGGAGTTGAACTCTGTAGGAGGGAAATGTTGAGAGCCATATTTCCCATTAATACCCTCGTGTTAGTCAGCAGCACTCCGCATGAGTTCCCACAACATCCCAGGGGAAGAAGATGACGTCAGCAAACGTTAGGCGGAAAGAAACTGAAGAGTTGAAGGGCGACATGAAATAGGATTGAACACGCAACTTTAAAACAAACACAAAATAAGTGTGAGAATGACACTCTGAGCGGTCATGACTGTAGAAGGAGGCAGATGCAGGAGATGACGCTAACCTACACAGTGAACACAACTACCAATAAAACACACCAGGTATGCAGCTTCATGCACAGGACAAACCAACCCTACTGAGAGAAACTGCTCACCTATTTACCCTCCCCAATCAGGAGCTACCATATGCAGAGGTGCTAAAAACATGAAACTTTATTTTTACTGATTTAAAACCCCAAAACTGAAAATATAAACTGACAAATCCCCAGACTACACCACTGTATGTGACTACAACTTCACTTAGTCACATCTTCCCAGTAATTTCTCCAAAGATATTTCACGTGGCCTTGTTCACCCCCCATACCAATCTGCCCGTTGGAACCCTCCCTGCTCTTTAAAAGGGCTGTTTGTTTCCACGGTGACTCTTTTACCAGCGCACCCTGGAAGTGGAGACAGAAAGGTATAGATTAGGTTAAACTTTATATTGCACCTTCCCTATTTTAATCAGAGTACAAATCTGTTTGGACTGTTCCAACTTAAACTATGTTTCTCATAGGTGGTGCGGCTAAATCAACTCCCGGCCACCACAGGAACGGCAATCGTCTGTAACCAACACATCATTAATCTGAATAAAAGTATTTTTACCGAAATACTTCTCAGACTCATCTGTTAACATGTTCGTTTTTTCGGAATGACTGTAATTGACTGACCTGTGAAGACAGTCATAGGGACCAGATTCACATGATGAAAACGCATTGCATGACTTGGACTCGAAGTTTTAGTTTGACCCATTTATCTAAGGTTCCTACTAATGCTCTGCTTCTTCATGAATGTTTTTTTTTACTCTCAGCCACCACAGTGAAAAATCCAGATCAGTCCCCCAGCTCCTTGTCTAACCGCTGCCGTTTATTCTGTAGTAAAAACACGCTCCACTCTCATTGCGAGAGAAAGGGAAAATACACTTGCCTGAGGAAAAAATGCGCTGCCAGACAACATTCCTCAGATGACTGATGGTTCATGTTTCCTTATCAAATTTGCAAAGGCTAATCCAGGTTTTTTTTTTTTTTTTGTCTGGCCCAACTGGGGCACTGACTGAAGTGGGTGGGGGAGCTGGAAGTATGTCGAGGCTCACATGAATGGGAAGCATTTATTGACTCTTTATCTCCACTTATATCTACTTTGACTTTTGGCATCCAAGTTTTGAGAAGGTTTTACACTTCTGCAGAACTTGAAATTCACTTTTTTACATGCTTATCCCCAACTGCAAAAAGTCAGGACCACAGAAAACTAAGGGGGAACCCCAACCACATTACACAGACTAAATTTCTTTCGAATTGAAAACATAGAAAAAAAAAAAAAACAGCAATGCTGGTAGCATCTGGTAACAAGATTAACAGACTGTCGATATTCAGAAAAATCCAGTTTTGTCTCTCTCATTACAGACTCTAATACCTCTACTAAAAACTCAAGTATTGTTTATATCATCTGCTTTAAAAGTCGGTTTATCGACACCTTCACCTGTCAGGCTAATCTGTTCATTTTGAGGACTGACTGCTTTGATTTTAACATCTCGTCAAATTCCAATCTACGATTTTATTTAAATCTGAGACTGTTACACAAACTGAGTTCCCACTTTGTCACAACAGCAAGTTTATGAACTGTGTCGTGATGTTTTTAAGTTTTTCAGTCGTATGTTATGTTGTTATACGACATCTTCTTCTCCTTCTTACTAACTTTTCCTCTTACTCAAACTTTTCTTTTCGTCCAATAACACCAGAACCATGAAATGAGAAAAGTTTTTAATCCAAGAGTATAATCCATCACGTATCCTGTAATGCACTTTTAATCAACTCAAAGAGGGATTATATTGTCTTTTGGCCAGAGAAGACGTCTCGTTTCATGGTCCACAATGTTCCAGTGCTTTTAAACTGTCTTGTTCGTCTCTTTACCCTCTCAAGTGATTTGTGTTGATGTTTGCAGACTTTGTCTCTATAAATTAGTGTAACTATTTTTCGTCTTCTACTCTTCTGTAAGACGGAACACATTCCTCCGTACGACGTTGTGCCTTCCATGCGGCCCGTGGTTCTGGTTGGACCATCACTGAAGGGCTACGAGGTACGAAAGAACTTTATTCTAAACACACTATAGCTAAAAAATGATCAGAAAAAGTGTTTGCTGCTAATATCTGCCTTTAATCATGTGTTCACAGGTTACAGACATGATGCAAAAAGCACTGTTTGACTTTTTGAAACATAGATTCGAGGGACGGTAAGTTCTATGTGACCTTTTAAAAACAAGCTCTCATCCCACTTCCTTCCTCCGTCTGTCTTCCTCATTCCTCCTCCCTCTCTGACTCTATAGGCCGGTATTTATCTGTCCCCCGAGGTTCGCTAAGAGAGTGTGTAACAAGTTTGTTTGGCCTGGAGATGTGTGCTGCTGCTTTAAATAGGCCCTCTCCATGTCCTTAATAGGCCATAATGGGTCCGAGAGCGGAGCCGGATTCTCCTCACTCAATGTTGAGTCCATCCACCCATTTGAAGCCGAGAGAGGCCATAAAGTTACACAACTTTAAGATCCAATCAGACCACCAGCAGCTAGACTAAATCCTGTTAAGTACCTTTCTGAGCCTTGTTCTGAAAACACTGTTACATCAACATTTGGCAAATTTGGGGTAAAAGACTTTTGGTTCAGGTTGTTTTGAATCTGTTTACAACATATAGTGTATGAAACAGTCTTTGAAGTGTCAACCATCGGTTTCTGAAGACTAACTTTTACTAAAATTATGCCAATGCAGTGAAAATGCTCGGAGACTTTCAGAGCACTAATCATGAGCCGAAGTTTTGGCTTCATATGAAAGCCAACAAGCCGCAGTAGCTCTCCATAAACTAGCATTGCTGCTCAAAACATTACCCTGGTCTCGGTGAAGCACAGGTTGTTTCCTGAAAAGGGGCGTTTTGAATCCCAACAATGATGGTTGCCAAACTTGCTGATTTTTACTAGCTTCAGGCTAATCCAGAAACTAGATGGTACGGGAAGTTCAGGTCCCGGCTCGTCCACCTGGCAAACAGCTAAAACATGCACACTTGTGGTTTACAGTAGCCGCATCCCTAACTTGGTAAATTACACACAGCTGTTGGCCTTAATATATTCAAAACATATGAGTTATAAAAATCTCAACATTTGCTGAATTGTTAAAAACAGAACCCAGTGAAAATAAGGGTTAGGGACCAAACAAAACCACTTTCTGATCCAGGCTTAAGGATGTTTTAATATGCTGGAGAAACTGGTATTTCAATATGGGACCTTATGGGTGTTCTTGGCCTTTGGAGCTTGCCTCTAGTGGACACCCAAGGAATTACAGTTATTTTGCACTCCTCCTGGCTGCTACCATTTGCTGCAAAGAAATGTTTTTTTTTTCTTTGCTTTACAAATCTGCACTTTTTATCATTTGTATTTATTGTTTTCCTACAACAACTGTCCTCTCTCTTATTTTTCTCATGAATTTTATTTTGTTTGTGTTTCATATCTATGAATCAAGTCTATTCTCTCTATTTAACTGTGTATTTTTCTTATCACTTGTTTCAGAATATCAATCACTCGCGTCACTGCTGACATTTCTCTTGCCAAACGCTCAGTCCTGAACAATCCCAGCAAGCACGCCATCATTGAACGCTCCAACACACGATCCAACTTGGGTATGTTTGGACTACAAATTACTGCCTTGCCTGGGAACATCTGGTGTTTTGATTCATAATGTTTTCAAGGAGACCAGCTTATGTAGAAAAGGAAGGAAACGATTAAAGATTAAAAAAATGGTAATGATAATTCCTGTCAGCCAAGAGCGGCCTTGACCGGTTTTCTTTTGTTCGGAATGAAAGATAGAGCCGAAATCCTCGATAACAAGTTCAGGAACCACTCTGATTTGACTGAGGTTGATTGGGGTTTAGATGAGATAAGAATGAAAAGATTCCTGAGTCAAACTGAGGTGACATGGCTAATTTTAGCTTTGTATCTTCTTAAGCATCAGTCAGTGCCTGCAGCAAAGTAAGACGTCCCGGGAGAAGCATATACTGGAGGCAAAAAGTGTATTTATATCAATATTTCATCACTAAACAGAGCCACCACGCTACAACTCAATGATCTGACCTCAGTCTTTCTTAACAATGTGCTGCTGTCCCAGAAAAAACTTGGAGGGGGCTCTAAGGCAGCCTCTCCTCCACCACTGCTGTCTTTTAAAGATACATTAAGAGTCCCATATATTACAGCAAGCCTTTTAATTTAGGTGAGAGCCCTTTGGAGACGATATGGCATCCTTTATCTGAAAAATATCCATCCTAACAAGCCATTTTGTGCTCCACTAAGCCTGAAATCTTCATCCTCCTGAAAAAAGAATGACAAAAGAGCCAAATTCAATCACTTGTTTCTGTCTTCGCAGCACATTTTAATTAATTATGTTTGAATCAAAAGCGACATTTTCTTGATGAAAGTGAAGACTTCCTGGGTTCGGGTCGCAATAAATTATTTCAGGAAATTTCACGACTTTATACAAGTGAACTTATCTGCTCCCTTTATGCATGTTTCAGCTGCGACGAAGTGAAAGTCTCAATGAGCTGTTCGGCTGGAATGTATTCATGTTATCTGTTCACTTTAGACTTTGTCGTGACTGGAAGTCATCACACTTGGCCGTGATTTCACTCAGATTTAGAAACGAGTCCCGCTGTGATATTTGCAGGATAGTTTTCGCAAGCACGTCGCCTTCTGTCGGAGTGGGGGTTGTGTGAGATGTTAGTCAGTTTTTGTCAGACGTAACAGATCACGCCTCATCGTTCCTCACAGAGCTGTTAGTCTCTTTGCCTGGTCCCAGAAATCAGCTTTTTTATGTTTGAAACAGAAAGGAGACGCAAACATTTAACCAAAAAAGAGTAAATCAAAAAAAAAAAGTTTTATTGAGTACAAAAGGCGAAACAAACAAAATACAACTTGGAAAGAGAAAAGCTGACATCTGAATCATGGATTTTTCAGTCAGAACAGTTTGGTCCTTTCAGAGAAACTTCAGAAAAATATTTATAATAGAATTTATAGAAAAGAAACTAAAGTCCAACTCCCTCTGTCTTTTTCAGCTGAAGTCCAGAGCGAGATCGAGCGAATTTTTGAGCTTGCTCGGACGTTACAGCTTGTAGTTCTGGACGCTGACACCATCAACCACCCGTCACAGCTGGGGAAGACGTCACTCGCCCCCATCATAGTCTACGTCAAGATCACCTCCCCGAAGGTGAGTTACATTAACATCATTTATCCACCGGTCAATATGCGATCTAAGGAGAGCTGAAAAACATTTAAATGAGCTGTTTATGTACACTGTGAGATTCAAAAATTCTAATGTGGTGATTCCTTCGCTGTCGGTGTTTCATTAGTCAAATGTTTTATGAGCATAATTTGAATAGGTGTTTACACTGTTACTGAACTAGTCTATGATTTTATGTCCTGTATAATGTTAATAATTAGGACCATGTCTGTTGTTTAAGTGTTGGTAAAGTTGGTGCCTTCGTCTTTGGATTTGGAGATTGTGGTCCTCCTAAGGGGTCCTCCTTAGATAAATCTAAAGCGGTTTGGAGGTTAACACAGAAAAACAGTTCCTGCCTCATTAATCTGGACTGTATTTGTGTTGATTTCTTGAATGTTTTAAAGGTACAGTGGAGATATTTCGAGAAAAACAGGAGGTCATATTCTAGATTGGATGTGTCCCTCTGCTCGCCCCCTTAGTTATGAAGTAATGGTGGCCTTTAAGGTCAATTATGATCCTCTATTTGTCAAGATTCTACCATCAGAAACACTATCAAACCTCTATGAATACTTGTTTGAATGGACTCCAAGTAGAGTAGTTGCTATCTACTACTCAAAAACTGTGACAGAAATTCTGTTTTGAAACTCTAGCTATAGAAAAACATGAAGTTGAGAAAAAAAAGACTACAAAATCTCCAAATTTCACTTTAAAATTAACCCTTTATTTCTTACAGCTCTAGTTCACTTTAGTCGATTAAAACAACCCTGACCTTGTTGCTCTTTGTCCTCAACTCACCCACCCAGGTTCTGCAGAGGCTCATCAAGTCCAGAGGCAAGTCTCAGGCCAAACACCTCAACGTCCAGATGGTGGCCGCAGACAAGCTGGCTCAGTGCCCTCCTGTAAGTCTCCCCAGTGGACCCCGATGATCACTCACTTGAATCACTGATTTAGAAAGAACACAGAGTTTGGTACTTTGTGAGATTTGTTTTGAGCCATATTCGTGCACATTTGAAATCAGTTTGTTTTTGGGAAACTGAAAATTTCTGCCAGTTCTGTTTCAACCATCTGCTTGGTGATTATTTTCGAAAGTAAAGTCAGAACTCCAGGCTTGTGAAACTCACACAGAGCTCCCTATTTTTCTGTGAGTTGGTTAATTCAGCCATTGCTTCATCGCTCTGTTGTGTATAGATTCTTTATGGGTAATGATAATTCAAGGTGACTGAGAGTAAGAGCCTCTCCCTGTGAAAGCTCGCTACTCCAGCGTCTTGTTTTCATAACCTTGACTTGTCCTCCCTGATTTTTCATAAACTCTGCCTGTTTCCTCTTCCTTTTCTTCTTCTGTAGGAAATGTTTGACATCATCCTGGATGAGAACCAGCTCGAGGACGCTTGTGAGCATATGGCTGATTACCTGGAGGCTTACTGGAAAAGCACTCACCCCACCAGCAGCAGTCCCCCTGACCCAGTGTTGACCAAGCTTCCAACAGCCGCCCTGCCCTCCAGCCAAGCCCAGGTCTCAGGCGTCCAGGTAAACATGCTGAGAAAACTCAAGGAGAGGACGGTCTGTACTTAAACAGTGCAGATGTACAAGACAGACCAAAAAGAGGAAGAACTAGAATGAAGACCTGCAGTAAATACAGTTCAGGATTTGTCCCTAAAACATCACATTTTACTGCTGTCAACCTTGTCTCATATATTTTAATGAGAAATGAGTTAGCATCTACCTTGTATGTATATTTTACATGAAAGAGTGATCTACTATAGATGATAATTCAAACAAGTAAATAAGTGATACACTGGTGGCTTATCACTCTTCACTTAACATGCTGTTCGCAGTAACTTTACACAGGTAGTTTAAGGGAATAAGCTTTTTAAAGTCAATTTATTTAATATAAGAAAATGGGTCCTTAAAGGGATATTCCAGCGTAAAATTGCCTCCCTGAGAAAAAAGTCAACAACTTCCGGGTCACAACACATCGAAATTGATACAAACCAAAAACGAATAGAACAAAAATCCCATGATAATTCTATTCTCTCATATTCTATTTTTAATTTCAAAACAAAATCAAAACAGCGAAAAATAGGCTGTTATCCGTTTTCCGATTTTTGATTCTAAAACGGATATGGAATGAACGAATGATACATTGGTAACCAAATAACTACCCATCATGTATCCAGTCTGAATCAGGCCTTACTCTAGTTAGACCACACCTGCTTACTACCTGAAAAGTGTGATTCAAACAAGAGCAACAAGTCCAACCTTCAGAAAAGAGACAACTTGTTCTGAAGCAGTTCACATCTGAGCTTCTATATTAGTATTTTTACTGTCAGGTTGACGCCTCAACGGTGTGTCATGATGGCAGTAGCAGCTCAAAAACACATTTAAATGTGTCTAATGTCACTTTTGTGTGTGTTGTATATGTTGTATAACCCCTAACCTTTACCCTCTCTCCATCCACTGCCATCACAATGGAAAATGTAAGACTGAAAATGGGTGGCCTGAAATTCATGAGGAGGAGGAGGAGGAGGAGGAGGAGGAGGGGGAGTGAGCATGAGGTGATTTTCAGTGTGATGAGTTTGGAGAGAGAAAAATCAACGAAGAGCCGCTCTGATTCAGGATCACCTTCTCTTCAAAAACCATCCTCTATCAGATTTTTCAGCTTTAGATGAGTGGTTGATGAGTGTTTTAAGAGTTGTGTGTTTTCATGTGTGTTTGGTTGCTGTGCACAAACACAATCTGCACCAGAAACAACCGGGTTGGAGTGAAATCTGCATGTTTGTGGGTTTTTGTGCAGCATTTTCCAAATTTCTGTCACTCTTTTGACTCACATGTGTTACTGACCCCAGGGTGGCAGTGCGGAGCAAAGAGGGGACAGAGCAATAGAGGAGAGGAAGGGCTCCAGAGAGGATCACCAGCACCACCATCACCATCACCACCACCACCACCAGAGCCAGGACCAGGCTGATGCTGACGCTGAGGCCGAAGGGGAGGGGAACGAGGAGGAGAGACCTCTGAGGACAGAGACTTCTAGGAGATCCCAACACGTCCACCATCGTTCGTCTTCCACCAGGACTGAGCACCACAACCACCATCACCACCACCACCACCACAGCAGCAGGGCCCGGGGCCTCTCCCGGCAGGAGACTTTGGACTCAGAGACCCCTGAGAGCAGAGAGAGCCGAGAGAGCAAGGACTCTGCCTATAACGAGCCACGCACTCAGCTCCTCCACCAGGAGGAGGAGGAGGAGGAGAGAGGAGGAGGAGGAGGAGGAGGAAGAGGAGGATGAGGATCTAGGGGAGGGGCACCCCCAACAGCAACAGCGTTACGAGCCACTGCCCCACCGGGACCACAACCACCACCACCACCACCACCATCACCGTGGTGGAGGGGACGAGGCTGGCCACAGCACGGGACACCACCGCTCGAAGGAGCGCGAGCAGGACCATAACGAACGCAACAAGCAGCGCTCACATCACCACCGGCCGGCACGCGAACACCACCATCACTACTACGACCGGGACAGAGACAGGGACAGAGAGGGGGAGGTGGCTCCCAAAAAGAGGGGTGATGCCGGGGAATGGGCCAGAGACTCCTACATCCATCAGTGACAGACCAAATCCCTCTGAAGCTCATTCGGACTCTCTCCGTTCTGTTCTCCTCCCATTGTGCTGCTACACCCTGAAACCACAGCATCCTATTTATGTACACTCCCTTTGTAAATGCTGTTGCATCTTTTTCAATGGCAGGATTTTGATTACATAGATACAAATATAAATATATAAATATATGTATGTGTGTATCTATGCATAGACGTTGTTTATGTGTGGATATGCATGGATATTCTTAAATATGCATATTTTAAACCTGTGTTTGATAAAGCATGACAAAGAAGCAGAATTTTTTTCTGTACTGAGCTGTGCTTTCTGTGATTAGCATTTAATTATTTTATTTTTTTGCTTGCAACCACTTGAATAATTTGTTTCTCCAGACTACTACTAGGGTTGACTGAAACAGTCGACTAACCAAGCTAGTTTCATGCTGTTCATGCAAAGGTCTTAAAGTTAAACTTTGTCATCCTGGGACATGCACATATTTACTTTTTTGTTTCCCCAGGATGACACTAAGTTGCCGGTTCATAATTCACCTAGCTGAGCCTTCACTTCATTCAACTGTAATTGCAAACAATATGAATGTAAGTAATATAAAAAAAAACATTACCATTCATCCCTTCTCAGTTATCCTAAAAAAGAAAAGTGGGAGTGTAAAATCTAGAGGGACACACATCACTGATTGTATATTACTATGGACAGCGCCTCCATTTACTTCAATTGAAGCCAAAAATAACATCTTGATGGCTGCTGACATATTGCACTAAAAAGCGATCAGGCTGGTGGGGCCAGAGGACTGACACCACACCTTACAGACTGACACAAGCAGTGAAACAGCAGAAAATCCTCAGGTCAGAACATTTAATGGTAGAACTGATTTCTATGCTGATTTAAAGCAGACACTCGCAGTTATGGAGAGTTTAATGACTCGTGTGTTTGCTAAAGTTTCCCTTTTTGTCCCTCTTCTTTTTTCCAATTCGGCAAAGAAAGATTTTTACAAAAGAGGATTAGGGCCACATAAAGAGAAGAAATAAATTACAGGAAGGAGATTAAAGTCGAAATTTCAAGATGACACAGATCGAAATTATGTCAATGAAGTCGAAATTTTGAGATTGAAAGTTAAAATTTTGAGATTAAAGTTGACATTTCGAGATTAAAAAATGTCGTGCATAATGTCGAAATTTCAAGCTGTAAAGATAAATTTTGAGACCAAGTCAAAATTTCTGCTGTATTCACGTATTTAGATTTTTTTTATCTCGAAATCCTGACTTCAATGTTGATTTTTTTTTTTTTTCACCTTTTTAAAATTTTGACTTTAATCTCAAAATTCGACTTTAATCACGAAATGGAAATTTAAAAAAATCTCCCCCCTGTAATTATTTTTTCTCTTCTTGTGGCCCTAATCCTCTTTCATAGATTTTAGCTTAACTTGTACATTAGATCTTAAGATTGACTGTTGTGGTTAAATGGCTCTGCCTAAGTCAAGCTAACTAAACCTAACCGTGTTCAAATGCCAGATAGTCCACAGACGAATAGAAATTGTGTCAATCTTCCCTCGTTTTTTCCCAACAAAGGGAGTCCTCCTCAGTGTTGGACTGCTAATGATCATCTCTAATAGCTTGTGTCATTGTTGTAAAGTTCTGCATCTCTGGTATTAATTTGGCACGAATTTAAAACTACATTACAGCTGCCCCTCAGTCTTACCTCACAGACGGCTTTTTAAGCTTCCTCTCTCACGTGCAGCACTTCTCTCTTTCTATGGGTCCAGAAACACTTTTTAAAATTCAATCTGCACTTTTTCTGAAACATTGGTTTCAGATGAAAGCTATTTGATATGACACTGAAACTCACTGTAGGTCTTCCCGCCAAGACTCCACTAAGGTTCATCTTTTAACTCTGACCACTTTTCTAAGGAATGTTAACTCCCGTGTTTCTCCTACTCAACAAGCAACTTCAAAGAATGTCATTGATCATCGAGGTGATCTTACAAACCGACTCAAACATCTAATGATAAACTGGAATAAAAGTTGCGTTTCCACCAGACGGCCTTTCTAGAAGGGGCTGGACCTTCAAATTAACATCTCGATTGGCTCCTGGGATGTAATTCACCACCATGAAAATGAAAGCTTGTTCCTCAGGAGCAGGACCTTTTTAGAAATTTACCTGATTGAGCTTAAACGGCGGTCAGTTTCCAAGAACCAGTATTTATTTATTTATTTATTTTCATTTTACATAACTAGGGTCACAAAGAAAACAGCAGTATAGACAAAGTCAAGGTCAAACTCTGCATTTTTTTCTGGGGACAAAATCCAGCAGCTCACGATCATTCTGGTTTATGTTGCAGACGTCAAAATTACTCAACGCTCATTTCTTTTGTCACCAGCCGACTCTCTGCAGTTATTCAGAAGAGAGAGGAAAACAAACAGCTGACTGAAAGTACCCTTTATTTGTCCAAAAAGTAGTTTCTGCGACTTAAAAGCTTTCATTTTGGTGGAAACGTGACTTCATTGCATTCAGAGTCAAGATGTTTGATCATGTGAGAGCATCCAAAACTTCCTTGACACGGTCGATTATGTGTTTACGATAATGAAAATCTGATCTGAGCCCCTCTGTGTACAAACTCTCTGGTTTTGCCTGACAATTGTACTTGCATACAACTACTCCGTTTCTATGCTACAATGGTAGCATTGCAGGTTTTTTTTAAACAATGTACATGTGTATGTACATAATGCATAAATATGACGAATAAAGTTGGCAAAGACGGACTGGTGCAGGGGGGGACCGTTTGATACATGCTTTGTTTGGAGACCCAGCCAGAGGAGGGAGGCAGTGTCTATAAATAGCCATGTGAAAACTCTACTGAAAAATTGAGGTAGACTCACCGGTCTGCCTCCATAGTTGTCATGACAACACCGGCGTGAATGACAATTCTAAGGGGATGCATCTAAAATAGGAAACCGCACACACACACACATACACACACAGGCGTGCGCCTCCAAAATAGACAAACAAGCTCTCCCAGCGAGGCGGCTGATTTGATACCAATTTGAATGTTAAAGAGAACGTCCTCTGGTGCTGCAGCGACCAGAGCGGCCATTTAATCAGCTGTCTCTCCTCACATAAAAACAGACATAGTAGAGCTGGCTTCTCCAGACAGATGTGTGGACGGACTGACAATGGTCTAATGATTTTTCCCAAGAAGAAAGGATAAGCCAGGGTCAGCGTGACAGTCCTCAAAACGCCGCATAATAGGAGAAAGAGCTTGAGGTTTGAGATGACAGGCACAGATAAATAAATTCATCGACTCTCTGCGTTTATGTTTGCACCAAATGTATTAGTGGTGAGTCCTGTAATTCAAAACTTGCTACTCAAACTTGCTTTCCTGTGTTCAGAAAATGTTTAAAAACGCACAGAAAGTTAGAAAAACTTTATTTAAAAGTAAGTTACATCATGAAAACGTGAATGTGCTTCCCCTCTGGTGAACTTCACACAGCATCATCTCTCTCAGGCACTAATTGGAGCTCCCAGTTGTCTCTCCTTCACTACGAAAAGACACTAAATTGTTAATACCTCTCATGACCTCTTTCTGCACGCTACTTCCTGATCCTGAGATCCAGCCAATCCGCTATCACCATGGCAGCTGTGTCGTCACTGTTGTTATGGCGACGCTAGCACTGCTGCATTTGCCACTACTCATTCAGTCTCCATCTCTACGTGCCCCTCCCTCCCCTCTCTCTCCTCTCTCTCCTCTCTCTCCTGCCCTGGGTGTTTATAAAGCTTATCCCTATATGGCCCGCAGTTTCAGAGAGCAGCTGTTAAGAGGCAGATGCTGTAAACAGTGAGTGTCTTTGTCAACACTGCCCCGTCAAAGCACACACAGTGGCGTAATATAAACACTACTGTTCCCGTCTGCAGTCCCGTGTGAGGCCTGACGCTGCCGGAAAAAGAAAACATGTCCTCGGGTCAGTTTTTTAGGAACTTAGCAATAAAAAAGCCGATGGTGTCTCTGTCAGCTCTGCAGTCTTGGGGAGCCGCCGTTTCGGTCTGATCCCAGCTCAGCTCGGGACTAAACCTCTGGAGGAGGCGCAGCTGCTCAGGTGACAGGCCCGCTCCCAGCATGCCCTCTGCACCAATGTGAGGCTCCTGGTAAAAAGAATAGAGGGATTCTGTGAGGTTTACCGCAAAACTCGCCATATTTAACTCCATCCCAAAGATGGACAACACACCTCTAACCCTGTGGCGTGCATTGACATCTGTAGAGATTGCCTAATGGAGGAGTTAACCTAAACACACTTCTTAAAGGGATATTCCGGCGTAAAATTAATTAATTTTACGCCGGAATATTCCTTTAACTTACCAATAAACCTGCACAGTTCCCACAGGTTGGTTTATGGCAAGTTTAATGTGTTGGTGTCTCTGTTTTCTCTAGCTGTTTCTCCTTTCGCTTCCAACCTCGTGTACACAGCACCACAGGGGCTGTACTCGTCAACCAAACTGCTAACTACAGGGTTTTAAGCTATCGTCACATTTTCAAATAACTATTTTAATCTTAACTTCTCAGGAAAATTAACTCTCTGGCATATGCAGCACATAATTACATGAACCATGGGTGTGAGATTTTTTTTCTTTGGTGTGCATTTTGATTTTAAAGTTAAATCCATGTCTCATCTGTTTACATGGACAAGGTGGGGTTTATCCGTACCACTGCCAGTTAGTTTTGAGGAGCTGTCGTCCATCTTTTTATACACTCTTTGGTCTGTGTCGGTGAGGTTTCAAACCTGAGGCTGTAGACTGAGGCAGGGGAAGGTGTCGAGGGCCCAGGCGACCTGCTCCTCGTTCTCAGCGAGAGTCACTGTGCAGGTGCTGTAAACAAGAACCCCGCCTTTCTTCAACAGTCGCACTGCCTGAAATCACATACAGCAAATACATACGTCACATTCATAAAGCAGCTATAATCATTATGTTTGACTGTAAAATAAGGACAAAGTTGTTCATATGGAGAGGAATCAGCTACAAGAGCAGAAGCATCAATTTGCTGGAAGTTTGTTCTTTTTAAAGGGATATTTCAGCGTAAAATTAATTTAGGGTCAAACACACCGTATTGCTATCGTGCGGTCATTATTAAAGTTGGTATAACTAGAGAAGCAAGCAGTCTGCAACATTCATCTCTCGAGGGGGTATCTTACTCGATGTTATGTTGTGCTTGATCCTAAATTAATTTTTCGCTGGAATATCCCTTTAATTATTCCCAAAGTATTAATTTTTACACGTTAAATTTGTCACACTATTCTTCATACATGCATATATCCTCAAAAAATACAAGTCCTTCATCTGCAGAGATGTTTTGCAACTTTGGGGAAACACCACAGATACTGACACCAAGTGAAGCTATCCGATGCTGCCATCTACTGGTCAAAAGGAGTTAGTGTAACAGTGATGAGAGGAAAACAAAACCTGCTGGCAGCTAAATGGATAATGAGAGGTTACTGTGCGTTTGTGTGTGGAGAAACCTACAGCGTGGAAGAGTTTGCGCTGCAGAGGCTGGTATGAGCAGACCTCCTTCAGGCTCCAGGTGTTGGCCATGGTGGGTCTCTGTCCCAGTCCACTACAAGGAGCGTCCAGCAGAACCCGGTCAAAACTCTCAGGAGCAAACGGAGGTCCTGAATCAAAAATTAGGAACACTGTGATGTCTTTTTACAAACTAGTTTATTGAGGAATATGTGAATGAATAAACTGCTTGTCATTGTACCTTCAGTTTCCTGAGCCGGGTCGTTGCTCACAGCCTGAATGCTGTTGCAGCAATAAGCTTTAATGGAATGCAAATGCAGCAGTTTTGCATTTTGGCGGATTTTATCCATCTTATTTCGGATCCTTTCCAAGGCTACAACCTCGCCCTGGGAAACAGACAGAAGTACAAAAGGACATCTACATAATCAAGAGAAATTATAAATAAATACAATTTTTTAGGGTAGAAAAAAAACGTATTCTCTTTAAGTATTTAAAACACCAAATGTAAAGGCAACAGATTTCAGTTTTTATGATTTAAGCCCTGGTGTTGAAGAAGTAATCAAACTAAACCATAAGAGTGAGATGAACACGGTCGAAGCCAACTCTGTTCTGCCTCTTTATTCATTCTGTACCTGATCCCCCATGAGAGCGGCAATATGGCAGGTCTTTCCTCCAGGTGCAGCACACATATCCAAGATCCGCTCTCCAGGACGAGGTCCGAGCACGTGTCCCACGACAACAGAGGGAAGATTCTGCATGACGTAGAAGAAATTAATTGTGAACCCTTCTCTTTCAAATCTTACTCAATCCAGAATTCTGTAGTAAATTAATATGAAATGTGCTCATAATTTAGTCCGTTCAGGATTAAACACCTGTAGGAATGCCAGGCTGGGTAAAACGCCATCAAAGGAAGGACTCTGGTAAAGTGGCTCCATCATCTGAACACCTATTCCTCTAGAACAAAAGAGACAGACAGAGATGCACAAATACGTATCAACCCAGGATCAATATCAGCCAATACTTAAATATCGACCTGTTGATAGAAATAGGTCTGATGGCAAGCCAATGTACATGATATCATTTACTATATATGATGATGGCTCGTTTGCAAACTCTATGTTTTAGCAGACTGTAAGGTTTTTGCATTTGAAGACAAATAAATGTGTTTAATATTAAAAAACACCAGAGCTGAATATTAGCCCAATTCATGCCTGTAATTATTAAACTTTTATATTTCTTTTTCATCATTTCCTGCATTTCTACTATTGCTTGTTTTTAGTTTAATCTCCTGTAGGTAACTTTCTTTATGTGTCTGTTTTAGCCCCCCTGTAATCAAATATCATTCGCTTGAAGGTGATTAATTTCATACTTGGCGGGTTTGTCGGAGCAGAAGATACTCGAGCGGTCCATTTGAGCGACTCCATTTCCCACAAACACTTTCTTTCCCTCAAAGCTGGTGGCTGCTCGGGTGCACTTTCCTTCCAAGTCAGAGAAGACGGACACCACATCTCCTCGCTTCATGTCTGAGAATCAAGAAACACATCACACAGCTTAATAACTAATACTTCTTTAACAGAACAGTGTGTTTTAATCATCCACTTTACTTAAGTTTGTATTTGAAACTTACATTTGGGACTGGCAATGATTCCTGGAGCAAAAACATGAGCCCCTCTCAGCACAGCGTTACCACATTGAGCACCAACTACCAGCTCTGAGCTGAGCTGCTTCACAGGTCTGGAAAAAAAACACAGAAGAAAGTTGTTTGATTATAAATCTGCTCTGGGGAACATCCTCGGACTGTTTACAGCTGTGGATCCCAGAGCTGAAGCAAAATTTGGCCTTTATGGACATTTTCTGCAGCCTTTGTAAGCTGTTTTTTGTTTGACTGTCTGTTAGCAGGTACATCAGATTATATTTCTGTGCTCACTCTAATTATTTCTGTGCAAAAATGCAACCATGAGCCCAAAACAGAGCCTGAGGTCATGATAATTAGAGTGTCACTGCAGCAGAGTACTTTCACTTTAGGAACAAAACACACACGAAAAAAAGTGTCTTGCGAGAGAAAAAGTTTCTGTTTTTCTGTCATTGTTCCATGAAACTGTATCTGGATTTGGCTTCAGGAAACACTCGCCCAGCGGTCGGAATCATCCAGCAATTTAAAGCTAAGTGTGTCCTCCATGAAGCAGATTCAGACTGGACTGACACGGCTCCAGCATTCCTCACATACCTCGGGCCAATGACAGGAAGAAGCAGCACATCTGGAATACGCGGATGAGGGAAAATCTGAACTTGGACGTCTTCTGATGAGCGGCACATCTGCTGCTTCAACAACAACAACACCATCACACTGGTTAAGATCTGACTGATATTAACAATCAGTTTTGGTGTCTGGCACGAGACAACAGAGCATATTCGAAGCAAAACCCACCTTTTTCAGCTCTTCACCTAACTTGTGTCTGATCTCTTCCAGAGGAGCTAGATGAGTGTTGACCCGCACACAAGTGTACGACGGAGGGTGAGACAGACATGTGAGCAGCTTCTGGAAACGACACTCTGCCTCCTGATGGCCGACTGCAGCCAATACCTAACCAGACAGAGATGATAAAACAAAGAGAAAAGGTCTTACAAGACACATTTTAGTGTTGAGAGACTGTAAGAAAAAGATCTTCACTCCTCTGCGAGAAAAGAAGAATTTTTATCTCATGTGATGTCTTGAAGGGAACATTTGCTTCCAAGAAACTAGTGCTAACTTTATCATTACCTCTTTGTTTAAGTAGACGCCTTTGAGATAATTGGAAACTTCAGGCTTCAGAGAAATTCTTGGAAAAACAGACATTTCTTCCATCTGTGCAGAGAAAAACATCAACTTAGTAACAGACAGTAAAATAAACTAAAACTGATTATCACCAGCGATGGGCAGAAATGTTGTAAAATTATTCGAGCACTGTTTGAGTACAGTAATGGGCGCCTATACTTAACATAAGCACTCTAATTTAAGGAGAATTTACTGCACTAATTTTAATAAGATAAATTCTGTATATTTCAATAGATTTTCTCATTATTTGCCAACTTTGCTCTGAAGTCAGCTGATGGATTAACCCCCCAAAAATCATATTCTAAACCATAAATCTGTTTGTCTAAGTAGAGTTGTACGTCACACATCTCAAAGGTTTGCTTCACTTCACTTCAACTTTATTATGTCCCAAAATGGGCAAATCGGGTTGCAGCAGGCACAGGCGTTTAAAACACTGCCATACATCATGAAAATAAAATAAAATACATTTACATTAAAAAAAAAGTTCACGAAGTAAAAAGCATTAAAGACGATGTAGAAGGTAAAAAAGAAAAGCATATGTCAGTCATACCAGTATTTTGCATGAACAGAGTGCAAAAAAATGCAGAAACAAAGTGCAATGTGTGGTTTGTGTACCAATTAAAGACCCCTAGATGAAGCTTGATCCGTTATAATAATAATGATAATAATAATATACACCATCTAATATCAGAAGCAGAGACAGTAAATGAAAGCGGAAATCATTCAGATTGAGCAGATTATTTCGTGGTGTGAAGAGGGATGACTATCCTCCACACTCTGAGGGTTAAATTCTAGCTCAACATACACAAACTTCATCACAACCTCTAAAGAAATCAGCTGTTTTTATTCAGTGGTTTGTTGTTTCTTTTATTATAGAGCCGCAAATCTGGAAATCTGCAGCATGTGAGTTTAAAATAACATAAATAGTGCTTCTCAGAGGAACACCCTACATGGGTGATTACAATCATACATTATGGAAATACAACAATATAAGGAGTTTTATTTTATTTTATTTTATTGGTTAATTTGAATGATTAAGTACTTTAAAAAGCTAGTGGTCCAGTATTTTATCGGTGCAGAATTTACTTGTAATGCAGTAATAGCAGAATCTATAGGTGTACCTATTCCACCACTGATTATTGTTATACCATTGGTTATTTCTGGTGTTTTTCATTCATAAACCAATAAATGAAGTGGTATTTTCACTAATTCGCGCTTGTCCCTACACCATTAAACAAAAGTACATTTATAGCCATTGTACAAGAAAAAAACCGTTTCCATAGCAGACCCAAATAAGCTTTTTTTCAGTAAATATAAAATAATATCTTATTGTTTACAGTATTTGACAAACACGGGTCGTATTTTCTATCTCATGAGTCTCAATAAGTCCTACCTACCACCTCCACCACACGCGTTGATGCTCAAATACACTGTCCGTATTAATAATAATACCTAAATCCAAGTATAACAGCTGTGTGTAGGTTTTTATGTCTCTTTAGCTACTCACGTTCCGTCCCTGTGAGAGTCTGAGCTTTCACTTCCGCGCACGTCACTAACTTTGTCATACGGCGCACGCACGAGAGGCGTTGCTATGGTGTTGCCAACAGCCGACCAGTAAAACTCGATCCATGTAAATGTCTGGTGTATCGCAAGCATAGACTGTATATACAGTCTATGATCGCAAGAGAAAGAAAAAAACACGTTGGAGCTGCTTACTTATCACATCTTGATGTCATATACAAATTAAACGAAAACGTTCCTGCAGATAAAACGTAAGCTATGAAAAAATACTGTAAAACTGACAAAATGGACTTTTCTGGCTCACACTTGCTGCCACAAATTCGTTGTTTTTTTTCAAGGATGGAAAATAGCTTAGTCGCTTATGTTTATTTACGACAAAGTACAGCAAATTTACTGTCATTTAACCTCAGTAGAAGGAAAAAATACCGTCTATTACAGTTTTTAAATAACAGCAGAATGTGCTTCAAAATTAAAGAACTGTGTCGTAAAGTTATACTCATAAGTTGTGATGTTAAGTTGTGATGTGTACATTTACGCTTGCTCCATTTTACGAGCTTTCTCTCGCAGTAAAACTTGAAGAAAACTGTTCTCAAAAAGTCCAACGTCTGAAGCGATATACGTCAGCACGCAACCGGAAGAAAACCGAATAGCTGCGGTTGCGTTTTTTTCTTCAACACCACTGCCAGCAGCAGCTAACGGGGAGAGGAGTCTGTGGAGCTGCGGAGTCAACACATCGCTGCGCTCTTTGCTTGTGTTTGAGGGGGATTCTTCAGAATTCAACGACAGAGCAGACCCTCGACATTTCTTCATCCCGTCTATGCTGCTTTGTGTAATCTTATCCTCCCCGTAGCTACGTTGTTTAAGGAGCCGGGGCGCATGGAGTCGGCGTTGAAAAGGTCGGTTAGGTGTTTTGCGGACAAGAGATCATCCGGCTAATGTTAGCTAGCCGTAGCCAGCCACGGATTGAACGGTGTGGATCTGAGAGTGGACGAGCTCGGTGCTGCTGCCCACTCTGCTGAGAAACGGACAGAAGAACGGACCGACATTGGTGTTTTTGACCAAATACAATGGGCCTCATATTCGCCAAACTGTGGAGCTTCTTCTGTAACCAAGGTGTGTGGAATTGTTACGGCGCATTTACCTCCGTGACACCCCTGAACCGAACATAACTGTTAGCCCGAGAGCATAAAGTGAGCAGCAAGACCATAACAACAGATGGGGGAATAATCTTAGGACTCTCTCAGCTGCGCTCTCTTTGTTTAGCTTTAACAACAGGCATCTAATCTACTCCTCCTATTTTTTATCAACCACTCTTGTTAATCTGTTAATCAGCCGGCCAACCAACTTAATTACCCTAAGTCTCAGTCAGCCTACCGCAGCGTATTCATTGAGTTGTCAATCAGCCTACACTCACTTCTCTGCAGGACACATAACTCACACTGTTTGAATGTTTGTGGACTAATTTTTCTGATCTGTATAGCATGGTTTTTTAAGTATTAATGTTGCTGAATCCTTTATTCTGGATTGACCTGTTCCAAGTATCAGAATTCATTCACTTTCAAGAGATCACGAGCAAGCACTTTGTGGAATTGCTTGCAACCTGAGCAGAGACTAACTACAACCAACAATCTTCACTGTCATTAGTAAACCTGAGAAGGAGCTATTTAAACTAGACCTAGAGCTTCAACACAAGACACAAAGTCTAACTATACTTTAAAGAGTTGCACATTTTATCGTAGAAGACACTGACGTCGCTACTAAGCCTCTTTTTTTAATCTACTTTGAGTAAACCAGCTTGTTTTTAAACATTTTTGGCTTGCTTTTAAAGTTTTAGAAAGACACCAGACATCAGGTATCTGTTAATCTTTACTGTCACTGTTATGGAGGAATAACAGACCGTTGCTTTGCTGTATCAACGAATCAGATTCAAGTTCTCATTAGAGCCGTATAACTAGGGCTGGGCGATATGGGAAAAAGTTTATTACAATATATTTTTTCATATCAGTCAATATCGATATATATCACGCTAAAAAAAATGACTTGTCTTTCTCAAAGTTCCCTGTTACTCTTTACTGAAATGTAACTAAGCTACGGCATCTGTGACTTCTTTGTGTCTCTCCAACGTTTTGTCATAAGGAATTGCGCTAGAGAAAGCAGAATAAATGGTCGGTTCAGCGCGACCCGAACCCTGAGCAACTCCCTTTTTCATTGGCTATTCATGTAGTCTACCAAAACATGGCAGAATGCCAACTATTGAAAAGCATATTGACCATGTTTCATATCGATATTGAAATTCATTTTTGATATTTATCATTATAGTTTTATCGCCCAGCCCTATGTATAACAATGAAATTCAGTCAACTTAATTATCATACTCCTTACTGTATTAAATCCCACCCAGCCTGGTTAGGATGTGCGTTTATTTCTGCATGATACAAGTTTTTTGTATTACATTGTTTGCTCAAAAGGTGAAAATTCCTCTTTTTTACAGCCTTTAAAAGTCGCATGTTGAGTTTTTGCTGTCAGGATCGTCACAGAGCGGCCTCTCTGTATGAAGGCAATAGACACATAGAGTCCTCCAAAAATCCCAGTTGAGTGCCGAGAGACTGTCGAGTCTGTGAGCCCTCTGACCAGACTTCCTTCCCCCTCTGCAGCCAGAGGCCTCAGAAGGGCGGAAAAGTCAAAACACTAAAGTAGGATATTTTGGCACATTCATGTCAACTCAGTTTCTACATTTAGTGTGTAACGCTGCATGCCTGAGAGGCGTCAGAGCCGGGGGTGCTACAGACTGTGCTGGCTGGTGTACATGAATGGAAAGAACTAAAAGGAGGAGGTTTGAAAGATTGGAGATTTGGGATGGGCGGCAGTGACTAACAGGAACAGACTGTATAAACCTAAAGCAGATTTATCTAATGATTGTTTTAACCAAGTGTAGGAAGAGGGAAACCATATAAACGCCTGCTTGTCTGCTGGTCCTGGGATTGACGCTTGATTCATTATAATGTTTGTTTATTTACAGAGCACAAGGTGATAATTGTTGGACTTGATAATGCAGGGAAAACCACTATCCTCTACCAGTTGTAAGTTGTTTCTTTTCACTCAGATGCACTATGAAAATCTTGTTAACTGCACCTAAATTTCAAAAACTCACATTATTATTCTCTTTTCCCCAGTTTAATGAACGAGGTGGTCCACACATCCCCCACTATTGGAAGTAATGTGGAAGAAATAGTGGTGAAAAACACTCACTTTCTGATGTGGGACATAGGAGGACAGGAATCCCTCAGGTCCTCCTGGAACACCTACTACTCTAACACAGAGGTAAGTAGTACAAGCAACACTTTTTGTGGGGAACAGAAGTATTGTCCGGCAGCAGGGTTTTTTTTTCTTCCTGAGCAGCTGGCGTGTTTGCGCAGAGCACAGACGGCAGCAGAGTCAATAGGTCAGCCGTATCATAAAGGGGCCTGTTGGAAAAGCAAAGCAGGGGTCGGCCTCTGCTGTGTTTGGAAGGAGGAGAGCGGGGAGAGTCATGGCAGAGACAGATGTTAGGGAGACACTAAAGATATCCCGACAAAAACAATCGAGTTAAAGATCCCTGATGTAACATCTGCCAGAGAGTTTATAGCGGTTATAGGCTGTTGTTTTACTAGTAGCTGCTTATTTCACACATGAACACAGTTGAAGTTTGTGTTATTCACTGTGGGTTTCACAAAAGTTACATGCATAAATTAATGAACATTTTTAGAGAAGTTAGAATCTAATTTGGATCATTCTGCCTGTTTATTTGTGTTGATGGATTCAGTTTTTTACATCTTGGTTAACTGAATTTCCAAGTTGGACATGTTTCAAAAAGACAGCAGCAAACCGAAACACTTTCAGGTTTGTTTTTAATATTTTCTTTACCTGAAACCATCAACAGAAACTTTCCCATGTCAACTCAGGACATTATCTGCAGGATCAGGTTTGAACTTTACTCTGAGTTCACAGATATCTCTCTCCCAGCAGGAGACTTTTGGTGTCAGACGTGTTCCTAGCTGCTGGAAATACTGTATTTCATGGGGGGTTGTGTCAGGGCAGAAGAGCAGCATAGGGAGTAGAACAAAAGGGTCAGTCTTGTGTTGTGTTTATCATTACAACTAGTTTCCATAGAATCGACAAAAAGAGTGCAAATGCAACTAGAGGAGGTTGTAGAGCAGCCTCACTCTGTGCAGCATCATTTAACATGCTTTATTGAAGTCTCTGCACAATTACCTGATTATCTGTTTACACATCAGCTCAATCTAACAACACACAGGCTCAGTACAAGAGAGCTAGAGTCAAAATAATATCTGTACTTTCTAGTTGTATGTGCACTTTTAAGGTTGTGTTTCAAACCAAAAAAATGGCTTTTTAGGGGAGCGATTGCCATGGGTTAAAGAAGCAAGGAAATACAGAATGAAGAGCAGTCCACTACACAAACCAGGATCATTTAAGTGGGGGTCCGGGGTTTATGTACAGAAATGACACCTCTTTATTTCTGCATCTCGCACCAATTTGCTTAAAAATCATTATAGTTTCAGTAATCTTGAATCTTGAAGACTCCAAAGACAGGCAACTGGACTGTGTAGAGTCGAGAAGATGTTTCACCTCTTATCCAAGAAGCTTCTTCAGCTCTAAAACTGCTAATATATCTGAAGAACCAAAGAAGCTTCTGGATAAGAGGCGAAATGTCTTCTCAACTCTACGCAGTCCAGTTACCTGTCTTTGGAGTCTTCAAGATAACCATGACCTGGATGAACGAGAATCTACATGGACGTAATCTTGTATCAAAAAGCTAATATTAATTCATTTCACTGTACTGTATTTACTAAAACCATGTAACATCACCCTAAACCACAGCAAAATGAAAGAGTAAAGACAAAGTTTGACGTTAAAGGACAGATTAATCCTCTTACAGAACTGTTGCCATCTACCATGACATGAAAGAGAGCTGTTCTGCTGCCAATTGTGTTATTAAAACAAAAACAATATCACTATTTTATAACTATTTTGCTGTTTCATTACGGATACAATAACCGAAGTGTAGACTTTGGTGGCGTCATGATTGGCAGCAAAGCAGAGCACCACTGCACACATGTCATTAAGTCTCTGCTCACGGACAGTAGATAAGACATGCTGCTTATATGACTGCATTATGTTCACAGTGCGGCAAATGAACACAAACATCCTAAATTATTCACTGCTTTCCTGTTAAATCAGCAGGTTGAGCTCGAGTTGAATAACAACATCTACAGGGATGTGTGATGTCTAATGGGTCAACTTATCACAATGGAAAATCTGATTTCAGGCTAATTTCAGAAATATCGGATCCGTTGAATCTTTATCACCAGATTAACATGAGGGTGTGATTGATTCGTAGTTTAGTACAGACATAAAGAGAGAAATTAAAGGATAAAGAAACTTAAAGTTAAGAAAAAAGAAAAAGAAATGTACATGTGTCATATTTACATGTGTACAGAATATGAAAATAAATAAGAATATTATTTATAGTGAAGCATAGTCCTCATCTTGCAAACAGTTTCACCCATTCACAGTCATGTCAGCAGAAGTGTAGTGGCAGAAAAAAGCCCAGGGTCCTTGAATTTTAGTACAGAGTAACAAAAAGCCTCCCAGTTGCTATAGTAACCATACACTCTCATGACTCTAGTGTTACTATAGTGACTTCCTCTTTCATTACAGATCTCTGGCAGGGTTCGGGGTCATAGTCATGTTGGATAGCGCGTGCTGTTAAACATCGCTTTATTTCCCCCCGGGTCGTTTGCTTTAAACGGCGTCTCTCACAGCTCTCCAAAATTAACGTTCCTTTGGTCTTTTGTCATGCAGGGTCATTCTCCCTCATTCACTGAGAAGTTATTAGCATAGCAGTCTCCAGTGCTTATTGTTTAAGAGGAACTTGGCCCGGAAATGCCCCTCCTGCTGTGTTGCGAATGTCTTTTGAAAAGTGGGCCACTGAGTGTGATTTTCCTCTCCTCTGTAGTTCATCATTCTGGTGGTGGACAGCACAGACAGAGAGCGGCTTGTCATCTCCAAAGAGGAGCTCTACAGGATGCTGGCTCATGAGGTAAAAGCAAAACTTTGTATGCTAGAGGACTGAGTGTTGATTAATCCACATTGATTTTCCACCCAAGTTAGCCATGCTTTTCACTGTTCAAAGCCCGTGGGTCAAAGGTGGCAGAGAGCGAGGTCACGGTCTCATTGTTGTCTTTGTTCTCCCCTCAGGACCTGCGGAAGGCAGCTGTGTTGATATTTGCCAATAAGCAGGATATGAAGGACTGTATGTCCGCTGCAGAGATCTCCAAATACCTCACCCTGAGCTCCATCAAAGACCACCCCTGGCACATCCAGTCCTGCTGTGCACTTACAGGAGAGGGGTGAGGGACATATGCTGGTTAAAGGGATATTCTGGCATAAAATTAAACACAACGTAACACTGAGTTAGACACCCCCTTGAGAGATGAATGTTGCCGACTGCTTGCTTCTCTAGGTATACCAACTTTAGTAACGACTGCATGATAGCAATACACAGCGGTCTGAGGAGCCATAAACAAACCTCAACCAAAACGCCACTCTATAGCCACAAATAATGCTCAGAACAGCACCTAACTTCATCAACAGTACGTATAGGGTCCCAGCCATAATACTAGCCATATATTTTCTTTAGCAAAGAGACTAAACAAACTCACCTACTGTCTTCCAGCAGCCGCTTGTTTGTAGCGAGACCTCAGGCCAGTCCATTAAGGACTGCAGCGGGGTGATGCAGCTCAATTTATGATTTATGATCATTTCTTCATGGAAATGCGATCAGACAGAGACGCTAAGGCAGAAGGACTACCATGTCTGCAGTGCAAAATGATTAATATGATGATTATTACTTCAAGAAAATGATAAATTAGTGATCATAAATGTTCTTCCTTGAGCTGTGTCAAGTTAGGTGCTGTTCTGAACATTATTTGTGGCGTTTTTGTTGAGGTTTGTGTATGGAGATGTAGAGGACTGTGTATTGCTATCGTGTGGTCGTTACTAAAGTTGGTATAACTAGAGAAGCAAGCGGTCAGCAACATTCATCTCTTGAGTGGGTGTCTAGCTTGGTGTTATGGTGTGTTTGACCATAACTTAGTTTTACGTCAGAATATCTCTTCTTGATATAAGTTTATGCTGCTGAGGCGAATATGACTCTTGCATTAACAGGAAAGAAAATCTTGTCGAGCCTCATGTACAAAGACAAACAATCTTAGATGTCAAATTTTGGTTAAAAATGACTATTTTGCCTTCACTCTACAGGCAAGACTCTTTGTGTTGTTTTTTTTATTTACAATAACAGCAAGTTTTTGGTTGTTCATTCATAGTAAATCATTCAGTGACGTGTGCAGCCCCCCAACCACACAGAGGCAAACTTATAATGAACAGCTCAGAGGCATCTTTGATCTTTATTTCACAGACGAGAGCTTGAAACAGCCACTGAATCAGGCTGCTGGAGGTTCAGTTCACCACCAGAGGGCGCTTTGTGCACCAATTTAAACCCCCCACCTCAGTTTCCTGGCATAAACAGGAAGGCAGCCTCATTAACAGTCGTATACATTTCACAAGTGTTTCCCACAGCCTGAGAAGGAACTGATATGAGTTAACTGTTTTAACATATATATAGAAGTCATTGAAACAGGCTGTAGCTGTTTGATTTTTGTAAAATTGTTCATTTTTCCATCATTTACTTACAGTTTATGCCAAGGCTTGGAGTGGATGACCTCAAGGGCTGGACTCAGATAGCCCCTCCCCTCTGCTGGTGGATGGCCTGACTACCTGCACCACCCACACGGTGGCACGGAAGCATCTCCTTTACTGGCCTATGTAACTTTTTATTTTTATTTTTTCTATGATGAATTTTAATGGACTTTGACCTCTGCAGAGAACACAGGCAGGCGCTCTACTGTTCCTGTGGAGCTGCGGTTCCCTTGCAGCGGGGGGACCAGAAAACTGACCCGGTTGTGGTGCAAGAAGTCACTTTTACATTTAAGGAGGAGACGAGAATAGAAGTCCAAGTGCAAAGCAGGGCTGCACTGGACACTCGGTATTAACACTACATACATATCATGTCACGTCACACTCGATCATATCACGAATCTGCCATAAACGCCATGTCGGTGCCCAGCTTTGAGAAATACAGTGCAGCTCTGTTACGATTATTTTTCTGTTTCTGTACGTTTGTTCAGGTGCAAATCCACAGGTCAAACAAAAGGGATGACAAGCAGTATTGTAGAACGAGTTTGATTAGAAAGGTAGCACAACACACAAAAATTAAGTTCTCTCTCTTTCTTTTCTTTTTTTTTTTTTGGTAGCACAGCCATTGATTTCTGTTACACACCATTTCAGTTCCATAAGCTACTTTGTTGGTGTTTGTTCTCACATTTAAAGGTGTCGAATATGAACCTCCCTTCTCATGAACTCTGAGCCCGTACCCGGCGAACGGTGACGAGTCAATGTCGGCATGCAAACTATAAAGAGTGAATCTGATCATTCAGCCTGATTTCAATTTAGAAGAATATTAACCAGCTGATTCATAATTTAAGAAACCGGTACAGCTCAGTTTTGATAACAGTATTTTTAATTGAAACACTATTATGTCGCAATGTTTTATGATTTTTATTTAATTTCTTTTCTTGATTTTATAGAATTTAAAGGAGAGATCTGGCATGCTGACCTATTTTTAAAGACTGCAGATCATTGGTGCTCTAGAAATATGTGTGAGACTGTCCACTGCATCACCTTAGAGGCAATTTAAAGAATATCTGGCAGCAGTTGTACTTTACTTTTAGACATATTCAACTTTACTCAAAGGGAGCCGAATGAGCCAACATCAAACATGTGCCACACATTCACAGAGAGGTATTGCTTATCAAACGTGGACTTCTTCAGCATCAACATGATTGATAATTCAGCTATCATCAGTTCTAATACTTGATCCTCAGCCTTAACCGTGCTGTCCTGAGTGTCTGGAGAATGGTTTTGACTGTCTGCTCATTGTTTTGATTTGTTTTTTAAAAACTGTTCGACCCTGTTTAAGAATTCCTTGTTAACAGATCTATGCACGTGTCACTTTGAAACCATGTTTACCATTTGCAAGCTCCCAATAAGTGGCCAAAATGGAAGAGGTGCATGAGTTTCATTGGATCAGAAGGGTGTCCATCGCGGTCAGGTGGTGTGCCTCTGGGTCTCGAGGATAAAGGGTTTAAGTATTTTTACATTTAAATAGAGGGTGCAGTCTCCAGACTCTGCAGCATTGAGGTTTACAGTGTTTACCTTGAACCTTGCTCTTTAAAAGCGAGGGAAGTAGATCATGTGCTCTGTGTGGTGGTTAACAGTCTGGATGACTCATGTACTGTATTTCACTTTTCAATAAAAGTTGGTTTTAAATTTTGACTTCATGTTTCAGTGATTTCTGCAATTTAAAAAGATTAAAACATCCTCAAAAGGCTCAGTAAATGACACTTACTCTTTAAAGCTCATATGAAGATTTTTTTAATTTTGCGTCCCCCTGTGGACAAAAGAGCCCCTGCTCGTCTTGTTTGCATGTTAAAGTGGTGATTTTTTTTTTTTTTTTGTTGACCACAACTGTTGACTTTTATGCAGTCAAATGTAGAGTCTATGGGCTCCATGCTCCAATCCACTACTTCCTGAACTTAAAGGGGTATTCCGGTGTAAAATTAAGTTGGGGTCAAACACCCCGTAACACAGAGTTAGCAACAATTATAATCATTTTGCACTGCAGAGGTGGTAGTTCTTCTGCCTTTGCATCTCGGTCTGATTGCCTTTCAATGAAGTAATGATCATAAATGTTCTTCCTTGAGCTGCGAAACTCCGCTGCACTCAGTGATCAACTTATCCAGGCTCCCCCACAAACAAATGGCTGCTGGAGGAGAGTAGGTGAGTTGTGTTTAGTCTCTGCTAAAGAAATTAGCAAAGTTAAAAATATGTTTTGTGGCTAGTACTATGGATGGGACCCTATATGTACTGTTGATGAAGTTAGGTGCTGTTCTGAGCATTATTTGTGGCTATAGAGTGGCGTTTTGGTTGAGGTTTGTTTATGGCTTCTCGGACCACTGTGTATTGCTATCGTGCGGTCGTTACTAAAGTTGGTGTAACTGGGGAAGCAAGAAATCAGCAACATTCATCTTTCAAGGGGGTGTTTAACTTTGTGTCACAGTGTATTTGACCCTAAATTAATTTTACCCCAGAATATCCCTTTAAGGCAGCTTCCTTTATTTCCTGTCTTGCAATGGACAAACTGGTTGCAGGTGTGTCTGAGAAGTCACACCTGGATTATTCAATTTGTCCAATGATGTAAGACAGGAAATAAAGGAGCGTCCGTAAATTCAAGAAGTAGTGGAGGTGTGCACAGAATACTCAAAAAAGCAATTTTGCATTTAGTTTTCTCATTATATGTCCTGTAGCATCAGAAAAATGCCATATGAACATTTGAAAAACAAGAAAAACATTATTTTTATCAGAGTGGGTCTTCAATAGGTCACTGACTGGCATTTATATGAATCTAAATTTAAGATAATTTGGGTGATTTTCTGTCATACATGAAAGAAAAAAACAAACTCGGTCTGATTCAAACAACTGTTTATTCACATCTGCAATGTATCAGCCAATTAGAGCACAAAGCAGCCAAGAAAAGTCACAGAACTCTTATCAACTTTAAGGAACATAAAGGAGCTTCTCATCTCCCTAAAAAGTAATGTAAAACAGCGTTTCACTGTATCGTTTTTTACCTCTAAAGAATACAATACATTCACTTTAATGAAGCCTTTGCACAGGAGCATTTAGCAAATAAAATCACTGGCAAGACTGACATTTAGAAATGAGCTCCTACAGGGAGAGGGTGGGAATGAGTAGTGGAAGAAAAAACACTGGATTTGAGACAAGGTAAAAAAAATTATTCTGGGATCTGAAAACAGAGACGCTGAACAGGACATCTGTAAGAAGAAGTTGATATGTTTTCTAAGCTGCAACCCCAGATGCCAACAGTTTCCTTGGCAATGCCCTACTGTCTATAACACAGACGAGCGCTATGCAGTAATAAGATTCAATAATACACATCTCAGTTATAAACGCAGCGTTAAGGTTATAAACTCAGTGCTAAAAAACTCACAGTAACGCCAATGTCACACACGACAAACAAAAACGAGCAAACGATGAGTGACGGATGAGTTCTCTGCTGATCAGTGAGTCAGTCTTATTCATCTCTTCCAATACGAGAAATCTCCATCTGCGCGTTTTCATTAATGCTGGTGTTATCTCCACTCCGCTCTTCTATGACATCACGTGCGAGAAACTGAACTCGCTTGCAGTCTTTTGGTTCGCCACTCATCCGCAGTGAGACCTTCCTTTCAAAACGTCCGTAGAGGGGTCTCTAAAAAATGCGGCGGGTGTTGAGAAGCCCGTGTGTTTTGTGTGTTTTCATGTGTGCTTGTTTGGGCTTCGAGCTTGAGGTTAAAAAAAGAAAAAACACTGAAAAATGAGAAAGCTTCAATCCTACTGCAGGGTCTCGACACAATGTCCAACCGACTCGCGGTACGTACAGTTCACTGCCAGCAGAGGAGAGGGCGTCAAACATGCATACGGTTAATGCGAGAAAATGGCTTTGGATGAGGCAGCAAAAATGTCAAAAAAACAAGAAGGTACATGAGGTGAAAAGAGGGCAGGGAGGAGGGAGGAAAGACTAGTTGTCCTTTGGCCGAGGTGAGTCTGATGTGGAGACTCACACACACAGAGCTCTGGGGAACCTATGAGAAGACAGAAAAAGAGAGAGATGAATATGAGTGGTAATAGGTCAAAAAAAGGAAAATACCAACCACTGTGTAAAGGTCCTTTCACACCAGGACCGTTTTTTTTTTCGTGCGATTATTTCGGACGTCAATATTTTTTTCAAACCCGTATCCTGTCAAAACAAGCGTTCACATTAGAGCATAACACGGGAGCGGATTTTTACTCCTGTCCCATCCCACTCCCAGAGAAAAAATCCCGTCCCGTCCCAATCCCAGACCGGAGTAAAAAAAATTAATCCTGTCCTGTCCCACTCCAGTAGAATGACTCCCACTCCCATCCCCCTCCCACTCAAAATTACTCCCACTCCTGTCCCGCTCCCATTTGAATAAAACCAAACGTGAAAAAACGTTTTTTATTGAGCATAATATGCACTGCACTTTTACCTAAAATAAAAAATTTAAGGTAAAAGTGGCAGCCGAGTCCGGAGCGGCTCTGAGTCGCTTCTCACTTCCGGTGGTGACAGGAAGTCAAACCACTGTTGTAGTTCTTTTGTGTTGCTAGCACGGTCGAGAGTGTTGGCTCTCACTGAGAGATGACTACAAAAATGGACACATCTGTCCATCTGGTTGTTTAACACGGCTGAAAATGATCATCTATTAATGTTGTTCTCGTCCCTGCCCGCTCCCATTGCTTTTTTTCCCCGTCCCATCCTGATCATGCGATTAATTAAAAAATGACTCCCGTCCCGTGGGATTCCAGCTTTTCTAGCCAATCAGAGGCGAAGGAGGCGGGACTTTCCCCGGAAAAGTCTTCCCCGGGATGCGTCTTTTTCCCCCCTGGAAAGTCGCAAAATCGCATCGGGCTTGATGTGTACAGTCAGGCGCGTCAAAATTTGCCTCTGAATATTTCGATTTCACGTTCTATATTCGCGTCGGTCCCGGTGTGTAAAGACCTTAAATCACCAGCCTTACCTGTCCTCAGTGAAGCCGTCCATTTCCTCCTCACTGTCCAGCTCCATGTCCAGCTCATTGTCAAGACAATCACGGCCGTAGCCACTTAAGACGCTGCAAGCATAAAAGATTCACAGAGGATCAGGTGGATGCTAAATAATGGGTGGACAAGTCCTTTCGAGTATCTTCTAGTATAATCCAAATTATACCGAAGTTGTCGACTGACCTGACAGAGCGACACGTGAAGAATACAATCCTCTTGAGTTTTTTGTTGTAAAAGAAGTAGTTGAAGGACCAGAGGCTTCCCTCTTCACCAAAAGGATCAGAGTCCAGATCAGGGTTGTAGCTGTAAACAATCGTCAAACCAGGTCAGAATCAAAAATTTGGCGGCATAAGAAAGAGTTTCAGGAGCAGAAATCGTGAGAGAACCTAACCTGTAAATGTCACAGCCCTGCAGGTTGATCTCTTGGTCCATGGCGTTCCAGAGCTCTGGCCCCAGAGAGTTGAAATCCTCTCCCACGGCTGAGAACAAGCTGCCATTCACTGCGTTAGCCACCTACAGAGCAAACAGTGATATAATTTATTCCTGTCGTACCCGTGTTATATAGCAGCTTCGCTTTAGGTTTAGAGCTGCAAACTAACCCAGTTGAGGCTGGGCTCTCGGCTGAACTCGTGGGCCCGAGCTGCACTGAAGTCGTAGTCGGGCCTGAAGGACTCGTTGAGCGTGGTGATGAGGTAGAAAAGAGTCTTCCTGCAACACTTGTCGCTCAGGGGGTTCTCCCCGTCCTCAATGCTCTTCCCCAGCCTGCGAAGATAACAAGAAAGAGGGAAATTAAATTTAAAGGCTCAACTTCTTTCTCACTGAAGATTAAGAGTCTTAGTCATCATTCCCTATCTGCCTTCAGATGATAACCCAAATCTGCTTATCTCTCCCTGCAGACGGCTGTACTCACTGTGAGGGGCTGGTGGCGCTGGTGGACTGAGGGGGAGACAGGGCCTCCAAGACATGGGGCTCCCCCTCCTGGCAGAACTGCTTGAACATATGTTTGTCGTCTCCTGCCATCTTGCAGGAGTAGCTCTCGATCCTGGAGGCGCAGAAACAAAGACTCTAAATGACCCTTATGATCCAGTTTATTATGTAAACAGTGAGAGACGATGGCTGTAAACTAAACAGGAGATTTTAGATTCCCATTGGACTTAAACATGCAATACTGTACTTAAGATAACTGCACTAATATTATAAAGAAACACACATAAATACAATAGAACTGTACACACTACAACAGTGACTACTGTTTGTTTTGGCATACTGTGCAGGTTTTTGATTAATCTTGATACTTGACACAAGACACTGTGTACTCTGACAAGACAGGCCCCACTCTTCCTCCGTGCAGACAGCTGACAAGAACAAGTCGATGCCAAACTTCCTACATGCTCTTTCACGTCTCTAGGTCAGACGCCCATGTACATACTGTAGATATGCAAGTGGAGCAGACGGCAGCACAGTTGTTTATTTTGCCTCCTCCCATCAAGAGTTATGCAAGAGCCCAAGGTTGTGCAACTTAAGATAGACCTGAGTGCTGAGACCCTGGCCAGCCCTCCCCGGACTAATTATAGGTACATTTGATGGCGGCGGACATTGCAATGGAAATATCTGCCCTGGTTTTCCGTCCACACACACAGCTGATCCGCAGCCAAAACACTGACACTGGAGCGGCGTGAAGATTAGCAACACTAGAGGATTATTTTTAAAACGCTACAACAGCAACAAGCTCTGTAAACAACTCTTACTAAAGCTTGGACACATATTCATCTGTATTTATTTAATGCTTTGAGTTATAACAGAAAAAGCTCTTTATCTGCTCGTTTCATACCTCAATGACCTTTACACAGACACAGAGCTGTTCTGTTCGACGCCCAAATGTGTTTCATGCAGCACGGTGTGACTTCTCCTCAGTTAAAGAGAACTGTGTCGTGCATTCAGTCTCTAAATGCCCCCTCATCAAAAGTCTTTATGTGAGGCACATTGATGGTACATTTATTTTCACTAAAAAAGCATGTGGCTGCAATGATGAGCTGTCTCACTAATCCACTAAGCAGCCTAAACACTGGCTGCTTTGGCCGCTCCAGCAACACTCGGCTATCATGCAGATTTGCTGTATGTGTTTATCTGTGCGTGTACATACAGTATGTGCCAATGGCACTTCACAGTCTCTGAAATAGCCACACAGTGGTGCGAGAGGACACTGTGCTGTGCGTCACCCTGGGTCACAACCAGCACAGAAGCTCAGTTTCAACACCCACACTGAAAACCCAACACTCAGACTCAGCTTAAATCCACAACCCACAGGCCTTTATGTAACTACACTGACACTGAAACTGAAGGCCTTATGTAACCTGAAACACCCTGGAATACTTGCTCTACTCCCAACTCAAAAACATGGACTATTAGTTAGTTATTAACTTCCAGTCTAGTCTCCTAAATGTGGTCTTGGTATCACAACGTTGCGTAACCTGCAGGTCCCTGTTTGCTCTACTACCCTTGTTTACGAACAGTGTCAGTGATCTCTGCACCAGACACACCCTGCATACACTTTCTCCTTCTTTTAAACTTCTTGCATAAGTGCAAAATAACAAAACAGTAAAAAAAGTTCTGCTGCTCGTGTTGAAGTTCCTGTTGAGCAACAAAACCTGCACTGCTCAAACCGAAGCAGCAATGCTTTTTCTCAAAACTCACCCCTGCAACCATTTCCCCTCGGCTAACACTGTTTGTGTTTGTGCAAAAATGCATGACCTACTGCAAATATTGAGAAGTGACTCAACACGTCAGCTGTTGCTGGTTCCTCTAAAAGTGCAGCTGCATATCAAGAGGGAACAGAGAAGTAGGCTCAGGTGTTGAGGCTGCAACATAATCTGAGTCAGTGACCCTCACCTGCCAAGGATGCGAGACTCCCCCATCTCAACGCACAGCCGGGAGCTGAGGGCTTCAAAGCTGGAGTTTTCCAACAGTTTCATTTTTCTCTGTAAAGAAAATGGAGAAACATTATGTCAGTTTGGCCACATCTGTAGCTTTAACTGAAGTAAAATTAATGCTTAACAATTTTCCAGAAAGCACTTTCCAAAACACGAATACTTGGTTATAGTTGGCATAAAAGTGTGCTTTAAAGTTGTCATTTAAAAAGTTTAAGATAAATGATTTTACGGTGTGTGTACTTTGGTAGAGGATGTCATGTGAATCCTGTCTGAAAACGCTGAGTGTTTTTCTGCTACAGTATTCTCTTTTATAGATGTTATAACAGCAATTTATTTCAGACAACACTGAGCTCATCCTTGGAAAATCTTGTGATCACATATTAAAGTACATGAAAGTGAAACCCCTGTTCTGTGTAAAACCCCTTGCAATTCTGGTGGGATGAGATCATGAGAATGACAGCAATCCTTAAATTTGCAAATCATGTACAATAAGACAGTGGTTCTCATCTAGTCTCACTCTGGGAACCACATTTTCCCATGGTCCTTAAGTTGTGACCCACTTTAATAGAATTCAAACCAAGCAGATTAATTTTTTATAAAAATAAAAAAAAACCTTTAAAGACAACATAAGAACGACAACTACTGAAGTTGCATTTACAGAAAATATCAAATATCTAATAAATATCGCATTAACTACTTAGTTTTATGACCAGCTGTTCGTGACCCATCCAGAACAAGTCAGCGACCCACTTTTGGGTCAAGGCCCACCAGTTGAGAACCACTGCAATAAGACAAGCCCAATCTTTGAGTCATTAAAAAAATAAACCTTTAAAAGACTCTAATCTTTAACATAAATCCACTTGTTTTATAGAGTAAAGTGCATTTCAGAGCACATGAAGGGGACAACATGAGGACGACAACTACTGAAGTTTCGTGTACAGACAATATCGTACATCTTATAAATATCGCATAAACTATCTACTTTTTTACCAGCTGTTCGTGACTCATCCAGAACGTGTCCGCGACCCTCTTTTGGGTCGGGACCCACCAGTTGAGAACCGCTGCAATAACACAATTTTAATAATACTTATCTGCCCTGTTATTTTTATTCTAATCATCTCTGTTCTCTTCCTGCACCTTTAAGAAAAAACATTACACTCAAACACAAAATTAAGTGTTATAGATATACTCTGAAGTCAGTAAACAAAAACAAGTAACGACATGATTATAACTGTGGGGCTACAGCGCCCCGTGAGGGTCAGTCTTAAGTCAAATCACAATTCCATTTTGGCGCTGCCCCTCCCCCACCCACTGAATCAAGTTGACAAATCGTCTTCCTGGTTCAGTACATCGGCAATAACGTTAAATAATTCACTCACCGAGCAATACTTTCACCTCAGGCAGAATACAAAGGGTTCAGAAGCCAATCCGTTGACTGTAGACACTCGTCTTTTCAACCAGAACGGGTTACTTAACGAATCTGAAGATTAACGACCCTGCTTTGTTGTTGACCAGCTAACGGAGAGCTAACTAGCGCTTAGCTTACTGACTACTGAATTCACAGCCGAGAAATTAATACGCACTCGTACATAAGCATCTTCCACAAGAACTCGGTCGAGGATGAGTTATTCTGAGGCCTTTTAAATTTATAGAAAAGCTGCTCTTCCCGATTAAATGCGATGAGATTAAATCCAAAGACTGTTGGCGTCCGTCGGAGTCTGTCTGCAGCGGCATCCCTTTCGACCTAATTTCACAAAGAGGTTTTGTTTAGGATAATCAAGTCGCTCTTTTCTAAGCGACTCGATCAGAAAGTAGCAACTAGCGGGCTACCCTAGCCGAATATTTCACGAAACGGTTCAGGCTCTCGGTTCTTCAACTGCGCAGCTATTCTCATCAAAACAACGGAATCTACTGTAAGGGAAAACCCAGCCCCCTTCGTTTTATATGTCCGCCTAAGCCGCGCACACCCATTTTGACCGAGCGCCCCTCTTGATTGGCTATCTCTCATGTCAGTTTGAATGACAACTGATCTGATTGGTCAAAACGTGCTCGAACATAAGAGCTATAAAATACATTTGAATAAAACGATATTTACAGTTTTATTAACGATATCTTTATGTTATACGTGTGACCTTTTCTGCTACAGCTATGAGAAAACATTTGCTGTCAGCTTGGTGTGACATAATATCTACTTTTAAACATGACAAGAAATAAATAAGAAATAGCATTGTCTTTACATATCCCTTTCTTGATTTTATTTGTACAAATGTTGAATTTTTTTTTCTGCTTTTCTTTTATTGGAAATGACTTGATACTGTGTTGAACTTTATTTTATTAAAGGTTTAGCATTGCCTCCATACTTAGTAAAAGCATAGGGATCTTTTAATATTGGAGCAAGCAGTATGTCACTGTCTATTATCTTGGCATGGTGGTCAAAAGAATAAGACATCAGCCTCCATCATGATTTTAAAATAATGTGTACAACCTGTAAATCTCCAACAATTCATAGGAGCATTTTATTGACAGATTAATGTAATGCACAAAAGTACAACCTGAATATACAGTATATAGAGTATTATCCATATGGAAGTCAGTGCTGGTTTGTCAGGTTTGTGTGATATAGTCAGAAACGTCCTCCAGGCCTGTGCTCTCATTGTCCAGGTACTCCAGGATCACATTTCCACCATTATACAGGGGAGCGTCTGGATGAGCTAGCAGCAAGAGTAAGGTGTCATCCATCCTGAGAGCTTCACCTGTCTGAGGGTGGCACAACCGCAGTTTCTGCAGATACAGTCAAAAGAGATGCATGGTTTAAGCTAAATTAGGAATAACATACAACTAGCACCAGATTTACAACTCATTGACATTTTGAGGAAAACTTGACCTGTAAAATAACTCAAAATAATGTAAATGTTAATATATGTGGAATTCTGACATTCAGGGGAGTGGTGATCTGTGAGAAAACTGCTATTCAAATGTTTTCAATTTCTGTTGCTTCGAGGCCTCTTTCTGTAAAGCTCAAACATTTTTCTTTCACTTTGCTGCATAGTTTTAATTTTCTTTAAAGCCATAGTGAACATTCTGATGTTACATTGAACTAAATGCATTGTGATTGAAATTATCAGTACTTTCAAAAGTGTGTTATCGGAATAGAGCAGAGTCCACAGCAATTGCCTCTATCTCGTAGTAACAGTCTGCTCTACCCTGACAGGTATTGTTAAATTTATATTGGGTCAGATTTATAGTCAGATATAGTGGCTGTTGGAAAAATTGTGTAACTAAATCAGCGATAAACCAAAGCAGGGACATGACACACACTTAATCGTAACAGATAAGACTCAATTTTGCTGCTTTAGAAGTTAAGTTTGCACTGATTTATTAAAAAAGAAGAGGACACCTTATTGATGACTGTAACAAATAACTGCACTATTAAGTAGTTACAGTCTAGCTCTTAATAAACTGCATGTTGTCTGTGGAAAAAAGTTAAAATATTCTAAGATATGGATGAAACTTCTTTTTAGAGATCTATTTTTTAAGGTTCATATTTTATTTAAGCCAAAGGAAGTCATTAGAGGGAATGAAAATTGTCTCAAAGAGATGCCAGTTTGACCTAGCAGTCCAACTCTCAGGCCACATGTACAAAGGCTGTGGTCCTTAAAACAGGTGGTCCAGATTAAACTTAATCCTGTGGACCTCTATCATGTGATTTCCCACACTTCCTCCTGGTTTCCTACTCTATCCACTGTCCTGTTTTCTCTATGAAAAGACTGAAAAGCCTAGAAATGAACTTAAAGAAAAAGAAGGTTATTACATTGAAAGGTGGTGGATAAAAATGTTGGAAGGGAATGACTCATTTACCTTGGCTGTGAGAACATTATTGTTGTTCTTGAGGTTGGCTAGAGAGGCTGCATAATCCACTACTTTGCCTACAGACCATTTAGAACAGAAGAACATGGGCTGGCTGGAATCGTTTGATTCTTTAGGAAGATACACCCGGAAGTAGGTTCTTTCTGTCTGAACACCAAAAACAAGTGAGAGAAAATGGTCAGTTCAATCACCAATCATACACCAGGGTAACATGCATCTTTAATATGAAGAGTAATGGTTTTGAGATATCCCACTGTCAAGGCAGGTGTATTTTTACTTGTGGCAGTCCCTTGTCTCCTGCAGCATGCAGCTTCAGTTTCATTAGTGCTACCTTGGCTGCAGTTGCACTGTTTTTTGCTCCTTTGCGTCCTTTGCTTTTGGATCCATCCTTTGACTCTGGGTAGCAACAAGAGTGTATAACAAACATAAAGTAAATGTTAATAAAATTATGCATAAAAACAGGTTTAGATGAGTTGTGGTGAAGCAGAGAAAATGAAGATAAATACTGATCCCATGTGGACGAACATGGCATAACAGAGATGCCAGATAATTAATTTGCAATACTGAGACTAACCAACAATCTTTTGAACCAGCTCCTTTGTGGCAGCCATTCGAGGCTTTTGGATCTCCAGCTTCTCACACTTGTGATCATCTTGATGACGATGGCTGTTAAGCACAATGAAAAGGAATGTGAACTCTTGAGTTGAGCAGTTTCATTGTTAGGAGTATTAATATCAAGTAAATAACAAGTGCTGTTGCTGATATAAAGAGTCATTGAAAAAGATAAAACTCTACACTTACGCCAAACAGAAATGTTTTTCACAATGTGGACAAATAACTGGTAATAATTCCTTCCCCTTGCATTCTTGAAATGTACATGGATAACTTGTGCTTCCGCCCTCAGTCTTGGGTTCCCTTTTTACAGGCTCCTAAAAAGGGAAGAGACGAACACTCAGCCAAATTGTAAACAACCGGACAGAGTCAATTTCTGGAGAGTGTGGGAAATAAAACAATATAGCATACCTCTGGACATGAATGAGCCTCTCTGCTTCTGTGCTCAAGACTGAAAAAAAGAGAAACGTGTTTTAAGATCTCAGATTTATAACATACATTACTCAACAATGAACATGTGCAACTTGATACTCTTTGGTTTCCACATCTCAGTGATGAATTTCAACATTTCTTTGCGCAGCCTCCTGAAATTTGTAGCCTGTCTGGTACAGAAATAAATGGTGGTACAACATGAATCTAATATTTACACCTCAAATATTCTTGTTGGGAAACCAACCAACTGAGACTTTGACCAAGACATGTACTTCATGAAGTGTGAACTGTAAAATTTGTGTATATTGACATATTTTCTTTATTTTCTGTCTTTACAGATGTCTTCAAGTCGAATGATCATGATTTCCTACCAGTAAACTCCACTGCAGAGGTCACAAACAAAAGGAAGAAAATCTGAATGGGAAAAAAATAAGGAACAGTGATACTAAAAACACAATAAACTCCTTGTAAAAACTCATCCAGCGAACTTTGAGACTCCTAACAGCAGAGTAATGCTAACGCTACATAGCTAACTAGCGATGCTCAAAAGTATTCGGTGTGTCTATTATTAGCTATTTACAGCGGATTATCATTAATAAAGGCAACCTTCTGTTCAGCTTTAGTGTGATAGCCAAACTTACCTTTCTGGTTGCAGGAGTCGATCTGACAATGCTTGCCAATGTCCAGTTCTGCCATTACAAAGCAGTGTGTCTGCGGATGTCAACACGAACTCTGACCCAGGAAATGACGTCAATGATAGCTACAGACATTCGAATTTAAATAAAATTGTAAAGTGAACAAAACCGTTAAAATCAATTCAGTATACAGACGAAAGTATATAATAGTCATTTCTTATTTAATAACTTTATTTAGCCAGTCACATTCTTTCAAAAGAAGGTTTACTGGTTAGTTATGTACGGTGGCTGAGAACCGCCACTGCTGCGAAAAAAAAAAGAATGCAAAAAAAAGTCTAAATGGAAGTTACCGATGCAAAAAAAGAAACTGAAGCCTGCTGCAAATAAGAAAAGAAATGGCGCAGATAAAAAAAAGAAGAAAAAAGCCACAACGGAAGTTAACTACGCGATGTTAGTTTTTTTTTCAGCAGGCTTCATTTTTTTTTTTTTTTTTTGCATTGGTAACTTCCATTGTGGCTTCTTTTTTTTTTGTACTTGCATCACCACTTTTTTTTGCGTCGTTAACTTTTGTACTGGCTTTTTAAAAATGTTTTTTTTTTTATCTGCACCGTTTCCTTTTTTTATTTGCAGCGGGCTTCAGTTAGTTTTTTTATTTTTTGCATTGGTAACTTCTGTTGTGGCTTCTTTTTTTGCATTCTTCTTTATTTGCAGCAGAGGCGGTTCTCGGCCACCGTAGAAAACTGTAACAGACGGTATTTTTCCCTCTACTAAAGTTAAATGTCAGTAAATTTGCTGTACTTTTTCGTAAGTAAACATAAGTGACTAAGCTATTTTCCATCCTTGAAAAAAAAAACGTTTTTTAGCATCAAGTGTGAGCCAGAAAAGTCAAAATAGTCAGTTTTACTGTATTTTTTCATAGGTTATGTTTTATCTGCAGGAGCATTGTCGTTAAATTTGGATATGACATCAAGATGTGATAAGTTAGTAGCTCCTACATATTTTCTTCTCTCTTGCGATACACCAGAAATGTACATAGATTGAGTTATATTTTTTTACATTGCCACTTTTTTTGTGTCGCTAACTTCCATTGTGGCTTTATTTTTATCTGCGCTGTTCCTTTTTTTTTTCTGCATTGGTAACTTCCGTTGTGACTTCTTTTCCATGCATTCTTTTTTTTGTTTGCAGCAGTGGCGGTTCTCGGCCACCGTAGTTATCTAACCTCTATCGAGAGAAACTAAAGGCTGACGTTTACAGGCGGGAGTCAAGTGTCATTACGTCACGCAGGTGTGGTGAAAGGTGCGCTCACTGGCTGTTTTGAATTGAAAGCACAAAGCCGTCGAACAGGAAAATCTGCTCCCTACACACCTACCTGTCGAATAGCTGTGAGGTATCTTAAGACCCACAGCACCGAAGGCTCTCTCATACTTTAGTTACCTGCAGGGTTTTCGTCAAAAGCAGCCTAAAAATGAGCGGGATTTCAAAATTATTCAAGGGGAAATCGAGCTCGAGCTCCTCGAGCTCTTCGAAGTCCAAACACCACCGGTCACGAGGCGGACCTTCACCTCAAGAGGCCATCCACAAACTCCGAGAGACCGAGGAAATGTTGACGAAGAAACAAGACTACCTGGAGAAGAGGATAGAGCAGGAGCTTATGATAGCCAAGAAACATGGGACCAAAAACAAGAGAGGTATGAGACTATTCTGTATGGAAATATCTGTGCACCTGTTGCCTCAGAAAATAGTCCAGATGTTACATTTCTTTCTAACATCGGACCTCTTGACAGTCAATTGAGTTTTGTAAACATCTCCCAAGTTTTCTCCCAATTTCTTAGCTGTGAATTTAAAAAGGAGAGGGCATGTGAATATTTCTCATAACCTTGAGGTCTCTAAACTAAATGCCTCACATACTTCCCTGTTTGATAAATGGCCAGTCTGTGATTGCTCTTTAATATAGTGATGATGTTTTTAAAGGATTCTTCAACAAGTCTAACAGGTTTGTTACTCGTACACTGGCACTGTTTATTTAGGCCAAGTACACAACAAAAGCATCTCATTAAACCTCAGATCTGCTGTCCTCTCTTGAGAGAAACTGCATTCAGTGTGTTTCTCTCATCTAAAACTGTGAGGTGCTGCATATCTTGTTGAATCACCTCAGACTATAAATAAGTATTGTCTTGTTAGAGGGAGGAACCTTGTGTCTTGTAGATTGTTGACGCCCTTCCCTTAGACATTCTCAACCACATGGAAACAGGTGGAGGGGACGTTGAATGTGTCAGAGTCACACGCTTCTTTCTTCGATCTCTGTGTCAGCTGCTCTGCAGGCCCTCAAGAGAAAGAAGCGTTTGGAGCAGCAGCTCACGCAGATCGATGGCACACTCTCCACAATCGAGTTTCAGAGGGAAGCTCTGGAGAACTCACACACCAACACAGAGGTCTTGAAGAACATGGGCTATGCTGCCAAGGCCATGAAGAAGGTCCATGAAAACATGTAAGATAATGGCTATAAAAACAGTAACTGATCACTTGGATGTAGTTATGTTGATACCTTTCTCCTTTTATAAACCTTAGCTTGGGTTCATTTTGAACTATATATTGCAATATTATGCCTTTTCTTTTGTTCTTGTTTAGTTCAATTGTTGGATATCAATTAAATATGGGAAAATGTTCAAATCAGGAGGTAAAAGTGTGGTGGAGAAAATCCAGGATGAGAGCTCAGGCTCCATGACGCTTGTTCAAAAAGTCGCAAGAGAATTAAACAAGAGAGACCTGAGATTTTCTTAAACCATTAGACCCCAGAGTGCTTAATTTCTCTCAAAGTGCATGACAAATGTAGCGCTTGTCAAAACAGAAATGTCCTCTCTTCTTCACCATTAGGGGTTTTTGTCCCTTTCCTTACTTGTGAGTCAGGTTTGGCCTTCAAAACAGAAAGTCATGTTTAAAAATGGTTTATTTCCTATAATGTTTAATGAATTGAAGGTGGGATAACTTTTTTCATTCAGTAAATCAAATATTGTTCGCTACCTTTCTAATGAATACACATCTCATTAATAAAGTGTTTAATGAGGTCAGTTTTGAGAGTTTGTTTAGAGGAATGTATAATGATTTTTAATCCAAACTGTCTCTTTTATCTTCTTTTGTCTTTTAGGGACCTCAACAAGATAGATGATCTGATGCAAGATATCACTGAACAACAGGATGTTGCCCAAGAGATCAGCAATGCAATCTCAGGACCATTCGGGGAGACATTTGATGAGGTTGATACCTACACACACTATCTCGTTGACATCTATTTATCATGTTCTGTTCACCACTTGGAAATCAACATCCAGCTCGACTGGGGCTGTAAGGTAAATGCATCTGGCGTCACTAAATCCTGCGTACTCTTGTGCCTTTTAGGATGAGCTGCTGGCAGAGCTGGAAGAGCTGGAGCAGGAGGACCTTGAGGACAACATGAAGAGTATGGGTGGATTACCCAGCGTGCCAAGCTCCAGATTGCCTTCTGTGCCATCCGGTCATCGTGCAAGTGAGTTTAGTGCTGCAAGAAACAAACCAAAAAGTTCAAGGCAGAGATGCCCACTTTTAAATCAAAGGAAAAATGAGCACAGACCATGAATTGTGTATATTATTATTGTGATAATGTGAAGGAATTTAATCACAGAAGCAAACAAAAGATGGGAAACAAACTAAATAAAAAGACTAAAAACAGATAAAGTAGATTGTTTTGTTTGTCTGATAAATTATTACCTCTGCAATCTCACCCAGATAAATGTTTTTCTGTCTTTTTCAGCAACCAAGAGGAGGGTTGAAGAAGAGGATGACATGCGTATGTTGCAATCGTGGGCTACCTAACTACATTAACATGAATCCTTTATTAAATGAAAGTTTCATCCTCATAAAAACTTTCTTTTTTAAACGCTTTTTTATAAATGTTGAAGGTTTCTAAGGGAAAATGAAGATTCTTTTATTACACTTTTTTGTTCCTCATACTGAAATTCCACTTTACAGATTTTGTTTATCAACTTTTAAGTGAAGGGACCCACAAGGTGCATTTTAAATTGATGTTCCCATTCTTCTTTTTTGTTCTTTTCTGCTTTCCTTTTGTAATGGCATCTTTTCCTGCTTTCAGAGTCTTAATGAAGAAATTACAATATGACTGTACTGTTTTAACATAATGAATAGAATCCTTAACTCTATTTAATAGAGCTGTAAATAAAGTTGCAAGTTGTTTTTATTGTGTAAATAAACTTCCAAATAGTCAAGAGACACATCTCTCATGTCATTTCACATGGCGTTTTCTTGATTAATGTCCTGTTTTAATGGTTATTCAAACTTTGAGTGTCTGTTGGTGGGTATTTTTATTTTATTACATTAATAATGAAATAATGGTATTTTTGCAATTGTGCTTTTTTTTAGCATTTCTTATTTTCATTTTGACTCAGCACTTTCAATTAAGTGGCATTGAGAAGAAAATAAACATTTTCTCTGCAGTTCTTGATTATTGTTGAAGAAAAGCCATAATTCTGTACAATTTGTAGGAAAAAAAGTGTGTCAGTAAACAAAATACGAACACATTACACAAATTGGTCCAAGGTTTGAGAGAATTCTGAACATACAAACCAGGCGATACTATTGACAGCGTTATCTCTGGATTGAGGGTTAAGGAAGTAGCTGTTTTACAAGCAGGAACGAAAATTACAAACGCGATGTGTGTCCTTTGCCTGAAATGAAAAGGTAAATTGCTGCGGCAGATGTGTGTCAAGTTTGCTGAAAAGTCCTTTCACTACTTCCGGTTTAAAATTGTCTTCCGTTTTATTTTGAAAGGCGTCACCGGAAGTTACTGTATCGAATGCAGCTAACTTGTCTCTGTGTCATCCGGGAGGAGGAAGTCCTTACCCGCCCAGACAGATTGAAACTTCATAAAAACCTGGATTAAGATCAAAACCCGCCATGGCCTCGAATAAAGCACACCTTACGACAGGTAAGTTTTAACTTTATCCCTCTTTAAAACTCCGATAAGCTTACTAAAAAGCCAAACAAATGGACAGTTTGCGTGTCTATTTCGACGACTGCGAAGTTAGCACATACTGTTTCCAGGCTAAACATTACCGACTAAACCGGAGTTTGACACGTTTCACTGCTATTATGTGGAAACAAGGAAGCTGAGTGATTTCCTAAGAACTTCTGGGAACTTCTTTAACCGTTAAATTTAGTGTGTGTGTTAATATATCCATAAAGTTATACACTGTAACCGCGTAAGTTAGTATAATCATTGGCAATGCGGGCCAGCCATAAGGTACAAAGTTATGTTAAGGTGCATATCGTGTCCATTTCAGGTAGTTTAAAGACTTTATTTTGCGGTGATACTTAAATTAGACCATTGTAATACGTTTTACTTGAGCCTCATTTTTATATAAGTTAGAAAACCTTACAAAGACTTTTGATAATAGTTGTTAGTTTATGAAATCGACGCCTAATTTAACAGATATAACAGTAGCATTTGACATTTAACATGTTTTCTACAGCTGAAATATCCAATAAACTACATTTAATTCTGAAGGGGGATCATGAGTCGGTAATGATCACTCTTCAGTCAGTACCTACAATGGACTGCACTGTGTACTGTATACTTAATAACAGTGGTTTGAGGTGCCCTTGGAGAGAGAAACAAAGGCAAAATAAAAACATTGCAAATGACAGTATTATGAAGCAGTCCCCTCTCATAAACTAGAATATGACCTGGATAACTTAGGCTGCTGACAAAATGGTGAGAAGATTATATTGTGAGTCCAGCTGTTGGTTTATCTGTTGAGGAAATCAAACTGTGTGTTTTTGATGTAAAGGGATGGCTGTAAAACTTGTGTTTATTTTATTTATTTATTTGGATCCCCATTAGCCACTACCTAGGTAGCAGCGACTCTTCCTGGGGTCCACAAGAAGACATTAAACAAGGGCCCGACCGATTTATTGGTGAGCTGATTAAATCGGCCAATTTTAGAACGTTTGAGACTGGTTAGTAATCGGCCCAAACTCGCCGATTTTCACCGATATTTTCAGAAATAAAATGCGGAGAATTAGATTCGGTTTCACTTCGAATATTATCCGCCATTTGAAAAGTTGCCCAAATTATCCTGTAGATGGCGCAGCGACCTCATGACAATCTTCATCCATTAATTACCCCACAGCACAGCAGAGTGACGGATCTGAAGCAGTAGTTGAAAACACTTTTCTGGTCCGAGTTTGATCAGTCGGTCTTCCTGTCGGCGTGAAGAGCAGTAGCCTACAGTATATCTACAGTATACATATTTTTACAACTTCATGAAAATTAAAAAAAAATCGGCTGATTAATCGGTAATCAGATTTTTTCCCTGTAATAATCGATATCAGCATTGGCCCCAAAAAAATCCATATCGGTCGGGCCCTACTTTAAACATTAAACAAGTCCAAACAGGAGAATTATACTATTTGTTAAAATCATAACTAAAACAAGAATTATGATGACATTACATTTCCAATTACAACAGACACCAATAAAGGCCAAGATAAATGTACTAGTAATCAAAATCCCATTGGCATGTATTGTATGTTGTCACAGCCTAGTCTAGGTGTTCTGTTTCTTATTTCAGTGAGTCTGGGTTATTAGATATTGGTATACCTTCTTTTTAAACACATGTTTACTGGTTAACCTTGTAATGACAGAAGGAAGATTCCATTTTTTCATACCTCTGAACATAACAGTACGCTGTCCAGAGTTAGAATGGGCGAGTGGAAGTGTGAAATAACCATTTAATGCATGTCTTGTGTTGAAATTATGGCAACTGAACAGCAATTGATTAAACAAAACATTTGGCCTTTTATACACTAAAATATGTCTGAAGAAGGAAAGCAGAGACAAAGTAATCCTCGCTTTACTCCATGTCAGCAGCTGAAGGCGCCACTGGACCAGACGAGGAGGCCAGAAAGAAAGCAGCAGTTGCAGCAGCTAAGGCAGCTATCCGTTTGCCTGAAATCCGTCTGGTGATGCTCGGCTGGAGGTGGCCGGGGAAGAGCCTGACAGGGAACACCATCATTGGTCGTGAGGAGTTTCGTTTGGAGCGAGCTGCCGAGTTCTGTGTTAAAAGACAGACTGAGGTGCAGGAGCGGCAGGTGAGTGTAGTGGACACTCCAGGTTGGTTCTCTGCCCAGGATACACCAGATTCCTACAAACAAGAGATAGTGAGGGGAGCGTCTCTCTGCCCTCCAGGTCCACATGCCTTCTTACTGGTTATTCCAGTAGGTATGTTCACAGAGGTGGACCGTGCTCGAATCGAGGAGCACTTGAGCCTCTTTGGTGAGCAAGTGTGGAAGCATACGATTGTGGTTTTCAGTTGGGCTGAGGTGTTGAGGACCATTTCCATTGAGAGGTACATTCGCAGGGAGGGCAAGGAGCTGCAGTGGGTGCTGGAGAAGTGCAAGCGAAGGTACTTTGTCATCAACAACTGCATATTTGGGGAGCACCCCCAGGTGGGGCGCTTGCTGGAGAAAGTGGAAAAGATGGTGGCGGAGGAAGGAGGCTACTACAACCCAGAGGAGGCGGAGAAAGAGAAGAAACCTCTGGATGAGAACCAGAATTCAGCCAGGGAGGGGAGGGAGCTGGGGGCACGGCCCAAACAGAATTCTGGACTGGGGTTGTCGAAAGCAATGGAGGTGGACTCTCTTTCCAGTGAGTATTTGTCTCAGCTCTCAAGGGAGTTAAAGATAAGTGTATAACTTTAATGCTGAATTTTATGCTGACACTCTGATGCTGCATTTACTTGTAATGCCCTCAAACGCATTTAATCCACAGTAAGTATAAAAACAGAGATAATTAGCCCAGCATAGACTAGATTTTTACAATTTTAACAATCAAGATATCAAAGTAATATATAGGGATGGTATTCTTAATTCATGGCATGGCAAGAACTTACATGTCTCAATGTTTTTGTTGACCTGTGACGATACAAAATGGCAGATATTCTAGCAAAAAAAGTGTAGTTTGGTTTAATCACAGTGGAGCATATAGGGGAGATAAGTGAGAACAACAGAGACTATATCACCTATCATCCTTTGCGCTCTGCTGACCGCCTCATATCAAATGGCGTTAATGGCAGACAAAGGCATTGTCAAAGAATGAGAAAGGATGAAAGCTTGCCAGTTAAAAAACAATATCCAGACACTGCCAGACTGCGGTGACCTACATATCAAGGAATACATGCAACATGAGAGGCCACTTGGCGAATCGACAACCTTAAAAGATTTAAGCCTCTTACCTATGAGATAGATAGGGAGCAGCACAGGAGAAAAAGAGAACAATGTTATACTGTGATTATGACTTTTTTACAAGATCCATCAGGTGAAATTCTTATGTTTTATAACACTAAGTCCACTAATATATTAATGATACTATGTTTGCTTCTAGATTAACAAGACACCCAGGCCGACGGACTGTCTTCCTGTCAACTAAAGGAACCTCTGTGCTGACAGCAGTGCATGTAATCTGACTAGAAAAATAAGGGTAATTAGTAAAATGTGCTGAATGTAAAAAGCAGTGTGCTTGATTTTATTTATTTTTTAAATCAGACATGTTTCTGAGTGTTTTCATCGTGTGCCTTCTTTATGTTGCTGTTTCTTTTCACTGTGATGATATTTGAGGCCTCTTTTTTTCATGCTGACCCAAAATAGCCTTTTGTAAAAAACAAATATCTATTTTTTGTAGGTTTCTGATAGATGGTCGTTTGATGGAACAGATTTACTGTAACTGTATTGAGACTGTTACACAGGTAGAACTTGTTTTTTAGCCTGGTGAGTCAACTCCCTGGTCAAGGGCTGCATGGTGGATGACAATGATGGAGATGCACTATTAAATTGTAATTATGATGTTCTGTCAGTGACTGTCAAGGGAATCACTATTTTAATGATTCTCACTTGTTGTGACCAAACTGTAAATGCTGTTTTCACGATGTAATGCTTATCACACTTAAAGTGTACAATCATAAAGCACTGAAAAAAAAATGATTTTGTGTCTGTGAGTGTCAGCTTTTAAAGGTGCAGTCTGTAGTACTGGGCAGAACCGATAAAAAGACAAAAGTGAAAAGCAGAAGAGAGTGGATTTTTTTATTGTTCGACATTTTTGATCGCAGAACCTCAACAATCCAAAGATCATACCTGTCATCCTTCGCTTTTCCGGCAGGAGCAGTGATCCAGAGAGTATTTCACGCTAGAATCGGACCCTTTCTTAACTGTATTTTTAAATCTCTCAGATGTTTGAGGATATTATGATCACCAATCCAATGTAGGTCCCACTCTTGTTCTAAACTATTCTTGACGCTGACACATTTTCTTAAGAACCAGCATTAACTGGCCTTCCACCCACGCACATCTGGAAGTCTTGGCAGCACTTAACCCTGTCACAGATTCACTGGTTCTCCTTTTTGGGCTATTTTTTGGTTGATGCAGATTGTGGTAAACACTCTTAAGAGCTGGAAATTTGAGGATGTCACGTCTTAGTTGTTTAGCTATTACGTTTTGACATTTTGATGCTAACAGATGCAGATAAGCCTTTCAAGCATTTAATGTGAAATGAAACGCGTTCAGTACATTTCAGGACAAGGGTGACTGGAAACCCGCTGTAAAGTTTTACTGACCTCTAGTGGTGTATGTATGCACATATGGAAACAGTGACTCAACTGTGGTCAAACGTCCTGACCTCAAAGAAGCATCTGTATATGGTTTAGACAAGAATATCTGTATCGTAGTGGCATTATCGTTGACTTGCAGCAGTATGCATGACACACTTGTCTGACTTTAAACCAGCGGCATACGTTACAGTGAAATGAGCAGCTATTCTGCAAGCAGATAACACAGCCTCAAATAGCTCATTTGCATGGGTAGGGCCACTCTGCTGAATAGAATAGAGTCAGCTGCTTTTGACATACCCTCGAACCCTCTCTGAGGCATGCAATAGTTTTTTTATAGGCCAGATGATTCAGGCCGTGTTATACCAACAATGACATTTGTACTGTTAGTGACCTGTGATGTGTGAGCGGGAAACATAACCTACATCTGCTGAGAGTTTTCAGAGACTGATATAGCTGAAAAATAGAGTGAATGTGAATTTAGAAGTAAATCTTTGTATCTACAGACATAAATGGTTGTAGCGTGGTAACAAATGTTTCTACATGTTAAATAGGCAACAATTTCAATTTAATAGAAATTTTAAAAAAAAGTTTCATTCCTGGATCATGTGATCATTCAGACTGTGCTGAAATGGACAAACTATTTGAACCACCTCCAGAATACTGGGACCCAGTCTGAACAGCTAGGATGATTTGTTATTATTATTGGTAGGTTGGGAAAGTGGCGGCATGTTTGAAAATAAAAGATCGAAGACATCGTTCTCCTTAAATCATTTTTTATTATGACAGTTTATTGCACATATATTTTTACATAAGGTTGATTTCATAAAAAAAAAAAAAAAACAGCACAGTGATTGTTTACCAACAAGTCAGCAACTGTGCATCAGTGTGTGTGTGTGCGTGAAAGGACATTTATTCAGCTGCTCCAAGTGAGTCTGAATCCCGAGGGGAGGGTAGCATACTGGGCTTGGAAAACGACAAAGACGTGATGGGAGGAGGCTGTGAACGGAGCAACGTTGGTCTCCTGAGGGAGAAAAAAAACAATAGCATAAAGAGGTGAAGATACAGAAGATCCATATAAACTTAATTTGCAGGTATTTTTCTGTATTGAATTTAAAGGTTCTCATACAAGAAGTTGGGATCGCATTATTAGACTACATACCGCTCCACAGTAAGGTCCAACAAGCCCAGAGGAGGCGTCTGGACCATCATACAGCTTCAAAAAGTTGTTCTGGCAATCTCCAGGGTCATCAATACTGATCTGAGCAAAGGTGACGGTCACCACACGACCTCTAGGTGCCCTGATACTCCATTCACAGTGGGTACCGTTGGGATAGGTGCCTGGGTAGTTGGGACTTGCGAATGAACCATGGTCCCCAAATAGAGTCCCACCACAACCTGATGAACAAATGTAAAGATTGCAACTTAGTTATTGATTGGAATCAAACCCCGTTCATACAAGAATCACTTTAGTGACCAGTTCAGTTCTGACCCTGAGGGGAGGACGTCCATGTGGCCTCGAAGCCGTCTCGAGCATTGGAGTAGTCACTCTTGAAGCGAATGTAGAGTTCATTTGATTTGGGGAAGACTGGGTTTGGCAAGGTGTTTCCGCAGTATCGATCGATCAGTGGTGAGTCTGCGGTACTACCGTTACGTATCTGTCAAAGCAAAGGAAGAATCAGAGTATTTATATCACCTGAACAGAGAATTAGCAACCAGAGAGCTGAGACGAGTCCCAAGCAGGCCATTTTTACTGATTTGGCTCCCTTATTTTTATGAAAGAAAATCTAAAATGTACATCAGGCTGTTATTTTAGCCAACAGCCTTAAGAGTTGATGGCTCTCTGGCCTCTGTTTTCTAATGCCATCTAGCATTATGTGTTGTAGTACAACTATAAACTCAAGCAAGATGTCTCCAACAAACATTGAACAAAAGTGAGCAGAGTCTAAAAAACTGTCCGTGTTACTGGATGTTTCACCTCCAGGAAGTCAAAACCACAGCTGCTGTGGCTCTCCATGTCAAAATTGTTGAAGAAGAATGAGATGTGATTGTTCTCCGGCGCCTTCAGGATGATTATGCAGTCCATGTTGTGGGGGTAGATGTCAGGCCAGCCAGGACTCTTCAGATAGCCGTATTCTTGTTCGTAGGTTCTGCTACAGCCTGGAAAACCACCAATAGCTTTATCAAAACTTAAATCTTCATGCAGTTATTCATCTTTCATCAGTGATATTTGAACTCCAAGTTAATTATTAAAATAAGAAATTAAAAAAAAACCAAACAGACAAACAGATGGGACCTCTATTTTGGCTCTGAATCTTGTCTACGAGTACTCACCAGCAATCTGAAAGGTAAAACTCAACCCATTCCCAGACATGAAGGCGTCCGATTTGAAATGAATGAGGACTGTTCTGCCATAACTGTAGAAGTCATGCGGACGACCATCTGCTGCACAGGTTTTATGTGACTGTCCATAATCTCCCTACAGCACAAGAACCACGTGAATGAATATCAGTTTCCAAACCTCAAACCGTTCATCCTTAAAAAGGTCATTTGAACTCACCACAGGCCAGTCCTTCATCTCCAGGTAGTTTGACGAACAACTCTGGCTGGACTGGAGGACAAAGGTTTGGACTGACACTTTGATGGTTTCTTGTGCAGGAGCGTCAAAGATCCACCGGCAAGAGGTGTAGGCGGGATAGGGGTTGGGGAAGTAGGGTGAGGTCAGGGTCTGGACAGTGTTTGTGGCGTTCACAGTCCCACCACAGAGTACTGAAAAAAATCAGACAGAATCATGTTTTGGACAAGAACGGTTTGACTGACAGCACAATAAGCCTGATAATAGTAGTGTGTGATGCATTTCTCCTTATTAGACAAAAATAAAGCTTTGGAAAGTGCAGAGAGAGAGAGAAGAGTCGTACATGGCATAGATCTGTAGGTTGCGTTGAAGCCTGATTTCTGGACGGAGCTGTCAGTGACAAAGTGGACGGTCAGGAAGTTTCCAGTTGATACGAAATATGAAGGGATGGTGTTTCCACAGAACGTCCCAACCAGAGGGAAATTTACATTGTCGCCATCATACACCTGATACAGACAGAGTGATATTACGGGACAAGTAGAAATCCATTTTTGTCATTTTATTATTACCATCCACTTTAATACAAGACAAAACCAAGAAGACATAGCTAACACAGTCTCTGATTATTATCTGAGAGAGATTTTCAAACAGTTCGTTGAAACACTTTGAGTCACTTACTTTGAGGTAGTCGTAGCGGCATGTAGAGGAGCTTTCAAGATCAAACGAACTGAAGGTCAGGTTGATGACTTTATTGACCGGCATCTCAATGGTCCACATGCAGTCCATCATGGTTTCATAACGCCCATCCAGGTTTGGATCTGGAGAGCCGAACATGCCCATTGGCATGGACAGATATCCGCCACATCCCTGTGCTGGACCTGCAGGTTATTAAGAAACACAAAAGCTTAGAAACCTTCTCTTCGATCAAAGTATGTATGTGTTACTGGATTACAGGTTAAATAACATCCACCTACCCAGAGTTTCAGCATAAACAGCCCTCCAACCAATGCCACTCACTGAGGCATCTGTCCTGAAGATGATGAAGAGGTGGTTGGAGGTGGAGCGCAGATCTGGTGGGAGAACTGTACCACAGAATTTTCCCAACAAAGGTGCGAGCGAGTCCTGTCCATCGTACACTGCGACGTAGTCATAACGGCAGGAAGAGGATGCTTCCAGGTGAAAGGTGTTAAACCTAAAGATACAAAGACCAGGTGTTGAGTACAGATAGATCAGTCCGTGCTCTGTAATTTTTGTTTTCCCAGTCTAAAGATTTCACTTATAGTCGCTTCAGTCTTACTTGAGATCCACCACCCTGTTTGCTTGAACCATGATGTGGTAGGTACAGTTGATGTTGTGATGATAGTTAACCATGGAAAGTGCCGGGCTGCTCACTGAACCCATAGTGCTGTTGAAGAAACCGCCGCATGCTGTGCACACACGCAAACACACATACACAGTGATCATAGTGAATTTTCACACTGACCAAAAATTTAGCTGGACTGCTACAGAAGACTAGATATGGGAAGAAGATATGGGAAAAACTTAAATTTAAATTACTGTACTCCAAAAAAGCAAGAAAGAGAAACTAAAATAGCAAAAAATATTATGTCCTTGGTGCAAAACATCTCAACTGTTTCCCAATTATGTAGCATCCAAACCCTCAAACACTCTCATTTTTATCTTAATTTACTCACCAACTCTCATGGCTTTAAATGCGCATTATTTTTCCTTTTTTTAAATATACTTACGAATAGCGTTGTACTCTGCCAAGAAACCGCCGCTGGTGACCACAGAGTCGGAGTAAAAGTTGAGTAACATTGGCCCAAATGAGGAAAAGGGACCCGGGACGTTGTCACCACACAAAGTGGCAATAGGAGATCCACTAGTGCCCAGACTGTAGATCTTCAGGCCATCGTACAGACAAGTGGAGTGTGCTAAAATAGACAAGAGGGCCATCTTTTATTTATTTATCACACAAAAAAGGTAAAAATGGGGTAATGTTGTGATCAAAATTACAGCAAACACTTGCCTTCAACCTGGAAAGTCTGGAAAGTGAGTATGACCACAGTGTTTTCTCCAACGTTGATGGTGTAGTTGCAGTTGGAGTGGTCAGGATAGTCAGCTGGATAATTTGGAGAAACGACACGACCTCTTGGGGCTGTGAAGTTTGCGCCGCATCCTGATAAAAAGAGGACAAGAGCTATTTCCACCTATACTGAAAATGCAAACAAGTCATACTGTTGACTAATCCTCTAATTACAAAAGTACCTTAACTTCTTATCATGTAATATTCCTTCTCAAATGACTTCCCAAATTAGAGCAAATACAGGTCGAGGGTAACATTCAAATAAAGCTAAAGCAAGGCCAAAGTATTAGAGCTTTAATATGAAGCTTTCTTGGTTCTTACTGGTCGTGAAAGAGGCTGAAAACCCTCTGCCAGGGGTTCCAGTTGCCTGGAATCGGCTTGTAATGATATTATACGGCGCAACGATTGGAGCCGGGGCTACTGAGCCGCAGCCCGTTGACAGCAAAGCCTCAGCATTTTCAGTCTGACCTGACCACACCTACAGGAGAATACATAGTAATTCAGTTGTTGTCCAGATAACAGGCAATAATCTGTAAATGTAATGTCACTTAATGCCATTACCTTCACAAAGCTGCTCTGGCAGTTCCCACTGCTGTCAGGAATCTGAAAATCACTGTTGTAGCTCATCTCCAGATGGTTTCCCTCGTGGGCAATGATCTGCCAGGAGCACTCCACATTAGCTGGGAAGTTTACGGGATAGTTCGGAGACTTGATTGTGCCTGTATCAGCATGGATCACTCCTCCACAGCCTGTCAGATAAACAAAATAAGTTACTGCACTGTGAGAGTAAATTAAAGGTCATCCAAACTAAATTACCAACGCAAATCTACAAATTTGTGATGAAAACCAAGAGCTCACCTTGGTCGAGCATGGCAACATAAAAGCTACACTACATACAAACATGTAAATAGATAGATGGGGTTTAGGGTGAACCTACCTGAGGAATCTGCAGACCAGGTGGCCATAAAGCCCCCCCTTGACACACTATGGTCAGCCAAGAAGACCACAGCAAGCTTGTTGGATCCTGACTTGATAGTTCCAGGGGAAGTGGCCCCACAGTACTGGCCAATGATAGGGGAGCCAGGGGAACCTCCATTGAATATAGTGACAGAGTCCCAGCCACATTGGGAGTGGGCCTCCAGGTTGAAGTAGCTGAAGGTGAGCTGCAGAGACACAAGGAAGTGGAAGAGGACATTTTCTAGAGCAGGCTATTTTTAGGTGAACTAGCTACAGTAATATCTAAACACACTTCTTCTTAGTCACAGATTTAGGTACAGACAAACATCAACACTAAAGTGAAGACTGGTCCAGCTACTCACTGTAATTGTGTGACCTGCTGGAGCCTCTAACAGCCAAGCACAGCGACTGGGGCTTGGGTACATGTTGGGGTAATTTGGACTGGATAATGCTCCTCCCTCACCGGTTTGCCATCCTCCACACTCTGCAGAGTTGTATTAAACCAACAAATAGAGTTCAGAAAAGCACCCATATTATATTCTGGCAAACCTGATTTGAGGAGGAAAGTGTCTTTCTCACCGGAGAACATGTATTTGGCTTTGAAACCCAGGTCTCCATGAGAGGCATCAGTCTGGAAATGAACCCAGAGCTCTGGGGTAAAAACCACGATTGGGACTGGGGGGATAGTCTGCCCGCAAAATTTTGCAAGCATTTCGCCATTTGCATCACCTGAGGGAAGAGCAAAAAAGATGTCTCACCCTTTCACAACATCAAAAATCCATTTACAGAAGAAGTCACACCCATCTGACCGCTGACGCTGCATCTGGAAGACAAGTGCTGTGACTTGATTATCAGTGTGCTCTGCAGCCAAAGGAGAGCTGCAACCATCAAGCTTCAGTAAGCATGCCTAGATGCTTCCTTTGCAGAGAGAAAGACCCCACTACTGAGGCTGCCATGGCTGTAGTTGCACTGCCATGATTGGCTGAAGGTCTATTGCTCTGCTGCACCAGCTCATTGTTCTCTCTGTCAAGTACCTTGGGCTGCCACTAGGGGGATGTGTAGGGCTTGTTATGAATGATCTCATTGCTCCAGAATATGGACATCTGTCTGTAATCTTTACCAATACCACTAATAACAATAAGTTTATATATTTATTTTTTCCAAACACATGAATAGTCTCCTCTTATTGCCAATGTGGAACTCACCTAAGCGAAACTGGAGGTAGTCTGACTGGCAGGTCTGGTGGTTCTCCAAGTGCAAATCTTCGATCAGCACCACAATAGAAGAATTGATGTGATGGTGGTTCCTAATCAGCCACTCGCAGTTGAGGTTGTTGCTGTAGTTGGACACGAGGTACCCTGGGGAAGTGAAATTACCTCCCGCTGAGTTGCTCAGCTCACCGCCACATTCTAAAAAGCACAAAAATAAAGTTATTTATGAGCATAAATAGATTTTCAAGACATAAACAAAAAACAGCAAAAGAGATGATGGATATCTAATTTATGATAAAAAACAGTGAAAATATTAGTATCAAAGTTTCTCAATCCAATTAATCAATTAGTTTCATTGATCATGCAGTTTTCATTTTTTAATGTTTCACTATGTAAGTGTACATTTAGTTTTATTTTAGTCTGAAACATCAAACCTGCAGGTTCATCAGAGGAGTAAGTCGCCATAAAGCCTCCATTGGACACAGAGGCGTCGGTGCGAAAGATGATGGTCATGGTGTTGCCAGAGGAGCGCACTTGTGTACCAGCTGGTACGGTACCACAGAATCGTTGTAGGCGAGGGGCGTCATCGGCTAACCCGTTTCGTACCTGGAGATAAAAGAAATAAAAAAGACGATGTGAAGCAAAAATCTCAGGATCAAGTCTTATAGAGGCAGGTTTTTCCTTTGTTTCCTTAACTAGAAAAAGTTAGTTGATATACATTGAAAAACATTAGCAGAATGAGACTCACTTCAACATAGTCGTATGCACAAGAAGTACCAGACTCTTCCAACCGCAGGTCGTTTATGGTGAGCGTTACTCTGCGTCCTGGCACCACTATCACGTCCCAGCGACACACTCGGCTGTGTGGGTACAAGTTGGGGTAGTTCGGTGAGGAAATTGTTCCAGAGGGAGCATTCAGCTCTCCTCCACAGACTGTGAGAGTAAAAACAAACAGAAAAACTCATTTTGAGAAATTATACTTTATCTAGAATCAAAAGAGAACATGTTCTCTGTGAGCCAACTGCAAATAGAGTAAAATAGATGATCCCACCTTCAACACTTGCTTCAAAAGACAGACTGAAGCCGGCTGCATTCCCGCTTGAGTCACTGACAAACTTGACATAGGCGAAACTGTCAGATGTGTCAATGGAGGCTGGAAGGTTACTGCCACAATGTCGGCCCAGCATTTGCCCTATGTGCACAAATACACACAAAGAATGAAACACACTGTCTTCAGGAACACACACACTCAGATCCTACTTTTTCTAAAGATCATCAAATCAACGTAACTTCTTATGTGGCTGAAGATCTTCTAGTTTTCTCACCTGAAGCGTTGTACTCTCTGATCTCCACGTAGTCGGCAGAGCATCCTGAAGTGGACTGCAGGTTGAAGCTCTCAAAGCTGAGGGTGAGATAGTGTCCTGTGGGACCCTCCAGGTACCATTCACAGTTGGAGCTGTCTGGATAGTTGGAGTCTGGGAAGCCGGGGCTGCGAATTGTACCGGCCTGACCAATGAATGTCCCTCCGCATGTTGCTGTTAGGGATTCAAGTTGCAAAATTAAGAAGAGCCATCAGTGTTAAGATAAATATCCAAAACAATCCTCTAACTGTGCAGAGCTGCTGTGATTTTGTGCTCACCGATGGAGAACTTTGCCTTGAAGCCTTTGTGCGTGACGCTGGTGTCAGTGCGAAACCTGAGCAGCATGGAGGAGCCTGTCGAATGTTGGGTAGATGGTCGTGTGTTGCCGCAGAGGCGCGAGATCACGTCGGCATTGGATGTAGAGCCATCACGCAGCTCCAAGTAGTCGTACATACAGCTGAGAAACACAAACATGAATACCAGTGGTTTGATGGATCATTATTAACTGCTGAGATTGGATCATGGATCACTAAGCCATGACTGTAACTGTGCCTTTTGAGGCAAGTGTGTGTTTACTGATGCCACAGAGTACTTGCAAAACAAAAGCAGACATAGAAGAGCCTTTAATACTATAAATACAAAGCCCGCAGAAAGAGACCGAGCTAACCTGCTTGTCGGCTCGATGTAGAATTCATCCTCAAAGTCAATCTGGACAGCTTCTCCATTGGGGACAGTTATCACCCATATACAGTCGATGTTCTGGGGGTAGTTCTGTGGATAGTTGGGTGATGTAATGTACCCAGGAGGATCATTATCATTGAGCTCAATGAAGCCCCCACAAGCTGTAAAACAAGAGGGGAATATATTAATATTATTACACAGTGAAATCTATATCCTCCTCATATATATGTAAGAAGGCGGGGGTTGAATGATCACATTATTGACTGTGTTGTACCTTGACTGTGAGCTTCAAAGGTCAGTTTAAAACCACTGGCTTCATTTGAGGCGTCTGATACGAAGCGTATATACATGTGATTGTCAGAGGTCTGTTGGGTAAAAGGTGGACTTGCACCACACAGTCGCCCTCCCAGTACTGGAGATGATTCATCTGGACCATTTCTGAGCTGTGGAGACAGCAGTGAAAGTTTAATGTCTCGAACAGATTTCTGGAATCCTTCATTGAAAGGAGAGACTCTGATTTAGAGAGCAAACTTTGAGGAATTTACTGCCTACCTGAAATAAAACTTCACGCTCTTCTACTTTCATACTTGGTGAGAATTGTACTAATGGTCTATGTTTAGGTGGTCTGGATTCAGTTGTGATTTACTATTGTAATAGCAATTCGTTCATCATTATTTGTTATGTGCTATATCGCATTTTTTCATACCACCGACTTATCCTCTATTTCATACATTCACACTCAGCACCTTTGTAAATATTGCACTTTGTAAATATTACTTACATACTTTATTAGCCTTTAATATTTTTTTCACATCCTTATTTCATTGTATTCTTCTAAGTACTTATTGTGTGTTTTTATCTGTACTCCTTTGAGTCAAGCGGTCCTCTCATCCAGGGCATGTCATTGCACTGTTGACCTTGTTTAACTTGCACATGACAAATAAACAAATCTTGTTTACCTCCACATAATCTCCTGAGCTGCACCCAGTCCCATAGCCTTGAACCTGGAAGGGGCTCTGGAAGGAGGCAGAAACTCTGAAGCCAGGTGTCACCATCACATGCCAGCGACAATCCAGACTAGGCTGGTAGTTTTGAGGGTAGTGGGGGCTACTAATGGTCCCTCTGTCTACATGCAGAAGGCCACCACAACCTGAAAGTCAAGTGCCATGGTTATTCTCATGATTGTTATTATTGTAGAGTGTGGCAGCAAAGTGTAGTAGCTCTACAACTAACACCCTAGCTCCTAGTTTTGTTGTCTTAACAATAGATTGCTTGTTTCTGTATGTTTGTGTAACTGAACTTCAACATGTGATGAGTGGGAGTTTGCTGCTTTAGGCCTTCAGTGACGACTTGATTTGAAAGTGTAGATATGTGCTTCTCTTGTCTATAACCTTTGGAGTAGGAGGCATTAAATCCTCGGCCGCTGACACTGCCGTCTGAGGAGAAGTGAATGTATAGTGAGTCTCCAGTTGAGTGAAGAGGTCCTGGAGGATTCCGACCACACACACTGGCGAGCACAGGGGATAGACTTGATGCACCTGAGTAATAAAAACACAAATGGGAATCAAAACGTATCCAGTAATGAAAGCAAAAAAAATCTTTACACTCAAATTCTCAAAAATAATTTTAAAACAATGGTATTTCTTTCACATGTAAGGCATGTCAAACTGGTGATTCAGTACTGCTCCAAAAACATTGCTTATGGTGTACTGCAAGGGTCAGTTTTAGGTCTGATTTTATTTTTTAATTATATGCTGCCCCTTGGCCAAATAATTCAGCACTACAAAGTCTACTATTTATTCTACTGATCTTTAAGACTTACCGTCTCTGATGACCAGGCTGTCAAAGTAGCAGTCGGGGTAGTCCTCCATATCCAATGACAAGAGGTTGAACTCTACTATTGAGTCTGGAGAGCGGATCAACCAGGTGCACTCCTGGTTTGGAGGGTAGTTCTCGGGCCAACCAGGAGAAAAAAGGAAGCCAGGAGCCTCCCCTGTCATTAGATTTCCACCACAAGCACCTGTCACAAGCACAACAGAAAGTATGACATGAAATTACATTTATTTAAATACAGCCCTCTATGTTGGGTGGATTTTGTTGAAAGCCTCAGAGGTACAAACTCTTTCTCTGACCTGGTGGGATAGTAGGTGGTGGTCCCGAGTTCTGGATGGTGGTCCATTCCACAAGGAAGCCTCTTCCTCCCACCACTGTATCCGACTGGAACTGCAAAGTGACGGTGCTTCCTGTACTTCTGATGGGAGGGGGGAGTCTCAGACCACAGAATGTCCCGAGGGGATAGTAATGAACATCGGGACCATCAAAGATCTGGATTGAGAAAGGGGTTGATGACAGAGTAGATGACACCTACCAGAGCTATCATTTCTAACACCATCATCTCACCAGATCCTCTCAGATTGACCTTTACTCGTATGTTGTGGTCATACTTTCTTATTTTGAGATGTAAAGTGGAGTGGAAAGCTAAGGCAGTTTTAGGTAGACTTTAGACTTTTGATTTATTGAAAACACCTAGAAGAAAGGAGGCTGCCCAAAGCAAAAACAACGGCACCAGGTGGAAAACAGTCATATATATGTATGTTAATGTATGCACAGAGGCACACGCTCTTACTTTAAGGTAGTCGTAGTAGCAGTCATAGAGGTCCTCTATGTCCATGTCCAAAAATCGAATCTGAACGAAGCTGTCTCCCTCCACAGTTATTGTCCAGCGGTAATGAGCATTGTTGGGGTATGTTCTGGGATACAGAGGGGATGCTATCTGGCCAGTTTCCCCCATTAAATCATTTCCATACACTAAAAGAAAACAGAATATGATATAGAATTGTTTTTCAGAGTTTTTTTCTCTCATGTTACCTTCAACAGACCCAAGAGTTTTAATTTTTCTACACATATGAACACTCACAGTGCGAAAAGGTGGCTCTAAAACCTGCTCCACTGATAGATGCATCAGAGACAAACTTAATCCACAGGATGTGACCGATCACAGAGGTGTAGTTGGAGGGGAGTGAGCTCCCACAGAAGCGACCGACAAGACTCCCAGTGGAGTTGCCCTCTCTGATCTCCAGGTAGTCATTTTGGCAGCCAGAGTTTCCCTGAAGGTGAAAGGTACTAAAGGACAAACAAGGATGCTATTATTGGTATGAAATAATGAAATATCCTAAAACAGGTCATAGATCTGCTGGCTTTTTTAGTGAATAGTATGTTGCACTTTCAAAACTAGTTATTGAAAGACGTCAGTTTCGGCTCTGGTATTGTCAGAGGCCTGTAACCTAAACCTTTTACGCTTAAGGATACTTACATAAATGACAGCTGCAGGCGGTTCCCTGGTGAGCTTTTGATGGTCCACACACACTCCACATTAGGTGGATAAGCATCGGGATAGTTAGGACTGTTAAATGCACCGTCCTCCATCACCAGATCTCCTCCACAACCTGCGCAGAAGAGATGCAAAGAGTTAGATTGCTGAAGATCCTGTGTAAGGGAGATGACTTTGTATGCCAAAGTATGGCTTACTGGAGGTGGATGCTGTGTAGGTGGCTCTGAACCCTTTCTTGGAGACAGAGCCGTCAGATATGAAGTTGACCACCATAGAGTTACTGAAGGACGTCACTGGGTGAGGTACTTCAGAGCCGCAGTAGGTGCCTGACAAAATGTGAAACATTACATAAAATTAAGGCTTAACATCATTTCATTCATAACACATATTCTGTAAGCAGTATGACTTTTACCTATGGAAGGTGCCTGGTAGTTGTCTCCATCCAGGATAGTCACAGCATCATGGGTACAGTCTGAATTGATCATCTCCAACTCAAAGTCAGTGAATGACAGGGTCACATGGTTAACTGGCCAAAGAAAGACAATTTAAAGGATTACACACACTTTTACTTCATACAGACATACAAGTGTTTACTGGTCTAAGACACAGACTACTCACATGGTTCCTGTGCTCTGATGATCCAACTACAGTTCTGGTTCGGAGGGTACTGTGCTGGGTACCGTGGCGATGCAATGGCTCCTCCTAGATTGTCTGTTGTGATTGTTGAACCACAAGCTATAGGAGACCAAAATTAAAACGACGTTAGTCTCTCATTGTTGTTCCCCGGCCTTGGATTGAAGGTACAGTGACTTTTTAGACCTCAAAGAAACCCACCCTCAGAGAAGTAAGCGCTGAAGCCACGATGGCTGCGACTGGAGTCTGACCGAAAGCGGACATAGATGGTGTTCTGTGTTGAGGTGATGGCGGGAGGACGACTGGTGCCGCACACTCTAGCAAGCAGAGGAGATGACATGGTTGGACCGTCGTAGATCTGTGTGAAGAAAAACAGATGAGCTCAGGTCTTTTTGTAGCTTTAAACCCCAACACAGTTTATGCCTCGGTGCATAAATGTTCTTCATCAGTTACTTACAGCCACATAGTCCCACACACAGCTGCTGTGAGGTTCAATGTCCAGGTCAGAGAAGTTAAAGAAGACACGGTGGTTCTGATCCACACTGATCACCCAGGAACAGTCCACATTATTGGGATAGCTGTTTGGATATGAGGGAGAGTGGATCTCCCCTGATGGAGCTGTGACGGGGCCTCCACACCCTGCAAGCAGAAAACCATTATTTTGTGCTGCTGGTGGAAAAGTGTGCAGCTTCAAGATAAAATATCAAGCTATGATTGGGCATACACTCAGAGAAGTCCACTTACCTCCCTGGACTTCAGCCCAGCTCGCATTGAAACCTCTACCGCTGACGTAGGCATCAGACTTAAAGCGCACAGTGAGCAGGTTACCAGTGCTGGAGACTTGCATTGGACTTGTTGTGGTGCTGCAGAGCTTAGCCAGCTGTGGGGCCATCAAGTCTGGGCCACCGTGGACCTAAAAGAAAGTCAAAGGGACGATTCCAATGCTGTTGCATCGAGACAAAAAGTCGTATTTTAGCCAGAGAATAATAGAGAGATGATGGATGTCTTACTTCCAGCACATCATAATTGCAGTCTTGATGGAACTCCACATCAAACTCATGGATGGTGAGAGTTATGCTGCTGCCAGCTGATGTGGTGATGTACCAGATACACTCCCTGTTTTCAGGGTACCTGTTAGGATAGTCTGGACTGTTGAAGGAGCCACTGGGACCAGAGAGATCCCCACCACAACCTGTATAAAGACACAAAAAACAGGAGGGGGCAAAAGTATTTTTATCATCCTGTTTAACGAGTTAAAAATGTCACAATCAAACATGTTTTTTTTTTCTTTAATACGACATATGCTCCAGAGTTTAGTACATGTTGAGCCCTCATCTGTAGTGTATGCTTTCTTTCTTCTTCCCATAACTATGAAGGACTTCTCCTTACCGTGTTGGTACCACATCATCTGGAAGCCGGACATTGACACTGAAGAGTCTGTTCTGAACACCACGGTTAGAGCTGAGCTTGTGGTGCCATTGGCTGGAGGTGGATTGTAGCCACAGTATGTACCAATCAGAGGAGCTTGAGTGTTTGGTCCATCATAGAGCTGGAAAACAATGAGATTTAGAGAAGGTGGCATTAAAGAATGAATTTTTTGCACAATAAATCTGACCAGGATTATGTGACAGTGTAATACCATGGATTTAAAAATCAGTCTGGATTTAAAATAATGGAAACCATCTTCATTATATCTCAAAGGCTTGTGTGTACTACTCTTTTTGGACTAACATTAACGTTGCCAGAGTACAGAAATTCTCTCAGATTTCAAATTGACAGATTTTCATGCGATAAAAAATTGCCTTGAACCAGATTCAGTTGCAGGTCCTATCAGTAAATGACTTTCCCAAAAGGATGGAAAAAGGGTGATACAAATAGTTGGATATCTGCAGCATTATTGTAAAAACAAATGGAAAACATATATCTACCAAAGCATTGCAGTGTTCATCATAAAAAACTCTTGTGTTTTACCTTATTGAAGTTGCTGAGGTACATTTACTAATTATTCTCCAAAAAGGAGAAATACAGATCATTTATAATGCTGGGAACTGGGGACCATGCAAAGTCATTTTTTATACAGTTCGAAACATTAAATTTTGACTGTCAAACAGGTTTAAAAAATGTTAAAAAGTAAACTATAAATATATACATATCATTTTACATACATACACACTGGACCTTTACGCTACTTTTGAATGGTTGATGTCTGTGTACCTTTAAATAGTCGTAGTTGCAGCTCCCGCTCTCCAGCTGGAAGGCAGTGAACGTGTAGTTGACGGTGTTTCCACCGCTGGCCTGGATGGTCCAACTGCACAGAGAGTTGGCAGGATAGTTGTTGGGAAAGTTGAGTGACTCCACCATTCCTCTGTATCGGCCCGAGATGAGAACGCCACTGCAGTCTTAAAAACAAACAACAAGATATGTTTTTGTGTTCTTTGTGTGAAGATAGAAGTATATGGAGTATTTGGACATACAGCTGCAGGAGATTCGATGTGGTCGTTATTTTGAAACATTTATCCATATTAAACTGAATGAATACAATCAGGTGAGTTTAGACTGTTTGCAGTATGTTTATATCTTAGCTTACCGGTCACGTAAGATGCAATAAAGCCTCCAGCACTGACGCTGCCGTCAGTACGCAGTTTGATGTAGAGATTATTGCTGGAAGAGTTGATGGCAGCGGGTATCTGAGTGCCACAAAGCTTGGCCAGCTCTGGAGCATTTGTGCTGTTTCCATCATACACCTGAACACTCACACAGACACGGACTCAAAATTAGTCAGACTTAAAAGTAAAAGAGGAGCTCCTCCAGATATTGACAGTGCATAAAATAAAGATAGATAATTAAAGCTGTGTTATGCATCTGCATGCAGAGGTCCAGTACTCACGGCTAAGTAGTCATATGAGCAGGATGAGCTGGACTCCAGGTGGAAATCAGAGAAAGAGAGGATGACCTGGCTGCCCTGGCTGGTCTCGATGTTCCAGTAGCACTCAGCATTAGGGTGGTAAGGCAAGGGGTAGTTAGGTGAGGAAAATCCTCCAGATGCAGTTGTCAGTGTACCTCCACAGCCTGTAATTGAGGCACAAAGGTTTACATAAGTCTGTGTGAGAGAGAGAGACAGACTGAAAGACAAAGGGAATAAGGTACAAGACCCTTACCGGTCTGTGTCCCATCCCAGTGAGCAGTGAATCCAGACCGTGTGACGCTAGAATCAGATCGGAATCTCACCCAAAGACGGTTACTATGGGATACTAAGACCGGAGGCCTCTGATTGGAACAGAATTTACCAATCAAGGGGGATGTCTCATAGCCTCCATCCCTGTAGAAGAAAGCAGAAACTCAAAAGGTTGGAGCTTAAACTGAGTAAAGTAAGGGAGAAGTGCCACCACACACAAACAACTAAAAAATGTCTAGGGAAGGCAATGTGTGCAGGGGCCCATCAAAGAAACTTCTTTCAATGTCAAGATGGCATGTATCTAAGAGATCATGAATCCATATTGTCCAAGGTTTTAACCGTGTGGGAGGCTCTTAGATTTGGGACTTTCCTTACCTGATCTCCACAAAGTCAAAGCTGCAAGAAGGAGCGGAGCCCTCCAGGTCAAAGCTGGTGAAGTTCAGCATGATCTGCAGGTTGACTTCCACGATGATCTTGAAGATACAGTCTCTGTTTGTGGGATAATAGTTCGGGTAGTTCGGTGATGTGAAGGTTCCCGTTGGGGTGGTGAAGGTCTCACCACAGTCTGATGAGAAAGACATTTAAACAGAACCCTTAGATATGGATTTAAGTTTTGCTGTGTTTTTGTCCGTTTGATGAAGGCCTTACGGACAGAATTTGTAGGACCAAGGATTTGTAATAGGTCCTCCCAAATCCATGAGCAGCTATAAAATACTCCCTCCTGAGCAGAAGCTTTTCAACCCCAGAACTAACTTTATACCCTAATCCCAACAGTTCCTTAACAGGTCCCTGGTTCCTGGGGAAAATTGAACAAAGTGTTCACTCTAGAGGGTTTAATTACACAATCATGTCGGATTATCCCACTTTTTTCTGATGGTTTCAACTAAACACCCCTCCCACTTGGGTGACTTACCTCAAAGTATCATACAGGGTGTCTTTTATTTCATATCATAGTAAATACCAAGTTTGTCATTTTGTTCCCATCTAAAAATGTCTGCTTTCTTAAACAGCCGATCTATTGTGTACCTGTGGAAGCATCGATGGAGACATAGTTGGCGGAGAATCCTTCAGACCCTAAACTTGTGTCAGTCACAAACAGCAAGGACATCTGGTTGTCTGTACTGGTGATGGATGGTGGTATTGAACGCCCACAGTACCTGCAAAATCAAAGCACATGAATACCTTCAGCCACAAACTCTGCACACTTATGTGATGATTTCGTAAAAGTACAAACAGCTGGACACGCAGATGCACATATAATGTTGTGATTCTTTTACAAGAGTGCAAGAGTTCGTTTACAAGGTTGAACTCATCACATACCTTCCAATCTTTGTTCCCGTCTGCACAGTACCATTATCATACACCTCCAGGTAATCAAAGTTACAGTTCACGTGGTACTCCAGGTTGAAGGAGTCAAATGTCAACCGAATTAGGTTGCCAGGGTCAACACTAATGTACCAGGTGCAGTTGGCTCCATGAGGGTAGTTGGTGGGGTGGCCAGGGCTTGTGATGGCGCCTGAAGGGTCGGTCAGGGTATCACCACAACCTTTTACAAAAAAAAAATGTAGAAAAATGGTCAACTTCGGAGGTTTGTAGACTTAAAAAAAAGCTGTAAAATATCTGTATATGGATATAGATTTTGACTGAATAGATTTTGGTGAGAGTTGACTCTACTTCACTGCCAAACAGTACGTTCACACACATATGTAATCCTCCTACACTCACCCTCCAAAGCAGAGCCAAAAGCTGCCTCAAAGCCATTATTGGTAACAGAAGAATCAGTCTTGAAGTAGATGTACAGAGACCTCTGAGTCGACTGAAGCCTGGGGGGAATCTCAACACCGCAAAATGTTCCCAGCAGCGGAGAACTTGATGTAGAACCGTCCCGTACCTGGAAAATGTAGGAAACATGTAGCATCTTTCGCAATCCTCTCTGCCTCTCTGAATACATGAGTCCCATACTAGTTTTTTAACTCTATCACCACATTACCAATTTATATGATCAATTTCATTGTTGAGTTGTATTTGTTTACCTCCACATAGTCGTAGCGACAGGAGCCTCCTTCAACGTCAAATGACAGGAAGTTGAGGGTGACCACATACCCCGGTGACTGGTTGATGACCCACTCACACTCCTTGTTGTGTGGATAGGCATTAGGATGGTAGGGAGAACGTATCTGCCCAGTTCCAGAGAAAATACCACCGCAAGCTGGAGAGAATGAGGATCAGTGATTGGCTAAAAGAGTAAACAGCATTAACCTGAATCTGTTGTTACTCCTTCATCATTGTGAACTTGAGCTCCTCCTTTCTACTGCCCAAGATTACCATGACATGATCCCAAAAAGTGTGTAAAATGTTGATAAAAACAGATTTTGTTGGTTTGCAAATAATTTACAGCAGCTCAGTTATCAAGCCCCTTGTCGTAAAGTTGGTTGACCATTAGTTGGAAGGTCAAAATCTTAAAACGACATATCACATGTGTTTATATGTTTGTGTAAATGTGTGGACCCTCACCAACGGTGTAAGTCGCCCTGAAACCTGCCCGGCTGACCGAGCTGTCTGACCTGAACCGAATCCAAAGGTAGTTGGAGGATGAGCGAATGGGAGCTGGCAGGGTCGTCCCACAGTACCTCCCTATCAGTGGATCGGTCTCCAGTCTTCCATCGCGAACCTTGAAGGTGAAGAAGTAAGTATGAAAAATTTCCAGTGAAGATAAAGACAAAAATACTCAAGGGTTCCTGTGGCTCCTTAAGAAAGTCTTTAATATCTAAAAACGGGGAGAGCCAGCTATATAAAGCACCCATTAGTATTCACACACTGCTGGGCACAGACAGTAGGGGCAGGATGAGGTCAGGTGTCCTGTCTAAGCACACTACAGTGGGACTGTGAGATCTTATTTTGATGTTCTTGCCATCTTTAAGATTAAGTTGCTGTCTTAAAACAGATCTTACAGAGCCCTCAGTTTGTGCAAGAACTGCAAGAACAAGAATTAGTTGAATACCTTTGTTACAATACCTTTGTTAGGATATTTATGACTGGAGCTTCAGTTGGCTTGAGGAGTGATATTTTAGGATGTTTTAGAGTGTTGGTGCAGGTGTATCTTTGAGTCAGAGTCAAGTCCTACCTCCACATAGTCAAAAGTACAGCTGCTGTGACTCTCCAGGCTCATGTGAGTAAAGTTGAGGGACACCTCCTCACCAGCCGGCAATCTGATCAGATAGATACACTGGCGGTTGTGGGCGTAGTCATTGGGCCAGTTGGGTGAAATGATGATCCCCTCACTTTCAGTGAAGGTGCCACCACAACCGGGGTCACCTAGGACACAAATTATAGTCAAGTAAGGAGTTGCACAGCTTAGAGATGAAACTTGAGTCGAAGTATCTGAAAGTAGAAGAAATAAGAGCCCCTACAACAGGAGTTTTGATGCTCAGGTTTCTATGGCAACCCAAAACATCAGATTTAGTCGATAAAAATATCTTTTGGTCTGTATATGAACTGGAGCTGCTTTGCAACTTTCACTAAAATTACTTTATATCAATAAAGACATGTTTGTGCGTTGTTTCTTACTTGGTGATGTTGTGTAGGTAATGTGGAAGCCTCGGTCAGACACACTGAAATCAGAATGGAAGTGGATCCATGCAGCGGGGCCAGTCGTCTGTAGAGGGGGAGGTGATGCAGTGCTGCAGTAACGACCCAGAACTGGATCTTCAGGTAGGAGACCATCTCGGATCTACACCATTTGGCCATGACAGAAGAAAGTTGAAAGTTGATAGGTAATCCTGTATAGTGAGCTGACAGCCCAGAGTAAAATAGCATTGCAGAGCCCAAACAGTGCCAGTGACACCCACAAAACCTGCTTCTCTGAATAGCTAACCCAGAGAGTAGTCTTAATTGGCAGATAACACCTGCAGCATCCCTCACCTCAAGGAAGTCAAAGTTACAGTCAGTGTGATGCTCCAGGCTTAAAGTTCCAAATGCAAAGGTTATGAGCAAGCCTGGCTCCACAGTCACTGTCCAGAAACAGTCTCGGTCGGGTGGATAGTTTCCAGGGTAACCAGGTGAGTTGATGTTACCATAGGGAGCAGTCAGTTCATCTCCACACACTTTGATAAAAATGAGGTTTCATTAACCACATCACAATACCGGTAATAAGAGCAGAAATAAACCCAAACCTTTTAAAACAGATCCTACAGCCTGACTCAGTGACTTAAAAAAACACTCTTACCTGGGTCCTGAGACTGCCAAGTGACTGTGAAGCCGCCACCACTGACAGAGCCGTCAGAACGAAACCAGAAATACAGAGAATTGTGGGAGCTGTGGAGTTCCTGAGGGTTGTTATGACCACAGTATTTCCCGAGCATGTGACCAGAGGCGCTGTCTCCGTCGTGAATCTGAAGGAAGTCATAGTTGCAGTTTGTGCTGCTCTCCAGATTGAAGAAGGGGAAGGTAATACGAAGGATCTAGAAAAAAAGAAACCTCTAGAATGTTAAATTACATACATGATCAGTGCAAACAAAAGCACTTTCCAAATCTTTTAGAGGTGGCTAAAACGAAAGCAAAAATACCAAAGTACTAGAGTGCTACCTGACCTATTAACCCCCCATCCCCCTAAAAAGTCCAATATGGTGTTTCCTGAGAATGCATGAAGGATGGACCGATTGATAGTGACGTTTTGACATGATTGTCATCACCATCATCTTAGAGAGAACTGACCTTGTTTGGATCTACGCGGATCACCCAAGCACAGCTGACCAGGTGATCATACTCATCATGACCCGGAGTATTGGGATAACTGAAGGAGCCAGCAGGTCCAGTAAGATAACCTCCACACTCTGGAATATGAACAATCACTTTCAGTAACACTTAACGGCATTTTCAGTCTCTCCTTCCCTCTTCCCTCCTTTCACCTCTTCACCTGCTTCACCTTATTTACATTTGCTCATTTCCCACCTTGCTGTGCGGTCTGGCAGAATGGGCCAGTCCACTGCGCAGTGCAAGCACATGTGAATCCATTGACGCCATCAGTGCAGGTGCCTCCATTCTGACAGGGGTTGCTCGAACATTCATTAATATTCTGGTCACAATTTGCCCCTTGCCAACCAGGGTTGCAATTGCAGATGTAGCCAGGAGCTGTGGTGGTTGCCTATGAAAGCAGGAGACATACACAAATTTGTTGAAACAAATGTTGAGACATCTATTCTTGTATTTCTCATAGTCTCTGAAGAATTCCTGAGAGCATTTTCATCAACACATTTCCCATCTACTCACCACACATTGTCCATTAACACAGGGGTTGTTGGTCAGACAAATGTTGCTGGTCTGGGTGCAGCCAGTTGGTCCATAGCCATTGCCTACGTATCCTGGGGGGCAGGTGCAGATCGGGAGGCTTGCTCCTAGTGAATAAAGACGTTTTGAAGGAGCAGAATCAGAATACAAATGCAAATAATATTCTCCATACACCATGTATATGCATGCATTATACGTCATATAATGCATGTGTGTTTACCTGGACTGGAAGAGCAGGTCGCCAGTGGGTGGCAGCCTCCATTGTTTGTGGCGCAGACATTGGTCTGGGTGCATGTTCTCCCATTTCCCTCATAACCTGCACGAAAATGGTAATTATCTTTGAAATCAGGTGGATGATACTTGGCTGTCTTTGGAGGATTTAGTGTTGTTTGGTGTCAGAGACATGGCGCAAACACATGGCATACAGTACAGACATGTAGCTAAGACAGATGAAAGTTGATGATTGCAGTAAAGAAACTTCATACCTGGAGGGCATGGACCACAGTGGAAGGAGCCCATGGTGTTCAGGCATTGCACCATGGGAGCCGTAGAGCAGCCACCATTGTTGGTTGAACATTCATCTACATCCTGACAACTGTAGCCATTGCCTTGCCAACCTGAGATAAAAAAGAATCATAAATGCACATATTTAGGTTTGTAGCTTCTAACTATTAGTGCATGCATCATTGCAAACTCCAGAGCCAAAGAGACGTCAATATAAAACAGAGTTTTACCAGCAGGACAGGATCCACAGTAGAAGGAGCCTTGAGTGTTGTAGCAGGGAACAATAGGGTTGGTTGAACATGGTTTGTTTGGGAGGTTACACTCGTTCACATCAGCCACACAGGCAGGGTTTCCAGCTGGAGCCTCCCAGCCTTTCTCACAAATACACTGGTATTTAGGCTGCATGTTGGAGAAGACATAAGAAGATACAAGTCACCTCTAAGTAAATTGTGGATGAACAAACAACAAATCTTTAGATTATATGCTTTAGATTATAGGCATGACAGACAGCTGTAACAGATCAATAGCTACTAAAAATGGGTGAAATGTTTGAAGCATTGATAAATTCAAGTCTTGGGTTTCTCATTCAGAGAGTAAAAACAACCTTCAGTATAAAGGTTACATTTCTTTAATTTTAAAGGTCAAGGTTAAATCTGTGTTACAGTTCGCAGACTGATTACCTGGCCAGGTGTAATCCGATCTGCGTCGATGCATGTGCCGTGTACACAAAGATCCTGTCCTGCGTTTCTGCAGTCATCGTAGCGCACACTACAGAGAGTCCCAGACCACTCTGGAGTACAAGTACAACTGCAGAGACAGAAACTTATTATCAAATCTATTTTTGAAAAAACTGTAAGCTCTCACATATTATTTATCAGGGGAATGATCAATATTTATCACATCTTTCTTAATATTGAATCAAAACCTTCAATTCACAACACCAGAGTATGGCTGGTAGTTTTACACGTACGTGAATGAACCAGGGGTGTTGACACAGGTCGCTCCGTTCTGGCAACCCTGAATTGTTCCTGAATACAGCTGACACTCGTTGGCATCTGTCGCACAGTTAGGACCCTAAACCCCACAAACAGACATTTAAACACACGTGTATACAAACATCCAGGGAGAGAAATGAGAGAAATGCATATTAGGTCAGAACTCAACCACCCAATCAGTAATTATTTTTGACTACTTGACAGAAAAATGGATTCTCATATATTGTTTCTTGTTTATATTTTAAAGATACAGGGAAACAAATGTGCTTTATGCTTATTTACTGTATACATCCACAAATTCATCCAAATTCATGAATTATAACAGCAAAACTGCAATGCATATTTTGCCAACTAGTTCAGTGGTGTTGTCAGACTCTTAAATCTCTCTGCTCGCTTTGCCACAAATACAATTCTGGTAAGCACCAGTGTGATAAATTAAGAGGGACTCACAGCCCAGTTGTTGGGACACACGCAGTGATAAGAGTTCAGTAAATTCAGACATGTTCCTCCATTCTGACAGGGATTACTGCTGCAAGACACCTTCTGGACTGTCTGGAGAGTAAAATAAGAGGAGAGAGGCATTTATTCATGACATTTTTATGTTTGAGCCATCGTAAACGACCGTCCCCTTGGATCTTACCGATTCAAGTGAAATAACTTTAGTCTCAAGTGAGGTCACCTGTAAAAAAAAAAAAAAGGGAACATACAGTTTTGTTAGTGACCATGTCCATTTTCTAATGTACAGTTGGACACACATACACACAGTGTGTCAAATCAAGTTATCTGAAAACTAAACCTAAACTGTACAGATAAAATTCATCTACTTGACTTGAGTAAAAGTTTAGCTCTAATAAGTTTTAGGAAAAAAAAGACAGGTTTGGATGTCGTACCCTTGTATCAAGCTGGTTGAGCTTGTTTGTGACGTCTGAGGGAACTCCTCCTCCATGAGTCTTAATGTCGTCAATTTCTTCTTTGTTGGTTTTGATCTGAAATCAGACATTTCACATGTTAACACTCAAATGCATGAACTCAAAATTGCCACCAAAGAAATTCATGTAACTCAACAAAGTATGCACAGTATTAATAACCCTTTAAGAACGAAGAGTAAGTGAATTTGTAAACAATGAAATTTTTTAGAAATGTTTTTTTCCAAAGTTTCAAATGACCAGAATGTGAATGAAAATATAAATAATATTGTAGCTTCGAGATGTTGTTTACCATAGATTACAATCTTGGCACTGATAAATGATTTAATGAGATTCTGAATTAACAAACATTAATTACTTTACCACAATATTCAAATTTGGACACAAAAGTGGACATAATGCCATACACCACTGCTGAATGATACCAAGTAAGAAAGCAGTATTTGCATCTTGTTTTCTTGTCCACTAAGTGACCTTTAAATAAGATAATTGCTGATTTATGCCAAATAAAGAAACACTAAAGTTTTAAATCAGATGTTGATAGTTTTCATCCTTTGAATGGGTTTTTATCTCATCTTGAACTTTGTCACTTGGTCATTTAAACTTTTCCCATCAGGAAAAAATGGTGCATTCATCTGCAGCACTTGTAAAAAAATGCTAAAGTGGTTTTGTTTTTTCCTCAAAGTTTCTTCCTCTAATTCTGATACTCAAAAACAAACACCATCTCTCCAATTCCTCATCATAACACTTAATAATCTGTGTCCATCACACAAATATGATGAAAATCCACTGGTCCATAAATCTAAATTCTTCTTTTAGTGCTGTTGTGTGACATACATCCTCCCTGATCCCGATCTTTGGTCCTCTTCAAACTGCTGAGTCTAACATGTTAATCATTCATGGTTTCATATGAGTAGCAGCAGATTGTCACTTTAAATAAATGCTGAAAGGGGTCAACATACGTGTAAAAATGAATACTTTTGGGCCTCTTAGCAAATGAGCTCAAACGTCTTCCCAGAGAAAAGGAGCACAACAATACTGATGGTGTATAACAGGTTGATATCAAAAAACGTCTAAACTTTCACTCATAACTGAAATTGGACCCTGCCAAGTCTGCAGATCTTTGAATTTTATGATATCCTCATCATGTGTTGTCATAACCGGTCACGTTGATCTTTGTTTTTCTGCAGCACAAACACAGTTTTTCATAATTTCATCAGCGTGAAGCTTACCTGACTCAGAAGCTGGGTGAGGTCTTCATTATTCACTTTGATCCGACCTGATGCCGAACTCTGGAAGCGGATCTCTTTGTTGTCACCAGTTGTGAAAACTAAGTGACCATTGTCTGACAGCATGCGGGGCCTATTGGGTCAGATCACCAAAATTACACCAACAGAATTTGTGCACATAAATGTAAGACCTGTTGTTACAGCATCACTCAACCAACATCACCCCATATATCCAAATACTTGACACACAGAACCCAAACTCACTGGTCATTGCTAATGTCCCTCTTGCTTCGATCATGTCCAGAATCCTTCAGCTCTCCTTGCAGCCCCACCAAGAAGAAAACCAGTAAAAAGTACAGCCATGACAGCCGCAGTGTCCCAGCCATAGAAACAACAATGTGTCGCCTGGACACTCCTAAAACCTCGACTGGAGTCTGAGGAGCTGCTACACTCTAATGCTCCCAGTGAAGACTTTGACCTTAAAGCCACACAATAAAGTCCAGCATCTTACCAAAGCTGGTTGACTTTATTATTTCGTGAGAATGACCCTCACATGACATTTGTAGATCAGTAACATGCTAATGAATTTGTGAGTGAACATACTTTGAAGAAACCAGAAATGTGTCAGATTGTGGAGATGGTTTTCCTCTTCACCTGTTAGCATGGAGAGTTTAAAACTAATATTTTTGTTAGTCTTCGAAAGGCGTCATGCTGATCATCAGATGCTAAACTTTTTGAAAACTTGCTGAGATTTTACTTTCTGCTAAACTTTGGAACACATAAGTTAGTTTTTCTGTTTTTGTTTTTATTTTACTGCTAATGCTTCCTCAAAAAGCTATAATTTACTCTTTTTTGGGGGTATGAAATCACTTTTATCAGGTGAAACAAATGTACTTTTCCAAGTAGAATAAAAGGCAGCATCCTGAAATTTACTGAATACATAGATTGAAACCAAACTAGGCTTATTATTCTGTGTTCAGTCGAAATAATAATCCTGGCTCAATATTACACCACGTACAAAATGCTTTTACAGCCCTTGAAAATAAATATATGTCAATTATATACTCTAATTGTGTTAGCTAACACAACCAAACTCATGCAGGAAGTTAGTGATTTCCAGAAATCATGTGAGACAGCCAATAAAGCTGACTGCTTTGCTAAGATGGGGAGGTTTTTATGATGGAAGTACCAGTATCAAGGTTGCAGGTCACTCTGGGAGAGAGGTCAAAGACCTGCCTGGAGGAGCAGGATTGTACAGTGAAGGATTTGGTATTATCAGCAACACTATAAGCAACTCAAACAAAAGTTGCTCACTCTTTGGCTTTGAATTCCTCTGATCTTAAAGTTTTCCTCATTTTTTTGTGAATTGAGCAGATGGCTGAGGTAAAGCATCCCCTTATCAGTCTGATGGTATAATGGTACAAGTATGCACAAAGTCACATCAGCAGAGGGACAGGAACTCGGTACAGGATGTGTGATCTGGGATCATTTCCAAAAACAACTGTGCATCTCACTGCAGTCCTTTGCAATGTTATGTTTTTCTGATTGCCGAAGTCTGTGAATGATACATTAGACAACTCCGGAGATGGCATTTTATTCACAGCTGATTCGGCTGTTACAGGGAAGGGTAACAAGTTCATGATCAAAGTTCCTAGACTTGCTAGATCCGGTTTAGATCACTTAAGAGAATCTACAGACTTCTTCAAACTGTTTAAGATTTATGAAACTTTTAATTTACTTGTGAAAATGAAATCAAGTCCTGCTCCAGAACCTGAATTCAGATCTGGACTATTTAGATTATTCTAGAAAGATTTAAACTTGTTTAAAAAATATTTTAAAACTATATTCTATATATAAAAATGCAAAATAAAAAAATCAACAGAATAAATAAATATGATAAATAAAGAAAAAGGGGGCTTATTCAGTTTTTTCACCCCTTTTTTCACCTTTAATATCATTACTGATATTAACTGACTGAGTTCAAATTAAGCCCAGTACTCAAACCAACACAGGATACATCTAACCATGACAGCATTAGGGAAAGGAAATCAATGTTTGCCGCCAAAATAGAAGTTCACTCGACTGCACAGTATGCAGCAGATGAAATAAATTTATCTCAGAGGCATGGAGACAGAATAATACCCCTAGGTTAGAAAAATTCCACTGGAAATACGTAGGTGACGGTAAAAATAGCAGTTTATTCATTTCACCAACCTTCTTTCTCCCTGTTTTTTTCCCTTCCTGGGATTGACAGATTTGACATGAAATCTGATTTTTTATTTTCATAAATAAAAAACAAAGTCTGCTATAAAATACAATAATGTGGGTTCAAAGGTCCCCGTAAAAATCGTGTTCAGCTGGTGTCCCATAATGACTAGTCCGTGCAATTTCAAGTCCAAAATCCTGTAGAAATGATCTTTTATCAGGACTACAATGTTCTTCTTTACGAGCTCCCAGAACTAGGAGACCATCAGCTGCAGGAGTCTTGCCACCACCACGATATTGAGACTGTTTCCAAGAACTCTGTACTGCTGCTTGGTCGCGATGTGCTTTGGAAAGGCTGAAAAATACATTTCAGAGCAAAGTGGAAAATGGGGTCAACATTTGGTTGTTTTTCGTCTCGTAGAAGATTTGAAGTAAGACTGAAACTCTAAAAAGACCAGAGGACAAACTCAAGGATTTGATTTTTTCGTACTTACAGAAGCTTTGAGGGAAACCCATCAGGTTGGCCACTTCTCTTGGAGTGAAATAACGTAGCTTCAGTTTCATCAGCTGCTGGAGTTTCTCCTCCTCAGAGTACTCTTCAAGATCTTTAAACACACTCTCCATCTGCAGACAACACAAACCCACCAGTTTCAGATTAGTTGGTACTGACAGGCTACATAGCAGCCTCTGCCACCAGTGTGCGATCATGGTGTGAATGAGAGAGTGTTACAAATAATGTAAAAGTTTAGTGGAGATACTGCTTTATCAAATATAAAATATAGATAGCCTCAGATCTAGTCCTCATACTATCTCTGAATAGAAATAATCACCTCAAACATGCCTGTACTGAAGCCAGACTCACCTCTATTTCCGTACAGGACTGCAGAACTGAGCCAGTACCCTCCACATACCGCCCATAACTATGAGTGAACAACAACATGAACCACAGCATTACTACATGATGGTTTGAACGTTTTCTCCTGTGAGATTTCCAGATTAGAGTTCGATCTAGGACACAGAGTGGGCCAGTCTTGATTGTAATCCATGTTATAAGGTGAAAATAATTGTTTTTAGATTATCTGAGCAGATTTAATCTCAGTTTGTATCACGAGTCATTGGCTCATGTGATCAAGTTAAATTACATTTACTGACATGAAGTAAAAGGCAGAATGTGAACATCTATCATAAACACATAAACCTGTTCTCCAGCACACACATACAAACGCTGATTGTCTCAAGTTTGATCAGGATGTGAGAAGACGATAAATACAGATAATGACAGCAGAAGTCGGATAAACATGGCTATTATATACCAACCCTTTAGTGAAGCAAACAGATCTTCTGCATGTGGGCCGAACGATGTCCAGAAGCAGAGCGTATCGCAGCAGCGTTTTAGGGGGAAGAAGATGGTTCTCCATGTTCACCTCCGTTTGTGGTTCAAGAAAGTCTTGGATCTGCCTGACAGACAGATCCATGTTCTGATCCTTCTTTCTCTGGGCATCCATCGGTGTCTCTAGTTTATACAGGACATTATCTCCCTGCTTGTCATCAGCAGGGGGGCAGGTTTCTTGATTGGCAGGACCGGAGACGGGGAGTTGCTCAGGGGGAGTACCTTCGACGACGGGATCATTCTGAGCAGGACGTGAGGGAGCATCTGTGATCTAGGAGAAATTGATAACCTAAAGTTTAGAAGAACATATTTCTAATGTTATAAAATGTAGAGAAACCCATCAAAGTTAAAAAAAAATAACTGCACTTGGAAAGGAACATTTTCTGTAGCTGTAGTTTACAAGACATCTGATGATCAATTAGAGAAAACAGATCTTTTGATCCCTGCCAAAAATGGATAACTAACCTTTGAAGTCATCGGTCTGCTGGACTTTTCTGTTGAAATCACAGCAATAAGGTAATAACGCAGTCTTGAATTTGGGATCCCAACCTAGAATCATGAAAATGAAAGTCATACAAACATAATTTACAGTGTAGATATAATCAAAGGTTGCTGAAAACTGAGTCTACGTACACTTGTGGGGGACATCATGATCTCCTGATAAATGTATCCGCATTCCTTAAGTGTTGTCACCAATCGTTCCCTAAAGATAAGACAACAGTTTACTGTCAACACTTACATTTATGAACTACATAATTATGATATTTTTATGATTTCATTTGGGGTGGTTCATAATCAAGGATGAGAAATAAGAAGAACCAGAAACAGTTTAATTTATCAGTTAAAAATAGTAATTAACTGTAAATGAGCAGAGATATTTTAGGGTGTTTTTACCTTGCAGTTGAGCATTCAAAGCCTTTCACGTTCTCCAGCAGGATGAAACGTGGCAGCCTGCACAACCTGGCCACACAATGTCATATAAAAGATTAAAAGAGGTGGTTAAACAGTCAAATCAACAACCAAAGAAAAAAAAAACACCTGCAAACCTTGGCAGAAGATCAAGGATGTAGAGAAAGCTCTTCGTTCTTGGGTCGGCAATATCTCCCTGAAGTCCTATCCTGTACAGAAGCAGAAAAACAGTTTCAATTAAAATTATTTAAAAAAAACAACCCTATTTATCGAATTTTTTTTTGATGTATTACCGTTCTTTAAAAGTCAAGCGCCAAAAATAGACTGTAAGCTGACAATTAGTGAGAGGTTCGACGACCTTCAGGATCTCAATCGAACAACACACATTAGACATACCTGGTAAAAGGCTGACAAGGAGGACTCATCAAGATCATGTCAAAAGATAATCTATTGAAGTCATCAAGTTGTATGCCCTGAAGAAACCACAAGACAGACAAATCATTTTCTTTTTCAATAATAGATAAGGCTTTTCTGATTCTGATTCAGAATAAGGCCATGATACAACAGAATTAAGTATGTCAAATGTACAGCACGCTGTGATAGATTTTGTTTTCATTTCAGTAAGAATAAATCATTTTAGGTGCTTCTTGACTTGTGCAGTTTGTGATTGCTGTATGCATTTCGTAGTGCATCTCATTTCTCTCTCTTAGTCCAAAGCCTCTGATGAGATGTTAAAATACATCAGTTGTGTTGCTGCCTTTAACTGCTAACAGCCATTGAAGAGATGTTGCAGTGGCCGACTTTGGTTTATTTAAAGTCTGATGTCTCTTACCTCTATAGTCTTGTTCCAGAGAGGGGTGTCTGGGAAATTGTGTTTGTAGATTTCATTGGCAGTGGTGTTTATGTCAATGGCAGCGACTACCTGGAAAGGTAAGCCACTCTCTGTGAAGAAGAACAGCGTTGGGAAGATTCTGTTACTGTCCCTTAAAAGGCTCCATGGTCAAGAAAGTGGTATTATTTATTTTGGAAGTAGATTTATCAGCCTACTTCAGTCAGAGTAAGACATAAAAACTAAGATTGTTGTGTTGTGTAGGGTACACATAAAGTGCCAACTCTTCGGAGGTGTAAACAGCTGTACGTGCAATAATGGGGTTGACACCACTTTTTACTCCAGGTGGTTTTACACGTGAACGTAGCACAAGAATTCAGGTTGCCTGTATTTGATTCAAGTGTGTGAGGCTACATGACAGCTGAGGCAGCACACATATGTAAGGTAAGGTATGTAAGTATCCTTCGTAGGGTCCTTAAATGGATAAACTTACCCTTTAAAGCATAATGCATCCCTCCTATCCCACTGTAAAGCTCGAGCACCCTTAGAGCCTCCATAGCTTCGTTTTTCTTCTTCTTCGCTTTTCCTTGGCGGTTGGCAAACAACTATATGGTGCATTATCGCCACCAGCTGATGCGGAGGAGGACTCGTGATTTTATAGGTTTTCCACTGTGACTGTGAATAGAAGTAAGTAGTGGGAAGTAGGAAGAAAGGAGTAAAATAACGTTCACCATTTTGGATACCCTTTTTTGGGTAGACCATTCATATAGATCAACACTTGAAATTTGTTCAACAGAGAATCATTAATACCAATATTTAACCAGCGATAAACATCTTTTCGAAGTAATAACTGACGTACAGCAAGTGACTGTTGGGGGCATGAAACTCTTGTGCGTTTTATTCTGAAAAGACTGACCGGAAGTTGCGCTCCTGAACTGTAGCTTGAAGCTAGTTTTAAGAAGTGAGTAGACAGGGGTGATTGCAGCAACTCGTAAGGGAATTTATCACTGTTTTTTTCAACTAAATAAAGGGTAAAAGAGTGAACATTTCCTCTGACTACTCGGACACAGTTGTCATCTCTCGAATAAAACCTGTTGTCGTCAAACTTTGGCGTGGGAGAAGACGAGCAGAGTTCAAACTGAATGGCTGAGGGCTCCTCAGGTAATGTTGACTTATGGCGTGTAAATAACTTCTCTGTGACATGTGCTTGGCCCTCTGTGCGACACTCAGGAACTGTCATTTGGGGGGATTTAGGTTAGCTGGGTCTTTTGGCTGCTAATGCCCGCTTACGCAATATTCAATCTGCTAATGTGGTCAGTTAGCCTGCAGGAGCTAACACAAGCTAACGTGAACTTTAATCTAACATTAATTTACTGACACGGTAACTGGGATATTGTGTGAACATTTCACCTCGAACTTTAGCATTTAAAACTTAAGGTGTAATGGCTTTATGTTGCTGACGGAAATGTGTCGCTGAACTTTAAAGCTAATACATTATATTACACCGGAGTTGAATTACGTCACACAACAGTAAGGTATTGACGGCGTAACTTACGCGTCAGCACGCCGTTAACGCCTGCTATTTAACATCCAAAAGATAGACTTTATATTCATTCATAGATATATGACGGCGTAACTTACGCGTCAGCACGTCCCAAAGCTAGACATTAGCATTTATTTATACATAAATGATAGATTTCTAAAAAACCAAAAGTATGAAATGGTGCTAATTTCTCCATATTTGCTAATTTTTTAAATAATGTTCATTGTCTGTATTATAAGTAGATAATATAACCAAAACATGTTATTTTGCTGTATTTTTGTTATGACTTCAGCTGTAATGCAATTGAAGGGCAATATTTTAAACCTTCTAAGGTTTACGAAGTAGGAGTTTGTCCAAAGTCACAATTTTGAAGCACAGTGGGGAGCAATAGGAATATTCTGCGTTATCAAATCAAATTATTTTGTGGGGTCAAACACATGTAACACCGAGTTAGACATCCCCTCGAGAGATGAATGTTGCAGACCGCTTGCTTCTCTAGTTATACCAACTTTAGTAGCAATACACAGTGGTTTGAGGAGCCATAAACAAACCTCAACCAAAACACCACTCTATAGCCACAAATTATGCTCAGAACAGCACCTAACTTCATCAACAGTACATATAGGGTCCCAGCCATAGCACTAGCCACCAAACATCTTATTAACTTTGCCTAATTTCTTTAGCAAAGAGACTAAACACAACTCACCTACTCTCTTCCAGCAGCCGCTCGTTTGTAGCGAGACCTTAGGCCAGTCCATTACAGACTGCAGCGGGGTGACGCAGCTTAAGGAAGAACATTTATGATCGTAATATTATGAAAATGCAATCAGACCGAGACTCTAAGGCAGAAGAACTACCACATCTGCAGTGCAAAATTGGTTGTCTAACTCTGTGTTATGGTGTGTTTGACCCTAAATTAATTTCACGCTGGAATATCCCTTTAAGTTTGAAACACTCCCTCACTCAACTCTCCTGTTGGTGAGGCAATGGTGGCCTTTGAGGATAAGAAATCTCCTATATCAACCAAAAGAGATTTTTTACAAGCAATCCATAAAGTAATTTCAACTAAACTAGACTATAATCAAAAATAGAAATCACGTCATCTCAGATATTTATGACAAAATCTACCCAAGAAGACTTCTGCTGCAGATTTCCAGGAAAAATTATTGTGGATATGAAGACTGAGGTTTGGGGTATCTGAGAGTAAAGTCCAATACACACAAACAATAATTGACAGGTGAACCAGAGGTGAAAAAAGCTGAGTCACTGTTATTGCTCTGTCTCCTTTTAAGCACATGACCTGTAGTTACGTTAAATGGAACTCACAGTTTCAGGCGTTTAATGCTGTTATTTCTATTTGCAGATCCCCCTGACTTCAACCCAGATGAGGTGTCACATAAAAAACCCCATCAGCACAAACCCAGAAGAGGCCGGCCTAGACACAACAACGACAGAAACCTGAGTAGTAGTAACAGTTATGATCCTTCTCAGCAGTATGGACACTTTCATGAGAGCTCATTTGGTCATGATTATTCAAACTATGGATTTCATCAGCACCCTCCCTACCAAGGAGAGGATGGATTTAGGAGAGGGGGTAGGGGTAGAGGGAGGAGAGAAGGGAATAGAGGAGTAAATGGGAATTATGGGGGGCCCGGCTCATGGAGGCAAAGGCCTGGAAGTGACATTGGCCCCAGCAGAGGAGTTGGGGGTCACTCAGGAGGACATCCCATGGATGGACCTGATGGACCCAACTGGCGCAGAGAAGATACAGGTAGGAATGTGGAGCATAGTAATGAAGATCAGGCTAAAAGACCGAGGAAGTTTAACCAGGAGCCAAGGAAAGGACAACAGAATGGAAGAGGTCCTCACTTCAGGGAAAGCAATAATGCAGCAGGAGGAGGTAGACGGTCAAATGACACAGAGGGAGGAAACCCTCCTTTGGAGATCAGGGAAAGAGCCCAGAGGAGCAGCAGGACTGGTCCAGACTCCCAGCATGATGATCATCAGAGGCAAACAGAAGTGAAGAAACGGCAAGGACCGATCAAGCCTCCAAAACCACTAATGCAGGAGGAAACAGAAGCTGAGAGGAGGGAGGGCAGTCAAGAAGACTCAGGCCATGGTAGACCATCTGTAGAACCCAAATCCGGACTAGGTTCAGGCAGACACACGTTTCCTCAGGCCAGAGGGGGGAGAAGAACGAGTCATCAAAACCACAGACCGCCTCAGAGGAACTGGAATAGAGCACCGGAGAGTAAGGAGACACAGACAGGTTAGACCGCAACTCTAATTAATATAAAGAATAATCTCTACTTGCTTTCAGGTCCTCTTTATTTAAACTTTTCTGGAGGAGAGTCCTCACGAGTCAAGGTCCAAAGTTTGACATTCACTTCCTCTTTAAAGCTCCAGTACTGACCTCAGGATTAGTCACTCAGCCACTTTTGACATTTCCCATCATTATTTGGTGTTTGTATCAAACATATTTGCTCACAATCAAAAATACAATATCTTTACAAGATCGATGTCACTTCAGCTCTACCTGTTTGCTGTTAAATTATGAGAAACATTTTAATCATGTTCTGTCACCTTCTATACATTGTTATTCTTTCTGGGATCTTGGGGTTAAAGATGTTAACTGTGGATGATTAGTCTGAATGACTTTGACTGCTCCTCTCCACAGGGTGTCTCATTGAGCAGCTGTCCGAGGAGAAGTACGAGTGCATGGTCTGCTGCGACATCATCCGGCTCATGGCCCCGGTGTGGAGCTGCCAGAGCTGCTACCACGTCTTCCACCTGAACTGCATCAAGAAATGGGCTCGATCTCCGGCCTCTCAGGCAGACGGTAAAAACCTCGACCAGAATAAATCAGTGAATGTAACTGAACGTTGAGCAGCTGGATCCACACTGCGGACAGTGTGACAGGAGAACAATAAATACTATTGTGGATAGACAATACCGAGTCAGTGTGAGGCTCCATTAACAAAGGCTTTGCTGCACCAACAGTGTGTTGTGATTCATCTCTGTTGTTCTCTTTGGAGTGAGTGTATTAAAAACTGTTTTTATACTAAAATACTGCTGTCTGTAGATTCAGCGGAAGGTTGGCGTTGTCCAGCCTGCCAAAACGTTGCTCTGAAACCACCAACCTCCTACACCTGCTTCTGTGGTGAGTGACTGTTTGATTATAAAACATATTTAAGAATTAATGATTGACCTATATTTTATATGAGGTTAGGTAACCGAATAAGTAGTCTTTAATAAGAATTTGATCTTTTTTTTCTGGACCATCAGTGGATAACATGTGGAAATACTCTTTTTTTTAATTCTGATTTTGATCTGCAGGTAAAGTGACAAACCCGGAGTGGCAGCGCAGCGAGATTCCTCACAGCTGTGGTGACATGTGCGGGAAGAAAAGGAGTGGCGTGGATTGCAACCACCCCTGTAATATGTGAGTTTTAAAGACCTGGAACTTTTTTTAAAAATGACTTTAAAGCGTTGTTTTTAGAGACAACTTATCGGGTAGATCTGTTACACCCTCCAGGATACCACATTGCTCATCTTAATATCTGTATGAATTACCCAAGTTTGTAATGGATCGAATTTGTCACATTAACACAAACTAAAGGCATTTCACTGGAGCTTAACCCTTAAAACTAGTGGTAATGTTCCTGTAAAATATGAGCAGAACATCAACAAAAATTACATAATTTTGTCCCATTTTTAGTGTCCTTAAATGTCATGAATCTCAGTTATTGTATTTTGATCTAAACTTTCTGTCTCTCCTCAGATTATGTCACCCTGGACCGTGTCCACAGTGTCCTGCTTTTGTAACAAAATCCTGCATCTGTGGGAAGACCAGGTATATTTTTGTCATGTTCAAGTTTCTATCTGTGAATCCAATGTACAACCCCAAATCCAAAAACATAACAACAAATCATTTAAACTCTTGGAAACACTTCAAAGGCAACATGACAAATGTTAACACTGAGTTTTATTTTGTTTTTTTAACTCACAAGAGACATGTGCGTGTATTAAATTTGGTACCAATACATCAAAAAAGTTTGGACAGGAACAACCAAACCCTCTCCCAATTGATTAGATTGATTTGATATAAAAATGGAGAGAGGTTCAACACACTATGTGACAAAGAAGTTAAACGATTAAAAACTGTCCTGTGGTCTGGTAAATTCAGCAAGATGATGCCAAACCACATTCTGCACATAATATCACAGCATGGCTCAGAAGTTGGATGTTAAACTGTCCTGCTTATCGACTTGATTTATCACCATCACATTCTGTCTTAATAACAGTGTCCTAACGTTTTCAGAATTGAGGTTGTATGTATACTATCTTTGCTATTGTGTGTTTGTGAAGTGGCTGTTCTCTGTCATACCTTTTCAGTCAGCCGATGCGCTGTGGTCAGGGTACAGTGCTGCAGTGTGACAAGGTGTGTGGTGCCTCACTAAACTGTGCTGAACACTCATGCGCCCAGGTGTGTCACAGTGGGGCGTGTCCGCCTTGCCAGCTGCAGGTTCAGCAGGGTAAGTGTTTGTACACTGACACTCCTCTTTAGGATTAACTGAGAGTCTCTAAAGCTTTAATCCTCTGACGCTGTTTTTTGTGCCATCAGTGTGCTACTGCAGCGTTACAACTCGACAAGTCCTGTGCGGCACAGATAAAGAAGGGTTTGACGGTTCGGGGCATTTCTCTTGTCAGAAAATATGTGGAAAGTAAGTCAACGATTCATCCGTTAAGGATTTTGTTTCAGTTTCCAATCAAAGTCTGACACTTTTGTTTCCTTAAGGATGTTAAACTGCCAAGCTCACCGCTGCCAGCAGCTGTGCCACCGCGGCCCGTGTCAGCCGTGTCCCCGCTCTCCGCGTCTGGTGAAGACGTGTCCCTGTGGTCAGACACTGCTGAGCAAATTGCTGGAGCTGGGCTACGCTGAGCGACGGACCTGCTCTGATGCAATACCATCTTGTGGGAAGACATGCAACCAACCTCTGGCCTGTGGCTCCAGCGGTAAGGAAGAAAAACAACATCTTAATGCTCTGCTGTAAGAAAAACGATGAAAGTTAAAAGAAAGATACAGCATTGGCTAAATGTTGTGTTTAATTTCTCTAACATTTCTGCCAGAAAATTAGACAATTTAACTGTTTTATTTAGTAATTTTAGACATTTTTTATGATGATCTTGCAGGTGATATTTACCCTGTTTGTCAGATATATTCAATAAACTTGTTCTGTTTCAGACACCATCCATCTGTGTGAGAACTTGTGCCATGAGGGCAGCTGTGGGCCGTGCTCCCTGACCTCGACTATCAGATGCAGATGCGGCTCAAAGATGCAGGTACAAAGAGAAAACATGTAGAGAATTTGTCTGCAGATTATACATTGTCAAAAGGGATTTACAACATATTTTTGTTTTGCAGGAAGTCCCATGTGCAACAATCCAGAAAGAGGGTAAGATTTAAATCTGATTGAATTGAGTAAACGAGATCAGTGCCTTTGTTTTGTGTCGTTTTAAATGCGTCTCTTTATGTTTTAGAGGAGCTTGTTTTCACCTGTGAGAGGCGCTGCAACAAGAAACGCTCCTGTGGCCGACACAAGTGTGGTGAACTTTGCTGTGTGGTGAGTATTTTACTGATTCTCTGCCAATCTCATGGTGCATGTACCAACCTAAAACATTAATTTTAAAGTAGAAAAAAGCTGCAGCTGTGGTGGTGTTGTAATTAAAAGAGATTAAACGTAGCGCACTCTCACCCATCGTGAAAAAGTACAATAACACTTGGAAAATTGTCCTCCAGAGTGTGGAGCACAAGTGTCTCCTGATCTGCGGATACAAGCTCAACTGTGGCCTCCACCGCTGCCAGGAGCCCTGTCACCGTGGCAACTGTGAGCCCTGCTGGCAGTCTAGTGAGTGCAACAGCCAAGTCTCAGAAGTCCCACACAGTTACTATGCTAAACTTTTCCAACATTTCTGTGTCATTTTTTTCTTCTTCTGTGGTATTATTTTTAGTGTTAACATCTCGGTTTCTCTTCTGTTTGCAGGTTTTGACGAGTTGACGTGTCACTGTGGGCTCACTGTCTTGTACCCTCCCATCCCCTGTGGCACAAAACCACCAGAGTGCAAAAGCATGTGCACAAGAAGACACGAGTGTGATCATCCAGGTGAAAGACTAAAACATGATTATTACTTTAATAACATTCAAGAAAGGGTTTCGCGCTGATATTTATCTCCTGTTTAGTGTTTCACAACTGCCACAGTGAGGAGAAGTGTCCACCTTGCACTTACCTCACTCAGAAATGGTGCATGGGAAATCATGAGGTAACTTCCACTGAGATAAAACGTCTAATTTTCCTCTTTTTTGTTTCTATTTTCTAACAAAGCTTATTTTCTTCTGGCCCGCAGCAACGGAGCAACATCCCCTGTCACCTGCAGGACATCTCCTGCGGCCTGACGTGTAATAAAATGCTGCCGTGTGAAATGCACCGCTGCAGGCGGATCTGCCACCGCGGCGAGTGTCTGCCAGACGGTAACTGCCAGCAGCCCTGCGTGCTGCCTCGTCCGGACTGCTCCCACCCGTGCTCCGCTCCCTGTCATAAAGGAGACAGCTGCCCTCGCACCACCTGCACCGCCAAGGTACAAAACACCGCGAATGAGAACAGCTGGACTTTAAGTAGCTGAAATATGGGTAACAACATTTGCGCAGATGGTCTTTGTTGCATCTTGTTAACCAATCATCCTCTTTTTTACGCCCCGTCTCCTAAATAATGAAGGTTATGCTCAACAGTGTACGAATATATTCTCTCTAATTATTTATTCTGGGTACACTCTGGCTTCAAGCAGCTGATGAAATCTGCTGTAATAGCCTCATAAATACCAGACCTGGATAGATTATTAACATACAAATAAGAGCTCTCAGTAAGTGATAGAATCTTATGCAAACTCAGAGCTCTAATTTGTTGTTCACAGGTGGCTCTGCAGTGCGATTGCGGTCGAAGAAAAGAAACAGTGGTCTGCATAGAGGCAGCCAGCTCATATCAGAGGTGAGTTGAACTTCTTTTGTATGAGACGTTTTCGAGTTTTAAAAGAGTAGTACAAATGTCGCTTCATGTCTGCACTTTAGGTATGCAGCTATCGCCATGGCCAGCAAGCTGTCTGACATGCAGCTGGGCGACTCTATGGACATCGGCCCGCTGCTCACGAAGAAGGAGATTAAACAAACCAGGTAGAGAAACTTGATCATTTTCCTGCACCAAAATGTAGAAGAAGAGGTGGTACTATTCAGTTAGTTTAATCACTGAAACCTTTAAAATCCATCTGCTCAAAAATGGATTTTTCTGTGGATCAATCAATCAAAGAGAGGCAGGTTTATCAATTCGCTAGATCTATCAGCTTCTCCGGATGAATCTCAGTATTCACAGTTACAAAAAATGAAGTGTGAATCCAGCGTGTTTTGCTTCCTCCAGACTTGAATGTGATGAAGAGTGCGCTACTCTGGAGAGAAACAGGCGCCTGGCAGAGGCGCTGCAGATCGACTCATCCTCCGACCCCTTCCACGTCCGCTCTACCTCCATATACAGCGACAGCCTCAAAGAGGACGCCAGGTCTGTCTCTTTCACAGTCCCTGTTTTAATCACAGTGTCTGGTTCATTTTGCCCCTGCTGTGTGTACCCCCAACTAAACAAATCTACTCTTCTATTACAGAAAAGACCCAAAGTTTGTCAACGAAGTGGAAGAGGAGCTCAAGAATCTCATAGAGCTGGTTAATAAGGTAAGATGGGGGCCTGTGATGTAGCGCTCCCTCTGGTGGCTGAGTCGTTATTGGGCAACAATGACTGAGGAGAAACTGACAAAATAGGTTTTGTTTGCAGTTAGTCGTACTGTTTGGACTCCTAAACACTCATAAACTACTAAAAGTTTCTGATACTGAAAACACTCAGAGGTAGAGTTAGAAAAACAGCAACACTTAGGTCGAAATGACAACAAGATGCACCTAAATGAATAAAATGTTACTTAAAAACTGCAGTGTGTTTGAAGGAAGTGCTGCATCCTCTACACTGAAAGATTACTCCTAACAGTCTTCTCCATATGAAAGGTTTTGGTGCATGCTATTGATGTTCATTGTTCACTTAAAGGGAGAAAACTCTCTGCTGAATAAGCTGAGTCAGTCGATGAATTGATCGCTCCAGCCGTGATCAAAATAGCTACTGGCGAAATTCCCTTTGTTTTATTGTATTAGTTTTTCCTTCAAATAATAAAACCGTAAATCTCTCTAGAAATATCAGGATTTGGTGCTTTCAGAGACAAATTATGATGATAAATGGATCTGAAGGGTTTTTGACTTTTAACACACAAAAAAGAATTGAAAAAGTCAGTTTGGGTTAAATTAGAGTTAACCATCTCCCACTGTGTTTTTTCACTGTAGGCCTAATGTCTGGTGTGGAAACAATTAGTATATTAGCTGTCAACTATTGATTTACTCATTAACTATTTTGGTTATGGTTATAATTTGTTTAATTTCCTCAGTTTTAGTGTTTTTGATGTGGATCGTTTCTTGTTTATTTACTCATCTGTGACAGTGAACCCCGAGTTTGGGAATGGTAGTGGTTAATCTTAGGATCAGAAGACACAATTTCATCTCTCACCAAGTTCTGACATCTCAAATTAAAAAACTGATTACTCCATAAGGAAAATAAATGACCAAGAAGGGTCATTTATAAGGGTAAAGCTTGGTTTTAGCTTTACTTTAACGATGATCTTCAACATGCCGTCATTTCCCTTCTATTTCCATAATAACCATAAAAATGAAGTATGATATTCTTTAAATTTCACTCAGTTTTCATCATGGAGAGTAAAATAAAACCACAAAGCTATCACAGATACTTCACATCTTTCCTCCATTGTTTACGCTTGCTTCAGCTGCGTACAGCAGTATTCTGCAGGGAAAAAAAGCTCCCTAATCAGATATTAATGAGTAATTTTACACCACAACTCACTCCTTTATTTTATTATTTTCTGACCCACTTGTTTCGTGTTCAGCTGTTTTTGAGCTTGGTCGTCTCTCCAGCAGATCTGCAGTACAGAACCAGCTGTCTGCCCGTCTGCTGTGGATCTAACAGGACAGAACTGCCTCTGTAGTAATATTCTCAGACCCAGACGAAACAAGTTAATCATTAGAAACCTCGAGAGACACTTGGAGAAATAGCCTCTGTGTTTCTTTACTTCCAGCTGTGCCTGATGTTTTGTTCCATCAGGAGTGAGGCTGCCAAGGTCACTGTCTCCTGATGTAAAGTAGTTTATATCAGCCGCTGAATCTCTCCTTTTGAACAATGAATCATGGCCTCTCGAGTCTGCTTATGAAAGGTTTTATCACATTTTCTCATGTCTGAGACTTCCTGCGTTCTGTGCAGCCTCTCTTGACTTCTTTTTCTCCTCTTCTCTTCGTGTGTGGGCCTGTACCTGCCCAAAACTGAGGTTATTAAATCTTTTCTCTGTTGATATTTTGCTGTAATAATTTCTAGCCAGAGCCTGGCAGAAAAAAAAGTGGACCCTTTTGGTGCCAGTTTTTGTTTTCCCAACCTCTTTCCTCTTAAAAAGTGCACTGTAAAAAGACCACACACACACTGTACATGGTTAAAATTATCTTTATACCCAAAGACTGTTAAAAAACATTTACATAACCACCCACTGGGTAGAGGAGCACCTTCTTGAGGCCTTCAGTATGGTGTCTGACCATTGCCATCTTTATCATCTCATTTTTATGTGAGGGTGAAGCTGTAGAGTTGAAAGATGAGCAAACATTAAGCTAGCACGGTTATAAAAAACGAGTAACGCTCAGGGATCATTAGCTAATGGGTCCAAAAGGAGGTGAGCCTTAAAGGGACAGTAACTGAAATCCTCTGGGTGAGACAAAGGTTGAGCTGAGGGGTGTCACTAACACCAGGGTGAGATGAGGAGGGCTTAAGGAAACTGAGATGAGCATGATATTGCCATTTCAAGATGGTTTGTTGTCATTTCAGAGTGTGTAAGGAGAAGAACAGGAGCAAAAGTAGACACTCAGATCCTTGTTGAAGGAAATCAGTCGTATAAAAGTGCAATAATATGTGATAAGATAACTAAGTAAGAGTATTATGGTTAAAATGTGACTAGGATATGAGTAAAAGGAGGACCAAAGAACAGCCTCCAATGTCGAAAATGAAGTTAAATGAGGATGCTGCAGTTCCTTAACTGTCCACTTGAGGCTTTATCTGATAGCCAAAGGAACCCCATTAGAGCTTATATCAAAAAGTCTATTTATTACCAACCAGATTAGGCTTGTTGTAGCTGTCTGCCAGGAGTTATAAAGGCTTCATATCAGCTCAAGTACACAGTTCTGTCAGCATTTGCATATCAGTATATCATTGTTCTTTTTAGAAACCAATGGGTGACTTCACTGACTCGTCTCCATGCTGTATACAGTCTAAAGGAAGAAGTGACCTCATTTGCACTTTCTGTAAATTTCACAGTAGCAGCATAAAAAGCAGATAATAGCATAAAAGCAGATGGCACATTTAAAAAAATAAATACTTGAAAAACAGGCAGAATAAAACAGTTATGCTTAAGCTGAAAAAATACATGATCTGTATTGAGCGCGTTCCGTATTTGCTCCATAGAGCAGTAGTGGGTATCGCATACAGGATGCACATTTGGAGCGTAGCAGCAGCGTAGTGCAGCCCCGGTCCGCTGGGCTCAGTATAGAGGAAACACCACGTTCGCAACAGATTATTTTTCCTTTCTGTGGTCTATTTCCTGCTAACTTGGATATAATTCAGTGACTGTTGAGCCTCTACTATGTGTGAAAAAGCAACATGTTTTTTAAGTTCCAGTTTTTGCAGGTTAATTTGTGTTTAATAAAGTAAACTATGTTCCTGAAACAATCTTCTCTGTGTGGATTGACGCGCATTGGGAGCGTAGAGCAGCAAAAAATAGACTTGTCGTGTATCTTTAGCAGCGCTGCTCTCGATACGATGCTGTGACAGAGCTGATACACGTCCTGTTTGCTTTGCTGCATTGATCAGGATGGCAACCTATTAGCTGCGTGATACGCGACGCTGCTTCCACGCCCCAAATACGCATCCTGTATGTTTTAGCCGTTAGTATCAGATATGGATACATGCAAGTCTGGACATCTATTTCTTGTGCCTGGTTTCCTGCAGGGAAAACAGCCAAAGAGGAGCCACTGCTTCAGACCCATGAACCGAGACCACCGCAAGATCATCCACGAGCTGGCTGAGATCTACAGCGTGGAGAGCGTGAGCTACGACAGCGAGCCCAAACGCAATGTGGTCATCACTGCCCAAAAGTAGGACTTCCTTCAAAAGCTAAATCACAGAGATACCTTTTTACGTAGAAGTCAAACAGATTTTAAAGATATTCGGATGTTCACAGGGGAAAGGCTGTCTGTCCACACTGCACCCTGACATCACTGATAGAGCGAGAGACGGCGGCGAGGGCTCCTCCTCCCATCGCTCATATCAAACAGCACAGCAGCAAGTAAGTCTGTCCTTCATCGTCACATTCAACTATATAACCTAAAGAGCTTTTATCCTGTGTCTTTTTTTGCCAATTCAGGGATTTTTACGCTTACTTTTGACTCACTGACCTCTCTCTCCTAGGCCTGCCAGTGGAAGCTGGTCCAAGGTCGTCAAAGAAGAACCTGTGATTGATTATTTTGACGTCCAGGATTGAAATCAGGCAAAACGAATCAGAGCTAAAACCTCAGGATCCTTTCACATCTACTGTACGTCTGCCAACATTTCCCAACAACCTTTTTCGTCTGCGTTCATGAGAGATTAATCAAATAAAATTATGTCTGGACATATCTCTTGGATGGGATTGCCTCTGGGGAACGCCCACACTTGGTTTGTTCAAGAGGAGGAGAAATTGAGCAAGTCAAGAGTGGAGTGCTTCCTTTTGAGTGGAGGAATAAAAGTCTGGCACAGATTCTGAAGATTGTTCTCAAAAAGCTCTTGATTGTTTGCTTTGCCTCCTTTGTATGCAGCCAGACCCTGGTTGAACCCAGCTGAATAAAAAGTCGATTTGTCAGCCTCTGAAATGTGGTATTTTTTATTTATTTGATTTAATATTTCTTCTCAAACGTTCGTGCAACACAAGAAAGTAAACTGAAAACAAACAAAAAAATATATACTACTAATAATAATGTGAACCCAACATGTCCAAAAAGGAGTAGGACGAAGGATTATGCTTAATTTAGATGTATTAATTCTTTAGATTCATTATCCATTAACTCCCCATGATAAATGTTCCCTATCTTCAGTTTGAGATTCTCTATCAGTCCTCCAGAAAACATTTTCATGTTTTGTTCTTTGTGTTGGTGTTGAGCCAAGACTTCAGTAGTAAACCTTGGAGTCTGTGGGTGGGTACAGTAAGAGTGGGCTGCACTGCGGAAAGAAAAAGCTTTGTTTGAAACACGGCTTTGACCCAGATGTTATGCTGCACTTTCTGAAAACTCTTCCTTGGGAAAACCTGAAGGCATTTTTGAGGTTAGTGCCAGACTTGCTAAGAATTGCTGTCTACTTCACAGGCACATAAAAAAAGAGGATATTATTCAGCCGGACGTTTATTGACCGTTTGTTTTGCTGATAGGTAGTTAGAGTCAGCAGTGAATTGAGTTGCTGTAGATTTGAGCCAAACATTAGCACTATTGGTATGTTTTATATTACTAGACTGTAAGCAAGAGCCCGGTGTACACACTTTAAAATTTTACGCCTTATTGCTCTTTTGTTTTTGTATTTTCATTAGTTTAAAGTGACATTTCCTCCAAATTGTGCTCGTCTTTGCATGACATTGCATTTTTTTTTTTACTTGTAGTATGTAATCAAGAATTCTGTAGATGCCACTATAAAAGTACTCTTGTATATAGGATTGTAAATTGCCAAATAGTTATTTATGCCACTACTATTCTTCATAAATCTTGTTGTGATTTAGGGTCAGAATTTAACATTTCAATTTGATTTTTACCCTTTAAAATACATCAGAATTCTGTTTTTGCATCATTATATTGCCACATATTAGCGAGTTTGGTCTTATTTATTGCGTATTTTTGCTTTTAATTTTGTCATAAATGTTTATAAAGTCTTTGCTTTTTAATGTCTGTTTGTGTTTCCTGTAGCAATGACAAAGCCTGTGCCATATTAAGGTTTTTGGCTACTTTGTGTTTGTTTTCTTCAATTTGGTAGATGTCTCTTCCACACTGCAGCTTTTTTATACTTCCTTGCTGGTTTTTTACCACTTCTTCTCTCTCACTTCTTGCTGACCGGTCATTGACTGCCAACTTGGAATTCAGGTATTGAAAATGTCCACCAAAGCTATCAGAAAATATATTTTTTGTCAACAGAGAGAGTTGAAATTAGAAACAGTAACCCTAAACTCTTTTCTATTGATTGTTTTGATCAGTGGGATTAAAGTTTCCCTTTTTTTCTTTTGTTGTCGCTGTTTTACGATCTAGGCACGGAAGACAACATTAACCTTTCCACTAACGTCTTTGCTCGTCTTTTTGCTGTTGTCTTCCGTGCCTAGATCGTAAAACAGCGGTGCACCATCATTATTGGTCCCTGGCAGCTGACTTCCATTGTAGCTTTTTTTATTTGCATCCTTTTTTTTCACAGTGGGTAACTATTTTTTTTCATCGCTACTTTATTGCGTCATTGACTTCCATTGCAGCTTTTCTTTTCTATCTGCACTGTTTCTTATTTTATTTGCAGCAGACTTCAGTTTCTTTCTTTCTTTTTTTTTTTTTTTGGCATTGTCAACTTCCATCGTGACTTCTATTGTTGCGTCATTGTCTTCAATTGCAGCTTTTTCTTTTTTTTTTCTATCTGCACTGTTTCTTATTTTATTTGCAGTGGGCTTCATTTTCTTTCTTTTTTTTTTGGCATCGTCAACTTCCATCGTGACTTTTATTTTTTTGCATCCTTTTTTTGTTGCAACAGTGTCGGTTCTCGGCCACCGTACAGCAGACCAGAAAACACTCTAAGGGGTTAAAAATTGAAGAAGAAAAAAAATCAAACCGAGAACTTGTTTACTGAAACAACCAGTTAAATTGTCAACAAGTTGTCAATAAATTGTTCGAGCTCTGTAGAAAGTGCCTCAGTAGTGTGGTGACTATAATGATGGTGCTCCTCCCCTGTTGCCTTATTTAACTGTTTTTAAGTGCTTTGTGGAGGCCTAAAATCCAAACTAAAACTCTCGGCTCTCCTTGGCAGTCTAGATTTATTTACACTTCTTTATAAATTAAGATTATTTTATTGTCATCATTCCCACTCTTTTGTACTTCCCTCTATCGGACAGTATTCTCCCCCCTCCCCAAAAAATGAGGATAATTTGATGACACTCCCTGCCACTGGTAATTTTTCATTATATCGACTCTCCAGCAGAGACCGCGCCTGCGCTCCTGCTCCCTTCCGAACGAGGCTTCACCAATCCTGGCTCTGGCTCCATCCCCGGCTCGGCGTCTCACAGGCCAGTGCTAATAAGTCGCCTAGCTGACTGTCCGGTAATGGGGAAGTGAGAGGGAGCTGCCGCTGTCTGAAGAAGCCGAGAGGAAGTTGAGGAGTGACGGGAAGCAGTGCGCCGTGCCGGACCGGACCCCTCCAACAGAGACACCTCCTACAGTTGCTGTTGTTGAGTAGCCTAAAAAAGCGCAGAGTGATGGAGAGAAAGGTATGGATGCTTATGCTACCTTGTGTTACATTAGCACGTTTGTTTTATTCCACATCACTTTGCCTCGCTCCGGATCCGCATCCACCATTGGAACTATCTTTTATATATTTTCATTATCCTCTCGTAGGCGCGTTGCCAACCGGATTAGTGCGCACTGGAGTTTTTTTTCTTGTCTAGCTGTATTTTATTGTGCATGTAGAAAAAACCCACCAGGATTATTTCCCACCTCATTGTGTGTGTTTAGGCTTATTCCGTGGTGTAGTCGCATGGTGCACATTGTATTTGAGAGGATTTCGAGCAGGGGAGTGGGATGTGGTTGAGAATATTTAAGGGGACTGTAGGCTACAGTAGCTCTCTCTCTCCTTCTCTCTCTCTCTCTCTCTCTCTCTCTCCTTCTCTCTCAGTCTGTCTGCATCATCACACAGCACACTGTATAGTTGCAGCACCTCACCCCTCCACCTCCACCTCCCACCCCTCCCCGTTTTCCAGCCGACGCAGACACCAGCGCGGCTTGTTAACCTTGACTCGTGTGGGAAACAGACACTTGAGGAGGGGATGCACGGTGAAGCCCTGTCCTCTTACCTCTTACGCATGCCTTTATTTGATTCCTCTTTTCCCCTCCCTCCCTCCTTTCTTTCCCTACTAAACCCCCCCTCCTTGCCTCATGTAGGACTCTTGGTGCCCCCCCCATAAGTGTGCAACTGTCTCCTGGATCATAGAGGAGGAAAAAGTTTGGGTTTCAGTGTGATAATCTGCAGGCATGGCTGTGGGTACACACAGCAGCAGGAGAGGAATTTGGGGTGTCCAGTTAGAGCCAGATCTACTTTTGCTGATCCAGAGGAAAATCAAATTTTTATACTCCAGCTGGAGCTCGCAGTGTTCCCCCTGCTCAGTGAGTGTTTCCTGTGCCTCAGGGAGAAGCCCGTAATCTCAATATTAACAGTCGTTTCTCTTTGTTATAATCTGACATTATTCCTGAGAGTTAGAAGAGAGGATTTTTAACACTCTTATGCTTCAACCAGCAGACACTTATCCTAAAAACTGGAAACACAAAGCAGCTAACCCGGTGTAATTATTGCCAATTCGTACACAAATATATTTCATTAATTAGTTTTTAAATCAAATGTCAAAAAATCTGTTGTGAGGATTTCATGTCGCCACCAGCTGTAGACGACCCCTCCCAGTTAGTCTTAACAGTCAATCTAGATTTACGTTTAGTGTAAAGGCCTTCAATTTACACATCGAAGCACATGAGGGGAAAAATACTGAAATGTTTTATCATTTTGGAGTTTGTTTCCGTTGAGCTGCTCGCATTAGCTCAGGGCCAGGACGATATGCTTTTCTCCCAATTCGATTTTTTGGATGCCAATTTCGATGATATTGTTGATTTTCTCTTTATTCAAGGTCCTTACACACTGTGAGCGTTTTTTACGTGCGATTATTTCGGACGTCGATATTTTTTCCGAATCTGTATCCTATTAATACAAGCCTTCACATCAGCGACGTTTCCCGTCCTGTGATATTGCGGCATTTATTTTTTCGTATCACGGTCAAATTTTCTAAAGTTTCACATACTGTGTGTCCACTTCTGACCAATCACATTTCATGTAGTTGCGACGTCAGATTCACGGTTTATCCAACATGGCCGACCAGCTGATTGTTTACGTGTCGGAGAGCAGAGTACTTTTTGATGAAAAACACAAATATTACAAAGATAACGACCTAAAGGGTTAAGGTTAGGGCTCGTCTTTTTTCCCCTTCGAAAGTTGCAAAATCGCATCGCGCTTGAAGTGTATAGTCAGGCTCCTCAAAATTTCACCTCCAAATATTTTGTGATTTTGCGTCGTATTTTTACATCGTTCCCGGTGTGTAAGGACCTTAACTCTGCATTTTTTAACACCAGTGAAACTGTTGAATGATTATGATTGTCTACTGACTATTTCAGGAACCATATGTCCCCCAAAAATATACATCACATGTAAGTCAGTTTTAAAAATTTATTCTTATATTTGAAAAATCAACTTTTGAACAGAAAAATCGATCTATAAATTGTCAAACAAAAAATCGCGATACTTGCGTGAATCGATTTTTTCTTCCTCCCCCACTTGATAGCGTATCAATCTTCTCATCTGACACTCGGCAAAACTGTATAAAGCTAATTTTTACAGTATTTTACTGTGCGATTACTGTTAGCATTAGGATTATCAAGGTTACTAGCAGCACTTGTATTTCCTTCTTCTCAATGATGTCCGGTACTGTTTCCTTGATTTTAAATGTGTCGTGTTTTTATCGTATTAACAGTGTAATTTTCCAAAATGACGTCTTTTCTGCCAAATTGTGGCGTTAAAGTCAGTTGAGTTTAAATTTGCAGGAAACTTTTTCGACTGGTGTTTGTCCTCTGTGGCCTGAATCCTCATATTTGACACTGAATTCATCGCTCGTTTTAAACGTTTTAAAAGGTTTCACTTCCTCTTTCTCTGCCTCTCTCTTTGTAACCTACTTTTCCTGCTCTTATTCCATGTACATGACTGTTGAGTTACGAAGGCCTTGGTGACTCAGCTGCTTGCTGATTTCAAAGGGCACATCAGATGCAATTCAGTTTCATGATCGTGATGCAAAAAAAACCTGACAGAGGTATTTAAGTAGAATAGGTGCACAAAAAAGTTACATAACCGCGTTCAATTCATAAAAAATCCTGCCTGTCTGCGTGCTTTCCATAGATTCAGTCCCTCAGCAGTCATTACATTAATTTTTCCTGCGTGTGTAGGGAATTTTTCCGATTACAATATACAGTAAATCTCCATGTGAGGCAGCAGGAATGTCCTACTTTCTCTGCTCTCTCTACAGCCTCTGCCTGCACCGTTTGAGCTATTTGGTGACTATTTTAATTCTTTATAGTCTAAATACTAAAAGGCTTCAACTTAGCGTGTCCTGCAGAAGTGGTTGACTTTCGTTAGGACTGAAAAAGCTAAATTTCAAACCCCAGTCTTCCCTGACCCGGTTGCTGGCACAGATATTCCTCTCTTGGTATAAAAGAAAGGAGAACAGTCTTATTAGTATGCAAGGTGCCGTCACAGCTCCTGAGGTCTGATAGAGGATCACAGGATCAGCTCCTTTTACAGTCTGCTGAAAGCTTGACCTTACTTTTTAAGGAAAGCTGCACAGGAACCCCCCCTCTCCTCACACTTATTCAGCCCACTCACTCTGTTCAGTCATGTTTGAAATTTAGTTTCACTGACTCATCGGGGTTGATCTATGTATCAGCAAGCACAGACTTTATCAAACCTTATTTTTTTATAAGTGTTCCTCCACTAAAAGTGAGATAAATTCATTAAACTGGATGCGATACACGTTTGGCTCTGCTTCCTGGATATCAGGTCGCCCAATTAAATGTTCCCTGGCTCTGTGTTTTGTGTTATTTGTGGGATAAATGGACAATAGAGCACTTCCTTTTTTTTTGGCTGGTGAGGAATTTGCTGGCTCCACAGCGGAAACAAATGAGCCAACAGGAAAACTTAAAAAACTATTCATGTCACTTTCAATATGAGAGTTTGAATGAGTTGTGAGCGCATGAATACTGGATCGAGATAAAAGTCTGCAGCTGCAATTTTGAAAGATTACACTGTTTTAAAAGCAGCATTACAAGAACATTAAATGAACTGCTCATGAAATGTGAAGATTTGCTTTTTTATTTTGATATTTTTCAGGTTTACAAAGTGTTTTTTTTTTGCCTCTTTTTCCTTTAAATCTGTTATAATAGAGGAAATAAAGCAGAATCAGTTCTGATCCAATACATGTCACCACTTCTACCATTTAAACTAAACTAATACTGCAGCAAAGTGATGCAGTGTTATAGCCAGACACAGTCCTTGATAATGTAAGCCACACTGCCGCTTATAGACATGCAGCTCCAGCACATCCTATGTAGCTATAGATTATATTTATAGCCGCTCTACTGAGGATGAATTTTACCCAATTTGCAGCCTATAAATACCACTTTAACACCGCCCTCTGAACCTCCTCTGTGTCATTTCCACGCTGAGATTATACATTTTTATGGTTTAAATCTGGCTCTCTGTAACCTAATTAACGCGTACCTCTTCCTGCCTACCAGCAGGTTATGACTGTTTTTTTTTTAATCACTGTTATCCCACCTTCAGCACTTTTTCTTCTAGCTGCACATTAAACTCATTCATAATGTAGAGTTTGCCGACTAATGAGATTGTGCGTTCGACTCAGAGACAAACTGTCTGGGTCCTAATGGTGCTACAGTTCACTGAGCGGCTGGTTGACCCATTTAGATGTTTAACGCTCAATACTGCACCAAAGTCTGCTGGAGAGAGGACGTTTAAAGCTTCAATGTGACCCAATATAACACATCCAGAGATAACACAGCTCACAATTGAACATTTATACAGCTTTTCGTGTTTTTGCAGCAATTCAAGATGTTTTCCAATATGTTTTCTTTTTCTAAATCAGTTTTTTGCTGAAAAATTAAGAAAAATTGAGTATAAAAGTCCCAGTACACCTCAGGTAGTCTGCATGATGGAGGTGGATGTTTTTTTGGTCTTGGCCTATTATCAGAGTATCATCTCAGGGGTGTAAAAGGACACGTATTCGTACTGAACTGAATGCGTGCAAAACAAAAAGTAGATGAAATTGGAGTTCCTGCACAGACAATAGCAGATGATTGTATTCAGTTGTTGAAAACGCTTGATTTAAAGCATGATAGGTGATAGAGCCCTGAGATGAAACTCCACATTTCAGCACAGCAGTAAAGTCATACCAGTCCTTAGATGAGCAAACAAAAGGTGCTGTTGTGCACATCTTATCTGACAGATGGGAGGATTTGCATACTGAGCCGAAACCTTGGTTGACTTCAAAACCAAAGTACATAACAAACTGTGATTTTTGTGTACCATTACACCACTAACCAGCCTCTTATTTTTATAGATGGCTGATAAATTTGATTAATTGAAAATTGTGCTACTTTGGCTCCACTGGGTCTACCTCTCTTCATCTGTTGTTACCACAGACTGTATAGTAAGTGGGCATAGTGTCACCCCTTTGTTTCTTAAGTGGAGATATACCCTGAATTTCCACCGCATCCAGAACAGCTGAGATTTTTGCCGCCTGGCAATTCCTACCAGATCCAGTTTTGAGACGAATTTCGTGGCAAATTACGGACAGCTGTAATCGAGGAGACCTCACAAGAACCCGCAGATTTACGTGCAATTGCGCGATAACGAGTTGTCTTTAGCCCCATAGGCTAAACATATTAGCAGTAGATTATGTCCCTCTAGAGGAGGAAATCTACCTCTAGACTTATTAAATCAGCATCTCCTCATCCATGGTGTCATTGTTATTTTGTGTCTGTGCCCGACTTCCTTTCTAGCACGGGTTAATATGTGCTGAATTTATCTGGCATGCTTCAGCGTCCGGAAAAAAATAGAACTTGTGGGATCAGTTGCGAAGTTTGGCGGTCCACAACGTAACTGAAAGAAGCCGATGGAAATTGACACATTAACTTGAATGGTAATGATCAGCTATGATCGGCGGATATGGCCTTTTCGTAGCCGTTCTGGATGCGGTGGAAATTGGGGTACCTCCATGAACATAGCTACGATGTGCCTGCTAGTCAAGTCTGATTCCTCAGTATTGTAAGCTTAATATCTTTTAAACAAATGTGTTACAAAAAATTCACCCCCTGCTAAGTGGGTGCTAGGAAACCATGAGCTATTGTATTAACCCCTTTTCTTTTTAAATGGGCTGTAAACATGTTTATTTTTGCTCTAAAAACCGTTATCCTTGGCTTAGTGTGTATGTGGTTTTTGGTGCTACGGCAAACAGCCTCAAGTGGACACTCAGGGAACTGCAGTTTTTAGCATTTCTGCATCGACTTCGTTTCTCAAAACCACAAGTTTCTGCTTGAGACTGAGCCGTGAGGTCATTCACATTAAGTCTGTAAGGTCTAAAAATTTTCCCTTGCTGTTTCGGTGATTTGGATTTAATTTGCGACACAAAAATGTACTTTTCAATCATTCCTCTGCTGATCTGATATGCAGACATGGTGGCAGTTCATTTTTCAGGCCCTCACCTCTCCTCCTCCTCCTCCTCCTCCTCCTCCTTCTCCTCCCTTTCTCCCCTGTCTTGATTTCCATCTCTTGGATTTTGAGTCGCCTCGCTTCGGCCCTCCACATACCAATCCTGCCCTCGTTCTGTCGGCTCGCTCTCCCGTCCCGCTCGGGCAGAGTGGTGCTGAAAGATCAGGGCTAATACTTCTCTGGGATGAAGGAGGAGTGAGGTATTATTTCGTAGGTTTGATATTTCATGGAGTTTTATGTGATAGCTGGCTCGGTTTAACTCATGGAAAGTGACTGTTATTCACTGTAGATCTGTGTCAAAGTTGACCTCGGCGCCCTCTGTGCTGACTAACACATCAGACTGAGGCCTTTTCTTTCTCTGAAAAGTAAAAAAAAAATAGTTCTTTTCACTTCTGGAGCAGCTCCTCGCTCGGCTCACCACCAGCTGCTCCAGTTTTTGAAGTCACTGCAGTCTGCAGTCGCCTTCGCTCGATTGGCTATACGCTTTGGATGCAAGGCAGATTATGCCGTTGTCATGACTACAGCAAACAGGAAATGCCCCGAAGCAGGTAAACGCTCCGGGCCTTGTTCCGGTGTGTTGCTCGTCACTCGTCTCGTCTTTCCATCTGCTCCCATAATGCCTCCTTCTATTTCTTTTGGACCGCCGAAGAGCTGAACTATAAAAATACTTTGTGCCAGACAAACTCTGAAATACAGTTCTGCTTCTCCTCAAACTTAGATCCTTATGTTAGGTTTTTAAATTAGCATAGCTGCTTTGTCCAACTTTATTTATTCCCCTGCACCAAAAATATGACCAGATGCCCTTTTATTTCCATTCACCATGGGATCCCTCTCTTTTTTTCTGTACTTTCCTCTTCATTACTCATGCCTGGCTGCAACAAATCAGCCCCCGAAATGTACTTCTCCACTCCTTAATCCCCCCTCTGTGAAGGTGCAGGTTTGTGTGCTTTTGTGCAATCTCTTTGAAGGCGAGCGACGGCCATTGAGTAGCTTTAAAGCAGCTTGAGCTGGGTTTTGTGTGCGGCTCTTAAACAGAATTGCAAGAAAAAAAGCGAGAGAAAGAGAGAGAGAGGCCCAGCAGTGGGAGGGAATCAGACTCCACTCCATGCCTTCACTAGAGTCCATATTCCCCCCTCGTGCACCCCATCTGTCTGTGACAATATTGTCGAGGCGGGCAGGTTCCTGGTTTCTGGTATGTAAATGTTACCGCAGGGAGCTGCACGTTGTACATCAGCACCAAATAAATTCTCATTCTTGTATCCTTTCAGCCCCTCCTTTTCCTACCTCTTCCGCACAACATGCTGAAAAAAGCCAGAAAATCAGCTTTGTATTGATTTTTCTACCTTGGATTCCAGGTTTCGCTCAGCCTGCTGAGTTGGAAACGATTTTTAAAAAAACAGTGGTTGTAAAGGTATCGCATGGTCGACTGCAATATCTTTTCGTTTTCTTGTGATTGGAAAAGCCAGCAGATCTCCAGTTGTTTAAGCTGAAGACCATTGCAGACTTGAAAGAGGAGATTTCCCCTCTGAGTTTGTTGTAGGAGTGTTGCTGTTATAAGCTTATGCAAAGTTTGGATATATAACACAAGAGATTACTCGGTTTTTGGTTTCTCTCCTGGCTTTCCCAAAAGTTTTGGAGTAGGTGGGGTTCTGTCAGACTGAACTGGCATAAAATTAATTTAGGGTCAAACACACCGTAACACCGAGTGAGACACCCCCTCGACAGATGAATGTTGCCGACCGCTTGCTTCTCTAGTTATACCAACTTTAGTAACGACCGCAGGATAGCAATACACAGCGGTCTGAGGAGCCATAAACAAACCTCAACCAAAGCGCCACTCTATAGCCACAAATAATGCTCAGAACAGCACCTAACTTCATCAACAGGACATATAGGGTCCTAGCCACAGCACGAGCCATCAAACATCTTTTTAACTTTGCCTAATTTCTTAAAAAAAGAGACTAAACTCAACTCACCTACTCTCTTCCAGCAGCCGCTTGTTTGTAGTGAGACCTCAGGCCAGTCCATTACGGACTGCTGCGGGAGCACGCAGCTCAAGGAAGAACATTTATGATAATTTCTTTATCATTTACTTGAAGTAATAACCATCATATTAATCATTTTGCACTGCAGACACAGTGGTTCTTCTGCCTTAGTGTTTCGATGTTCATAAATGTTCTTCCTTGAGCTGCGTCACCCCGCTGCAGTCCGTAATGGACTGGTCTGAGGTCTCGCTACAAACAAGCGGCTGCTGGAACGGAGTAGGTGAGTTGTGTTTAGTCTCTTTGTAAAAGAAATTAGGCAAAGTTAAAAAGATGTTTGGTGGCTAGTGCTGTGGCTGGGACCCTATATGTACTGTTGATGAAGTTAGGTGCTGTTCTGAGCATTATTTGTGGCTATAGAGTGGCGTTTTAGTTGAGGTTTGTTGATGGCTTCTCGGACCACTGTGTATTACTATCGCTACTAAATTTGGTATAACTAGAGAAGCAAGTGGTCAGCAACATTCATCTCTCGAGGGGTGTTTAAGTCAGTGTTACGGTGTGTTTGACCCTAAATTTATTTTATGTTGAAATATTCCTTTAATGTCCTTTACTTGTGATCTGTTCACAGATGTTGCTTTCAGAAAATGTTACAACACCAAACTCAGTCAAACTCAGTCCCTCCAGACTTTATGCCTCCCCTGCACATTTCAGGGACACCCCTGTCGAAAATCTGGACACACCCCTGTTCTCAGCAAATTCTTTGTATTTGTCTGTTTTATATCAACACTAAAAGAATATTTGTTTGTATTTGTTAAAAAAAAAAGTCAAATGAGGATATCTGTGGGATGTTACAGTCCTGAGAAAGGCTTTGGAAGTGAATTGGAAGTGTTCAGCGTTTCATACTTTTAGGGTACTCAGTCAGCATTGTTTAACAGATCCTGCCATGCTCTGCAAAGTAATGAGTGCCAGTGATGCATAATGTGATATATGATGCTTGACTCTTGCTGTGAGCTCTTTGTCCCCCTCTTGTGGTCAAATTAGGAAGTATTTTAAACTCCCAGACAGATGCTGTGGATGTAAAATTGATTGAGCAGCAGAGAGAGATTCATTCGTGGAAAATAAATAATTATAATAAAAATTCAAATATCTTCATGACTCGTGTTAGTCATTGATGCAGTCAGGCCCTGGTCATACACTCCTCCTTTTATTCAAAGAGTCACCCCACCCTACCTGGTTGTTTGCTCCCCCTGTTGGTCATGTATAATACTGCTCCTCCCTTACCCCCTGTCATCCCCCCACTACCCCCTGTCTGCTCCACACTGGGACATTACCATTTGGTGAGACTGACTGGCTTTGGTGAGGGAGACGGTGGGGGTCCTGCAGGGGGTACTCCTGCGCTCAAGGCTCTCCTTTGCAGCGCCGAGGCAGCTGGATCTCTTTGTTACGGTTAAACCTGTGTGAAGCTCAGAGCGAGGGGGACATTGACTCAATACCAGAATCTAGACTGAACCTGGCATGGAATTCAGACACACACACACTGAAAGCTTGTGGATTTGATATATTTAAAGCCTACGTCATGTGTTACATAATGCGAGGTTAATCTAATGTATAGCTCCAGTGTGGATGAGTATTTTTCCAGTGGTTGCCTGCAGGGAGGATACGGATGGATCGAGGCAGCAGCGAGAGATTTTGCAGAGCAGCTTTGGGTTTCTTCGCTCCTCAGAGACTGGATTAATGCTTGGTGCAGTACGCTTAGAGCAACAGCAGGTGGCACCAGCAAGTAAACTAAAGCTGCAACAAATAGTCGGGTCAGTTTCCTCATCAATAAGCCGTTTCCAATAAGCAGGAATTTAGAGGTGATATATTTGACCTTGGATTGCTTTCTTTTCAAGGTTTCAGAAATTTTTCGAGGAGCAGTTTTGCCTTAAAGTTTGATGTAACAGATGATATGATTGCATAAAAACAGCTTGGATCCTTTAAGACGTCTCTGAGGGATAATGCATCCCTCAAAAGGTCAGGACCTTTGGCCTCTAGGTCACAATCCCACCAACCAGCTGTCCACACAATAACAGTTTTCATGTCAGTTTTAATAAGAGCTGAAGCTCCTCTGCTGCACGTTTTACCGACTGAGCTTGTCTGAGTGTGGGGATAAATGAAGGACAGTTTTTACGCATCAAACTTTGAGACTCTCGAGGCTTACTTTCTTCCCTCTCAACGCTTCCCTTATGTTTTCACACCAGCGTGACAGAGGAAGAAGGAAACAATGACAGTGATAATTTGCTGTCATATGTCACAAGCCAAGCCCCCTTTTCGAATCTGCCCCACTTCGCCTCCTTTGTCATTCAAATAACCTCATGAATATTTCACCGGTCTGATCTTACGGGTGGAAGGAGGGAGGGAGGAGGAGTAAAAAAACGGCTGGAGGAGAGGAGGACATGAAAGAGTCGTAATATTCAAGTAGCTTGGTTTTAGTCTGAGTAATGACCTCATCATGCCGTAAAAACTACGCTTGTGATTTGGGTCATGAGCGGCGGTGGCTGGTGTATTTTTCTCTGACAAAGAGGGCCATAACCAAATGAGAAATAAACTTTACATATATATAAGGTGTAAAAATGTAATACAAAAGAATATTTAGTTAGAGTGAATCACTTTTACGTGTACTTGGTCAGCTGAGTGAGCGTTCGTATTTGTGTCTATAGTGAGTGATGCAAGTCTAGAGTAAGAGCTCGGATGTCCATGACAGCTTCAAATAGAAACTTTGGCGCAATATAACAGATGGGCTCCGTTGTACCCAAAGGCTGTATGAAACATGGAGGTAGTCATAGTAACGTCACCTGTGTGAGGCCAAATTGTGGAAATCGCCATAATGGAAACACCAACGCCATGACTTCTGGTTGACCTAGACTGATGCAAGCAGCTTTCAACCCCACCGCAGCCCAAATTATTGTTAATTATAGATCAGTCCAAGCTTTAAATTCATCATAACAGATGAGTTATTTAAAAAAAAAAAACTCCTTTTATAAATGAAAATATTAGCCACAGGAACCTAAGCATTAAACATATTTATGTTGTAAAAAATGTGTTATTGGGCAAAATCATCTTGCAAAGCTTACAGCTGATACTGTTGTCAGGGTATGACCTGACCAACAAACGCCATTATAGGAGAAAGAGGCGGGGCTGCAGACAGGATTAAATTGTGCGGCTGATACTTTTTTAGCTTTCTGGAGAGCACTAATTTTCTTCACAGAAATGTCAAGAATCACCTGCTGAGCCTGCCTCATGACATTTACTTCTTGGCAATTGCACGTGTTTCTCTGAGAGTTTCTGCCCCTACCAAACAAGATTTATGAGGTTTTGCCCAAATTAATAAAATGTAATACACCTTATGTCATGGATACGTGAAGCAGCCTGTCTACAGAGTGTTTAAACATGGATATCAACAGGGTTTCTTCGGCTCTTGGAGACAGCCTCAAGTGGGCACTGTAGGAACTGCAGTTTTTGCACTTCAGTATTTGTTTTGTTTTTTAACACCAAAGCTGCAACTGGGCTCTGCTGGCACTGAGTGCTGACCTCCAATGTTAGAATATAAAGGTAGTGGGAAAGCGCAAAAATCTGGCATTATTTGACCGTCCACTAGAGTGTCACTCTTGATCAGGTTTGGTCACAGAAACCGGTTAGGCTTGAAAAGACAATTTCCATTTTGTACACTGTGAAGGTCAACCTCAATTTTGTCACTGTGCCTCTTGTTAAGTCAACCAAAAAGAAAGATGAAAAAGGAAAATAAGTATTTCTGAGATGTGGGTACTTGAGTTTAGAACTGCGCTACAGACACCAATGGGTGATTGTCAAAGACTGTATGATAACTGGATGTAGCATCCAAGACATCAGACATTTGTCTCTAAAGTGGCATTTTAAAGCCTATTGGCGGCTGACTCAACCTGACTTTTAGTCAGCCTATCAAAGGGGGGCTTTAAGCCTTTTTACAAATCACTATAGTGTGCCGCCTGTCAGTTGAATCAGCTGTGTTTCTGATCCACCAATCGTGTAACCTTAATAACTTTGAAATAAACATGATACAAAACGTCTATGCTGGTTTCATGGAAGCCCTGAGCTAGCCTGCCTCAAGTGGGCACTCAGGGAACTGCAGTTTTTACCATTTCGTCATGGCTTTTTGGTAACGTCACTGTAACTAAGTCAATTTTTATATAGTCCTTGACCACGTTGATTCATGCCCCACCCTTTATTAACTGACTGTATTCCTCTGCCGACTGGTGGTGCATATTGTGTTTGGGGCGCATTCTTCCTTTGCCTCTCAAATCTCCTGTCCCTAATACTGGAGAGGAGCAAGTGCACATGTTTAACTTATAACATGATGTTATGTTCATATCAAATTGTTTTTGAAGGACTTTGTTTTGCAAAGGTCTAGGGATGCACTGATCAGATATTTGATATCGGTATCGCTCCCAATACTGAAGAAAATTCTAGATCAGGTATCGTGACAATGGGCCAGATGCATAGGGGCCAATCTATTCAGTCTAACTCTATGCTATGTGCCGTGAGTGGCATCCACAAGTAAAGACGATGATTGAATGCCTACACTGTTTTCAAAATTAAGTGAGCAAAAGGGGTCTGCTGTCTTGAACTTTATCTCAATACCTCAGCCTACAACCTCGATGGCCACTTGCAATACCTGCGCAGTAAACATTCCGAAGGGCAGTGGTAAAAGTTCAGGTTACAACAAAAGGTAATTCAGCACGGATTTTCTATATCAGAAATGGATCCATATCGGCTGATAGTAAACTGTAGATATCTGGATTAGTATTGGAGGTGAAAAAAGCAGATCGGTGCATCCCTACAAAGGTCTGCTGTTTTCTTGCGGGGGAGTGTCGATGCACATAAAACCATTTATTTTCTAGAATTTTTCTTGCTTCAGTTGTCAGCAACCCGTCAAAAAAAAAGAAAACTCTTCCTGCAGGAAACCCCAGCAGAGCCTAATTACACGTGTCAAGTAACACAGTCACCTTGCTGTGCCGTCCAGTCTGCTTGTTTGCCTACACAGTCACCACAGCCTGAGTGAGTTCAGCCTTCAGGCCAGCCAGTGGGTGAAAGGTAAAGCTAATGAGGTGAGTGGAGGAAACACTCCTAACCTATGAATGCACTCTGACAAAGGCCAGCGCGGAAACACAGGAAGTGAAGGTGCTCTTGACGTGGCCCCTTCGGCTTTGTGAAGTGGCTTTAGAGCACATTAGTTCCCTGAGTGTGAGGGGCATTTGCTTCTCAAACACTTGATGTAATTTCTCGGACTTGAGTGGCTTGAGTGGAGACTAACACCGACACTGTCCTCTTTCTGCTCATCATGAGTGTCCGGTTTTAACGTGTGGCCCCTTTAAGAGCCCCTTTTTTTGAGAATGAGCCGAGCTGTGTGTGCTTGTTCTGACCGTGGCCTCTGTTGGTCACCAGTGGGGGAGGAGGGGAAGGGGAAGGGTTAGCTGACTATAACGTCCCCAGCCCCCCTTTCAAAACCAAACCAAACGGCAGCCTCACTTCTCTGCTCCACATGCCCTTATCTACCAATGGAATGCAACAGCTGTGCGGGGGAGCGGCAGGGTGGGCTGGCTGAAACCCCCCTGACAGACCCCCGCGCAGACACCCCCCACCACCCACCACCTCCTCCTCCTCCTCACCCCCCAACTCCAACCTCCAAGCGACGTGCCGGGCTCCTGAAAGGCAGCTCAACTAAAAAAGTGAGCTAGACACAGTGAGAGACTCGGCGGGGCTGCTCGCTGCTGCACATTCAAAATAGAGCCAGAGAGGGAGGGTAGAGAGAGAGAGAGAGAGCAAGCAGGAGGAGAGAGAGAGAGAGAGAGAAGGAGAGTCAGGGACAGGCAGTGCTGAAAAGGAGAGCACAAAGAGAAGGAAAGTGGAGCAGGGGAGGGGAACAGGAGGCTGGGTTGAAGGGAGAGGGAGAGACAAAAGAAGGAGAGAGGGGAGACGTAGCAGAGGGTGAACGGAGGGGACTCGAGCAAATGGCTACGGAGGAGACGGCGGGGGGAGCCAGGAAAGCCACCAAGAGCAAACTGTTTGAGTTCCTGGTCCATGGAGTGGTGAGTGGCGCTGTCCGTCATTCCCTGGCATGCATCTATGTGTGTGTGTTCAATGTGTGTGCATGAGTCGGCGCAGCAGCAGCAGTGGCGGCAGCAGCAGCAGCAGCAGCAGCGGTCTGTGTGTGAGAGATAGCTGGGTAAAGCTGGCCATGTGAAGGTTATTTCCAGCCCCCCCTCCCCAACCCCCTCCTCCTCCTCCTCCTCCTCTTCCTCTCCGGATCACAGCCTGTTAGGGGAGAGAAGAAGAAGAAGAAGAAGAAGTGAAGCAGCATGGATGGAGGGATGGAGCTGTGCAGGAGGAGGAGGAGGATGGGGAGCAGAGGATTTCTAAGACATAAAGAAGGATAAATGTAGGAGTAAAAAAAAAAAAAAAAGCAGCCAGCTCCCTGTTCAGCTCAGAGAGGAGCAGAAAGCCTTTCTGGGAGTCACAGACAGCAACACAACAACACAGAGTGAGCAGCCTGAGCAGGCTCTCAGGCAGCGTGTCTTTGCTCGGTGGAAGGATTTGAACCTGTAAGGTCACGAGACAAACGGACGTAGTAGTAGTGTAGACGACAGAGACGAGGCAGACGGCCAAATCCTGGAAATCATGCAGAACAATTGCCCCATTCATGTGCAGCTAGCATGAAATGTCAAGTCAAGTGTGGCTCATGGTTAGAGGTTAGGCAAGTATTAGTACAAGGCTCGTTCTTGATATTTACAACAGCGATTTGTTTTGGTTATGAGCCGAAAGAACGAAGAGGGTTCAGGATCACGTTTTGGTCAGTGACACTTGATTTTGGAGGAGGTTTAGGAGATGTGACTTTGACATTGACTCATCGACTGATCAGGGAAATTATGACACTGAGTCCTAATATTTATTTTCTTAAGTTTCTGAGAAGAAGTTATATCACTGTCTCCGTTTGTTTCAATCTTACATCTTTTCATCTGTCATGTCATCTTTATGGAAATGTCAAACTATTTATTCATTTTCACCAATTAGCTGTAACCTGAAATTGTTTCCACTAGCATATCAGATATCAGGTTTCAGATCTCAGATATCAAATTTAAGGTTTTGGGTATCAGATCTGACATTTTGGTATCAGGTTTTAGGGATTAGGTATTGAGAATAGTAGATCAGATGTAAGATACTAGGTGATGGGTATCTTGTCAGTTGGGTATTGTGTAACAGTACTGTGATTCGGGTATCAGATTCTGGGTATCAAGTATCCGTTATTGGGTTGTCATTATGTATTGGGTATCAGGTCTTTGATTTTGGATATCTAGTATCAGGAATTAGTTTCAAAATAAAGTGTCTGTATTAGGCATAGTGTATCAGATATTGGCTATGATGTATCAATTATTTGGTTTCAAGTATTGGACATAATATAAAAGGTGTATAAGGTTATACATAGGTAGCTGGTACAGGTATTGGTTTCTGCGTATCAGGTTTGGGGTAAAGTGTAGCAAATATTGAATATTTTGTATCATGTTTTGGTTATCTAGATCAGGTATTTGGTAGTTTGTGTCACGTTTTGGTTATTTTGTATCAGGTTTTGGTTATAGTTTATCAATTATTGAGTATTTTGTCTCAGGTATTGGATATTGTGTATCAGATGTTGGGTGTTGTGTATGTCAATGGTTATGGTGTTTCAGGTTTTTAGGTTTTTTGGTCTTTGGTATCAGCTGTTCGCTTATAGACATTGATTATATTAGGTATCAGGTATTGTTACCTAAGTTATCTTACCTCTTGTTGATAAATAAAAATGCTGTCACTGACATTTTTCCACCACTTATATTTTGATTTCCAGCATCGAAAAAAGTGAAAAAGGCTCAAAATGATACATGGTCATTTTGAGATGTTAACATGACCTCATAAATTTATTTTAAAAGTAAAGAAAAAAGTATAAATGACCTTAAATCAAAAAAACTTGTCATTTCTGACTCAGTATTTTTATTATTTGGGGTCTTTTGTGCCCTTTTAAATGAAATAGTTATAGACATTGAGGAGGAAAGTACTAGGTCAAAACCTGCATACAGATACCCATACCAGGCTTTAATTGGAGATACTCAAATTAATTTATTAAGCCATATAAGTGTGTGATACTTGATGACTTTGATATTTTGAACTCTGCAAATGAAAACATAGTTAACAAGAAACGATGATCCTACTTCTTTGCAGCAGAATTTCTTCACCATCCCCTACCCCAGAATCATCTGGTAACCATTTAGATTCATTTTCCCTGAGGCTGGAAAGTATAATTCCACCCTACATACTGTATAATATCCCTCTTATTATGGAAAATACCTTTTGGTTTTTTACTCTTTGATCGAGCTGAACTGAATTTCACCTTTTTATACCACTTTCTTTTTTTCTGAGGTTTATCAAGAAGATGGTTCTTATAGATTTATTTGCTCAGCTCTAGAATTATTACTACTTTTGAATGAATGCATATGAACAGTGTTTTATGTGCTCTGTAAAAAGATTAGTGGCATAAAAGTTAGAGGACATACAGATGGGAGATGATGTGTTCATGGTCTGCACTGTGTCTATCTGTGTTTTTGAAAATTGAGTGAAATGTCCAAAAACAACAAAGTTTTAGAAATTATTATCCACCGCAGAAATCAAAATTTTAACCTGTGAAATCAGTGTCTGACCCCGAGTATAGAAAACACTCTCTGGCAATGATGTGATTTGAAGAGCAGAGGAAAGGAGAATTAATCATCTTTTTTTCCCTTTTGATTATTGAAATTAGAATTCAAACAAAAATGTCCGAAAAGTGCAAAAAATGTAACCCCATATATACCAATCAAAACCTTTTTCAAGGTTTCTGCTTCAAAATCCTCAAATTACATCCAGTTTTGACGCTGAGTTTGGGTTTTTTTAACTTTTCCTGACTATTAATTATCACTACAACCAATCAAAAATGTCTTCACTCTTACTTTTTGAATTTTATCCCTATTTGGATGTGGTTTTGACTTCCTGCTGAACTGAATTTGACCTTTGCGCACATCCTGAAGTTTGGCAGCGCTTCCTCATCCTCGAGTACATCAAGAAGCTCGAGAAGACTTTGAGGTTTCTGTTTGTCAAACCTTTTTATGTCACACAGAAAAACACTCAAAACCGGCTCGAATAAGTCTTGATTTCAGATCGTTTTAATCAGCGCTGATGTCGGGGCGTCCTGACGGCAGGTAGATTTATCCACTGGAACACGATGAGGTATTGTGTGTGTGACAGGTTCGGTCATTACAGGGGCTTTGGTGCTGAATCCCGGCTGCACACACAGACAGACTTTAGGAAACAATGGAGCCGGTGATTGATGAGCCAGATGAGTGTGTCCTCTCAACAGACCAATTAACCTTGATGAGGCTCTGGCTGCTTCAAGCCAAATATTTCCCTCTGCTTAGTTTCTCTCATGCCGCCCTCCCTCCCTTTCTTCTTCCTCCATCCTCCTCTGTCTCTCCCCCACATTTTAAGATGGAAAAGTCTTGTTTTAATACTTGCGGCAGGTTCCTGGTTGTGTGTGTGCTGCAGGAAGGAGAAATATTTATGGGATACGGGGACGTTTCAGCGCAGTTTGTTAGCTTGTGGCGAAGGATGACGTTTTCTTTTCCTCTGAAGCGGAGCATCTTTTAAACACTGCAAAACGTACATAAAAAGATGCATTCATAAACACGCTGTATGCAAACATTGTTGTGGTTTGTGAAGGTCATAGCGTTCCTGAACGTGTGTTTGTGTGTTGTGGGGGAGTGATTTTGGCCGGGATCTGGTTCTGGGTGGGCTGAAAGCTTGACTGAGGTCTCTTCTTCGTCTTTCTCCCTCATTATCTACCTCCCCACCCCACCCCACCCCTCCCTCTGTATTAAATGTGCGTGTGGAGGTCAGCGCTTTCCAGCCTTCCAGCGCCCTTCAAGGGAAACCCTGATAAGCCCAAAAACTTCATACGACGCTCTGTAACTTGGCGTAACCTTTGAATGTAAACTTCACCTTTGCTCCAAAATCTCATTCCGCCCAGCTGACGGTTGAGGCTTCACATTTTCAGGGTTTCTGTTTCCTCCCAGCCTCAACGCCAAACATTCAAAGAGGTGAAATAAATTTTGTCTGCTGTGCCCAAAGCATTAAATTCTGCAGCCACTTGTCGTTCAGAAACACAATGTCCCAGTTACTCTGGGTTATCCGCAGACCTTGCCATGTTCAGTTCCCTTTGAATTCACTTCTTTACTAAAGAAATAGTCGCTCTGAAAGCTGTCCAAGATTTGTTCTCTGCAGTTAGAGTAACAGAGACTCGGCTTTCAGCGAGAGGAGCTGCTGTTGAAGCTCATTAAATTAAGATTTTTAAGTGTTGTGAGCTGCGCAGATGAGATTTATCTTTATTATGCAGGAGTGGAGGATCTCTAGATCTTGACTCATAAAAACCAAAACCTTCAGGTGAATACAGGTAAAAGATATCATTTAAATTTATACAAATGGAGAAATGACATGTGGTGGAGAGAGAAATTGTGGTTTTTGTCAATTTTGGTGCCTCTTGTCTTTCTTCTGTCTTTTCCTTGACATGATAAATTTGTGTCTTGTGACAAATATCCCATCCTGCTGACTTCTACAATGAAATCTGTTATTATATATAATATTTTACATAGAAAACTTAACTTTAAAAGGGCTTTTCAGCCGCTCTTCTGAAACCTACCCCTTGCATCCATTTCAGGCATTAAAAATTACAAATTAACAAAGGTTTATGATGTTTCTGATGGTCTTATTTGCCTCCGTCTATCATAAAAAGGCATCAATATGAATTTGAGTGTGTTTCGTCAATGTCAAAAAACTCCTTACTGGAGCTTTAACTCTAATTTCAAGTATTGAAAGAAAATAAAATTTGTCTTATTCCATTGGCAGAATTATTTTCTCAGTACAAGCAATTTATCCTTTGCTTTTGGTGTGTTATATCTTTAAATAATAAAAAAAAATGCTTCTTGTCAGGTTAGTATGGCTCAGAAAAATTATACAAAAACACAAAGATTTATTATTTGACAGTTTTTACTTCTATACAGGGCGCTACATCCTAGGCCATACTCTTTGTTATTTCATTTACTGAGATCCAACCCCAACCATGAGCAAGCCTTTTGCAACGTTTGGCAGTCTTAGGGAGAAAAAAGATTTTGAACAGGCAGAAACCTTGAGCAGGACCAGAATCACGGTGAACAGCCATCTGCCTTGAGTAGATAATAAGTGAAATAAATGTGTATTTCTGACTGTTTTTATCATTCAGCATCCTCAGCACACCTCACTATCACCTTGAACAGTCTTGTATTAGCTAAATATTCATTGTGTTATATGTATCAGATTAATATTCCACGTTGAATATTTGTACAAAGTTGAACTAAAGTCAGATTCCTTTATTGTGCGCACAAACCCGGCCTTTAAAGCTGATTCTGCTCTTGAATGGAGGACAGGGGAGGATGCAGAGAAAGAGAGAGACGGACAGATTTGTGCGCTATATCAACTGACAGAGAAGCAGACAGGGCGCTCAAGGTGATGCCTTCAAATTCAAACTCAGTTTCGGTTTGTTGAATCCTGAGAAGATCGGTAAATCAATAAATATGTCTTGGATAGTATTTCCCATTTGTTCGTAGCTTTGGAGAACAGCCAAGTAAATAATTGAAAATGTCAGAAGCGAGAGGAAAACCAAAAACTGACAACATTAGAAAAGCTGAAACCAGTGTGATAGAAAAATTACGCATCTATCAATTAAGTGGGGGCTTTGTAGTTCAATAATAAACTGATTTATACCTTTTGTCAGACAACTTAAATTTGATAGACTGAATTATCTTTGGCTGGTTTTCAGAAATTTATAAAGCGATAAAAACATTCGAAACAATCCTGATATGATAGCACAGAGAGAGCACTTCTCTTAGTATTGGATCAGTATATTACCCTCATCGTTACACAGATAGTGATTTATGAACTTATTTATTAAAGCTCCTTTTTCACTGCTGATGAAACAAACGCAGCTTTATTTCAGTACTTCTATATGACCGACAAAAGCTAACAAAATCAGTTGTTTCTGTCGTGACTCCACTGTCGCAAGGTTGTTAAAATGATCACTTATACATCTACAAGATCAGATTTAAAAAATATAAGGGTCCTTGTTTTGTCCACAGGGGGCGCCAAAATCAACACAAACCGAAAATTCCTCACTGGAGCTTTAACAAAACTGCCTAAAACAACAAATACCAACACAGTCAATTTCTGTCAGCAAAGTAAATTGACTACTTAGTTAAGTGATTTTGAGTATATTGTTCCACTTGACTTAATTTAATGAAGAATTAATAATAAAATCAAAGTTAAAAGCTCTAAAATGACTCGCATCCCGCTCAAAGTACTTTATCTTCAGTATTTAATAGATTCAGCGCTCCAGCTGAAGCCTTTTAAATGGACCCTCCATGTTACAACCCACAGACTCATATGTTTAGCACAGTGTGGGTTAAGTTTGGCCTCTTCAAATCCCTCCAGAGATGCCAACACACTTCTCAGATATCCATCCACATGGCAGATTCGATTGCTGGCTGGCTGGCAGAGCTGCGGGCAGAGTGTTGGAGTCAGTTCAGCAGGTCAGATTATAGAGTATCACTCATTGTGCGTCTATGTGTGTGTGTGTGTGAGTGTGGATTTAGGAGAAAACTCATCTAAAACACTATCAAGCTGTGTGTGTGTGTGTTTTTTCCTGTATGTGTTATCTGAAGAGCTCAGATTCTCCAGACAGACGGTTGTAACAGAAGTCTGTCTGGCTGTTTGGGTTTTATTGTCCAGCTTATGTAGGAGGGAGACGGGAAGAGAAGGGGTCTCTTAAAGCTCCACAAGGTGATAACATTCAAGCTGAAGGCCCCCCACCATATGTTGTCTTATCCTCCCCTCTTCGGAGAGCCTTCTCAGTTGCTCTTACACCCGACATCCCCTCCCCCCCTTTCGTCGAAACAAACTCCCAGCTGGAGTGACAGCAGCGGCTGCTCAGGCGTCTTATCGCAAGATCTGTGCTTGGTCACCATTTCAAAGGGCACAAAACACGTCAGTCTTACCCCGACTCATGCCGTCATTCTCTGTTTCGAGTTATCTTTTAGTGTATACATGCTTGTACATTTCATTTCTAGTTTCCTTTTATAACTCCTGCTGTTTATTACATTCTTTGTTGTTTGTTTAGTGGGTTTGTTTCTCATTGGTTTGCCGGTCTAAAGATCAAATCTGATATGTGTACAGTGAGCCGTGATAAACATTGTGAAATGAACGAAAAAAACGCGCGCTTATGAAACTCCCTGATTTGTATCCTTCAGTTGTCCTTCTCGCCACAACATTTATTCATCTGTGACAAAATGTAGCAGGCGCTTTCTGTGCTGATTTGAAAGAGGACATTTAATTTCTTTGCAAGGGGACGGTTAAAATATCTGTGTTCACAAAGTCACGACTCTGGTTAAATACGAGATGTAGACGCTTTGTTGGAAAATAGGAATAAATAGGTGTGTGGAAGCATTATGACTTTGATAATAAGGGTAAAATAAACTTGTTTGTCTGTGCCAATTTGTGCCCGGTGTTGCATTCGCCAAGTGCGTTTAGTGAAGCACTGCATTGCAGAACAGGTTGAGATATCCAACTTCTACTGCAGTTCAATTTTACACGACTTATTCTTTTACATTACTGTATAATTAGTGATTAAAATATGTGAAGTGCATAGTGAGAGCTGAAAAAAACAAAAGCAAAGGTGGTATTACCCACCAGATTCAGATTCAGGGTGTAAGTAAGCCACCTTTGAGATTTGTTGGCTTTCTTTTCCAAGTTAGTTTGGTTTTAATTTGATTAAATGTGAAATTAACACCAGCTAAAGCGGTCAAATTCAGTTGGCAAAATGTGCATTCATGTGTCAGACAGTGCAAGTATAAGCTGGCGATTGACACTCTATGATCTTAAAAGTAAATATATGTATGGATTTGTTTTGACTTGCTGGTTGACATTATTGGATCAATCGTAGCGTCTCTGTAAGAGCTGAGCTGTAAAAAAAAATCAGTTTATAATGTGAAGAATATCTCCCAAAAATTCAAGTTACAACAACAATAGTATCCAGATTATTTTGGGAAGAACAGCTCTCTTCTCTTTTTTTCGTTGTCTGAAGTCTTGACAACCTTGAAGGACAGAAACTGAGTTAGCTTGTATTTTCTGTGATTACAAGAAAACACCTGCAGTCTTTTAACCCATCCTGTCACTATTGTTCGCTTGACTTTCTTTTCTTCTCTTAACTTTTTATTCATTTGAACTGAGTTAAACTTTTAAACTCTACTTGGTTAAAAAACACATATAAATCTACTGTTTTGTTGTTATTCTCAACATCTTTCAGCCACATTAGACTGTATCACTGTGATATCTGAACTTGTATGAACCGGTCCAGCTAACAGAGTAAAGGTCTTTCAGTCTAGTTTCACAGACAGAGAAAAAAAGAGGGATTTTCTTGAATAATTTAGTAGTTTAGTACATGTACCATAAAAAATAAAGAATACAGCTACTTAAAATTAAAGTTTTTATGACAGAAACAGACATTAGGAAACTAGTCTTAAAGTGCTTATATTTTTTTATCACATTATGAAGAATAGTACACTAATAACACTAACTGAAGCCTGTTGTTTGTATTATTACTCTTTATATTGTATGGTTTAACAGAAGTATTGCGACTTTTCCTCAATTTAATAGTTATTGGAGTGTTTTCACCACATACTGACACGTCTAAAGTGAAATACTTGTCCTTAGAGATTGTTCGATGATGATTTGTTTACGTCCTAGTGAGGATCTTTGCATACAGAGAAGTATCTGTTCCTTTGATAAGTCAAAGTATTTCTTTCCGTTACACAAACCTCGGTTTAGTTTCAGACAATAAAGAGAGGCGTGAGGCAGCTGTTGCCATGGGAGTGACAGGCACAGGTGAGACTTCCCCAGTTGTTCCCAGGCGTCAAGACGGGAGTGTGGGACTGTGGACTCTGACACTATTTGCATTGTTGAGGTGAAGTGTGTGTGTGTGTGTGGGTGGGTGTGACAAAGTCTGCACCCTGCAAAAAAACAACAACTTTATCTTGTCTGTGTTTTCAGCTGTCACGCCTGATTTTGTCAAAAGATGAAAATATGTGTAAAAAAAACTCCAGCTCGCTCTCAGGTTGCTCATATTCAGGGTCAAAGTTTGTGCTTTAGATTTCAAGTTGGTCTCTAATGTCAACAGAAGCAGATCCTATACAAGATAACGCAAGAGTCAAAACAGAAAACTCTGTAAATATACGTCACAAAATTGCTTCATGTTTTCATGTTTGCTCGCTTATCTGCTGTTTGGTTTCTGAAAGATTCTCAAAGGTTAAAAAAGGTCAGAGGCTCTCCGGTATCATTCTGCTTTCTGCTGCTTGAGAAATCTCTATTTTTGTAAGCAGAAGAGACACAAGAGTGATATTTCACGTAGTTTGGATTTGGAGCTGGTGTTGCACTCTTTGTTTTTTTCTGCTTCTTCAGGATTGTTTCCAAAAACAAAAGTGTTTTTACTCAAACTTCTTCAAAATTCTACCTCAAAACCTTCAAAAGGGAGTAGATAAAAGTTTCACTTGATCTGATGTTTCCTTTGCTTTATTTTTAGAAACACTAATTTGTGATTATAATTCATCAAAAGACACTGCGGAGAATGTTTTCTTCGTACTCGTGACCCATCTATTCTCTCGCCTTTCCTTCCCAGCGTCCTGGTATGCCGTCTGGAGCGAGGATGCCCCACCAGGGAGCTCCCATGGGCCCCCCCGGCCCCCCATACGGAGGGAGCCCGGCCGTGCGGCCCGGCCTGCCCACCCCGGTGATGGAGCCCAGCCGTAAGAGACCGGCCCCCTCCCAGCAGGTCCAGCAACAGCAGCAGCAGCAACAACAGCAGCAGCAGCAGCAGGCCGTCCAGAACCGGGCCAGAAAGTGAGTCTGAATCCAGCCCACCCCTGATCCCAACCTTTACACTGCATGGCCTGCAAACAGCGACTTCCTCAGTGTTTGTTTTGTGTGTACATGTCGAGATCATGCAGACTACAAAGGCTGTGGCAACACTTTTTGATTTGGCCGGTCTGGATGAAAAATAAATCTGATTAGGCGGAAAAATTGGCATCAATCTTTCAAACCAAACATGGAAACGGTCATGAATCACAAGCAGACAATGTAGTAAAAGCTGGGCATCAGACCAAAATATTCCTCTGGCACCAGCTGTACCAAGCACACAAAGCTGGAGGTAATAGGAAAGTCTTTGCCAGTTTATTAAGTGCTTTTCACTTTTTTTTCTGACAAGGCAAGACCAGATTGAAGTCGGTGTTCGGCTAATTTTAAACTTTATGTCAGTTTGGAAAAGTGTTCTTTGGCTACTGCCTTCATTGACATGGTGTACCCACATTTTCAAGAGCTTTTGAAGGTTTTGTCAAATCATCATGAGACTTCAAAAGAGTGGATGAAATAGATGTAAATTCCTGTAATAACACAGAGGAATAAGTTAGACCTGAACTAAGCAGAGAGTCTCGACTGGCTCCCAGGCAATGAACCTCCTTTGTAAATCTTAATATTTAGTGATTTTTTGCATCTCAGTTCAGATTCTGTCCTCATGGGGCTTAACTCGTGTTGATTTATGAATCGGTAAGTGAAAACCTGTAGTTCGGCATGCGTCTTGAATCTAAAAAAAAAAACATTTCATATTTGAATGCCCATCATCTATCCTGTCAATTACTATGCTGTACTTAAATACAGTACCTCGTTTTAAGCGGTTGCCTCAGGCGGTGCGCTCAAACCAAATGTGTAAAAGTTGATATTTAAACACTTTATGTGACTTTTTTTGCAAAATATTTGTGCCGTTTTTCCCAAAACAACCCACTGGTTTGACCAACATCCAACCTAATGAAGTTAGGTGCTGAAAAAAAAGGCATTTAGTTATCAAATTATGGATTGACAACTTTTTCAATGGAGTTTGGCGTAGGTCCAATTTGATCAAGGAACCGCACGAAAGGTTATCTTGTCTTACGCTGCATCCCAAATTGTGAAGATAAAGTGTAATGCAAAAAGGGAGCCACTGCTTGGCCTTCATTTCAGCTTTTCTCATCACACTCATCCTCACTGCTCCGTTTGTTTTTCCTCTCCATGTCTCGTTGCTCGCTCTCATGCCTGAATGTTTCTCCTCTGTTTGCTCTTTAAGTCTTTGTAGTCCAGTTTGCACCATGAGCGTTTATGTTTGTCTATTTATCTCCTGTTGTCTGCGGTCTGATCAGGCTCTAGCACCTGCTTCGGCTCATTGTAACCACATCTATTGTCTGCTATTTGATTACCCTGTACAAAAGATCTGAGCGCTCACACTCTCACACACAGAGGATGGATGTCTATTAGGAGTGGAGTGTGTGGCAGGTATGGTCATTAGAAAGAGGATCAATATGCACACTCACAAGACCTCTGTCTCTCTCTGTCTCATTCTCTCAGTATCTGCAGCACGATTGATCCACTTACAATTAAGCAGGCTTGTCGAACAGTTCAGGGGAAATGTTGTCCCACGTCTGGGCCTCAACCCCCTGAGCAGCTCGGCTGACTGCAGAGGGTGTGATCGATGGTGCAGGGTGACCCGAGCGTCCAGGTGTCTCTCTGTCTATCTCTCTTTGAGAGGAGTTTGTGTCCTCTGGCAAACAAGTTGATGCTCCTGCTCGGGCACTCTTCTCCATCCAGATCAGACCCCACGCAGCTGCCAGCTGAGGTTTGGGCCACCTGTGTTTGCAGTGTCATTGAGACCTTATGGTCCCAGATACACTCGCTCTGCAGAACGAATGCTGAACTCCACAAAGCTGCAGCTAAAAATAGGATTTAATTCCAGTTAACTTTGCATAAAGTTTAGAAAAAGTCAACTTTGTGTCTCGGAAATGACATTTGTTTACATGTCATTTCTGAGACGCAAATATGTTTTGTTTACAGTAGAAAGTATGACATCAATGTGCCGAGCATAACCCAAAGACAGATGGTGGTCACCAAGGACTTTGACAAAAGAGATCTGACTTTGCACCCCGAGTCCCAGGAGAGGGAAAACTTCTGCATCACATTAAACACAATGCAACCCACAATAACAATGACTCTTTTGCTTCATCTTTTATGAGAAACTGGACCAGTATGGCAGCTTCTAAAGGTCTGCTATCTTGTTAGCAGATATAACCAGACCCTGAATAAGGAGATTCTGACAGATTAATTTAAGGAATATCAATGTGTGGAAAGAAATTCTATAAATTTGTTTACAGAGTCAAAACCAAGACATAGACAGAAAGAGCAAGAGAGATTGAAGTCATAACACTGCAGGCTACGACGGGGAAAATGCAAAATTAGAGATTCAGTTAAACTTAGTTTGGGATGTAGCTGTGTTTAAGGAATGTTAAATAGAAAAGAAAATGTCACAGACTCTGATTCACTCAGTCCTCTTCACCTTATTTTACCTCATCCTCAGAGGAACTGTTCAGGCTAATGTGAGTGAGTCTGTTTAATGGCTACTGCTGTACAGCTTTACTGTCTGGATGTAAACAAACACAGATGGCTGATGGCTTGTTGTGTTCTGGAAGTGTTGTGATGAACTGGCACATAATCACTGAACTGGAGCAATGTATAACCAGCACAGACATGCAGACCATAAACTGTCAGGAGGACCAAAGGCTGGTGGAGCGTAATCTGTTTACTGGCAGAATCTCCACTGTGATAAAGAAGTTGCTCACTTATGACTTTGACTTTTTCTTTAGTCTGACTTAGAATTTCCATTTAAAGCTCCTGTGGGCAACTTTCAGTTTGTGTCGACTTTGGCGCCCCCTGTGGACGAGCAGTCATTTGTCTTGTAACATCTGAAACAACGGCGATTCTCACCGTCCGCCAATTCCTACTGGATCTGTTTGTGAGGCAAATTTCGTGGTAGATTACGGACAGCAGGAATCGCGAGAACTCACAAGAATGTGCGGATTCACATAGGCTAACCATATAAGCAGTAGACTGTGTCCTTCCAGAGGAGGAAATTTACTGCTAGACTTCTAAAATCAGCATCTCCTCATCCATGGTGTTATCGGAGTGAAATGCTGTCTAAAAACCTTTCACTTGTTCGTCTCCACCCATTTGCATGGTGTGAATTACAATCCGCCTAAAACATTCCAGCACGGGTTAATCGATGTGAATTTATCCGTCATGCTTCTGTGTCTGGAAAAAATAGAACTTGTGCGATCAGCTGCAGAGTCCGGTGATCCAAAGCAGAACGGAAAGAAGCCGGTTGACACATTAACTTGAAAGGTTATGATCAGCTGCGATCAGCAGATATGGCCTTTTCATAGCCATTCCAGATGCGGTGGAAATTGGGGGTAAATGCTTAAGTCGTGTCTTTTAACAAAAAAAAAAAAAAAACTTGACTTCCGGCAGTCAAATGTTCCATTATTGTGAATATTTTAGGCGGTAAAGATATATATATATTTTTTTCCTTGTTGTGACAGTTTCAAGCATTAAAAATTAAAACATACCAGTTGTTTTTGATGGTTTTGTTTGCCTGTAGACATCATGAAAATGCATTTCATAAACGTCATAAAATTCCCAACAAATAAGAACTTCCTACATTAACAAGTTGCCAAAACACCTGCGACAAGTTGCATGCTGTCTCCATCTACACCTTGGAAATCAGCTGCACATCACGTCATCATCAGTGCAACATCCATTTTGTCACCCTGGTGCAAACTTAAGTGCTAAACTTGCAGACTGCTTGATTACCCCGCTTTCAGAGTTCACATTGTGTTCATTGTCGGTGTATTGTCTGTCTGTGTGTGTGAAGCATGGTTGTTTTGGTTCATTGAAATACTTTGTTGATTGAGCGTGTCCCTCAGATGAGCAGGACACCCTCCGGGTCCTCTTCTGCTGCACTCGGTGCATGTATGGACACAGACACACTCCCATCACAGTGCCTGCCCTTGTCTGACTTTTAGATTTTGCACCGACTCACAGACCCTGAACTTAACACATATCCAACAACACATAAGAACAACCAGCACCACCAGGTGTTTCCCCTCTGACTTCGTTCTTTCTGCCTCTGAGTGTGTGTCTCGCCACAACTCTAATCGGACAACCTTCAAATCCTTACCAATTCTTAGGAAGCCCGTCGGATTCCCTGGAGCCAATGAGATGCCAGCGAGGCAGATGGACATGAGAGAGCCCCAATCAGATCCCACGCTCGGATCAAAGTAGGAGTTTATTCTGCTGCATGTCCATTTTCTTACGTTTGATGACTCAGGCCTTTTTAGCCTTCTCACCTGAGACCAGCACTCCCTGAATGAGATGTTTTTGGCCAACTTTTCATCCAGGCCTAAAAGTCGACCCCTTAGTTGTAGTTGTGCATGCTTTGGACTGGAGCATGGCATGATGGGATCCGTTATTTTGAGCTAGAACGGAAAGATAAAGTAGAATTCAGTCTGGAGGTCTTATAAAAACCCTTTGAAATGGCAGATTGTTGTGATGCAGGTTTGTTTTCTTTCCTTTGCAATGCACCCCCGGATCTTTTTTGAATTCTCCTTGCAGCAGGCTTGTTTCAGTATTTGGCATGCTGATGTAACACACTGCTATACAGAGCATGCAGTGTGCTGTGACAGGAAATTTCTCTATACTAAAAAAAATAATAGCCTCTGTACGAACAAACCTAAAGACAGTTTCTTCTTATGAACAAAGATTGATGATATGACCGCACAGGGTATATCATGAGATGGCAGGAAGGAAACAGGCTGTCAGCGATGATCATGACTGATCATAGAATGATATTTTTGTATCCACCTTTATGTTAATGCTGCAACAAAAATGTGAATTTGTCTAAAAAAATCAGACAGACCTACATCAGGATGGCCAAATATTTAAAACAAGAATTAAAACCAGCCCACGAAAAATGGCCTTTCTCTTAAACGAATCATCTTACATTTCAGCAAATGCCAAGCGTCAATTAAAAGATCATTTAAGTCTCACACCAGGATGTGAAATGGAAAACCAGCAGCCAGTTTACTAGAAACAGCTAACCTAGCTACATTCTAAGGTATCACTGGCTCCTCTAAACCTTATTTGCTATATTTTCAGTTCAAGTTAAAGGGATATTCCGGCGTAAAATTAACTTGGGCTCAAACATACAGTAACACTGAGTTAGACATCCCCTCAAGAGATGAATGTTGCTGACTGCTTGCTTCTCTAGTTATACCAACTTTAGTAACGACCGCACAATAGCAATACAGAGAGCCACACGCTCAACCAAAACGCCACTCTATAGCCACAAATAATGCTCAGAACAGCATCTAACTTCATCAACAGTACATATAGGGTCCCACCCATAGTGCTAGCCATCAAACATCTTTTTAACTTTGCCTAATTTTCTTAGCAAAGAGACTAAACACAACTCACCTACTTTCTTCCAGCAGCCGCTTGTTTGTAGTGAGACCTCGAGCCAGTCCATTACAGACTACTGCGGGGTGACACTGTAAGAACATTTATGATCATTTCTTCATGGAAATACAATCAGACCGAGACACTAAGGCAGAACTACTGTGACTGAAGTGCAAAATGATGAATTGGTGATTATTACTTCAAGGAAATGATAAAGAAATGATCATAAATGTTCCTCCCTGAGCTGCATCACAGTCCGTAATAGACTGGCCTGAGGTCTCAATACAAACAAGCGGCTGCTGGAAGAGAGTAGGTGAGTTGTGTTTAGTCTCTTTGCTAAAGAAATTAGGCAAAGTTAAAAAGATGCTTGTTGGCTAGTACTATAGTTAGGACCCTATATGTCCTGTTGATGAAGTTAGGTGCTGTTCTGAGCATTATTTGTGGCTATAGAGTGGTGTTTTAGTTGAGGTTTGAGTGTGACTCCTCAGACCGCTCTGTATTGCTATCGTGTGGTTGTTACTAAAGTTGGTATAACTAGAGAAGTAAGCGGTCGGCGACATTCATCTCTCGACGGGGTGTCTAATTCGGTGTTACGGTGTGTTTGACCCTAAATTAATTTTACGCCAGAATATCCCTTTAAGTGTGGCATCAATGTTCTTACTTTACTCCGGGCCAAAAGACTTGATAAAAGCGATAATGTAAGTAGATTGTGTGTTCATGAAGCTGATTAAAAGAATAAACGTCCTATAACAGGAGCTGAGCTGTGTCAGGAGGATGTAACATCCTTTAGGCGAGATAGCTTTATGTTTACTGAGAAAAATGATTTAATAACTCTTGAAGAGGCTTATCTGTCTGATTACAAATACTAACCTGGGACACAGCAGTACATTAGCCAATAGCAGCGTTGAAGATTCCCATGATAAGTGAGACGTTTCATGAAACCTAAACAGAAAAAGGAGCTCTGGGGGATTTTTTTCTTTCCATATCAACCAGGAAAAAAAGTTCTGACAAAAGTCACAACTTGGCAAAGGTTCTTTGTAGTTCTTTGAGTCCGTCCTTGGTAAGTATTAGCACGCACTTTTGGTAAACAGAAGTTGTTCTCACACAGCAGGAAATGCCAAGAATTCATGAATGAAAATATCAACACACACATTCATACGTTCTCCTTGACGACTGCATTCCTAAAAGCTCTTGAACACACATCCTGTCACCGTCCCACTCCTGCTGCACCGACCCCACTGAATCTACAGAGTGTGTGTGTATGTGTGTGTGTTTGAGTGAGTGTGAGTGGGTGTGGTTGTGTGTTTGTGTCTGTGCAGCCAATACATGTCAAGCGAGAGATGTGTGATGTGACACTTTTTTGGCTGATAGAGGCTCCAACTCTCCAGGTGGACCGCTGCATTACACACAAACACGCCGGCACCGCACACACACACACACAGACACATGCACATACTCACACAGACACACACACACAGCTGGGATGCTGGGGTGCTGGATATGGCCCAGCATTTTAGCAGATGGCCTGGGTGCTACGCTATCAGTCACCATAGTAACATGCTCTCTTTTTCCTCTTTCTCTCTGTCTTTCTCTCCCTCTCTCTAGTGCTAAGAGAAGGAAAATGGCAGACAAGATTCTTCCGCAAAGGGTGAGGCTGCATATTTTTACCTTTGTTGCTCTGTTATATTTTTTTTCCTTCTGTGTGTTTGTGTGTGTGTTATCTTTTGTGCGCAGCAGAGAAAAATCCTTTTTGATGTCAGGGGTTCTTGGAAGGCGCAGAGGGCCAGATGATTATGTGTTATTTCCAAATGAGAAGAGAGAGAGGATGGGGCAGCGATCAGGAGGTTTTAGGGGGTTTTCTGCAGGGTTTCACTCTGTTATTTGGACGCTGGCTCATTGATTTAAATTGGAATAGTCCGCGGGATATGGCAGAGTCGTGAACACAAGTAGAACCGAAAGAGGCGGCGGAATCGCAGCGTCCACAGGTGAGTCCGCGCCGCCTGAGGTTGTGATTTTCATCCCGCGGTCTCCGATTTTTCGGCCCTGTGCCACAACATCGCCCCAACATTTCCTGGCCGGAACACAGAGGGCTTTTAGACCGAGGCTGGAGAGGTCTGGAGACAGTGAGGGTCTTGGCTCAGGTCTTATCCCCCCTATCATAACCCAGACACAGAGATAGCAGTAGGCACGGCTGGGGCGCCACTCCACTGTAATGAGTCAGGGACAGGGAATGTCTGCCACACTCGTCGGTCTGTCTGCTCAGCACCTCAGCCTGGTGAAAGGCAGCAAGATGGAGATAGAGGAGGAATGAGAGGGAACAATGAAGGCAGCCATTTAGACAGAAACATGAAAGAGGAGAAGAGGGAGGGAGGAGAAGGAGCGAGCTGGAGGAGAGGAGAGTGTGTGTGCACAGTTTGGTAAGTAAGCAGCAGCCCTTGATGCTCTGAGGACTTTCATCGGTATGGTAATGCTGGAGTCCTGGCTGGTTGGCTGCACACTTTGCATCTCATTTTTATTCCCCAGTGTCGCCGGGATGGTGTAAAATGCTGAATTAATGGTGGACTGGGCAGCTGCAGAGAGACTTTTCTACTTCTGTCAGGTTCTACTTTTGCTTCTGAGAAACAGCTTTGGCAGAAAAACAAACACAAAAACGTGACTGATTTCACTTCTTACCCTGTAGAGATAATATTTTATTTTAATGACCAAACATTAAGATCTTTTTCCACCGCTTTTCAATCCTGTACAGCCAAAGTTTCTTTAAACTTCATTTCAAATTCTGGTGGAGACCCCAGCCTTTCTTTGAAAACTGATTTATGTGTCCCACTGAATTCTGGATGATAAATAATTCTCCAAGAGTCAAGAAATTACCATTTGATAAACGCCGCAGCCTAAGAATACCAAGTTTGACGGTCTCACATTGTCATCGAAAACCTTGATATGCTGTATGTGTGGATACTTTCTCCAACTAAAAGCTTTGAAAAGGAGAAAAAAAAGGAGCAGTCTGACATTTTCAGAAGTAAATGATAAAATATCTTGAAGAATTTGATGAGACAGTAATATCACTGTCATATATGAAGTGCTGGTGCCAGATTCACTGTAAAAACTCAAACTTCAGTGAATGTATTTATCTAATTTAGATTTTTTTGCAATGTAAATAAGGTTGCACATCCTACCCCTAAAACTGTTTTTAATAATTTAAATATCTTAGATTTTATATGCATCAACAACATGTGTTGTTGGTTCTACTTTTGCTTCTGAGAAACAGCTTTGGCAGAAAAACAAACAAACAAACAAACGTGACTGATTTCACTTTTTATCCTGTAGAGATAATGTTTTGTTTTTAATGACCAAACATTAAGATCTTTTTCCACCACTTTTCAAACATGTGCAGCTGAAGTTTCTTTAAACTTTATTTCAAATTCTGGTGGAGACCCCATGAAATAGCTTAAAGAATTTGATGAGACAGTAATTTCACTGTCGTATATGAAGTGCTGGTGCCAGATTCACTGATAAAACTCAAACTTTAGTGGGTGTATGTATCTAATTTAAATTTTTTGCAATGTAAATAAGCTTGCACATCATACCCCTAAAACTGTGATTAATAATTTAAGTATCTTAGATTTTATGTGCATCAACAAATGTGTTGATTGTGAAATTGTTGTGATAATATCGTGAGTTTATAAGGGACTGGCTCACAAAGGAATAAAAGTAGTGTTTAAGTTCTTGTCTAATTCAAACTAACCTAAAAAGAAATGGACTTGTAAACACTTGTGAACACTTGAACTGTTCCTTTTTTTGTCATGAGTATTTTTTTTACTTTTTTTTTGTGTGAAGCTCTCTGTATTGCTCGCCTTGTATTTTTGTTATTCAGTATTTTACACCCCTCCTTGGAAAGACACTCTTTATTACAGAGCCGAAGTCGCTGTCCTTGAAGCAGCCATTGAACCCCCTGCAGCACCACGACTGAATGTTCAGCTAATCTGCTTCACTGATACTCAGAAAGTCCTCGTGAGAGGAACGTCACTAATAAATTTTGTGGTTTTTAAATGTCCCAGTCATACTGATGTTAAGATTTTAATGTCCCCCCCGCTCCGAGCAGATCCGTGAGCTGGTCCCTGAGTCACAGGCCTACATGGATCTGCTGGCGTTTGAGCGCAAACTGGACCAGACCATCATGCGCAAGCGTGTAGACATCCAGGAGGCGCTGAAGAGACCGATGAAGGTGAGGAAAAGAGAACAATAACAATAAGAAGTCCTCATAGTTTCTGTTTTTTACTTGATTTTTCTTGATTTGGTGAAGGACGAGCATGTTGTTTGGAGAAATTTTTGCACCTTAAGAGTTTGAGATGTTTTAATCAATCAAGTGTGTCCTTACCTGCCTTTTTATTATTTCTTTTTTTATCTAAATACAAAAAAGACCAGTTTAAAGACATAATATTTAAACTCCTCATCTTGACATTGAATGAATGTACATTTAAACTGGGATATTTTATGTCCCCTTGTGTCAGCAGCAAAAGCGTAAACTGAGGCTTTACATCTCGAACACCTTCAACCCTGCCAGACCCGACGCCGATGACTCAGATGGCAGTATTGCATCGTGGGAACTGCGAGTAGAGGGGAAGCTGCTGGATGACGTAAGTTTTCTGCATGTAAAATATTTAGCACTTTCACACTGGGTTACATTCTCAATTTGGAAAATAAGATGCAGCCCCCGAGAAGCTGCAGGGTGAAGCATTTTATCATTTCTGGGAGGTAACTTCACAGAGCGTCAGAAAAAAAGAAACAGAGATCACAATCCTCCGTTTTAGTAAGAAAGTGTGCTGCTGGGGGTCATTTTTAGCTACACTCCATAATGATTTACTCAATCTACATGGACTAAAAGGCCACTGAATGGAGAGAGTGTGAACACAGAATAATGCGAAGAAAAATCTTACATTTGTTTTGCTCTCTAAGCCTTTAAAAAGCTCTGATGTTCTCAGCAGTCTGGGGGCAAGGCCGTCATTTCACAGCGGTAGGAAGCATTTAAGTTTTTCACAAACCACAAATATTTCTGGTCGAGCTCACAGGAAGTGGACCCTGAGAATGTCTACTGTCTCTCTTTCTTTCTGATCTCTCTCAGCCTCTTGTGGGTTTGTCATAATTCACCATGCATTAAGCAAAGACGTGGCAATGACTGTTTACTTTAACATTTCTACCTGTTTGACTCGTGTCAGCGTTCAGGCATTCACCGCCTCCCTCTGTCTCCTTTCACAGCCGGGGAAGCAGAAGAAGAAGTTCTCCTCGTTTTTTAAGAGCCTGGTGATCGAGCTGGACAAAGATCTCTACGGCCCCGACAACCACCTGGTTGAGGTCAGTTCAGACATGGCGGCTGCTTCCTGTTCACAGAAGTAGAGGCATGTTTATAATCTTCATGATGTGGTCAACCTTCAGCCTCTCATATACAGAGTGACCACAGACTCTTTCAGAGATGTTTGGTGATCAGCCTTTTTGAGATGATCAGTTGCTCTGCTTGCAAATTTCTGCACTTATTGTCGTAATATTAACTCCTGAAATAAATTTGAAGCTAACTGCAATTTAGCTAAAAACTGAATACAAACTGAACTCAACCTCTAAATGATACAAAACAGTATTTTTTGAGTTGTAGATGCTCACTTTGGACTTTCAGGCTTCAGGTGGAACCTCAGGAGATTACTAGTTTGTGGCTTTGCAGCTTATCAAAATTTTATTTTATTTTTTTTATTTTTTTTTTATTTATTAAACTTAACATATATTTAAAGTTTAAATCATTTAAACCTATGTACAGGTTTCAGGTGTCAGATACGATATTTAAAAGTGTGAGCTTAAGATTTTTCTTTAGCCGAGTTTGCAGTTTCCTGTCCCTGCTTGTGGCTAAAGTCGCTTCATATTCTAAAACATGAGCTGTTTTTCAGCTGCTTTGCTGACACCTACCCCCTACCACTTTAACGCATTAAAAAATACCACACAAAAATCATGAATCTTGTTCCTAATGGGTTTTTCTGCTTTTTCTGTTTTTTCATTTATCATTAAAATGCATCCATGTGAATTTTAGTGTATTTAATTAAAATAAAGAAAACTCTTTACAGTAGCTTTAAGTAAAAAGTACCACAACTTTTCTCAAATGTAAACATTGAATAAATCAGCGTGAGAACCACAGACTGTATATAGAATTGATGCTGTCTGCCTCCTCGCTGGGTGAAGCCACAGTGAGAACAGCACCCTCTGGTGACAGGCTGCAGTATAGGTCATAAATCCTGCCTCCTCCAGCAATCTCTATGGAGCTGTGGACAAACTTTAGAAATTTATTACACAGAATATTAATGTTTCTCCCCCTGGTTTCGGTGTTGACGTGTAGTTATTGTAAGACTGGTTTGTGCTCAAGTCCTCTTTTTTCTGTACAGCTCCATTTTTAAAGGTTATTAGGGGGTTCATGTTTTTTTTGATTGACACTTGAAACAGCCTATGGGCGTAAGAAGATAGTTCACCTGGGGGATATGCTGTTTGAGCAGAGCGTCATCAAAGCGACTTTCGGCGACTTTCCTGCCAAATGCGTACAACGCTACTGCGCAGGAAATGGGGATAAATCGCAGAAATACCGAGAGCTTTTCGGCTTCAATTGTTATACTGGCGGAAGGTAGAACCAAGTTGTCCATAGTATATACAGTCTATGGTGAGAACCAACTGCTGCGACATAAAGTCTGTGATATTATTTCAAATGTTATTCTGTTCTCAGTCAGCAGGGGGAGCTCTGAAAGTTCTGGCTTCAGTCGTGATCGCTGTTGTTTGGTCCATCTTTATATACAGTCATACAGTCACTGCTTAAAGCCTGCAGCCATCATAGGTGTTTTTAGTGATGTTACCTGATGATACCTTTTCCTATAGAATACATCGTTGAGTTTTTGACTGCTTGGTTTCTCTGTGAAAAGCAGAGCTCCTTATTGAATGTTTTTTTTTTTTTTTTCATTAGTCCATTATTGAAACCCTCACATTTGGACAACCCGCGTGTTGGTCACTTTCTTTTCAGATCACATCCATTAACTGAATGCAGCTTTGGTGTTTTGCATACTTTGTGAATAGGACTGCCAGACTGAGGAGTCAGGGTCGGGGCGGCCTCCTCATCATGCAAAAGAAAAGCATTCAGATAAAATTGTTACTTTGTGAAACCTTGTTAATTCTTCAGCTACAGCCACCCCAACTAACCTGCTCCCTTTTTGCATGCCTAATGGATTAATACAAAATAAAGCACACTGAGTGATTGGACTGCCCTCTCTCATTCCTGCTAAATTGATTTATATAAAGGATTGGGATTTTTATTTTTTATTTCCAACATTGCAAGGTTGTTTTAACATGCAGCTCTGAGCACTGAAGAAAACAAGTGCTTACTTATTAAAAAAAAAAAAACAACATTAGTCACCCCTTTCTTTGTATCCTCACAAAATGTACTGACTTTAAAAAGCCACTCCAAGAGTGAAATTTATGACTTCTCAAGGTTCCTCCTTTTTAAGAGGGTATTTTAGCAAGGCACTCAGGTGCTTCGTTCTGAATGAGTTTCCATCAAAAGAAATTTCTCTCTACCTTGAGGTACAATCAGCGCTTAATCTGTTCCGAGTCCGCCATTGGTTGGAGGGAAACATTACTCCAGATTGCGTGCCAGTTTAGCGCAATTGACGGTGGCAAAGATAGTGCTTCAAGTGCTTTTCTTTCCTGTGTCTGAGCGGTTAGAAAAATAGATTTAAATAACATTTTCTCTGCATTTTTAAACTTAGAGGCGCTGATACATGTAAATACAGAATCTTCCAGCAAAAGTTGTTTTTTAGTTTTAGTTTAGTTTCTCTGCTGATAACACTCAGCTGCACAGACACATGGTTAACCTTTTGTTTATGGGCGGCTAGTTTGAGGATGTTGAGGAGACCAGGACAACTATCAGCAGACTTGCTGAGAATTGGAGATGATGAAGCTAATTTAGCTGCTCTCTGTTTGCCAAGAGGTTGTTAAAGTGTGTTGACAAAGTGTACCTTCATTACAAAGCCTAATTTTGTTACCAAAACACGAGGAGTACTAAACACTCTCAAGTTTTTGTTTATATCTATATTTAATTTGACATTTTAGCATACTTTGGTGTTATTTAAAACGAGTTTAATGTTTATGTGAATGATCCTAGTCTAGTTGTAGACACTATCTACCATTTTGGTTAACACAGTGGTTCACTAACTAAAGGTTGGGGTTTGTCACATGTGATAACAATCGAGCTAAAGGTCTCCAGTGTTGATAGGCTGTCATGCTAACCTGCATCTGTGATTATTGTGATAATATTAGAGTTTTTTCAGCAGATTTCATAGTGCTTTATGTGATTCAATAAATTAGGGTTATTTTTATCGCTTGCGTGTACAGATAATAATGTAGTATCAGTGGCTCTATCTTTGAAAATTTTGTTCAAATCTGTTTTTGATACATTTTCGTCTGAACCAGAACTGCGGATTGTCTGACCAGCTGACACTGCGAGTCCTCTTGCCACGTTGCCACTTTGGTTAATTTGCAGCATCAGTGATGTGGGTGCTGTTTAACCGCATTTGAGTCACTCACTGGAAACATAAGTAAATAACCTCAAAATTGTCATTCCTATGTTGTTAGAAACTGGTTGGTTTGGCAGAAATGAGACATCAACTTTTTCCAGTTTGGCCTGCCCACGTTAAACCGGCGTGAACAGCACAAGAAAAATTAAGATTCAAAAATCTCCCGTGTTGGTATTATTTAAAATGTTCTAACTTTAGCAGCAAAAATGCGTGTCCTTGTAAAGTCCCATAGCTCTTAACGAGAAGCTGAATGAGAAAAAACAGGTTTTCACAGCTTTTAAAGCAGGAATTAATTCTCATTTACAAAGTGTGAAACAAACAGAAACTGAAGTGTGAAACTAACGGTCTGAATAAAGCGGCTCATTTGCGACATGTAGTCACTGTGTTGTGGTTTTTCTCTTCCAGTGGCACCGCACGCCCACCACCCAGGAGACAGACGGCTTCCAGGTGAAAAGGCCGGGAGACGTCAGCGTGCGCTGTACTCTGCTGCTGATGCTGGACTACCAGGTGAGGACACCAAGTCTCATAACGGCTCACAACTCCATCCCGAAATAGACTCTCCTCTGTTACAACTCTGTGACTAATCCGTCCCGTGAAATCAGCTGTTGTAGAGACATCCTTCAGGCCTCAAATCGATGATAACACCAGTCTACAAAAACATTACAGAGTGCTTTTACAGTCTCCATTCAAAGCTGACATCACTCTCTAAGCCGCAGGAATAAGATAAGGAAGTCAGATATGATGTAAAAGCTGGGAGGTAGGCGGCTGTAGAGAAGTGTTGTAATGTGATTATATCGTCTCTGCAGCCCCCCCAGTTTAAGCTGGACCCTCGCCTGGCTCGGCTGCTTGGCATTCACACACAGACTCGCTCCTGCATCATCCAGGCCCTCTGGCAGTACGTCAAGACCAACAAGCTGCAGGACTCCCATGACAAGGAGTACATCAACTGTGACAAGTACTTCCAACAGGTACGAGGCTCTCTGCGTGCTGTAGATCACATCTGCTGTTCTGGATTGGTGTCTACAGCAAAATCGATGCATCCTTTTAAAGTATTGAACCATAGCTATCAGTGCATCAGTTAATTATCCTGCCTGCGAGCAAAGATGTAATTTTTACCCTCCTTACAGATCTTTGATTGCCCTCGGCTGAAGTTTTCAGAGATCCCTCAACGCCTCACCAACCTCCTTTTACCCCCTGACCCCATCGTCATCAACCACGTCATCAGGTAGGTTCCTCTTCACTGATACAAATCTTATGTCGGATGGAGTAGGAGCTGAAGAAACAGCCCCGTTGTTACTGTTTCTACTTGAAATATTCACAATAAATAACAATAAATGTAAATGTAAAATGTATATGTTCTTTATTTATACAGCCCTTTACAACAATCCTTTCGGTGAAACAAACTGCTTTACAATACATGGTAAAAATGAATAAATAAATAAAAGAAACAATGCGATAAAATAAAGTGTCACCATGCAACTGGGTATTAAAAGCCAGCATAAATAAATACATTTTCAATCGAGATTTAAAAAGGCCCAGGTCGGATATAAGTCTCATTTCGGTAATACATTTGGCTGACACTACTTTGGCACAAGATTAGCAAAGACTGCTTTGTCCACAGGGGGCGCCAAATTGAGACAAGCTGAAAGTTCCTAACAGGAGCTCTAATATTAAGGCTCCTGTGAGAAATAAATAAAGAATAAAGAGATAAATAAGAATTGTTTTGTGTCTCTCGGCGAGACAATTAAATCTGCCAATTTTAGCCCATTTGAGACTAATCGGTAATCGGCCAAAACTCGCCGATTTTCGCCGATTTTTTCAGAAATGAAATGCGGAGAATAAGATTCTGTTTCACTTGAAACTTAATTTGAAACGTTCCCCGACTTATCCTGTAGATGGCGCAGCAACCTCATGACAATCTTCATCCACTAACTAGCTCGCTTTTCTGGTCTGAGTTTGATCAGTCGGTCTTCCTGTGGGCGTGAAGAGCAGTAGCCTACAGTATATCTACAGTATATAGTATACTGTAGATATATACAGTCCATATCGGTCGGGCCCTACTGAGTATATACACCAACCCTTGAAGACTAGCGAAGGCTCGTCATCAAGTCATAACTCATTTTCTTGCTTGTGTATTTTTGGTCCTTCAGTGTGGATCCAAACGATCAGAAGAAAACAGCGTGCTACGACATCGACGTGGAGGTGGAGGACCCCCTGAAGAGCCAGATGAGCAGCTTCCTCCTCTCCACCGCCAACCAGCAAGAAATCGCCTCGCTGGACAACAAGGTGAGATCACAACAACATCGCAGATGACGCTGATTCAACCCGACTACTTTAACTTTCGAACTGTAAATCACGCTGAGGCGATAAGAAAGCCTTGTTTGATTTTAACAAGAAATGTTGTTTAAGACGCAGTTTGGTTGTTGTGGATTTCACACCTTGCTGTTCTGTTTGTTTGGGATAAAAATTTATTCAGTGTAGGCATTAGGAGTTTTAAACAGACATTTTTGTGAAGAAGAGGTTACCGTGGGTGAGCAGGATGAAAAAGCTGTTGCAAAAACACGTGTCCTGCTGCTTTAATTAATTGAGTATACACTGATTTCTTGATTATTTCTTGGACATTTTATACTCATTTTATATTTGCATGATCTGTTTCAGTACGTTTTAGTCATTTATCATATAATATTTGAGGGTTAGATAGGCACAACTCTCTCCTAAGCCCTCTCCATGCTAGCTAAAGGCACAATCTTGATGTCTCAGAGGTTTGATGGTTGGACCATGTCGTACCACCACTGTGCCAGTATCTGAGGTAGGAACAGATTTGTTACAGAGGCCAGACAGGATCACTGCGACAGTGTGTGTTTGTAAACATGAGCCCCCCACTATGTGTTCACCTTGTGCTTCGATGTGAAATGATGCACCGGGACACCAATATTACACAGGATCACTATGGAAGCGGGATGATGGCAAAGCTGCATTATAGCGCTGTCGCAGACTTGTATTATGAAAAGAACTAAAGAGAAAAAAAACAGCGTCAGATCCTCTCATATTCTGTAAAGTAAGCTGCGTATCCATGAAAACCTTTATATATTTACATCCATTGATTTATAAATCTCTGGGGAGCTGTTTTTTTTATTCGTCTGCATGATTGTTCAGCTGTGAGATTCCTGCTTTTTTCCTCGGTCCGCATTATGTCCTGTTCTCTCTTTTTCAGATCCATGAGACCATAGAGTCCATCAACCAGCTGAAGATCCAGAGGGACTTCATGCTCAGTTTCTCCAGAGATCCCAAAGGCTACATCCAGGACTGGCTCAAATCCCAGAGCCGAGACCTCAAGGTTCTTCACTTCTATTAATATACGAACACACACACACACTCTCACGTAGCTGCTTTATTTCTATTGTGCTCTTCAAGGTGGAGCTAGAAAATCAAACTCTAAAGATCCTCCATCTGTGTAACTTCTTAAAAGCTAGTAGAGGTGCATTAATTTTGAGTAGAGTCAGGAAACCAACATGTACATTCAAATCAGGCTTTTCAGGAGTTATCAAGTGCAGCTAGTGACCCCTAGTGGCTGAAAATGTCTGTTCAAGCTGAAATTTATAAATATTACATTTAGACATGAGTGAACTGATTTTAATGATAGACTCAACTTTTGGTAAACAGTGTCAGTTGTGCATCTGAAGCAGATATTAGACCGGTCCCTAAAGACTGGAGCTAAATCTTGTGAAGACTGCGCAGGTATAATAGAAAGATTACCACATCTGTTCAAAGGAGAATGTTGTGACTTAATTTCACCTGCCTAAATTATCCAAAGAACCACTGAGGTGTAAGATAGCCAGTAGTACAGTTGACGCATCTTCCATGTCTATTGTTTCCCACGTGTAAATGAAACAGTTTGTACAAGTGACATTTTCCCAGTTTATTCTTATTTTGTCAAAGAAACCAAATGAAAAATAAAGACAAAGCAAATTCCAACAATTGTCATTTTTTCCTTACTGAACTTTATTTTCATTGGTTGCAGTTAATGACGGACGTCGTGGGGAACCCTGAAGAGGAGAGGAGGGCCGCATTTTACCACCAGCCTTGGTCCCAGGAGGCTGTCAGCCGCTATTTCTACTGCAAGGTGAGAGGGAAAAAAAACCCTGTCTAATTATCTTTACCCTCACCTTAAGTGAACCCTCGAGCTTTAATGATGTTCAATCATTTTTTTTCTTCTTTCTACTTCTTCTCTTCCCACAGATCCAGCAGAGGAGACAGGAGCTGGAACAGGCCTTAGCTGTCCGTAACACCTAAATCAAGGCCTCCCTAAAACTCCACAATTCAAAGCTGAGTGTTTGTTTTTGGATGTGTGTGAGGCCTTCGCTGTTACACCTCTAAAAGGATGGCTGTTAAAAAAGTAACATTAATCTTTCAGAGGTTTCTCAGTGTTCGGAAAATAGAGGATTTCATCGCGATTGCAGCCACATCTATGTATGTTCGGAAGCTGGATCTTGATGCACATTTGTTCCGTTTTTTTGTTTGTTTTTTTTGTGCAGGACATCTTCAGAAAAACTCATTAACAGCATGTATTAAATGCACTAAGACCACAAGCATCCTCAGAACAAAAAACTCTCTCTCTCCATCGCCTCTCTGTTTTTGTAAATACATCACGGATTCATGTCAAGATGAACTCTGAGCCAGCCGCTCACTCACACACACTGCTGTTTTAGCGAGATCTGCTACTGCGCCGGATTGAACTGTACATGATGAAACCTGACGTCAAGGTCCATCAACACAGTACTCTGGAGGAGTCTGCATTTTTTATGTTTTCGACTGTTTTTTTTTTTGTGTGTTTTTTTGGGGGGGTTAGGTGTGATCAAGTATTAGTGTGTTTTCATTTATTCTCAGATTGATTAATTACACCAGCAAAGTCCAGATTAAGTGGGACACATTAGATTAAAGGAAAAGATATGAATTAAATTCATTTGCAGTTTTGATCTTTGAGTGGATCTAATTTATGTTGCATTCGCTAGTAAACAGTCTGCATCAGTATTAGTGACATTAACCAAAATATTATCTTATTAACAGCATCATGTCTGTTTATAGTGTTAAATTAAAGATAAATCAGTATTGATAAAAAAATAATAATAACACTGATAATAGCTTTTTCTTCCCTCTATCATAGCAACATGAAAATAAGCCTATGATACATGTTGGAACTTGTTTGTGTGTACTATTTTGCCAGCTAATGTCTTGAAGGTGTTACCAAAGGTCGCAACAAGAAAAAGAGAACATGATCACTGAAATGCAGAAGAGACGGGCAAAATAATCCTCATTTGGGTTTGGAGGAAAGTGCAAAAGAATCCTTGTTCAAATCCAAACCATACTCTTCATGGCAAATTAGGCCTGAAGTTTTTGTAAACAAACTTCAAACCTGCTGTTGAATCGTTCCCTCAAGCCCAGGTGTGGAGATTTTTGTCCATTTCTACTCTTTTTATGTTACATGAAGAAGAAAAATGCAGTTTTTTTTTTTCTAGAGATGTGAATGTAAATACGTTTTTTTCCCCCTTTTAGAGGGCCAACTGTACAGTATACGACAGACTATCTGTGTGTTTGTTTTGGGGGTGTATGGGTCGGGTGGGAGGGGGGTGTGTGAGTAACACGGTGCGGTATGGGAGCTCCATGCGTTTTGCATTAGTAGGGCAGGAATGTTAGCATTCCTCTGTGTGCTATCTCGGGTCGGGTTGGTTTATTTTAGGTCCATCCCGTAGCTATCGTGGGAGCTGGATGCTGCAACAAAGAAAAGATTTTCAATCTCAGTAGCTGTAACACATCAAATAATCTGCATCCATCTTTTTAGTGAGCTGTATGTATATGTTGTAATGTCAGATGGAGGATTTTTTTATTTCAACAGGCAGATTTTGGGTTTTCTTTGAACTGTGCTGTAGTTCTTTGTTGGGATTATCTTTGTTTTGATTGGGTGAGACCCTCTTTACTATCCCAGCATACACAGAAAGTGATTGGATGATTTCACGATGACCTATGCATGCTCCATGGACAGTGATTACTACATCTAAAGAGACAGTGTGTGTACATATACAAAAAGCAGGCATATTTGTCTCTGTGACGAGCAAAAGACTCATCGAGATGCCTTCTGGAAACTTTTTTGCCAAAAATGATATGCCCTACCAGCAACTAACTGTAGGTGTGATTTTTCTGAACTGTGTTTTTTGTTACTAAGTTAAATTAACTGCACTCATTAGAGGAGAAACAGTAGTCATTGGTAGTATCTTTAGTCCTGTGTCGGACCTGGAGGGGTGTGTCTTTGTATGGCCGGGGCATTCATGTTGTTGTCACTGATTCTCTAGCACCCTCTTGCGGTGGAAACTAGAAGCTGCATCTTCTGGCTGACCTCGAGCTGAGAGGACCAGAAAAATCGGAGAAATGTAAACAGACTACTGCATCTCCTGTTGCTAAACCTTGACATATACTGTTGACATGTTTGTCCCACTTCCTGCATGTGTTTGTGAAGAGTGGGAGCCGCTCTTTCTCTCTGTTTACACTGTCACCGGAGTGTCACCAACGGGGAGAAGATGATGGTACTCATGATACTGTACATCTGTAAAGAGCAGACTTGATTGGTGATCACACTCTACAAGAAAAGATGAAAAAAGGGAAAACAGCTGTGACATTACAAGACAGCCTGGATGTAAATAAAGAAGCGCTTGCCAAAGTTTGTAAATGCCATGATATCTAAGGTGTCTTTCTTTCACCTTTTTGTGGATTTCAATTTAGAGGTAATTGTCCCTGAAGGTCACATTAAGATGTTTATAAAATAGACTGAAAAAAAAATTGATGCCTTTTCAATTGATACCTAACTTCGTCAACAGTACATAAAGGGTGCTAGCCACAGACCTAGTCATCAAATATCTTTTTAGCTTTGCCTGATTTCTTTAGCAAAGAGACTAAACACAACTCACCTACTCTCTTCTAGCAGCCGCTTGTTTGTAGCGAGACCTCGGGCCAGTCCATTACGGACAGCTGCGGGGTGACGCAGCTCAAGGAAGAACATTTATGAGGTAGATTTTTCTTGTAACACTGGAAAAAGTTTGAGGAACTTACTGCTGTTAACTTTGAATGGGCAGATCTTTAGTAACTCTTTATTTGGCATTTCTGGTAGTCAGGTGTTTCTCCCTTGTCATCATGTGCTGTTGCACTAATGTGTGTTTTTGTGTTTGAACCAAAGGAGACCATACACTCAAACTTTCACTCACTCATTTCTTGTCAAAATGTTTCATGCACTCAGCTGCACATAAAGATTTACAACTTTTCCTTTGATTTTTCTGAGTTTGAAGGTTTGATGTTTGGCTGGGCAAAATTTGCTTTATACTGGCAATAGTGTTTCGTTAAATTTCAGCATTTTATTTCTTTGTAAGCTTTTCCATAGGCCATTGATTTCTGAAGAGGACAGTATAAGAGTTTTCTTTTACCACTGCTTTTATAAAAAACAAACCCCTGACTTGTCTGAAGTGGATGCCGTCCCGAGGAGACTGTATGATTTAACTTTAAATGTTATTATATCATAAAAAATGTATTTATCAAGCTACAGGGTCTATAAATATCTGAGTGAGCTAAATGACTCTTTACTAAAAGAGCACTGTCATGCTCTACATCAGGTAAGTGTTGACTGGTGGGTTGAACCCCTCAGAGGTGGCAGACAGGCGTTTTATTGTTCAGTGACCTCACCACAAGAAGCAGGTGGAGGCCTTTCCACAGCGTGCTGCGGCGCTGCTGTAAAGCTGACGGCAGCTCCACCTCAGAAAGAGCCTCTTTCATTCAGCTGCTCCACTGTTCTCCCGAGCCAACGAACCCTCGCACTCTCGAAGTTTTGTGGCCAGGGGAAAGCAGGGGGGCTCAGTGCAATCGAGGAGGGGGAGAGGAGGCTGTGTGAAGAAGGTCTTTCAGCTCATTCAACCATCTCGCTGTGAAGGTTAACCAACCACGCCAGGGCAGCCCTTGGCTAGGTAGACACAACCCTCCCTCTGGGCACTGGGTTCACTTCTCTCCCTGAAGACACATGTGTACAGAGGACTCGCCAAAAACCTAGGGAGGCCCGGGCTGGGGTGGAGAATTACTGACTTAATGTGAGGAGACGAGGCGGGGTAGGCTGGAACAAACTGTTCACTGCCTTCAGGCACTGCAGAAAAGCTTTTGGGCAAAATGAGCCGACTTCAAAATGTATTATTCTGAATGTAAGCACGCCATCAAGACTCATTTTCTGCCATATTTCCTTTTCTTCAGCTCTGCCAAGCAGATAACAAACCTCCAGGAGCAACTGTTCAAGCATGCTGCGAACAGACCCTCTAAAAATTGTTCTTATTAACTGAGACTAAATTGTGCTTTTTTATACACTCTGAACAGCAGGAATGAAGAAATCGACTCCTTGCTTCAATATCAATTTTTAATACGTTTTGTAAAAATGAACACTGAAAAGAAAAGGCAGCTTCAGCTTGTTCCCAGTATTTTTTTTTTTCCTATTTTCACTGCGGGACACTTGTGACTCAAGTTTTCTTTCAAATAAACAATAAACCATTTATTTCTTTATTATTTCAAGACAAAACCTCTTGTATTTCTCTTTTGAAAATTAGAAGTATAAATATTGTTGCTCAGCTCCTGTGGGAATACATCAGTGGCAGGAATACAAGTAGTACATTTGAGGAGTTGTGCAAGACGGCATCTCCATGACTCAGAATTTGTGGAGACATGACACCGGCAGAGTTGCAAAATCATGAGTCAGAGGTACTCATATGTTTAGAGCTCTAAGTTGTTTGGCAGGAAGATACACTTAAGCTCTGTTGACATGCCCAAAACAATATCTTGCTGGTTGACACTTTCTGCCAAATATGAAGGTAGGAATTGTAGTCTATGGATAATAAAATTTCCATAAATATAAATTGATTCACATTATTTTGCACGAGTTCTACAGTCCAGGCAGTGTGTTTAAGGCCCCTACACTTTTCAAAGGCCATGTTTTCAGGTGCTGTTGGCCTGCTCTTGTTCAAAAAGAGCCATGGCCAGATGTGAGCGCGACCCCAGACCTTCTAGGTTGCTGAGGACGCAGCGGTGGTAGATATCTTCACTGAAGCGTGGGTTGCACGTTCTCCGCACGTATTTCTGGATCAGCGCTGGCTCCACCGCCCTGAACACGTGGAGCCCAGAGTACCGCACGAATATGTCATACACATCCATGCTTTCCAACAGCTCCTCATTGTCCAAGATATCTGCAGCCATCTTTGTCCGTGCTGTCATGTAGTCTGCGTTGTAAAAACAAGCCTCGTCAAAGACGTGCCGGTCAAAGTGGCCGTCTCGCAGTGACTCGGAGGCAAAAGAAGAGGAGGCAGCAGAGGGTTGCTGGTCACGGTAGACGACAGCAGGACTGTATTCTTGGAAATGGATTGGGAAGAAGACCTGCCAGTTGCTGATGGCGTTCATTCTGCAACGATTGAGAAAGTCGGCATTGACTTCAGTCCACACACTGGCCAGGAAGAACAGTGTGTCCACGGGGTGCTTCTTAGAAATGATATCCATTAGCTTGACCTGTGAGGGCACTTCCGTCTTCACACTGATCCAGGGGATCTTAACATCAGCGTAGCGCTTTTCGACTTCCCCAATCATCGCTTTAATACCAGCAAAAACATCAGTCTGGCTGACTCGCTGGGCATCAAATGGGTCATAAATGAACAAGAACGTGAGTAAAACATTATCATGGGTGTCCAAAGTGTTCATCACATACATGTCAAGAAAGTTCCCAACAAAGTCCTGATCCTGGGCCGTGACAGGTAGGATGACCTGCACACGTGTTGCCTCTGTCACATAAGGCATAGGGATGATCTCCACGGCACTTAGAGGTCGCAACAAATTGACCCGTTTGGCGATAACTTGACTGTGACCTTTTTGGGTGTAGGCCTCCAATGCAAGGTCCAGCATGTACTCCATACCGCGAGTTGGATCAAAACGGCGATAACCATTGAGTAGACGCCGCTTCCGGAAACGCAGCTGAGGTTGATAACGCTCGTTTAGACGCTCCACAGCGATTTCTAAAACCGCATTAACATCCGCACGGTCTGCGCCCCGCATTTCGCACTTGGGGGAGCTGTCGACGCATGAGTAGATGTGCTCTTCAGTGAAATATTCCCAGTTTATAACCTCGAAGCGGGTTCTTGGCTTGAAAGGAGGGTTGATGCCAATAGGCCACGTGACTCCAGCTTTACCCTCAGGCGTGAGGTCGCTCAGGTTGTTGATCTGCATCTAAGTACACATAAATGCGTCAAAGATTGATAAACAGATTCAAAAAGTAAGCATTTTTCCTGCTACATATATGATTTTTCTGCAGTGTCGTGTGTACTGCACCTAAGTCAAACTATCAGTAGTAGCTTTTAGAAGAACAAGGCTTTCTAGGCAGAAATACAAAGTGATGAGACTCTTTCCTTTCACTTCAGGCTTCAGCAAAACATCTGATCCCTGTCTTGGCATCCTGACTCATTCAAATATTGCATTCATCAAGAATTTCTGTCTTGGCTTAAGAATAGAGGGTGCGGTGGAAAGAATAACAGTAAAACTTTTCACACACAACTCATCGCTAGAGCAGCCACCTTGTACAGTCCTATCAGAAAACAGACACTGACTGGTGAGAGAAAACAGTGAAAAGTATCACAAACCTGCAGCTGTTGAATCTGTAGGTATGTCTGTTCCAGTTCAATCTTACTGAAGCGTTTGTGCAGGCGGTACATCAGATTTGGTTCAGACACAGGGTGGACTGTGAAGGCGTTTTTAAACTGTACACTGTCTTCACGCTCTGGATCAGCATTTTTTCCGAGCTCAAAATAACGATAGGTCATCTCCTGTAATAGAGAAAAAAATGTTCTGCTTGTTAAACTATAAAAAGGAGGAGATAAAAAGGCTCACAGATTTTTTTTAATTCAAGTAAAGGAACATAAACTTGCATTAGAGGAAGTGCTAATTCAACCATTTTACCAAACTAGAAAAAGAACAGATTCTAAAACCTAAAATCTTGACTAAACAAATAAAAATAAATATTTCCACCACTTTTTCCAATGAAAGCCTTCTGGATCCCTCATCAGTTTGTGCAAAAAAATATACCTGTAATGTTCTAACTTAACCTTATATTAAGTAGGAAAATATTATGCCAAGGTGAATGTGTGTCAGTCTTAGAATATAAAGAGACTGTTGAGCTTTCTCGCAGCTCTGAATCATCGCTATTGTTCATACACTGGCTGATTCACTTTCATTCACGTCTATACAAGTCCTCCTTGTTTGTTATGGATATTCACTGGCAACTCTTCTCATTAATGAAGTCTCCCCCTCCTTTTCTGTTTTTGTGTTACTGATGCTATTTTAATCAGTTTTAAAGGGTAACAACTCTTGTTTGAGATATGCACTGGGTAAGCAACTAGGTCATATTTTCTGTCGGTTATCATATCATCCATTCAGGTCTATTCCAGAGCATTACTGTTTCGTTAGTTTCCTTCTTTACTGTATTTGCACTTGTACCTCCCTACTTCTGATCAACTCATCTTTCAATTAATTAAACTTCTACTTTATTCATTTGACATATATCCCCACTGGTGTCCATGCTCTTGTTACCTGGTGCACTTCCACACAGCTCAGCCCCAGGTAATCAATTATGCAGCGGCCCAGCCACTCATCAGGTCTCACACTGAGGATGTCATTCCGGCAGGTGTCCAGGTGTGGCTGCAGACGAGCCAGCAGACTACGAGATAACAGATAACCATAGCCGCCATGACAGTAACGCGCCTTTTCCTCTCCACCAATAAACTCCTCTGCTCTGCCCATGTACAAATCCTGACCAGCACTCAGGTGTCCCACCAGCTCTGACAGGCGATCTGCTTGCATGTAGGTGTCATCCTGGGCTAACAGGAACCAGTCATAGTCTGCGCCATAGTGCTGGTGGAGGTGACGCACAGTCTCGTACATTAACCAGACTGGACGGTCGTCACCGTGAGCAACTACTGTCATCCCATGAGGAATCTTTGGGCTGCGCAGGCCAGTGAAGAAAAAGGTGCGATGGAAGTGATGGGCAACTGTGCGATTCACAGCCACGGCCAGAGTGTTGAGGGTGGCCCGAGAGGTGAGGACACCAACCAGCAGGCGTTCTCTGATGCCCAGTTCAGTGTGAATATACCGAGTTCTGAAGGGATATAAAGTACAAGTAAGAAAACAATGAAAGCTGATCAGAATAAAACCAGAATAAAAATTATCATCGTCATAAAGAGGAAGGTTGCTCCAGTTGAACAAACTCACTGCCATGCCTTCAATTCCTCAAACTACAAATGAAAGTCCGATTTAAATTCTGGTCATGTGAAGCTTTTCTTTGCCAAATGTCAGCTGTGGGATTTAAAATAAGGCATGAAAGTAACTTTAAATCCGTAGATAAAGACATCTGCTCTCTCCACATGAGAGCAACTGCATTCCTGAACAGAGAGATTAGAATCGTAATCTCTAATCTATTGAGGAACTGCGCTTCAAACCTTTGTTTTTTAAATCAAAACAAAGGTGTGTGAAGTAAAGCCAAAGTAGATCTGCATGTTGGATACCTGCAAAAATCCAATATTGAAGACATACATGACTCCCACACTCACCTGAGAACCTTTTTATGAGGCTTGTTAGGGTCTTTGTGATAGGGTACAATACGTGGCTGGAAGTCTTCATCTCCTGCTCCATCTCTCAAGTCTCTCTGGGCATCTCCCCTGCCCAGGAAAAGCCTCCCGTTGCCCAGTTCATCTGCACAGGAGTCGTCGTTATCTCCTTGTGTCCAGGAAACCATCAAAAGACTGAGACTACATCCAAGAGACAGCCCGAGGATGAGGGGCAAAGCAGGCCTGAACACGGCCAAAAAGGAGGAAAGACGCATTTCTGGTAGTTATGAGGCTGTTCTGGAAAATTTTACAGCCTACAGTAAGGGGTGTTGGAGATTTGTCCTCTCTCCTGCTCTGGTTTAACACATTTTTACCAAGAAATGATGTGCTGACACAGACGGGAAACTCTCAAATGTCACATAGCTTTTCTCTACAGACACAGCTGGTGAGGTAGTTGTTTTATATCTTATAATTAACCTACCAAGCAAAGACCAAGCAGCATGTTGTGAATGTCGAGGGGGCTGGTTAATCATTAACTTCCCATTGAACACGCTTCAATTATGAAGCTTTAGGAATATATAATTAATCCTTTTAAGGAACAAAAGGAAAAAAAGGTTAAAACCATTAACAATTCATGAGGCTTAACTGCTGCCAAAACAACCCGAGGTGGCTGTTCAGTCCCTGTCACGTTACAAATAACGCATTTCTATCGGTTTTATTCGCATTTTACGTTATGTTAATTAGCCAAACTTATTTTGGCTAACAATTGCGCTAACAGTAATTTCTAATGCCAGCTAACTAATACAGCAAAACGCTTAAGAATGCCCGGTAAAGTTTAGGAGTATTAGTTCTTTTAGCCATTATTTCCCTTTCACTACCAAACCAAGAGAGCTTTACGGTTTTAATCGTCGTATTTGGAAATGTAACCTCCACGGTAACGTTATCACTCGGACAACAAACATTAAAGAGCAGGCTAGCAAGCTAGCAACGCGTCCGATGTTTCATTGCATATAAGTCGCTTCTCGACCCACGTCCACGAACACCGCCTCGAAATCCCAGCTCCCGTTTCTCGTCGTTGATAAAAACAAAAATGCATCCGACACCGCCGTGTGTTTTGCGTCCATTTTCCTCTGTTTCCTGACTTCCTCAAATATCGAGTGCCACACACGCACACACAGAGTAGAAATAATGCTCCCCCCTCACGTCGATTGTACCCTCCTCATCACCGTTAGCGTTAACTGCTGCAGCATCACCCCCGGTTCACCCAGAGTCCAGAGCTTTTATGAGACTGAAATAAAAAACAACTATATTTACCTTTTCCACATAGAGGCCATAAATATAAATATATTTTGAGTCACGGTTATAAACTTAATTAGCACAGTTACAAACCCACGGGAATACGCAACCCTTTATTTTTTAATTTGTATTTCTTAATTTAGAGACTGTTTACTCTGACTTAGCAGAAAAATATACGTTTTTATCGTTTGATAAATTAAATCTGCACTTAATTACAGAGTAATGGAACATTTTGCGTTGCATTCGCGTGACGCCGGACTAATCGGAAAACACACTTTACAAGAGAAAATAGTCGGACCAACAGCTCGTTTTTCTTTCCGCCAACTCTTTCCGCTCCTTTGTTTTCCGTTTAATTTATTAAGTCAAACGTGGCAACGATCCATTTTTGGTCACTAAAATTGGCTGACATTTTAAAGTTACGACTTGTACACCAGGGTTGGAATAGAAAAACCGTAGATATATAAGAAGGGCTAGATGATTCGAGGCGGAGTCACCGGCGTCCCTACATGGCGGCCATCTTACTCCGGTATACCAATCTAGTACTCGCTATGGTAGCTGACAGGAGGTGAGAAATCTACATGATCAAAAATACGCTTAACTCGCTGAAATCTTGACATATTATTATGGTTTTGTTTATTCCTGACCTTGGACATATTGAAACGGCAGCTTTTCTTTGAGAAAAAAAGACTTGATCATGAAGCACAGTTGTTTCACAGATATTTGTGTGCCTATTTATTTATTTACTTGTCTATTTACTTACTTATTTAGTCTAAACAAACTTACGTCTAAGCGTGCGTAAGCTATCTAGTGTTGATATATCTGTGAAAACAACAACCAATCTTTGGAGAAGAGACCGTCCGTGGAGCACCTGAATGCAGCAATACTGCAGTCCCACGAGAAGGGGAGGGTACGTTTATTCTCGCCGCCCAATTTAACCATATATGGCCAGTCTGGCGGTTTGGCGAGCGGCTACATCCACCCGGCGAAAAGTGGACACGAGACGTCGGTGTGCTCCCGAAACCAGTGATTTCCTATCGAGGTAAGTGAGATATTTACGGTATATGACAGCCGCGACACATGTAGACAACACAAACAGTGTTATGTTGGAATAAATATAGTTAAGTGAAAAACCCCTCCGAGGCCGAATTAGCCACTTTAAGAGCCCGTTTTGGCTAGTTGGGCCTTGCGTCAGTTAGCATTTTAGCTAAGCGGCTCAGGCCTGTAAGATGTAGTTTGCCTTAGCTTAGCACGAAACTAACACAGTCAACAGCGTATTCATCAAAACTGTTAGTCGTTCAACTTTTGTATGACAAAACATCTAAATAAGTCATTTTAGCTTCTGAGTCAGGGTGTTTTTTTCGTCACTGGGTTATACGTCGTTCGTATTGGCGGCATCACCCGCCGGTAGCATCAGCCGGGCTAACAGGCTTTCTGATGTTCAACGTGCGAGCAGGTGGGACCGAGGAGCGCGAGCTGCAGCTGTTTATAGGCTACCGGTAATTATCGATACTTAGGCCTATCGGTTTTTAACGTCAGGCCTGTTTTCACGAGAGCGTTCAAGTCACACCCTGAGTTTGTATACTGGTTTATTTCGACACCGATTAATCAGCTACATTAAATGATTGGAAGAAAAACCTGTTACTGATGTTTGATAACCTGATGTTTGGTTAGTAACACTTAACGGTACAATAATGACACGGAAACTGGGAGCAGATGAGTGTCCTGTCATAGTGGAAAATGTCTGATACTAATAGTGATCAACGTTGTAAATCTCCATGCCCCTCTTTTCTAAAATAGCCTTGGACAACCATGCCATCCGACTTAGCCAAGAAGAAGGCAGCGAAGAAGAAGGAGGCTGCGAAAGCTCGTCAGCGCACCAAGAAACCTGATGAAGGGAATGAAGACGGAGAGACCCAGAGTAATGGAGCAGAGAGCAATGGTGAGAGATGGACTCATGTTCAACCCATTTTTTTTTTAAAACTTGGCTGGGATTAACTTGTTGTGTTTTGTATTTTATCTTTGTTGAATTCAAGGAGCACTCCTTTCCTTTTTGTCTTAAATCACAGCAGCTTCTGGGATCGAGCAAGGGAGCATTTCAGTTTAGATTCTTATCATTAGTTAGCGCTGAATATACCCAATTCTCTGCCCTCTAATTCTTTCAGAGAAAGCAAAGCAGTAAAACGTGTCTTTTATTTTTCAGGTGTTGCCAGTTTGACAAAGGAGCTGGATGAATTTGAGCTGGCGAAGACCGAGGCAAGGGCAGTGACAGGCGTGTTGGCGTCACACCCCAACAGCACTGATGTTCACATAAGCAGTCTGTCCCTCACCTTCCACGGCCAAGAGCTTCTAGCAGACACCAGCCTGGAGCTCAACTCAGGCAGACGCTACGGGCTCATTGGCCTGAACGGCACAGGTAAAAGTCCTTTCCTTCCACCTGTAGGTAGTGAGATGCCTGTACACCTCTCAATAAGTGCATACCCTGCCCGATCCGTCCTTTTCACCTGTTTCAAAATATTGACATATTGATTTTTTAATGTTAATCTTTTTTAAGAAGATAGTTAACTTTGTTTTGTACTTGCATTTGCCAGGTAAATCCATGCTGTTATCGGCTATTGGGCACCGTGAAGTTCCCATTCCGGAGCACATCGACATTTACCACTTGACCCGGGAGATGGCGCCCAGTGAAAAGACATCCCTGCAGTGCGTCATGGAGGTGGATGAACAGAGGATAATGCTGGAGAAGGAGGCAGAAAGACTTGCCCATGAAGACTGTGAGTTGATTACTATATGGGGGGAGACTTAATTATTGTCACAGGCAAAGGAACAGCTCAAGAAATCCAAGTACACAAACCTTATTTTGAGCAAAGCTGATATGAGAAAATAAACGTGCTGTGTAAACAAATGTAACTGGGAGAAATTGTCTTTCACATTGATTAAAGTGAGGATTTTTTTCTTGTTGTTCTTGCACAGCTGAGTGTGAGAAGCTCATGGAGCTGTACGAGCGTCTGGAGGAGCTGGATGCAGACAAAGCAGAGGTGCGAGCCTCTCGGATCCTCCACGGTTTGGGTTTCACGGCGGCCATGCAGCAAAAGAAACTGAAGGACTTCAGCGGAGGATGGAGGATGCGTGTGGCTCTGGCCAGGTAAAAAAACAAGTGCATTAGCTCTGATTTTCAATGCTTGATAACACTCACATGAGAGTAGTCCTCTAAATTTGGAGGGCATCCCAATCGTAACCTTAAACTGAGAGGATAAGCTTAAGAAAAAACAGGGAATTCAGGCAGCAGAACTTTCAGTCAGGAGATGTATTTGGATTTAGATTTTGATCATTTTCTGTTTTTGTCCAGAGCTCTGTTCATCAAGCCCTTCATGCTGTTGCTCGATGAGCCCACCAACCACTTGGATCTGGATGCCTGTGTGTGGTTGGAGGAAGAGCTGAAATCGTAAGTTGACACCCACTTCCTCTCTTGGACGAGTCCAGTGTTTGATCACATATCACTAATCCGGCTTTTTTTTTTTTTTTTAAAACATCAGGTTCAAGCGAATCCTCGTCCTCATCTCACACTCTCAAGACTTCCTGAATGGTGTTTGCACCAACATCATCCACCTGCATCAGAGGAAACTGAAGTACTACACGGTGAGAACACTCAACTTTACGTCAGATCCTCAGAGGGCCTGGATAAATCTTAACCAGCCTCTGCCATATACAGCATGATCTCATGATGCCAAATAAAGAAACCGGGGGAGGGCCGTTTTCTAAATGTGCGTCTCTATATTCTGCTCACTCGGATGACCAGGCATATCTATTTTTGCTTTAAGGGTAACTATGACCAGTATGTGAAGACCAGAGAGGAGCTGGAAGAGAACCAGATGAAGCGCTTCAACTGGGAACAGGACCAGATAGCACACATGAAGGTAAGTGAGAGACCCCTTGTGGTGGAAAGCATTCACTGCATAGACTGGAGCGTTCAGAGCAGAGCCTGTTAACGCAAAACCAATATCTAGGGGTGTCATATTTTAACGTAATTTGCTTTAACATTATGAAATCAAGTGTTAAAATAAAACCTTAGCTGACTTTTAACGCGAATAATCCGTGTGTACAACAGTTTATGTCATACAGTTATCAACACTGAAAACTAAGTTTCCACAGAAATTGAATTTCCATTTTACGCGCCTCAATTCTTCTGTGTATACACTAAACCAAGTCTGTTTTCTTTCCCCTCTCTCCCGTAGAATTACATCGCCAGGTTTGGTCACGGCTCTGCCAAGCTGGCACGACAGGCACAGAGCAAAGAGAAAACGCTGCAGAAGATGGTGGCGTCAGGCTTGACTGAAAAAGTCGTGAATGACAAGGTATGGTACTGACGTGGGTTGCTGTTATGGCAACTGTTTTTGTTAGCTGTTTGTTAACTGTCCCACTCTAGCGTATTAATGAGACTGTACTCATACCTACCTGTGCCTCTCCTCCAGACTCTGTCATTTTATTTTCCTCCCTGTGGGAAGATTCCTCCTCCTGTAATCATGGTTCAGAATGTGAGCTTCAAGTACAGTGACAACACGGTGAGTCTTGTTTGACCACGTTCTCCACACAGCTTTGTTCACTGAGATCCTTAGCATTCCCAAGTTGAACTTTTCATGTTTCCTGTAGCCGCACATTTACAAGAACCTGGAGTTCGGTATCGACTTGGACACAAGAGTTGCACTGGTGGGGCCCAATGGAGCAGGGAAGTCCACGCTGCTGAAGCTGCTGATGGGAGAGGTTGGTACCGTTTATTTCCACATTATCCTGCAGCAATCTGATCTTTACTTTGCAACAACAGAAATAAATGTTTTGTTTACCTAACAGCTCCTTCCCACTGACGGCATGATCCGCAAACATTCTCACGTCAAGATTGGCAGATATCACCAGGTAAACCAGAGAGAGTCTGTGTGTGGCACCTTTTTTTTTTTTTTATGAGCATGAATTTAGTAAGAAGAGTAGATGAATGAGCTAAATGGCTCTTGTCTTTGCTCATGTTACAGCATCTAACAGAGCAGTTAGAGCTGGACCTGTCTCCTCTGGAGTACATGATGAAGTGTTTCCCTGAGATCAAAGAGAAAGAAGAGATGAGGAAGATCATCGGTCGCTACGGGCTGACGGGAAAACAGCAGGTAGGATTGGTGTGGTGTTGTTGGATGAATGGGAACTGGAAACTTGTTTTTTTTTTTTTCTTTTTATTAGTCGGTACGTTTACATGAAACTCCAGAAAAACAAATAATCATCTTACTCCAATTAAGACCGGACAATTGGAAGTGCAGGTAAACTCCTTCGTCCGACTCCAATCGGAGTTCTCAAACTCCGATTGGAGTCGGTGAACTCCGATTAAGACACCCAGATAATGCAATTTGAATTCGATTTTCTCTACCATGTAACTGGTGCAGTCAGAGTATGATCGGACAATGCATGTGCGCATGAATTTCATCTGCTGAAAAAATAGCGTGTACATCATGTATGACAAAAACAACACTGTACGATGCTCCATCTTCTTGCACGAAAATGCCCCGCAGCAGTTGTAGACACTTCTGTTGTCTGGCACGGACCTGCTGCTGCTGTTGTTGTTGTTGACGGTTGTATGGGGTCAGAAACAGCGCAGCTGGAAAGACTCGTATTGCCCCCCACGTCAATTCAATTTTCTCAGCTGCATGTATACGTGGACAAGGAGAGAAGTCAGATTCAGCGAAAAAAAAAGAATTATGAGCTTAGTCCAATTAAGCTGTGCATGTAAACGCACTGACTGTGTGAATTTGCTCCAGGTGAGTCCGATCAGGAACCTGTCGGACGGTCAGAAGTGCCGGGTGTGTTTTGCCTGGCTGGCCTGGCAGAACCCTCACATGTTGTTCCTTGATGAGCCCACCAATCACTTGGATATCGAGACCATCGACGCGCTAGCAGAAGCTGTCAACGAGTTTGACGGCGGGATGATGCTGGTCAGCCACGACTTCAGGCTAATTCAACAGGTATATGTTTGCCGCTTTATCAGACGTGGTACCAAAAACCTCAGAAACAAACTCTCGAGGCCACAGCACCTTTTTTTTAAATTCCTCTTTTTTTCCTCTAGGTGGCTCAAGAGATCTGGGTGTGTGAGAATCAAACCATCACAAAGTGGAACAGGGACATCCTGGCATACAAGGAGCACTTGAAATCAAAGATCGAGAAGCAAACGCATGACATCTAATTAAACCTGATCACACTTTGAGCCACTCCTTTATCTTGCATCATGGATTTGACCTGCAGGCTCCGAGAGGACGAGCAAGATTTTGTTTTGCAGGAAATTGTCCGCTGTAGAACTGAAACAATCTCTTATGCATCTTATTGGACACGTCTCTTGTACATGTCGTACTGTATTTCCATTTCGGTTTGACAGTGCTGCACCCACCCCAACTCCCCCCTGTCTCCCTCCACCTCAGGCTGCACTCTGATTGGCTGATTCACCTGAAGCATCTCAGTGCATTTTGGAATGCATTCCATTGTGCTGTCTTCACAGAAAAGTTTTATTTTTCCAAATGTTCTGTTTTATCCCCACATGTATGCAGCAGCTTTTAGGTCATATTTTATGATATTTAAAAGTTGACTTTTTTTTCTGTGTAAAAGAGCAGTTCTGCCTTATTTAACAATGTAATGCAATAAAGGTTTGTCTGAATAAACAGAACATAAAAACAGCACATCTAGATTTACAAGACTTTATTATTATTCATTGAAAACTTAAAGAATACAGAATTCGTAGCCAAAAACCAAAAAACTGTTAGGGAAAATAAACTATTTTGCATCTCTGTAAACAAGAGGACAAAACTTGAAGTTGCTTTGGATTTTGGCCTGCCAGCCACACGGCTATGTCATCATAGCCGAAACACTACACTGTCCACGCTGCTCACTCAGCCCCTCCGACAATGACTGAGCAGACTAACAGAAACACTGATGGTGCATAAATGAAGCTAACATACGAACGTACAGTTTTCTGAGTTACTACAAGGCTGGATCAAATGCATCTCCAGGATGCAGCTAAGTTCAGGTGACTTTTGGTTTACAGTAAACTAACATTCAAACAGGTGGCATCATACAGTATGAGATTTAAACAACTGTAAAGCTGTGTTTGTGTCAAACTGATGGTGTAACACTCAACCATGACTTCTACAAATTTGTCCAATTTCCCCTTTTCAAACTAAATCTTACGCATGTTACACTTCTTTCTTCATTACAACACATTTTCCAGTTAACACGCTGAAGTATTATGTCGTTACACGATCAAATTCTTGTTAGCAAATGTTTAGTCACTAACCTCCCTGAGAAATATTTCTCATTTTGACAAATTAGTGTATTATAATCGACATCTCATCACAAAAAAGAAGAAAAAAAAAAATCACTATTATCCAGTAGGATAAAACTAAAACTGTGCCCTCTAGTAAAGTCAAGAAACAGCACAAATACTTTGTGACGCGGTGGAAAAATGAACTTAAATTTTGATGGATGTGAAGCTGATCAATCAAGCTGATGTGTCTTTAGCCTAATAATAATTGCACTAAAGGTAAAAATCTGTATTTCCCCAAAGGCTGACATCATCTGCAGGAGCGTTTACTCCCAGTTTAATAGAAGAAAAAAAAGTGTCAAATATTTGAGCTGAAAATCTGGACTATCATCTGGAGATTTACATTAGCCACAAATTATAGATGTAATTTTTCCAACATCACATAAACACACCTCCAGATCCAAAGACAGATCTGAGATCCAGGCCACGTGGAAGACCGTCTTTGCTTCCTTTACAAACATTTTCAGCCAAACTTCTCTGAAATTAAATTCTGCTGTTAAGGTTTTGATTTAAATTCTACACAAAGCACTCTTTTAGTTTGTAAGTCTGATTATACATGCTGTGATTTCACTTACATTTCCTTCATTTAACATCTCCCTGCTAAATGGAGGAGCGCAGGCAGCTCCAACCTCTAAGGCTGCAGGTAAAGCTTTAAAGCTGTAGCTGGAGTTTGTCGGTATATCTCCTCAGACAAAGGTTGCCGTTTTTGCAATACAGATCGATTATGAGAGCATGTAAACTTTGAAAATAGCCTGGGTTTTTTAACAAGAGGCCCCTGTTTAAGGTTTCAACTTGGTAGCGTGCATGATTGGTAGATTAGTGGCACTAGCTGCAGTTGAAACAGTGCAAGTTAGGAGTGTTTTTCGATTACGCTGTTTGCCAAAGCATCATGGCAGCAGCATGATTCATGGGAGGGGGTTAATAGGGGCCCGCAGCAGAGGGGGGCCCAAGGTGTTGTCGGGTACAGTATGACTGGACCGAACTGAAATGTCAGCACTCACTGGGCTTCCCACTCCTCATCTGAGACATCATCGGGGGAAATGTTGCGGGTGTTGCTGGCCCGAATGCTGCTGATGTTTGTGAAAGAGAGGAGGTTTGCGATACCCACCAGGCTCACGCCGGTTCCATCCAGATTGACTTGAGCCAGGTGCATGTGTTTCAGGAACTTTAGACCTGAGCAAAAACAAATCCAGGGGAAAAAAAAAAGGTTATACCACCCTGAGCTTAAAAGCGATCCCAAAGCAGGCTTTAAGTGAGGCATATGAGTATGATAATATCTAATATGAGTGGGGTTTAAACATAAAGTGCGTGAGGTAGAAGTTTGGTGAGTTAAGTACAAAACAATGCGAAGCAGTAGTGATGGCAATCGCACTGACAGCTGTGTGGGCTGTCAGAGCGACATGAAAAAGCTCCATAAACAAAAGCCAACAGCTGAGGGTGGCAAGCTATCATCAGAGAATAGTCACGTTTTTCTTATTTTTCATAACACCATTCAGTCGATGCTTTATTATTACATGTGTGTGCAGATACAGGATTCTTGATTTAAATGCTCCAATGCTTACTACCTTCATTTGTCACGCTCTAATAATCAAACACTTTTATCACTCCAGATTTTTTTGTGTACAACAACCACTCTTTTCTTCATGTTTGACTTCCAACTAGTGCCTTTTGTATGGCTAAATATGGATAGAATTGCCCATGTTACCTGTTTGTCCCCTCTGAGCTTCAGTAGAAACATGACAAAAAGAAGTTTCATTTGGAGGGGAACTACTTCTATTTAGCTAGAAAGGTTCAATTTAATCTATATGAAAGTGATAATACTCAGTGACGAATACAGCTAAATTCTACACACTGTAGATTTAATGTTTAGGAATTCCTAGATTAAGAGATCGATCTCACCGTGGTCTGTGATCCGTGTGCGACTCAGATTCAGCTTCACAAGGTGATTGCAGCGGATCAGACCTCTCCTCACTACTGTGTCTCCCACCTGAGTGCTGGCCAATCCCAACACCTACAATAGAAAAAGATACAGAAGTAATTATATAACTTGTACATTTTCTCAACAGCTGTTTCAACCAATACACTGATATGGGAATGTACATAAAGCCTCAAAACAGCTGTTCTGCAGCTCTTCTCAACTCATACTAAAAAGTAACAGCAAAATGTCGGCTCATGAAAAATCAGTGCTGTGACGAATCCTCTTCATATTTCACAAACCATTACATGTCATGCAAATAAATACTGAATGACAAGTAATAAGCTTCATCCCACTGTCTGAGCCCCATATTTTAGCCAAAAAAAAATCCAGTTTTATTAACCTGAAGGTGAGGAAGACAGATGATGAGCTCAGCCACTCCACGGCTTGTGACTGCTGTCCGGTCCAAACAGAGCTCCTGCAGCTCCTGCAAACCGCGCAGAGACGGCAGCCCAGCGTCTGTCACCTGAGTGTTGCTGAGCGACAGCTTCTTCAACCTACACAAATTTAACGCAACATTTAAACAAACATAATCCTGCTGTAGTCATAGTGAGACAACAAGAAACTGTTCTTAAAGCTGGGGTTTACCTGCTCATGGTGGAGAGCTGGCTGACTCCCTGGTCTGTGACCTGTGTGTAGTCTGTCAGGTCCAGCTCTGACAGCAGACACAGTCTGGAGAGGAAAGACAAACCGCTGTCTGTCACTGAGTGGCGTCCAGGGAGGGTCAGCTGAGTTAGCCTCAGACCTGAGAGGGAAAGAGGAACCTCTGTGAGTATCTGAGTTATCGCCAGAATCAATAGTACTGAAATGAGGGTTAGTTGCAAATCATGCAAAATCACTCTACAGACAGGATGAAGAGTGAAAATGTGTAAAGAAAGTGTATTGATTTCAATGTACAAACCTGAGATGATCTGCAGAGCCTGATTTCCATCATTCACAGAGATTCCCGCCAAACTCAGAGACGTCAGGGTAGGATGAGAGGCAAGGTGCTCCAGAGAGCTCTCTGTCACACCTGTTCCATCCAGGTTCAGAGTCTGCAGGCTGGACAGCTGCGCCAAAGCGGACACATCCTTCACCTGAGGACAACATTAGAAATGAAAGTCAGGAGGAAAATTCTTTGCATCGCAGAAAATCAATGCCATGGTTCACATTTCTGGTGTGCTTGTGGAGCTGAGCCACCTTTGTCTGCTTGATACTGAGGAGCCGTAACTGTGGCACACATGTTGGAAGGACTGCTAATGTGGCATCTGTTACAGCCGTCTGGTTCAGGCTCAGCTGAGAGAGGCAGGACGGAGCCGACTGGAGATAAAGTACCATCCCTGCATCGGTCACTTTGGTCTGGTCCAAGGACAAGTAACCCAAGCTCTTTAATCCTTAAAGACACAGACATGAGAAAAAAAATCATAGAGTGAAAACTCCTTCAGCACAAAGAACGAGGACTGTGCCCAACGCAGAGCAGCTTATGTTAGGACCTGGCGTTCATGCACGTAATTGGAAATGCCTTCAAAGTGGCATTACATAACCTTTTATTCTCTGTAATAACGCACTAATCCCTGTTAGCAAGTCAGCTTGTTAGCAGCCTAACCTGTAATTTGCTGTAGGCAGGAGTCTGTAAGTTTGCTACAGGAGGCCAGGTTGAGGTACTGGAGTTTGACCAGGCTGGACAGGATTGAGAGCCCCGAGTCTGGAAAATTACAGATTAGGAGAGTTGAATTAATTCTCACAGAAACCGCTGAAAAGTTCAGCAGAGTTAACAAAAAAATAAAACATCAAAATTTGATCCTTTGAAAAATTCTGGACCTGTAATGAGAGGTGAGTTGACCAGGCTGAGATGCTTCAGCGCTGTGAAGGCCCGTAACTGCCTCAAAAGCTCATTGGTGGAATAAGGGTAGCAGTTTAGGACAAACTTCTGCAACGGGCAGCCGAAGAAGAGCTCCAGGGTGCGTGGACGTAGGAGCCTCTCGCGGGACATGTGGTTGAGCAGAAGCTCTGCAAGCTCCGGAGTGAGACCTGCCAGACTGCTGCTGTACTGCATGCTGGGAGCTGACAGATGACAGTGAGTAAACAAAGCGATGAGACACATTTCCTGATAAATCATCAAGTCTGACTGATTATTCTTTCCTGTCTTTTTTTTTTTTACCAGTCATGAGGTGGACAGTGGCGCGGGTGGCTAAGGCACATAAGGACGGCACACTGAGGGTCCTGAACGGTCTTTTAGGAGGGGACGGTTGTCCCTGGGAGACACGGGGGTCTTCTTGCTGAGCAGCTCGCTGAAGACGCTCCACTGCAGCCAGACCTGCGGCTCCAGGAGCCACCCGACCCCCTGCATCTTCAGGCTCTGCTGGGTCCTCCTCTGGAGCCTCCCTGAAACAAAGACGTACAGTTTGTAACAAATAGGTATCTTAGATCATTTGTCCCATCTGCTGTTAGGCCTTTAAATAACCTGTAGGCGGGCTGGTTGGGAACAATGCACCTGTTAAACTGTGATTAGTGTTTTGTTAGATTTATTGTGTTGTTGTTATGTGAGTGATGTATGTTGTCACTCCTGTTGCAAACTAAATTGCTCTTCGGGGACATTAAAGATTTTCAAATCAAATCAAATCTCTGTGCTGCTAAAGTAAATTTATATCTTTTTTTTATATACAGTTTGTATAAATAAAACTGCTTAAAATCACAGTCATTTAGTCAGCAGCTGCCTTCAAAATCATTCATTTTAACTTGCTTTAAAACCCTTACAGTGAGTTGGATTAACATGCAGGCATAACAGGTATTAGATCTGATAAGGGCCACTCCGTTCAGACACGTACCTGAGTCGATTGCCCTGCTCTGGCCAGTGGTGCCGGGGCTCAAACTCTCCACGAAACCGGTTCTCTGGAAAGAAAGGCAACCTTGGCATTCCTGCAAAGATTACAAAATCCACAAATGTCATCCACCGTCAGGAGTTACAGACGTCACAAAAAAATAACAATCTGTCTAGTCCTGAAAAATCTTCAACAGAAGGAAAAAAAGTCAATCCCACACCTCTTATCAGCATCATTGCCTCTGGGTCTCTCTAACTCAGACTGTGATTCAGCTCCTTCTACCCTCTGCTCTGGTGGTTGGGTTACTATATCTAGACCACATGCTTCTGAAAGGCTGCATATGATTTGCTGCGTGGCTGTACACACATAGAAAACTCAGCTCCTGTCGGTCTGGATCAGCAGTTCTGACCCTGTGTGCAATATGTTTGTCAGAAAAGGGCATTCACCCACATATTTCCTAATCCTAATCTTTCTAACATACGACTCTCATTACTGGGGCAGTCAGTCCAATGATCTGCGCACCACAAGATTATGCAACATGTAAGTATGAAACTGAAAGAAAGTTACTCCAGTGTCTGAAAGAGAGAGGCTGATTCATCCGTGTCTGAGGGGAGAACAAAAAGTACCACAGAAACCAGAGACACGTGGAGGCGGGAAAAAACAGGTCATAGAAGGGATGAAGTATTCGCATCGACCCTGAGCCGTACCGTTAAGCATGTACGGTGGATCTTCCTCCTCTTCCTGTTCTTCATCAACTTCTATTCCAGCAGGGTCCTCAGCTTCTCCAGGAACCAATCTCTGACCTCGTCCTGTTTAAAAGATTTTTAAAGCTGTCTAAGTTCAAGTTCAGCGCCTTTCAGGAAATAGTTTTTAAAAAAACTTGAAATTCTTAATTTAGGAATCAGAGCAAGAAGACTCCACGAGACAAAACTAAATAATTTGCATCACTTTTAAAGCACCCAAACCATAAAATAGATGTAAAACATTCAACAAAACACTAACTTTTAAAAGTTTGGAGGCTGTTTAAATAGTGCAAAGACAACATATTGAAACTAAATGTTTTTAGTGTTTTGTGGAAAAAAAAAAGGTGCCAATTCTAAGCCGGTGACACATTTCAAGAGAGTCAGACAGAGGACAACAAAACACTGGAAAAGTTGTGTAATGCTGCAACAACATGAGTGGGTGTGAGAAGGGCACCAGAGACGCTCCAAAGGGCCTGACTCCCAAGAATTTTGGTAAAGACAACCCACATTTCAGCCAGACAAGACCACATTTTTCATGTAATGCTGTATCACAGCATGGTTTCATAATGAAGAGTCTGAGGGCTTAAATGGCATGACTTGTCACCCACTGAAATCACTGGGTGCAACATGAAATGGAATATATGACAAAAAGTGAGTCCAAACTGTTGAGGGCTGAAATCTGGTCACCTCACTTTCACACACTGTTTTATTTTTCACTTTTATTATTTGACTTTGCACCATTATCCTTTAAATTCTGCTTTTCTAAACGTTTTACAGTGTCCTCGCCTTTTTGGAAATGGTGCTGTACTCACCCCAGAAGTGAGATGGCCCAGACAGAGATGGACCTGCTCCTGGTATTCCTGCATAATTCACCGCCTCCTCCCACAACTGATTAGGTAGTGGAGGAGGAGGAACAAAATCCCGCCCTCCCGCCCCCTCCAGGACGGGGATTTGTGGCTGAGGAGGTACAACACACAGAGCTGGCTCGTTCTGTTCCACTGGTTGTGCAGGAGCTGCCGGGCTCTGCGCATCCTGAGGTGTCTCTGGGGGAGTGGTCTGAATACAAAGTGCAGCGTTTGGTGTGAGACCGAGCGAGCGAAGTGAACATGCGAGCTCTGCCTCCCCGAAGCGTTTCCGAGGGAAACCCTGGAGGAGAGAAAAGGAGGGGAGGGAGGGGTGACGTCCGGTGATGTGCTCCACGACGCTGCGTAAAGGAGCATCGGCTGGGAAGCGTTCACGCATGGACTCACCGGATGGCAGCCGGATCTACAGATGAAAACAGAAGATTTGAACAAATGCACTTTTGTAACATGACTGAAAACAAGCCACAGAATAAATGCGATCTTTACCATGAGGACACAGTTGTTGTCAACATTTGTCTGCACTTTTCCTCCAAGCTTCTGCCCTTGACCACTGGGGGGAGACGTCTCTGTGGCGGCGCTGGTCTGGATCTTCTGCTGCAGGCTCTTCCGATCCTCTGCAATCCGCTTTAACACCAACTCACGCTCCTGATAGAGAAACAAAACACCATACGATGTTCTGCGATTGAAAACAATGTCACAGATGTAATTTGCCCTCCGGCTGCAGCTTCTTGTGCAGCTCTGCTCACCTGTTTCTTCTGCCTCCTCTCTGCTCTGGCCTCCTGAGCTATGCGTTGTCTCTGCTGCTCTTCAAAGTCACTCTTGTCCTGTTTGATACGTGACTCAACAGGAAGCGGTTCAGGGGACAGGTTGCATGACTGTGATGGTCTCAGCACCAGTGATGGGGATGCTGTCAAAGTAAAATTCAAAAGTACTTAACAGAAGACCTTATTTGCACCTTAACAGACTATTTGCAAGAAATAACTTTAATGTCAGGTAAAGACGTCTTTGTGCTAACCTCTGCTGTCTGAAGTGCTCGCTGCCTCTTTGGGTGGATTGAAAGCAGAGATCGCTGTGTCGGCCGGCTGTGATGACTGCTTGACCAACCTGTGTCGCGGGTACTGACCCTGCAAAAGCCTATTAACAAAAGAGAAAGGAACACAGATGGAGTTCACAGAAGGAAGCAGCTTTTTTAGAAACTGGAAGTAATTTTTAAAAATCTATTTAACACTTGAGAATAAGATAGAGACAACTCACCACTCAGCTGCATCAGTCACAGAAAAATGCCCTGCCTGCATGGCTGCCTGGATCTGTTCCTCGGTGAATCCCATCTCACTGAGGGTGAGGAATAACTCCCCAATGGTCTGATGAACAAGCAAATTAAAAATGTATGTTATTTGCTGTTTGTGGAATTGTCACTATCACTATCTGACATTATAAATGGAAAAATGAACAAGCTTGTTTTCATTTTTAAAATCCAAGGACAATCCTGTTTAATTCACATCTGAAATACAGTGCACTTGAGCTAAAATTGCCTTATATGTTACAATTATAGAGCCCTATTTCCAAAAACAACAGCAGACTTTGACAGTTGTAAATCATTTCAACCCTATATTTGGTTAAAAACAGGACAAAGAACAACATATCAAATAGCAAAACTGAAGAATTTTATTTTATCAAATCTTTATGCTCACTCTAAATTTGATGCTAGCAACAGGTCTCAAAAAGAATACATGTATACCTGTATATATTATTCATACCATGTGTATTTACAAGTCCCCATACTGTCACTGATGCTGGATTTGGAACTGTGCTCACAAATCAGGTAGTCTGTTTCCTCTTCAGAAGATAAGACACAGCGTCCATGATTTTAAAATAGAATATCAAATCTTCTCAGACTGCAGAGAAGGTTCCCACTTTGCTTCAGTCCATCTTTATAGATATCACATACACTTCCTTTTTTCCATGGTACATTTTCAACCTGCATTTGTAGATACAGTCACATGCTTTGATTGCAGACAGTGGTTTGAGGAAGTGATTCTGAGCCGATGCAGTGACTTCCACTACAGAGTTATGTCTATTTTTAATGCAGTGCAACTCGAGGGCCAAATGATCACAGCCCTGCAGTTCTAGTTTTCAGCCTTTCAGGGATTTCACTGGAATTTCTGCATTTTTTAATCAATATTATGTTCTGTGGATGATGAAATCCCAAAATGTAAATCAATTTTACACTGAAGAACATAATCCTGAAATAGTTGAACCATATCTTTGTCTTCAACAGAGATGTGAATCTGTACTTCTGGGAGACTCAGCATTTCTGTAAGTGGCCTTTTTTTACCGAGTCATGTTAACAGTCATTAGTCATTAATTGAAGGATTTTTATAGCTGTTTGCTTTTTCTTTCTCTTTTGTATCACACAACCTTTCTAGTGTTTTGTTGTCCTTATCCTTCCTTTAAACAAGTAACTAGCGTGAACATTTACTTATATAAACAATTTACATTTGATATTCATGTCATGGATTGGCAAGTATTTGTTGTTATATTACTGAGTTACAAAATATTGTTTAATGAGGATGATCACAGCAGTGTCCATATTACTCTGTACAGTGTGTCAACATGCTGATAATGGTTTATTAACTGCTTAATATGGGATCTGGTGCCAATATTTAGCTATGATCACTAAAATACATTTCATCTCTCTTCCAATCATATACCAGTATACTACTTTCGTTTTATATACCCTGATTATTTTCCTTTCAACTCTCCAAATCTAAATCAGTGTTAGTCTACAAAGTTTGTCACAGGTGGCGTTCCCCAAACAGGATTAATCTACTATAATGTAAGCAAATTAAAGCCTAAGAACAGATTAGGTGTTGGAATAGAGCTAACGCTGAGTGTGTTTTGTTCTAGCTTCAGTACTGGAGGACTGTGTCAACAAACAACGTTAGCTTAAAGGCTATTAGCTGAATGAAACCGATGGCGAGGCTAATAAACAAGAAGTAAAGCTCGATAATTCGCTGCTTACCGTAGAGGAGGAAGAACTCATGGCGTCGTTTCGGTGTTACCTTGAGGAAATCAGACTGTGGTTGAGATTAAAAGGTAACTTTACTGACTTCCAGATTTTGTATGCAGCCCGCTATGCTAGCAACATTGACCTCTCCCTCTTTGAGTTGGAGATTGACAGCATATAAACAACAGAGCAGCCTATCATCACTGCGGAGAGGCGACGGCTATGGAAAGCCAAGAGGGACAGAATTTACCTCCACTCTTACAAGGCTTTTCCAAACGCAAACAGTAGTTATAAAACGCCTCCAGCCTGTTATCGCTGCTGGATATTATCAATCAATCAGAGTTTATTTATATAGCACTGTTCATACAAATGAAATTGCAGCTTAAAATGCTTTACATCACGACAAGAAAAATAAAAGTTATTAAAATAGACTAAAAGAGACAATAAAATATAAAATCGAATTTATTAATAAAATAAGGTAAAAGGTGATACTAAAAAATATAAATATATAAATATTAATACAATTATAAATACATAAATATATAATATTTAATATATAATAATAATAATAATAATAATAATAATAATAATAATAATAAATACAATAAATAAAAACAAAATTAATTAACAAATAAAAACAAATTAAAAAATGATAAATGATCATAATAATTGTGGAAATGTGTTCATTGACTTCATATTGTGTAAAAACAACATGAAATGTGTGAATGATGTGGCCACAAAAGACTGATGCTGTGCTAAAAGTGTTCACAGTTTTGAAAATGTGACAACTGGTTGGACAAACACTTGTTAGCAACTGAAAAAACTGTAAATGAACGACAGTTTATATGCGACTATGGTCATGAGCGGCATTTTATATTACACAATAGGCTATTACGCTAGTATTTTGAGACTAAGATCACAAAACAAAAGGGCCAATAACAAAAACACAACAACAAAAAAAAAGATTATTTTTTTTAAGTGACAAACTATAAAACATGACACATCATAACGTTTGCTATATTATGTAATTTGTCATAGTGTTTTGTGTGTTGCCTTTCTGTTTTGTAATTCTGCAAATTCAGGGCCACTGTTCAAAGCCCTAACAACTGTACTGACAAAATATGTTTTCAGTAATGACTTATCATATGCAGGTTATCTGTGGAGATTGATTTTGCATTTAAGCAGTCATCAGTAGAACATGCCAAACTAGTCAGATGATTTTCAGTAAAAGAAAAAGAATGATATTTCTTTGAAATTAGCTGACATAGACTTCAATTTGGCTGCATTTAATGAAGGTTAAATGAAAAAAGAACTGTATGTACAACTGTATGATCTATCATAACAGAGCCTCTAGTCTTCTGTTATGATAGACTAGAGGTTGAACTGTAGTCTATCGTAACAGAAAGCCACCAGTAGATGTCACTGTTCATATTGAGGTGACCAAACTTGATGGGGGGGACCTTGATGAAAAAAAAAGACTGAAATTTAGACCCCATGTCTCACTCTGTATGCTGGGTGTTGTTGTGTGTCAATTGTGGTCAAATTGTTTTATATATCAATTGCATATGAGGAGAAATTGAGGCGTAAGGGGGGAATTAAAGAGTTTTAGCAACAGCTGACCGTCAGAAAAGACAACCTCAAACAATGACAGAGCAAAAAAGCAAATAAAAAAATGAGTCTAGATCTTTAGCTGAGAGGTAACTTAAACTAGACAGACTGGGCTAGAGTCAGAGAGTGTAAGCTTACATATTAGGTGAGGTAAAAGGGGAAATGACAATGAAAGCCTCAATACTTCCTACAGAATATCACGTGTTTGATTGCAAGAGTATTGATCTTGATCTTACATTTGCCATTATGAAATGCTGTGATAGGGTTACACAACTGAAAGACATAAACTGCAAGAAGTCTTACTGTAATATTCAAAACTTTGATGAGAAGTGGAAATTAAGATTCTGAAACAAATTAATGTTTAAACTAACTTTTGCTTTATATTCTACTTACATTTTAGTAGTACACTCTTTATTTTAACATCTATAGTATGTCTTAAGAAATACTAGTGTATTTGTGACTGCCCTTAGTCTTTCACTGATTGTCCTTTTTTGTTTGAAAAGCCCTTTGGTAAGAGTGAGTCATATTTAAATGTGCTGTAAATTAATTACAAAAAAAAGACTTGTTTAAAGAAAATGTAATGTAATGTATACGCTTGTTATTTACTAAATATTATCACAAAGGAGCTCAAAAGGTTAAATTAATATGTAGTGCACTGCGTGGTTGGAGGTGATGAGCATCATAACGGAACGACGCCCTCCCTCAGGCCTTCATCAGAAATATGTCTCATCGTTCACGCAGGCGCAACAATTTCCTTCTGGTGAGGATAGCGACAAAATGCAACTGATGACAGTGCCAAACCGGATTCTATCAATATTGGCTTCAGAATAAAAGCCCTTTGTTTAGTCTTAATGGTGGAAAAAGTATCTTTTACTTGCTTTAATTTGATATTAATGCAAGATTTAAGGTTAATTTTTATTCTACGAGGGCATTTTGTGGATAAAATATTGAGGTTTAACGTTGGAAAATGTACACAATGTCGACGCTTGTCACAGATACGATTTAAACGGAATTTTCCACCGGATGTTAGAGCGTTTTATTTTGTAAGATTGACGCCGGCTCAGCAACTCATTCAGAGAGAGTTTGAGGTGAGTACCAGGCACCGGTGAGTAAATAAGCCAGATTCTGTGTGAAGGTTGAAAAACCTTGAAAGCAAACTCGCTAAAAACAGCTTTTAATTTAAACCAAATTTGAATTTTTTTAGGGTCATGAGCTGTTGTTGACCGTTGACTTGATTCCTCGTGAGGAGAGAGGCGACGTTGACAGCCAGCGGTGTAACCAACTGCCACACACGCATTCAAAGTGTCCGAGCTGCTGTCGGTGGATGACTTCGCTTTGTTCCTCGGCTTCTTATTAAGGTAATGGAGGAGAGAAAGTCACGTAAATGTGCTCGGACTTACACTTTTCTCGTCGTTTCAGCCTGTTGACAGGCTTGAGGAAGGAAAAAAAAGGTCATGTAAGAGGTGTTTCTCATGTGGTGGTCATCTTGTAAAATGGCTGGGATGAGTCTTCATTTAGGTTGAGTGTTTTTTCAGCCTATTAATAACTGAATGAGGCTCTCGGCGAGGCGGAGTGGAGGGTGAGGATGTGGTCAGCGTTGTTGTTCATTCATTCATTATTCATTCGTGTGAGCAGCAGCATGGCATGTCTGTGATGTCTGAGGTCATAGGGTCACATGATAACAAAAAAAGCCATCTTTTAGGAGTAAGTTTGTGATGGAAATAAACGTGAAGATGAATCTTTAAGCCTCAAAATGGATGCAGGTTCATCTTTTTTTACTTTAAACTGTCAGAAAATCATAAACATAAGGCTCCTTACAATCATTTTCCATTCAAGGAAAATTCCAATTAGCAATATCATAATGAAAACACATATCAAAACTTCATAAAGGCTTCAAATCAAATTAAAAATTGATTAACCTCATGACATTTATCATGTACTGTACGTAGTCTGTTTTTTAATATATCATCTGGGTATCAGTTGCAGCCATCTGCCCAGTTGCTGCATATCATCCTGTCCACAAATAATTTGACAGGCAGCCAGTCGAAGTAGGTTATATCTGTTACATTTCACCACATCAATGGCAAGCAAGGACGCCCACTGTTTGAGCGATATGTATAGGTTTGCTTATGGGATCTTAAAATGCATATGTGTGGGAAAAAAAAAATCATGATCTGGAAAAAGCTGTGTGTAGGCTGAATTATTGTTAATATTTGAGGGGTGTTATTGTACATTAAATTTCAATTGGAACGTTACAGCATTTGGGTAATTTTAAAAAAGGAAGCAATTGTTTTACAGACTAAAAGGCTTGTTTTGGAATAATTTTATATGAATCCGTTAAATTAAAGGTCGGTTTGATTCATGCCATTCATTTTTTGCAACTGGAAGATAGTGTTGAGTAGGCCTAAATAACCTTGCATTGTAAAAGAATCTTTCCATTATGAAAATCATCTGGAACCCTTGCCTGTGCAGAGAAATAAATGACAACAAAATAAAATTAGTAATAGAAATGCAACTGGAAAAAAATCTCAGGAATCAGAATCAGCTGTTAGAGTACTTAAAATTTGGATGTAAATGTGAGCCAATCAGAAAGCACGAAACAACATTATAATTCAGAGTTTCCACGTGCTAAAAAGTTGATAATAAAGTGGCATTTTTGTTCAAGTTTAATACTTTAAATGATACACAGTACACGTGAAGAGCAAGTTGCTGGCATGTAGCGAACTCTCTGCATCAAACCTGCGTGTCACAGATGGAAAAATGAATTGGAGCTGAAGTTAATGGGAACTTTTTTCACAGCTGACACTTGACCTCCTAAATGCTGGTGAAACCAATAACACTAATTACTGCGTTTATGTTGTTAGCTTACCTAAGCTGTCGTTCACGTTATTGGTTCCATCTGTGTGCATTTGCCGTCTGTTTCGAATCAAATGTCTGCTGTGAAAGGTTTGAAGTGTGAGTCTGATTCTTTTAAAGGAGCTGGAAACCTGTTAAAGGCCCTAAAAAATCCATAAAAGAAGGAAACTACTTGAAAAAACAGTTTGAGCAGTTTCAATTCCTTTGTTGTTATGGTACCAATCTCCCTTATTTTTGCATTCATTTTGGTTGATTGATCAAAAACATAATCACATCATTCATAGGGGTGTTATTTTCTGTTTCCAAAGAGGAGTGTGATAGAAGAAAGACTGAGAGTCAACCAGTTTTATCATTATGACTGGAAAAATTAAAGCTCATGTAATGGAAAATTTTATGTGACAATTTTGGCACCTACTGTGGACAAGAAAACGTGTTTTATGCCCCTTTACTTATTTAATTCTATACATATGAAATAAGTCAGGGCTTGACACTAACTTTTTTCACAAGGACCACATGTACTCCTTAGTTGAAAAAGTTAGGAGCACACGAAGACCTTTTAGGGGCACAATGAAAAAACCAGCAATTTATTGATCGGTACATCGGTAGATTTGCAGTGAATGTCCGTCGAACATCCAACCTAAAACTAACTTCACCGCAATATTTACATGAAAAAACATTTGTTGCTTCTGCTGATTTTTTTTTTTTTATGCGCACGTGTGCCCCTTAATATATTCTACAATTCGCACACATCTAGATTTAGTCGCAAATGCGAGTGAAACGGTCGCACTTTCGAGCCCTGTAAGTGTTTTAAAAGATCTTGCTTTCTGAAAGTAAAAAACACCTCACTGTGAATTTTTTAAAAAGTTCTGTCTTGGCAGTGGGCCTCTTGTCTGACATCTACCCTGCTACAGCGGAATTATAAGTGTTAAAAATATCGATACAGAAATAATCAACCTTCACCCTGGTGACCTTGATTGGCTTTGTAGCTCATGAGGAGGCATCCCTGTTTATTCTGGTCTGTTTTAAAAAGCTCCTCACAGGAGCTTTAAGTACTAGAGGAAGTGTATAATGATTTAGATAATTGAGAGCTGTCCATGCGCCAAGAGACCCAATCCAACCTCTGTGCGGTCACCTCCAGGCCCTTGCTCCCCAGTTTTGGCACCTTGATCCCAGAATTGCTTATCTGTCACATGACTGAGAGAAGTCAGGACATGCCCTCTGCCAGGATAGAGGAAGGATGTGTCCGTCCTGCTGACTCACTAGAATCATCTCCACGTGCTCTGCAGGTCATCTAAGGAGCTGTTTAACTGTGATGTAAGGCTGATACACCAGATAAAAGTGAGAATCTTTTCTTAGGGACTCTTAAATCAAAGTCGAACCACATTACGTTTCGCTTATAAAACCTGAACACCTCAAGGACTCAAACATCAGCAGAATCTGTAATGTTTGTCTCGGTGAATCTGACCTTGTTCATTCGCCAGCACTCGGATTCCTGAGCGGTTCAGCTTTGCTTTTGTCGCATAATCCTGCGCAGCGTTAAAACACATCGGACAGATCCACCTTATCTTGTTCATCACACTCTCAGCCTTTATTTGTTTCCCTCCGCCTCAGTGAGAACCGTCAAACAGACTTTGTTAACAGATTTGTAGCGGTCAAAGAAGCACAAACAGTCAGGCAGTGAGAGTCCACATTCCTTTTGTGAATTGCTTGGTCATGCAGAAGACAAGGAAGGAAAGGAGGTAGATAACTTATTTTTCTATGGCCTTTATGTTTATTTTACCTTCCCCTGCGCAGATAAGGAGACCCAGCAAGTCCCTGAACACATCACCCCGAGATATCACTCTCAACCTTCAGTAAACACCACTGTTACATGTCCTTTTTTCTATTGGAAATCATGGAGTTACATCATTGTGTTCATTGCTTTTTGCTAGCTCAGCAGTCGCTCTGTTCTCGCTAACTAAATTGAATTTAATTACCAATACACGCAAGTACTGCACCCCAGGACATGCATTGTTTAGTTCTGACGACTGTCCCCCCACATTAAACTCCATTAGGCTGTCTGACGCTGGAGTTTTTGGTCTCCTAGGAGCGTCTAATTATACACACAAATCCATAAAACATTATCAAGTATCCTTGCTTCTGTCTGCTTTCTATTCCCCATCATGGTGTGAGTTTTAATTTCATGCCTTTTCATGATTTTCTAGCGTATTGATATAATTTTGTTTCCCAGGAATTGAATAAATGGCTGATTTATGTTTGACCAGAGAGATCTTTGTGAGGCCTTTTGTTTTTTTTTTTGCTTTGGGAGCCCAGGGGATATTTTACTCCCAGTCCCAGTCTGAGTCTCATGAGAGTAAATACAGTTATTATAAAGTACAGACAGGTCAGAGCTCCACAATTACTGTGTTTCTGTGAGAACAAGGCTCTACCTTTTATGTGGATGGTGCAACCCGAGCTGGGATGGATGGAAGTTTTGGCTAGACTGTGCCACGCCCTCACGCTACAGCTGCAGCTGGATTGGACTAGTCTCATCTCTGTGTGTTCAGTTGAGGATGAGAAGAGTCACTAAACCGTCTGATGTGATATTCTGTTTATATCTTTAACACAATTTTTATCTGCATTTATCTTTTCATGGGCAGAAGTTGAATTCCTTTGGGTGATGCACTGGGGAGTTGTAATTCCTTTGCTGGCATTAGTCACCAGAATTTACAGTAACAGGCTTTACAATCATAACATGTCAGAGCCGACTCTGTTGTTCAAGCAGTATATGTCACTGGGAATTTCTGGGCCTTTTGCCATCAAAATGACTGTGTGACTCAGCATATTCACCTCATCCTTAAGTGCGTTTTAGCATCTTTCAGCTGGTTGTTTTGACTTTTACTTCAGGCTCAGCTGCAGCAGGTAGCTGTTTTTGGCAAATGTCTCTCACATCTCTCGCTGTACGTTACCTTCCCAGCGCCGAACAACTGACAAAGTTTGCAACTAGCTGTGAATGTAGTGGAGAATTTGGCAGCTGAGGAGCCTCATGTTTTCCTCAGGAGCTGTAAGAGTAAAGAGAAGTGAATTGAGCTTGTTGTGCTGGACTAAAGTTTCCCAAAGTGACTTAAAAATATTGTTTGCCATTTCATTTCTGCCAAATATTGCTTTACAAATGTCAACTTAAGTGTCACCAGGCTTCATGTTTTAACTAGAACAAAACAAAACATGGAAAAATCCCAGTGAGCGCCCTTTTTTCTTGCATGTTAAGCTGTCCTCCCCTTGAACATGAATTGCTGACACTCCAGCTGACTGATGCGGCTTGTTATTTTGAACTTTGTCTCATATTTCCTTGCACATTTGTCACCATTTAAAAATATGTGTCAGCCTCCTGCAGCACTTCAAACACCCTGATCCTCCTTGAAGGTAGAAAAACTCTCGAGCACTGATTGCTTTTTCTTTTCTGGGGGTTAGAGGACAATAAGCAGTCGTTATGTAAGCTGTAGTTGCCTCTTCAATCCCTCTTCGCCTCAGAGACAGGTGCTGTCTTAGCTGCCAGCACAAAGCCTGAGCCTGAGACTGGACAAAGAGCCAGATAAAGATGGGCCCGCGTTGACTGAGTGCAGCTGTTAGCCGTTGTAGCCTGGAAGCACTCCAGTATGTCTGCACATAACTTCGCACAGTCATGCTAAAGTGGCGGACCCTGCCAAAACCAAGAGTTAAGTCAGCGTGGCTACTGGACTGTGAAGAGTAGAGCAGGGAGGTAGAGACGTCTATTTGTTGAAAGACTCGGGACGTGGCTGGGTGACTTCTAAACTGCTGAGCTATTTCAGGCTAAAACACTCAGAGGGAACAGAAGCACTGCTATCAACATACACCGCCACCAAGTCCCCATAGAGATCCACAAACAGGGCAGCTATCAGAGCAGCTGTGGAGGGGGTTGTCTTTAAATTACAGCAGGAGACTTTAGTGGTGAGTCTTTATTGATGCAAGTTTTGGATGTTTGAAATGACTGCGCAGTTTACACATCTTTTCCTACTGTTTTTCTAACACGAATAATCCATCCTGGGTGGCATCTCATTTTTAGACGTGTAGGAATACGGCCCTGGCAGATTTGTTTTAGTCCTGATGCAAGAGAAGAATCACAGGAAGCTGGAGAGAGAACTTCCCAGTTTTGTTAACACGATGTGTAAAGCTAGAAAAACAGAAGGAAGGACGTTATTGTGCAAAAAATAATAATTTCAAATGCTATTTTTATCCTTTTATTTGTTTAACCACAGAAAGCATGTTTTCAGAGTTCTTTTTGATGTGGTAAAGTTTGCTTCTGATAAAAAAATGAAACACAAAAAAGTCACAAATCAGCAAGAATCCGGACATTGCGGTTAAGTGTTTGTGAAAGAAGCGTGCCTTGTGTTCGTCATGGTTAAGAAATAGTAGCGATCTGACCTTGCAGGCATAAAGTCACACCTCTTTATATAGTTGACCACAGTGGATAATGCTATTATTATCAGCACACTGTTGAGACTGAGGAAAGCCCCAGACTTTGAAGTGGACTTCAATTTTAGCTGCTGGAGGCTTTGACTCTGTTTCTCCCCCCGCAAGACATGCATGTGACTCCACATCCCTGGGGACAAACAATTTCATCACACACATACACACACACACACACACACACACACATGCAAGGCTCCTCCTGAGTTTAGGTATTTCTTTAGCCCTAAGGCTCATATAAGCTGATGTGGAATGCAGCTTGATTATTTAGCGAGCGGGTAAGCAACCTGTTTAGATCACAGCTGCTCTTTGTTCGCTGCAAAAACATGATTAATCTGGCGGCTTTTATGACTTTGGATGGGATTAATGGTGTAGTTGTGTTTGTGCCACCATGACAAGAGATGTTTTTCTTTGCACTGCCAAATACACAATTAACCTGCAGCAAAGCGAGGTGTTTTTAAAGGCAAACGCATTTACCAGTACCAGCATATAATCAATAAGAAACTCTAAACCAGAGGAGACATTAACTTCAAGTTTGGAAATGTTAGTCTCCACAAGTGACAAGCTGTTAATAATTAAAGCCATATTAGGCAACAAGTCATTGGTTCCCCTTGTGCCTTTTTTGGACAGTGCATTAATGTTTGCAGCTGACTTCAAACCCCGAAAATGTGCTCAAGGTTTCTCTTTAACAAAATGTAAACCAATGCAAGGCTATAAATCTTCAGGGTTTGCATGATTTGATTCCATATTGATTACTTATTCACTCTCATTACACATCCCTAGAAGCCTCTGGGCAAAAATGCATAAGCTTTTATGAGAAGCCAAATTGCCTTGTGTTATAAAGAAAGCGGCTGCATTATGACTCACTCGCTGTTCTGCAGTCTGTGTAGTTTGAAATGAGAGGTGTCATTCATTTGCTTGAATGCGGTGGTAAACAAGGCTTTTGTCCTTTCATTTTGTCCTTGACTTTTATAATGTTGAAAGCTTTCGATTCAGCAGCTGGCAACTTATTGTCTGTGTGTCGACATAGGAGTTTGTGCCACCCCTGTAGATTTAGAAAGAGACTGCTGTAGACTTTAAGATTGCACATACACTATTTCTAAATAGGTGTTATAAATGTGTAATTAAAGGATAGTTAAGTGTTTTTTTTGCAGGTGGTAACTTTGAAATGATACTGCTTCATTTGTTTAAGTTGCAATATAGCCAAATGCAATTTTCAAAAATCTGCAGCTGCAACATTTTTTTTTATAAAGGTAAAGGTTTTACAAAAAAGACATTACACTGACACACTCATGTTATGCATTCCGTTTATCATCGCTCAAAGGATGCCTTGTATGTTACGCAGTATGGTACACAAGCCAGTTTGCGCATCCCTTGCTTCTATCAGTGTATCAGTGTTCATCAAGGTTGTTTTTTGTGAATGGAAAGGTATGAAATCCTACAAGCAGAAACTCTGGACCAGGAACTTCTATCAACCTTAAAACAAGCTAGTGTGCATGATAAAAATCGTGTGTAGAGTGTTGCAAGCATAGACTGTATATAGAATGGACGCCGTCTGCCTCCTCGCTGGGTGAGGCCACCGCAAGAACAGCACCCTCTGGTGACAGGTTGCAGTATAGGTCATAAATCCCGCCTCTGCCAGCCATCCTTGGATGGACAGCTGTGGACAAACTTAAGAAACTTATCACACAGAACATAGTTTTTCCCCCCTGCTTGTGATGTTGATATGTAGTTATTTGAAGACTGGTTTGTGCTCAAGTCCTCTTTTTTTCAGTACAGCTCCGTTTTAAAAGTTATTAGGGGGTTCATGTTTTCTTTGATTGACACTTGATACAGCTTATAGGTGTATGAAGATTGCGTAGCTCACCCAGGGGATACGCTGTTTGAGACGAGTGTCATCACAGCGTTTCCCCGGGGAATTGACCGCCGAATGCGTACAACACTACTACGCAATGTTGGTTTCAGGAAGTGGAGAAAAAAACGCAGAATTACCAAGAGCTTTTCGGCTTCAAATCCATATACTGGCAGAAGGCGGAACCAAGTTGTCCATAGTAAATACAGACTATGGTTGCAAGCTGAAGCTTCAGGCATGTTTAAACTCAGGATGCTGAGCACTGAAACTGCTGAACTGCTTTAATTTTGTGAAGGAAAATGGCACAAATACTGCAACAAAATGCTGTCAGTGGACACAGGTCCTTTGCCATCAGCCCAACACTAGAGATGTTCTGAAGTGACAAATTTCCTCCCCGTTTGAACAGCTAAACTAATTTGACTGATCCAAACTTGAGTACATGTCAATGAACACATCACAGCTAGATCCACCTCCCTTTTTGTGAATTTCTGTAGCATTTTGATTCATTGGTTTGTAAAAAAAAGTGATTCAGGTAGAATGAGGACATTTCAATTGGCTTTGTCATTAAAGAGAACGAGATAAGAAGTTAAAAATAGACTTTGCTTGATTGAAACATCACAAGCCAAACAGGCAGAGAATGAGTGTCTCAATGATTTGTTTGAGGCAGATATTGATCACCGGGGGTTGAGTTCCACCTGAAGCTTGGGGTCATTGTGTGAGTGTGCGTGTTTGTGTTTCACTTGTATAGATCAGTGTGTCTGGGCAGCAGCCTCTGACTCAGTGTTGACTGGGTCCTGGAGTCACATGGCTACTTGTCAGCAGGCTGGAGGAGGAAACATAATCCTGAGGAGGAAGGCTGCCGCTATCAGTCGCTGCATGTTGCTCTGAGAGAGAGGCTCACCACTCAGCAGAAGCCGGACCGCACACGCTCTGCCAACGCTCACGCTCCACATCTCTAACTCCTGTCCCTTTTGTCTCCCTCCCTCTCTCTTTTTTTCTCCCTCTATTTGTTTTTGTCCTGCACTCTGACCAGACCCGGGTCTCTCTTCAACGGCGGAGTTCACAATTGCACTACAATGTCTGTGGCGGCTTCTCTGCTGTAAGCACACGAAGGTATGGAGAAAAATTAATTTCTTTTTGTTTATATCGTCCGGTTGTTGTCTTTTCTCATCGTTAATTTCCAAGGCTTAGATCTCGATTAGGTGCTTCCAGCCCTGATTGTAGTTATGTCGAACAAAACTAAATCAGATTTTTGACTTGATTCTTCATCAGTGTCAAAATTTCTTCACATCCCGCTGATTTGAGGAAAGTAGAGCTGACTCAGGCTAAAACCATAATGATCTGTGACCTAAACTGTAAACAAATCCTGCGCTGATCCACAGGTTGCACAGCAGAGAAAGTCCTCTAACATGCGGTTTTCAACCCACTTCGCAGGAAAAACAAAAATTCCCACTGTAATGAATCTTAAATTAGAGCCTTTAAAGGACATGTTTTAAGGAAGTGATGGCCCTCTAAAACGCTGACCACTCATAGTTGCTAAAAACAGGCAGATGTTCTCATGGGCTTGTCTTCTTTTTCTTCCTATACCACTCTCGTTTTGACCCAACTCTGGTTATCTCACATGATTTATTTTGCTTTAAACAGGTGATAAAAGTGTTGATTCTGTAAACTAATGCTCACAGTGTAACAGCATGTTATTATGTTAGATAAAACATTAAGGCCACTGATTCTCTTCACGTCATTTGCGACTATCTTAATCAGTGTTAAAGTGAAAAAAAAGCTGTCTATTTACAGCCAAACAAAAACAAATGAATCAAACTCTGTCTGATTTTTCTTGGAAATGCGATTTTTAATGAAATTTTCAACCTCTCCTCTCCTCCCTGTCATTGTCGTGCATTTATGTTGTAAGTACTGGAGGTTTGGACATTGTGATCAAGTGTTTATTCCTGGACAGGAATTTTGATCGTCAGTCCGTGCATTATCGAACTGTTCTTTAATTATGAACCTGGAGACGAGCATGCAGACTGCGGTCATCATACACGCGCCAGGCTGCCGATTGAAGCCGGGCGCTGGTCTGAGTGTTGTTCAGGGAGATTACTGGGTTTGTTCTGGGCAGACTTGTACTGCGAGTTTGAGTCCAGATCAAAACCTCCATGCTGTTGTTAGACTGTCTCATTACTTTTCTTTAATGCCGTTTTGACGATGAAAGGTCGCGTGAAAGGTCAGAGGGAGATGCTGGAAAACAAGCTTATCATTTGCAGTCAAAGGATTTTTACTTGGAGTGATAAACCCTGGCAGCTGCCTCTCAGACATTTCTTTTTAAATGGTCAGTTGTCATTTTGTGTTTATATATTTTTCTTTAGATTTTATAGCGCTGTCTGCATAAATTCTGGCATTATTAGGTAGTTTTTAGGTAGATCTGCCCATCTCTTTCTATCATTCGTAATCAGTTTTCATTTATTGAGCATCAGATCATGACAAAGGACACCCTATGATGGAAGCAGATTTAGACATAGTTCTCTTTTCAATAGTATTAATATCAATCCACCATGAGCAAGCTGTAGGCAAAGAAAGCTTCATTCAACAGGCAGAGACCTCAGGCAGAACCAGACTCATAGAGTTTAGGCTCAGAAAATAGAATTTAAAAAACAAGTTTGATAAAATCAAACATACAGAGCAACAGTATAACAGACATACGAGACTGATGGCTATTAATGATAGAAGCTGCTTTCACATCCTAATTCAACAACTTCTGTCGTCATGCTGTAGTACTCACACACTGAGCTCTGCAGAGATATGGCAATGATGTCCCAGAGTCAAAGGTGGAAGATGACTTGCATGTAAAGTAGTTCCTCGACCTCAACCAAAGGAAATATAAACCTTCATACACCGATGACTGTATAACCCGGGTTCAGTATCTTGCACAAGGACACTTTGATAGCTGCATTTGATAAAACACCTCAAATTTCTCACATATTCAGAGGAAATTCTCCTGTAAATCTCAAGCTGAGGTCTGACTTTGATCGCTGTGTCTGTTATGTGAGTTAAACTCATAAAAGGAGATGTTAGCAGTTTTGTTTGTCACATGCTCACACACACACAGGCAGTGCAATAAAATACTGATATACTATTCCACAAAGCGCATAATCATGGTAAAAATATGAGGATATGAAGCTCACATAGCAGTACAGGAATTATACACAGGTCATGCAGCCTAAGTAGAGCTGTCTGGAAGCAGCTGTCCTATTTTGGACAGTTCACTCATGCACAAAAATCCTGAAACCATCCAGAAGTTACCAAGGTGAACTGCATGTATGCACACAAGAGGCTGAGTCTTTCACCCTGACTGCTCTTTGAATTTCTCAGTATGAATTTGGGGGAAAGTAGAGCCCAGCTGGAAACCTTTGGTAAAGGACGTTTATATTTTGAATCATTCAGCTGGTTCTCTGTCAAGTTTCGCTGCTTGGATGAAAAGAAAAATGCGATATGAGGCTGTAAACTTAGAGTTGTATAAGAATGAAGCAAGCATATTTTGGTACTCCAATATAAAATCTTAATTTAAGATTTCATATAGCATACCTCTATTAAGTATCCCCCGTCAAATAACACCGCCAGTACAGAACTATGTAATATCACCCCACTACTCTCTTCTTTTGCATTGTAAGCGTATAGGGAGCGTGTTTTAATACTCCCCTACATGATCTTTAATTAAGATTTTAGAGGCATATCTCAGTAGGCTGATATCTTCTATCAGATAATGTTTTCAAGAGGAATATGACCGTCCAACAGCGTACAGTATTTTTTTAATTACTGGAAATGTGCAGCATACCAAAGAGACTTTGTGAGGTATTTTTGTGCTCAGTGGAAGAGATGAGTCACCACCATGTCCAAATCTGAGATCTTAACAATGATGGTAAAATGTTCTTCAGCTGTCACCTTCCTATAATGTCATGATGCAAATGTGAACATTAGGGTGATCCTGAGATAAAGTTCACACTCATTTTGTTGACGCCCTCATGGAAGTGGTGTCCAGATAACAGGAACCGATATTCACTTTACTCAGAATCATTGAAATGCAGCTTTCTGGGGCAGATTACGTAATATCAGCTGTTAAGAAAATCACATTGAATAAGATGAGTTTGATTAAAGCTTTGGTGTCGATTTTCATCATCATTAGTCACTTAAATTTGTGAAATGTAGTGCTAATACGATAAGATCTGTGAGAATAACACCGTCATACTTGTGATTCAGTTGTTTATTCTGTTTTCAGTGTGTGCTGCCTCTGTAGGAGGGACACATGATGGTGACAGTGACAGCCTGTCACGCTGTGAGAAATCCATTTGACTAATAATGACAAGATGACACAATTTCTATTAATCCAGATGAGCTAGAGTAAAGGCAGAATGAAGGCAAACAGTGGATTGTTGATTTTGTAAAAGATCTGATTTTTATTCACATTCAGAAGAATCTCAGTTCCTCCTTACAGTCTAAAGCTTGTTGCCTTCTTCCTGTTTCCATACTTCCTTCCCCTCAAACAGGCAGTTTTCCTAGAGTCCTGTATGCACATTTTAAGACTGTGACTAACTCTAGGATGGAAAAAGTTAGGAGTGCAGAAAAATTCCACTCAAATCCTCTCCAACAAACAGTTTGCAAGTCACTAAACTTCTGGATGACTCTGGGAAGAAGTGATGGAGTTGTTCCAGGAGAAATACAGAGCATCTCGTCCTCAACTTCCTCCTGCGCTGTCAGCAATCAGCCTTGTCCTCTCTGTCCTTTGGCTCATTACCCGAGGGACTGACAGTTATTTTTATACAGTACTTGGAGTGATTGCGCCGGACAGAAAACACTCAGGTAGTCGAGGAGCTTTTTTAAAACAAAAAATCAGAACAAGCGCAGTTATTTCCTTCTTCTTCTGATCACTATTGTTTTCCGTATCATTACAGACGTGCCCTGAGGTAGGTAAGCCGGTTCCCATGCTTTCCACTCAGTATCCCAGGGTTCTGTAACTTTATCCCTGTGTAGCCGGCCCTGCCTTTTCCTCAGCAGGAGGGGTCTAGGTTTACTGAGAAAGTAATCTTCAAAAACACGCAAGCTGATTTCAATTGACTCCTTTATCGCCATTACCACACAGATTGCAACGTCTCAGGCGAGGGAAAGCTGTTATTGTGAATAGAACAGCTGCTAGGATGTAATTTGGATTTGGCCTAGTGATTACCATCACGGCAGAACAAACAAGGAGCATTGCCAAAATGTTGTGGAGCCTGCTCAGCGTCTCTGTTCCAGCTCTCCTTGGCAGGTGATGTCTTTGTTAAACCCACATTTTAACACAGCCTCATATTGTCCAGCTCCGCCATAATGCCACCTTACATTTAATCTCCTGTCATTGATCGTGTTTAATGAAAGATGCTGTAACTGTACCGCTCAGAAATCTCATGCTGTCAACAAGGTCATTGATATGATTGTGCTCGGCCATCAGGGAGGATTATCGTTTCTTTGATAGCTGCTGTCAGAGGGCCAGAGTGGCTTTGGCAGGACAAGATTTCTTACTGTGACACAGAAAGAGGAACAAAAAGAGTAACATTCATTTGCTTGTAGGAGAGAGAGAAACCACTGTTCTGTTGTAAATGCTGCCTGTGAGAAAATTTGACTTAAACTTTAGGAAAGTTTTAGCTAATGAGAAGGACTGCTGGGGTGCCTTGTCTAACTAACAAGTGTAAAAATGGGCTTTTATTGTCGTAGTCAAGTAATTTAAATGAGTTATATTTTAGTTATGTTGTATCAACTAATTGCTAACTTTTGTAAATTGAAGTTGGTCTGTAAAATACAGCCTACTTTCTCTTGATTCTGTTTAAAAAAAATTATGAGTAACTTCTTCCACTTTAGTAAACTAACATGATCAATACTGTTAACCTGTCTCATATCTAACCACTGTTACTGACTGGTCATAACCCTGTAACAACGTTTATAAACCATTCAGGCAAAAGAAGTTTACAAGTGTCTGAGTTCACCTGTTGACAATGTGGCAAACAGCATGAAGGTTATTTTTATGATCACAAAACTTAAGATTCATTATTAGTAAGAAAGAAGAGAAGAGAAAAGAACCTAGTGAGGAAAACTAGCAAGGAATGTTATAAAATTAAGAAACTGAGTCAAGAGACATCAACCAAATTGAAGAAAACAGACACAAAGCATCCAAAAACCACAGATGGAGCAATAATTTTGCCTTATTATGAATAAAAATGATCAGTTTTGTATGATTTATAACACTACAGCAGGGTAATGTAAGAGTGATGTGTAGAAAAGTCAATACTTAGCCATATCTGATTGGTTAATTGATATCTAACAGTCAGATTCTGGATTTAAAATGCTCCCCTTACCTCTTCCTGTCAAGTTTTTGTCATCAAAAACTTCTACAAATGCAAATTATTTTGCAAGCAGCAATAACTTCTCTGGTCTTCATTGTCCAGAGCACTTTTTCAGGATGTTGTTTCGATCAGCCTACAATCAATAGAGAGGAAAAGTACTTTCTTTGTTATTAAAAACTCAAAATATCAGTTGCTGTTTATCGCTCATTTGAGATTTTGAGACTGTTTCCTCGTCTTCAGCCACTGTCAGTGTTTGTCTCAGTCTCTTTGAGGTTCTTCTTTTTAAAGTGAAACAAACATTAAGTATGAATACAGTAACAGTTATTTTCCAAGCTAAAAAAATGATTTATCTCCTTCCAGACCGAATGCTACATCTCCATTTATTGTCCTTGTGTGATACATCTCTCCTTAATCTTGTACCCTGTGTCCTTTCATATTTTCTTTTGGATACTTGTGGTTGAACTGTTTGTCATACAGGGATGACTGGAGATTGACAGTGTGAGGTTTTCTTAGGCTGGTGCCACCACTTATCAAAGGGTTTTGCACAGTAGCGCTGTGTTATCAGGCTCTTATCGGCTTCTAATGGTTAATGACCTTCAATTGGCGTTGGCTGCATGGCCTGAAATCAAGAAAGACAGAAAAGATACAGAGTCAGTGTTTGTACAAATATATCAGCATATACTTTAACCATTGTTGCCATAACTATTATGTCATTGTTAAGTGTTTCCACTTAGCCATTAAAGTTCTCCAAGTGTAGGCCAAGTGATTTAGGGGACTATAGGTACTTGAGCAGCTTCCAGGATATCCTCTGTTACTTCTTAGTTAGGCCACACATCGCAGGACAGAGGGAATTAGGGCAGTGGAGCAGGATTACCTGGGCTGTAGATAGATACTGTAAATATACTTTTTTTTTTTTCTTTACTGAGTTGGTTTGCAAAAAGTGTCTACCCCTATATCTCTCAAATTTCTCAAACTATAACTTCTCTTTGTCTTAGCTGTATTGTGGCTGTTGCACCAGTTGATTCAATACTTGAACTCCAGATTGAAATAATTTTAAATTGGTAAATTTATTGAAATTTCTGAGGAGATATACAGGTGCTGGCCAGTAAATTAGAATATCATCAAAAAGTTGAATTATTTCAGTAATTCCATTCAAAACGTGAAACTTGTATACTGTATACTTTCCTTCCACACATAGTGATATATTTCAAGTGTTTATTAATTTTCATTTTTATTATTACAACTGACAGCTAATGAAAACACCAAATTCAGTATCTCAGAAAATTAGAATATTCTGAAAAGGCTCAATATAGAAGACACCTGGTGCCAAACTAATCAGCTGATTAACTCAAAACACCTGCAAAGGCCTTTAAAAGGTCCCTCAGTCTTGTTCTGAAGGCTCCACAATCATGGGGAAGACTTCTGACTTAACAGTTGTCCAAAAGACGACCATTGACACCTTGTACAAGGAGGGCAAGACACAAAAGGTGATTGCTACAGAAGCTGGCTGTTCGCAGAGCTCTGTGTCCAAGCACACTAACAGACAGGCGAAGGGACGGAAAAAATGTGGTAGAAAAAAGTGTACAAGCTCTAGGGATAACCGCACCCTGCAGAGAATTGTGACGACAAACCCATTCAAAAATGTGGGGGAGATCCACAAAGAGTGGACTGCAGCTGGAGTCAGCGCTTCAAGAACCACCACGAAGAGACGCATGAAAGACATGGGGTTCAGCTGTCGCATTCCGTGTGTCAAGCCACTCTTGAACAAGAAACAGCGTAAGAAGCGTCTCGCCTGGGCCAAGGACAAAAAGGACTGGACTGCTGCTGAGTGGTCCAAAGTTATGTTTTCTGATGAAAGCAAATTTTGCATTTCCTTTGGAAATCAAGGACCCAGAGTCTGGAGGAAGAGCGGAGAAGCACAGAATCCACGTTGCATGAGGTCCAGTGTAAAGTTTCCACCGTCAGTGATGGTGTGGGGTGCCATGTCATCTGCTGGTGTTGGCCCACTCTGTTTCCTGAGGTCCAAGGTCAATGCAGCCGTCTACCAGGAAGTTTTAGAGCACTTCATGCTTCCTGCTGCTGATCAACTTTATGGAGATGCAGATTTCACTTTTCAACAGGACTTGGCACCTGCACACAGTGCCAAAACCACCAGTACCTGGTTCAAGGACCATGGTATCCCTGTCCTTGATTGGCCAGCAAACTCGCCTGACCTTAACCCCATAGAAAATCTATGGGGTATTGTGAAGCGGAAGATGCAATACGCTGGACCCAACAATGCAGAGGAGCTGAAGACGACTATCAGAGCGACCTGGGCTCTCATAACACCTGAGCAGTGCCACAGACTAATCGAGTCCATGCCATGCCGCATTAATGCAGTGATTGAGGCAAAAGGAGCCCCGACTAAGTATTGAGTGCTATACATGGGCATTCTTTTCATGTTCATTCTTTTCAGTTGGCCAACATTTCAAAAAAAACATTTTTTTTCATTGGCCTTTTCAATATTCTAATTTTTTGAGATACCAAATTTGGAGTTTTCATTAGTTGTCACTTATAAATATCAAAATTAAAAGAAATAAACATTGGAAATACATCGGTCTGTGTGCATTGCATGAATATAATGTACAAGTTTCACTTTTTGAATGGAATTACTGAGATAAATCAAGTTTTTGATGGTATTCTAATTTACTGGCCAGCACCTGTAGGTCACCTAGAAGATGAATACACTCGTGCTTTTAAGCGCAACCATTACGTCACATTTTGTCTTGGACATTTATTTGGCTAATGACGAATTACCTGCAAAAACTAATGAGACTCCTGCCCGCCTATCAGGGATATTACTGTGGACACAAGAGCAAAAGAAATCTCTTTTGGGCCAGAGGCTGCAAGGCTGGTTAGCTATTGTTGATAGCCAATCATACGTCCCCCAGTTAGACCTAATAGACATACAATAGACATACATTAGCAGCCAACACTGAACTGTTTGCATCTTATGTGAATAACCCTTTTCTTGCATTATCTCACAATTGATCATTTTGACACGATAGAGACATTGGTTCAACACAAACTGCAGCCATCTTGGTTGTTTACGAAAAGCTAAATCAGCTCTCAAACCCTTTGGTTATTAGATAAATTGCTGTAATCAGTTTGACCTGAATCAGCCATGAGAGAAGTGAGTGTGTAGGAGGGACCGTGCTCTTTAAGACATGAGCTGGTAGATTTTTTTTCCGATCTCAGTCTAACCCCCCCCCCCCCCACCATGCTTTTAACTTTAAGATTACTAATATCATGAAAGTGGCAACATTAATCCTGCTTGAAAAGTATCTCCTGCAGAGGCCCTAAAGGTCAATATTTTCTGAACATAACAAACGCATCATAGAATACCAAACACATCTCACTCTCATATCAATAATAAAGGAATAATGTTTCACTTAACACAAACACATTTCTCAAAACACAAAAATATTTCAAGCAACCCAAAAATCATTAATATGATATTAAAAAAATATTTAAAATTATGCAGAAATATTTCACAAAAAGCATGACATGTTCTTCTGCAATACTTTTGATTATTTATTTATTTATTTTTATTTTTATTTTATTTATTTTTTTTTTTTTTTTGGGGGGGGGATGTTTGTGCATCTTTTGAAAAATGTTTCTTGGTGAGATTTTTCTTTCTCTTGATGTTTTGACATTTTGTGAAATGTTTTAATCATTCCATGAAATATTCTGGTATCATGAAAACTTTTTGCACTTTGTAAATAGATTTTTGTGTGTGTGTGTGTGTTGAGTTTAATTTTATCCTGTGATTCATGAGAAAAATATTGTATTATGTGAATCTCAGAGTTTTGTTTTTCTTGTGTTCACCATCTCCTGCTCTGTGTGTGGACTAATCCCCTGATCTGTATCTGTCTCCAGGTTATGCTGCCCAAAAGCTGTCTGAGTCCCAGTGAGAAAGAGAAGGGCTAAAGCCACACAATCCACCCCAGCTTTCCGGTTAGCTCTCCAGCAGCGACTTCACTGTGGAGCTATGAGCAGCCCCAGCGCTCCAAACAAGATTACAGATGCTGTGGCATCAGTTATTCACAGCGTGAGTACACATGGCCACACACACAACAGCCTCAGTCTGCCCTGTCAGGTCAGACACGGCCACATGATACAACACATGAGGGCGAGTTTGTGACCCTGGTGACAAACCAGGTGAAATGGTATTTTAAGAGAAAGTAGACCCTTTGACCGTGTCATTCAAAAGACTGTAGATATACAGCTACAGACTGGCCTCTATACTTTAGCTCATATTTTGGCGGTGTTGGTGAAGATTTTTGCTACATCAGCTTCCTCTGTCCTCCCTGGCATCAGAGTTTATGTCTTTTGGACAGTCCTGCTCCCTCCAGAGCCGTGTCTGTACAAATCTAGACTCAACTCAAAGCCAGTTCCTCAGTAGAGTGTTTCTTACTATGAAAATGAAATGTTCAAAATAGTTCAGATGTAATTTAAATCTGCACAGAGCTGCTTCTGCTGCATTTCCCTTTTCATTAGAGCTCAGAAGAATGTCATCAGTTCCACAACAGAGACGTTTCCTTCCTCTTTTCTTTAATTCAATGTTCTACCCGTGTTGGAAGCACTAAAATAATATTGGCCCGTAATGAAAAATGTAATTGTACGGCTGCTGGTGGGGTTGATGTGATAAACACGGTGCCTAGAGGGCAGCTGGTCAGCAGCCAAAGAAAGCAGCATTCCTTAACCTAAGAGGTTCTCAACAAGTTCATCTCAGGATGATTAAGATGCTGCAGCAGAAAATATCACCGGCTTTAAAGAAAAATCCATAGCTTTATGATGTTGTATAGTGAAAGTTTTCAGCAGTTAGTGAGTTCCAGGGGTGGTGTTATCCCAGAAAATTTAAGTTCATTTACCACAATGATTTACCACCTTTTTTATGTTTGAATCAAATTTATGGACTTCTATGTTTCCCAGAATTTCCCTCAAAAGCTTTAAAGTAAAGAAAGATCACTGTGTCATAAGTTAGAAGTCATGTTTACAACACAGGGGAAGCACAAAATAAGATTTAGCTCATCATAAAGGCAACTTCTAACCAGTTCAGCTTCATAATGGCACTCTTGAGAGGTAACTTATGACTTAAACTTCATATATTCTTGTTCAGTCTGTCTATAAAACATGATAATTGTGTTTATCTGGCAGCGGAAGAGTCTAGTTCTTCTTCGCTCCAACATCAATGTAGGAAACCCTCGCTTTCGCTTAGCTTTGCAGTTTTTTGTCAGTGTGCGTTCAGCTGCTTCCCTTTCCAGGGTTGCAAAATTTGCAACCCACACTGACACGTCTGTATCTACCGACATGGACTCTGGAAGGCTTTTCCTCGCTGGACATAAACAACACCAGTTTGAAATTTAACCCCCACAGTTCAGACTCAGAATGTAGAATATTTCAGGAGGGGACAAACTGTATATATGAAACTCGACTGCTCGCCCACGAAAACAGAGAAGCCGTTCATTTCATCAGCTCTCATAGTTCGTTCCACACTGACTTAGTTCTTGTTTTTAACCCAAATTTTAAGTAACTAATCATGAACAAATAGTGATAGTAAGTTGTCGTTGTCAAACCATATCACGAAATTTCCATTTTCAACTTTCAACCAGCACTCCCAGGCACAAATATTGGTCCTAAAAACTTTTTCTTGGTTCATGTTTTGTCCGAACTTTAAAGACTGAGATTTGAAATGATTCAACTTTGATCACTTACCCTGAAATCTGCTTTGTGTAGTACATACCAATACAAATCCCACATTCAGTACAAGTATGAGAGCAATCTTTTTAGAAAATTATAATCATCAGTGTAACTAAAAGCCGTTAATATCTGGGGAGTAATCTGATTTTGGCCGCAGACATTACAAACCCTGTTATGGCCGACTCTTTCTGCGTCGACAAAAGAGTCTGTTGGCTTTTTTCCTAAGCAGCAAACTCCAGTATTGGAAAAATGAAGCCCAGGCAGGAGCGCCAAAAACAGCAGTTCCTCGAATATCCAATTGAGGCTGGTTGTAATAATTAAGGATGTCGTTTATTTCTCCTTTTATTATTTTTTTCGACTCCTCTGTTTTGAATGTAAGACGGCTGAGAGTTGTGCTTACATTTGCATAATTGGCAGCACTGTCAATATGATCCTGTTGAGCTTTCTATCACCTCTTTAGAAACCTATGCCTGATGTAACTTAGACCACATCCATCATGGTATACATCCTCGTCTCATCCCATTAAATTTTGTCTATAGCTTCATCTATATCTATGCAATACAAACTGGATATTTCATACATAGTTCTTGCATATGCTCTATATCAATTTCCCCTCCCGTATGCACAAAAACCAAGTCAAATCAAAGGAGGATATGAGGCAGAGACCTTTATCAGAGATGTTAGTGACTCACTAAAAGAGAGCTTGTTAGAGCCTGTATGACTGTATTGCTCTTTATAGCCAGTAAGACAGTTACCAACAATTAAACCCACTGAGATTGTGGACTTTGCTTTAATGTAGTTTGCCAGCACGTAGTCTGGTGACCAAGAAGCTCCCCGCAGATAAAAATGTTTGCTGTAATGACAGTGTCTTTGCTGTTATTGGTTGTCCTCTTGGCTCCAACTCCTGCCAGGTTAATTATTATCTCTTTAACAATGTGCGTTTGTGTACATGTGCGTACTTGTGTGTGTGCTCAGGGAAGAGTTCAGATAATCCTCTCTAGATTTTTAGGGGTCAACATTGTGAAACTGAGTAATGTCATGGAGAGCTGCCCTGGTCATGTGACGAGGGCTTGCTGAAATGGGAAACAGGCTGCCTTCCATAAAAGCAACGGTCCGTTGTTCTTTTACTTTTGACACTGGACAAGAACAAAGTGTTATCTAAATGATTTTTTAAGCCGCAGCAGCTCTCTCGTGTCTAACTTGATGGACTACATTGACTATCTGATCTCATTAAAGGTGAGTTTATTCAGCTTTAAGGACCTGCAGTAACGTGTTCAAAACGTGGCTTGCTCTCTCTCTCTCTCTCTCTCTTTCTATTTGTGATGTCTAGTCTTGGTCTTATCATGTCCCGCCAAACATTAAACATTACCCTTATAGTGCAAATAGAGATTTTATTTAGCTCAAAGGTAGCCTCACTTTGTTTTTTTTCTCAAGGTAAATTTAACCTCGACCTGAACTCTGCAGCTGGTTAATGGTCACTCATTTGCTTGTTTTTTTTTTCTGATGCTTTTTTACTTTGTCAACAGCTCATTGACTTTTCTCAGCCATTAGCTATCCGGGGTAATAATTACTACTTAATGTTAACTCAATGTGTCACTAGTCACACAAAGTCACCCACCTGGTGTCTGATGGACTATAAGATACTTTCGGCCAGGCGAACGACCGTCCCATCTGTTAAACTAAAAACTATCCAGACCATTGCGTTTATGTCGCTTATGTTCCCTCAATGGAATTTAGGACACATTTTTAGATGTACTTCTTTTCACTTCATTGTTAATAATTACATTTATGCCAGACTGAGGTTAGTACTGTTAAACTTAAAGCTTTAGTCATTAGACTGTTAGCTTAGCCTAGCAAACAGGCTGGAGAGAGGGAAGCACGTGTTTTAGAGATACTGGTGGGAAGATTTTGTTAGCTTTGAACAGAGCCAAGTTAAAAAGTTAACCTTTCTTTTTAGTTTTAATGATACATTGAGTTAGACTGTTTCTGGCTATATTACATCCTCTTCAATGTTGAAATATACCTTATAAACGTTCCATTGGTCTACTTACCCTTTGCTTGGAAAAAGGAAGCACATGTTTCTCTTGTTTATAGGCTATTTGGTGATTAGCTTTTGCGGCACTATCACATGAGGTTGTTGGCGACCATTGTATCCCTCTCTCTGCAATAGTATGGAGTATATTTATATAAATACATCTGCAAATGAAGGCTTAGCCCAGTGTAGAAACTGGATAGATAGGTTCTAAGGTAATGTTACTGGAGATACTGCTATAAGTGATTATTAGCTTAAGACAAAGCTTATCTAGTGTCCAAATTTGGCAATAAGCTTTGCTAGCCAGCCGCTAGCGTTAGCTCTATATTAGCATAAAAGTGTTAGCATATTCAAAAATGTTTAACTGTTCTTTAAAAAGATAAAAGATTTATCTTGTGTAGGTTAACAGAAATAAGTTTTACTGATGTAGATTGTTTTGTTTTGAATGTTGTTTTGGAAATACATGATGAATTGGATTTCTCTTGATTTATTGGTCTTATCTAGAGACTGTGTAAAACAAGGACACGGTAACCTAACCTTACTCATCAGTTTCTGAAGAGGCTTCATGAAGCATTAGGGCATTTCAAGTGGGTACTTGAGAAACAGCTTTATTTTTCCACACCTGAAGCTGTCATTTGAGTCTTTGTCTTTTAGATTTTCACAGCCCTCTTTCAGCCGTTTTAACCCCAGTGTTGGGAAACACTTGTCCAGACTAGGACATGTACTCAAACTTGATGCCAAGACATTATATATTGCAGTAGTGAGCATTGAGATTAAAGTGCAACCCATATCAGTGACTGTCAGTGAGACACTTGCTGCCTGGAAATAAGCCACCATACCTCAGATAGAGGGATGAGTGCAGTTCAGTTCACACCTCCTACCTATCATGCTTTATGACTTTTTTCATCCTCGCTCACTTCCTGTGAACTCAGTCTGGAAGTCACCTTAGAAAAACCCCACCCCATCTGAGTCAGTGTTTGTCGGGACATGTTAAACTGATAGAAAGCAGTAAAAAACACTGTCCAGGGCAAATGTTATATTTTGTCTGGCTACTGAAAACACTGTTCATGATAGGGAATGATGAACCTGACTGAACCTGATGAACCTGAACCTGACTGCTCAGATCCCAATATAATCAGAGGCTTTTACCAGACGAGAGGTAAAGACGAAGAATCAGAGATGTATTTCTTATTCTCAGACCAAAGGAAGATTTCTTGATAAATTACGGATACAGCACATCATGTTTACTCTTTCATTTCAAGTGCTAAAAACATGTAATTTAATTCATGATGTAACAGGAAAGTTGAGAAAACATGATGCATATTACACCATTTGCAGTTTTCATCAGACCCAAGCGGTGACAACCAGGGATGGATCTAAATGCAAGGGGTTTGAGTGTAGATGAGGAAGAGGTTAAATCAATATTATTCCTTTGTGTGTTTGTGAGCTCATACTTCATGTCACTACGGTTAGTGCCCAGTTAAAAAGAGTCTGGATCTGCCCCTATGCTTCCACAGAACAGTGATACCTCAGAGTATATAGTCCAGTTGGGTCACCTTGCATATTCGTGTTAAGATACATAGGAATGCAGTGACTCATCAGCCACTGGTATGACATGATCAGTAACATCAACAGCCTACAGTATCTCCCCCTTTTCCCCTCCAAGTGCTGACTGTGTGGGATTTGAGCCTACCTCACGACACAGATAATCTCTTCTGCTGCCTCCACACACTGTTGAGTGTCAGCTTTATTGCATAACTCAGACACTGCACATGCAAAGCACACTACTCTAAAACCTTCTGCACTGTGCTGCCTCACTTGGATAAACTATTACTTTCTAGTACTCATACAAAACTACATATCCACGCACTCTAGACAGAAATTTTACTCTAAAATATCGACTGGGTTGTTTGGTACAACCATTCACGTGTCTCCTAGGAGGTATTGTAACAACTTTGATGTTCTGAGGTGCATTTTCCATGTTGATCTAAACTCCTACAAATGGACTAATCTAGGGGTGAGAATTCACTTGGAGAACCCTGTTTATTCAACATTGCTATTGTTGAGTCTGCAGGTAAACATGGTCAAATGGTTGGGACTGATGCCAGTAAAGCAAGCACAACCAGCCATAGGTCCTCCTTACAGGCTGACCTCTATGTGCCAGTTATGCATTGCTCCTGTTTAGTGTTTATGTGTACATACAGTACGATCTCTACTGTGCCCCATCTAGCTACAAAATGCCACCTGCTATCTGTTCTCGTTTACATCCAAGTGGTAGAGAATCATAGAATTACATAGTAGCTAGTGGGGAACAGCTTGGGAACACTAACTTGCATCTCGCTTTTGTTCTTTTTTTTATCAGGAAAAACTTGTTCTTTTATTTGATCAATGTCCAGTTACCAGCAAACAAGAGTATTGTTGATCCTAGATGGCGGGTTAGTCGGTGGAGATCTGATTAGAGCATCGTGAGTCTTTGATGAGCTTTGGCAGAGAGTCATTGCCAGCTTGTAAGACTTTAATAGAGGTGTTTAGGGCTACAGTTACAATACCATGGTGGATGCCAGTGGGCCCATTGCCACTTGCCTGTTCCAAATATTGAACAGATATTAAGCTTGTTTTGCTATGAGTGAAGCGTCTCTCTATGTCTAAAAAATATTACTCTCTAACTTTTCCTCATTGTCTTATTAGTTTTTTTTTTTTTTTTACTTTGCTTCCCTTAGGCTTGTTTTTGCACATGGCTTCAGTTGTGGAAAATTCTCTCACCTCCTTGAGAATCCCTCACACATCTCTCCCACCTCTGGGGATTGGCTGTGAAACCGTGATATGAATGAGAGCTCTGTAAAAATAAACCACAGGATAGTGTAGCAGCTCACATCTGGATGGGATTGTTTTCTCCAGCATTTCGGATCAGTCATCTTATTAAATTTGGAAGTATTGACATAGCTGTGGGGAGGCTCTTATCTTTAATTTTAGATGTGTTTTGATTAAAGTAGCAAAGTTTGTGTTTGAAAGAGACTTTGTAAAAAATTTTTCATTAAGACCCATCAACTACTAAAATGTGTCCTGCTACTACGCTTGTTCCTGGTCGCCTAAAGTGCTGAATTGTATTTTACAGTTTGTTCTCAGGTTTGTTCACCGCTTTTCTGTTGTTTTTCTGTCAGTAAAAACCCATATGATGAATTGAACCTTAGGTCAATATTGAAAGTTAGTTCAGCAGACTTTCACTCTTCGTGTTCGTAGGTTTCAGCTCTTCCACAGTTCAGCGCAGGGTTTTGGTTTCTGTCACCTGTGTGAGGCATTTAAGGACAAAACAGAGTTAAACTCTCCATGGCTGCTCGGATCATGGGAATCAGTTTTTCTCACTGTCTCTGGACATGCTTTGATACATGAACATGTGTCCAGCTATAAATATGTGGATGAACTCCTAAACTTCCTGTTCACATCTTCTCGCCTTGATTGGATTGTTTAAAGCGGGACAAGCGCTTGTTAACGTCCTGCATGCAAACAGCAACTAGTTAGCATGTGTTAGGGTCATTTAAGTTTATAAAAGCATTTGTCTGATGCTATAATTTAGTTTTTTAATATAGTTTGTTGAACTTCTGAAAACAAATGTACAGTGCTGGAAAAGGACTTCTTCAAAGTAATGTTAGCAAAACAACTATGCAAAATTAGAAGTATTATCAGCTGAGGAAATAACAGAAACAGTTACTGGACGCTTCAGCGGATGTATAATTACATACAGTATGTTGAATTTGTATGCCTTGTTTCCACTTAGGTATGTGACTTGTGATCATAGGCGTGTAAATAAATGGATACACATGTTTGCAGATGGATGGAGTACTGACCGAAACCAGCTGTAACCATGGGAGAGAAACTGACATTGTCTTGTTTTCATGCAGTAACTTATGAATCTGAACATGGAAGCTGTATTTTGTAACAATCTGACAAAGACAATCTGACTGTCTAAGACTCTATACTAGCAGAAAAATAGTACTTAAACTCACAACGTGTTAAACCGACAGCCCCAACTCAAAAACAGTGTGGACTCTATGTCAAAAACTGGCTAAATCAGATTTTGATGGTTCACAGCTCATTTTTTATTGTACATGTGTTAAACATTAATTTTTTTTATTGCATTTCCCACAAAAAAAAAAAACTTAATTTGGAGAACATCTTCTAGCCAACTGTTTTAATTTTAGGTTTGGGAACAAAAAGGCTCTCGAGAGACGCTGATCACCACTTTGTGAGAGGCTGCATTTTGTCACCCTATTAAAATAATTTTTTGAAGAGAATGAGTTTTTGGCCTTAATCATCTTTTTATCATCTCAAGAGATGATTTAGGCCAAAAACTAATTTTTGTCAAAAAATTACTAATAGGGTGACGATTTGCAAAATGTTCAACAATTTTAGAATAATGTTCCTTAGCGTAAAATTGTATTTCCAATTAAAATATCCTTTATTTTTAATCAAGTATAGAGTTTTTCATTTTTTGAAAATGAGGATGCCTGTTGGTTCCTAACTAGGAGAGGTAACACACATTTTAAACACAAATCAACTTGGAGCACTTTAAATAGGCACAAAAAAGTCAAAGGTAGATAAAATACATCAATTGTGAAATATAGAACTGGAATAAATAAGAAACGTTTGCACACATAGAGTGGAGAATGCAGGGTTATTGAAGTCCAACAGAGAAAATAAAAGTGTGGCGGGTACATAAACTCATCAACCTTTGGTTTCAGCACCTAAAACATAAACATCACAAGGCACCACTGCGGTGTATTGTTTTTTATAATAAGGGTCACATGACAAACAAGGTTGGAAATCTTTAACAGTGCATTGAAGTAACTAACTCAATTTTTCTCTCTGCAAAATGTTAATCTGAAGATGTACTTGTAGTTCTTACTATGATGTGAATGCTGTCAATAGAAAATACTACTAAAACTTAAAATTTGGTGATGTTTTGAAAGATGGAAATAGTCACATATAACTCTACTTCAGCGCTTAAATAAAAATACGACTAAGTGCTTTAAATATTCTGTGAGTTCGTTTTTTCCAGCTGTAAGGTTTTTCTGTGTCGATTTGCGCAGTTTGTGGTGTGATCAGTCCTCTGACTAAGCAGAATCTGCAGGTGGGATCTGAGTTATCATACTCTACATCATCACATGTTTTCTTTTACTCCCTGCAGCACGGGAGAAAACTCAATTTATGTAACGACACGTCGTGTGTCCTGAGAACCGTTTATGTGAGAATCTGATGGCATGTGGCCTCCAAGTTTTACCGCAGCAAGGGGCCACTGCAGGGTCTGACTACCTGTGCAGTAGTCATGGAAACATTTACACTCCTTCAGGGCAGCTAAAGCACAATCCTGTAAGTCGGAGTAGATCCACTTGCTAGTTGCGCCGGCCAATCCTTATCACAACATCCCTCCAGCAGAGTGGGGCACAGCAGGATGCAGGATCCTGCTGCAAAAAAACAGATCTCCTATCGCTCACATGATCCCTGTCACACCAGAGTGTGGACAAAGAGTAACTGATCAATGCACATGGCGATTGTTCCCAATTTGAGGCTCCTTGTCAGGAAGGTATGCATGAGAGGGCTTGTCATGTGATGTCCCGTCTGGGCTGTATTTGCAGAACGAGGACTCCCTCTAGTGTTAGTTTGAGTCAAAGGGTCTTAAATTCATACTCAAGACTTCTGATCAGCAGGTTTGGACATGTAGCAGGGTCACACAAGAAAAAAGGACACTAAGAAATAGTCCCAGGAGACAAAAATAACCACAACTTTTTAAGGCACAACATTTTCCCGCCCGTTAGATTTGTTCTTGTATTTTTATCACTTTTGCACATTTTTAATGTCTTTTTTTTCCACATTTCAGCCAGAGGTTCCTGCTGCTTCATCACACGGGACTCCTCGCCGTGACGATGAGGACGATGGGGACCTGAACAAAGCTTTAGGTGTCCAGCGCTTCCAGCAGATCCTAAGCCCTGCTTCTGTCATCCCTGATGAACAGCACTACAACTACCATGAGGAGGACATTGAATGTAAGAAGCTCAACTATCCTAGTCATACAGTAGAATCCAAAATTCCTTAAACCATAGAGTTCGTTAGCTTGCACTTCTGTATGAAAATGTATGTTTCTGCTGTATCTGTTCCTCAGACCGCCGTCACTCCTCTCACCACATCCACCGCCCTCTATCCAAACTGCCCCCTGAAGGACGCAGGAAGAGGAGCAACAAGAAACGGAGGAAGGAGAAAGATCACAAAAGCAGCCAAGTTCCCGGCAGCGGCCCTATCGAGGAGGGAGAGGATGAGGAGGAGGAGGAGGATGAGGTGACGGAGACGACGTCTGTTCCCTCTGAGTCAGAGAAATCCAAAGATGTGGAGGTAATCGTTTGACATGGTGAACTTTAGACAGCGTGGAGAAGCAATAACAGGGACTGAGTCATAAATTGTTCTTTCTTCCAATCTCCTGGATCTGAATCAAACTTTGGATTATTCCAGAGTTTAAAAAAAGCCTCACAAGAGTACACAAAGTTTGCACTTCACTCTCTAGTTTCAAAAGCAGGAATCATTAAGTGTTTGAAGTGAAGTATTTATGTTTTTATGATTGAAAAGACTTATTAATGATTAAGTAAAGGGGTCACAGTCACTGTTTGAGTCTGCCATGAGTTGCACAGAGATGTGGTTTCTCACCCTTATCGTAATGGTTTTAAATCAACCTGCTCACTCCTGTTGTCACATTACCATATTTTCCTCTATGAATTTTTCATTATCGTCTTAATCATTCATCAGAGGGTTTCATGGTTGGCTGTTATCCTGCCTCACTTTACAAGACGGAATATAATCTAATAATAACGCCAGTGAACACTTTTTAAATCTACAGAGCTTGTAGAATAAGACGGCAAAAATCTTTTTGTTTTAATTTGAACTTTTTTTTCTCTTGTTTTAACTGTGGCCTCATTTTAGCTTTTAACCAATCTTGATTGTCAGCAGATTGAAAATAATTTATTTTTTGTAAAGGAGGACACAAACCTCAACAGAGCAATCATATTGTGCTTGTTGAGAGTGATTGTATTGGATCAGTAGGTGGAGCAGACTCTCGATATACTGAGGCTGCAGCTCTTGTTGTGCTCAAAGTTTTGATTCCTGATCCCTTCAGTATTTGATGCATGTCATTCACCACTCTCACTCTCAAGCTAATTTATCATATTAAGATGAAAAAGTACAAAAATTAATAGAAAAAAGTGAAGGTATTTCGGATGAATTCAAGAAGAGAGATTTGTGCTTGCTCATCAGAAATAGTTTCAGTTTCCCATTGTGTATAATGAAACTTTTATGCCAGTATAGGAAAGTATTATACAGCTTTTTAAGATTAAGGCTTGTGCCCAAATATGTGTTTTTATTAATTTACAGTAAATGTTTTTATATAGACCCATCTGCACTCACAAAGCTGATTTAAGGCAAATAATATCTGCAGACATGGTAAATATCCCTGTCAGTGTAGCTGCTGTCTCCCTGTATATTTTGTGCATTAAAAATCCATCATAAATATTTTATCTGCTTAAATGCACAAAAGTTTTTAGTGTGAATGGAAAAAAGGGCTTTATTTTGAAATTATTGCACTTAATTACATGCAAAAAAAAATTGGAAACAATTTGACACCAGCTCTATGCGGCCAGTCTGCTCTCTTATTATCAGGACAGGCCTTGGCCACTGAAAAAGTGATATTAGTCAATCATCCGTATGTTGTAAACATATCAATCTTTAACTTTTTTCTTAACCTGGTATTAAAGGTTCTCTGTTTGATTTTCTGGTTCATCAGCTGTCTTTAAAAATACAGAAACTCTGTGACACTCTGTCTTCTCTCCACAGTTCTTTCTCTCAGACGACGACCATGTGGCCAAACGTGGCAAAGACAGCCCTCACTCGGCCCGTGAGCTGGACATCGTTCCTCACTCTGCAGAGGGGGCCGATCCCGAAGATGCCACTTCCTCTGAGTGAGTCAGGTTAAGTTCTCCTCAGACCGAAAACAAACCAGTAAAAGGGGCGTGAGGGACGTGTAATCATGCTTTACCTGCTGTGATGATTGCATAATGTGTGTCAGGCACATGCTCAATTGGCCAGCGAGGCACACACTGTACGTTACCATGTCTCAGGCATCCAGACGGCCTGCTGGGCCCGATCTGATGGACCTGAATAATCCACTCCTCAGAGACCCATTCATCACCTGTCGCTATAGACGACACAGCACACCTCAGCAGCCCCGGGCTCCCTCTATGACATTTACTTTTCCTCTTCATGAGGCTCTAATCTGGGCTGGGATAGAGCTGTGGATACACCTTGAGCTTGTTTTCAGTCGAGGCAAGGGAAATGAAGTAACAGTGGATATATTTAACAAAAGGGAAATCACTGAGGGTTTAAGTTTTTCACTGTCGTGTCAATCTGTGGACTGCTGACATTTAAAAAGGGTAAGTTCAATATATCCATTTCAACAAGGTGTTTTCGTATTCCTCTTAGCTGTGCACCTTTTCTCACTAAATGAGCACACTTTTCATTTGTTTTAGGGAGTTAAAAATTGAGTTTATCGCTCTAGGTTTAGATTTCCGATTGCACTTTATTCTGATTTAGGGGGTCTCATAAACTGATCAACTCAAAATTGATCACATGTATCAACTGTGGAGTGTAAAAGTAGAGCTTTTGAAGTGAAGTGGAGTTGTTAAAAGTCTTGTTCCCACTCTCACATCCAAAATGTTTTCCTGAGGTGAAAACATTTGATCAGCTAAAGACATCAAATCAAAACTATTTCTGAGCTATATTTTGTTTTTCCCTTTCTGCTTTTATCTAGTGTACCAACCTCACCTGAAGTTTCCAGTCCAGGTCCCCACTTAGCTCCACCTGAACACATACCGCTGACCCGGGTGTCCTCTGCCAGCCGCAGCTACGACCTGCAGGAGCGCCGGCGCACAGGCAACATGACGGGTACCGAGCAGGCCAAGTACCAGCGGATCCCCACAGATGAGAGCGAGGCTCAGACGCTGGCCTCTGCCGACCTGGATGGCATCAAGAGTGAGTACAGAGGAGAGGATATTTTTTATCTAAGATTATTTTATTTTAACAATGACCGACTTGAATGAGTAAGAAGTCATTTGTGTGTTTGGTGTCAAGATAATGGGACATCTTAGCCCCTTTCAGCTCCTTGTTTTGTGTCAGAGTTTGCAAAGTAGCTCGTCTGGGTCACCTGAAATGACTCTAACAATAACTTTATGTTGTGCGTTTAGCTGCAAAGAAGACGAGTATTAACTCCAAAATGGTGGAAACCAAAAACAGTGCTAAAACAGTGAGTGTTGAACTTATATTCATAGGATGGCATGATGGCAAGATGGCACAAAACATGGCACCAATTACATGATGATGATCCTGTTTTTTATTTCCATGACATATAAACACGACTAACATTACTCCTTATGTGTTTTAAAAGGCTCCTTCTATGTTAAAAACTTAGATTATTCACTAATTTAAACAAATTTATGAGGATTATATTCCATGGCCATCAAAAATCACACACTGGACCTTTAAAGCACACATCGCAGGTCTTGGGTAATTTAAGTTTTTTTTGTGCAGTAGGCATCTCAGTGGAAAACATCTTCAAAACTTCACCAGTTGTGGCTTTCTGATTGTGTTTTTGTCTATTTGTCGCTCACTTATTTTGCTTAATTATCACCAGTTAGGCTTCAGCAGTAATGAAATTTTGGATTTGTTGATGCTCACATTCCTCCAGAAACATCAGAGTAAGGGCGCAGGGGCCGCCTCTAGTACCTTCTACATTGTGTTCAGCTCCCCGCTGCCAACTGACGCTGCTGGCCCCCCCGGCCCAGCTTGGGGTTGTGTCCGAGGCCGAGGAGATTTACGTCAGGGATCCGACCCCTCAGCAGAGAGCAGCAGCTTATCAGAGAGTGTGCTGGACAGGCTCGCATTATTAAATTAGCCGATCCTGCTGTCAGCTGAGGCCCCTGGACTCGGGCCCAAGCCAACATGGTGGCTAATTGTGAAACCTGGACCTTAGTTGAGGACCTTTAATCATTAGTGGGCTGAAACAAGGGGAAAAGTTGAGTGGACTTGAAGGTTAAAACAAAGTAGTAGAAGGATGTATGGGCGGAAACCATCCAGATCTGTGGTCATTAAAGGGCTTAGAGACACAAAGCCAAGCCCCCCTCAACATGCTCATCATCACGTATCCTCTGCATCGTCTTTTATCTTCTCTCTGCCTCCATAAATCATCCTGGGAAAGTGTCTCCATCTCTGGCCGCCGCTCAACAACAGGAATTATTAGATCATTGTCCCTCCCCTTTTGTCTGACCCCGAGCAAATTTACACCTCTGCTCACTGATGCATTCTGAAAAGTTTCAGCCACAGCGAGGTCAGGCGCTGGTCAAGAAGTGGCAACTTTTTCCGATATGTCAAAACGCACACACGTCGCACGTTGCAGTTTTACGAGCACGTAGTCAGACAGCTGTGCCAGCGCTTACCCTACGCCCACCACAAATCCATGTCGTCCTTCAAAAGCAGTGTGCCAGTCAGGCCTGGTTTGACTCCAGGGGCTGACCAATACTTAACTCAGACATCATGGAGAGACTGGATACCAGACCCTCCTAGAGAAAGACGTAGATTTTACGAGTTATGGTAGATTAAACAGAAGAGTAGTAGGAGTTTTGGGCAAAAAAAGATGCAGTTTTTAACTTGAGACTGCTGTTTTGATTTTAAATAATGAGCTAAAACATTGATGAAGAATTATAAAAACTTCACTGTTTGTTTCGTTGGATTCTCAGGCTCTGTTGAAGGTAAGACAGCTGGTATTCTTGAGCCAAATGTTGCTTATTTCACAGATTTTCTCATACATTTTCTATTTTAAGAGGGATATTTCAGGTGTGCATCGTGGTTCCTAAGGTTTTCTTGATTCTTCGAGCTCAATCAGACTGTTTTTTTCCTCTGTTGGTCAGTTTTAAGCTCATCTTCGACATTGATTTTTACTCAGTGTGTCATTACTCTGCCATCTGCGTATCTCTCCACAATCGTTTCAATACGTGTTGTTCTGCCAGCCTGAGTAACTCTACTCCCTGATGAGGGACCAGAGAGACAAAAGCTCTCCGGCCGGGCATTCTGTGACTTGGTGGTTTGAGATTTGAACTTGTGCTGCAAGGTCAACACATTCATGAATAATCCTGCAGACTGTAAAGTTTTACAGCTGCTGATCTTTGGAGGAATTCACTCCTCAGTTTTTCCATGTCAACTCAGTTGTCTTATCTCTCCTCTCTTCTCCACCAGGTCACCGTTTTGAAGATGTCCCCGGCGTGCGCAGACACCTGGTCAGAAAGAGCACCAAAGGACAGATGGTGCACATCGGGAAGGACCACAAAGAGCCGACCACTCGCAGTCGTAAGCAGGACCGGACCCCACATGAGGTGAGACTCTACAGGACCTGTTGGTCAACACAGACACTGGGAGTACATCAGCTCATGCTATGTCGAGTTCGTACTCTGTTTTCTCATCAGGAGTAATCATCTTCATGTGTTGTGTTTGCAGTTCTTATGAGTTATTAAAACTAGGAAAATCAATATTTCCAGGTGTTGTTAATACCTCAAAAATGCAGGTTTTATACTTTTAATAGACCACCAACCATGTTGTAAAATAAGGGATATATCAGGTAAGGTTGAACTTGTACATCTTTTCAAAAATTAATTTTTTCCTATCCAGATCCAAAAAAATCCAAAAAAAGGCAAAAGTTAAAAAAGTTTCCACCTATCTACTTTTCTGGTGTCAATGAAAAGTAAAATTCTTAAACGGATATAGAACATGCCAATGTATGAAATATTAGTCTCAATATTTATGTTTGAAAAAAGTGGATGAGGACTAAATCTAAGGGCGGTCTTGAGAAAGAGAAACTCTGCTGTATCTACGGCACAGGATTAGGAAGGTTGAGATTTGAAAATTAAGTCGTAATGTTTTAGGAATTAAGTTGTAGAAGAAAAAGACATGCAAATTGACAGAAGTTTAAAATCAAATAAAATGAAGGTTGATTTAACAGCTTAAAATCTGCTCTTTTAATCTCACTTTTTTCTTCCCCATGTTGGCTCTTAAACTCTGTCCTAAATATTTTACTTTTTATTTCAGAGTTAGCTTTTTTCCTGTGAAACTGTCTTTAAAACAAAGCAAATCCTGGGAAATGTTTCCTCCTCTCTCTTCCTCTCAAATGTTGCGCTGCTCTGTCTCTTTTGTGGACGGGAGCTGGAGGGAAGGAGACAATTAAAAATGAATGAATGAGTTCTTTCCTTTCACACGGAGAGGAAAAAAGGAGGAGAGGAGCGTAGGTAACCGGACACTGGGAGCTCCTGAGAGAGGGAGAGCTATGTTTTATTAACACACACACACATTCTCATACACAGCTCTAAGCCCCCCTCCCACCCAGCAGCCCCAGTAAACAACAGGTCCCTATCAGGTGTGTGTGTGTGTGACGACTTACCTGTGTGTGTAAAAGCGAGGGTCCAGTCATTAGTGAGGCTGTATTAGTGTTTGAGTCCTCTCCTGCACTGTCTCGCTCCTCCAGCGGTTGCCGGTGGTTGTGTACCGCTCTGCCTCGCGGCTCGAAGGCTTCCTGTTGAACATGGACGTGGGTCGGATGGCTCGGTACCAGAAGGTGAGGCTGGGTTTGACCGGCCAGAGTCAGGTTTGACCCGTGTGAGCGTGACTTCCCAGGCATGCCGCAGGGGTTGTTTGGCACAGGCGACGAAAAAAAGCGACGTTTTCCAGCCTGTTTTTTTCATCTTCATTTTACAGGACACTCAGACTGACCAGCATGGTGTTCAGTTAATAACTTCTTAACAGATACTTGATGCCAGGAGGGCTGAGAGAGGCAGATTTCGCTCCTTCTTTTCACTCCTCCTCAGCTGTGTTTGTGTGTTTCTTGAATTCTGGCGACACAGAAAGATCTTGTATTTGTGTGCTGAGTGGATTAAATTAAAAACTCTGATTTCTGATGAGCATGAAGTCTGTTTTCAGATGTTGGCGTGCAGAACACTTCACTACAGTCTAAACTACTTAACCAATAAAGTAATATAATAAACTGCTCATAAAAAGTGCATTGACAGCAAAAGATATTTGGCACGTGCTGAAAGTGCATGTTGTTGTGTAAATAAAACAGAATTTCTTGCCCGTATCTCACTAAAACCCGCACACGTCCCCGTTTAAATTTATTCACAGGTTTTTGTGGAGCTGAATGAGCTGACGATGGATAAAAACCAGGAGCTGCAGTGGAAGGAGACGGCTCGATGGATCAAGTTTGAGGAGGACGTGGAGGAAGAGACTGACCGTTGGGGGAAACCTCACGTAGCTTCGCTGTCTTTCCGCAGTTTGCTGGAGCTCCGTAAAACCATCTCTCACGGTAAATTAGAATTAAGTGTGGTCACTTGAAAACCATCCAGTGAATGAATCTGTTCAGAGAGGGTGATTTTTTTTCCTTTCCCTCATTTGTGTGTGTCTACAGGGGCTGTGCTGCTGGACCTGGACCAGAAGACCCTGCCTGGCATTGCCCACCAGGTGGTGGAACAGATGATCATTTCTGATCAGATCAAAGCCGAGGACAGAGCCAACGTCCTGAGGGCCCTGCTGCTGAAACACAGGTGACTTTAAGGATCAGACGGTAGCAACAAGCACTGATGGGTCTTATTGAATATATAGAGGCAGGTCCGGCTTTGCTGGTAGTCGTACTTTGGTAAAACTTGGCCTTGCTGGATAATTCAAGCAAAAATATCAAACTTTAAAGTTTGCTTCCAGTATCCTTAAACAAACGCATTTTAAATTTTTTGTCCAATCATTTTAGCAGTTTCACTCGAGGTTTTTAGGTGTAGAAGAGCTTTGTTGAAAGGATGCTGAGGTAAAAAATGCAGTTCCCCAAGTGTCCACAAGAGGCCGGCTGCTTTTTTTCCTTAGTAACTTATTTTTATGAATACAAAACATTTCAACATCACATTTGATTCAATTATATCAAGAGCAAGACTTTTATAAATGTGTCCCTGGACCACATCTCTAGGACCCGTGTGCTGTTGTGACAGTCAAAGTTTGGATTAGGGTTTTACAGTAAAAACTGCCATATCAGATACTTTCATGTGGTTCTTGGCGATCCAGTGCAGTAGGTGGTACTTTGGGAGCAACAAAGGTCTTAGAATTGCAGTCCTGAATCTGCACGCTTCAGGATCTGCAGACACATGCAACCAAAGATAGAAGTGCAGCTCGGTCAAGTCCACTTTAGCTCCCCCTCTTTACCTGTTGAGCTTAACCAAAAGTAGTCAAAGTTGTTCTGAAAACCAGATCAAAACATGTTGTGGCAGGTTTGTTTGTATTTTACTGTTTTATTTTTGCATAATCTCATGTTCTTTATGCTCTTAATGTTCTGTTTTAGTCTGTAAACTACTTTGCTTCATGTATGAATGGTGCATTACAGATAAGCTCCTCTTCCTTTGCTTTAACTTCAGTGTCACATGTGTGTACTTTGACTAAAAAAGCTAATACTAGTTAAAAGTGTTGATTGCTGGCAGTAATCTCTGTAAGAAGATGAGCAGTGTTCAAACTGACTCTTTCCTCGCCGCTGTGCGCCTGCTACTATTAGATGGCTTCCATCCTGGTCGCTGCCTCTTTTCCTCCACCTCCACCTCACCCTCTCTTTCCCTACCTCCCATAGTCACCCGAGTGATGAGAAGGAGCACAGTAGCCCTTTCCCCAGGAACATCTCTGCAGCCAGCCTGGGCAGTCTGATAACACACAACCACAGCGCCAATCACAGCCATCAGACCGAACCGTCGGTGACCGACCCGCTCATGGGAACCATCCACGCAGCGGGGGAAATGGACACACGCATCGACATGGAGAAGAACGAGGTGCAGGTGAGTTGAGAGCTGGACTGTTTGAAATATCCTGGACACCTCCATCTTTAATACCCTGATTTTGATTTCGTTGCTCTCCGTTTGCAGCAGAAGGAGCCGCCTGTCCCACACGGCATGCATCGGTCCAAATCTAAACATGAGCTGAAACTGCTGGAGAAGATTCCAGAAGATGCTCAGGCTACTGTTGTCCTCGTGGGTGAGTAAAGATTAAAATAAAACCCCACATTAATTTCTGTTTGGTGCTTTCTGTTTGTTAAATGTTCAATTCTGTTGTCCTCCAGGCAGTGTGGACTTTCTGGAGCAGCCCACCATGGCGTTTGTGCGGCTGCAGGAGGCAGTGGAGCTGGAGTCCGTCCTGGAGGTGCCCGTGCCGGTCAAGTTCCTCTTCGTGCTGCTGGGACCCCCCACCACAAGCATGGACTACCACCAGATAGGACGATCCATCTCTACGCTCATGTCTGACAAGGTGAGGAAGGGGCTAGATGAGTATTTGTCTGTCTTATTTTTAACCGTCTATGTTCATTGACTGTTTTTATACCTGAATCGCCATCTAGCAATTCCATGAGGCGGCCTATCAGGCAGACGACAGGCAGGACTTGCTGAACGCCATCAACAGCTTCCTGGACTGCAGCATCGTGCTTCCGCCTTCAGAGATGGGAGGAGACGAGCTGCTGCGCTCAGTGGCTCGCTTCCAGAGGGAGATGCTGCGAAAGAGGGAGGAGCAGGGGGTCAAACTCTTGGCCAAAGAGCCGAAAAGCCTTGAAGAGAAAGGTGAGCGTGTCTTCAGAAACTCAAATGGAGCTTCAGTTATTGTTTTACTGCTTGTTGACCTGCTCCGTCCATTTCACAGAAGCTCTCCTCACACCTTTAAAAAAGTCGGACGACCCCTTGGAGCGCAGCGGACGCCCTTTTGGCGGGCTGATTCGAGACGTGCGACGCCGTTACCCGAAGTACATCAGCGACTTTAAGGACGCCCTGAACAGTCAGTGCATGGCTGCCGTCATCTTCATCTACTTTGCAGCTCTGTCTCCAGCCATCACATTTGGAGGTTTACTGGGTGAGTTAAACACAAAAGGAGAGTCCGGTTACACTTCATTACCGTCTCACATGTCAGATCTCTTTCATGGTTTTGTATTGATGGTCCAGTCTGTTATTTATTGAAGACACCCTGAACCCTAATGGGTGTTAATCACGGTGTTAATCTTGTCTTTGTGTTGCCAGTTGAGAAGACAGACGGTCTGATGGGTGTTTCTGAGCTGATCGTGTCCACAGCGGTCCAGGGTGTGATCTTCTGTTTGCTTGGGGCGCAGCCACTGCTTGTTGTGGGCTTCTCGGGACCTCTGTTGGTTTTTGAAGAAGCTTTTTACACCGTAAGTAAAAGATCGATGAAAGAGGGAGCGAACCGGCCTATTTTGTTTGGCGAAGAATATCCCAAAAATATCCAACATTACTTTTATATTTTTAAAGGTTCTGAGTTATAATGACTCCATGAGTTTGTCCCGTTCGTATGTAAACGTATTTCCTGTGAGGAAACTGTTTCACTGTCTAACATCTACAACCCAACAGTGGAGTCACCAGACATTCATTTGAGTCCACTTATCTTATTGGACCCTGATCTTGGTATACTTCATGGAGTTCTTACAAAATTTCCAAGCTTGGCCTGCATCATTTGTTTGTTTGTTTTTGTTTGTTTGTTTGTTTGTTTCTTTGTTTTTTTTGTAATTTATTTTTTATTGACATTCAGAATCAGACATTCACAATATATACATCATGTAGGCATACTTCCTAAATCCATTTTCTGCCCTAAATGCCAAAACTAAATTTTAGTTTATATCAAAATAATGTAAAGAAAAACAAACAACCATAACAACAACAGTCATTAAATTAAAAAATATATATATACATGTATCAGTAGGGAGTAATCTTTCTTATACATCATGGCCACTGGTTTGTGAAAATAAAATCTGGCCTATGAGGCGTGACATTTTTTTTAAATATAATTTTTATGTATGAGATGCTAGTATACAGTTCCACTTCAGAGAGGTACAAGTTCTTTCCTTTTTAACTTTGAACATATATGGAGCAAGAATACCCTTCCTCCCCCAACCCCCAAATCTCCCATCCGGCCAGATAACATTCAGAAAATAGACAAAACACTTACAAAACAGACAGAAAATAAAATATAAATAAATGTACATATATATATATACATACACATATCAGTAAACATGACAACAACAACAGTAATTAAAATAAATATAGGGATCAATAATTTCAAAAAGAGGGAAGAAAGCAGGATATTAATAAAAATAATTAAATAATAATAAATTAAAAAATATAAAATAATAATAATTATAAGGTTAAAAATGAAAAATTCTGCTGCTTGTGTCTTGGATTCCATGAAGCTCGAGCTATCAGGGCGTGATCTTCTGCTTTTATCTTCTCCATTTTATAAATGTCCATGGTAATGTCCATCTGTATATTTAAGGTTGGGCTCTCCTGTAATAGCCATTTCCTGGTAAAACTCTTGCCTGCATCGTTTGTTAATCTAATATTCTACAAAGGAATTTAAGAAATGACTCGTAATCAGATTTGTGATGCCTGCTGTGACAGTTTGTCAGTAATTAAGAGAGTTTTTCGACTTTGTGTTTTTACAGTTCTGCAAAGCGAACGACATCGAGTACCTAACAGGCCGTGTGTGGATCGGGTTCTGGCTCGTCATCATCGTGATCGTCACCGTGGCCTTCGAGGGAAGCTTCCTGGTCCGCTTCGTCTCCCGCTTCACCCAGGAGATCTTCTCCTTCCTCATCTCCCTCATCTTCATCTGCGAGACCTTCATCAAGCTCGGCAAGGTACGGCTCAGACTTGAAATACCAGCCTCTCATTAAGAAAAACGTTTTTGTTTGCACGCTGCGATTCATGTCGCAGACACTAAGCTGAACAGACTGATCTTTGGAGGACTTTCAAACCTCTGGGTCGAAATGAGTGTGTTGTTCTAGCAAGAGAACCTGAAATCTTTTGGGACTGATCGGCCCTGAAAGTTTATTGGATTATGGGATTTTTCCAGGTTTGTGATTTTGGAGGGTTTGCTTTTTTTTTCATTAATGGCAGGAACTTGAAAGGCTAAATCTCATTTTCCAGGAAGTATGGATGTGGTACCTTCATATAATGATAAAAAACTCATCCCTCAGGAAACATAATCACATGTGTTTGTGTCTGTTTGTGTGTAACCTCATGTGAATTATTAAGCAGTAATTTGAACCTTCTGTGTCGTTGGGCAGATTTTCAAAGATCACCCGCTGAAACGCTGCTCCCTAGACAACAGCACAGGAGGGGACGCCTCAGCAGAAAATATCACACTGATGCTGAGCAACGACACGTCACCCGTGCCCGGGAAAGTCGTAGGGGAGCCCAACACCGCGCTGCTCTCTCTGGTTCTCATGGCAGGAACTTTCTTCATCGCTTTCTACCTGCGCAAGTTCAAGAACAGCGCTTTCTTCCCAGGAAGGGTGAGACGATGCACAAAGTCAACCCTGAATATAAACCTTAAGTATAAACTTTTCACAGGTACAGATGAACGAGAGTCAAAAAATACCTCCCTGACTGACAAAATATAGTAAAACTAAAGACCAAATCTCCTTAAATTCATCACAAACCAAAGTCGACATGACAGAGGCGTCAAAAAGACTTTGGCGAGTGAGTCTTTTAAAGAGAACATAAAGCTACTGTTGCTGAGCTAAAACACCGTTTTGTTTTCAGTTTCGCAGGATGATCGGAGACTTTGGCGTCCCAATCGCCATCCTCATCATGGTCCTGGTGGATTACTGTATAGACGACACATACACACAGGTAAGACTCGCACACTCTCGCCTCTGTTTGCAGTAATAATGATGAAGGTTCACTGATGATGATAAGTCTCCCTATTTCCTGTCCTCTTACACACAGAAACTGAGTGTTCCTCGAGGTTTCTCCGTGACAAGACCTGACAAACGGGGCTGGTTCATCAGTCCTCTGGGCACAGAAAGCCCGTTCCCCATCTGGATGATGTTCGCCTGCTGTTTGCCGGCCCTGCTGGTTTTTATTCTTATATTTATGGAGACACAGATCACAACGTGAGTTACACTGCAAGACTGATAAGCCCGAACATGACTCAAAGAAGTTTTTTATCCTGTTATGAAATTATGAGACTGAGTTACAATGGTAAAAGTCCAAATATAGACATGTCATAATGAATATTAAATATATTTGTATATGTGAAAGACAGCGTTTGAATGTATTTTAAATAAGAGAGCACGCTAAATCAAGATAAAATGGAGCATAGTGCTAGTTCAGGCAGGCCATGCAATCAAACTCAGCCCACAATATGTCAGCTCGTCCTAATACCAGCCTATAACAGCTGACAGCTCAGCTAATCACCCCCTCATTTTGCAAACTTCCTCCACAAACCGTTTTGCAATCTGTCTTTGCTGCTGCTCCCCCTGCCTTGTTTTCTATGCCAGTAGAGAGGCAGGAAGTTCCCGCCAAATCAAACTCGTTGCATGTAAATCATCACTTCTCTGTGATTGAAGTGGTGGTTTTAGTGTGTCTTATCTTCCCTCTTCATCCTCCTGTAGTTTGATCGTCAGTAAGAAGGAGCGGATGCTTGTGAAAGGTTCTGGTTTCCATCTCGACCTGCTGCTAATCGTGGTGCTGGGCGGCTGCTCCGCTCTGTTCGGCCTGCCGTGGATGGCGGCCGCGACCGTTCGCTCCGTGACCCACGTCAACGCCCTCACTGTCATGAGTAAGGCCGTCGCTCCTGGAGACAAACCTCGAATCCAGGAGGTGAAAGAGCAGAGGGTCACCGGGCTCCTGGTCGCCATCATGGTTGGTGAGTGTCACAGATTTTTAAATTCATGACCTCTCTTTTCCTGCAGAGAGGGGAACTTAGCGTTTAAGTCTTTGTTTCTGCTCTCCACAGGTTTATCTATCGTGATAGGAGACCTGTTGCGTCAGATCCCCTTGGCGGTCCTGTTTGGTATCTTCCTCTACATGGGAGTGATGTCGCTGAATGGTATCCAGCTCACTGAGCGGATGATGCTGCTGCTAATGCCACCAAAGTACCACCCTGACCACACCTACGTACGAAAGGTGAGATCGAAAGAATACCAAACTGTGAAGAAGTCCTGAGGTGTAAAAGCAACATGACCACAAATCCTCCAAGCGAATCTCAGCTTGACCAAAAAACTTGATCTTGTATCTCAGAAGTGTCTGTGACAGATTTTCTTCACCAATTCTGTTCCTTGCAGGTCCGTACTCTACGTATGCACCTGTTCACCTGCATCCAGGTGGTGTGTTTGGCGGTGCTCTGGGCCGTTATGTCGACTCAGGCGTCTCTGGCTTTCCCCTTTGTCCTCATCCTCACCATCCCTGTCAAGGTGTTCCTGCTGCGCCGCATCTTCACAACCAGAGAGATCGCATGTGTAAGTTTACCGCAGTCAAAGTCAGGACTATGAGACGGATCCTATATTCAAAAGAGGGGAGGGATTTTTGGACTCTGTTATTTTCAAAATTGGAGAATTTCTTAAAGAGGGACCAATGACTCCCGTATTTTTTGTTGCTGCCTTTTTCTTTTTCTTTTGTTTATTTATTTATTTACTAACTTTCTTATGTTTTTTTATTTTATGCACTTGTCTGATTCTGTTCTCTTTATTTATTAGATATAGATATATTTATTTATTTTATTTTATTCTTTTTCTTTCGGTTCTGTATCCCAAAGGAATAATGAGAAGGGTAGGAAATTATGTGGTTTAAAAAAAAAAAAAAAAAAGACAAATTTTTTTTTGTTTGTTATAAAAATATGAAATTAAAAAATTGTTTATTAAAAAAAAAAATTAAAAAAATGTTTTGCTCAAAAAAAAAAAAAAAAAAAAGAGGGGAGGGACCACACAGCGAGAAGATGTTGTTTCATCATTTTTATCAAGCAATGTAAATATTAAAAAATGTCCAAAATAAACATCCTTTCGTTTCTTCTCCAGCTGGACGCCGACGACGCCGAGCCGAAGTTTGACGAGCGCGACTGTCACGATGAGTACTCAGAGATGCACATGCCCGTGTAACCCATGACAAGCCTTCGTCTCACCACTGAACTCTTAGCGAACACCTGAATCTGTCTTGTCACACCACCAACCGATGAGCCTATAAAAGGTCAAACACTCACATGATCCCACCTCACTGTGCACCGCCGGACTTCTTTTCAATCACTGAACGTGGAGTACACTGTGTCGGGTGTTTGGTTGGTTTGTTTTGTGGTGAATCTTCAACAGTTTTTTTTGTGGTGGGCTCCGAGAACAAACTCCGACTGAGGAGGTCAAGCAAAGTGTTCGTGTATAACATACTTTTTAAATATATATTTCAGGGGACAAGAGATTCCAAATCAAATGATCTCGAGTTAAAATGAAACGCTCTAACAGTAGTTAAATTCACAAGATTAATTTTTTAGCCCTGAAAGGTTGCTCTGATTCACATTGAATATGTGGAGGATAAATGGGATTTATTATTTTATATTAACATGCTGAGTTACTGCTATACTAGCTTGTCGCTTTTTTTCATGTTTTAAGCTCACCAAGCGCCTTACGAAGAAAAAGGTGTACTGAGAGGTGTTTATTTTTTTCCTCATTCTGTCTTATTGTAGACAGCCGATCACTTTACCCGCCTCCTGAAGCTTGTAGCACTTTTTAAAGACACCAAATCTGAAGAATGACTGTATTTTATGTGATCATTTTATCCCCTAGAGTCTACCTAAATCCCTTAAAATATCAGTGTTGCTTAAGTGTGCTTCATAAATGACTATCTGTGTTTGATTTTTTTAGCCTATCCTACTCGTATCATGCAATTTTTATGTACTCAAATGCAGCAGTTTAGACGTCACTTGGGCTTTTCTGTCAGATTCTGTGCCTGCAGTAAAACAAGATCACCAGCAGAGGGAGATCTTGCAGGAGTGTGATAACGTACCAAAAATAGGACATAAAGATTCAGTTTTCTATCAAACCTATGCCATGAAATCATGTTTTGTTTTCATAACACACTTTAAAATAGAAGGTTAACACATTAATATATACTCTTCATGTCTCCACACACAGGTTTAGAGCACTAATGTACTAAAGTAGGGATTTTTTCAGGTGTGGTTGATTATTGGGAGTCACTGTAATTTATTGGTTTCTTTGTCCGAGTGCCAAAAGTCTGCTGTAAATAGTTCGGTGATCAGAATTATAAGCTGCAGTCCAGCCATCTCACATCTACTAATGTTGCTGTTAGTCTGAAATAACAAAATCCACAATACAACATTCCTCATTTTATTACCTTGCTGTTTCTTTTGGCTTCGACTTATTTCATTCTCACTCATGTCAACTGGGTTGACCAAATTTCCACACAGCGCTGTGTAGACAATCTCAATATTCATGCAACACTGAGAGGGAAGGATTTTAAATCTCTATCTATCTATGTATTTTTCTTTTGTTTTTGTTTTGTGTCATGTTGTATCAGTGTGACATGGATTGGTTAAAGCTTTGACTGTGTCAAATAATTAAAATTTTTGGTCCTGTTACTCTCATTGGTGTATATCAGACACTAATCTCCCCCCCCTTTCTGAGCTGTCCTGTCTCAGCCTGACTGATGCTGCGATCTTGTGCCTGTTTGCTGTCACGAAGGCGCACAAAATCAAAGTGCCTGTGGGACCATGAAGTGATCCGCTACAAATGTGTGTGTGTGCTGTGTTTGTGAAGACGACAAACGTGTTACAGTAGTTTGCACTTTAGTGACGCCTTTAAATCAAACATCTTTCCATTATTTCTCCGTTGCGATGTGACGCATTTTTGCTGTTTCTGAAGGATTATTAGGAGTTCATTGTAGATTACACACACATTTAGGTGCATTATTGCCATGGAAAATGAAGGGGGTGTTAAAGAGCGGATAACTGTGTCTGTTTTGTGTTTGCTTATTGTGTCTGTGAATGAAGTAAAGGTAGAGTGTGTACGCCAAAGTATCTGTCAACGTCGTGAAGTGCTTATCCACCATGCTGTTCCATTCAAAAGCAATACAAAGTCAGAGGGACGTTGTTCACGCTCCCTCGTGCATTAAATGGTAAAAATATTGATGAGAAATAAAAGTTATTTTCTATTTATCCATCAGTCTTGTTTGCTTTGTTTTTAAGAAATGCAAATAGTCATGCAATGCACATGGACGTCACTTCTGATCACAAAACTCAAAAAAGATCAAACACGTGCAGTAACACCAAAACAAACAAATATAGATATCATAACAAGAAAATGCTCATATTCAGAAAATCCAAGTAGAAATAGAAATGCCTAAAGTTAAAAGCAAACACTACAAAAATACACTGATACAGCAAAATACAGCAGATCCAACAAAACACAGAAGTGAAACCTAAATAAAATGCAGAAGTGTTTTGAAAGGGAGAAGCAGCAAGAGAGAGTGATGAGTCTTAAACACATACAGTATACAACACAACAATCAGTCGATCTTTATTTATATGGCGCCAATTCACAACAAATGTTATCTCAAGATGCTGACACAAACGGAGCTGGTCTAGACCAAAGTTTTCATTACATTTACAAAGTTCCACATCAAGATGGGATAAGTCCTATCTTGTAAGATCAGACAAACTCTGATCACATCTTTATCTTCACGAGGATTTAGCAAGTTACACTGAGGAGGAAAAACTTCCTACACCAGGCAATCCAGACTCATGTTAGACAGTCGTCTGCTGAGACTGAAGGGGAAAAAATTGATGGTGCTAGTTAGCATTAGCAGAAAGTGTAATAATAACAGAGATGCTGGTGCTAGTTAACATTAGCTTGGCACGAATAACTTGGTGAATTTGTACGATTCATGTCATTTGCACTGCCAGGGTAGTGCAAGCGTCTAATCGCATCTTTGCATTGACTTAACATGCAATTCATTCGCGCAAATGATTTTACTCGCACTTGGTGTGAACGCCCCAAAAGAAAAAAGTGTGTCAAAAATAAGCAAACTTAAAGCACCTGTGGGTAACTCTCAGTCTGTGTTGACTCTGTCCTCTTTCTTCAGCGTACAGCAGTTCCACATCAGTGGTCTCAATTGCTTTAAAGGGATATTCCATTATTTTTTTTATCATTTCCTTGAGGTAATAATCACCATATTAATCATTTTGCACTAGAGACGCGGTCATTTCTATCTTAGCATCTCGGTCTGATTGCATTTCCATGAAGAAATTATCATAAATGTTCTTCCTTGAGCTGCGTCACCCCGCTGCAGTCCGTAATGGACTGGCCTATGGTCTCGCTACAAACAAGCAGCTGCTGGAGGAGAGTGGGTAAGTTGTGTTTAGTCTCTTTGCCACAGAAATTAGGAAAAGTTAAAAAGATGTTTGGTGGCTAGTGCTGTAGCTAGAACCCTATATGTCCTGTTGATGAAGTTAGGTGCTGTTCTGAGCATTATTTGTGTCTATAGAGTGGTGTTTTGTTTGAGGTTTGTTTATGGCTCCTCAGACCACTGTGTATTGCTATCGTGCAGTCATTACCAAAATTGGTATAACTAGAGAAGCAAGTGGCAACATTCATCTCTCGAGGGGGTGTCTAACTCTGTGTTTTCGACCCTAAATTAATTTTATTCTGGAATATCCCTTTAATACATCATAGATATGAACCACCACTCATTTCAGTCTGTTTCATAACTCATCAAAACTTCTCACTGGAGCTTTAACCCACCAGGAAATGTGAGGCAAATCCAGATTTAAAAAAAAGAGCTTGTGTTGTTTGGTAACTCTTCTCAGTGATATTCAAGCATATCACTGTAACATATTCATACAGGTGTGACTCAAACTGTCCAATAGAGACTCTGCAGACAGTAGTTCTTGTCCCCCCTCAGGAGAAAGAGGGCCGGCTCTTCACTCCTGTTTGGTAAAAGTAGCTGAGTAGGCGGGCTGTCACACTATCCACTCGTCCACCACACAGGGAGAAAGATGGCTGCTCTGCTGCTGTTGTTGTTCACCATTGGCGTCTCAGTCTTCACCTCTAATGCACAGGAGGCTTACAACAACCTTCCTGAAGATTACAAGAAAGGAGTGAACCTGGCTCTGGAAAAGCTGCACTCTCATGCTGGAATCCAACACCACTTTCTCTTCCTCAGAAGTGTGATGAAGTCAGACACTGAGGTTTGTCTACTTTCAAAATCACTGTGTGTGTTTGTCATGCTGTGGCTGGTTATTAAACCAATTCCTGAGATTTACCGTGAGTAATATCCTGTAGAAGAGCTCTTATCACTGAAGAATGCTGTGATTTGATCTGAGAAAACTCTTTTAAAAGCTCATTAATCTCCTCTTTTTTACTCTCTAGCCTGGTTTTGGTGTGAAATACATCTACCACCACTTCCACCTCAAAGCCACAAAGTGTCCAAAAGGAACAGTCGACGCCAGTGGATGTCAGTTCAGGAACGACAGGGTAAGTTTAGTCTGAATTGAAGCAGCCAGACTGGCATTTGCATGTGAATGCCCATCCTAACTTGTCTTTGTACCGTTTTGTTTGTGTGCACTCACGCAGCCGCTGATCGACTGTGGAGTCTGTTACAAAATGTTTGCAGGAGAAATTGAACAGGATCCCAAACCGTACATTCACTGTGTCCACAGGACGACTCTCACGGAGGTGAGTTAGTCTGTTCACTTTGACTCCTACATTCAGCATAGGAATAACTTCATGAAAATATTTGGTTTATCTTTAAATTTATCTGATTTGCAGGAGATGAAACAGGGAAGAGTGCAGCACTGCAACCAGATGAGCTACAGCAGTGGGTCTCATACTATTCTGCTATCAAGAGGTGAAAACTGAAGACTCGGGGAAGTCTAACTGTGGCTCCATTTACATTTAATTCTTTTTAAATCATTGGTTTTGTCATCGGTTTTCTTCTTTCAATTTTTCTACATGTGTGTCACATCTGAAATTCTGGTGTTTTCTTCCATACAAGTTTGTTTTGTGTTGACTTTGTTGAACAAAATTATCAGTGGAGTTAAAACTATGAACAAATAAAGGTTAAAGTTTTCCATTTTAACACCACTGGAATTTTTTGTTTCTTTTAACTCAATGCACCAAAAACGTTTTGTCTCACAGGATCACACATACACGGGCCCCTTTCCCGATGAGTAGTTCGTTAATTGAAAACAAAGAGATTTAACATGGGGGGAGGTGTTTGGCGTTCAGGGCGTGGAGTGGGGGGACTGTGAGATGATCAAATAAGAGAGCGATTTGATGATTTCACACACGTCTTCATAACCACCTTTAACTTTTAAACTAAATCAAAGAAGGTAAACTCCATCAAGACAAGTACAGTCTTAAATTAATATTATACTGTGATGTGAGTTACGAGTCTGTTTTCTGCAGCAAGGAACTTCAGTGCTGTACGCAACAGAAACAAAACAAAACACCGACCACACGTCTTTATCTACAACAGCATCAATATTTATGATGTTAAACTTTTCAACTAACTTTTTGTTCACTTAAAGCCCCACTCTGATAGGTTTTTTTTTCTACTTAAAGTGTTCTCAGTGGGCTTTTCTCCTGCAGAGCTCCAGTAGATCATTAGTAATTCGACTCTGAGTCGTGGGCGGAGACAGCGCTGCTCTGCACACTCGTTTTCATGTTAGCTTGTCGCCTAACATTGGAGGTAACATAGGAGCTATTCATATCTCAGACACTAATGTCTTTAGGCACATGATGGAAAGTTAATATCATAATTAGCTTTCTTACGAGCATTGCAATCCACTAACGTACAAGCTTGTTCTGTGATCGTCCTCTTTTTTTTTCCTCAATATGCAGAGTCTGGCCTGCACAGCCAGGCTCTGGGGGCGGAGCTTGGATTGGTTATGTAGGAAATCTCACTGTTTCTGAACCTGCCGTTTGGGTCTGCCAGAGATTCACAGCAATTTGAATGAAGAAAAACTCAGAAATACAATTTCGCATTTACTTTTCTCATGATATGTCCTCTAGCATCAGAAAAATGCCATATGAACATGTAAAAAAACAAGAAAAACATGATTTTTATCAGAGTGGGTCTTTAAATTGTCATAAAACATGCAAAACTATCAAAAATTACCAAGTAGAGATCTCTACAGAGATCATTATCGTGTTAACCTCTTTTTACGTCAACATCAACAGCCCCATGAGCCTTTACTCCAATTTGTTTATCCAAAGTCCAAACGACTGGCTTCTACTGGGTCACCACCACACTTGAGTTCAGTACCGTCCTCATGGTGAACGCCAAGATTCTTTAAAACTGTTTGTTTCAGAGGAAAAGGGAGTCTTTTACAGAAGCAGCCTCGTCGTTAACTCCCTTAATGAAACTGGACAAAGATTTACCAACCAGATGACCCACTTTCCTGTTGGTGCAACAACATGGCACTGATGAAGCAGAAGTGAAAGAGTTCATTCACCCGCTGATCACCACTGACCTTTACATTTGTTCTGGGGCCAAAGGCCTTTCATGGCATGTTGGGCTCGTTTCCCGGAGGACAGATTACTAATCCGAGTAATAACGTTTGAGGATATGAGAGTAATTCTACTTCTGGCAAACGGTTTCGAAACTCCCCCCTTGAGAAGGAGTTTTGTTAAGACAAGCTTCAAGCTGCATCCCCCCTGGGGTTGTTACGGGAAATGGGGAACTAACAGTAAACAGTCTGTGCAGCAGGCCCCTGGATGGGTCACCCTTCGCTCACACAGCCTTAATAGGACTTGTTTTGCCAGTCAGTATTGATCCTGCTGAGAGAGGAGGGTGTTCACTGTTTGAACAGCGCTGTTCGTCCTCTCATACTCACACTGAAGATGGCTGCTGGGTTGCTGTTGCTGGTTTGTGCTGGAGCTGTGCTGTACTCGGCAGAGGCTCAGGATCCTTACAATGAGCTGGGTGATCTCCACAAGAAGGGAGTGGATCTGGCCTTGGAGCAGCTCAACTCTCACGCCATGGTGCAACACCATTTTCGCTTCTTGAAGAGTCTGGGGAAGTCAGAAATCGAGGTAAGGTGGCATGAAAATTTTGTCTGGAATATTACGATTGTTGTTTTGTGATGGAAATGCCCAAAAACAAAGTAGTGTGGCTTCTATGGACAAAAACAGAGATTGATGGCTCAGCAGAATTGAAGAAACACTTCCTCTAAAAGGATTTAAAGCAGTCTGAAAGTATCTGATGCATCTGATCAGCCTGAATCTTTAACTTGAGTCTTAATTTAGGAAAAATAGACTGAAATTTGGTCTTAGACTTCTCAACTCCTGGTTTCTTTACTCCTCACGTCTGCGTTTAAGGTTGGACGTTCTGGCTCTGCCTTCAGGGTTTTTTTAACATCTGCTCAGGCCAACAGCTCTTTGAGTCAACATGTTTTCAGGAAGGGTTTGGTTTATTCCAGGAATCCTCAGATTAGGTGTGTCTTACCAGGAATATTTGGCTCAAAGCGAGGATTAAAAAATTAGATAAGTGTGCCACATTTGAGCTGGATTCTCTGAAATTTAAGCTGAAAAGCAGCTTTTTAGGTAACGGTATAATTAGTTCGCTTTAAGAATTGTAAATACCATAAAAAATCTGATTTTTTTAAGCATATATTATATTGTTGTGCAATTTGAAGACTTTGACCTGTGATCAATATATTTGACATGCAAAAAACAAATTTCATGATTAGAGTTGAACGGTCAAGGAAAAAAGTGGAGTCATATTTTGCAGCTCACCTTTTAAATGATTCTCCAACAGTCTGGATTTGGTGTGCGGTACCTCTACCACCACTTCTACCTGAAACCCACCAGGTGTGCCAAAGGAACCACTGACTCCACCCCTCAGAGCTGTCCCTTCAGGAATGACAGAGTGAGTGAAGCGATTATGTCAGATATACTCTGCGCAGCATTAAAAAAAACATAACCTCCAATGCTCATGTTTTGTTGTTTTTAATGACTTTTCAGCCGTTGATGGACTGTGCAGTCTGCTACAAAACATCAGAGGACCAGATTGAGCCAAACCCCAAGCCGTATGTTCACTGCATCCAGAAACCAAGACTCACAGAGGTATCTTTTATTTCTTCTTCAAATAACTCTATGCTTTGTAAACTTCACTGAAGAGGTTCAATTTTGATTTTTTAAACAGTGGTGACCCACCTTTTATGCACTCGCAGCCTCGGCTAGATGTTCCGGCTTGCTTACTGAATGTCTGTTATTTGTTCCATTAAGTTTAAAACAATCAGTCTTCTGTATGGGTTTCGATATGCCAATCCGTTTTCTTTCTGCTTCCTGTGTGCCACACCTGAAACAATTAGTGGGCACTTTAAATAGTCTTTTTGTGACCCCTACAGCGCCACACAGGTGAACACTTCAAAAATGGCTAAAAACGGCTCCACCAAACAGTCAGAAATCTCTCAGAAAACGGTCAAATTTACTCGTAGAAGCGACACACCAGACTACAGAGTCTGCAGGTTAAAAATGTTCAATTGGTTTTTTGAGAGTGGATTAAGTTAGCAGAGCTAGCACCACCTGCCTTGGTCAACATCCACACGCCACATGGAGTTGTAAATAAGTGAGTTTAACTGGATCTCCTCTCAGCTGGTAGCTACACTAGCGGCTAGCACTTTCCTTGTTGTACATATATGATGAGAAATCTGTAACTCCTCAAAATGACACCTTTGGAAACTTAACTCTTTAATGCCTGACACCTCAAATTTTAGCAATAAAATTCAAATTTTTTGGAGCTGAAATGTTTATTTCATTTACTACTGAAAACCCCAAAAATCAAAAAGTCCTTAAAATTTAACAAATATATTTATTTATCTTGTTTGATACATTAGATGTTTTTGGAAACTGATAAACTACAAGAGGACATTTTTATCATTTATCGGACTGTATTCATGTGTTTTTTTAGTAATTGGTTGATTATATTGATTTGATAGAAGTCTATTAAAGTATGTATCAAATATGATACAAAGGGCATTAAAGGGTTTAACAAATTCAGACACATCGCAAACATGGTTTAAAATTGGTTTAATCAGGATGATAGGTATACTCGAATTTGACTGCAGCATGTCTTAACCATGCTCAGTTTTCTCCTGACAGTTACGCCTTTACAATAATAAACCTGTTTATTTTTTCCTCTTGTGTTTCAGGCTATGAAGACAACTAGGATAGAGCACTGCAAAAAAATGAATTACAACAGCGGAGCTCCAACACTGCTGGCTGTTCAGAGCTAAAATCCAAATATTCAGGGGGGAAAAAAACACATTTTCTCCAACATATGACAGAATAATCCTGCTACATGCTTGTTTAACTGCAGCAAGGTTGCTTTCATATCATTGTCATCATCCCTTGGTGATAATTTATACATTTATAAAACAGAAAACCATCAAATTAAAGCATGTGTTTGCTCTCATGAAAAGCTGATGCTGCAACTTCACCCAAAGTTCAACTCCGCTGCGCACAAAGTCGTGTGTATGCTTTTAAAATCACTGTTATCTTGATGTACGGCTGTGTGAATAAAAAAAATAAAAAGGTTGTGATGTAACTTGGCTTCATTTGTTTTGCTGTGTGTGGACTTGTAAGAGATTCACATTCTTTATGGGTCACATCCGCCCCTACAAACAAACACACCTACTCGAGGCGAGAGGTGAAATTACACGAAAAACAACTATCATCAAACTAGAGAAAATACTCAATCATACATGAGACATTAAACTGGTCAAGACTGCACAAGTTTCCATTTTTTAAAAAGTCATAAATCAACCTGTGTAAGAAGTTTAAAACTCCTACGATGAGGTTTTTAGCTGCTGATGGTGCAGTCTGAAATTTATATAAGGGCCATAAAAGACCGTTATATAAGACCGTCAATTACAGTATGAATACATCATTATTTTTAATAACACATCAGAAGGTGAGGCCAGCGAAAAGGCCTATCCTGTAGGTGGCTGACATCTACTTTTATTTATTGTGACTCAGAGTTGAAGTAAAAGAAAAACATATTTCAATAGATTTACAATTAAGTGTTATCAGGAGATTAAACTGAACATCAAATTGAATGAATTGGATGCATTATGGTGGGCTGATGTGTCTTTGTCGCAGCGCCACAGTATGGATGTGACCTCCTGATGAGATTAGCTGATGTCAGCATTTAAATTAAGAAACAAACATGCGTGAGAAAAGGCGATGCAGCTTGTTTTGTTGAAACATATATCGCAAACACATGACCTACTGTACTTATATCCTGTCTCAGCGTTGGCTGCAGCTCTGTTTGGCAGCTGGAAGCAGGAAATGAAGAGACCGGCAGTGACTTCCACTGTACACCAGCTGTGTACACATGTGGCTCCTCTTAATCATTACAATGCCAGCATCTTAAAAAAAAAGAGAAAAGCAGCACAAACACGTGGAATTTCAATCCTTTATCGGCTCTTTTTGAAGAAGTAAGAGAAGAGGAGATAAGATATGATAAAATAATAAACACGTTATTTTTCCCTGAGGGGAAATTGGATTGTATGTCATCTATTATTTGCGGTCAAGTTGTAGAGTCTGATGGCTGGAGGTACAAACCGTTGGCCCTTTGGTCTGTCACGGTGTTTCAAAGGGGTTGATCCGTATTTTTGTTGTTGAACAGTTCACAAACTGTGTAAATCCAGTCAGATGAGAGGACGGGGTGACACAGTTCAAGTCTCCTGATATAGCTACCAGTGCCTCAAGGTGTAACCTAGCGACAGCATTATGCAATTATATCATCTGAGCAAGCATCGGCAGGTATAGTCAGGTAAGATTAAACTTGTTTTATTCACCTTACAGAGGTGAGCCAACTCTGAGCCTGTTCATTTCTGTGGGAACATCACAGGACAGTAGCTGGAGTAGTAGTTATGCAAACACCAATCAGGCAGCTGCTAACTAGCAGGAGTCGATTTGAAATATTTGGTATTTTTTGTGAGGATTTTTTGTTTCTATTTTATCGCCATGGTCAGTTTTATGCAACATGAACCTGAATGAATCTTGTTTTTTCTGCAGCAATATTTATCATAATCGTCCTTTTTCGGAAAATCTTTCACCCTTTTGTCAACAGGCACACTTTTTTTTACTTACAGTAAAACCACTGCAAACCTGCAAAGTGCATTGTTGAAGCACCACTCAAAGTATGGGAAAGAGTGGGAGTGTTGCTAAATTACAGCTCCATAACCCTCAAATGTGCTCTCATTTCAGCAAAGTGGTGGGTTTCTTTGGTTTCTGGATATGCAGTTAAGCTCTCATGTACATTCTGCTGCAGATAACTGTATGCATCCTGTAGGGACCTTGGATGCAATCTGGTACATACTGTGCTGGGGATTTTTGGTGATAAAAAAAATCCCTGTTACATAATCACAGCTCACACTTGAATCGTGGTGAATGGCCGGATTAAAAAAACAAGATTGGAATCAAATGCTATTGCCAACATATATTTATGCTTTGCCAAAGTTTGTGCAAGGTTTTCATAGTTGTCACGCGAAATTAGTCCTTTCAAAAGACTTGACAGATTTGAGGACCAGCTTTAACATGCCTTTTACTCCCTGTGATTATTTCCTCCACTGAGTACCACTGATGGGCCGAGCTGCTGCAGCCTCTCTTTGTGCACATTGACGTCTCCCTGAAAGTGTAATTTGCTCAATGAGATAAAATGTTAATCATTTGTTCTCATTTGCACCTTCAATCCAAATCTATGATGTAATGGTTCGATACATCAGGGGGATTCAGCAGTCCTGGACCGTCAAACAAGAACATTCAGTTCCCAAAGAAACAAAGAGAGGCACTCCTCTCTCTGCCCCCCTTTTCTCTCCTCCCCCGACTTCTAGAAGGTATAAAAAAAGGAGCAGGGAGCAAGTCATTGCCCTCTCCTCTTTTTCCTCTGCATCAGTCTGGCTGAAGTTGGATGCTAAAAGCCTGTAAGTACTCTTAACAATTGTAGTTTTTACTGATCGGTGGGTTTTCTGCAAGAGAAGTGTAATGCATGACAGAATTGTTGCAGTTTAGTTTTATTCATATGCTGTGAAAGTGAAATATAAAAGAGTTGCATTTGTGAAAAAGTTGATTTTAAGGAAATTGAAGTACTACGAAGTAAAAAAAAATAGACAGTGTACAAATAAAATGGCAAACAGATCAAGATAAACTTGTTTTTTATGCATTTGCTGTCTTTTACATGAATAAAACTCTTATTTTGTTTTTGTTGCAGAATCATGAGCAGAAACTTCTTGTCCAGAAATGATGAGCTCCGCAGAGGAGACTACCTGATGTCCAACAACAAGGAGTGGAAGGCTGTTTTCCAGGTAAAATTGAAACTGAATAATGAAGTAAAGTGTAAAGTAAGCCAACAAGTACTGCAAACTGAGCATGATTATAACAGCTGATTGTTTCTTTTTCCACCTATAGGAGGATGGCAACTTTGTCGTCTACGGCTGGTCCCCTGTGTGGTCCTCAGACACTGCAGGGTGCGACGCCGTCCGCCTGTGCATGCAGGAGGACTGCAACCTTGTCATGTACAACAAGTGCGACGAGCCAAAGTGGCACACCAACTCCTCCAAGTCCAAATGCAACATGTGTCGTCTCCACCTGACCAACGAGGGGAAACTGCTGGTGAACAAAGAATGTGAGGAAATCTGGAGCTCCGCCAAGTCCAAAGGCATGAAGTGATTCATTTGAAATTTACTGTATGTTTGGAGAGCAGCTTGACCTTCCAAACTAACTACTACTGTCTTCTCTGTGGTATCAAATAAAAACACTTTTTGATAATACGGAAATGAGCATGTGTTTATTTGGAGTGTGACTCATTATCAGGTTGAGATCTAATCTCATGTACTTCCAGAAAACAAGACAACAACATAATGAGATAAAATTACAGTCTGGGGAACAGGGTTTAACTTTACATCACTGCACCTAGTCACATGTGAGGCTGATAATCAGAACCATCTGGTTTGAAACTTGAGTTGGTGATAAAATGAAGTCTCTCAGGTTGATGTTAGGAGCTAAACTGAACAATAAGAATAATCAGGCAGCTTAGTTTACATCTTAAAAATGGCAGAAGGTTTCTTCTTATTAACTTTCCATCGTTATAAATGAATGATATTACTAGAAAATGTCTCATAATTAGCCTTTCTTAAATAAGCTGTGTGAGCAGGACTCTGTAAAGTAGCTGTTTGTGGGCTGATCCTGCATTAGTGTAAAAAATCATGTGTTCATATCACTCGGTTAGATGCCATTCTGCTGTATTATAACTAAACTGGGGTGCTTTTGTGTTGTATTTATTAACTAGAGTAAAATTTAGAAAAGGACACACACACACACACACACACACACACACACACACACAAAGATATTTTATGGGATATTTAAGTTTCTTTCATTCGTCTGAAATACCTCACCCAGCCTCTAGGGTGTGCTAAAAATCTTTAAGCTTTGCAGATGCAAGCTCTGTTTTTTTTACATTGGATTTTTTTTTTTATTACTATTATTACATAAGTTGGCACAAAACCTGCCAATCTGTGATTTATTTTATTTTATTTTATTATTTTCTCTTTTTTGTGATGTTGTACAGTTTATATCCCCACAAAGTTTCCCTGTCAATCAGAAATATTAGGGGGAAAATAAAAAACTGTGCACACCTCCTTTCACTCTCCTCCAACACCCTGACACCGACTTCAGTCTCAAGCACACAATTCAGAGAAGGAAAAAACCCATATATCGATGGTAAAAACATTTTTATTTGGCCCCAGATTACACAACACCAGTTTTATCATCCCAAACTGACATGTCAACGAAATTTCAAATGAATCACTTCATGCCTTTGGACTTGGCGGAGTTCCAGATTTCCTCACATTCTTTGTTCACCAGCAGTTTCCCGTCGTCGGTCAGGTGGAGACGACACATGTTGCTTTTGGACTTGTAAGAGTTGGTGTGCCACTTTGGTTCGTCGCACTTGTTGTACATGACTAGGTTGCAGTCTTCCTGCATGCACAGGCGGACAGCATCGCACCCTGCAGTGTCTGAGGACCATGCAGGGGACCAGCCGTAGACGACAAAGTTGCCATCCTCCTAAAGGGAAGAAGAAAAAATGGCTTTTATTGGAGTTTACTGTTTAAAACACCTACATTATAGCGACATTACATGATTTCAAGCTCAAAAATCCTCTACTTATCTCAGATTTATGATTTTATAAACCCTGATTGACTGAAACACTATTCCAGCTACTGTTTCTGAACAACTTCCAAGCCCTCCAGAGGCCTTATCCACTGTTGCCAATGACACATTATGAATATGTGATGGTTTTGGACCTCAAATCTGACTGGAAGAGTTAATAAAAAAGAGACAAAAACGATCCCCAGCAACAAGAGGAGAGCAGGGTGTCTCTTTTTGGAGACTACTACGTTTATTACTCTCTTAAATCTTCACAGCATTCACAGCAGCTGCAGGTCTCCCGGGATTACTGCAACACATGTTAACTTTACAATATGAAACTTCGCCCATGTTTAGCTCTGACTTCAAACTTAGTTTTCATTTGTAAATGTATAAATGTACGTTCAAGTATTTACATCATGTTCTGTGTGTGTTTTTCTTTCAGTATTTCTCACCTGGAAAACAGCCTTCCACTCCCCGTTGTTGGACATCAGGTAGTCTCCTCTGCGGAGCTCATCGTTTCTGGACAAGAAGTTTCTGCTCATGATTCTGCAACAAAAGTAAGAACTCTTTAAAACCCCTTAAATCCATCAAAGACACAAATTTCAAAAGCACATTTGGCCTGAACTTTGTAAAGTTTGTAAAGGCCACACAATAAGGATTTGCATCTATTTAATTCTTTATTTTAAGACAAAACTGCATTGCCACCCTCATGCATTAACCACTCCTGCATAATGACATAATTGCATAAACATACAAATTACTCACAAGCTGGAGCATCCGACCACGGCAAGACTGAATAAGAGGAAATGGAGTGAAGGGCATTGAGTCTTTCTCTCTCCATTTTTATATCTTCTGTATGTTAGGGGTGGAGAGAAAAAGGGGGTAACAGAAACAGAGACAGGAGTGTGTCTATTTTTTTGCTGGGAACTGAATGTTCTGTTTGAGAGATTCGAACCGCTTGAATCCCCCCCCTGAAATATCAAACCATGAGATCATGGATGTGGTGTCCTATGATACAAGCATGATCTCTGACATGATGGAAGGAGAAACTGTAAGAGAAAAATGTGAAAAGATCTGCACATGTGTTTTTAATTTTGACAGATTTACACCTGAATAAGGAAGCTTGTACGCAGGCAAAAAGAGCTGCATCTGCTTGACCCATCAGTGCAGATATTTCCATCCCAAAAGTAAAGATGTGGATGAGTTTGAGCTGATGATTAAACCTTTTTTAGTTTACAATTTTAAGATGATATTTGAAATAAAAGTTTTTAAGACACTTAAAAAGGAAACTTTTATTTCACTAGGCTATTTAGTTTGATCACCCAGGCCTTTAGCTTTTAACCAATCAGCTCACAGCTTTTCAGGGTGAGCTGTGATTATGTAACCAGGAACTTTTTTTTTTTTTTTCAGATCCTTTTTCGTGACAAAAAAAGGGGCTCATTGTCTGACACCACATCCCACTCTTTTTTTGTGTAGGGTACATTTTGTCCCATGTCACATCCCGATTCATACAAAGGATTCACACAGAATTAGACTATGAATTGTAGCTTTTCTATATGTACTTAACCCCTACAGCAAAAAGAAACAGGTCACCTTTCACAGAGCCGGTTTGATGAGATCTTGTGATCAATTACAACAGTCTGTGGTGATGTAACTGTGCACTTTACTCACTAAGTTTTATGTACCTGTAAGTAAAAGTATAATGGTTTAAATAAGACCATTTTAAGTGGGCTCACAGTGTAATATTGTGTGAAGAGATGGGAATATACAGTAATATCTAGCGGATTTTGGTTTGAATTGCCCCCTTGCTTGCCCCATTGGTGAAACATCAAGTTTTTTTTTTTTTTACCCCAAAAATAAGTCGACACACTTTCTTTTGTGGACAAAACCATAGACCGTATATAGAATGGACGCCGTCTGCCTCCTCGCTGGGTGAAGCCACCCTGAGAACAGCACCCTCTGGTGACGGGCTGCAGTATAGGTCGTGAATCCCGCCCCCGCCAGCCATCCTGATGGAGCTGTGGACCAACTTTAGAAATTAATCATTCTGAATATCAATATTTTTGTGAAATCCGATCTTTTTGAGCGGTTGTTTGCATTACAACAATGAATGCGGCATCTCATGTGAACGGAATGCGTCCGTGAAGTGACCCGCATGCGCTCAAAGCACAAATTGCTTTCCGCGCCTGTTTGTGTTGTCGAACGATGGTGACGTGTGTCGCATATTGATGACGTATAGGTCGGATGAACGGCGAAGAGATTCTTAAATTCAGGTAAGTATACATTGATTTTAACAAACTCGTGAACAGAAGTAATCCATGTTTACTAAATCTGTACTGCTAAATCGAAGTCCAAACCTGAATACTTACAAGAAGGCATATAAAAATATTATTTTCAAGAGGTATTCAGATGAGGAGGGTCTGTGTTGACCTATTGAGTCAACACAGCCCTGTTTTCAGTTTTCAATGGGTTGGTCTGAATAATTTTATCCCTGATACTACTGCAGTCATTTAAACTATTGTATATGCAGTAAAGAAATTTGTGTTGGCAAAAGGGGGGTAGGAGCTCGATAAGTTTTAAACTTCATCCTACTCCTTTTCGGACATTGTTGTTGGTTTTCTTTTCTTCCTGATTTGTATTTTATTGTCTTATTTGATTAAATATTGTTCGAAATAAAAATAAATAAATAAATAAAAAATAAAAAATAAATGCCACTAGATGGAACGCACTGGACCTTTATAAATGACTAAATGAAACTACCGTTAGTGTGCTAATGCTAATCAGCTTCATACTCCAGGGTAGCTTATGAGAGGGCCTCTAAATGGATAAATAAAGATTTGTTTTGTCTTAACCTTGTACAGAAGATGTAAAGAAGTCTGTATTTTACTTTTGAAAAAATAGAAATTTTAATATTTCCAAACTCACCAGATTACATTTGATCATTATATGTTTTCCAAGGTTTTCTGGTATTTGTAGTTCAGTGTCCTTTGTACAGGGGCGCTTTTTTAAGCGATAAAATGTAAGCAATATATTTCAATGTACACAGTAATTTAGGAGGAACTCTCTCTCAACCCTCTCTGCTCCCTCCACTCTGGATTTGGTTTTTCGTACACTCCCTTTTCTGTCCTCTCCTCTCCTTTCATCTCCCTGCGGTGGAGAGATTGGTTTTTGTACTTCCCCTTTTCTCTCCCTGCCTTTAGAGGACCACTACAGACCCCAATCTTGGCAGCAGCCAGAACCATCCTTAAACCAACATCCTTCTTATAATCAGCCACACCACTGTGCACTTGTGCAGTTATTTAAAGTTGACTTCTTTGGTTTTATCTATTTTCCAGTAGATCGTGGTTATTCAGAATACGTCCACATTCAGTGGAAAGAACGAGAACTTTGAGTTCCCACCACAGCTGCCCTTGCTATGATTAAGACTCTGTTATCTAATACTTGTTTTAAGAGGTAATAAAACAGCAGGAAATCAATTTTCAGTCCAGAGCAGACAAATGCAAACATTTGTGCACATTTTAATCATGTAGTACGATATTCACTCATTTCCTCTAGCATTAATTAAAAGTTTGCCCTCTCTTTTAGTCAAGTACCAGGCCAATAATGTCCTTAATAAACTAGAAAGTATAATTTTACAGCATATTTGTCCATTTAAGATGATTTCTTTAGGTTTAATCTGACAATTGGTGAACTTTAGAAGTGCTGTCGGCACATCTCAGTGAAGTTTATCGCATCGTGAACATCCTTTTAATGTTCAGTTGTGATTAATTTTGTCTCCTGATTGAAATTTGCTTTAAACATCAATAAGACAGAAAGCTGAAACATGTTAGGAGGGCGGGAGTTTGGTCAGGAATGAAGGGTTAGAGGTTCAAGTCCCAGTATGGACTGAAGTATGCAAACTGGGAGCGGTTCCAGGAGAAGGGCCAGTTTACTTCCTGGCCTCTGCTGGTGTGACCTTGTTGAGTTACAGTTACATTTGTGTGTATTTGCACTGTTAGTTTTAGTTATGTAAAGGCTGCATGACTCGGAGGTTGTGGGTCACTGTCAGCGTTCCATCAAAACATGTTTTGTAGTTTTGGCATGAACTGTTCTGTACGATATCCAAGAATTACAAACTTTAGCCGGGAGTAGAGTGATCTGTGTAAGAAGGTGGACTTTTACTTTTCCAGCAGGATCAGCACTCAGAGGATGGCTTGGCTTTGTGATATTTTGTATTTCTGACCATAAGAATTGGACAAATGTTGCTAAAAACCCAAAAAACTTGTGCTTTTGGTATTGTCTTGTTTTTTTTTAACAGAAATGTAGACCAAATTATGCATTTTCCTGACATTTAATAGGTTCAAACATGATAATTGTGTAGATTTTTACTTATCTTTTTCCATTTTTATAATACCTTTCTGTATGCACCCTTCATAAAACAGAAGCATCTGTTATCGCAGAGATGTGGGGATGTAGAATATTATCTTTGTGGACAAAATCGTGAAGGTATCAGGGGAAACTCATTGGCCGCAATTTAAAAGGGAGAGCAAATGTAATGAAAATCCCTCTGAGCTGCCTTGTGGCTTTTTCAAAGTGCTGACATAATGATGAAGAGGAGCCTCATGTGGACACAGCTGGCCTCATAGTGGAAAGTAACTCGCAGCATTTCATGTCATGGGTCCAGCTGCCAAATAGAGCTGCAGTCAAATTTCAGTCTAGTTAGTCATGGACCTACTGTAGATTTCTCATCCTGCAAAAATGTTTCTCACGCAACAGTTCATTCATGATTTCAAGATGACATCAGCCGGACAACCACCCAGTGGAACAATGGCACACTCTACTGTCAGTCTATTATAATGATCATATCATCATCAGATAACGCCATGATAATGTGCAGATATTATGGTATAATAACAGCAGTTGATACAGGGATATTTATAGACCAACATTTGTAGAAACAGACGTATTGAGTTTGGAGAATGTCTGTTTCTGTTTATATAGATTATCAGTGATGCCTGGAGGGGTAATGCTTAGGAAATTACTATGACTTTATATTCATGAAATAGGCTTGCAGAGTCATTAAGTTTTATTTGCGGGGCATGTCATTTTTATTTATTATTTTTATACTAGTGGTCACAGCCAACAGTGTGGAAGCTCCACTGTCCTACAATTCCTCAAATTTCAAGATGAATATGTTGAATTACTCGATAGAAATGCGAAAGGGAAAGTCCGGCGTAAAATTAATTTAGGGTCAAACACACCATAACACTGAGTTAGACATGTCCTTGAGAGATGAATGTTGCCGACCGCTTGTTTCTCTAGTTATACCAACTTTAGTAAGGACCGCACGATAGCAATACACAGCGGTCTGAGGAGCCATAAACAAACCTCAACCAAAACGCCACTCTTTAGCCACAGATAATGCTCAGAACAGCACCTGACTTCATCAACAGTACATATAGGGTCCTAGCCAAAGTACTAGCCACCAAACATCTTTTTAACTTTGCCTGATTTCTTTAGCAAAGAGACTAAACACAACTCACCTACTCTCTTCCAGCAGCCGCTTGTTTGTAGCGAGACCTCGGGCCAGTCCTTTACGGACTGCTGCGAGGTGACGCAGCTCAAGGAAGAACATAATTTGGGGTTTCTAACTCGGTGTTACGGTGTGTTTGACCCTAAATTAATTTTACGCCAGAATATCCCTTCACTTGGAAATCAGTCAGTACTCCATAGCAACAGTCTTGAGTCAAAGGATCCAAACAGCAGAGAAAAAGCAGGAGACATTAGACACATAACAACTGAGTGCTACAAGGGAGAAATTAAGGAAATTGAGGAGATTTTTTTTCCGGGGAGATCTTTTCTTTTCTTTTCGTCTATCACTATCTTATTTCGACTTACTGTCTTTTTAGTGTTTGTTTTACTTATTATCTTTTTCTATTTAACTTTTTAGGCCTTTTATGGATTTTATTGTTTTTTCCTGCTCATCTTTGTTATTCCGTTTCATCATTACTATTACCATCATTATCATTTTGTTATGATTTTATTATCATTATCAATATCGTCTTTTTATATTTACTGTCCTGTTTCCTGCTTTCTACCCCCAATTTTTTATTACATTTCTTTTTCTTATGTATTTTATGTTTTTATTTTGGTCCTCATGGTCTCGTTTGACGTTGTAGGGTTCTTGTATTGTCGGGGTTCTTTGTGACGAATGAAACTGGCCTTCAATTCAGAGGCCTTGTTTTTAACTGAGCTTTTGTTTTTTATTTGTTTTTATTTCCAAGTGCTGATGTTCTGTGCTTTACGGCTGTATGCCAAAGCACTTTGTGAACATCTGTTTTTAAAAGTACTATAAAAATAAAGTCATTATTATCATTATCAACAGCAAGAGTGTGAAAGTGTTCATTCAAGCTCAGCCCATATATGAACCTCATGCCAACCCATACTAGCTGACAGTTCAGCTGATGAACTCAGGTGTGCTTTGGCACTCAGAGAGCATTTACAACCGAAAGACAGAACCAGATTTCCAAATAGGACTTGGCTGATAAAGATAAAGAGCCCGTTTAGTTTAAAATGGGTCGGACTGAACTCTATATTTGAGGAGCCTGTTTGCAGCAGCATATGCACCGCTGGTATGTTTATATTCATTTGATTTATTTATCATATCCGCATCCACTAACTTCTGGATAACTCCTGTTTACATTAAACATAAGGAGGGAATGCCGTTCTTCCCTCTGTCTCTCTCTACCCTTCCTCTCTCTCTCTCCCTCTCTCTCTCCCTTCTTTACCCTCGGACCAGAAAGTATATAAATGGGATGACTAGCAGAGAACTTCACCTCCTTCCCTCCTCTTCAGAGACTGCCTGGACTGAAACATTCAAGCCCGTAAGTGCCTCTGATCATCACATACCTGTGCAGAAATGTTCTATATTTCAGAGAGTCTAACTCTAAATTGTGGTGGTTTATTTCTAACAAAGTGCCAAACTATTTTTCTATGTCAGAAATAACTGCAGGAGCACAAAAACAAATGCAAACTCTTAGTTTTTTCTGTTTCAGAGCCATGAGTAGGAACTACCTGTCTAAAAACGATGAGCTTCGCAGAGGAGACTACCTGATTTCCAACAACAAGAAGTGGAAAGCTGTCTTCCAAGTAAGTTGTCCATAATTTTTGCTGTTTAGAAATCTAATAAGATTAATTTTCAGGAGGTCTCTGTTGACCTAGTGGTCTAATGCTGCGGTCACTGGTCATAATGGGAATTGTGGCTCTAGTGGTTCAAGTCATTTGGCCCAGCTCAGCAGCAAGAACCAAGTCTTTTAAATTTAAGCTTTTTGGCTTGGTGATATTTTGTATTTCTGACCGTGAGGAATAGACTAATGTTGGCAAAAAAACAAACATTTGTTATTACAGGGATGTGGGGATGTAGAATCCCCACATGTAGAATCTACTAAGGCTATCATCCTTACTGCAGCGGACATTTGTCGTAGTGGGAATGGCCCTAATGGTTGAAATAATTTGGCCCAGCAGCACCATATTGGCTTTCATCAAATCTGCCTTTTTTTTTTTGTAAACAATGTTGTGACCTCTGATTGGTGTGAGTTAGGGTCTCTGTGGATTCCTGAAAAACATCACTTGTCAATTATTCACTTCCCAGCTGTGACCCTCTGCTACATTTTATCCCTCATTTTCTACAGATCTATAACTGCCAGATGTCTCTGTTTCTGCCCGCAGGATGATGGTAACTTTGTCATCTATGGCTGGACGCCCGTGTGGACGTCAGACACGTACGGATCGGATGCTTTTCGCCTCTGCATGCAGGCCGACTGTAACCTGGTCATGTACAACAGGGGTGACGTTCTGCGGTGGCACACAAACACAAACATCAAGAGTGAGAGCAGCAGGTGCCGTCTTCAGCTGACTGATGAAGGCAGACTGGTGGTGTGCAGGGAATCTGAAGAACTGTGGAGCTCTGCGAACTCCAAAGGCATGAAACAATAATTTAATATCAGCAGAATTTTAAAAAGTGAAGGCAAGTTGAAGCCCTCTTTGGAGAAAATAGCTGTAACTTTGACAACAATGTAATCTGCAATTGAATAAAAGCGAAATGAAAATTGTGTCTTTTTTTACTTTAATTTTGTTAAAGTGGTTCTACAATGAAAGCAAACATGAACATGGTAGTAGTGTTTCCAGCATGTTGGTTATCATATGAAATATTCCCAGGTTTAATCCAGAACCACTAGATGGCAGGCTAGATGTATGCGAAGACGCAGCTCTGCATGACCGCTTAAGGCATAGATACGACTAGTACTACCACTTAGAAACTTCACTCTCAATACCATATCCATCTGCAATGGACTCAGAAAGAAAAATAGTTTTATTTTAACTCAATAGTATTAATCTATTACATTATATCTTAGAGCTACAGTTAAGATAGAGATCATCAGTCCACTCGGGCTCCAGTGTGGATCTACCTGGCTTCACTCTCATAAGGTCAGACAGAGAAGCTCAAGCTAGTGGCAAGAAGAAAGGAGGAGGTCCGGCTTTATTTGTCAACCAGAGATGGTGTAACCCTTCACACATAACTGTAAAAGGACAAGTTGTGTTGTCCAGGTATTGAACTGTTGGCAGTTACTCTTGGGTCATATTATGTTCCAAGAGAATTAAGTCATATCATCACAATACTTGTTTACATCCCACCCAAGGCAACGGCTGAAGTTCCATGTGATCGTTTGCATAATAGTGTTGCCAGGATACAGACTCGACACCATGAGGCACTAATAATAATGCCTCAGGATGTAATAAAAGCCTTCAGTGACCGGAGTCACAAAAACTGCCTCCTCCTCAACACCTGAAAGACAAAGGAGATGGTCATAGACTTCAGTAGATCCAAACCTTCTCTTCAGCCAGTGAACACCTGTGGAGTGGACACTGAAGTGGGGATATCATATAAATACCTAGGTGTACATCTGGATAATAAGTTGGACTGGTCTAAGAATATAGACTACATCTACAGAAAGGGGCAGAGCCGCCTCTTTTGCCTGAGAAGACTCCGATCAATAGACATCTGTAGTAAGATGCTGCAGATGTTTTATCAGTCTGTGGTGTCTACAGTGTTCTGTTCTACGCTGCAGTCTGCTGGGGAGGAAACATCAAACACAAAGATGCAAGACTTCTGAACAAACTGGTGAAAAAAGCCGGCTCTGTGGTAGGACTCAATCTGGACTCAGTGGAGGATGTAGTGGAGAGATCTGCACTGAGGAGGGTGGAGACTATTCTCAAGTACATGGATTACCCACTTCACAACACCTTGATGGACCAAAGCTCCAAAGGTGGTGGACGGCTCCTCTCTCTTCGTTGCAGGACAGAAAGATTCAGAAGATCTTTTGTACCAACAGCCATCAGACTTTACAACTCTTCTTAGAGACATGACAAATGAGACGACAGACAAATTAATTTTCCATCGAGGATCAATAAAGTTATTCTTATTCATTTAATTTAAAATCCCAATTCTCAAAAAGTTGAGACAGTATGAAACAAAATTCAATCATGTGCAGATCACTTACCCTAGAGACAACATATTTATTGTTGAAGCTGAATTTTTTATTGAAAATGAAGAAATAAACACCCAATTTAATTAAATTTGATTCCAATAACTCATTTCAGGAGGGTGGAGCAGGGCCGTTTTGGCTCTCCTCTCACTCCAAGTGCATTTCTTTGAGTTTATATTTCTTTTGAAAGTTTAGAACATAACTAGAGCTGTAGCTGTATGGGCTACAGCATCGCTAGCAAGTTTGATTGCTGACTAGTCAGGCTTTGCGAATAAGATAGCTTGCAATCCACTTAAATGGAGATTGCATTCACCATAGTGTTCTGTATACAATACATGCCCTTATATGTTCAATCAGCCCGAGACAAGACAGCATGACTTTGTTCAAATTTGTTGTCTGAATTGTTGCTGTTTTGGTTCCAACTTCACCATTTCCTCTTACGGTTAAATGTTGGTGGTGAGTATTTCACAAGCAGGTGGTCAGGAGGTTCATGTGCTTCTGCCTTTCTTTCTTTGAAAATGACTTTGTACATCTGGTAAATTTCAGAGTTTAGTGCACAAATGAATCATCTTAAATGCTAACATTCACCAAGGTGCGTGAAATGAAAGCCTTTATTTGGTTAACTTCACTCAGTTTTCATTAACTTTAAATTGAAACTTGTAGTTTACGTGTTTCCCTGTTTTAATGCTTATAATTGCTGTGAGGGGGTAGTTTCGGACCAGATGTTTGACTGCTGGTTTCATAAACTTTAACTTGAATTTAAATTTCTTGGTTAGTCAAATAATACTTGATAATAAAAAATGGTAGTTTTGGTTGGTTTCATCCTGTGCCAAAATGCACTGTGGGTGTTGATCTATTTACAGCAGAGTTGGACAGAGTTAAATAGTTTATTTTTTGTGTTTTTATGCCTCCCATGAGAGGACAGGACAATGGATAGACAAGAAAACAGAGAGAGAGCGAGGGATGACGTGGAAAAGATCTACAGGTTGGCCGTAGACTGAGAGGACTTTTGGCCTGACCATGACCCATATGCAGACACTGTGGTACTTGTTGTGGTAGTGGCTTGTTTAAGTAAAAGCTATATTTTTTGTTACCTTTAAAAAACAAGGTGTCCACGAGTGAAAATGAAACATTTTTAATAACTTAAACAAAATAGACATTAATTGAAACAGTAATTCAGCATGATTCTGCAAAAACAGGTGGTAAAGAGGTCATGCCAAATGCATTTATTTCCTCCCCTGTAGAAGGTTATATAAACGAGTTGCCTGCTGTGAATTTCATCACCTCCACTTGCTTCCTACAGTACTTGTGTTGAATATTGGAGCCTGTTAGTACTTTTAAACTTCTGCTTTATTCTTTTGTAACGAGTACACCACACTCATGTGTTTCGAAATTATTGAATCACTCTTCAACAGGTAACAAAGAAATATTCATTTACTATCGGTGTGGTGTAATTGCATTGTTTGTGATTTTTCCAGTTGCTACATTAAATCTGTTTTTTTTTTTTTTTCCTTTTTGTCTCAGAACCACAAGTAAAACCGAAATTGGCACAAATGATAAGCTCTGCAAAGGAGAAGTCCTGATGTCCAATAATGAGCTGTGGAAGGCTGTTTTCCAGGTAAGTGAATCAGGGTTTTGCGTTTTTTTTATTTTAGTGTTGGAAATGGTAATTTTACTGACTGTTGGTCGTCTCTAATCTCGAGTGCAGAACGACGGTAACTTTGTGATCTACGGCTGGAAGGCTATGTGGGATTCAGACACTTGTGGATCAGATGGTTCCCGTATGGTCCTGCAGCCTGATGGTAACCTGGTCCTGTACAACGAGAGTAGAGAACCCAGGTGGAGCACAGACACAAGTACTGAACATGCACATCTGAATTGCCGTCTCAAGCTGACCGATGAAGGAAACCTGGTGTTGTTCAAAGAGAATGTTTTAGAATGGAGCTCTGCTGACTCAAGAGGCAAAAAATGAACAAACGAGTCAGAGAACCTTGTGAAATTGAGTACAAAGAAACTCTTCACCGAGTATCTGCATGAATTTCATTTGACCTTCCTGAAATGTAATCAGCAATCTAATAAAATCAGGTCTTAAAGAGTAAAACTTGTTTGTCAATCATTTGGACAGCTCAGTTGAACAGTTTCACTTTAAGCTTGATGTATGTGTTATTAAGCCAAGGCTCCAGTATAACTAAGTAAAATCCTTATAAATCTTCATAACTATAAAGACGATTTTTTTCAGACCCTATACTTCCTCTCTGGTACCTCTTCAATAGCTTTACGTAATTTTCAGATTTAAAAAACAAAGTGTTTCTCACTCTTGTGTATTAGAGCACCACTATTTCAGCCTCCATCTAAAATGCTTTCTTCTTTCTGCTGTCTCCTGAAGTAAAAGGATGTCGTTTTTTTGTACAGCATATATAGGGGAGACCGGGGCTTGTTGTCACATGGGTAAGTTGTGACATTGTAATTATCTTTGCCACCAGAGGGCGCAACTAAAAAGTGGATTACGATGATGTATTGATTCCAAGAAATATAAAAGAGTTTAGAAAGTGTGACAACAAGCCCCGGTTTCCCCTACTTCAAAATCATTTTCCTGTGTTTTGAATGAGGCTGTGTGTCCTGTCAAGACAGCATCAAAGGATCAAAAAATACTAACTATACTTTGTAGGGTAAGTGCAACAGAAAATATTTCAGCTATGAAAAACATATGAAAGTACACAGATACCAAGTTTAATTCTTTCTGCTAAGATATTTTTGGTCATCCAGACATCCTCAGTAATGACTACAATGCTTGCATACTAAAGTCAAAATGCCAAAAAGCCATATTTGGTTTTGATAAAGAAATATATTTCTCCATCTAGCTGGAAGGAATTCAGTATGTTTCTGCTGAGACCAGGGCGACTGTTTCAGAACCATAATTCTTGGACTGCATCTCTGGGACCTTGTAGTTTGCGACAGATAGGGTTAGGGTTATGTAAGTCCTCAACGATCCATTGCTCTAGAAGGTGGTACATTGCATCTTCTCGGGATTTCAGGCTCAGAAATATGGTCTTGAATCAGCAGTCTTTAGATCTGCAGGTATATACTTCTCAGAGTCGGAGCAAGTTCAAACTGAAGCCATATATTGTAAGTGCAACGAGGGACCACAGATGGAGCAATCATTCAGTCTGTTTTCACAACAGTTAAAATTATCTGACTGGACCTGTGAAAATACTTGTAGGTTTTCAGGTGCTTTGTCTGTTTTGTTTTTTTTTCTTTATCCTATCAGCAGCAACACCTCCATCGTCTGACTGCCAGAGAATTTCTTTTTTTTATTATGTGGTAAAGAGGGCATGCCAATCCTCTTTCTCTCCACCCCTATGGAAAGAATATATAAAGGAGTCACCTGTAGTGACTTTTACCACTTTTACTTACTTTCTACAGGACTGGCATCATCAATCAAAGCTTGTAAGTACCTTTACACTTCTTTTTTTAAAGTGGTTAGTAAGGAGTACTGCGCAGTTATGAATGTATTAGATCACTCATCAACACGCAACAAAGAAAGATTTTCCTTCAATCCAAATCTATGATGTAATGGTTCGATATATCAGGGAAATTCAGCAGTCCTGGACCGTCAAACAAGAGCAGTCAGTTCCAAGAAACAAAGAGAGGCACTCCTCTCTCTTCCCCCTTTTTTCTCCTCCTCCGACTTCTAGAAGGTATAAAAAAAGGAGTGAGTTTCAGTCGTTGCCCTCTCCTCTTTTGCCTCTGCATCAGTCTGGCTGAAGTTGGATGCTAAAGCCTGTACGTACTCTAAACAATTGTAGTTTAGCTGATCAGCAGGTGTTCAGCAAGCGAAGTTTAATACATGACAAAATTGTTGCCGTTTAGTTTTATTCATGTGTCGTGAAAGTAAAATATATAAGAGTTGCATGTTTTTGTTTTTTTGTGTGAAAAAAGTAGATATTCAGGAAAATTAAGTACTACTTAGTAAAAAAAAAGAGAGTGTACAAATTAGATGGCAAACAGATCAAGATAAACATGTTTTTTATGCATTTTCAGTCTTTTACATGAATAAAACTCTTATTTTGTTTATGTCGCAGAATCATGAGCAAAAACTTCTTGGCCAAAAATGAGGAGCTCTGGAACGGAGAATACCTGATGTCCAAAAACGGAGAGTTTAAGGCTGTTTTCAAGGTAAAACCTCACAACTCAAGGCATCTTATTAGAGCGTAAATGCAGAAACTGAATAATAAGGAAGTAAAGTGTTAAGTAAGCCAACAAGTACTGCAAACTGAGCATAATTATAACAGCTAATTGTTTCTTTTTCCACATACAGGAGGATGGCAACTTTGTCATCTACAAATGGTCCCCTGTGTGGTCCTCAGACACGGTAGGATCTGGCGTTGTCCGCCTGTGCATGCAGGCGGACTGCAACCTGGTCATGTACACCAAGGGCAACGACCCAAAGTGGCACACCAACTCATACAGGCCTGAATTCAACACGTGTCGTCTCCAACTGACTGACGACGGGAAACTGGTGGTGAACAAAGATTGTGAAGAAATCTGGAGCTCAGCCAATTCCAAAGGCATGAAGTGATTCATTTGAAATTTCATTGACATGTCAGTTTGGGATGATAAAACTGGTGTTGTATAATCTGGGACCAAATAAAAACATTTTTACCATTGATATATGTTTTTTTTCCCCTTTTCTTCATGGTGTGCTTAAGACAAAAAGAGTGAAAGGTGGAATATTAAAGAGATATGCACAGTTTTTCCCCCCAACATTTCAGATAGACAGGAAAACCTCTTCCACATGGTGTATTCTGTGCAGCCAATCACTGAATAAAATGTGAGTGTATGAGCCGTTTTATCTAGGGGCACTTCAGCTGAATGGGCTGGTAAATGCTACAAGGGGACACAGGTGAAGCAGTGATCTAGGGAAGAGGAAGAGCACTCGTTTTTTACCACTAATCTCTAACACCACTCTCACCCTCATCACGCACATCACCATCATAACAAGTTGGACATATCTGCCTTTTGTTGTTGTTGTTTTCATTAAATCAATAAATGGCAAAAAGATAACTCAACAACAACCTCGGATTGGACATTGGATGATACTAGAAGCACATCAAAAACACATAGGGTTAGGGTTATGTAAGTCCTCAACGATCCATTGCTCCAGGAGGTGGTACATTGCAAACAAAGAAGGTCTCGGGATTTCAGGCTCAGAAATATGGTCTTGAATCAGCAGTCTTTAGATCTGCAGGTATATACTTCTCAGAATCTGAGCATGTTCAAACTGAAGCCATAAACTGTAAGTGCTATGAGGGACCACAAGGTGTCAGACTACTTCTAAGGATGTCTGGATCCTTATCTCACAGTACATGTTTGACTTTTTTTTCCCCCACAAACACATACTCTATTTTTAATTTTATTTTTTACAAGGTTGTGAATTTGTAGAAACTTTTTTCTTCTCATGTTCACAGCCAGAGAAAAGATTTTTTGAGCTCTGATTCCAGTCCCTTTTTTTAACTGAATGTGCACACGTCCCTGTGTTACATGTGCTCCTATAAATACACTTTGCTCATCTACCTCAGAGGTCATTACCTTATAATCGATTTAATTATCTTTTTGTTTGATGAATCTTACACTTTGAGTTTTGGTTTGTTTTTGGTTTTATTTTCAAATACACCTTTAGCCTGGTTCATCATCCATCACTGTTTTTGGGTCACCATCTCTAATCGCTGATCTAATCCTTCCAGCTAATTTAAAAATGACTAAATATGTCAAGTTTAGGGATGTGCGTGTTTGGTTTAGGTTAAAGCAGTGTTGATCTCAATGGTCAACACCAGAACTACGAAGTGGTTAAACTAATTATTAATATTTCTCATAATTTTTCCCAAAAATGCAGGTCATGTGTCCAAAACTGTAGTGCAGCCAACCGCCACTAGCTGGAGCTTTAACTCCAGTTAAAGGAGACTCTGTGATCCTGTGTTCAGCTGTATCAAATCAGTGGGGCTTAGTTTTGACCATTTTCTGAGTTTTGTCTTGCCGTCTTTAAAACTTTAGCATTTTACACACAGTGAAGTCTTTATTTATTGTTTCTTCTGTCCAGCCAACTTTTTAATTGCTTTAAGTCCGAGGCCCACAAGGTTGTTGTGGACATATCAAATTAGGGTAGAAATTTATTTATGAAGAATATCATAGCGTATAATAAAACCTGCAATAAGGTTATTCTGCTAAAGACAATACACTGGACATTTCAACAATTACATAGTGAATATAAATATCAACAGACCATTGCTGGAAGTGTGTGTAGTTTCTGATGCCTTTATCTTTCTTACATTCTGGGCATGCTCTTCAAGTCTGGTGGGACGATATCCATCTTGTTATCTATGTAGTAGTGAGAAAACATTTCAGTCTCTGCTAAAGTTGCTATTCTGAGCTCAACTACGGCTCTGAAAGACTGTGACCTGTCCTCCTTTGAAAAGGGACAGTCAGTGTTATCTTACCTTAGAACAAAAGAGTGTGTGGGCTTTTTCCAGTAATCTATTCCATTTTCAGTCACCTGCCTCCATTTATTTATGTGAAATGGGTTCTTTGTCTGAAAATTAAAACTGATAAAAATTAATTAAAATGGAAAAAGGGGAAAAATACTTAAAGAACAGTGGCGGCTTCTGGTCTTTCAAGGAGGGGAAGCTCATTTTTCTGGCCTAAATCATAATTGTGATTGTTTATTAGTATGTAACAGAACAGAGTTGCCAAACACAATGGCAGTCGTTTTTAAAAAAAGACAAAAGTCGCTGAGGATCGGTAAAGTCTCCTGAGCAGTTAAGAACAACGGAATAAATAACTTGGAAAATGCTCTGGTAGGTGTTTTATTCTTCAAGATCGCTGATTCGCTTGTTTAGCTGTCAGTCAAAAAAGGATTTCGCCTCAGACAGCTCATCCAATCATGGATGCAGAAGCTCAGCGTCCGCGAGAAAGTTGGGACCGCCCTCTCGTCATAGAACTCCAGAGACGCTGAGCGTCCGATGGGCGGGACAAAGCCAGCATTTATCTATTGAGCGTCTAGTTTCGCTGCTGGAACAACCCACTTTGAGCTTCCACATTGAAGTCAGCAGACGCTGAGCGTCCAGCTGTGTGAAGCACTGAGGCGCTGCAAGGATAAATCAGAACAAAGTTGTGCCGGTTACATGTGATTATCAGCTTCTTATCAAAGTGTGATAAGAAGCTGATTCTAAACAAAAGATGAAGGCTTTCTAGCGCATATTTAGTTAATGAAATGTACACACAGCCGTACGTATTTCACCGCATTTTCCTTTTTTTGGGGGGGTGACATTTTAAGGGAAGCTGAGCTTCCCTTGCAGTCTTAAGCCGCATTCAGACCAAACGTGACCTGAAGCGACCTAGTCGCGTTGGTCGTTGTATTCCCATCGCGTCACACCCTGGTGTGTTCACACCGGGTCCAAAGCTGCAGTCACGGAGGTCGCAGGACGCGGCTGGTCGTCGCTAAACCGCTTCTCCCACCTTCCTTCTCTCTCCTTTTCATCCTCATATATACATCCAGCAGCCCCTTCCAGCGCTTGCGGCACACATCCACTGCAAAGACACACACACACACACACGTTGAAACATGTAGCCTAGCAAGCAGGGGAAGATTGTTATGTTTTCGGAAAATAGTCTGCTCACTGAAATAAATAAACAAACAAACTTAACAGAGAGCCCGATGCCTCCTCCTTGGAGGTGTGGTCCCGGTAGAACGCACACCCCATGTCATACAGGACCGGGTGATAACTCATGGCAGTGATAAGCTGCTCCTCCATTGTGATTCGTCTTCTCCTCCTCCTTTCTTCGCCAGTTTGAGCGGCACGGAGTCGCTCCCAAAGTTCAAATATTTGAACTTTGGGAGCGACGCGACTTGGCGTCCTGCGACCTCGGGCAACGCGACGTCGGCGACCATGCACGACTTGGTCGCCAAGGTCGCTGATGTCACGTTGCCGGCAGCCGGCAGTCGCCAAGTCACGTCAGGTCACGGCTGTCCATAGACTTTGCATTGGGAGTCGTTGCTCAGGTCACCGAGGTCGCGTTTGGTCTGAACACAGCTAGAGCAATCGCCACTGTTAAAGAAGCAGATTCAGTTTGCAATAATGTTTGTTTTTCATAACTACTGAACTATTGATTGTGAAAATCAAGAATTGCACATTTCAAGGGAACAAAAAGAAGATGGCTTTTTTTTTTTCATTGGCACAGGAAGTCAAACTTCTTGCAGACACACCTAGAAAGAGTTTCTTTTTACTTAATTTTAACCAACTCCCACTGATAACATTATCATTCAAAGGGCATTTATTAATTATGTATAATTTTAAAAAATTAGCTGGAATCCGACAGAGGCATTAGTGAAATGGCAAACTGTAACTCGAAGTGTGGCTGTCATGTCCCTAAAACACCTCACACAAAAATGTAGATGAACCAAACAAACAGGTTAAAGGAAGTTTTTGTGTTGCAGCCTTGCTGCTTTCAAAGTTTCTGCCTCTGCTGCCCCTGGAGTATGGGGTACCAGACACTCTGATGAGGGCTGTTTGTTGCCTGTACAACTAGTGCCGGCGTTTGGTCCGCATGGTTGGTAGTATGTCAGACTGGTTTCTGGTTAGGGTTGGACACCACCAGGGCTGCCCTTTACCACTGATCCTGTTCATAACTTTCATTGACAGAATTTCTAGGGTGTTAAGGGGGTCCAGTTTGGTTTTTCAGGATTAGTTTAGTGTTTTTTGAAAATGACATGGTCCTGTTGGCTTCATCAAGCCATGAGCTTCAGTTCTCACTGGAGTGTAAAGCAGTTTGGATGAAAATCAGCACCTCTAAATCTGAGTCCAAGGTTCTCAGCTGGAAAGCGCTGGAGTGCCCTCTCTGGGTCGGGAATGAGATCCTGCCCCAAGTTGGGGAGTACAAGTATGTCAGGGTCATGTTCACAACTCAGGTAAGAATGGAGTAGAAGATGGACAGGTGGCTGCACTGATCTGTTGTGGTAAAGAGGGAGCTGAGTCGAAAGGCAAAACTCTTGCCGTACCAGTGGATCTACATTCCTACCCACACCTACGGTCATGAGCTGTGGGTAGTCACCAAAAGAACAAAATCACAGGTACAAATGGCCGAAATGAGTTTTCTCTGCAGGGTGGCTGGGCCTTAGAGACAGGGTATGAAGCAGAGAAGGGCTTGGGATAGAGCTGCTACTCTACTGCATTGAGAGGAGTCAGATGAGGTTACCTGGGAATCTAACCAGGATTCCACTCAGACGCCTTGCTGGTGAGGTATTTGTGACATTTTTAATCCTTCATTGGCACAAGGAGTCAAACTTCCCACAGACACACCTTGAAACTGAAGAAGATCTTATTAAACCCCGAAGGGAAATTATTGCAACATTTTAACCAACCCCAACTGATAACCTGATCATTCAAAGGGTATTTATTAATTATGTATATTTAAAAATTATGAGCTGGAATCCCCTTGAGGCATGAGTGAAATGTCAAACTGTTACTGTGGTTTTGGTTCCCATGTCACCAAAATCCCCGTGAGGCATGAGTGAAATGTCAAACTGTTACTGTGGTTTTGGTTCCCATGTCACCAAACACCAAAACAAAGAACAGTCCAGGACAGAACTGGCCCTCCTGACCAGTCTATTCAGTCTCTTCCTGTCCCTCTTGGTACCCCCTGCCCCCCAGCAGACCACCACATAGAAAAGTGCAGATGCTACCACAGAGTCATAGAAAGTCCTGAGCAGAGTCCTGCACACTCCAAAGGACCTCAGTCTCCTCAGCAGGTGGAGACGACTTTGGCCCTTCTTGTACAGGACGTCTGTGTTGGTTGACCAGTCCAGTTTGTTGTTGAGGTGGACACCCAGGAATCTGTAGGACTCCACCATCTCAATATCCAGACCCTGGATGTGCACTGGAACAGTCTGAGGTGTCCTCCTCCTGCGGAAATCCACAACCATCTCCTTTGTCTTACTGGCGTTGAGCTGAAGGTGGTTTGTGCCACACCAGTTGACAAAGTCAGTGATGACAGCCCTGTATTCCCGCTCATCCCCTGACGATACACATCCGACGATGGCTGTGTCATCAGAGAACTTCTGGAGGTGACAGCTCCCAGAGTTGTAGCTGAAGTCTGAGGTGTACAGGGTGAAGAGGAAGGGGGAGAGCACTGTCCCCTGTGGAGCCCCCCGTGCTGCAGACCACCATGTCCGATACACAGTTCTGAAGCCTCACAAACTGTGGTCTGTCGGTGAGGTAGTCCACGGTCCATGCGGCTCGGTGACAGTCCACTCCCGCCCGCTCGAGCTTGTCCCTGAGCAGTGAAGGCTGGATGGTGTTGAAAGCACTGGAGAAGTAAAAAAACATGACCCTCACAGTGCTGCCTGTATTCTCCACGTGGGCCATGGACCTCTGCAGCAGGTAGATGACTGTGTCGTCAGCAGGTAGATGACTACGTCGTCAGCAGGTAGATGACTACGTCGTCAGCAGGTAGATGACTGTGTCGCCCACCCCTGTGTCGTCCACCCCGATAAAGAGTCTCATCCACAACTACCACAAAAGACTTCAAGCTGTCATTGATGTTAGAGGGGGCAATACAAGGTATTAAGAACTGGGGTATGTAAACTTTTGATCAGGGTCATTTGGGTGTCTTTTGTTGTCATTATGATTTAAAAATAGAAAACACAGTTGTTTATCAATAAATGGCTCCACCCAACCACCAACCATGAGTTGAAAAAGAGTTTTTGTGTTATCATTCATATTCTCTGAAAAAAGGCCAAGAAAGCAAAAATTGTGCCGGGGTATGTAAACTTTTGAGCACAACTGTATGTAGTAGTGAGAAAACATTTCAATCTCTGCTAAGGTTGCTATTCTGAGCCCAACTACTGTTTTGAAAGACTGTGACCTGTCCTGTCTTCAAAAGGGACAGTCAGTGTTTTCTTACCTCAGAACAAAACAGTGTGTGAGTTTTTTTAAGTTGTCTATTTCAGTTTCGGTCACCTGCCTCCATTTATTGATGTACCACTCACTCATTCTGTGAAATAGGGTCTTGGACTGAAAATTAAAACCGATAGAAATTAAGTTAAATGAAAAAAGGGGGAAATCACCTAAAAAAGCAGTCAGTGTCCAATATAGTTTGTTTTCCACAGCTACTGAACTATTGATTGTGAAAATCAAGAATTGCAAATTTCAAGGGAACAAATAGAAGATGGCTCCCACTGATAACATTATCATTCAAAGGGCATTTATTAATTAGGTAAAATTTAAAAAGTACGAGCTTGAATCCCCCAGTTGCATGAGTGAAATGTCAAACTATCACTTTATCTTTGGTTCCCATGTCACCAAAACACCTCATATCAAAATGTTGACGAACCAAACACACAGATGTTATGGTATTCATGTGTTGCGGCCTTGCTGCTGTCAAAGTCTCTGCTTCTGCTTAGTTCTCATTAAGGACTTAGTAAAAGTGTTTATAGAAGACGGTTGTCAATATGTCTAAAACTGCAGGCACCCTTTTCGGGGTTAAGAAATATAAGCTTTAATGAAACTAACTATTTCATAGTAATACTAAAAGCTAGTGGCCACCTACCACTAGCTGGGACTGTAACTCCAGTTAAGGACTGCTTTAAGACTCTGTGATCCTGTATTCAGCAACCAAGTCAATTGTGCTGAAACTGTGATTCTTTGGTCTGGCTTTCACATCAGACTCTTGAGCAGAAAGTACTCACTTCTTGGGAGTGGGCTATAACTTTGGCTCAATTAGCTGCTTATGAGGGGATGACATACTTACTACTGAGTAAGTGTGATCAATACATGCTCAGGGGGATTGGAGGATGTGTTCCAACAATAGGGGGATCACACTCCTCCGATCTCTATTTGGGGTCCAGGAAAGGAGGGTCCATCAGATAGTCAAACTTCAGATCTGGGAGGAGCAATGTGGTTCTTGTTCTGGTTTTGGGACTGTGGACCAGCTATACAGCCTTGGCAGGATCCTTGAGGGTGGATGGGAGTTGTCCCTTGGAGAAAGAATTCATCCGTGTCCCTCGGGAATCCTGTGAGGGTGTGATTCTGGGGAATGGGGTACCAGACACTCTGATGAGGGCTGTTTGTTGCCTGTATTTCCAGTGCCAGAGTTTGGTCTGCATGTTTGGTTGTAAGTCAGGCTGGTTTCTGGTAAGGGGTTGGACACCACCAGGGCTGCCCTTTGCCACCGATCCTGTTCATAACTTTCATTGACAGAAATTCTAGGCGCAATTTCTAGGGTGTTGAGCGGGTCAAGTTTGATGTTCTCAGGATTAGTTTACTGTTTTTTGAAAATGACATGGTCCTGTTGACTTCATCAAGCCATGACCTTCAGTTCTCACTGGAGCTTAAAGCAGTTGGGATGAAAATCAGCACCTCTAAATCTGACTCCAAGGTTCTCAGCTGGAAAAAGCCGGAGTGCCCTCTCTGGGTTGGGAATGAGATCCTGCCCCAAGTTGGGGAGTTCAAGTATGTCAGGGTCTCGTTCACGAGTCAGGTAAGAATGGAGTAGGAGATGGACAGGTGGATTGGTGCGGTGTCAGCAGGGATGTGGACGCTGCACTGATCTGTTGTGGTAAAGAGGGAGCTGAGCCGAAAGGTAAAGCTCTTGCTGTACCAGTGGATCTACATTCCTACCCACACCTATGGTCATGAGCTGTGGGTAGTGACCAAAAGAACAAAATCACAGGTACAAGGGGCCGAAATGAGTTTTCTCTGCAGGGTGGCTGGGCCTTAGAGATAGGGTATGAAGCAGAGAAGGGCTTGGGGTAGAGCTGCTTCTCTTCTGCATTGAGAGGAGTCAGATGAGGTTACCTGGGAATCTAACCAGGATGCCACACAGACGCCTCCCTGCTGAGGTGTTTGTGACATTTTTTTTCTTTCATTGGCACATGGAGTCAAACTTACCACAGACACGCCTTGAAACGGTTTTCTTAAGAAAAAGAAGAAGAACTTATTGATCCCCGAAGGGAAATTATTGCAACATTTTAACCAACCCCAACTGATAACGTGATCATTCAAAGGTCATTTATTAATTATGTATATTCAGAAATTATGAGCTGGAATCCCCTTGAGGCATGAGTGAAATGTCAAACTGTTACTGTGGTTTTGGTTCCCATGTCACCAAAACACCTCACATCAAAATGTTGACTAATCAATCAAACAGTTGTTAGGATGTTCATGTTGAGGGACTAAGTAAAAGTGTTCGTAAAAGAAACACACCTTAAGGTTGTCAACATGTCTAAAAAGGTTATAAACTGAAGGCACTCTTTCAGGGGTTAAGAAATATAAGCCTTCATTAAATGAGCAATTTCATCGTAATGTTAAAAACATTTGTAGATCATGTTAAAAAGTCTGGGAGTGTCTTCATTTGTCATTCTTCATCAATATGAATAACTATATTATAGGGTTACACTGTGACCTTGGTTCTCTAATTGATGAGAGTTTCTATCCAACTCAATACTTTACATGTATGGGATATAATCCCCGACTTGTCAGGGTCTGTGGATATAACTTAAAGACATTTAAGATACGTTGCTATACCTGCATTCCCTCAACTGTTTGTCCTGATGGTCCAGTTTGCGCTGGTAAAATAGTTCTACGTCTCATATCTTTGAGAAGACTTTGGAGATTTGGGTCAATATTTTTATTAACTTTTGTCTTTGGTCAGTGGGTGGTTTATCTGCTGAAAACTTTATCCTTCTGTCTCCATAGTTAGGGTTAAGTGTTTAGATGTCTGGTTCAAAACAAATATATTGTCACAATAAAAGTAGAAAGGAAAGGGGATTTAAGTGTGGATACTGGTATCACACAAAATAAGTTTGAAAACACTGGCTCAATGGATATCCAAAAAAAATTCCACTACTGTGCATCCCTACATTTGAGGTAATTTTCCTAAGTTGTTGTGAGTGTGTGTCACCAGGAGTTGGTAGAAACAGCAGGAAGGAAGAGACAGCTGCACGAATAATCAGGAACTCAAGTCAAGTCAATGAAAAACATGTATTCTTTTCTCCACTGGCTTCTGAGACAATGGTTGTGTCTCACCATGGCTCTCAGAGTTACTTCAATTCAACAAATTAAAATTGATTGTCAAGAGTTAGTTTTGTAGCTTTGCTCTTGTGTTTTGTAGCAATAAGATACTATTTCAGGTGCAGATAATACAGTGGGTACATCCTCAAATTCAGGCTACCTTTACTTAAGAAGATGCTGTTTCAAATCAATGAAAATAAAAATAATATTTAAAACTTGAAATCAGACGAAGAAATGATACCCAGCAATGATTTAATCTGTTTTCACAACAGTTAAAATTATCTGTCTGGACCTGTGAAAATACTTGCAGGTTTTCAGGTGCTTTGTCTGTTTGTTTTTTTTCAACACCTCCATCGTCTGACTTCCAGAGAATTTCATTTTTTTTCATTATGTGGTAAAGAGGGCATGCCAATCCTCTTTCTCTCCACCCCATGGAAAGAATATATAAAGGAGTCGCCTGTAGGGACTTTTACCACTTTTACTTGCTTTCTACAGGACTGGTATCATCAATCAAAGCTTGTAAGTACCTTTGCATTTCTTTTTCAAAGCGATTTGTGAGGAGAACTGCACAGTTATGAATGTATTAGATCACTCATCAACAGGCAACAAAGAAGGATCTGTTTATCATCAACGTGGTGTGATTGCAGTTTTAGTGTTTTCATCAGATGCTACATTAAATCTGCTTGTTTCTTTGTTTCAGAACCATGAACCGTACAAACCCAATGAATGCAGGTGAGGTGCTCCAGAAAGGAGACTTCCTGATGTCTCCAAATGGGCAGTGGAAGGCTACTTTGCAGGTAAGTAAATCAGGACTTTGCAGTTTTCTATTTTGGTGATGGAAATGAAAATTTTACTGACTGCTGGTTGTCTCTAATCTTGTGTGCAGGCCGATGGTAACTTGTTGATATACAACATGTCCACTTCATGGAGAACAGAGATTGCTCCATCAGATGGCTCCCATTTGAAGGTGGAGCCTAATGGTGACGTGGTCATTTACAACAACAATGAAGCCAAGTGGAGAACAAACACAGGTACTCCAAGTGCTGATGTCAAATGCACTTTCAAGTTGACCGATGAAGGCAAGCTGGTGGTGAGCCACGCCAGTGCTGTAAAATGGAGCAAACCTAAGTAGGGAGGCAAAAAAGATCAAATGAGTCAAGGAGCCTCTTGAAATTGAGTGCAAAGAAATTCTTCACTGAATTTCTGCATGAATTTCATTTCACCCTCCTGAAATGTATTCTGCTATGTAATAAAAGCAGATCTTACCAGACTAAAGTGTGTTTGTCAATCATTTGGACTGCATGGGTTATCACTGAACAGCTCACTCGAACAGTTTCACTGAAAGCTTGATGTATGTGTTATTAAACCAAGGCTCCAGTATAACTAAATAAAATCCTTAAAAATCTTTGTATCTTTAAGCATAAACATTAAACCTTTCTGGCCTGTCAACTTGGGCTGTAGCTTTATGGGTTATTTCAGAGTTTGCAGTTTTGCTTTGAAACAACAAAAGATCTAAAATAACAAAAACTCAAAAGTTCTTCAGTAATCCAAGGGTACAGATAATAAAAGAACACTTATATGTTGATTTTTGTAAAGCTAATATATTTCTGAGTCATTTTCCTGTGTTGTTACGAGGCTCTACATCCAGTAAAAACTGCATTACAGAATCACAAGATTAAAGAGGTTTTGTCATGTCATGGGTTTTCTTTGTTGGGTTACCTTAGACAGCTTTACTTTTACGTTAAAGTCTGTAAATTAAAAAAATCTAACTATAATAAGACTACGGGCTATAGTATTGTGAGTGAAGTGAAGTTTGAAATGCACAGGTATCAAGCTGAAATCACACTGCCAGCTGAGTTTGATGGAACTGGAAGCTATTTTTTTAAAAGCTCACCAACCATCTTCAGTATAAGTTATATAACATTTAAATGTTAAATCATATGAGCATTTAAAAGAGTTGGAAAAGACATGTTAGCGATGGGCTCTTTTAGATGTACTGAATCACTAGAATCAGTTCACAAAAAAGAATCGTTCAAGATATTCGTTCACCGAATCACTGAATCATTCAGCACTTGGCAGGAGGAGCCTGCGACTCCGACTTCCTGAACTGATACACAGCTGAACGGTTCAGGATTCAGTTCAGATCATAACTTCAGGGACCGGGAGACAAGAGTGTTGTGGCTGTGTCGCTTTGACAAACAGGTTTGTAAAAATGAACTTGGTTCTAAATCATGATGTTTAAAGTGTATTAATGCTATTTATCTGGTCTACTCGGTAAGTTGGGCTCAGTGAGTGATTCGTTCGCTGAATGTTTACCCCCCAGTGCATTCAGTGAAGAATTCACACTGACCATGCACCATTCCCTCGCAAATTGCTGCAAGGATAGGATCAGACAGTCATGCATTTCTCAAACTGCGGGTTTTATACACTACTTGTTACATGCTGTGTCCTACTGTATGTAAGTTGTTGTGGCAATTTAGCAGGATTAAAAAAAAAGTTAGTTTTGTCCGAGGTACACTTGAACACAACACACCCCTATCTCCCTCCATCGCTCCTGTCAAGCGCTTCCTACAGCTGGTGAGTCTCGCTCTCTTCTCATTACAGCCAGCCAAACCTTTTAAGTCTGTTTAATTGGGAACTAAACCTGTTAAAACATTGGGGGACAACAGTCCCCATGAAAGAGTGTCCCTCAAACAAAAATGATTCATCAAGTCATTCAGGCGTTGGCGCGTGTGTTACCTCGCTCGCCCAGCAATGCTGCGTGCTGTGGCAGCTGCGCTGCTGACAATTCAACTGAAGTGAGAAACGAAAAAATCACATCGGTTCGCTAGTTAACCTAAAATATTCAGTTCTTTTTAACGAATCATTCACGAACAACACAACACTAAGACATGGGCACCAAAGCTAAAACCCAACTGAGAGTTGGGTTAAAAATGCAGCCGAACTTTTAGTATGAAAAAAACAAAAACAAACATAAAATCTCCTCAGCTCAGCAACAGACTGCTCACCACAGCCGACAGCATCATGAATAGCATCATGCAATTTATCCATGCAAACTTAAAATAATGTAATTAGACTTAAATGTTAGAATGCTATAATTGATGTGATATCTGACTGAAGCCCAAAATATATATTTACATATATAAACATACAGTATATTATTCTTCATATTTATCTTCCTATTGCACTGTTTGCACTGCACTAAAGAATTTTGAACTTGTATATATTTTGTACCTATTTTTATTGTACCTCTTAATTCTGTGTCTCTTTCTCTCTTTTTCTTCTTCTTTTTTAGTTCTATTGCACTGGAAATGAAGAAGCTCTTCAATCTCTTTGTACTCCAGTATAATGACAATAAAGGGAATTCTGATTCTGAGAAAGTAAAGACAAAGTCCTTAGTGATCCACTGCATTAGGGGGTACATTGCTACAAGAATCTTAGAATTCCAGTCCCAGAAATGAGGTCCTGAGTCAGTGGCCTGCAGCTCTGCAGACATATGGCACACAGAGTTCAAATGCAAGTCATGTAATGTAACTGCACCAAGAGACCACAAGGTGTCATACTAACCCTAAAGATGTCTCTGGACCCACAGCTCCCTTCAGGTGTGTGTTACAATTTTCTTTACCACATGATGCACTTTCATTTTTCTTTATTTCGTTCTGATATTTTGTAGGAACTGTCCCATTTGAAGGCGCAGAAAAGTTTAAGCTCAATTTTCAACTTCAGAATTCTGACTATATTTGCAGAGTCATAATTAAAAGCCACGATTCAGAGGGAAATTGACAGAAATAAATGAAATATCTAATTAAAACAAAAAATCTCAGTGAAAAGGCAAAGACGTCTAGACCAGAGCATGAAATATATTTCTCGGTCTAGCAGGAAGGAATTCAGTATGTTTCTGCTGAGACCAGGGCGACACTTTCAGAACCATAATTCTTGGACTGCATCTTGGGACCTTGTTGTTTGCGACAGATAGGGTTAGAGTTATGTAAGTCCTCAACGATCCATTGCTCTAGGAGGTGGTACATGGCAAACAAAGAGGGTCACAGGATTTCAGGCTCAGAAATATAGTCTTGAATCAGCAGTCTTTAGATCTGCAGGTACATACTTCTCAGAATCTGAGCATGTTCAAATTGACGCCATAAACTGTAAGTGCTATGAGGGACCACAAGGTGTCAGATTACTCCTGAGGATGTCTGGATCCTTATCTCACAGTACGTTTGACTTTTTTTTCCCCCACAAACACATACTCTATTTTTAATTTTATTTTTATAAGGTTGTGATTTTGTAGAAACTTTTTTCTCCTCACAATCAGAGCCAGAGAAAAGATTTTTGGAGCTCTGATTCCAGTCCCTTTTTTTAACTGAATGTGCACACGTCCCTGTGTTACATGTGCTCCTATAAATACACTTTGCTCATCTACCTCAGAGGTCATTACCTTATAATGGATTTAATTATCTTTTTGTTTGATGAATCTTACACTTTGAGTTTTGGTTTGTTTTTGGTTTTATTTTCAAATACACCTTCAGCCTGGTTCATCATCCATCACTGTTTTTGGGTCACCATCTCTAATCGCTGATCTAATCCTTCCAGCTAATTTAAAAATGACTAAATATGTCAAGTTTAGGGATGTGCGTGTTTGGTTTAGGTTAAAGCAGTGTTGATCTCAATGGTCAACACCAGAACTACGAAGTGGTTAAACTAATTATTAATATTTCTCATAATTTTTCCCAAAAATGCAGGTCATGTGTCCAAAACTGTAGTGCAGCCAACCGCCACTAGCTGGAGCTTTAACTCCAGTTAAAGGACACTCTGTGATCCTGTGTTCAGCTGTATCAAATCAGTGGTGCTTAGTTTTGACCATTTTCTGAGTTTTGTCTTGCCGTCTTTAAAACTTTAGCATTTTACACACACAAGTCTTTATTTATTGTTTCTTCTATCCAGCCAACTTTTTAATTGCTTTAAGTCCGAGGCCCACAAGGTTGTTGTGGACATATCAAATTAGGGTAGAAATTTATTTATGAAGAATATCATAGCGTATAATAAAACCTGCAATAAGGTTATTCTGCAAAAGACAATACACTGGACATTTCAACAATTACATAGTGAATATAAATATCAACAGATCATTGCTGGAAGTGTGTGTAGTTTCTGATGCCTTTATCTTTCTTACATTCTGGGCATGCTCTTCAAGTCTGGTGGGACGATATCCATCTTGTTATCTATGTAGTAGTGAGAAAACATTTCAGTCTCTGCTAAAGTTGCTATTCTGAGCTCAACTACGGCTCTGAAAGACTGTGACCTGTCCTCCTTTGAAAAGGGACAGTCAGTGTTATCTTACCTTAGAACAAAAGAGTGTGTGGGCTTTTTCCAGTTATCTATTCCATTTTCAGTCACCTGCCTCCATTTATTTATGTGAAATGGGTTCTTTGTCTGAAAATTAAAACTGATAAAAATTAATTAAAATGGAAAAAGGGGAAAATTACTTAAAGAACAGTGGCGGCTTCTGGTCTTTCAAGGAGGGGAAGCTCATTTTTCTGGCCTAAATCATAATTGTGTTTGTTTATTAGTATGTAACAGAACAGAGTTGCCAAACACAACGGCAGTCGTTTTTAAAAAAAAAGACAAAAGTCGCTGAGGATCGGTAAAGTCTCCTGAGCAGTTAAGAACAACGGAATAAATAACTTGGAAAATGCTCTGGTAGATGTTATATTCTTCAAGATCGCTGATTCGCTTGTTACGCTGTCAATCAAAAAAGGATTTCGCCTCAGACAGCTCATCCAATCATGGATGCAGAAGCTCAGCGTCCGCGAGAAAGTTGGGACCGCCCTCTCGTCATAGAACTCCAGAGACGCTGAGCGTCTGATGGGCGGGACAAAGCCCAGCATTTATCTAATGAGCGTCTAGTTTCGCTGCTGGAACAACCCACTTTGAGCTTCCACATTGAAGTCAGCAGACGCAGCTTCTTATCACAGTGTGATAAGAAGCTGATTCTAAACAAAAGATGAAGGCTTTCTAGCGCATATTTAGTTAATGAAATGTACACACAGCCGTACGTATTTCACAGCATTTTCCTTTTTTTGGGGGGGTGACATTTTAAGGGAGGCTGAGCTTCTCTTGCAGTCTTAAGCCGCATTCAGACCAAACGTGACCTGAAGCGACCTAGTCGCGTTGGTCGTTGTATTCCCATCGCGTCGCACCCTGGTGTGTTCACACCGGGTCCAAAGCTGCAGTCACGGAGGTCGCAGGACGCGGCTGGTCGTCGCTAAA